GACACGCGTCGTCTCAAGGAGGGCCTGGAAGTCCGACATGATGGCGTTTAAGTCTTGGAGTTGCTGGTTGTTGTTGGACTGATTGCTGAGAAGATGGGCATCTTGAAGGATATGGTCAGGGAAGAGTTGGACAGAGCCCGTGAAGAGACTGGAATGGAATGAGGGTGTGGAGAGGACGGTGTCCATGAGTCTGCATGCGTTGGTGGCATCTGTCTTTGTCTTGGAGTCGGTTCCTGATCCGGGTCCGGGTATTGTTCCGGGTGGTGTTGTCTTTGTCTTTGTGTTGTCGTTCATGCTGTTCACTTGTTTGTAGAGGTGGTAATGAGAAAGGGTTGTTGCATGGAAGTTCATGAAGGTATTTTGGCTTGTGAAAGGGGTCACAGAGAGAGATAGAGTGCGCCACTAATTTCCGGAGATGATATAGTGGATTTCACGCAAAATTATCAATTTATGATCAATGTTATTCTTGGTATAAAAAGTGCGAGCCAAAAAGGCCTATTCAATTAAGCGAAGTTGATACTGGCGAAAAGCATACCCTATTCTCCAGCCTCACCCGCACCTAACCAACACACACACAACACACTCTCTTCAGAAAGACAACACTCGATCTCTTTTTTTCTTCCCTTCACATTCTATACATCTGTTCCCTTTTCTACACGACACTGAACGACAACCCCACTACATTATACGCAGATTAGCGGCTTATAATGGTTTATAGATTTTTTTATTCCGAGCACGATAGACAGTTATAAACCAGTCACATATGTGTGAATAGATTGTTTCATGTGCCCTCTCCTCTCGTGCCTGTGCCTGAACACATTGAGAACTGCGTTGCCCTCCTGCTTACATCACACTCTCTGCTCTCTATTCCTCTCTGCTCTTCCCTCCCTCTATCCCTAGGTCCTTCTATCATCACTCTCTCTACTCCCCTCTCTACTATCCTCTTCTCTCCTCCTTCCCTCAGCTTTGCCCTCACCCTGCTCCTAACCATATGTAGAGCGAGCTGACATGTAACACTGTGATAGACCAAGGATGGTGTTTATTCTCTTCTCTTTGGGTACTTTCTCGAGGGTGCTTTGGGAAGAGCCTTGTAGTATTTATCAATTGAACCAACAGTATCGATTTGCCCTCTTACGAAGGCAAGTGCATTGTTTACGGCGGACTTGTCAACCTGCAAGCCAGCTGGGATAGAGCGCAGAACCGAATGTACAATGTCCTTCTTCCACTTGTAGAGCTGTGCATCTTTGCCTCGCCACGCTGATCCGAACCACCTATTAAGCTCTGCGATGGAGGGGGACCCATCGACGCCGTGGTAAAACCACTCTTGCCACAGTTGGTCGAGCGTATTCGGTCGTGGGATCAGCTTGCACTCGGGCATTAGGGGCATATGGTGTTGGGTCTCTCCTCTCGCCCTCTTCTCGTCGGCGACTAAGACGGCTACTTGTCGCATTCTGTCCTCGACATTGTCGCTGGGGTTGAAAGCGGCCAGAGCTGCGCGGCGGTGCGCATCCCTTGAAAGAACTGCAGTGGAAGAAGTCGGAGGTCTTGATTCTTGCTGGCCAGCGTCCGGCTCTGGAAGCTGAAGAAGAGCGATGGCGGTAGCCATAGTGGTACTCTGGCTTGCTGCACTGCCGTTGACGTCGTCACTGACATTCACCTCATCGTCCTCGCTAATCGCCACCACGGCTTCCACCGTTGACTTGAGAGCTTGCATCAACTGAGATCGAACGGCATCCTTGTTCAAACATTGTCGCTTGTTGCCTGCCAGTTTGTCATTGTTGCCAATGCACCGCTTCAAGTCCTTCAGCTCGGATGCTGTCCTATCATTCTGAGCTTGTAAAGTAGCTGCTAGAACATTCATACCGGCGTGCAAACTCTGAAGTCCGGCTTGCTGGCTTTGCTGCAGGCTCCGGATTGCAGCATCTTGGACACCGAGCCTCGCGCCGACCCTGTCAAACTCCAGTTGGATGATGGGTGTGGCAGATGCGAGGGAATCCGTGAGAGGAGAGGGATTTCTCATGCTCTCGAGTAGGGTTTGCTGGAAATCTTGAAACGCAGGTGTTTTGAAGACAGGGTGATCGAAAACAGGGTGCGCGGCGGCAGCACCACCCCCGAACAGGATGACAGCTGCATCCTGAAGGATAACCTTTCGCAGGTGGGCGAGAAGGCTAAGATGGCGCTTTCTTGAAATGACCTCATTCGACAGAACGGTCTGCATATCCTTGTCCGTGTACACCTGCTTGACTTCCTTGCACTCGCCCCGTCGCAGCTTCTCACGCAACTCCTCGCGTCCGTGGAAAACGTCGCAGTCACGCATAATGTTGTCAATCGTGAGCCTCCAGAACGTGTCGGAGCAAGCATCCTCGATGAAAGGGAACAACTGCCTTTGGAGCTCAATGCTGGGGATCACAGTGTTCCGAGCCAGCCAAAAGCGCTCTAGACGGTCGCGGTCAAATCCAGCCAATCGAAGGGCCACTGAAGGCTCTACACCCTCGAGATAGTGAGTTGAGAGACGGTTCGATGCCCAGTTCCCGTGCTTAGCGATCGCCTCTACCGTAGATCCACACATATGCGCGAATCTGGAGCCGTGCTTGCGCCCAAGGTGAGTCACTGTGCCCTTGTCCAATATCCCGCTCTCATGAAGAGCCTCCACCTGCGCCTGGAACTGGGAGTTGTAAGTCATCGGTACATCCATTGGTTTGTTTCCAGCTAACAGATGGTAGTCGGTCCATTTAGGGTTGGTGAGATCAGGCGCCCTTTTGTTTTTGCTCTTAGTACAGCAAAAAAAAGGAAGAGGGGGGGGGGGGGGGAAGAACGCATTATTAAATGAGTGTTGAAATATGAGTGACACCACGCGTCGGCCGCCGACATTTACCACATGCACGCCACTTACCGACCAAAGCTCAAGCAAATAAAAGGCTAGCGCGCCAACTGGACACACATCTACTTCTTTGTTCCGAACTGCAACTCCATACTGAATCTTGCCGTCCTTGTTCGTCTTGCCTTGCCTCATCATCAGCACAACTCCAAGCACGAATTGGCCTTCTCTGTAGCTGGCATCGTTCGTATTTTTGTTGCGGTTGGGCTCGACGTCGTGGGCGAAAAGATCCGGGAGTCGGATCTGGCGTGTGACCTCGCTGCGGAACATCATAAAAAAGCAAAGACTTACATCCGCACGGTCGCGTAACCCTTTCAAGCGGCGCTTTCTCAAGCTGGCTGCGCCCTCCACATTGCGCATCCAAAATCGCTTCATTAGCTGCCGAACAATCGAAGTTGGGTTCTGGGTGAAGTCGATAGAGCCAAAGTCGGTATCTGTCGACCTCTTCCTGGCGGACATCCTCACGCGGTAAACGTCGATCAGAGGTTGAATGTACGTCTTCGGGGCCGGAACTGTGCCATAATCCATCGCTAAATTGTTCCTGTCTTCACACTGATGCTTATAGAGGTCGCCAATGGCAGCGAGGTGCAAGAGAATGGTTGCCGTCGAGTACCACCGCTCTTCACTGTTCTCATTGTTGCTGTTGTGGATGTCAACGTCTCGACTGGCGTCCCCCTCGCAGTTGTCATCGCTTTTGTCCTCCACATCGCCTCCATCGACATCATCATCAGAACACGGGTCATCCATATTTGCCCGCCGTTCGCCGGACTTGTCCTTGCTGTTGTTGCCCTTCCTGTCTCTTGGCGACGGTTTGATCCGTATGATACCTATTGCATTTATATTTTCGTTAGTTCTTATAATTTCAAACACCACCATAGCGTTTCGTCGTCGTCGTCGTATCGTATGACCGCTCACATTAGTTCCATTTTTCATATTCATACCGTTTTGAGGATCTTCCGTCTCGCAGGTCAGGCAAGCAAAGTAACGGGTTACTTTGCCTTTCGTGACGTTGTAATCATCCTTATATCCAGAAACGTCGCACCATTCCTATACCAAGGGATGGAGTGATTGAGTTAGTTAGTGCGTCGAGTCGGGGGCCATAGTTTATCTATGCTTGTGCAAAAATGGGGGTACATTTTACAATTTGCCATACCATGAACTTCTCCTGGTACCGATCATACTGGTCCCGCGTCGACTGGGCTTGCAAGACTTGCGAGCTTCGGCCACAAGATGGGAGCTTGCTAGCTCCTTCTGCTTATTACAGAGGTGATTTTGTTGTTCAACCCTATTGCGTTCGCGGTAGGTTTCCAGCTTAGATTTTGCTCTTGCCGGCTGGCTGCCTTGCATGCTCGTCTGCTGCCGTTTGTTTCGTGCTATGGCTTTACCTTTAACAGAAAAGCTGCACGACTTGTTTAACGCGAAACAATAAAACAATAGAACGAAATAGTAAGTATGGTGGTATGGTGGATGCCAATCAGGTACAGGACATATCGCCCCAATTGTGCAAATACCTCTTTAGCTTACCCGTGTCATTAATTAGTCGGGTATTGGGGGGGGGGGGGGGTGTAATGTGTATTGGGGTGTGGGCTTGTTTGAATCAGGCTAATGTGGCGATGTGAAGTGAGAAAGAGGGAAGATTGGGGTGTGGGCTTGTCTGAATGAGGCTAATGTGGCGATGTGGAGTGGAGAAAGAGGGAAGAATGGAGTGACATGCATGCGTCCCATGTGGATGATTCCGCCAGAAAAAAAATAATTATGCAAGGCTGCCTATCGGTTTAAAACCGTGCCTATGCCGACGGGGATAAACCCATATGTGTCACGTGACTTTTATAAACCAACCTTATGTGGATAACCCCCACAATTCCACACATTCCTCTTCCCACTCAACCTTTTCTGTTCACTTTCCCAACGTGACACACGAACGATAACACCACCACCACCAGCACACTCTCTTTGCAAAGACGACGACATCCGTCATGAGCGACAACAGCCCTGGAGTACGTAAAACAGTTCATGAACGTTCATCACCTTGCGTTTTGCAGAGAGAGAGAGAGAGAGAGAGAGAGAGAGATTATGTACTCACAACATATTGTTCCGTTCTGTTTTAACTACTACGAAGCAGATGCACTCCTTTATGCCGGACTGGAAGTTCGTTAACGAGGCTGCAGAACAAATCCTGCACGAGGGATTCAATGGGGATCTATATCAGCGACTAGGAGGAGCTTTTATTGCTTCAGAGGCCCAACCCATAGCACAGGGTCAAGCGTCCGTCGCCTTTCGCTTTATCAACAAGCACCACTTGGCATTAAATTTCAGCACAACACCCTCTCTTGCACGGCTTATCATTGCGATCTTGGATGGCTCATGGACACCGGAGCGTGGTGAGAGGAACGAGACCGGATTTTTGGTGCTTTGGAGGAACCAGGAAAACACCATCACACATCCCATTCCACCTTCAAGCTTTCTTCTTCGCTACATCTCAGCACTATTGCACATCAACATATTCCTGTTTGACACCGCCGCCCGCCCCATTGTCATCACCCATCCCTATCCAAAAGGAGTTGTCGGTATTCTTCATGATGCATCGTCAATTCTGGGATACTCGGACTACAATGTACTCGGACCAACTCGTACGGAACAGGACGATCTTTTCATTGATCTACGGCCACCAACACCCCCGTCTCTACCACTTCCACCAGGACCTGCCGCGACATTCCGAACCGCCAAACGACCGCGCCAGCAGAGAGAAGGATGCGAGATCGACAGGGTCGCACTAGAGACCATCTACAAGGAGGAATGGTGTGTTTTGATGTCTACTATGTGAATGATTTTTAGACTTTTTTTGTTTGATTTTTACTTCTTTATTGATTGTCTTTGATATTTTTAAAAAAAAATCATTTAGTGAGACCCGAGTCAAGAAGGAGGCGGCCGATCAGTGCCGCACGGCGAAGAAGCGTGCAAAGAAGGAGGCAGATCCGAGGGAAGCATTGGAGAAGGCACATATTGATGCAAAGCAAGCGGAAGAGAAACGTGTAAGAACGCCTCGGGGAGTCATGAATGAAACTGCTCGACGCGTTCGCCAACACTGCGGCATCAACGACGAAGAGGACTTTACCAACCATCACGCATCGATGATGATTACCCACACTATTGGAGAACCTCAGACCGTTACTGGACGAGCTCTAGCGACATATAAGGCGGCCTTATCAAGACACTTTGACATGGCATGGATCGAGGAACAGGACCACATATCTGATCCTACCGTTGCTTCAGCAAACTCAACAACTATCGCCCCAACCCCATCGGACATCGACGCCCAGGATGACAACAGCATTCGCACTATTACCCTACCTCTTGCGAAGCTGCTCAGGACGGATCTCCCCACGAAGGATCAAGATTACATCACCAAGAGGCTAAACGACGTACAGGGTGAGGTGTCTGACTTTATGGAATCCGTTGCCATGGGAGCGTACAAGACAACACTATGGGTATGTTTTCAACATTCTCTGTCTTGGTTGTGGTCGCGCAAGGACATATTTATTTCAAGTTAACTAATATTATATGTTATCACGACCGTGTTTACTTTCTAGATCTGTCGCGGTGGCATCCAAGGAAGCATACAGCTTAACCTAGCTGACATATTCCCGCCATCCTTTGATATCAGGGACGACTACTTCAAGGAGAACCCGATCGTGGAAGCGGGAGTCATTACTCCGGAGTGGCAACAGATTGTATCCGATGCTACGGAGTTGAAGCCCCGAGTGAAGGATCCGGCAACCTTGCTATCCCAGGATTATTTGCAGTACCTTGGAGTTCGGATTCCAGAATTGAGACGTGCGAGGAAGACCCCCAAGACTACCACCCACCCCTTGTGGGATACAGTGCTTGAAAGCATCTATAGCGGGAAGCTGGTACCACAAGCCTGGGATGATTCAAGGCATCCTGACTCACCCTCATCCAACCCCTTCAAGATCATTCCAAGCTTGTCTCAAGCCTCTGGTTCCGGCGCTGTGGATGATGCCTATGCTGCTGCTGATGCCAATGTCGAGGTCGGATACCAGTCAGAGGACTCATCGAAGGAAAGCCTGGGGGGCTTGACGGCCACACTCATGCGAGAGTACGCTACGAACATCAAGATGATATGGTCTGGAGACATTTACGAGAGGTTGAGACGGTACGTGGTGCACAATGTTCTCCGACTCAATCTACGACCCCAGAGCGAGGAGAAACACCGCATCCAAAAGCGGAAGCGTGCTATCAAGAAGGCCGAGGAGATGAAGGAGGCGTCGGCATCGGCAAGCCAAAAGCGTCGAGAGTCCCTGAGGAACTGGAAAAGGCGAAACCAGGACCTATTCAATCAACTTGATCACGCATTTGATACTAGTCGAGACGAGGAGCGCATCAACAAGATTTTCGGGCTCATTGACATCCATCAAGAGCGGCGGCCAGGAGTCAAGGAGCAGAACAAGTCACGTGGACTCACCCAAAGCGACGACTACGAGACGGACTCGGAGTTTGACGGCTCAGACGACTCAGACGACGATATGGATACTGAGTTGGTTGTTTCGGGCTCGAGCAAGAGCAGCGATGATGTTTTAATGCCTTGCACTCACACAGCAGATCAAGATTGCGAGATGGGGGTCATGGAGGAGCAGTCAGATGCCGGTCGCTCTATTAATGCAGAGGCTCAGAGCAGTGGTCCGTCTGAATCTGTGGCACGCTCCTCAACAGGTACCAATAACTAATATCGGACGCTGCTCCTTGCTGAGTTTGTGGTATTAACTGTTGACTAATATCTCTCACTTCCTTTTTCTCCACCGTAGGACCAAAGGAGCCGACATCAAAGAAGCTCCGAGGTCTAGAAGCAGTAGCTATCAGGTTGCTGGAATTGCCAGACTCGAACATACCCATCACCGAAGAGACAGTCAAGGCGAAGCTCTAGGAGCCTGAGATGTACAGCACGGAGGAGATTTTGGCCGTCTTGCGGCTAGTGACATTACTGAGACCGTTTACCCCTAAGAAGGCCCACTCAGGACCCCAGTCAACTTCCTATCCAAAGAGCGTCTTGACTTTGGGGCCGTTTGTGTATATTGCAAATGCAATCTTGAGATCGGCGGGATACAAGGATTTCACCCGTAGGATTTGCCCAGTTCCTGCTGTTGGGAATCGGCATGCTGTGCCGTTGGACGCGTCAGGGGTGTATGACATATTTGGCGGGCGAGCACCAGGACGCTTCGATATCAAGGGCCCAAGTGGTCGAGTAATCACCACGTCGACCGTCGCGAGACTGTCTACCGATCATCGCAAATATGTTTTCGGTGGACTTTTCAATATGGCCATCATCGACGATGCCTGCACGAAACATGGACTTGAGTTCGCACAAAGGTATGCATACATAAGGTCTTGAATATGACCTCTCCTCATTCATATCTATGACCATCATGAGTCAATTGAATAACAGTTTACCGTGCATTGTTTGTAAAATGATAGAATGACGTACGTCGACTTTTACACAGTACGCATCACGGGACGACGGGCGATAACGGGACCAAACCGCCACTTCACCAACAGTGCGTACGAAGACAAGAAGAAGAAGCATGTTAAGCCATCAGGTGTAATCAACTGGACGTCGGAACTACTGGAAACCGGGCACACCCCTCAATCTGCAGCCAAAGCGTCGGAGGAGATCAAGATTGTTCAGGATCGTTTGGTCACAGAGCTACAACCCCTCAAGAAGGGCCTCAAGGCAGCCACGACGGTCAGGAGAGAAAAGGACCGCACCCTTCGTCACTATGAAGGACACGACCAGAGACACAAAAAGGGAATCTACCAGAACCTACAGGAGGCACGAAAAGTCGTCAACAACCTGACGAAGAAGATCGTTCCTCTCGAGGCTGAGATCCGGGAAAAGAAGCAGCAACGCTACTATTACAACAGGTTGTCCAAGGCGACCGCCCCCCCAACAGCACTATCAGAAGACCCTTCTCCCCTGCCCATCACGACTGTCACAGAGTCTGTCCCAACTGTTCAACATCCTGGGATGCAAGACTTTGTTCAGACAACCTCCATCAAGCAGCTACTGTTAGAAATTGAAGACAAGGACCGACAACTACCTGTACCAGGCACTGACAGAGGATTGGTGACTATGTCTGAGACTGTCCCCTCCTTGTGGTCAACTCTGGAATCTTTATCAAACCGATACTATATTCTCCATGGTATGTTTTCTTTTCTGCTTTACTACTGTCGCTCTATCATATCAAGATCGTGTCTTCATGCAATAATTTCCTACGGCGTTTCATTTGACGTTATAGGTCATCCCGATACTCACCACACCGGCAACGACGACGGGGCTTCAGAGCCGCCCACCTCTCACGCTGATGCTGTGGACATGGACATTGATGGCACGGACACCCAGCCCTCTCTGCATTCAGAATCGAAAGCGTCATCTCTTCCAGAACGGACTCGGAACGCCATAACGATAACTGGCTCTTTATCCCGGAAGGCAACGATCGAGGACATGCGTTTTGCCAAGTCCAACCGCATCACCGCAAAACAGGTCAAAGAAGTCGGTGGAGTAGGTAGGGCGACTCGAACAAGGGAGCGTTTGCTTCGACAGCCGGAAAATCAGAGGATTTCGGAGCTTCACAAGGAGATAGGAGAAAACTCCGTTTTGAAGGCGCAGACTATCAGTGAAGTTGACTCTGCACAGGTGACCCGACGATCAGCTACACAACCCCTTCGCAACTTCGAGGGCAGCAAAAGCTTAGTGAAACAAACCCACCACAAGGATCTTCAACTGCAGCGAGCATGGCAGACGATCGCAGCCGACGAACGACGGAAAATGCAGGATTTTTCCAGAGGTAAGTTTATGGATTTAAGAATCGGAGTGCATTGATTCCTTGTTGTTAACTCCAATGGGCATTCAAATAACTAAAACGTACTTTTATTTTTGTTTTCTTGATAGGAACAGGACAGACCCAACCAGCATCAGTCAACACAGTCGACTCTATCGATGGGTGTTGCAAGTGTGGTAGACACCACCTCCCAATCCGCGTTGGAAGGGCACTCACCTATCCACAGGAATGCCCCAGAGATGCGTTGCCCATCATCCCTATCATGTTCGTCGGGACGGCAGGAATCGGAACCGGGAGTCGCATTGGCGGTCATCTAAAGTACGGCGGAAAAAAGGTCGTTGAGCAACATGCCCTCTCCGTCCCTGTACTGATGACCGATGAAAACATGACAAGCAAAGTCTGTCCGTTTTGTTTTGCGATTCTACGCCTCGTCAAGGAACTGAGACTTGTCAACGGAGTCGAGAAGCTGGTCACAATCAATGGTGCGGTTCAGTGCGAAAACCCCAACTGTGAGAGTGTCCGCGCCGGTTATGCACGTCGAGGCAGGGACAGCAATGCATGTGTCAACATTGCACTTGCGGGATTCACGACAATCATGAGCGACAACAGACAGCCACTTCCTCCCTACAGGAGATCAACGCGTCCAGAGGGCGCCACCCCTTCAGAACCCCAGTCTCTCGCTACTGGAACACAACAAAACATCGAGCACTTCGACAACGGACCCATTGACAACAATGGCTTCCCGCGACGCTGCTGATGAGCTAGCCTAGCTAGATTTATGTAAGTTCCCATCTGCTTGTTTCCCATTTATGATTTGCTACGGAGTCTGCTATCAGTAAACCTCAGATTAACCAAAACATCCTAAATTTTGGATGAAATAGACAATAAATTAGGGATGGTGCTCTCTTGCATCCATGGATAAGATGGGCGGTACCAACCATGTTTTCTTCGCTGTCGTTAACGACTTTCCTTCCCTCTTCACGTCCTTCTGCCCTTCCCCATACAGTTCCTTCTTCACACTTTCAGGGTCGACACAAAACACACACACACACACACATACAACAGAATGATGGTCTCATGCACCACCCATCTCGTGGCTGCTATAGCCCTCCTCCATACTGCCACCACGTTCTGTCTCGCCACAAACCTCGAAGATGCAGTTCTGTCAACCTACCAGAGCCTCAACGACCTATCCCATTCAGATCACACCTTCCGACCACCCGTCCTTCATTTCAAGCTCGATCGTCGAGAACTGGCCCCGTCGCATTTGGATGCCAGATCGATTCACAAACCGTACACCGTCGGAGAGTCTGTGTCACCACTAACAGCACCATTCGAGTCCGGTTCCTCGGCCTCTCTCTCTTGTCCTTCCGACCAGTTGCTGTCTCCACCGTCGTATACGACCTCATCCTCTTCTTCCTCTGTATCACCATCTTCGGGCGCTGTTTCGGCAATGCCGTGTGTTGAGCTGACGGTCCCGATGACTGCTATCCCCAAGGAGTTCGGCTACACAGCGACAGTTTCGATCGGCACCTACAAAGTCAAGGGTACCGAAGACACAGATCCTTCCCTTCAACAACTGTTCAACCTGTTGGTTGACACAGGCTCTGATCTGGTTGCCGTGACCTCTACTTCTTGCACTGATCCTGAATGTGTCCAAATCCGACACCGTTACAACCCTGACTTGTCGTCGACCGCTGCACCGACCAAGAACCATCTGACCAATAGCCCTCGGTGGGCGCAGATCTATGGCGACGGTACTGTTGCGAATGGAACCCTTGTCCAGGACACACTCCGGTTCATGTCGTCGTCCTCGTCTACGTCGTTTGGAGAGCCTCTTGAAGTTGTAGATCAGCCCATCTTGGTGATAGACCAGCCCGGTCTACACCTCGTCAAGAGTTACGGGTACGGCGTTGATGGGATCTTGGGGATGAACCTGCAGAGTCTGGTCGTCAGTCAGACGGTGATCCAAAACCTCCAAAGGCTCGAGGCTGAAGAGATCCAGCGAGGTGGGAGTGAGAGTCAGATTGGATATATGGGCCTGTGGTTGGGCAAGTCGATGGAGGCTGGTCAAGGTGGAGAGTTGATCTTCAATGGGATTGATGGTTCCAGATTCCAGGGACCCATCCATTGGTCGAATCGTGGTTTGAGTCCGTTTGACTGGTCAATTCTTCTTGACCGCGGTATCCTCTTGGTCGATCCCTCTTCTCCTGGTAGTGTTGTGACTTCTGCGGCCACACCAGCAAAAAAAGCAACAGTAATAACGCCGACAAAATTGCCTTACACACTCCCGATGACAGAATACACATTCGCAGTTCTGGACTCGGGCTCGGACGGGATTTACTTCCAACGCTCCATCTACGATGCCCTCTTTTCTCAAATCCCGCAGGCCAAGAAACTCAAGACGGGCTACTGGCGAGTCCCCTGCAAGGGCCACCTAGAGCTTTGGGTCTGTATCCAGGGGGAAGTCTACCGAATCTCGTATCAGGATTGGGTCAAGAAGCCGACTGCTGCTGGGAATACACCCGAGGTGGTAGCAGAGATTGGGCCGGGGATGTGTCAGACAAAGGTGTTTGGGAGCTCGCCGGGGCCGACGCTTTTGGGGGCCACGTTCTTGAGGACGGTTTATACTGTGTTTGACTTTCGACGACCTGGGTATGAACGAGTTGGTCTTGCGCACCTTGGCTCTTTTTCCTCCTCTTCCACATAGTGGTGGTTCCTCTTGTCTGTCCAGGGCAGTGTTGTATTGATGAAATAAAAATAATTGAGGGGTACATGAGAGGGTAGTTCTAGGCTGTTTGGTGAGTTGGAGGCCCCCCACTTATTTTTATCGCCTTCGACGGGCATGGTTCCCAGTCGCTGATTGGCCCTGAGATCCAGGACGTCACATGTTCTCAGGTACTCTATTTCACTTATTATTTTGTTTGTTGGTAACAGGGGTATGGCTCTCTTCAAGGAAGAGGATGCCAGGTTGGTAACAAGTCCTTTTCAAATTCATTGCTGTTCACTGCGGGTACACCTCTCCTCCGAATGCAAGGGAGTGTTGTTGTGCTTGTGATTGTTGTGAGGGGTCTCGAGGGAGGAAGTTCGTCATCCCACACCTAATCGTCAAGCCAGCGCCAATGTGACCAACGAGAGAAAAAACAAACCTTGTGTCCAAAATAGGAAGGAACTCATTTTTTCTCACGGGAAGGCAAAAGAGAGGTACAGGAGAGCAAATACACGCAACGCAAAGGGAGAGAGGGAGGAAAGAGAAAAAAGAAAACAAAAAGCGGGTTGGGTTCGTTGGGGAGGAAGGAAGAGAGGAGAGAGAGACCATGGGTGCACCCGCGCCGTTTTTTTAAAGTGCTAATTGCTCAGTGACACACACCTGTCGACTGGGGCATCCAGTAGGCCTGGGTTGCTGGTGATGATTGCGTTCGGCATTCATATCATTTTTGATGGATTGATCATTGATCAGGACACGATGATGCATTGGCGATCGTCAATTGTTGCCATCACGGATACCTTGCCATGGACTTCGAGAATCCCCTTCCTTTTTCTCAAGCAAGTTAGCAAGTAAGGAAGCGAAAGTGTTAAGAGGAGGGGGGGACCCATGACGACACACACATTGTCCTTGTCAAGGGGGCATCGGATCTAGCCTGGAGAGGAATTATGCCCACGGGTGCAGCAGGGAAGTGCTCGCTTCTTTGCTCGTTCTCCCTCCACATTCGCATTCTAATAAAAAGGACGCCTTTCACCCCTTCTTTGCCTTTCTTCTTTTCTCTTTTCTTTTCTACTTTTTCGTTTCCTCTCTTGTTCTTCATCCCCTCCCTCTCTCTTCCTCCACTCCAACTGCCACTCATTCACCTTACTCCTCTCATTGCTCATTCATTCCTTTCCGCGTCTCATTCCGTTTCTTCATCTCTCATTTTTTTGTGAATATTTGTATATTACTCCGCTTGCCATATAGAAAACACGACACTCTCCACTTTTTACTTCCTTTTGTACAAATGTCATCCCAAGCTGCCTTGGCCTCAAGGGCCCTCCCCCGCCTGAGCGCATGTGCAAGACGCCAGCTCTCCGCATCTGTCAAACGATCCACCATCGCCGCCAAACGATCGCTGTCCTCATCCTCCGCCGTCTCTGGCCAGACATACTTCCCGCAGTCGATCCCCAAGATCCAACAACACCCTCAATCAGCCAGCTTGCACCAACAGCAGCAATTCCAGAAACATACCCATGCCTCGCTCAACCCCTTCAAGTCTGTCGCCATCCGTCGCGAGGGCAAGAACCGCTGGGAGAGACGTGCGGCCTTGACACCCGAGGCGGTCGAAAATCTGATCAAGGAGACTGGTATTAAGGTCTATGTCCAGCCCAGCACAAAGCGCATCTTTTCCGACGACAAGTACCGTGCTGCTGGCGCCATTATCCAAGAGGACCTCTCTGTAGCAGATATCATCTTGGGTATCAAGGAGGTTCCCGTCAAGGATCTGATCCCTGGAAAGACATATGTCTACTTTTCGCACACCCATAAGGGTCAGAAGTATAACATGCCCATGTTGCAGGATGTTCTTGACAAGGTGTGTGCCCCTTCTTTTTTTTGTTTGCCGCATTTAATTATTCCGGCATTGTGCTTGATCGCTTCGTACTCATCATCATTATTTTGTACAACAATCCGTGTGAACAAACAAACAGAAAATCCGCTTGATTGACTACGAGTTGATGGCAAACGAACAGAAGCAGCGTCTGGTTCTCTTTGGCAAGCATGCTGGATATGCCGGCATGATTGATGGAGTCCATGGTCTGGGTCAGAGGTTGCTCGGTCTCGGCTTTAGCAGCCCTTTCTTGGTATGTATATCATCGCCTGTGATCATTGGCAATGGCTATACCATGAATCTGTGATGGTTATTAGCCCGTTTTTTTTAACATTCCTTTCCTTTCATTCTCTTGAACGAAAAACAGCATGTGGGCATGGCACACAACTACAAGACCTTGGCCTCTGCCAAGATCGCCTTGCAGTCATTGGGAAACACCATCCAGGACGAGGGCACCCCCAAAGAGTTCGGACCCATGACTTTCACGTTCACAGGAAGCGGTAACGTCTCCAAGGGTGCCCAATCCGTCTTCAAATCCCTGCCCCATGAGTTTGTCGACCCTAAGGATCTCCCCAAGATCGCTAAGAGCAAGAGTAAGTCGACCTGAAAAAAAAGTGGAATGGGTTTGTTCAGGAATCAAAACAAAAAGAGGTATGAAAGGAGGGTGAGATGGAAGAGTCGAGCTAACACCGAATACCTTTCCTTCTTCACTAGATGCTCGCTTGGATCGCATCTACGCTGCAGAGGTCAATGTCGAGGACCATATTCGCCACAAGACTCAGGGTGTGTTCACTTCGATGGACGAATACTTTGCTCACCCCGAGTTGTTCACTTCGACCTTCCACAAGGACATTGCCCCTTACTCGTCCATGGTCATTAACGGAGCCTACTGGGATAAGCGCTACCCTCGCTTGATGACCACCGACCAGCTGAAGACCATCCAGAGCGACCCCTCCAACCAGTTCAGAATGCTCAGCATTGCCGACATCTCCTGTGACATTGGCGTATGTTTATCTTCACTTCTCCCCCTTTTACTGTCACATTGCTTTATTACAAAAGTTCAAAGGATACAGATACTAACGAAGACAACAATCATTCGAAAATCGAAACTTTAGGGCTCTTTCGAATTCATGTCCCACGCTACCTCCATTGAGGATCCCTTCTTCTATGTCGATGCCGTCGGCGGAAAGGAGCACAAGCACGCGGAGGAGCCTGGTGTCCAGATCATGTCGGTCGATATCCTTCCCTCCGAACTCCCCATGGAGAGCAGTCAGCACTTTAGCGACTCGCTTTACCCATTCATCAAGGAGTTGGTAAGCATCGATTCATTCTCTTCCTCGTGTCCCTTGAAAAAAACAGTACGTGTTTGTAAAATGATCATTGACCTAATGGCCGATTTCATCCCTTTGTGAATAGATCCGTGATAACCACGGCCACCCTGTCCTTGCTGGAGCCACCATTGCTGAGAACGGATCTCTCAAGCCCTCTCACGAGAACTTGACCAAGGTCTTGCAGGAGACTCACGCCAAGGAGAATCTGGCCAAGCTCAAGTCCGCCCTTGGCGCCAAGGGTGACAGCACTACTTTTGGCACAAAGCGCAAGAACGTTCTCTTGTGTGGATCTGGATTTGTCGCAGGACCCTTGGTCGACTACCTCCTCAGAGACCCCAACGTCAACATCACGATTGCCAGTAACTCTCAGGCTGAGGCGACTTCGCTTGCTTTAGGCAAGGCCAACACCAAGGTCGTGCCCTTGGATGTTAAGGACAATGCCAAGATGGCGTCTTTGGTCAAGGATTCGGACATTGTTGTCAGCTTTGTCCCCGCACCCTTCCACCCCATCATTGCTGAGCACTGCATCCAGGAGAAGAAGAACATGGTCACCGCTAGTTACATCAGCCCAGCAATGAAGGCCCTTGACGAGCGGGCACAACGCGCCGGTATTACCATCATGAACGAGATTGGATTGGACCCTGGTATCGACCACTTGTCTGCCATGAAGATGATTGACGAGGTCAAGGCCGAGGGCGGCAAGGTCACGTCCTTTGTCTCTTGGTGCGGAGGTCTCCCTGCTCCCGAGGCGTCGAATGTTCCTCTGAGCTACAAATTCAGCTGGTCCCCTCGCGGTGTTCTGACTGCTGGCTTGAACGATGCCAAGTTCAGGATGCACAATGGCTTCCATGACATTCAGGGCAAAGATCTGATGAAGAAGCACTTCCCCGATGTCCCCATCTACCCCGGCTTTGCTCTTGAGGGTGTTGCCAACCGTGATTCTCTCAGTTATGCTGACACCTATGGCTTGGGCCCCGTCGAGAAGCTCGATACCATGTTCCGTGGAACCCTTCGTTACAAGGTACCCCTCCATTTCCTGTTTACACTTTGCTTTGGATCGTGGATGTTACGTTGGCAATGACATTAACGAGTGATATCTACCTGCTGTTGTTGATGATAGGGATATGCCGATCTCATGTACTCGTTCAACAAGCTGGGACTCTTGAACGCCGAGAACAGCCAGCAGAACTTTAGCAGCTGGGTAAGTTATCCTACACGCGACATGTATGCGCGTTCTACAGTACGTGGCATGATACTGACAGGCAGAAATTCTAACCTTTTCTCTCATGCTTTTCCGTATCCCCTTGTAGCCCGAGTTTATGGATAGCCTGTTGTTTGGCAACAACTCGAAGCATGACAATCAGTCGCGCACAGCTGCTATTGCTGATCGTTTGGATCTCCCCAAGAACCACCCCAGCGTCGGCAAGGTCGTCGATGCCCTCCAGTGGCTCACTTTAATGCCCTCTGCCAATGCCCACAACGGAGCACCTTTCACTGCCCAAAACTCGACTACGAGCCTCGACAGCTTCTGCAACTTGTTGATGAACAAGCTCAAGTACAACCCCCACGAGCGCGATATGGTCATTTTGCACCACGAGTTTGGCGTGCAGCTCAAGGACGGTACGGATCAGACGAGGACATCTACCTTGGTCTCGTACGGTACCTTTGAGACCTACACGGCGATGGCCAAGACCGTCGGTTTGCCTGCGGCCATGGCGGCGGAGATGCTGTTGAAGGGTGAGATCCCTGAGAAGGGAGTCTTGGCGCCTACGATGCCCCATGTCTACAACACTATCCTTGAGAAGCTCGACCGTGAGGGTGTCTCTGTGTTGGAGCAGATTGTTCAGAAGGGCATGCGTCCCATGTTGAAGTGGGGCGGCAGTGGTGTCTTCAAGTAGATACTGTTTTAGATAGATTTTTGTATTTTTCCTTTTCATTCATAGATTGTTCATAAACTGTTCCTTTTACTTTGCAGCATATCTTTCTCCTGCCCCACATGCATGCCGGTGTCCCTGCTTAGCTTGCCAGCAGCCAGTGAAATCTTTTGCCAAGCCACGGATTGCGCTCTTTTGGGCTGTCAGTTGTGTCGAGACAGCCTTCTCCGCTCTCACTCACGCACCCTCACACCCTCACACTCTTTCACCCACATACACCCCGCCCGTTCCTTTTTTTTCTTTCTTTTTTTTCTTTCTGTCGAACACACTCACCTCCCACTCATTCACCCTCACACACACACACACAGACACTGACTCACTTGCTGAACCCTCCTTCTCAACTCGACACATCGCCTTCTCTTCCCCCCTTTTTTATAACCTCCCGAAGAAAACAGTTCATCCACGATGGTTATGGCAGTAAGCACATCTCTCTTTTCAGTTCACATGCAGAAAGCGAGAAGAGCAAAAGGCGTCACTGTCGGCACTCACTTTTTTCAATCAGATGGAATTAGCCAACATACCCATTGACCCCTCCGCCTTGTAATACTCTTTTACTTCACTTTAGAGTCTGTTCGGCCTTTCGGCGCCAATTGATATCGAAATCCGTTACAACGGACAGGAGCAGCGGAAGCAAATCGAGGCCAAAGTCGATAAGGACAGGAGAGAAAAGTTTCCTCTCTACTTTGACGGTGAGACCGTTGCTGGCAAGGTATGCTCTTTTTTTTTTTATTATTTGTTTGCTATGCTTTATTCTTTTCTCTTGTTTCTTTTATGTGAAGGAAAGGGGCGTTGGGGGAATATGTCAATTGAAGTTGCAGGAAAAAAAAGGAAAATCGGGAGATGGTCCCGGTTACTTGGTTGTTATCTTCTTCTACTTTTATGTGTGTGTATGGTTTGGCTTCCTGCATTGCCACGTTTTCATGAATTTTTCTGTATTTGCTAATTGTGTTGATAAGAGTACGATACCCTTTCGTTTCTTTCTATGTCTTGGCAAGAAAGGAGAGGATGAGGATGGGTGGGAAAAGAAAGAGCAGAGACGATCGAAAGAGTGCGCCAGTCACACATAACCAATTGCCCATGGCCTCTTGCAACTTCTTACGGGTCTCTTGTTCTCATACTAACGATGTAGTTTGTACTTATTACGGTGATTGCTAGATCAACATCCGAGTCAAGGACGGGAAGAAGGTGGAGCACAATGGCATTAAAGTGGAGTTTGTCGGAAGCATAGGTATAGTCTGGGCTCTAGTACAGCGTCACTACATGGAAACAACGATTTGGACAGCCCGACTTGCAGGATATCAAAGGAAAGGGAACGAAAGCGGACTTATTGATTTTTCACTCTAACTTGTTTCTTTTAGAAATGTTTTATGACCGTGGAAACCATTACGAGTTCAGGACAATGCAGCAAGAGTTGGCAGTGCCTGGCGAACTTCGCAGCAACACCAGCTTTGACTTTGAATTCAGGAATGTGGAGAAGCAGTACGAGAGTTATCACGGAATCAACGTCAAACTGAGGTATGCAACAGCAGAGAACCCACGCGTGGATGATCATATATCCCTTTGCGTCTATTTTGATAATGAAAAAAGAGAGCAGTTTCTGGTTATTGAAGATGATGTCAGTTTACAGTGGCCAAGGTACTAATTGGAAGTGATGAAACGACCCGAGTAGATACTTTGTTCGCGTCACAATTCTGCGTCGTTTGGCGGATGTTGTCAAGGAGCAGGATATCTGGGTTCACTCGTATGTGATGCCAGCCGACGGCAACAACTCAATCAAGATGGAAGTCGGTATCGAGGATGCCCTCCACATTGAGTTTGAGTACAACAAGTCCAGGTAGGCGTCCACTTTTTGAGTATTTTTTTATTCAGGATGGACGTTCAGGGAGATCCAATTGACATAACTATCGAATACTTCTTTTCAACGATGACAGGTATCATTTGAAGGATGTGATTGTGGGCAAGATTTACTTCTTGCTGGTTCGCATCAAGATCAAGCATATGGAACTTTCGATTATCCGACGGGAAACCACAGGAGCGCCACCCAACCAGTACAACGAGAGCGAGACGATCACAAAGTTTGAGATTATGGATGGTGCACCCGTCCGTGGCGAGACCATCCCTATCCGTCTGTTCTTGGGAGGCTTTGAGCTCACCCCCACCTTCCGCGATGGTAATTATGGAGTTCCATGACGGGAGCGGATGGAGAAAAAGCGACGATCGATGCAAATGACGCGCCCGCAAACTGTTTTACATCTAACGATAATGACCTCTTTGTACCAATAGTTAACATGAAGTTCTCTGCGCGGTACTACTTGAACTTGGTTCTTGTGGATGAGGAGAACCGTCGGTACTTTAAGCAGCAGGAAATCACCATCTTCCGTCGCCAAGGTAACACTTTACTTTTATTGAACACATTCCGCATATCGGTCCAACTTGAGTTATTTTATGTATGTCTGAGAGCCTGAATGTGCGCTGACAGATCAATTGGACTTGTTTTCTATTCTCTATGATAGTCGATGATGAGGTTACGAACGACAACCCATTGCAGATCCAGCACAACGAGCCTTTGTAAAAAACAGGAGCGAGAAACGCCAAAACCACACCAAGATTACCCCCTTACCAATTGCGACCTGCAGACTGATGTGCAAGTGTTCTGCCCTCTTCTTCCTCCTTTATGCAGTGAAAAATAAAAAATAAAATGCATTTCATATCACAACACTGGGCGCGTCCTGTGGAGATATCTTTATTTGCCCATGAGGCTATGTCTTTTCAGGTTTAAATAAACGACGTAGCCTCCTCCTTCATTGACTTCTCTCGTTCCTTCTTCCTCTCCTGTCCTTGCTATTACTCGATAAGCCAAGCCACTTCTGGCAATCTTATCATTAATCAATAAATCCTTATCACTGCCTTCACATAATGCTTATCCTCGCCGGGCCGGACACATAAAAGCAAAAAGTCTGGTTGAAGACGGGGTGGAGACCTTTGGCTTGCTTGGATCGTTGTTTGTACTTTGTAGGACTTTTTCCTGCCAGAGTTCGATAAATGGGGTCGAATTTTACGATTTGTTGAGTTTGAAGTAGAGCTGGTCTTTGCGGAGGGAAGCCGCGATGGAAGGGGTTTCCGAATTTGCTTGTGCAGAGGAGAGGGAGCAGGAGGAGGCATAGAGGCAGTTGGAGGCGTTGTATTCATTGGCGAGGGTCGGCGCGGCGGCGGCCAGGAGCATGACTGTGATGGTAATGAACTCCATATTGAATCGGCAAAGAAGAGCGTTAAGCGGATGGGCTGGGGAGTGAGAAGAGAGGAACAAGAAAAAACGCTTTTTGCGTTGGTCGTTGAGAAGGAGAATTAGTGGCGTTTGGATACATTTCTTTCCCGATATCTGATTTCTATAGAATGTACCATTCCCGTCGTGTTTATGGCAAACGCGTCTACGGTCGCATTCCTCGTTATGCTATGGATGTGATGAACCAGCGGTGGCTGCATGAGTCAATTGTCTCTCATAGATCTTCGTTCAAGACCATCGACAACCCACATCTATAAGACGCCGAGAAAAAAAATCCAGCTTAGCCTGGAATCGGATCCACCCTTGAAATAGATCATCTGCCATGGTACTCTACAATCATTGCCATGGCTAGCAACCTTATACGTGTGTTTTATGCTGATCGCATTGATCCTCGAAGGTAAGCTTGATCATGGCCCCATTTCTCGGAGATGACATCAAAGTCCGATCGAAAAGGTATAAAAGACTCGTTCTCTACTTCTCTTGTCAACATCATCTTCCTTATCTTCTCTTCCTCTCCTTCAAACACCAAGCAAGTACACACTCACATCCACCCTTCCCACACAAAACACTTCACTCCAACCATGAAGTTCACAACACTCGTCGCCGCCCTCCTGGCCCCCATCGCCGTCCTGGCCTCTGCCGCCGTCGAGATAACTCACCCCGAAGCCAATGTCAACGCCGAAGGACTCATCAACATCTTTGCCACCAAGAAAGGCCAGCTCTACGTCAAGCTGAACCGTGCGAACAACCTCCGGAACAAGGACTGGTTCAGCAGGTCGGACCCCTATATCGAGATGTGGCTCGATAAGTCTTACAAGCAGCGGTCCAAGGACACCAAGGGTCAGAGCCCTGTCTTTGACGAGACCTTTTGCTTTTACCTCCGTCCAGGCCAGAACAAGTTGAATGTCCGTGCGGTCGATAAGGATACGTTCAGGGATGACAAGATTGGAGAGGCGACAATTTCTTTGGATAATGTTATCAACACGGGCAATTCTCCTGCTCAGGACTACAACCTTCCCAAGTGGCTCGGCCTTCGTAGCGATGGCTCGGTGGTATGGTTTATGCTGCGTTGTTTGCTTCCGCATTGGTCATGTGTGTTGACGCGTTTTGTTCTTTACTAATTTTCTCTTTTATCCTTCCATTTTTTTTTTTCTTCTCGTACATAGAACATGCAAATGCAGTTCGTCGAGGACAATTCTCCTTAAATGGTCACTTTCATGGGCCTTGTTGCCGCGTTATTATTATTTCCCTTTCATACAGCATCCATAATGTAATAAACAAAAGAAACAACTACATTCTATTGCCGTCGTATTATTTTTAATGCCAAAGACGCGATCGGTGTCGCACCAACTATCAAACCCGCCCGTGACTGTTTCTCCTCGGACATTTCTTTGACTCGCAAAAATTCAACGAATACGGAAAGAACAGGGTTTCCTACATCTTTACCCTTGCCCTGATCAACTCTCGACCTTTCAGCATGCGCTCATTCGCCACCATAACAACTGCATGGCGAAGGCAAGCTACAAGAGCAGCCTCGTGTCGATCGACCTTTTCTGTGAGATTCAACTCTTCTGTCACACCTCGCCATGTCAACAATACCAACCCAGTTCAGGAACTTCAGCAGCGAGGACTCGTTGCTGCCATGACCAGGTACACTTGAGAAGCCTTTTCTCGGAGAGAGGAGGAACAGTACCTAGGGAATCGAGCTAATGGTAGAATACCGTAAGAGTAAGAACGTATGCTGACTTGTGTATCCTCCTGTTGGATCAAATGGTTGATAGTCCTGATCTGATGGATCACGTCGACGCAGGCCCAACGGCGATTTACTGTGGAGTCGATCCAACAGCCAGCAGTCTGCATCTGGGCAATTTGGTGACCTTGCTCGGTCTGCTCCACTTTCACATCAAAGGACATACCACCATTGGCTTGGTAAGTATTCACACCAACAAGTCGATCCGCCCTACGAATAAAGCGACACATATGCTGATAATTTCTCACATACGTTTTTCTTTCATAGGTTGGTGGCGCAACAGGATCGATTGGAGACCCTTCAGGAAAGAGCACAGAACGTCAACCAATGTCAGCAGCAACATTAGCCCATAATGTGGCCGGGATCGACGCACAGTTTCATCAGTTCTTCAAGCGCGGACGAAACTATGCCCAGAAAAGGGGTTATGAGGTTGAAGGCCATGGAGGGAAAGTCAAGGTTGTGAATAACAAGACTTGGTTCGGAAAGTTGTCGGCCCTTGACTTTTTGGGAGATGTTGGGCGCTATGCTCGTGTCGGCACCATGATTGCAAGAGACAGGTACGGGAATTGAAACTGCGTGTTGTGAAGAGATAAGCAGCCAAGTTCTTTCGGAGATGTGGTGCCATGATGACTCACGCGTCTCAAATGTCGTGTATTTCGATTGCTAGTGTAAAGTCGAGGCTGGAGAGTCCACAGGGAATCAGCTTCACGGAGTTTTCGTACCAGTTGCTGCAGGCGTATGACTTTTGGCACCTCTACCACAAAGATGGCTGCCGCATTCAGGTATGGACAAGTCGCCAGGATACCGCTTCGACAATACTGTCTGTCTACACTTTGGTTCAGTTTCTAACCTCAAGTGTTTTTTTTTTTACCTCAAATGTCATATGTAGCTAGGAGGAAGCGATCAATGGGGCAACATTACAGCAGGAATTGACCTAATCCACAAAAAGAAAATGACGAACGAGGAACAGGTCATTATCAACAGTGGCGCGGATGAAAAGGCCATGGCCGCCTATGGACTCACCATACCTCTGCTTACTACCTCGACGGGCGAAAAGTTTGGAAAGAGCGCAGGAAATGCTGTCTGGTTGGATGAAAAGATGACCAGTCTGTTTGACTTTTACCAGGTATTTAGACTTGGAGTAGTTTCGTTTCTTTCAGCAGCATCAGCTCGCACGGGATATGGGATTTCGTTGGCGCCTAGTGTCACGTTCGTTTTTCGACTGACATCTCGATAATCTAATCTTCCTTGTCTGATAGTTCTTTGTTAAGACGGCGGATGCTGATGTCGGAAGATACCTGCACTATTTTACATTGCTGACATCAGAGCAGATCCAGGATGTTATGACCCAGCATAATGTAAGACCTTCTGGGCCATTTCTTTATGCACAACCTGTAGAAAATGTTACTGGCACGCCAGCTGTACATTTGGTATACAAGTTACTGGCACGCCAGCTGTACATTTGGTATACATCCTATCTCGGCGGCGTAAACTGACGTATTCGAGGTTGCCATTGTCAAACTTGAAAATAGGTGGAACCTGAAAAGCGCGTTGCCCAGCATGCATTGGCAAAAGAAACAACAGAGCTTGTTCATGGAGGTAAACAAAACTTCAATGATTAGCAAAAAGAATGTGTGCCTGAGAAGATCAAAAATTGCAGCCCCAGTTTCTTGTTTCACACCCATATTATCCGTGCTAATTTTTTATGTTTATTTATTTTTATTTATTTTGCCTGGTACACCCCTTTTGATACAACGCCCAAAAAAATCTTAATAGTCGACGCGGTGTCAAAGGCATTGCTCGCAACCCACGTCTTGTTTGGCGCCTCTCTAGATAATGTCAAGGGCAAGGAGTTAATCGACGCCTTTGAGCATGATTCGAGAATGGTTAGTCTTACGAGGGATCAGGTTGCCGAGATGAGTCTGGACCGGATCGCTGTCGAGTCTGGACTCTGCTCTTCAAAGTGTAAGTGCTTCTGAGACTCGTTTCTACCAGCATCAATTGAAAGTTGACGAATGGGCGTTAGGAATGGTTGAGCTATGGGACTCAGTTTCTGCATTGTTTCTGTCCAATGTACCAACATTTCTATTTCTTGCTTTGCTTATATAATTAGCCGAAGCGAAAAAGTTGGTCAAGTCCGGGGGATTCTACATCAACAATGTCAAGGTATCGGACGCCGCGTACCGTATTGGCCACAAGGACTGGATCGATGGCGCTGTTTGCGTGTTGAGGTCTGGAAAGAGCAACTACAAACTTGTCAGAGCCGCACCCTAGTTCTTCACGACGCGTAATAGACGCATTCTTTTTTTCGCATTCACTCTGTGTCTCAAGATTTCAACATGTACATTCAGAGAAAAGACTAGGCAAGGCAAATTGACTATCAGCTACGAGTCCTCAAGCCTCGATAAGCTCGTTCAAGGGCCAAACTCTGGACAGGACAGCCATAGGCCATCCTTCATCCTTGGCGGACTCCTTGCCATTGGCCTCAACAACAACCCATTCGACATTGTCAACAGACTTGTCCTTGATCATTCCCAGTCCCAAGTACCGACTTTCAACCTCATGAAACTCCTTCTGGCTGATGGTGCCTTCTTCTGCATCGCGGATGAGTCTGGAGCGTTCAATGAATCGGGCGAGATTCTTGAGTCCTGTTTTGGCGGCTTCGAGGATGGAGAAGACTTGATGGACGTGGACTTGGTCCATGTAGGTCTCGAGTCTGACTAGTCTTCCGCGGTTTTCTTTTCCAAGGCGGTGGGCGTACAGGCGGTTGTCGTCGTACAAGCGGTCATGTGTGCCCGTTTGCTGTTGTTGCATTGTTGCATTTGGGGTGTGACGAGAGGGCGCCAACATGTCAGGATGTGAGAATGATGGAAAAAAAAAAGTACAAGTAAACAGAATCACGCATGTGTGGAAAACTTACGATGAGGGTGTTGGTCAGTCCTGAGAGATCGGCGCGGTGGACAGGCGAGACAAGAGGGTGTTGGGCTAGACTGGCGTACCACAGCCAAGCGCGTTCCTCTCCAAGGGCATTTCTGGCATTGGCGTTGGTGGAGACATCGCCACAGACATAGTTGCGAGCCAGGTTGAGGGCTTTGAAGTCTGTAAAGGTCTTTTTGTCGAAGGGATGTGATCCAATGGGTCCTGGGCAATAGCAGTACCAGTCGTTGTTGTTGGCTGCTGGCAGGGAGGATGTTGGATCTGCCCATACCTATTTGACGAGGATGCATTTGGAAAGAACGGTTTGTAAGTGGAATTTTTCATACAGCGTCTCTTCTTTTCTGAAGGACATGGTGGGGAAGCATGTTACTTACCGAGAGGAGAAGGGTGGCATGGGGCATGATGTACTTGGGCGACGTGGATGGTTGAACATATTTAGCAAGGTAGATCATGAACGCGGCAGCCAAGTTGGCACCAGCAGAGTCACCACCAACCACAACATCTCGAGGGTCGACAGGCAAATGCTGAGCTTCGGACTTGTTGTTCAAAATCAAGGCCTCATGCTTGGGCTTGACCAGATACAAGTACGCCGCAAAGGCATCATGAATCGCAGCCGGGAACGGATGTTCAGGACCCATGCGGTAGTCAAGAGAAAAGATCCTTGTGCCCGGACCAATCTCTTTGGCTAGGCGGGCCAAGTAGTCGCGGTGAGACTTTGGCGACAGGAAGCCGTGTCCGCCACCGTGGAAGTAGAGGACAACGGTGGAGCTGCGTGGACGAGGATTGTTTGCGTGATGAAGAGCTTCAATCCACTCGCCCTTCAAGCTATAGACCCCTCCTTCGTTCAGCCGTCCGACTTCCTCGGGCATGTTTGAGATTTGGGCGTGACGGCCTTGGATAGGGTAGTGCATCGAACGAAGGTACTCTTTGCTGGGGTTCATGATATCGACCGAGACCCCACGTCGGGTAAGCTCCTCACGAACGTGGGTAAGAGTGGCACGTTCTGGACGGGTAAGAGCCTCAAGTCTGACCTGGAACTGGACATTCTTCAGGACCTTGACATGCCTCACAAAAATCATCTGAAGCGGCAAAAAGCCCTCCAGGAAATGACCTACAAATCGCAGATGTCCAATAGTCCTCAACTCGACACCCACTCCACGGATCAAGGCAATGACAATCGTCCACCACCAGGGCCAACCGAGAGGATGATGCTTGGACGAGTACTGGAACCGTGTGGCGATGAGGAAGGGTAGTTCGACACAGTGAAGCCGCACCATAGAATAGATGGTGCGCCAAGCCAAGCGGGCGAGGAAGGCGATATCCTTGGGCTTGTGGAGGATGCCGTTGAGGTATGCCCTTTGGAGGAGGGATGGTGCTGGGAAATGGTCTTGGTGCTGCTTAAGTGACAGGATATATTGGTCTCCTTGTTGTTGTAGCAGTTGCTGTTGTGGAGAAAGAGCGTTCGTGTGACCTGCTTCTGAATTGGCGCCTGCGGTTGGGTTCTCCACAAGTATGCCCGTGGGAGAGTAGAGAGTTGTGGGTGTAAAAGCCATACTTTTTTTTTGGAACAAGGAAATAGTGGTGAAGGAGGGAAGGCGGAGGAGGATGAAGAAGTAAAGGAAAGGAAGAAGAAGGATGCCTGAAAAAATAAAGCCGTGAACGCGAGAGATGGTTGTTCTGAAGATGAAATAGAGAGAGTGTGTGTGCGGGGCGAGTGCACACAAGTAGGAGCGTGAGTACAAGTAGAAGTGAAAGAGTGAACAGAAGGCAAATTGGACACAAACAACAACAACAACAACTTCAGCTCCCTCGGCTGGCAAAGTGAGGGGTGAAAGAAAAAAAAATGGGGACACGAGTACGTCAACTATTGCTTCTGTTGAAGCTCCTTATTCGCCGTTGGTACGAAATCGACAAGTTCAAGGGGCTGGAGGCATATGCCAATGGCCGTCCAAAAACAGTCAACAGCCATTTTGTGCGACCCAACGTTGTCAATGCATGTTTACCCACAAAAGGGGTGTGCAGTGGACTCTATTTCTACTGCGTTGGATCCATCCATGTGGTAGACTGGCGATTATCGTTTTTTTTTTTTTTTTTTTTTTTTTTTGGGAAACGGTAAGGGATGGCGCGAGAAAAAGTATACGGTTTGTCTACTCATGAACCTTAGGCGTTACCTTCGCAAAAAGTACCTTGAACGATGAAAAGGAAAACAAAGCATAGGTGATGCACGGTGTCGGATTTCATGTGCTTTTTTTTCGTCAGGCGTGAAAGAAGAATACAGTGTCGGTCCTCGGCGGCCTACTCGCGATCCTTTTTTGCCCTTTTTTGAACCTTACTCGAGCACGAAAAGCCTGCAAAGATGTTTTTTAGGCTGCTACTCCCCTCTTCGGATGCCTTGCATGATATGTCCAGGCTGAAGGCGAACCGACCATTTTTTGTTGATGCTGGGCAAGTCTAATGCACGTGACTGGTAAGTAGAGGCAAGAAGGCCAAGAATCGCGAGATGATCGCCTTCACATCGAACAACGACACCAACGACGACAAACGAACGCTCGAAACACGCAAGCACACACACAAGCACACACACTCACCCAACAAGAACAAAAGACACCAACCAACAAATATGTCATCTGTCGAGGAATCTCTTTTCATCTCTCAGTTCTTGGCCGCCTACGGAAGCCAAGAGACAAAGTTCCCTTCAACCTATGTCCCATCAGGACTTGCACCTAGCTGGACCTCCAAGGTACGAAAAAGGGAAGCAAGGTGAAGACACATACATCAAGTCCACTTCAGGAACAACGAGAGAGGAGCAAATGAGGAAGGGGATGGTTACTTGCTGATGGCAGAAGTGATGTCCACTGTCAGCACACTTGACGCAAACAAAGTTAAGGAGACTGACTGCGATCTACCTTTTCATTTTGCCAATAGCGTGCTGTGTTCGAGAGACCTGCCAAGCCCGTCAAGGGAGATGTCATTGAAGGAGGTAATATGATCGTTTTATTTTATTTTATCCTTTCTTGCATGCAATTCTCGAAGGAACCACATCTAACATGGATGCCATAAGCACATCTATCTCTTCGCGTGTTAATATTAATTATCTGGCTATTTTCAATCTTGCTCATCGACAATGTAGACATTGAAGTGACTATCAAGGCGCTCAAATCAGGAGAGTGGACTGTGACCGTGGCAGCTCAGGGAACCATTGCCAACCTCAAGGAGGCCTTGCAGGCCAAGGCAGGCATTGATGCGGGAGCACAGAGATTGGTCCTCAAGGGCAAGGCCCTGGTTGACAACAAGCATTTGAGCGAGTATGGCATCACCACAGGATCGGTCGTCCACTTGTTCGCTAAGGCAGGTGCCACACTCACACCCACTGCCACCACTCCCCCTGCATCGGCCTCGTCCGCTTCCACCCCAGTCTCAGAGTCAACAATTGCAGCAGGAGTGGCAGGAGCAGCCGCGGCAGCAAAGGTACCACAGAGCACGAAACCTGCGGTGACTTCGTATCGTGGTTTGTCTGAGGCGGGCACGGAGATTGTCAAGGATGCAGAGTTTTGGTATTGGCTCAATGAGCAGTTGAAGGAGCGATTGGGGTCGAAGGAAGACGCGTCGATTATGATCAAGGGCTTTATTGGCCAGTATCGTGACTTGATTGGAAATGCAGGCACGAAGGATATCGAGAACGAGATCAAGAAGTAGTTCAGGAGACGGTACAGGAAAGAGTAGATTATCGTAGGTTTTTTGTGTCTTTTTTGTACACAGCCGACAAAAAAGATAAAATACTGCGATCGTCGCCGCTCACTTTATTTGATGTTTTTAATGCTCATTGTCCACCTGCCAAAAGCAGCCAATGAAAATGCAAGAGCAAGATTCTCGGGAAAGTGGAATATCTTTGTTCAGGACCTGGCACGAGTAGAGAAAGGGCCCTATTCCAGTCTTCCAGAAGACCAAAAGCACAAATTAAACAACACAAAACCAGGTGCTTTTATTTCATCAGCCGTCGCATTTACTTTTTTGCATCTTGGCATTTGTCAATAAAGGGATCGATTGTCAAGTCCGGACCAGAAAAAGGAGCGAAGAAAGAGTAAACAAACCAGAAAGATAGCAGATGCTTGTATATCTCAATGACGCCCCTTCGTTTCTCAAATCTTTCATTCCGTCCCAGCGTCGGGGAGCATCTCCTCCCAGGGACTGACTTTTCTTTTCAATTTTTCTCTCGTTTCTATTGAACAATTAAAAACGAGGAAAGCCCATTTCCTTCATTGATAATCTGGGGCGCCGCTACCGACCAGCTGAGCGCCAATTTGTTGTTGCAAAAAACTCTCCGTAAGGAACGAGAATCAATTAATAGGTGATCAAATGACGGATGATGAATCCAGAGGGGTTCGTTGCCGTGGATCCGAGACATTTTTCTGCAGGGACCGAGCACACTGTTTATCACTTTTTTTGTAGTTGTCTTTCTAACCAACACGTTCAGGTTGATGGACTTACAGGGGAGCAATTGATTCTGAAGAGAGGGCCAGTGTTCGAGAGAAGACGACATCGGAGTATGTCTGAGCAAAACGGGATCGAAAGGCGATGAACTGTATGGGTGTGTGTTTAGTGAAGAGAAGGAAAAAGGAAGTTGAGTGAGTGTAAACAGGGTAGGTCGACAGGAAAAGGAAAGAGGATTAAACCTTGTGGATCAAGTTTGTCCAGATCAAGAGTCGAGATGTCCAATTTGCGACGTTTTGACATGCCGCTCATGTTGATGTGTTAATAATTTTATTGGTTTTTTTGTCCACCAGGACAAATGTGCTCCCGTAACTCTGTTCCCCTATTCTCGTTAGTCCAACTGTGGGGAGGGGTTGTGTGTGTGTGTCTCTGTGTGTATTGGAACGAAAGGGCAAAACAACTCAAAGCAAGAGACACAATTGAAAACCAAACTGCGCATCTTGGTGTTTAAAAAAAGGAACAACTAGAGATAGTGTGTGTCTTTACGCCTTTTGTTGTCGTTGTTGGTGTCATTTGCAACGACGAAGAAAAACTATGCATTGAGGTGCAGCCTTTGTTCAAGTCAGGTCAGGAGAGGAGAGGAGAGGAGAAGGAAGGAAAAGGACGAGCCACAAAAGCGACGTACTCAATTGCAGCATACATTCAATGGCCCGTTTAAGCAACTGCATGTATGTAAAGGTGATACCCCCTGTTTGCATATAAATATTGAGGTCAGTTGAACGGTTCAAGGACCACCTTCATTTTTTTCAATCAATCAGTGTTCTTCTCGAAAGTGGGCTCCTGAGACTCATTCAAGACTCTCTTTATCATCATCATCATCAGCTTTAGTTGCCTTTGTCCTTTGTCCTTGTCTTTCTTCCCTTCCCTCCATTTGCATCTTTGTTCCTTCACACCTCTGCCCTCGCTTGTTTACTTCATCTATCAAGTTTTTTCCTTTTCCTCCCTCTCTCTCCTTCTCCTCCTTCTCTCCATTCCCCTCACACCCTCACACCCTCACACCCTCCCTCCTTTCCTTCTTCTTTCCGTCCACGCTTATCATTTTTAAACTTGTCTGTACACATGCACTTAAACCTATCACATCCACATCCACCACGCAGTTGACACACAGCTCCATACAACTCGCCCCTTCTCTCTTTTCTTGGCTTTCTACGGGTAATTGATCTCGCTTCCCTCTTATTTCCTCTTTCGTACTCATCAACCCATCCCCTCTCCTTCTTCTACTTCTTCTTCTTCTTCCTCATTTCACTAATGAACAAAGACTGAATGAACACCATCCAATTCACACCCTCTCACTCACACGCACTGCCCATCGACAACTGCCCTTTTCCTTGTCTTCAGTTTTGTTTGCAGCTTGCACCCACCAGTGCTCAATCACCATTCCTCCCAAAACCAAAGGAAGTGAAAAAAAATAACGTTTAGAAGGATTCCTCGAGTTCCTTTTCTTATTGGCCTGCAGCCTTTTCTTTTTCCTCTTTGTTCCTCTTCTTTTCTTTCTTTGGGTCTGTTCTGTCCATCCCACCCCAGTCCGTTCTCTCCTTCTCACTTCATCTTCATCGTCATCCTTTTTCTTCCCTTTTTCTTCTTTTCTCTTCTCTTCTTGTCTTCTAATCTCCTGCTCCTCTTCATTCATCAGCTCACCTCTCACTCTTTGCTCCTCTCCTTGTCTTGACTTTCCCTTCCTTCCTTTCTTCTTTTCTCACTCACGCAACGCCTCACTCGCCCCTATACGTCCATTATCTTCCCAATTCGTCTCCGCTCTCAACTTTTCTCACTCACTCACTCACTCACTCACTCACTCACTCACTCACTCACTCACTCACTCACTCTCGCTCGCTCGCTGACATTATCATCCTCCGTTCAGTCACAGCGCAACAGCAACATCGGCGACAACAAAAAATACAAGTAGATAGATATATTGTGAGCAGAAGCACAGCCATCCACTATGTCTAAAGACGAACACAAGGAGCGCCAGCGGGTCACCAAAGGTATCTACCCCGACTTCATATATGCGACTCCCCCGCCACTCGCATCATTACCTCAGTCGAAACACAACAACGAGAACCGTACGAGGGAGGAGAACTTGCTTTCTAATCAACATTTTCTCATTGCTCATCCCTGACTCCTTCCCCTTACCCACTGTTCTGTCCCAAAACTCCATCCTACATAGCCTGCGATAACTGTAGAAAGTAAGTCGTATTACCTCTTCTTCACATTTTGCATGCAGGCGACCCACCTGTTTACTGTATCTGACACCGCAAGATGACCATTGGTTCTAAAAACAAAAAAATAATAATCCGGAAGCTAACCTATCCCTCCTTCGCTTCCTTTTTTTTCATTTACCACCCTGTATTCTCATCCAGAAAAAAAATCAAGTGCGGTATGTCGTCGATTGGGGTGCAATTACAGCATCGCATGGCAGCAACAGTTTTGCCTACAACTGCAGCAACAACGAGTGGACTTTTAATAGATTGACCTTTGACCATTGACCCTTTTTTAGATGCAAAGGCCGATATGTGCTCTAGCTGCGAGCTGCTTCAGATTCCTTGTAAGTGGTTGTGTTTATCTATTGTATTGTATTGTATGTATCCAGTGCAGTCTTAAAAAGACACGCTTGTATCGCTTGTTCTTCATGCCTCTAACATCAGCGTGCCAATTGCTTCTCTTTAGGCCTGTATCTCGATCCTACCAAGAAACGTGGCCCACCCAAAGGCGCTGGACGTAGGTCTCACTTCAAGACACAGGAAACCTCGTTGGAAGACAAAGCGTGCGAAAGGCCTGCTCACCCATTGCTCTTTTATTTTTTGTTTCTTCGCTTCTTTAGGCCATATCAATGCCATCGAGGATCGTCTACACCGTATGGAGTCAATAGTTGGCGGTTTTGGAGAAGGAGAGCCAGCTGGCGGCTCGGGCGATGAAAACGGATCCAATCCTCCTTCAAGTTTATCTTCGACGAGCTCAAAACCACGGCGGCGGAAATCTACAAAGGGCAAGCAGAGTTCAGCACAGGAGGACGAATCGATGCAGGCGAACAGTGAACAGTCTCTCCAAAATATGCATCAAGTCCAAATGGAGCACCAGCATCGCCCTCCACCTTTGCAGGACCTCTCGCTGGAGCATCGACAGCAGCAGCTCCAATCTCACTTTCAGGCAGATAACCCGTTTCAGCCCCGCCAGGTCGTACAATCTCAGCATCCTTCTCACCTTGACTTGCAGCTGGACTCGAGTCAAAGTCCCGAAACAATGTCTCAGACTCACACCGATGATATGCTGGACCCCAACCTCGCCGTCCCTCTTCACCAGGACCTGCTGAGGGACAGCGCCTTCCCGGCATTTGGAACCCCCTCCCCTGTTCTCAGCTCAAATCATTCCAACAGCGAATACCGTGAACGCTCTCCTGGACTCGACACCCTTCCGCAACTAGGAGTTCATACACCGCCGAGCCATAGCCATGACCTGGACGACCTCGAGGAGGATATGGGACACCTGACATTGGACCACAAGGGACTCGAACGTTACGTCGGCAAATCCTCGCCCATGTTCTACAACCGCCGACACTGGGGCGGACACTCAATTCGGGAACGCGAGCAGCCTGCAGCCCAAAAGTTTCTCGACAACCCCGATTTGCCTTCGCCCGAGCTTATGACCAATCTGCTCAACCTCTACTTCACCTACGTTCACCCTTTCGCGCCTGTGTTTGTCTGGTCCAAGTTCCTCAAGCGTCTTCAAACGAAGCAGTACAGTCCGTCGTTCCTGTGTTTGTTGAACAGTATCTTTGCCTTGGCAGCACGCTTTTCCGACGACCTCTCGCTCAGGACAGATCCCACCAAGCCTGAAACCGTTGGTATTCAGTTTGTGGAAAAGGCCAAGGAGATTCTGGATACAATTTACGACGCGCCAGATATGTACTGCGTGGGAGCGTTGGTCTTGCTCTCCTACCAACAGATGGGAACTGGAGGCGGATACCGTGCCTGGATGTTTATCGGTCTCTCGATCCGCATGGCTCAGCACTTGGGCTTGAACAGGGACTGTATGAAGCTCAACCCGCACATGCCAGTGCTTGACCGGGAAGAGCGCAACCGCATCTGGTGGACTTGTTTTGTCGCCGACCGCCTCGTCTCAGCAAGCTTTGGGAGGCCACAGGTACATAACTATCCATATGTAGTTTTTGCAATCGCAATTTTGGTGGCAAATTTAGCTTCCTGACCTATGGTACTAATCTTCATGTTACGTTGCCTATAGGGTATTAACGAGCACGACGTGGATGCTACATATCCCGAGGGCATTGACGAGGAAAACATACAGCTCGAGTACAGACTGGACGGTGCTACTTCGACTTTGTCTGGACCCTCTCCCCATTCTGAAAAGAATTTTGTTTACATGGCTTCGTTGACAAGGATAATGGGTCGAGTCATGGTCAGCTTGTACAGTCCTCTCTCCCGTGCAACGGCCATGTCGAGTTCATTGATGAATCCCGCACCTCTGGAACAGCTAGACAAGGAACTGACGGACTGGCTCTTGACCTTGCCGCCTCACTTGCAGTTCCGATCTGTTCAACAGGAGCCAGGCAACTTTGTCTGCACTCTTCACATGACATTCTACACGACGCTGATCTTGCTGCATCGACCATACAGTCACAAGTCAGCCTCCAGCAACCCTAACGACTCCTCGATCTCTCTTTCGATCTGCACGTCGGCTGCCAACAACTGCATCGAGATGGCCAGCAACCTGATGCGCGCAACGGACGGAAACAGGGATGTTCCTCGTTTGAAGTGCCTCCTTCACAGCGCTGTCTTCAACTTCTTCACCGCGGGACTTGTGCACATCACCAACTGCACTAGCATGGATCCAGTCCTGGCTGCTTCAGCCAAACTGCGCACGGTTGAGACCCTGCGATGCTTGTCTGTCATGGAGGATATCTGGATCAGCAGCAAGTGGTGCGGAAACAACATCAAGAACCTCTTGAAGGCGCGCAGCATTGAGCTCCCCTGCTCAGTTGAAGGTAATGCCTCGGTGTTTATCTTCTTCACTTTATTGAATAGTATGTTGTTTGGCTTTCTCATTCTAATAATGTCCTTTACGCCACTAAATTACAAACAGGCTTCAAGGTCATGGTGAGGAATGGCGCGGATACGGCGCCAGCAACGAATGGTGTCAACCCTGCACAGTTGGAACTTCTCCATAGCAATATGGTTCCAAAAGAGCAGTCGTTTGCGTTTGACGTTGATCAGATCATGGGATACTATCAAGCACCAGGCATTCGCCAAACCGAGCCCACAGGCCGCAACTCGAGGCACTTTTCGCCAACGCCGTACTTCAGCCCTGTTTCACCTCATCACGCGCAAAACCAAGTGCGGCCCCACCCTGGGTTGACTCAGGGCCATGCACCACTCCCCCGTCGACCAAGGCAGACTAAGAACACTTCGCCCACGCCAGGAAGCATCATATCATCAGGATCCATTGCTGGCACATTATCCAACAACTCCGCGACATCGATATATATACCTGGATCTTCTGTCGATGCCGTCGTACCATCGGACTCGAACTTTTTCAATTCGCCTCTCATCGATCCTTTCGCCACCCCAGGTTCTGCCTCAGTGGTCAATGGCCTGCCCACAATCTCTCCGGAAACCGGAAGCACCACCGGCGGGATCGCTTTGTACCATAACCCCTTTGCTGCAACTCTCTGGAACTCCCCGGCTTCGATGGATAACGACGAATGGATAATGTACATGCAGAATGGAGGATCGGGCAGTCAGCTGAGGAGCAACGATGGATCTAGCACGAGTCCCACTGGCGGCAACGGAGGTGGAGCTGCTATAAAGTTGGAGCACGGTCTGCCGGCCGTAGCGGAGAACAACCCATTGGGCATGAACCACAGCAATGCCAGCAACAGCAGCTTGATCCACGCCAGTCGATTGCACCCATTGGCTCAGAGCATGACTCGTAACGACCTTATGGACAGCGAGGGCGAAGTGAGTGGGAGCGACGGGGTGTCATTGATCGATCAGCACCATTCGTCACCTTCTGGAACGCTCACACCCAACGGGACGCTGATGAGCAATGGATATGCATCGCAGGGTGCGGTCCCGTCTCCAGTCTCTCAGCAACACTCATCAACAGCCCTTCAGCAACATCACCACCAACAACAACAACAACAACAACAACAACAACAACAACAGCAACGGTCGCTTCAACGCGCAGGAGCTCATCATCAACACCAACAGCAACATCAGCACCAGCTTCAACAGCCACTCCTTCCCTCGCAGTCGCCGGCCGAGTACGAGTATTTTCTGAACAATGGCAGTTCAGGAGCTGGTGCGAACCATCACCATCATCAACAGCAGCAGCAGCACCAGCAGGCCCAAGCAGCCATCGTTGGCCAATCGTGGAGTAGTTGACTTTAGTGCCTTGTACTTTAATTTTTTTTGTCAAGAAAAACGATAATGTAATTATTTTTTTGCACAAAGAAAGACGAAGCAAAAACAAAACAAAACAAAAGCTAAAAGTAATGAAGCAAATGTGTGAGGATGGCAGAATTTACAAAAGATGAATAATAATAGAAAACGTTGTGTGGCATGTATGTACTGAATTGATACGGGGGGGGGGGGGTTTGTATATACTAGTGCTTGTGTTGATCCCGGGATTTACTACCGCTTCCACACACAGGAGTATTAGTGGCGGTGGCATATGGATCGTAGAGTTCCGTAGATTTGGGTGGCCTGCGCTCCACATCGTAGACCGTGATCGGGACGTGTAACGAGTCCTCGCGGCTTTTGATAGAGTCCTGCTGTTGATGATGTTGCTCATGCTGGCGTTGATTGTGGTGGCGGGTATGAGAAGAAGCTCCTCGCACTTCCTTTCGTCCTTCGCTCCCACCACCGTGCGAGTGCCTTTTTGTAGACGAGGAAGACGATGTGGACGATGAGGAAGAGGAAGAGGTAGAGGTAGGTGCGGGAGAGTGGGGATGATCAATTGATCCGACACTCAGCTTTTGTTGCTGGTGTTGTTGTGCTTGCTGTTGTTGTCCACGTTGCTGCTGCTGTTGCTGCTGGCGAGTGTTGGGTGCGCTGCTCTGCTGACGCTGCTGATGTTGCCTTTGCTCACTATGGTTCTGCCCTTGGCCCTGCTGTCCTTGCGTTTGACCTTGACCCGGAAGATGACGATGTTGTCGTTGCTGAGTTTGTCGAGTCATCTGCTGTGGGAGTGAGATCCCTTGGCGGCAGGGTCTGTAGCCATTCGAGGAAGGGTAGGGTCGCACGGAAACTTGGAACAGTCCTGGATGTGTTGGAGGTACATCCTGAATGGGTGCTGGGTTTGACTCTATAACCATTCCGCTGACGCTGTTGGCTGGGGAGACGTTATAATGAGAAGGTTGTATCTCCGGACGGGGGATGCAGTCGAGCCAGCGTGGGTCTTGCAAGCCAGAATTGCTACCTCCAACGCTTCTGTTGTGTTGGCTGTGAGAGGAGGCATGGTGAGGAATGAAGCAGTGGGACTGGTGCGACTGTTGGTGAGGGTGAGTCTGATATTGCTGGATATAATGCGGTTGACGGTGCTGCTGGTGACCTTGATATTGATGTTGATGCTGTGCCTGCGGGTCTAACCGTGCACATACGTGCGCGTGTCCATATTGGACAGGATGCTGATGTCCAGGATGGTGCTGATGCTGATGCTGATGCGGATGCTGGTGTGGGTGTGAGTGGTGTTGGTATTGTTGTGAATAATACTGCTGGTTACATGGGATGAACAGTCGCTGTTGTTGAAGCTGCTGCTGGCGCTGTTGTTGCTGGTGCCTAGGGAGTGCAGAGGCAGTGGGGTATCCACCATGAACCGACGAAGGATGCCGCATAGAAGAGGAGCTCTGCTGAGAAGGTCCGTGGTTGTTCTGGCAAGAGCATACTGCAGGGTGGTGGTGATGATGTGGTTCTTGGGGCTGTTGACGATGGTTGTGGCATGCACATGATGCGCGTCGCGAAAGGGTGTTGTACTGAGCTCCAGTCGCGACATCGTGGCCTACTAATCCATGATCCGCTCCGCATTCACAATACGACGCGTTATTCGGCGCAACATTGCGATGACCACCACCGCCCATCATCCATGATCCGACAATATCAGTCCTGGCACTAATATCCGCCATGGTGGCCCCTGAGGACGAAGATGACGAGGAAATGGTCGAACTTGTACTGGTACGTCGAGTAACATCGCTCCTGGCCTTGTTGTGCCCATGCCCTTGACTAAGGTCCAACTTTGATAGCGAGTCGACTGTACTGGCAATTGTTCTCACTGTTGGTGATGATGTGCCCGATGTAACTGAAGGCGACCAACGGGGTTCTCCCTTCGGAGTTGACGACGCGTCTTGACACGGGTGCTCATGCTCCTCACGGTTGTTCTCCTTCTCCTCTTCATCTTTATCTCCAGTGTCAAAGATCCTCGCCCGAGCTTTCGCATACGCCGCCTCCCGCTGTTCCAAAGTGGTCCCAGTCCCCCTTCGATCATTCCCACTCCCAGTCAACTGTCCTCCTGGCTCTTGCCATGGCGAAGACTGTGTAGGTGCTGAGGATGCGACTCCAGGAATGGTAATGGCGGCCACCGTAGACCCCCGAGCTTCACAGGCACTGACTGGGCGGAGTGGGCTTCTTCTCAAGACCTTGAAGGATTTGACAGGGACATCTTCCTCCTCCACCAGTTCTTGGAATCGAAGTACTGGGCTAAAGATTATAAACAAAGCGCGAAAAATAATATCATTAGCTGAACTGAACCGCGCGACGAAAACCTCCATTGCTAATTTAAAAGCTTTAAAAGCTTAATGAATGACAACAAATAAATTAGGTCGAAAAAAACCTACATGGAGGTGTGTTCGGTCTTGGAGAGGATAATCTTCTTTTGCGCGGCGTCAACAGTACGTGCTAACCGGTAGTAGATGGCCGACCGGTGGATCATCATCCGGAAATACGAATTGAGCCATGGAAACTCCAGCACCTCCTTGCTGCAAAGTTACAACAACAACAACAACAACAACAACAGAAAAGAAAGCAATGAATAGAAAGGAGGTGTGAGTGAGTGAAAAAAGCAAAACGGCAATAAAATTAACGAAAGGATGGTCCACAAAATGAGTCATAAAGAGCCATTCAAACAATAATTTTTGTCAGTCCCCTTCCCTCTTATTTTACACAACCACCCTATCTCCTTACTTCGCAATTGGAACTTTGGAATGCAGCCAGGTGCGGGATTATTAATCCAATGTCCAATCACCCAACTGGCCACTTTTTTCCCCCCCCTCCGTTTTTGACTTCGTTCTGTGTTACCTTGGGTCCTGGATAAAGTTGCAATACTCTCGCTCCAACTTGAGCAAGAACAGTCGATCTTGTCGATTCTGAAGAGCAGTCAACAGAACTTCATCCAGAGAACCCTCAACAAATGTCGAGGAGGTAGAGGTCGAGGGTGAAGATGGTGAAGAGGAGCACGGTGGTAAGGAGGAAGATGCAGTTGGAACAGCTTGCTGTTGCTGTTGTTCAAGGGCGGCGGTGTTTTGACTGAGATGAGAATTTCGTTTGAAGGTGCGGCACACTAGTGAAATGGAGGTAGAGGAGGAAATGGAGGAGGGCTGTGCTGGAATCCCCTTTTCGTCCACTGTTGATCTTGAACGGGCTGTGTCATCGTCGACAGCAACAGCAGTCATAACATCATTTGAGGATGAAATCGACGGCAAAGAAGCAGAAACAGCGGCGTGAGGCTTATCAACCACTGCAGCTGGTCTTTTGGCTTTTGTTGTTTTCCCCGCTGTTGCTGTGTCAACTTCAGATTCCACATAACATTTCTCATCTCCCAAAGAAATTGTTGTTGCTTCTACTGCAGCATCGATCGAAACGGTTGTGGTGGTGGTCATGGTGGTCGTGGTGGTCGTGATTGCGGCGGAGCCTGAAATACCGAGAGGGAGGAACGGATAACGACAGACGGCCGTCAATTCGGATGTGACGCAGTCTTCTGATAACTCCTGTCCCTGTTCTTGTTGGTGCAGCTGGCTGTCTTGTCGTTCTTCCTGCATGCCCTCCTTGCCAGTCTGGTCGGGCTACCATAACGAACGAGGGGAGGCAGGTGGGCGGGCCCAAGGGTTATTAATAAGGAAGAAAAGGCGCTACAAGCGAAAGCAGAAGTGTATGTGTGTGAGGGTGTCATTGTTTCCCTTTTTTTTTCCTTTTTTTCTTTTTCTGGCGCAAAAAGGAAAAATATCAAAAAAAAAACACGCTAGTTCGTACTCTTTTCTCGATCCGTCGCCTCCTCCCTTCATCTCACTCTCTCCTCCCTGCCGGGTAAAGAATAACACGGTTACCGTACACACATTGAGAGAATGAGGGGGGGAGAGGGCAAGCGGTTGTGACATCAGTTGAGAAAAAAGAAGGAAGGGTGGGAAGAAGTGGTGAGATTGAAGGTTGTGGGGGGAGTCCAGGGACAGCGTTTGAGAAAGTACCTGGTCCTGCGCCCCTGCCGAATTGCTGTTGTTGTAGCCTTGTCTGTTGCGGCCGTCGTTGTTGTCGTTTTGGATAAAAGACATGAGTTGGTCGTGTGTGTGCAGAAATAAAATTGGGAGTGAAAAGGGGATGGAAAGTCGAGAGAGAAAAAAAGAACAGGACGAAGAAAGAGAGGGAAGTATTCCGTTCTCAATTGAGGAGCAACCCTTGCACGATTTGTATGACTGTGGGGTAGAAGGAAAAGTGGAAAGGATTTAAGGGTCAATTGAGTACAGCGGAAGAGCAAGAGAGCGTGAAAGTTGCGGAAAGAGCGAGGCAAGTGTCAAGTCGCGTAGTAGTCGTTGTGGGAGCAGTCTTGCTGTGGCCGTTTGCATGAGGTTGGGAATGAATGGCCGTCTTGGTTTTTGGAATGAGCAAGAGGCGCAAAAAGAGAAAAATGGGTGGAGGGTGGGGAGGTGGTGAGGTGGACCCACTATGAAAAAAGTCAATGGGAGTGGCGTCTGAAATGGAGAGGAATCCCCGTAGAGCAATTCATTCCATGAAAAAAGGGAAAGGAGAGCAGTGAACACGAGTGTCAAGAAGAACTAGGAGAGTGTCAAAGGTTCGATCAAATAGAGCTGTCGTGTGAAGTATCTGGACAAAGAAGAGAGAAGAGGAGCAATTGAATTTTCCTTTTCCGTAGGGTCCGCTCGTCCTTTTATATGTGTTCTTTTCTTGTGTCCACCCACACCACGCCGTTCCTCTTCGTCCAGTATGGGATGTCGGCCCTTGCGGGGGCATGCGATCTAAGCAAACAAGCAGTCCCTTTCATCCTGCCATTCGCCCAGTCCTCTTTCTTCTTCTGCTTTCCATTTTATTCTCCCTCTTCGCAACACTAACAAAGCGCAACGCCCAATCCAATTGCTACAGTAAGTTGCTCACAGCCTAAAACATGACAAAAAATTGGGTCCACAGGTCCGCTCGAAAGTTAATTGCTCCTGAACCCCTTTCTTGATCCCCAGCTCAAGAAAGGGTTTAATTCCTTCGCTTGTGTTCGATCGAGTTCCATCTTCCTCCCTGTGTCATGTCACGTCGTGATAGGTGAATCTGTTATCTTTTTTGTCATTCTGTTATCGTTTTTTTTTGCTGCACAGCCAACTTCCGCTGGTTCTCCATTCGAGTAGAGAGTTACCATCCCCTTAGGGAAAGGGAAAGGGCAAACCTTGCGCCACGTTTTTTGTCAACCCGACTTTTCCTTACACAATCACTCGAGCGTGATAACCTCCTGTCCCCATGTCGGATGCTATTGATCATTTCAACCACGAGAAATTGAAATACCACGCGAGAAGTTGTCTTGGATTGGATTGGATGATGATTGATAACCTTTTTTGTTTTATTTTTCTTGATCAGATGGAGATGTCAACGAAAAAAGGAACAGGGACAGTAAAGCTTCCTCAGAACAAGGTTGTAAAAAGCGTAATAAAGAAAAAAAGAATTGTGTGTGCGATGGATGAGTAAATGTGTGGAGGGATTGGAGAAGGCGCCAGCCTCCTTCCGGTATTAAAGTGTACATATTGAATAAGAATGAAAAGAAAAAGAAAAACGACAAACAGATACAATAACAATTTTGGAAGAAGAAAGCAGAAAAGCAAAAAAAATCAAATTGAGAGCAGCTTAGAATCCCATGGGGTGGTGATGGTGCTGGTGAGGGAGGGGGTGTTGGAGCTGTCCCTGGGCATGGTGATGCTGGTGGTGGTGGTGGGTTTGCTGGTATTGGTTGGGATGCTCATGAGGGTGAGGAAGCTGGTGGGGCTGGTGCTGTTGCTGATGCTGTTGATGCTGATGAGACATGGCCTGCATGGCTAGTGAGTGAGGGTGAAGATTGCTCATCACTGGGTCGCAGATCTGCAACTGGCCTCCTTGGTTGTGTTGGCTCTGGAAGGCGGCTGCCTGCTTGGCTGCTTCCTCTTCGGCCTTCTTCTGGCGTCTCCAGGCCTTACGAAGTTCCTTGAATTCTGTTCACATGATAAAATAAAAAGGAAAGAAGTGAGTAAAAAGGGACAAGGAAAATAGCAGTAGAAAATAAAACATGCCAATAAGGAAATGAAGCGAGAGAAAACTTACCAGCGGGATTGCGCTTTGGTCCGTGCTTTTGCATGGTGACATGTGCGTTCAGGTGGTTCAGGGTTCCGTAGCTCTTTTCGCAGTCAGCCCAGCTGCAGACATACAAACGCTCAATCTCATCAAATCGGCGGCGAGGCCTTTTTTTAGAGTTCACTCCCGAGATTGGAACAAAGGAGTAGATTTTGTTTCCTCCCTGGCCGTTATCAACACCATCAAGGCCTGCATCAGGGAACCATCCAGCTCCCTGGGGCTGCTGCTGAGCTCCAGTAACCTGTTGAAGGGAAGTATGATACGATCCATTGTGGGGGGACATCTGCGCGGGGTGGGGCTGCGAGGAAGACTGGAGGGTCATGGCGTCCATATATCCAATCAAAGGAGAGGAACGGACCATTCCATGGACTGGCACTGCGTTGGCACTAACCACGCTACTGTGAGTAAACGGACTACCGATCAAAGGGCTGGATCCAGAGTTTTCGGGGCTGGTTAGGCTGTTCATCAGTAAGCCAGAGCTGGTGTCGATCGAGGGCACAAAGGGGTAGGTGACGCGCCGGCTGTAGGCTTGGTTGACAGGAACGTTCGAGCCCACGGCCGGAGCTCCGGGCAAGGGAATCTGAGGATAATAGCTAGAGGAGATCGTACCATCGATATTCGTGGTAGAGGGTTGAGCCCGCGAGCGAGGCGAGCCGTGGTCGATCCTCTGCAATGTCTCGGTCAATGGAGGAAGGTGATGATGTGTCGCCGAGTCCAAGGAACCGTGACGTCCATGCGAGTCCTGAAGTCCGGGCTGTACTGGGGAATGGGAGAGATCCAAGACTGGTTGATGGGTGTTGTCGGAAAGTTGAGCAGGGTAGTCGGTCCTAGTGCGCGAGTCTGGGGGCGAATGTGGGTATGCGTGATGCTTTTGTTGACCAACCATCAAAGATGGCCGACGGTGAATGGCAGGCTGAACGCTAGGTGCGTATGGGTGATGGCTTGCTACGTATGTTCCTGGTGCCATGTATTGAGTAGTGTTGAATTGAGTTGGTAGTGACTTTGCCTGGCCGAATTCAGCTGCATAGTAGGTTGATGGATATACTGACTGCGGTGGTGCCTGAGATTGAGATGGGACCATTGCGTCAACTATATATTGAAGGGAAGTCAAGTTGGTTAATATCAAACGACATGAATGAAGCACTTTTCAATTGGCCATGTGAAATCAGCTGTGTGTGTTTACCGATTGGTTTGATGTCGGGCTGCTCTAAATTCTCGACTTGGCCAGCAATGTCGATGTAGTTAGCGGTGGTGGCGGTAGTTGCGGTGTCTGGCTCTGTCTTGGGCACTATTGTGTCAATGGCGGAGAACGTGGTTGCTGCGGTGATAGTGGAGGATGAGGATGTAGGTGCCGACTTCCAGTCAGAGAAGGTGGGCTGGGATGATGAAGATGGAGAGGAAGAGGCGTAATCGGTGGCTGCCTGGGATTGAGATGTTGTCGTGCTGAGGTGTGTTTTCATGTCTGAGAGGAAGGGAAAGGATGTGGTAGGTTCAATTTGCAATGGACTGCAGACGGAGAGCATCGGGGGGTGGCGATATGAATCGAGTGTCTGGTTTGAAGGGGAGACAATGTGGTGACTCCGCAAAGGATCAAACGGTGAAGGAGTTCTATTTTATACAACAATAGTTTGAACAGGCAGAGACATTAGTATTAGTGTAAGAAAAAAAAGGATACATGGCACAAGTGCACATGGGTGAAAATAGAATATTGCGCCGTTGTGCCAGGCACTGCCAGCGTGGGCGTAGATCCCCCCACTTAGGTGGATCAATAGTTAGACAGAGTGGAGTTGAGGGTGTTTGTTCCATTCTTCCCATTGGAATCCCCCGTTCAAATCAGGTGACAATGAGAAGACAAACAGCCAAGACAAGTATGTATCTTTTTGTTGCTGTTGTGTTGTTGTTGGGTTGTTGGTTAGGCAGTTGATACTGACTACCGCCCGCAAAGCCTGTTTATCCATTCTGTAAAAGTGCGTCATAGAAAGGGGAGGCAGGAGGAAGATAAGGCGCGAAAGAAAGGGGAAAGATAAAAGGATGAAAAGATGGGAGTATGACTCTCGTTTCTCTCTTGGTTCAATTTCCAAAAATCACGGAATGAATGCCATAATACGACGCGTTGTTGTTGTGCGGGCAAGTAAGGGGAAGGGAGAATAGGAGAGTGCAGAGTCGAGTGTGCTGCTGGTGGTAGGATCATACTAATGTACTGTGTTTTTTGAGGATCAGAGGGTGTCCGTGTGTGTGTTTTTAGGGGAAAGGCAATTGAGCCAAGAAGATGAGCATATCAAGGATACAAAAAATGATAGAATGGATGGTGTATGTGTGTCCTTGTACTGTGGTGCATGGAGGGTTGGGTTTATGGGAGGGAGGTTTGGAGGATGAGGGATGGATAAAGTATCTTCAATCCGAATCATAACGCCCAAACTTACCGTGAAAGTCGTTTTCCCTTATGTTGCTTTTAAAATATTTTCCGGCTCTCGGGACTCAATTGAGAAAGGAAAGAAAAAAGGGTTCTGTATGGAAAATCAAACAAGAAAAAAAAGGATAAACCTCCAAAGTCAGCCAACAGCTCTGTTTTCTGTGAACGTGGGTTGGTGTATCAATCAGAGAAATAATGACGGTGGGACAAGGCAAGGTGAGCGATGTTTTCAAGCAAGAGACGGATGAGCCGAGGAAGAAGAAAGAGAAAGTGCAAAGAGAAAAAGGAGAGAGAGTGCGAGAGGTAGAAATGATGTAGGAAAAGAGACATAAAGGTTCAGCCAAATCTCCTGGTATACGCCATGTTCCCTTTTGTGCCGATTGATGACGACGACAAGAAAGGATCCTACTGTCCTTTCTTCCTGCCCTTGTATCTTCTGTTGCTCATTGAGAGATAGTGCAGATGGAGGCAAGCTCCGACACTGGAATCGTGTCTCGGTGGGCTGGAGGCAAAAGCAACGCCGTCATTGCTGCCACCATCTCAGATAGTAAAAGAAGATAAAAAATAATAAAAACAACTTGCAGATGGGACAGGTGTGGATAATCCAAAAAAAAGGCGCCCAACTGGTGACGAGTCGCCACCGAAATCATGAAAGCTTTGTTTGTTCCCGAAGATATATGGTTGCCGGGTAAAAGGAAAAAAATGAAGGAAAATGATTTGTGTGGAAATGGGCTACAGATGATGTCGACTAGATAGAGGTTTTCGCATAAATGATACCGACTGACGATGGATCGGAGCGCGCGCCGCTGTGCTGTAGTCGGGGATGGAGGAGGGTGGGGTGAAGAAAGTAATCGCGGGATGTCAATACCTTTTTTGAAAATGGTTATCCTGAGTGCTGTGGGCTTGGCGATTGAAAGGTGGTTCAAGCGAGATTGGTGGCTGCTGAAAGTAAAACCGAGCTGGTTCCAGGAGATGTTCTGTTTGTTTTAAGTGGCGAGGTGCTGAAGTGAGATGGATTAGGTGTGCAGGTGGAGATATTGGTAAGAAACGAAGGAAGAGTGAAGCAATACAGTGCTCAGGGCAAGTGAGTGTGTGTGTTTGTGTGTGAGTGGATAGGGTATTCGTGAAAAGTTTAAGAGACGAGAGAGAACAAGAGAGCGACGATCAAGACTGCTTCCGATGTGTAGGAGAGGTAGCTTTGAATGAGTCTGCGACCGAAGGAAGAAGAGTCGAGGGTGAAGAAGAGAAGAAAGAGAGTGAAAGAGGGGAAGAGTGGTGATGGCCAGCGGTTTATAAAGGGAAGGGATGCAAGGCAAAAGAGCAACAATTAAAAAGAGGGATTCGCTAGTGTGTTCCTTCTGTCCTACCCTTCGTCATTTTCTTTGTCGTTGTTTTTGTCGTCTGGTCAACTCAAAACAACGAAGGCTGAACAGGGTAAAGGATATTCGGCTGTAATTCTCTCTGCTGTTGCTACACACAAGAACGTAAAGCGTGTGAGTGAATGAAGGACAAAATGGGTAAAGTGTAAAGAGTGAGTGAAAAAAATGAGCGGGTTGTGACAAAGAAAATTTGGCGAATGAATGGACTTCAGCAAAAAAATGGGTCGCTGACTCTTGAACTTAGGGAATGAGGGGTATCTTTTTCTATTGCATCTTTTACTCAATAATAAACTGGACATTCTCTATTAACTTTTGCACTCTTCAAGCAAAGTAGTAATAACGATGGACCAGGACCGCCTACATGTGTACACCTATTCATGCAAATTACAACAGTCATCTCTCGTTGTTGTTGTTCTTTTTTCGATGAGCACCTTCAAGCCTTTACATTCCCATGCTTGGTTTACTATCGTCGAAATCACTTTTCGTCTCCATATTTTCTTTTCGAACTAGAAAACAGAAAACTTAAAAGCCCATTCAAGCCCGCCTGGATAAAAGAGAAGGAAAAAAAAGATGGTGGACAGCAAAAGACAGGAATGTGAGTTGGAGCAAAGGGTTTGGAGAGATGACCGGACTGTGGGCTAGGGAGTGTGAGTTAATGAGCGAGAGTTCCCTTCTGAAATGTTATGTCAAGTTGTGATAGATTGAAGGGGTCGAAAAAAGGCGGGTTGAGGGTTATGGTAATGTTGTTGAGAGCCGCAACAATTGAGAGCGGGTACAAGAGAAAAGAGGTGGTGGTGGTGTGTGTGCTTCGATGCCCCACCGCCAAAGTTATATTGCAATTTTGCAAAGGGAAAAAGAACAGCGAGAACAATACGAGTAGGCATTAGGGTTGGGCCTTGACTGTCGTCATGTCGTCACGGAGTACAACACAACAAAAATTGTTGGTGAGCACAAACAACAAAAGTGAAGGGTTCTTTTCTCTCCTCATACTCATACTTGGTTGGCAAAGAGGATCATCGACTTGAATGAGAGCAGAGCAGCTCTTTTTTGTCCTTTGATTTCCATTTCAATCACTTTCTCCATCGACGAACAAGTATAAGCGGAGGGAAATGCCTTTTTCTCATTGGAACGTGCAACAGCAATTCTGGCCAACGTACATGTCTGTACCCCTCTCTACTAACTGTCTCCGCCTCGGCTCCCGTTCACAAGAACTGATTCGTTGCAGCGGGTGAGCCTTGGTGCGTTAAACTTTCGCAAGATGAGATAGTATCCAGCTCCCCTCTCCCCTCGTTCATCTTCTCTCTTACACGTCCGAGTGCGGAAACGAAAAATCAATTGGCCGTGGCTCCAGCGCTTCTTATTTATTCTTTGCCCTATGTCCATGTCCAGTCCCCCCTCCCTCAATCTCTCTCCCCCCCCCCCCCCCCGGACGACAAGACAAAGAATTGACAGCAATTGGGGGGAGGGGAAGAGGCAAGAGAGATCACGGCACAAACCGCCTCTTTTCAATTTTCATTTGTTTTTCGCGCTCCTGTAAGCAGAGGCCAATAACTCACAATTGATTGACTTTATTGCATGCAGAGGATCAATAATGAATGATACGAACAATTGAACGTGAGTTTGACTCTGCCGGCGATCTTTTTTTTCATACAACGACATCTCAGTAATGTCCATCTATTAAAGTGAGACGAGACGACCGAGCCCTGCGCTAATAAGCTCGTTCCTTGCTAATGTTCATTCCATTGCGGATGAGTGATGGCCCATGGAGGAAAACTGATGACTTTTTTCTTTCTTCAAAAGTGAGAGCCTTGCCCCTCTCTTCTACCCCGGCGAGTTGAGCGGACACAAGAGAAAATTTTTGTGTTTAGTGACCTCATTTCTCTCCCTGTTGGGAGGGAACCCTGATTCTCCCAGCCGAGGTACGAAGCGCGGACAAGGTTGGTCTGGTAACCTTGCCTACCCTAACAACAACCCCCTATTATTCTACTCTCCCTTCCATCTGCCAGTCTGTTTGCTTGTTGGTCTGTTTGTGTGTCTATACAAACGAAGCAAAAAAAGTATAACTAGCCCACCTCCACGACCCCAGTGCACACAAAAGAAAGATGACTGCAACTCCATCTATGCGTTATTGTTGATTACTTTTATTGCACCTAGGCAAAAGGCGGACAATATTATGTGAAAACAAAGATGATGCGTTCTGCATTTGCTGAATTCCCACGTTCGAGGCATTTTTCCTCCTAAATAGATCCTTTTTTTTACGCATGGAGATAAATACAAAGCAAGTGGCTAACGCCATTTCGGTCCTCATGGACAAGAAAAAAATAGAGGGCGCCAAAACGACAGGAAGACATGAGAATACACAAAAAGATTAACAATACCCTCATTATACTTGAAAGGAGGGTATCCCATGCATGCCGCCTTTTGTCCGCATGTTCTTCTCTTTCTTTCTCTGTCATTTATCACGCTTGTAAAAATATCGTCGTATTCTTGCAGCAACACCATTCATGGAGAGCGGCTTCCCTGTAAACAACCAGAGAGTAGACCGATGCGGGCGGAGACGGCGTCTTTGTTATTATTTTGCATTTCGAATGCGAAAACGAAACTCCAGACATCAACATAAAAAAAATGGGAATGCTCTTTGTATTGCTCTGGCCATTTTGTCCAAAGGGCATAATAAAAAGAAAATGAAAGCAAAGGCATGTCGCTCCCTCGTTGCGGTAAAACGGATGCTGGTCGTTGCTTCGAAGTCGGTGTTAGACTATTTGTTTTTGGATGTTTTGCTCTCAAAGGGCGAGAATTGGGACATGCCAGGTTCATGAAGTTTGATCGACGTGAGCACCACTCAAAAACCCCTCCCCTCAGCTGAAGTCTCTCTCCATCTTTTCTCTGTCTTTGTTCATGTTCACCCCCTTCCCCTTCCTTCGTTACGCGCCCCGCGTCCTTTTAATTTTCTTAGTGTGATTCTTATTACGAGCTGTAAAGGAATGCTGAACGAGAGAAAGCCGTTTGCACAAGCGCACACATAACCTTTTGTTTGATGGCTCTTTTACGAGATATGTCGGCCTACTCCTTGGTAGAACCACAACTGATGTGCGGAGGAAAATCAGAAGCAATGCTTTCCATCCCTGCTTCTGAACGAGCTCTAAATAATAGGGTGGACTGAATAATAATACAAGATGATACTCAAGGCAGCAATCCTATACATTTCGCCTGTGACAAAAGAAAACAACCTACGCTTGCATGCTCATGGTTCACCATTTGTCTCCGATCTCCGTTGCTGTTCAAATTTAGACAGACTTCCCTTCCTTAGTTCGATCGTTCTTGGAAGACATCCATCTCATCAATGGGCCACCGTAGCCTATGATTGAAGGTTTGTTCTCATACTCAATCTGGCGCCGTTCTGACACCAAATGAAATCCAACTCAATAATAACAGCCAGCTGAATAGAAACAACCTGAACATCGTCCAACCATTTTCTTCTTTCTCGTGTCTTCTACTCCTCGAAGGTGTGAATCAACTCCTCGAAGGTGTGAATCATGTAGTATCCGAATGTGGGGATAGGTGTAGGCAAGCACCAACTGTGTCAAAAGAAGGCATCCACTGGAGCGAGAGGAAGGCGGTTCAAATCATATAAGGAACTCCATCATTCGTTCTCAGCGTAAATAGACGCCATTGAACATCAGATAGCGTCCTTGAGACCTATTCTTTTCATTGATGTTTATTCTTTCTTCTTTTAGTACCTTACCCTGAAAAAAGGTAACAAGTAGGGTAACTGTGGATGGGGAATGAAACGTGCACTTAGAGAGAAAGAGGTTTATCACAAAAGATTTTCATAGCCCCTTCATCACCTGTCTGCAAATGTCGGCTCTGTCAAAAGAAATATCAATGGAGATTAACCTGTAGAGCCCGTGAGAGCTCATTTTTATGCAATTGCATGGAACATCAACAGGCCATGTTCCTCTGGGCTATGGGCTTGTTCCCAAAGGGTTCCACCGTCATGCTGGTCATGGCCCGGTTCTCTCTTTTCTTTTTTTTTTTTTTTTTTTTTTTTTTTGGGATGAAGAATGCAGCCTGCTGTATCTTGCATTAAAACTGGCTCTCTTTTTCTCTCAAACAACCAACGCACGCTTACACTCAGACATATCATGGATCTATCCCGCACTTCTACATCAAGTGTGGCGATAACAGGGCAACGATTGTATATGTTTTCTTTTTTTGTGACAGCAAGAGTTTGTCCAGAAACAAGAAAAATGGCACAACCGACTGATCTTCGTCATGCTCAGATTACCTTTTTTTACTTCACTAGTCACTAGTCTATTAGTTCCATGCCTGCCCTCCTTTCGCCAACTGCTCACCTCCGTCCGTCCGCTACCTAAATTCGCCATTGTTACATAACATAGGAAGAAAAGAAAAATGAACGAGAAATTGGAAAGCAAAGAAAGGAATGGCATTTGGGTGTGCTCTCACATACCATTTCACTCTCTTTGTTTCTTATCGGGTAATAAGGGCCCATAACGGCCAACGAGCAAAACTCCAAAATGAAGAAAACAAGGCTGGAGGGAGGGTTCAGCTGTTGTTTAGCGTGCGGTTATTAGACCGCAAGGAAGCCGCTCTAAAGTGCTCGCGATGGAGAGTCTATATTGATGGCGATAAATTTAGAAATAAGCAGCGATCTTATTTTATTTTTTTTCGCAAGAACTGCTAAGCAGCACTACTCACGAGCTTTCTTTGTTGGTGAAATTGAAACAAACGAACGAAATTGAGGCAGGGACGAGGAAAAGAAGTGTGGAGAATCAAAATAAATAAAAGCACTGAAATGTTGTTTCGCAATCGAAAACAACTGAGCCATTGTTGCGATCGTGTCAGCGAATACTGAAAGTGAGGATATGGGAATGGTCGAAGAAAGGCCGATTCAAGCATGAAAGAAGTTGAGGATGGTGCGGGTATCTTTTTGTTCTTTGAGCGATGGTGCAGGGTACCCTTCTCTTTCCTTCTTTTTTGGGTCCATACCAGGGGCAAAAAGGAAAAAACGTGCTTTAAGGGAATCGCCAAAAGAAGGAAGAAAAGAGAGAGAAACAGGGAACTCCGATGAAGAGAAGGCAAGGGAGAGAGAGTTTTGTGTCTTTTTGCTCAGTCGGCTGTGTAAGTTGAATACAGTACTGTAATCTACTCTTTTGTTGTTGTTTTTGTTGTTGTTGCTGTTGCTGTTGCTGTTGTTTATTGTTTACACTTTTCCTTGCGTTGGAGAGGTGAACAAGGGAACGGAGGGAAGGAAGGGAGATAGGTTGCACGACCCATGTCATCATCTTGCAGCTCCCCTTTCTCAGAAAAACAAAACAAAACAAAAAAAATGTCGGGTGCAAAAGAGGACGAGGGCAAAATTCAAGCACACACACACAAACACGACTTCGAGACACGGACAGAGAGAGGGTGAAAGAGAAGGCAAAGGGAGAGGTGATGATGAACGTATAACGAGACAGAGGGAGGGGTCAAAGAGGGTCAAAGAGAGAACAATGGGAGAAGAGGAGGGTGGTGGTGCCTCATGGAAGATGCTTACTCCATTTGACTATGGGTCCTGTTCCTTCTGTTTTTCTCTTTGACAACACACAAACACAATCACACATGTCCTGTTCTGTGTAACACACTCTTCTGAATGAAATGAGAGATTCTCTGTTTGCCAAACACACGCAAAAGGTGAAGAAAACAGGGTTATCTTCGATTCTGTATCTCACCCTGTCTACCCAGCCAACAGGATCGCAACAACAGACAAGCAAGGATTGCTGATGCATAAAGTGATGAAAATGCAAACAAGGCAAAAATGATTCCAGGAATTGTCGCTTTTGTGTGTTGCAGAGGTTTTTTTTTTGGTCGTCGGTGAATTTTCCTCCTTTCTTTTGTCTCCTTCCTATCGCACACAAGGCGGTCAATGCCTTCCTTCCTCCTGCTTGCCTTCTTTCCTTGCTCTTCCTTTACCACACGGAGTACCCCTAAGAAAAATCCTCTTCATAGCACATACAGCACTACATCATGGGTCTGTCCCTCCGTTCGAACAACTTTCCCGCCTCCGCCGCCCGCTAATGAAACCAAACAGATAAACCCTTCGGTCTTCCTATCCGTTCCTCCCACCCATTTACGATGATAATAAAAACGAAATGAGCTTGTTTGCCCACGTTGCTCATGTTCATTCTTTCACTCCTTTTTCATTCTTTGGCTTTTCATTTCCTGCTTTCAATTGGGAGGCTTACAACCACCCCTTCCTCATGACTTTGTACACTTATGACCCATCACACGCCCCAACATCCCACTCACAGACTACTCCGCTACCGAGCCGGCTATCGATTCAACCCTAACAACATCATCGTTTCGTTTCTTCCCTTGTCATCATAGTAGTAATTTAAACAGTCATATTAAGAAAATGAGCCCCCGACATTATTACGATCCCAGGATACATAAAAAAAAAAATGACGCAAGATGGAAACGCTATCTGGCTGACTGGTGGTACTTTTGTTTTGGTTGTCGGGATTTTTTTTGTGGGTTATTGTTCGATGGATACCTTCCTTTTTTGTGCGTTTGTATTTTGCGGAGAGGCAGTAGGCTGTGAAGGAGAGAGAGAAGAAGGAAAATAGAGGAGGAAGAGTACGTAGGGTGGGAGAATTTCACTCCATATTGTGAAGGAGTACCGGTAGAAGACGTGAAGTGATACATACCCCTCGACGCGAAACGAAATGAAGCTTAAGATACTTGTAGCGCGGCCGCGGCACGTGATTCTGACGCGCTTTGCTTTGGGGGATGCAAGGTACATAGCGCTTTTGAATCATGCAAAAATATCCCTCCTTACTTCCAATGCATTACTAGCTGCTACAGTCATAAAATAAAAATAAGTCAAAGGCTCAATACAGCAGCAAGGGGGGAAGTAAGGAAGAGGAATGTTTATTAATGCTGTCCATAGGGCAGTCTAAGTAAAGCGTTGGACAAAGGAGAAGGGCGTTTCCTGCACCAGGCGAGGAAAGTAGTAGAGAGCGGAAGTAGGGTATATGCAGTTGGAAGAGTCAGGAATAGAAAAAAAGGAGAGAAGAGAAAAAATGGGTTCACTTGTCAGGAAAGTCGTCGAGCCTTGGAGCATCCTCCGACCCTTCAACGATAGCGTTTCGCCTGCGAAACGTGTACGACGACGGCTTCTTTCCTCCATCACTCTCGTTTTCTCCTCCTACTGCATCGGATCCTCCGTTCTCTCCTTGGCCTGGGTGCACACCCGACGGTTCGGGACTGTCGCCTTCTGAGCCACTACCTCCACAACCGCTACTTCGTCCACCGGCGCCCATCGTGCGAACGGCATCTCCTGAAGAATGGCGGGACTGGATGGTGTGTACTTGGTCATCGGATTCGGGTGAAGGGAAGCAATATGGCGAAAAGAACGGCGATCCAGTCAAGCTCAAGGTAGATGTTGTTTGGAGGATGAGGGGCGTAAAGATTGTTGTATCTTGGTTGCGATGCTGACGGTGTGGCCGGGCAGCGGGTGTCAGACTGAAGCTGTGATATGCGTGGTCTGCAGTCAGTCCTCCTGCAGATCTGGGCTTATATGCACAGGAGCTCTCCATAGTGTCCACATCGAATCGCTGTGGGGTTCCTGGCTTGCTGCTGCCGTATTTGTTGCTGGGCGAGCAAGTCGAGACTGACCACCGCGAGGTAATATATCCAGCGTGTGTAGAGTAGTCCAAGTCCTCTGCCAGAGAGTTTGGTTGGATGTTGCGGCGTTTTAGGCGATCTGACCGAGCAGAGCGGCGTCCGGCGTGCATAGCGTGTTTCCGTGGAATCGAATAAACAGTGTTCTTGTCACACATGATTTTGAAAGCGGTTTCTTAGCGCAAGCGTGTTGCCGTTCCTGTGAGTCTATGATGGCTCCTGAAAAGATGATAGGCTGCTTTGTTGATAGAGGCTGGCAGGTGTGGTCTAGTTGGTATGTGCAAGTAGGCTTTTGGTTAGGATGGAAAAGCGAGTAGTTGTTGGGTTGAACAAAAGGTGGAAAAGACAAAAAATTGAAGCGGTATAAAAAGAAAAGAAAACAAAAGTACGTAAAGGGTGTCACTGACGAAGGAAAAAAAGCGCTTTAGAAGAGCTGAAGCAGGAGAGAACAAGAAACATCAAAGGCAAACCAGGAGCCATGATAGATTTAGCCAACAAGAGTACAAAAAGGTGTTTGCGATATCTCATACACACACGGAATATGGTGCAAGGAGGAAAAAGGAGCTGGGAGCTGGGAGCAGAGGGGGTAGGGAGGCAGAAGAAAAGGAGTGCTCTCCGAGTATCATCAAGGACAGACGGATAGTCAGAGAGAGTCTCTGACAGAGATAGAATTTATAGGAAGAGACTACACCATCAAGGGCCAGGATAAAAAAGAAATAGAAAGATGACAGGATGACAAGCGAAAACCTTACTTACCCTGATAAGAATGCAAAAAATGAACAGGATATGAATCGAGTGAGCCAGGAAATAATGTAATGCTGAATGCGGTGTGTTGCGACTTGTCCTGCTTTTATCTCTTTGTCGGTTTTTTTTGGGCTAGGATTCGGATGGAGCTGGTTGGCAACTAAGAGAGGAGGAATGCCTAGATGGTGCTGGCGAATGCTAATGATGATAAGAATAACAAGGTGTTTGGAATAAGGTTGAGCAAAAAAGGCCTTTCATGAGCGGACGTCCCTTCCTTTTTATACGATTCATGAAAGGACACAGGTCATTTTGAGGACGTCTCCAAGCAGGGACCAATAGTAACACTGTAAAAACAACAAGGCACATTCAAAGGGCGGCAAAGGCATACGTAAATGCGACTGCAAACATGCACAAACAAAGGGTGACACAACAGACAAAAAAAAAAAGAGCACGCAGAAAAAAATCGTGTGTGTGTGCAGTGAAGGGAAAGAAGAGGAGGAGGATAAAGGGAGGAGCAGATGATGCTGATGATGAAGCATACAAGAGTAAACAGCAGCAGCAGAAAGAGGAAGATGAGGGAGAAGCAGCAGCATGCGGTTGCCGATGGTGCAGATGATCAAGGGCACTAGCAACGCCTTGTGTCTGTCCGTGTGTCTGTTTGTTTTTGCCTCTCGATGCGAAAATGCGCTCGTCCTCTTTTTTGGTGCGTGTTAACGGTCATGGCCGAAGAACAAGACAATGAAAAAGAAAAAGAAGAAAAAAAACGGTCGTGGATCAAGCATGAACAAGAAGAAAAAGAAATCCAGGGTTGCATGCCAAAGAGAGAGCGAGGGGTTGGGGGTTGCTGTAATGCACGCTCTCAAATAGGAGACAGGGCAGGCAGGGACTCACGTTTTTTGGTTGTGTTTTTTGTTCCTTATTCCGTTGCTGGAAGTGTTGACGAAGAAGGAGAAGGAAAAGGAGAAGAGGTAGGGGGAGAAGGAAGAATATGCGCAAGTGATTGAGTTGGAGGAGAAGGGATGAGGAAAAAGAAAAACAAGGAGGGGGGCAATGGGTGGAAGGAAAAGAATGGAAAGGAAAAACAAAGAGGCGAGCAGGCGGAATGGTATGGAAGATGCTGCTTGCGGGTTGAAGTAACTCTGGAGGATGATAATGAGGAGAGTATGAGTGAAGAGGCGAATGAATGGTAAGGAAGTTAAGGGATCAAAAGCAAATGTTGATGGGTAATGGATATGGGTTGAAGAGAAGAGTGTATCCCCAGGAATGAACAAGTGGGCAAATGAACAATGAACGAAGAGAGATGGATAGGCAATGGATGATAATGAAGAACGAAAGACAAGAAGAGAAGAAAGAAGAAGAAAAAGAAAGTTGAGGGTTGGTGGGGGATGTGGATGCTCAAATACTCGTTCTGATGACCGTTGTTTGGCCCATGGCCATGATAGACTGAAGCCATTGCCCGTTGCCCGTGAACCATGGTGAAGACAAGTAACAAAGAAAACTAAAAAAGCCAATTAATCGCTAATAATGGTGAGGTTGGCCATGCGGAATACCAGCCCAGATACATCATCATATTCAATTGCCTCGATAGCCCCATCTTACTCATTCATCTATTCATCCATTCAATCGATTACATTGCATGTACAGTACATTCATTCACTTTGTCAGTTTATTCAATTGGACAGGGTGGGCATATGCATTGTCACCCTTGCTCCCCTTCCAACGGTCCAACAGCAGCAAACTGAACGCAAAAGAGCAATCAGCAAACGGAAGCGTGTCCCCGATTCAACAGCAGCAGCAGCAGCAACAACAACAACAACAGCATGCTGGTTACCCGCCTCATGCACCATCGACATCGACATCGACATTGACATGGACAAACAACAGTCGCAGTACCCAACCTTGAAGGATGGATACAACTGCTGTTCTGTTGGTCCCTTTCGAGGGGGCACTCAGGCGCACGTTTTTACCACAATCAATTAGATTTCGTAGCACAAACGATGCAATGCCACATATCACCTTTTTTTTGTTGTTGCTTGTCGATGCGATGAATGGTTGGTGGAATAGTTCGATAGGTACACGGACAACGATAAAACGGTCAGCCAACAACGAAAGAGAGAGCTATCCGCAACACGTCTTCGTTGTTCCCACAGAAGTGGAAACTTGAGAAAAGTGGGTGGTTGTCAACGAGAAAGGATGGCGGCTAAGGTGGAATGGAACAGAGAAGATAGGTGAAGGATGTACTCTCTATCGTTATCCCTACACCTCCTTCTCACACCCATACGTATCCACCCAACATCTACAACACAAACGACTACCACAAGTGAAAAGGAACATTCTCGCTCTATACCTCCCAGCCCCACACTCCATCTCTTTGTCACAGTCGTTTTCCCCTCCTCTTATCCACAAATACAATCGTTGGGCGTGAGGCTAAAGTTCAGAGTTGTATTAATTGAACGAAGGGTGTGAGTTAGCGATTGCAGTGTAACCATCGGGTTTCCCTCCTCTTTTTTCATATGCCCTTTGGTTTTTGGCGTCCGTCCTCTCAATCGTTATACATGTTCTCAATTGCACCCCTCACTCACTCTGTCTCTCTCTTCATTTCCCTCCCTTTTCCCTCCAAACCATGAGCAAGCACCACTCTCGGCCATCCATTCTCCCTCCTTTTTGTGTACAGACAAATACATGTCCTTGTCTTGTCTTCGCTCACAAAATCGAATGCCCGACTGATCGGCCATCGGCGTTTGTCTTGCCATTGTACTGTACTTCACCCCATTCACTCGCTTTCTCATCTATGGACCTACCCACCCACCCATCGTGCAACTCTAACGCCGACGTTTTTTTTCTTTGTTTTCATATTACTCTCTGGTTTTGTGCTCACTTGCCATCACAAGGTGAGATATGAACGGAAGGAACACTCTCCTAAACTGAAAAAACAGACACGCTCATAAACCCACGCACTCCCGGACTCGCGAGCTCAAAAATTATCAAATGCTTTTTCAGATAGGGATGGACGGGTGGCACAATCATGGCATGGACATCGGCATGGGCATCGGCATGGGTATCGGCATGGGTATCGGCATGGACATTGGGTGGGGACGGGAGGGTGCATCTCCTCTGTTATCATTCTCTGTTTTTTGTTCGAAGACCTTCTTTCTGCGCAAAACAAAACACACAACAGCAGAAAAACAGGGCTCAAAATAAAAAACTTTCATTTCCCAAAAGGAATACGAGATCATGGTTGTCCATCCCCAATGCTCTCTGAACTTTTATTATTTGAAAATGATACCATTGCCATCACCATTACCAACTTGTTCTCTTTGACTTCCGAAAGGACCCCCCATCCATCAATTATACCTGTACGTATGTTTTTTCTTTATTGTAGTCTATGTTTGTTTTGTTATTGTTATTGTTTCCTTCTTTTTATCGACTATTGTATTCCCCTCGTCCCTTGATGTTTTTTTCATTCAGCACCCTACTTACTTAGGTTACCAATCATCGCATGGCACCATCCCACCATCCAGCCGTTGTGTTCTCCTTGCCCAGGCCCTTCTTTACTTTCTCAACTGAACCAACATTATTATTTTTTTTTTTTTTGCCGCCCCTGTTCCATTTTTCCTGCATGCATGCAGGCTTGATCCAACGTCTTTTTCTGTCCCTTTGCATTCTTTTTTTTCCCGCTACAACATTGGGAGGGGTACTGTACAGCAGTTGTAGTAGAAATTCAAAACCCATGGGTATTACTTTAACTTGAACACAAGACAAATCGATTTTTGACCTTTGTTGCGTAATATGCGTTGCGTTGTGTTGTCCATGACTATGTCCCAAACTCACTCCGGACGATATTCGTTACCCCTGGAAAAGTTGGAATTGGCGGGTTTCGGAGATAAAATAAAAAAAAAAGTCAATCAGTTTGCCACTCCATTCTCATTTCATTCCATGTTCAGCTCTCATGGATGATGATGATGCTCTGGACCCTGGACCTTGGTGGAGTGAGTGCGTTGGAGGAGTAAGAGGACACGCACACATACACTTGCACTTCCTTCCAACCCATGCACCCCGACACTGACTCACTCAACTACTCGCTTTGCTAAACTGAAACTAAAAAATAGCAACCCCACTTTTTTCTTTCTTACAGATACACAAAAGTCGATCGAAGACCCATGGGCGGGACAGAAAGAAAAGAGGGGTGATGGAAAAATAGAACTGAGGCAAGGTTAAAACAGCGTTGCCCATCCCATCCCGTCCTATCTCATCTCACCCCATTGCTACCCATTGCATCCCTCCAGAAAACAAACAAACCCAAAGGACAAAGGACAAAAAAGAAAAGGATCAAGTACCTCAATAGCGATAGAGGAAGATGAGAACGGAGGACTACGAAAAAAAAAGTGACGGGTCCCCATTGCATGCAGCAGTGCGCCATGGTATTTTTAAAAACGTGGCATTTTCTGTCCCTCAAAAGCAAAAATTGAGTTCGAAGATTTTTCTTACTTTATGGACAAGACAAAATGGATGGGAGGAGGAGGAGGGGAGGAAGGAGTGGATGTCTGTAAACAGAGGGATAGGAGAAATGGCCCATGGTCGGCATTCAAAACATAAACAACATGCAAAGGCTCACGTTTTTTTTAGCCAAGGTTGCTAATCAAAAGACACTCTATCTTCTGGCCCATCGAGACAGAGTCCCGTTCGGCCGTCCGTCCAGGGAGGACCATAAGGCTGTTTGCGCCGAGCATGCTCACCATTCGGCTACTCATTTGGTTCTTATCGGTCGACTGGACTTTGATGGTGCCTTCCGGTGTCACCGAGACGACTGCTCGCTGGTACTCTGGTCGCTCATCCAACCGAACATCGTGTGCGACCTAGGGTGGAAACAAAAGCAACCCATGCCAAGGTCAGAAATAAACCTTTTTTCGCCACCAAAAAAAAACATATTAAGTGGTTCCGATAGCAATGCTAGGGCTGTCTTCTATTTTTTCTCTTACCGCCGCTTGGACACTGGGCCACATGTACTTCTCATAGCCTGCCAACTTGCGAAGTGCGGGCAAGACAAAGAGATGGAAGGTGACGGTGGCCGAGACTGGGTTACCAGGCAAAGCAAACAGCAGCCTAGGCTGTCCCCCGTTGGGGTTGGGGACCGTTGCGAATGTAGTAGGTTTACTGTCGTACACCAATCGAACACACGTATGCATGCATGAGTCAGTTAATTGTTACATGGCTGCAAAATACAATAATCGTCTTCTCGACTGTTCCTTGTATCCGTGTGTGACAAAAGAGCGATCTACTCACCCTGGTTTCATCATGATACGGCCGAAGTGGATCGTAGCTCCGAGTTTTTGTTCAAGAATAGGTTTTAGGAGATCCATCTCACCCATCGACACTCCTCCTGTCGTCACTACAATATCGCATTTCGCCAATCCGCCCTTTATGGCCGCCTCGAGATCCTCTGGGCTATATATTGCAAAGTAACGCACGAGGTATATGATCATATGGTTAGTACTCTTTACGAGGTACTGTACTGCACCCTCATATTAATTTGACAAGTGTTGATTGCAAAACGTGTTTCATGTAAGCGTACCTGTCAGGGGCAATGCCCAAGTCGAGAAAGTCGAACCCTGCAGCCTTGGTTGCGGCAATAAGTGTTGGTCGGTTGCTGTCACGGATCTGTCCCATCTTCAACTCCTCTCCATTGTCGTGGTTAACCACTTCATTCCCTGTCGACAAAAATCCAACCACAGGGCGCTGGCGAACGAGTACCTAATATATATATCAAAGAAAAAATACATGTTCGCTTTGTGAGAATACTTTTTCCCAACTTTGCTCAGCCGACGCTCATTACATCGAAAGCAGATCTGTGAGGCTGACCCATTTATATATATACCTTTTGGACTCCAATCGAGGCCAAAACGCCGATTTCGCCACCAACTGCGGAGATGACTTGTCCCTTCTTGAGCACAGTTTGACCAACCTGAATATCGGATCCAATTTCCCGAATGGCCTCTCCCTTGCGGACTTTGGCGAGGATCTCGACAGTCTCCTCATGTGTGCCATCCTCTGAGGACTTGACAAGCAACGTATCCTCGACCATGACAACAGCAGTTGCTCCTTCAGGCAAGGCACCTCCCGTCGTAATTCTCGCGATCTGTCCTGGAAGTAGCGTCGTCGCCGATCCGTCCGATGACGCTGCTGCGATCGACACAGCAGTAACAGGGTACTGCCCTGGACCATCCGTGTCTGCGAAGAATGTACATGCGAAATGATGTCAGGACATGAGCTCACCTAATGAGGAATTGGTCCATCATACGTCAACTACCGACAGACAATTAATTACGTTACCAATAACAGCATAGCCATCTAGGATCGAAGCGCGGTATCCCGGAACAGCCTCGACCGCGACCACATCCTCATCCAAAACTGCGCCAATCAGTGATCCGTCAACTGGTTTCTGTACAGAGGACAGAGGAACGACGCGGTCCATTACGGATGACAAGGCCTGCTCCATGGGGATCAATGGGTATGGCGACTTGCGCAGCCTCCTCGACACTAAACAGGCAATTCGCCAAAAGTAATATCGGTTAACGAGGTATACATCGCGTACGCCAGGACCACACTGCATTGCGATCAAAATCTAGTAAAACATACCAGGTGTTCCAAGACCGAGTGATGCGGCATCGGTTTTTGCTTCTCTATCGCTGTGGTGGAAGCATGTGTGTCCTCCATGTCCGTGTCCGTGTCCGCGACCATGCCCATGTCCATGGCTATGCGACGACTCTGTCTGACCCTTCTCTTCAGTGGCGGTAGGCGCGACTCCAGAGGGTCTTGGACCACCCTGCATCTTTTCGTGTGTCTTCTTGCCAGTGCCACCTCTTGCCAGATCAATTGCATGTGGAAGCAACTTCGCAACAGCTTCAAAGTTCTCCTTGACAGCCTTGGGGCTTCCAGGGAATGTCAATACTAGAGTCTGACCTCGAATTCCTGAAACTGCTCTGCTGAGGGCTGCAAATGGTGTGATCTGGATGGACTTAGCAAAGATTAAGTGAGAGATTCCAGGCGTCTGTCTGTCCAAGAGGGGCAACACCGCCTGCGCAATACATATGGAGCACAAAAAGGATAGGAAGAAATGAGTCAGCAATAAGACCTCACACCATGTACACCAGTTACTCTTATGACCAACTGAGGTCTGTTTGTGCGATATAAGACAGAGTGCAAAGAAACTGGATAGGTACCTCTGGGGTACAGTCCCGGACTCCAAATCCAGTCCCACCAGTCGTGAGAACCAGGTGCAGATCGAGGTCGTCGCACCAGGCGGTAACAGTCTTTTGGATGACCTTGTGGTCGTCAGGAATGCAGGCGGTGACCTCAACTGTGTATCGAGGCTCAGCTTCGACCAGGCGGCAAAGAGAGGGTCCGCTAGTATCTGCGGCAGGGTCTTGGAATGCGGTGTCGCTAACTGAAAGTGTCGCGTTATAGGTTCAATGGTATCAGTGGTGCGCTTTGAGTTTACTTGTGAGAGGGTAATAATGGGATTATGACAGTAGAGTGTGATTACTTGTGAGGATTCCGACGCGTAAAGTAGAAGACATGGTAGAAGGGGTTGTGTTGAATGTGGGAATGAGAAAAGCAAAGGAGTGGAAGTTGCGATTTCGAGAGGTGTAAGTGGCAGTGGGGGTGGGCGCGAAAAGCGGGTGAATAGGGTTCATTCAATTAAGGAGGGGCTTGCTTGCGCATTAAGAGAGGGTTGAGACTCGACAGCCACAGTTGCTCTCCCCCTCACTTATGACATTATGACGAAGATTGTTTCACAAACCACCAAGCTTCCCTTTTCTTCATTCATTTACACTCCCGCACTCCCTTCTTCAAACCACAACCACAATCAACTCCAACGTTGCTTTCAATCAACTACTCTCGCCATTCACCCATACGCCTGTCTCCTCTTTCTCTTTGTCATCGCATTCATCCTCGCAATGAGTTTGGAACAGTTCGGCAAGAGAGCCGGTCGAATGATTACCAACAGAATGATGGGTAAGCTTGCCTCAACAAAAATGACCACTAAGGCTTGGCGTTTTTTCTGCTCAGTTCTGCCGCCGCGTACGACCGACACATAGAAAACCATGTTCTAACTCGATCGACCTCTCATTTCTGGTAGACTATCTGAATGATGCTAATAAAGCACCCCCCGTCCCTCCACGACAATCATTTCCCTCTCAATCTCAGGCACACCAAGCCATGGTGGCATCGCAGTACCCAGCACATCAACCGCAGTCTGCCGGAAACTATCAGCAGCAGCATCAGCAACAACAGTAATGCGAACGACTTTTCTTTGTACCATCTTGCATGCTGGCACAGACTCTGTGTCCTCTTTTGTTACTAACTCATGCCATTGATATGTTTACAATAGACCCTTTTCTGCCCCTCCTCCCCCTTATGAGGAAGCTTCGCCAGCAGGTGATGGACGTGCAGATACCGGAAACCTTGAGGCGCTAAAGTTCCCAGACTCCCACGGAAACACGGTGCCGGACTTCTCCCGAGTCGGTTACCGCGAGGGCCATGTCAAGATCCCAACAGTGCCTGTTCAGATGGTCGTTGAGCCATCACTCGATCCCTTCAGTGATGATACGGCGAGGATTCAGGCGGCAATTGACGAAGTTGGTCGTTTGCCCCTTGAGTGTGTAGGCAACGATGGCGCACGTATCAGAGGAGCTGTCCTACTGAAAGCCGGTACCTATCGAGTTGCTGGTGCGCTCATCATCAATGCTTCCGGTGTCGTGTTGAGAGGTGAAGGGCAGGATGACGAAGGAACAATCATTGTCGCCACAGGAAACATTCAGCGCGACTTCATCTTGGTCAACGGCATGCTTCAGTCCGAGATGGGAAGCGTGGAGATGCAGCGAGCCAAGGCTAGGACACGTGAGATGATGCCGACAAACGGATACAAAGGCAGCCGGAAGCCTGACACATATACTCAGTCTGGAGTCTATATTGCTGCTGGGTCAAACCAGATCCCTGTTTTGGATACCAAGGGCTACAACGTCGGCGACCGTATTGTGGTATGTGCCCCAACAGCGGCCTCTGTACTGCAAGCAAGATCATGCAAGAGCCACGACGCTCGATGCTTACAAAGTCCGTGTTTTGTTGTATAGATTGAGCGACCTGGATCAGACGAATGGATTAGCGACATTGGCATGGACAAGCTCCCCCCTCGACCAGGAAACGGCAACCCGTCGACCCAGTGGACTGCAAAGTCGTTCACATTCCGGTTTGAGCGCAAGATTGTCGCCATCGATCAAGCTACTCGTACCTTTACCATCGACATACCCATGGTGATGTGCCTGGATCCCAAGTACCCTCCAGCAAGAATCTATGATCTGATTCACAAGTTCCCAACCATCTCAGATGTAAGTTTTATTTCTTTGGTGCTATTCGTATTATGCATGAGCTGTTGGTCGTTGGACCAAAACATTAACAGTTCCCACCTTGTTTACATTAGGTTGGTGTTGAGAACCTGCGTCTTGTGAGCGAGTCAGATCCTGGCAATCCCGAAGATGAGAACCACGGCTGGTACGGCATTGTTATCGACAACACAATCAACGGCTGGGTTGCTGACGTAACCACCAAGCACTTTGTCAGTGGTATCTTTGCCTCAGCCTGGTCTAGATACATTACCATTCAAGACTGCTCGGTTTTGTACCCGGTTTCCAAGCCTACTGAGGGCGGCCGTCGATACCAATTCAACCTCAGCGGCCAGATGGGTCTTGTCAAGCGTTGCTTCACAAACAAGGCTCGTCATGACTTTATTACTTTGGGACGCGTTTGTGGTAAGTCGTCAGGTCATGGGGTGCTCGTATGATAACACACCAGCGGAATTTGCATTGATATTTGATTTTGGTGATATTGACGATATCGATGGTATTGACAATGCGACATTTAGGCCCCAATGTGTTTGTGGATTCGACTGGTGTGGATGGCAACAACGATACCGGACCACACGAGCGCTGGGCGATGGGAGTGCTGTACGACAACATCACCTGTAACACCATCAACGTACGACAGCGCGGCTGGATGGGATCCGGACAAGGCTGGGCTGGTAAGCAGTCATCTCCTGAATCTGTGCTGCACCATGTTCTTGATCTTTTTTCTTTGTTTTTTGCATATGTAAGCTAATGCAGACGGTCGACCTGTGTTCATTATAGGTGCTTTCCACGTCGTTTACAACTGCACAGGCAACGCCAACAACAACTGCTTTCAGGATCCTCCAGGTGTGACTAATTGGGTCGTTGGCTTCAAAGGCGGAGTGGCCAAGAAACCCACGTTTGAGGCACCGTGTACAGAACACATGTCGCCGGACCTTCCTGTCGAGCCAAGAAGCTTGTACTGGGCGCAACTGGTAGCCCGCATGAATGGAGATATCCTACTTGTCAAGAGAAATGTTGGAGCAGAGGCCAAGATGCAATATCCACCGCGCTGCTAAGCTAGCCATTATATATATATATGTAAATAAATTTATATCTTGAACGCGGACGTAATTATTCACATGTCATTTATTTCTTCTCCAAGGCCTGGAGCTGCTCTGTCAAAGCAGCAGCAGCATCGGGACCAGCAGTAGCCAACATCTCGGCGACAACAGCCTTGAGCTCGTCGTCACGGTCGACGCCATCAGCCTCCGAGGCCTTCATGATGGCTTCTATCCTCTCCTTGAATGCTGTGGAAGATTCCCCGTTCGCCTTCTTGTCCTCGTCGTCTGAAGAGTCGTCAGAGTCCTTCTCCTCCATCAAATGCGACATGTCGTCCTCGAGCTCATCAACTTCGTCAGGGTGGGGGACTCCAGTGAGTTCACGGAGGTAGTGGGCAACCTCGAGCCATTCTTCCTCTTCGGCATTCTCAGCAGCCTATTGATTGTGAATGGGACAAAGCGTGAGTTTGCAGGACCTAAGCGAGAGTACTAATATGATCCGCAGTAAAGTGACACAAGACTATAATATCTTACGGTCATCTCGTTCTCGTTGACATGCTTGGCATCGGCACCGGCCTTGACAAGCATCTCGGCGATATCAACAGTTTCGCAGACAAAGAGAGGCGAGTCACCTTCGGGGTCCTGGATGTTAACGTCTGCGCCGTTCTCGAGCAAGTATGTGATCAGCTCCTTGTGTCCGTAGGATGCTGCGGCATGCCTAATGGCATCCAGTGTCAAAAAATAAGAAGGGCGGTTAGTACCAACGAAACATCGAGATTTCACGTTCTCTCAAATAAAGTGTCGAGATGGAAGAATATGCACTTACAAGGCCGAGTATCCAAACTCGTCCTGCGCATTGATGGAGACACCCTTCTCGTTGATGAAGGTCTTGACGGCAGCGAGGTCACCGTCACCTATGCACACAGGAGACATTTTTAGGGTTTTTGGTGATCAGTTTTCTTCCTGCTGTTGCTGTTGAGTTGGGTTGAAGTTGACTACATTGCTGTCCATCGGGAACGATCCCTTTGCGAGCGGTTGTTAAAAGAGGTGAGGGTTGTCTTACTTGCTGCAAGCCAGATGTTGTGGGACATGTTGTGTTGAGAAAAGGGTTTGGAGGATGAAGAGTAAGGGTGTGAAAAAATAGAAAGAGCCGTTTTCAGTGGCGTAGAAGCTTCCGTGATCGCAAATGTTATCACGACTGTTCTTCAACCTGTCAAGCAAGGTCATGGAAGAAACGCGAGCATGATCAATTTTTTTGTTTTTCCTTCCCCCTTCCCCCTTTCCCTTTCTACACTTTCATTCTGACCGCGTCAACTACTCTCTTTTTCAGCGTCCAACCGCTATACCAAGGATTCACTCTTCTAATCGGATCGACGCGCAACGAAGCAAGCGATCAACAACTCCAAGAACAAACAACAGCAACCTCATCCTCCTTCGCGCACTCGCAGTAGGCAGATTCCCCCCTCATAACAACAACTAAAATAACCTCTCTCTCAGGTCGACATGTTCGCAGCCAAGGCAACAAAGGCAAACTCGTCTGTCGTCCCCAATGAACGGAATTTGGAGAGACCTGTGCCCAAAAATTCAAGCCAGACACTCAGTCGCGACAAGAGCTCGTTATCGACGACGTCGTATGATTCTCAGGAGTTCTCCCGGACACCCAACCACGACAACAGCGATTACTCAAGGTTCGAGGGCGGCGAGGACATTGACGATGAATCTATCTACTCTAAGAACGACCGGACGCTCGTGGCGTACTTTGGACCTTTGCCGAGAGAGGCCGAGGAGGCTTTGAACAATTCGGGTAGGTCAACTTTTTTACTTTTGCCGGGAGGTATTGCTATGATTCAACTTTCATGATGGTACTAATGTCGCCTTTCTTTTTTCACTCTGAACAGATCCTTACACCAACACTATGATTTCTAAGGTCGATTTTGATACAGGATTCGCCATGGTTGTCTCTCATACAAAGTGTTACATTTGGGCTGTCCAGAAGGTACTACGGGGTCACGTCAATAAGGCCTGGGACTCGTCACGAAAAGATTGGTCTGGATAACCAACATGAACACCTATTTGTCACTTCTCATGATAGGAGACTACATACCGCTCTCCTCCAATGTGCTACACCCTGCCGATGCCTCCAAACAATAACCCAACTCTCGAGACGGCCCCACTTCTTCCCGTTGTCACAATCACCAAATCGGACGAGCCCCACTATGGAATCCTGGCCTGTTCGCCTGACGGAACATGCTGGTACTGGAACAACATCGACATCTGCTTCTCGAATGTGGACCAACACGTGGATACTAAGATCAACATCCAACCTAAGGACTACGTCTCCAGAGTCGAGTGTGCTGGCGTAAGTACTCACTGAAGTTTCCAGACCATGGCACTTAACTCGACAAGTATAGTCTTGAGACACACACTGACGGTCCTGAATTTTTCCTCGTTCTAGCCCATGGGATACTTTGTCGCCACAAAATTTGCGAACGTGTACCAGGTGTCGATCAAAAAACAGTATGGCGCGAGCACGTTGGCATTGACACAGTTGAACGGAAAACCTGGCAGCACGATTACTTCAATCTTCAGCATGATCGGCGTGGCACAAGGACCCGACGAGTCTCAGCACCTTGCCGCCATGACTTCAGGACCCAGACTTCAGGATCAACACGGAAGATGGGATTTGTTTGTGATGACCCGGAAATCCCTCCTCCAGTGGCATCTGTACCGCTCTGGAGAATGCACGTTAGAGATGGAATTTCCTTTGAGGGACGAGATCAAGAATCGTATTCTTAACGATCATACTGCGGTCTTGCCCATGGGAAGCGATCCTAGTGTCCGCGTTCTCGACATCCAATACATCAGGAACGGCAAGCTGCTCGTTTTTGCCACATTCTTCAATACCGCCCACAGGGAAGCACAGACTCCATTGGCCAGTGCACTTTTCACTATCTCTTGTCGGAATGGATCAGGATTTGGCATTGAGCGTGTCAGATACCTTAAGCGCACAATCGTAAGGATGCCTTTCTGTATTTATGAAATTGTTCATCCTCAAGAGCATTGTATGAAAATTGCCGATTCTAACTCGACGTGGGAGTGGTTCAATAGGAAGAAGACATCAGGCCAGAAGCTTCGCCCAAGCTGGTGGTCCCACTTGGAGGTCCAGGAGTGTTCATCGTTATGCCAAGGGCGGTGATTATCAGCTCAACATTGCCTGATTCGGCGTTCGAGGACTTGATCCCACTTAAGACAGACAGGATCATCGGTAGCGGACACGAAGACTGGAAGCAACATGTTCAGGATCTGGCTACGAGCAGCGAGTTGACAATCATTTGCAAATCCAGCGGTCGTTTGGGCATTCACCTTCAGCTGGACGACAAGGGACGCCCATTGCCTTTGATCGCAACCAGCACTCAGAACGAGAAGGAAGAAATGACGGTACAACTTCAGGCCAAGTTGGAGCAGGCGGTCTTTTTTAGCGGAAAGAAGCACAATCCCATCTCCTTCGACCTCGCACATTACGACGGCGGCGATCTCAACCAAGCATCGTTGAATGTGAGTCGGGAGATCCTCAACTCTCATGCTCAACTCCTCGGTACTGGCAGTGATGTAACAACAGGACTCTCGGTGCGTTATCAACGGATAAAGAACATCATCGACTGTATTCAGGATGCAGAGATGGCGAGCAGGCTGTTGGTCAATACCAGATTCCAGCTGTGTTGGAGTGCTGAGAAGTTGGCGGCCGCAAATGAGGTCTGGAGTCAATATCAACAGAGGCGGAGAGATGTCCGTGATGACAAGACGCTGAAGGAGAACTTGGATCGCGTCTTGCAGGATGCAGCCGCCGAGAACTTGCGCAGAATCGGCGCTCGCAGCACGGAAGATCCAGTGGCGAACTTTATGAAGTACCATGTAAGTCTCAAACTTATCGGCAGTTTTCGAATAGCGATCGTTTATGAAGGAACGAGACATATGTTAACGGAGTATCTTTTGATGATGATAGATCAACGAACTGGGTGCACTGCTTTCCAGCTTGCAGACCTCTGTTGCCCAGACACAGGAAAGTCATCGTGCGATTCTCGTCCGCGATATCAACAAGATCCTTATTTCCAGTCTGCGGTCTGCTTGGAACTTTAGGAGGTTGAACGTCGGGAAATACGCTCTGCAAGACCGCAGCACTCTCGAGCCATGGACAGGTTCGTGTTCACAGCTGACAACCTTGATTACTTAATATTTGAACATGCTGTGTGAGAGTTTACGATAGCTAATTCCGAGACTTTCGCTCTCGTATATTGTAGGCACTGAGGATATCATCGATACTTTGACTAAACAGTACTCAGCAACGTCCAAATTGTGCGCGGTAACCCCGGACCAGAATGGCACATCAATGGACGTTGACAAAGGTAGCTCAGAGCCCCTCACTCCTCTCGAGCATGAGCTTAGGGATCAGCTGTACGACCTTGCTGATCTCACACTGCAAGCGCGTTCTGAGCATTTGCATTATTTGGAAGGATTGCCCACTTCGACTGAGAGCAACATCAGGATCGCTTCCGCTGTCACCGCATATGATGATGCCAAGACAGAATTATTGGGACCACTTGGTACGAACAAATCTGATTATGATCAACATGGGGTGTTTTGTGTGCAGACAGGAATGCTGAAATGTTCCTTGATATCATTTCTCTAGGTAATTTGGACAAGGCTCAGCGTGTGATTCAGTTGGCTCAAAAGTACAAGGACTTCGCGACACTTGTCCAACTTACTTCTGACGATGAAGAAGTCATCAACGGCTACATTGCCAAGTACCAGCAGGAATTTGCCAATGCGCTGTTTCAGTGGTACATCGATACTGGTACGCAACTGTTTGCTCCTCGACTCGTGTCTATCTGTGTGTTTATGGATTTTTAATATCCCTGTGGAGCCAACTAACACTCGCAGGTTTGCTGCTTGCATATCAATAGATCAAATGACTAGACTGTTGGAACAGAGCGAGCTGAACGTCGATCTGTTCACTGACTTTATCGACAACCATGACTGCAGTGACTTTGGCTGGCTGCACGACATCAAGATCAAGCGATTCGGGGAAGGTTCGAGGCGGCTTCAGGAAGCTGCTGCGAGGGAGAACTACTTGGATCGCCGTATGACCATGGCCAGTTTGAGTAAGCTCCTGTTCCTAGCGGAGGGAACCCGTGACGGTGTTGTTCATGAAGGCACCGCAAGATATGCCGCCAGATGTAACGATGAGTTGAACACAGCCACGGTTCAAGTTGACGTTGCTAACTTTCTCGAGACGCAAGGTGAAGCGATGGCAACCGTTCCCGACAAGGCTGAGACTGTTCTGAAGGTGCTGGGATCCCCCATCCTGGCGAAACAAAAAGTCTTGCGCAAGGTTAGTAACCTGGCCCACCAGTTGCGTTCATGGTACGAATTGTACGAAATATTGCGGCAGCGACAAAATGTAACCTAACAGCTTGTATGAATTCCTTTGCTCCTTTTTTCTTTTAGGGCGTTCTTGAGGCGATCGAGAAATTGCTGGAACGTAATGTGCTTTGCTCTGAGGATTTTCTTGATGTTCTCATGCTCCAGCAGGCCACAGAGATCAACGGCACCGACGTGTGTGGTCTTGCTCTCGACATCTGTTTCCAGTCTACCGATATTCCCGAGAACCGTCGTCCCTATGTCTTGCAGGATATCTGGCGCAGGATCTTTATTGCAGACAAAGATGCCTACTGGAGACTGGAAAATGTGAGCGACTTGGAAGCCAGAGAGAGATTGATGACGTCGTGGATGTGCCGGGCATATGCTGTGATCTTCCATGCAGACGGTCACAAGGACGAAATGATGTTGCGTCCACAGGAGGCCAAATGCACAATGCCCGACAATCTGTTCCGGGAACGCAGCCTGGCAAGAGGCGAGACAGATGAGGCGGAATTGAAGAGACGGTACGAGGGCTTGATCCAGGACTATGAGCGCGAGAACGATGAGCTCGACCAGCGGATCCGCGAGGGACAGTTGTTGGAGAAGTGGGAGCGCGTGAAGATGATTGTCAAGGAGGAGAGAGCGGCTGCTATGATGGCTCTGGGGTCCCAGGATGCCATGATGGAGGATGCTGAGATGGCATAGACAGATATCTCTACCCTACGTTTTACCTTTCATAGAAAAATAACAACACCCAACCGATACACTGGATAAGGAAACAAAATGCCAAAAATGCTTTTAATTAATGTGTTGTCTATCGTCTTCTTGCTCTTGAGTGCTGGGCTTCGCTTTGCCACCGGTATTCTCGGAGTTCTTTGGACAGGTCAGGCATCTTGGCACCCCATGCTGGTAGTTTCACGACCTGTTCAGATATTGTTGAGGCAAAGGAGTACTTTGGATTAGTGACTATTTCATGTTATTCGCACAGCCGTTGTCAACACATGAGGGATAAGAAAAAAAAAGGACATACCATGACGGTGCAGTTATCCTCGGCCCCCAAATGTTCTGCAAGGTTCAAAACAAAGGCAGCGGCCTGGGTCGGGTTTTCTTCCAGCTTTACACAATCGACGACTTCCTGGTTGGACATGACGCTCGAGATGCCGTCCGAGATCAACACCATAAAAGCGGCCTCGCTGGCTTTGACGGTTCTGCGGATCAGCTCTGGCTCTGCAGAGACTCCAAAGGGTTTCATGGCAATGTCGCCCAGTGCTCGCGTGTTGGCCAGTTGTCCCAGGAACATGTTTTCGCCAAACGAGTCAGCGCTCACATATGCTGCCATTTTGCGGATACGGTCTAATATTTGAGAAAATGGTGGATAAGAATATGAGATGATGTTAATATCAAAAAGTAAAGCATTTGTTACTTCGAGCGCTTAAAATTGAAGGATTGTGGAGTATGCTCCTTACCAGCTTCTACAATGGCATCCGGGTGGTGGTCTGTGGTGAGTTGAATACTCTCGCCTCGAGGGGCTTCGCAGAGCAGGACACGGGTATCACCAACATGTGCCAGAATCAGATCCAGATCATCCTTTGTTTCCCAGAAGGCACCCTTCGATTGGACAATGACCACCGAAGCCGTGGAGCCGTCCTGATACTTGTCCCGGATCAGCTCTGCGTCGCACTGCAGGAAAGACAGACAGAGTCGTTGTTCGAGCGTCATTGTCGTCGGGATGGGTGTTGGTGTTGCAGTCGCTGCCTTTTCCCGCTTCTCCTTCTCGGCGAGATCCTCTGCCCGAAGACTCAACGAGGCGTATTCGGATCGATCTGTCCCAAAGTAGGCTGTTGTTCCTCCTGGTAGGGGCGACGTCCTGTTCAAGTTCCTCCTCCTGATAATCTCAAAGGGGTCATCATCTTCGTCGTATTCATCCTCTTCTTCTTCTTCTTCCTGTGGCATTTCAACCCTAGGTTTGTTGGTTGCCGCGCGCTCCTTCTGGCTACGCTGCTCTTCAGACAATGGCACCTCCGTCGGGGCTGGAGTAGGGCCTCTCAAAGCCGTCCCAGCAGCCGTCGCTTGACTCTCCAAAGTCTCCAATTCCTGGTTCTGCTCCTCCTCGGTGGCGTTCGGATGGGGTATAAAGATCATCGGTTTGACCTGCCCTCCCTTCCCTGGGATATGAACCTTCCGCTGCTGTCTCGCTCGATCTGCCGCATCTCTTGATCCCTTCGTCTCGAAATCCGCTGGTAAGAACGGTTCCAGAAAGTGAGGACGGAAGTTGCGAAAGTAACCTCCGAGTTTGCGAAGATCCTTGATCACCTTGGGGACCATCCCTGGTTTGGCGGCTTCGATATATACGTCCAAGTTGGCTTTCAGGTAGTCGGCGGTGTTGGATCCTCCGTGGCCGTCAAATATCGCAAAGTAGAAGAGGGTCTTCTGATCCGCATCCATCTGTGAGATCGCTCTTGTGCTGCTGTTGGTTGTTGTAGTGGATGCAGTCGTGGTGGTAGTGGGATCCGTCTCCAATTTCGGTGCGTCCAGGACAAGAACCTTGTATCGATCCTGGTTGTACTTGCGTTGACACCGTGTCGAACGGAGACCAACGATATCCCGATACTTATCAAGATGCACCCGTAAAGTGTCGCCCTGCGAGTTTTTCATGGCATAATAAGGCTGAGAGTACCGATCCGAGCTACTGCTATGAAAAACTCGTCGTTCCCGAACCCGAATATGAAGAGGGCCTGAAGAACACGTTGTTGTCGAGTAGCAGGGTATGTGTGCTCGTCGTCCTGGCCCAGATCCTGCCAATCCAAAAGTGGGGTTGCGTTGGCGGCCCGATCGAGGTTGCTGTTGAGGAGAAAGATGCGCAAGCGGAATTAGAGATCCGACGACGTTGTTGGTAGCTGCGATATTGTTGCTGTTGCTGTTGGCCAGAAGGTCATTGGACGGTGTAGATTGGCGTTGTCGGCGATTGGAGTTATAGTTGCGGTATGCATGTCGTGAGAAAATTGCTGGAGATAAAGGCTCAGACGGTGGCGAGAGCCGCAATGATGGTGAAGGCAATTGCGTTTGTTGGGATCTAAATAAATTGGTTGGCGCTCCGATTGTCGTCGATATTGTTGTGGTTGTGGGAGAGCTTGCGATGGTCGATCGACGGTGGTGGTGAAATTGAAGGGTTTGCCTGCTGGACCCTGAACAAGTCGATGCGGATCGGCGAGGGATAATTGACGATGATGGACTGAGCGTCGTCTTGGTTGAGAAGAAGGTTACTGGGAGAATTGGGTACAGACGGGAGGCTCGAGCTGCTTGACGACCCACGGTGGACGGGAGAGGGAAGATCATTGAGTTCAGACCGAAGGGAGATCAGCCTTTTGGAAAGTCAGTTGGTCGGTCTGCGCGATGGAAAGTGTAGGGAAAAGCAGAGAAGCAAAGAGGAGGGAGATGGTGCAAGGGAGGATGAGAGATGGAAGTAAACGAAGGAGTGAAAGGAGAGCGAGAGAGGGAGTGGGGATGAACTAAGCGATTATAGTGAGGGGATGGGGATGGAATCACTCACAACATGTGAGCCTTAGCCAAAGTGACTGTTCGTGCCCCACGAAAATGATGCGTGTGAAAAAGAAGCCGTGCCACGAATAATTACGCGTCGTGATCCAGATAGAGTGATCATACAAGACGCGTTCTCGCGTTGGACTTCTTTTGCTGTTTGTTACATAACCACGCGTGTAGTGTACGATAATAGAAATGCTCCTCGGTCGAAGTGACAGGCTCATTCTTACTCCATCTCAAAATAGAGTGCCCAACCTGGATGCGCATGCCTAACAAACGCCGACAAAATCTATCGTGCTTTTTTCACGGACTCATTTTAATTGGTGTATCTATTCAGTATTAACAGATAAGCACCTCCTTATTTTTCAAATGCGTATTGACAAGGCAAGGCAAAAGTATAGAGGGAAGGGGCATTTTAACGAAGAACGGTGCGAAGCTGTCTAGGCCATATACAAAGGACAGCCGCTCTGAATCCCGTCGCATCCTGGATAGCCTTTCTTATCCTGGCTCCTTGATCTCTTCGTTTCTGCCCATCTCTTTTTTTTTGTCCACACGGACTCTTTTTTTTTCTCTGCATCGTCCTTTCTCTTGCAACTCCTACCTTTCTTGTTTTTGCCTCCCTTTTGTTTTCTTCTCTCTACCTGTACTTCCTGGTCCACTCCCTCGCAGCGTCGCCCAGTCTTTTGCTTCGCCATACCCTCAAACCTTTTACGGTCTTATCCACAGATCCAACTGACCTTCACCTTCCTGTCTCAACATTCACAAACAATCTTTACCTACCAACAACTCAAGCCAACATCAACATGAAGACCCTATCGGATTCCAAAAACTCCAACTCGTTTGAGTTGGTGTCCATCGACGACCATTCCCAGTTGGATGCTTCGACCTCAGAACCAACACACCCAGCACCATCACCCAAACCACAGGGCTGTTGCTCAATCTCTCCAAAAGGTCGACTCATCGCCCTCGCCGGTTATCTTCTGGTACATGCCTCCCCCGAACCTTCCCATAATGTTGGATAACTTACTTCTCATGCACCTAGCGTCTTTCACTCCTTACTATTTTCACTTTACTCTCTCTGACATGTACCATTGCTCATCTCTATTTTTATTTGCATCCACCATGGTATCACCAACAACCTTCCAACGATTAGATTGCTGGGCTTTCGAGTCTTTACTTTTGCCTCGTCCAGGCTGGTATGGACACGATCCAGATTTGCGACTCTATCGCTAACTGCATGCTGTTCTCAACCCAGGGTTGGCCTGCCATGGGCGAACAAAGTATTGACCTTTTGGTCATGTCCTACATCTCTGGCATCATCTCTGTTGTCGGTGGTATCCTTGGAGCCTTTGGGATCCTTGCCGCCTATAAGGTAAAACTACGATTGTTGACGAGGGGAGAGAGAGAAAGAGAGAGAATGAAGGGATGGAGGGTTGGCGCCCCCTTGGCTAATTTTGTTTGTCTCTGCCTCTGTGTCCCTGTGTAAAAATACCGGTGGTGCATGGCATGGGAGGGAGACAGAAGGGGCAAAAGGGAGTAGAGTAAAGGATATAAAGATGCAATGAAGGAAAGGGCGCCCTGCATTGGATAGGGATAAAATGGTGTTCTCCAGGGCACTGGCTGCTTCCGACCAACCCATTAACCATATCCTAACGTTTCATCCACTTTCTAGGAGTCGTCTACTATGGTACGGTTTTTTGCCAAAGCCTGGTGGATCATGATTGGCGTGTTCCTTGGATCGACCGCATTGACTCTCTTCCTGACGGTCATCCACAGGGCCCGCTTCCTCGACCAATGCAGCCTTGAGCACGATGCTGTTCGCGGTACCTCTGAGTGCGGTGCCATGTATGTTGCAGCTCTGCTTGGTTCCGTCATCGGATGCCTCATCGGTGTAACCATGATCGTAAGTTCATGAATTTATTCTATCGTAGCTTTGCATGCATACCTTGGATCTCCGCTTGTATGGGCAATTCTAACGTTATTATCTTTGCTGCTGTTCTTTGTAATGTTATTTAGTGGTGCTATGGTGAAGATGTGGTCCGCTACTCGATCGAGCTTGGTGCACGCAAGGTCAAGGAACGACGCATCAACAACAACAGCACGTATAACCCATAGCTCAAAACTCGTCCATTGACGATGACGTTTCTACTATCTATCTACTACATACAATTAAAGATCTACATTGATATACCATTGCGTGTGCGGGAATGGGAAACCAACAAGAGTTATACGTGAATGGGCTTGGTTGAGTAGGATAGGATGTGCGTTAATAATCATGGGGAGTGGCTTGACTTGATCGAGAGATAGAATGCAAGGACGATAAGCGATTGTGCTGGGCATGAAGTTGGTGTTGGATGAGGCTGAGACGATTTTTTTTCAGTTCTGTGTTCTGTCGCGCCTCGTTCCTCCTTCCTCTTACTTGAGTCGCTCACTCCTTTTCCTATCTTCCTACGTCCTCATTCACTCCTCTCCTCTCTTACACTCATTCATTCCATTCCTTTCTTCTCTCTTCTTTCTTCATTTCACAACAACAACTCATTCCTTCCCTTCACTTCAGTTCACACCATGTCTGAACCAGCAGAGACAACACAGGCCAACAAGCACCTTTATACAGTTATCGGTAAGACAAATAAACAAAACACCCAACCAAACCGTGAGAACTTCCAACCTTCTTTACGCGTTTACCGCTTATCTTCATGCTCCCGGCCATTTTCTTCCTAACTTTTTTCTGTGACGACCATAGTGTTGGGTGCATCTGGAGATCTGGCCAAGAAGAAGACCTTCCCCGCCCTCTTTGGTCTCTACAAGAACCACTACCTGGACGCTAACACCCAAATCATCGGGTATGCACGCACCAAGATGGACCAATCCACCTTTGAAGGCCACGTCTCCAAGTACATCAAGCTCAAGACTGACGAGGACAAGGAAGCATTGTCCAAATTCCTCAAGCTCTGCTCCTACCAGGATGGTCAGTACGACAAGGACAAAGATTTCCAGGTCTTGGAAACGGCGATCGAGAAACTCGAGAAGTCGTCTGGGGCGACTGCTCGTCTCTTCTACATGGCCTTGCCGCCCTCGGTCTTCATCCCTGTCGCGACCAGCATCAAGCATAACAACTACAAGAAGGGTGTTATTACCCGTTTGATCGTCGAGAAGCCCTTTGGAATGGATTTGGAGAGCTCCCGCAAGCTGGCCAAGGACCTTGGTGCCCTCTTTACTGAGGAAGAGGTAAAACGCTTAAAAAAATGGAAACTTATGTTCGTCATCACATGCGTGTGTGTGTGAGAAAGGGGGATTCATTTTAATCGAGTTGCATGATAAATGTTACTCACACTCACTAACGCCCTGTTCTTTTTATTCTCTCACGATTGCAACTGTGTGTCATTTGTCATATTTACATTAGATCTACCGTATTGACCACTACCTTGGTAAGGAGATGGTCAAGAACCTGATGATTCTTCGCTTTGCCAATGTCATCTTTGGCTCAGTCTGGAACCGACACAGCATCGACAACATTCAGATCACCTTCAAGGAAAAGATCGGTACCGCCGGCCGTGGTGGCTACTTTGACGAGTTTGGCATCATCCGCGATGTCATGCAAAACCGTACGTTATCTTGCATGTTATGCTGCTATTGCATGTTTTACTTTGTTTTTCTTGCTATGGCAAATACTGACCCAATATGCCTCTCTGCATATTCACGTAAAATTAGATCTACTGCAGATTTTGTCTCTCATCGCCATGGAGCCACCAGTTTCGCTTGGCGCTGAAGATGTTCGCGACGAGAAGGTACATAGAACGGTACCATTTAATTGCATGTTAATCCTCAATCATTTCATCTGATAAGGATACTAATGCTTTCTATCTAAATGGATTAAGGTCAAGGTTTTGAGGTACATCCCTCCAATTGCCAAGGGCGACGTCTTGACGGGCCAGTACACCAAGAGCGAGGACGGCAAGGAGCCCGGTTATCTCGACGACCCTACGGTCCCCAAAGGCAGCAAGACCCCTACCTATGCCGCCGCGACGCTCTTTATCCAGAACGAGCGCTGGACCGGTGTTCCCTTCATCCTGAAGTGTGGCAAAGCCCTGGACCAGCAAAAGACCGAGATCAGAATCCAGTTCAAGGAGGTCTCTGGAAATATGTTTACCAACCTCGCCAGGAACGAGATTGTGATCCGTGTCCAACCCAACGAGGCTGTCTACGTCAAGATCATGAACAAGGAACCTGGCCTGGGCATGAAGACTGTCATCTCAGACTTGGATCTCTCCTACTCTAGCCGCTTCGACAATGCTGTGATCCCAGAGGCCTACGAGTCTCTGATCCTGGACTCGCTGAACGGCGACCACTCCAACTTTGTGAGAGATGACGAGTTGGATGCTGCGTGGAAGATCTTTACGCCCATCCTGAAGACGATTGACAAGGGCGAGATCGCACCTATTCCGTATGCGTTCGGCAGTCGCGGTCCTCAGGGCGTTACCGAGTTTGTGGCCAAGCATGGATATGAGAGGTCCAACCAGGAGTATGTCTGGCCTAGCCACTCTGAGGCATCTGTTGCCGCCAAGGGCCAAGACCAGAAGGTCAAGCCCAGCTCTTGAACATAGCACAATTTTCTTTTCTCCTAGCCTACTACTCCTTCATAAAATAAAAACTTCTTTTTGATTTCTGATGTTTTCTGAATTCTTTATTCTTTGATAAGAGATAAGGAAGGGGGGTTTCAAGAAGTGTGCTCAAGTGAAGTGAGACGGGAGATTTACTCCTCATCCTCCTCCTCCTCGCCCTTGGAGGCAGCGGCAGCAGCGCGCTTTCTCTTGACACGACCGGCACGTCCACCACCGTAGGGGGAGGTGAGCGAGAAGTCAATGTGCTTCTGGGAGTCGAGACGGACAACGAAGGAGGGGATGTCGACGACCTGCTTACCGACGCTATTTTTTTTGTCATTGGAGGTAAATGAGAAAGACGAGGTGAGTAAAGGAGCGAGAAATTCAAAGGCAATGCTTGCCCAGTTCCATATCGGTTGCCTGAAAAGAGCAACGTAATGCCAACATACCGAATGTGACGCTGACGGATCAAGACACGGGCGTGGTGGATGGACTTGGCAAGACCGAGCTTGAAGACCTGGGTCTGGAGGCGACGCTCCAAGAAATCCTCGATCTTCAAGGCCAAGACGTAATCCAACTTCATCTTGTCCTCGTCCAAGACACCGATGCGGACCAAGCGGCGAATCAATGCGTTACCCTCGAAGAGGCGACGGGGGTCCTTGTCCTCCAAGGTCAAGAGCTCACGGGCAGCACGACGGATGTTGGACAGGGTGAAACCAATGCGCCAGATCTCGCGCTTGTTACGGAGACCGTACTCTCCGACGAGCTTCAACTCCTGGTCGAGACGGGCGGCCTCGAAGGGACGACGGGGGACCTTGTAGGTCTTTGAGCAGTTCTTGGGAGCTCCGGAAGGCACTGCGAGAAAAAGAAAATTTGATTGAGTTGAAGGGGGTGGATTTTTTTTTGATGTTAGTTGAGATCTTGAATCGTGCTCATTCCTCCAACAGGAGTCCAACAACGTCTTCGAAGCAGCAAATAGAAAAAGAAGACCCAAGAGTAGGAAAGGACTGCATGGAATCGTCAAGTCGAGGAAAGACACTCCAGAGTTGAGAGAAGTACAGAGCTGGGTTTGTTCTGCAAGAAGGTGACTAGGCCGAACCAAGCTTTGATTTCGAATGTGAGGGTTCTAGATCAATAGCTGGGATCAATATGCCATCCTTGTCTTTTCGTCTTCCTTCAGATCCAAATGTCTGTTTCCTCCTCTCATGCTCTAAATAGTGATGATGCTTCCTCTCTTCCTATGACGATTCCTGAAGTAGCCCCTTCTTCATCCTGTTGTTGTGCTCTCGTTCTTTCTCGTATTTGCTGATCTCTGAGTTTGTTGTCCCAATGACATTCAGTGAATCAGCGAATCCCGTCTGCTTTAATTACTGGTGAAAAGTGAAAGAAGGAGCCAGCCTTGACCACAGCCTGATCGTCTTTATTGAAGACAGAAAAAAATTTCAATGTCATTAAGGGTGTCTATTCTTGATCAGGTGACATCTCACCTATCCTTCGGAAAATGGGCGCCCTGATAACCGCCGAAGAAGAAAGGGCCGTCCTGATCCTTTCAACTCCACCCACCCCTCCTCCACTTCATCCCTCTCATCACACAACCCCTCCACAACCATGGCTCACTTTGCCAGGTCAACATCCTTGCGCAGCCTGTCTCGTGCCACTGGTACGAACACCCTTCCTTCTCTGCCATGGCAGCCCCGGTTGTGTTTCCGTGTGAGCATACATTGTCGATCAGTCACTCACTCAGGCACCAGCTAACCTAACTCCGTTTCTACCTTTTTTTTTTCGCGACCCTTTTTCATTTTTCTCGATAAAAGCCCGAGTAGAGCTTGCGTCCTCCAGGTCGTAAGTGAACCTTCTCAATGCCTTTGTGAATACTCAATTGATCCCTTCTTCAAGCGCCAACTATCCGCGAGTATGAAAATTGACTCTCCTTCCTCCTCGCCTCCTCTCCTTTCCCCTTTCCCTTCCTCTCCCGGGAACAAAACTCACTTTGTTACAATCAATTAGATCATTGTCGCGTGTAGCTTCAAACGCTCAGAGCAGGGCATACTCCTCTGCACCACCCAAGGCAACTCAGAAGTCCTCTATGTCTGGAAAGACCTTTACCGCCCTCGGACTTGCCGCTGCCGCTGCCGCCTTCTGGAGCCAAAAGCCTGCTGTACGTTCACACCCATTTTTCCCGTTTCAACCGTTCAAATCAAACATACGATCTTTCTCGTCTCGATCTGGGATGACTTGAAGAGGGGCGAGACATACGTGCATAAAGCGCGTTTTTGTTGACACATCTTGTAAAACAGAAATAGTGAGCCGGCACAACTAATCCAGGAATGGTATCGATTCCGAACTAACCAGTTGGTACCCAAAACACTCATAACATACGACGGATAGATCCAGACCGTTGAGTGTGAGGCACCACCCAAGAAGGACGAGAAGAAGAAGTCAATCAAGACCGCAGAGGACGACAAGAAGCGTGTAAGGAGAGCATATCTTTTACTTCAATTGGTCTATGGTTCCAGCATGATCGTCTTTCAAGGTGACACGTACCACTTTTGCCTTAACCGTCGTCCCCTCTTTCTTTGTTGTCAAAAATAGAAACTTGAGGGATTGACCCCCGATTCACCTATGCGTTTGAGGATGGAGGCGTTCAACAAGCAGCTGCAGGCCGAGATCACAGCCCGCCTGGAGAAGCTGGATGGCGTCGGCAAGTTCAAGGTCGATTCATGGAACAGAGTCGAGGGAGGCGATGGTATCTCGATGGTCATGCAGGACGGTAAAGTCTTTGAGAAGGCCGGCGTCGGTGTATCGGTCGTCTACGGCATGTTGCCCCCCGCGGCTGTGGCCCAGATGCGTGCTCAACACCCCAACATTGCGGCGACCAAGGAGTCAATGCCCTTCTTTGCGACTGGCATCTCGTGTGTCATCCACCCCCATAACCCCAACGCCCCCACCGTCCACTTTAATTACAGATACTTTGAGCTCGGAAGCGAAGATGGCGGCGAGCCTGTCTCGTGGTGGTTCGGAGGTGGATGTGATCTTACCCCTACGATCCTCTACGAAGAGGACGCTGTTCATTTCCATCGGGTGATCAAGGAGGCTTGCGACAAGCACGACCCACGCTACTACCGCGATTTCAAGAAATGGTGCGACGAGTACTTTTATATCCCCCACCGCAACGAGCGTCGCGGAGTCGGTGGTATCTTCTTTGACGACCTGGACGACAAGAAGCCTGATGAGCTCTTTGCATTCGTCCAGACCTGTGGAAAGGCCTTCCTCGACCAATATGTCCCCATCATGGAGAGGAGAAAAGACATGCCCTTCTCGGACGCCGACAAGCACTGGCAGCAGATCCGTCGTGGCCGGTATGTTGAGTTCAACTTGGTTTATGATCGCGGTACCAAGTTTGGACTGTTGACCCCCGGTGCTCGTATCGAGAGTATTCTGATGACCATGCCCTTGACCGCCAGGTGGGAGTACATGCACGAGCCCGATCTCAAGGCCCATGCCAAACTCATGGAAACCCTCCGCGTCCCTCGCGAGTGGATTCCTTTGTAAATTTTTCTTTCCCCTTCATTATCCGACTAGACCTTCTTTTCTTTCATTTCTCTTACATTATTTTGGCCCTTATTAAAACATATCCTTGCAGGCTTGCACAACTTTGTCTGGCAGACTGAAAAAATCGATCCGTGATGCGAATGATGCTGTATCAATGTATGTTTAATAGGCCTGAAAAATGTATGTAGTGCTCCCTTCGGAATCCCTCCTCCCCCGATCTCCTGTTCCTTACTTCAAGTCGACTCCTGCTTATGCCTTGGTCTCGGTAGCATCAAAGATCTTTCCCCGCTTGCCACCTCCCTGAATCGAAAACTCGGCAACCTTACGCTCCAAATCAGCCAACTCCCACTTATTCGACGACAAGACCTTAGGCACATGACGAGCAATAGCCTTATTCTTCAATCCTGTTGACGTTACTGATCCTGACTCCTTTGTAGAAAGAGCCTCGACAATCTCCTTGATGGATCCAGACTTGGCGGCCTCATGTCGTGCCAAAGTCTTGAACAAGACCTGGTTCTTCAAATCACCGGGTCCATCGATGAGTTCGATCACGGCCACGGGGGCATTGTCGCCGAACCGGTTGCCCATCTTGTGGATGCGGGTGTAGCCGCCCTTCCTGGACTTGAATCGTTCTGCGAGGGGGCCGAACAACTTTGGCAATGTCACTTCGTGCTCCTATTGGTTTGGTGAGGGAGGAGGGGAAAAGGGTTTAGTAAGAGGCGTTTGTGAAGTGTTTTTTTGTCGTCCCTGATCACGCCAAAGTGTGGTGTCTTCCTTTGCGCGTATGTTTCTCCAAATGTGTGTTTTTTTTTTTTTGATCCGGATCCGTAAAAGAGAAAGTGACATACCCGGAGGAAGGAAGCGGCCTGAACCTTGGCGTGCAAATCTCCGCGCTTTCCGAGGGTGATCATCTATCAAGTGACCCAAAGAGTAACAAAAAAAACATATTAATATCAAACTACAAAATATGGTGATCCTCAGAACTGACCGACAGAACAAAAAAAACCCCTCCTACGTATTCCAGGAGAATAAGGGCATGGTATGTACCTGATCGGCAATAGCCTTGAGCTCCCGAGCCTTGGGGAGGGTAGTCTTGATGCGATCATGCTGAATCAGTTGTGTGACAAGGTTGCGGAGCATCGACTTGCGATGGGACATTGTCCTGTTGAGGCGGCGAAAGTGCTTTCCGTGATGCATGCTGGTATTTTATTGTCGGTTTGTTGGAGGGTGAGAGGGTGGTGGAGCGGAGAGAGTGATGCCCTTTGCGGTCGACGGTTCAAAGAGTGAATGCAGAATCAGGCACAGGCAGAAAGGGAGAGTGGAAGGAGCTCGAGAAAGTTGGACTGCTACGCTCAACGCCCCGAAGTAAGATTTGTTTACCACGAATGAGCGGTTGTCCGTTCGAATTCACGCACAAATCGTAACAATAAACAGTCCTGGTTGTAAAATGTATAAACAAGCCACATGTGAACAGAGAACGTTTACCATCACTGTGGTGCCTTCTTCTTGACTGGGTGCCGCCGGTTTGGGAACTTGGGGTCCAAACTCGATATTACATTAGCATTCTTCTCCCTTGGGTCCCAACCAATCACCACGGCGCCCTCTGGGTCCGGATAATCTTCTCGGCAAGAGAACGTCAACTGCACATTTGGAGGTAGCTTGCTTCCCGCGGGCTACCAAGCCCATTGGCTTGGAACACTGCTGGAAGGGTTGTTGTTGTCCTGACTCTGGCTTATCTCCTCGGCTTCGTCCTCGATATCATCCAACAAGTCAACATCCGGGACGTCGGCGTCCAGATCGTCAGAGCTGCTGTTACTGTCGATGCTGCTACTGTTAAGCTTGCACCGTGTTCTCCGAGCATCACTTACGACAGATGTGCCCATGTTCGAATACCCATGGTGATCAAAGAGAACCTTGATGAATAATCCTCTGGAAGTTGAGAAGAGGGCGTTCGCGTATCCAGAATGGTTGCCCGATAGCGTTCCGGAACAACAAGCAAAGTCAACTAGAGAATCCCCAATCCTCCCTGTGTTGTCGTTGGCGTAGAACACATCCCGTGGACAGGGTTCGTAAAATAGATAAAGCCAGGGGTCAAACATGATGTTGGAAAGTCGCACGTGCTGAGTGTTGACAAGCCGAAGCGATCCTGAACAAGAGATCGACATGACTAGAGGCCAACGATTGAACGAGATCCTACAGTGACTGTGGTGAATTGGTGTAAAGTGCATTGTTCGTTGTTTTTGTTCCTGTGCTGGCAAAGGGCTCCTAGCAAAGACTAACTACATCGACAAGCATTACTTGCCGTACTTGGCGAGCCAGTCCTTCTTCCACTGAGTATCCTCCTTGGGGACAACCATAAACCTTGCCAGCCCATCCCGGAGAACATGCTTCTTATGCGTCAAAACCGTTAAGAACTTGACATTCAACCCAACCTTCATCAACCCAATATTTCCTCCTTGATCCTCCGTCTCAAAATACGTCTGCACCGTCTCTGGCTTATACTTGTGCTCGAGGTCCCAGGGCGCAGCCTCATAAAAGATCTCGGCCAACTGCTCTCCAATCGTATCCTGCTCATTAAACGCCTGGATCAGATCCGACTCGTTATGCTCAGGGTACAAAAAGAACGTCGGCACCGTTAATTGATCCAACTCCTGATCCAACTGAATCTCATGTGGGTGGTCTGGCTTGAATCCCGGTGTGGCAGCGGTACGGATGCCACGCTTTTCTAATGCTCCTTCGATCAACATCTTCTTTTCCCGAATCTTTTGTTCCCGAAGTTCCTTCGCGATCCTGATCTTTTCGCGACGGTCAAACTCAGCCTTGATCTTGGCCTGCTCATCCTTGACGGGTTGGTTGTCGGGTTCGTTGAGCAATGCGTGCTCGCAGCAGTCCAGGGCCTCGAGGAACATCTCCAATGCGAACAGTGCCTTTGCTGAACGGAAAAGTGCCTTGACGTTCTTGGGGTTGAGCTTCAATGCGTGCGCACAATCCGTTAACACCTTCCTGTAGTTTCCTATTACACACATATCAATACAACATGCGTTGGTTAGAAACACATACATGTCCAAAAACGAAGAACTTTTTCTCCCGCTCCAATTGTAGTGTGTTACAACAAAAAAGAGATCATAATGCTAAAAGTGTCCTTACCGAAGTGAAGGTTGCAGGCGGCGCGGTTAACATAGAGCGTCTCGTTCAGCTTATCGTCATTGCAAAAGACCTCCAGACCATTAGTATAAAACACGAGGGCGTCCTTGTAAAACTTCTTTCCTTGCTTGAAGCACTCGTTTCCTTGGTTCTTGAAGTTCTCCGCCACCTCTACCATCATGTAAAACGCCAGAGTCAGCCGCAGTATTCGTCACGTCTTTCATACATATATACATACATACATACATACATACAATAAGAGCTACCTATAGACGTCCAATTAAACCCCCCTATGAGCAGCAGATGTCTATGTTACCTTCAGGGGTTCCATCATAAGCCAAATCCTGAAGGGCCTGAATCAGTGGGTTGTCACTAGCGTCCTCGGGCAGGCTGTTCATGAACAAGGGTACGGAATCCATCGACTTGTGCAAATCAGTCTCGTCCAGCGCCCAGTCTGGGCGGCTGGGTCTCTCGGGTCCTGGGAGAGGAATGCCGGTCTTTGATCTCCTGATGCCGTCGTCTGGGATGGGTGATGTCATGTCGAAAAGTGTTGATGTAAGAGTATGCAAGTCTTGTGGTGTGGAGAGTGTAAGAGAGAGAGAGAGAGAGAAAGAAAAAAACCCTGGAGGAAAAGTGTTCTACCTAGACTTCAAATTTCTGCAACGTTCCATTTCGTCGCACGGCCCTTGCACTCAAAGAAAAGCCACGCAACCTTCCTGGCAGTCACATTGCCACATTGTCTTGTCCCAGGGCATGGCGGGAAAAATGGCAGCATACCGTGAAGCATTTGCAGGTGAGCCATCGTCTTCAAAAACGTGTGCCTTTGAACACGATAGGATTCGACGCGGATAACCGATACCGCTCGCGATATTTTTGCTCAACGTGTACCACGCAACAGACATTGAGGAAGGCGGAGTCATGTCGCAAGGCGCGGTACTGAAAACTGAAAGCTGCTCTTCTTCTTTGCACCTTCAACGGAACTGCAATGTCTGTCCCGTTCTATCGCTGCCGTATACTGCTCATCCTGTTCTGCTCCCTCAATTGATTTTTTTGAATGTTTATTGGCTTTTTTGCTGTTGTTGTCGTTGTTGATGTGGTTGCTCTCGATACAAGTACAAGGGTGTGCTAATGAATGGGGGAAGGAGCCGCCAGTCGGCTAGTTGCATGGGTTATCTCCGATGGAGAGATGGGTGCCTGCTGAGGGGTGTGATACCGGTTTTTATCTGAGGGGTACTCCGAGTCGTGTCCTGGTCGATGGTGGCGGCTGCTGCTGCCGTTCTTGTAGAGCTGCTGCTGTTGCTGCTGCTGTTGCTCTCGCTGTTGGTGGTGGTGCTGTGAGTGTGAGCGCGACGGCTGGGAGTGCTGGGATTGTGAAGAGTTTTGAGGGCGAGCATGCTCTTGCCGGTAGTCGCGCATTTGCTCTTGTCTCTGCTCTCTCCGGTGTTCAGGATGAGGCTCACTGCCATTGTGCCTGTAATCATGCCTCGATTGACCCTGGTGGTGATCCGGTGCCAGCTCCTGTCGGACGTCCCGTCGACTGCTCTCGTACTGATGGTGTTGCTGCGACCGCGATGGATCCTGTCTAGACTCTTGTGCATGCTGCTCCACCTGACCCTGGCTGTCCTGTGCAGAATCTCCGTTTTGCTGATCACGACTGCCAGACGTTGATCCTGGCATCAACGCTGCTGGTACTGCAGGCGAAGCTGTGTCATCCTCTGCATCTCTATTAGCAACCTCCTCGCACATCCAATGCTTCATCAATTGATCGCCGTATGTCTGAAGCTCCTCGATCGAGATGGCCAGGGCAAAGTTGTTCAAAGTCAAGAACTCGACCTCCAGTTGGTTCAATTCTGATACGGGCAATCCTCCAACCTAATAGGTGTTCGATTTTGTTTTTTGAGAGAAATGCAAGATAGAATAAATTAGTAAAAGGGGATTGGCATGAATTCTTTCTATCTCTGCTATCCTGGTAAAATGAGGGGGGGGGAGCTGAAGGGGGAGAGGGATCATGTCAACAGTGCGTGTTTGTTGTTTGGAAGCCAAAACGATATGGTGAAGTGCTTTGCCCTTTCATCTCTCCAATGGTGTCCCAAGGATGTGGACTTTGAATCGTATGGAGAATGCTGCTCTTAGCTAATCATTCGTCTCCAACAATTTGAGATATACAAAAAAAATAAGAGAGGACGATGGTTGCTCCTCTCCCTCTAATCCTGTATAGACATCCTTGTTCTTCTCAGACGAATAGGTGAGTCCATCCAGCGTTCTAATTGGTCTCCTCCTTTTCTCAGCCTCTCCCCGTTCTCCGTTTTGTTCAATCTCTGCTCCCGTCTTCTCTCTGAAATAGTTATGGATGGTTCGTTACCTTGGCGTAGCGAGAGTTGGTGAAGAAGACATCGGAAAAGTACTTTGCAGAGACCATGATCCCGGCAATGATCAGTCGATGGATGTTGTAGCTGTCGATCGAGAATTGACGCCCCTCGCCTCCTGTGATCTCCTCGACGTTCCGGGCCATCCTGTCAAAGTAGACGAGCAGACTGAGGAAGCACTCGTTTGCGCAAGGGCAGTATTTGAGGATGCGCGTCAGGTAGGCGTTGATGCTGATAGAAGGTATCGACCGGGCGTGGAAACGGGTGAAAGAGGTGTGGATCTGATGCTGGGCCGGTGTCATGACGACCATGGAGGTGTCTGGCTCGGGCAGACCCTGCTTGATCTTATCGTTGGCGGTGGTGATGCGCTCCAATAGACTCGCGAGCATCTTGAGCGTCGAGGTGACTGGGTGGATTGACAAGTCGAGTGCGTGCATTCTCGTCACTTTTTTTCCTGCTCTGAGTTTGTTGTGGGTGTTGTTGTCTCTGTTGAGGTTATAAGGAGAGTAATTAGGCAACACCAGCGAGCAGAAGAACGAGAAAAAGAGGAGAAGGGCGAAGGAAGAGAAGAGAGAAGAAGAGGAAAGCAAAGGAAAAGGCAGGAAAGAAAAAGAAAACAACAGTGCTCACTAAATATTTTTTTCTTATGTTTTGGAATGCAGCTGGAAGGTTAAAAGGGAAAAAGGGAAACGATGGAAAGGAAAATGGAAAAGAGAAAAGAAAAAAGATGTTAACTGGCCGATTAAAGGTCAATGAGAAAAAGGGGGGCCAGTGGACGATGTGGGTGAGTTCAATATGCCAAGGAGGGAGGATGGGAAGGAGTGAGTGTCAACGCATACAAAAAGAAAACTGTGCTGCAAAGCAACCACAAGCAATTTATCAAGGTTTTCTTTGGAGACTTTCCCGAGGACGATACAAGTGTGGGTGTGCGATGAATGAACAGAATAGAAATGAACAGACGTCAGAGATGGAAAACCGAACAGCAACGAAAACAAGGACGGACGAAAACGAAAGGAAAGAGAACAGAGAGAGAATAGAGAATGGAGCCGATGATGATGGTTGGGAGAGAGTAGAGAGTAGAGAGAGAGGGAGAGAGTGATGACCAAGTGCTCAAACCAGAGAAAGAAATAAAATGGCGACTTCCAGGTGAACATAGGGCGCACTAATTCGTCTCTCTCTCTCTCTCTCTCTCTCTCTCTCTCTCTCTCTCTCTCTCTCTCTCTCTCTCTCTCTCTCTCTCTCTCTCTCTCTCTCTCTCTCTCTTTTTTTTTTTTTTTCTCTTCCTCTTCATTTATCCACATCCTGCCATGAGCTGCCCTTCTCTCTCTTGTTGTTTGTGTGTGTGTATCTCTCCTAAGGCTCTTGTTGACACCACAAACAAAACAGAGACACACCCATGCAAAACTAACAAACACAGTTTGATTACACTTTTGCTGCTGTTGGTCCGGTCGTCCTTCCCCCCCCTCCAAAAGTGCCCCTGTCCAACCTTCGTTCGATTCATTTCTCTTTCCTTTCCTTTCATTCACCGTTTCCCACACCCTGGCTCAAAAACGTGTTGCCTTTCGCCTTTTGTCTTTGCCTTCGCTTGGTGTCACAAAGCATAATCGCATTTTCAATAAGTACCAATAGCATGCATGCTGGTTTGCTTACTCTTTTATCACCAAATTTCATCGGTGTCTATCGCCAGTAATACGACCAGGAGTACCTGCAGCTGCAGCAGCTGAAGTTCTTTCACTACCGCAACTCCACAGAAGCACCTTGTTGCTCCAGTCGCTACCGACCATCATGCTCAGATCCTCCGACACTGCAACATCCCTCAAAAGCTCGTTCGAAACCCCATTCGAGATGATCTATCAGAAATGCAAATGCACCCAAAAATAACAAATGCGAGGGGTGTTCAGATCAACATAAAACTCTCAAACATACAAATGCACACATGCACATGCAGACATATTACAACAATAACAAAGAGCAATTAGAAGAAAGAAACAGTATAACACATACCCGATCTGGCTTGCAGGCAATGATGTTGCCATCCGATGCCCTCTTTGGAGTACGACCCAAGTCATAGATGGCAAGCGCGCCATTGGCCATCCCTGCGACCAGCATCGACTGTCGCTTCTCAAGCCAATCCATTTTCTCAACCTTCTGTTTGCTCCCCATTGGCTTACTTGACGATATCGTTGACGACAAAGACCTCCGTAGGCTCATGTTCGTCACTTTGTTCTCCACCACCGTAAACTTGGCCCAGCTCTCGCCAATCGACCACTCTAGAATCGTCTTGAGGGCCGCATCTGTTGCTGTGCTCTTGGCTGCATCCCACACAATAAACTCTCCCTGACAACTCTCCCTCGATGCAAATACAAACTCGCCTACATCTTCTTCGTCACTATCGTCGTTCTCTACATCTGAATCAGCATCAGCATCAGAATCGTTCGAGCCGCCTCTATTGGCGCTTGATCCTCCTCGTCCACCTCCACGACCACGACCACCACGCCCGCCACGTCCGCCACGTCCGCGACCCCTGCCTCGCGTTCCCACACTTTCCTTGCTCGACTTCTTGCCTGCCTTCGAGCCAGCTTTCCCTTCTGCCTGCAAGGCCGCATACGACTTTTCCGAAAAGTTGGGAATGTAGATGATATCGTCGACCGAAGACTCGTGCCACTCTTGCGACACGGGGTATATGCGCTCCGGAAGGACTTTGCGTACGGTCTTGCCCTGCTCAGTCTCCAACTTGGAATTCAGATCGAAGAGATTGTACTGCGCCATGGCGCCCTGATCCGTACCTACAATCAGATACTTTTCACTGACACCAATGGCCGTAACAGAGTCGCCCTGATGTGTAAACTCGGCAAGGCACCTAAATCGCGCGGGTTTAGCGTATTTTGCGTATCAAGAGAGGGAAAGTCAATTGGTTAGCGCCGATTTCGCCTCTCAATGGGATCAGATTGGTCGAACGTGTTCAGGGGTTTAAGAGGTAAAATAATCTAGGCTTACCTTGACTCGGTCTCAAACCCAGCTAGGGACCCTATATCCCATAACCGCACAGATCCATCGGTAGACGCACCTGGGAACAAGGGAAGGAAAAAATAGAGCCAAGGGTGGCCGTGTGAGAACTCTTCCTCTTTTCTTTAGCGATTCTGAAATCTGAGAAATCTGAGCGTGAAAACAGGGCAAGCAGAACTTACTAAACAGCCAACGTGGATTGGTAAGAGAAAACCTGAGCCGAACAATAGAGTCCGTATGGCCGTGAAGGTACTTGTAACAGGTGTTTTGAAGAGGGTTGATGAGCTTGATGCTCCCAAGTCGCCCTATGGTAGTATCAATGAAAAAAGAGTATGTGAATATTTGTTACTTGCAATACCACTGTGCGGAAACATATTGTGACACTACCAGCTATATCGTGCTGTTACCTGCTGCTGCCAAGATGTTGGTCTGCTCGAGACGTCCTTCTTTCGACGTGGCATCATCTCCTTCCGTGTCCTGATCGTGATCCAGAGTCGTCCAGGCAAGAGCCATAAACTCTTCCTCTTCCACATGGCTATACTTCGCCATCACCTTTCCAAGCCGACAGTCGATCAAGCAAACAGTGTTTCCTCCGCAAGTCGCCACAATACTGCTACTCCGTGGTGCTTGTTGTGACATCTCCTTTGCTAGACGCTTGTTTCTCCTCCGTATCCTGACCTCATCAACATCCACGTCGTCGCCCTCTTCCTCATTGTCTGATCCAGAGTCTTCATCTTGATCCTCTGCTCCGCCTGGCGTCTGACGAAGAACGGGTAATGTAGGTTGAAACGCCACAGCCCATGTATCCACCTCGTCCTCATCCTGACCTTCATGGGTGTTCCTGGAATGGGCACGAAGCACGTGCTCGATTGTTGGTTCGTCCGCAAAGATATTGTCTTTGACAGTTGACTGATTGCCATTCGCTTTGGCCCGTTCTATCAAGTCACCATGAGAAACAATGATTAGACGCGACAATCCTTTACAGTGTTCTCCACAGGTGAAAATAGAAAGTAACAAGTCCCTCCTGAACTTACTCAGCAGACTTGGAAACAGCCAACACTCATCCGAAGGCCGCTTCCTGTCAGGCTTTCTCCAGTCGCCTTCGATCTCCGTCTCCAGTTGAGACAGAGTGCTATATGACTGTTCGCTTTCCTGATCCCGCTTCGCATCGCTGTCCAGCATATCCATTCGTCCTGTTTTTGTGGGGCTTTGTTTGGGAGGTGCGCGTTTTGATGCTGATTTGGGTGCTTTGGTGTGAGATGCGGGGGTCGCGCTAGCGGCAGGTGAACGCTCTACGCCGGTGGCTTTAGGTTTCGCCGACGACTTGGCAGCAGGCTTCGTCCGTGACTTCACGGCTGGTGTTGACTTTGGCTTGGACGCTACAGGAACAGGGGCAGCAGCGGATTTCCGTTGCACTACAGGCCGCGTTCCTGGTTTGCTCCCGGTAGCGATTCTAGTCGCCTCAGCCCGTGTTGTTCTCATCACTGGTGTTTTCTTGACAGGTTTCGCCTTTAAGATCGATTCGTCCTCCGAGTTCACCTCGGGTGAGCTGATGATGGTCCTGCGTGGCGGCATGACTGATGAGCAAAGAAGATTGATTGGATGTTCTCGTTCGTAGCATGCGACGATGTTCTTGTGTTTCAATTCAGAAAGGGTCCTTGGACTCTCTAGTCATGAAAACAATGAAGACTGTCCTGCTAGTTAAGGGTCTCACTGGGGTTCAGATTTCCTTCCGACTAACAGCACTTTGTGATGCGCGTTTCGGCTCGCAGATAGGGTCTCTGGTTTCTGGCGACACTTTTTCTTTTACATCTAGTCTCTTCGTCACAGGACGGCGAGGAGTCTTGTATCGCCGTTAAGAGACGGGAACACCACGAGCAAGTAGCTAGTTCCTGTCTACAAAGGACTTTCTTTGCAACGCCCTTGTCCTTATCAAGTACAGCAAGTCTGAGGAGGAGGAGCATAAGCCCAATAGCTATTGTTCTCCGAGTGTACTTCGAGAATAGCTCTTTGAAAGAGTTACTTGGTTTATTGTCAAAAAACAAACGAATGTAGGTCACTTTGGCAACCATAGACTTGAACTGTGACAAAGGTGGCTGCTTTGTGCTTTTGGTGGCGCTTCTTGTAAATCTGGACTCACACCTCAGAGGAAAATCCAATCATCTGAAGGCCTATCGATAGATATTTGATGCTTCGGCGTTAGAGCGCAAATACACAGCAAACAGAAGCTGTAAACTGGCAAATGCATAGAAAACATTAATAAAGGACAAAGGAGCATCACATCTTACATGTTGGGGCACTCACTTCACTTTCAATTTGAGGGTCAAGATCTCGAAAGCGTGCAAGACGATCCATCCCGAGGCACGTTCGCTCTTGACAAACTCGACGGGTTCACCATCGTCTTCAAGGATGTTGCATCGTACAACGCTCTGGACATTGAGAGAGCTATGCGTATGAGAGACATCAACATACAGGTTAATTGGTATACTCTCGTCAATCAGCACGACAGTCAGCATGTTCGTTGAGTAGATGGGATGTTATTTTACCACTTCAGCTTGAACTGAGCGCGTCCTCCAAAGGCCTCATGGAGACGGATAATGACATGGTCGGAATCCTCTGCTCGTTTGATGGTATCCAGGACCACATTCTTTGCGCCTTCAATCTCAAAGTACGAGACAGGCTTATGCCCCTTCAGTGAGTTCTTCGCAATCGAGCTAGAGAATGTAGTAGTGACAAAAGTGTGATGTTAATCTGCAGTCACCTACTTTCTTGCCAAGTAAAGTTGACTGGTGGTAGTAAAATAGCAGAAAACACCTACTGGATGATCATGGGAACGTTGAACTGGTACGACTGCCGGACGACGTTCGATTCGTGGAAGGTGCCTTTGTGAGGCAACACCGCAAACGCAAACTCATGGTGACCTATAATCCCATTTCATCAACATTAACAAAGCATGAGTACGCATCTTTAACATCAAAAATCAATCCTTGAAAACAATAAAGATACTTACCCATATCACAGTTCAGGTCTGGCGCCTTGGGAGAACGCAGCAGCGATAGACGCATGACGTTTCCGTGGCAAGAGTATCCAAACTTGCAGTCGTTCAGAAGGGCGACACCGTAGCCGTGCTCTGACAGGTCAGCAAATTTGTGCCCGCACACTTCAAACTTGGCATAGTCTTGGCTCGTGTTGTATGTGGTTGGGCGCTGGATGACTCCAAACTGCGAGTCGTAGGTGGCAAAGTCCGAGATGATGTCCCATGTAAACTCGACTTTCTATCAACACGAAAGACGGAGAAGACTCGATTGCCGCGTTAGAAAATACAACTCTGTAGCAGTTAAAAAATCCTCATAGAGGTGTTAAGGTGACATACCAGGAGCTTGCGGTTTTCGTGCCAGTCAGCTTCCATGTGGAACTCCAAGCGAGGCGTTGCGGCAGTCAAGACAATAGTCTGAGAGGCAGTGCTGTGGTCGGTCAGCCTATGCTCAACAATAATGGTTGCTCTCAGAGGTCCAACCTCGCCGATTCGGGCCTTGCCGGTTCCTGCAGGCTTGCCAGTGTTGAGGTGATACATCTCGACATCCCATGCCTCCCAGTACAGGGGCACATCCTCATAGAGCTTGAGTTGGTTGCCAGCCTGCCCCTTGGGGATCAACTCACGCGTCTCGTGTTTGTCATAGAGACTGATAAGGTGACCCTGCTGGTTGAACTTGGCGATGATGAAGTCGTTGTCCAAAATAAGCTCATGGCCCTGTGAAGTCGCTGTGAGATGACAAGGCGCAATGAAAAAGTGTGTTAACAAATGGCAAGTTGCTCATAAAACAATAGACAACAACGAGGGAAGTGAGAATGGTTACCATGGACACGGCCCGTCTCCGACTTCGAATCCGCAATGTCTCTGTACTCGAATGCACCATTATCAACTATTCCAGGGTAGAGTGAACCCAAAGCAGCGTTAGTATTATGGCGAGGGGGTTCAAAGAATCAATAAAAGAACACGGACAACGCTATTCCATACCTCGGACATATCCGGTGTTCTTGCCGGCAGAATACTGCTGAAGATTGTCGCCTGTCTGGGCAGGGATCTCAATGATCTCAGAGCGGTCCCATCCCAAGGAGTTGAAGGCAACAAAGCTGTCGCCAGAGCCATCTCCTGATGACTTGGATTGGTAAAGGTGACGAAGACTCTCCTCCAAGATACGCTTGGCTAATATTGTTATTCGAGAAAGAGTCAGTCAGAGGTGGTTCGCTGTTGAATTGCTTTATAATATTGGTGGCGCAAGCAAGCCCATGCAAACCTTTGGTCTCAATGTTCTTGTAAATGGCGCGAGCATCGATGTTTGCTAGCTCGATAGCTGACCCAGGGAGGACATCGTGGAATTGGTTCCTAGACATACAAGCAACATAATGTGGGTGAGCATTGTCTCCCACACAGTCAAAGACAACAAGTGGATTCAGGCTGACAGTACTTACAAGAGCAAATCCTTCCAAAGGAGATCAAGGTCTGCCTTTGGGTAGGCATAGTCGCGAGCAAGACTCATGCAAAGCGTGGTCGCAATCTCAACATCGCGAAGCATAAACTCGAGTTTACGGTTGTATCTCTTGGTGGCAGCCTGCGAGGTATATGTTCCACGGTGAAGCTCAAAGTAGAGTTCTCCTTTCCACTCCTGAAGACCCTTGGCCTTCTCTTCGACACTCTCGAAGAAAGCCTCTGCACTTCCCATATCGCAACGCGGAAGACCATCCTAGTATATGTTAACATAAAGAACAACTGTTAGCCAAGACTTACGCATTCCAACACCCATGTCGTAATCATGACCCTATACTTACAATGTCCTTCATGCGACGGAGTCGTTCCAGCATGCCTCTTTGAGGTCCTCCGCCTCCGTCTCCGTTTCCATAAGGCAAGAGACTTTGGTTGCTGAATGCGAGATCGCGGTTGTTCCTGATGCTATTGTTGCTCATTGTGAAGGGGTATTGAATGTTAGTGATCAGAAAAGAGAAGGCGAACGCGCGATGCGGTGACCCAGTGAGCATTGTTTAGAGTGTACCTTCGAACCATGTCTCCGACATCAGCCTGAGCGGTGTAACTATTATTCATATGAAAAAAGAGACATAAGAATGATTGCCATCCATGCATTGCAGTGATAGATAAAATCAAGTGCACAATACTTACGTTTCACAGGGGGCCATATGTGTGAGGATCTTGGTTCCATCCAGTCCTACCCAAGTGAAAGTAGTGTTCGGGAACTGTGGCAAAAATAGGTCAGTCACTTTGTTTTCCGCCTGTTGTGAGTGGCGCTCAGTGCACATATATTGACGAGTACCTTATTGATGTTGTTCCACGAGAGCTTTTGCGTGAAAAAGTATTGCGCTCCTGCTTGTTTGACGATTTGTGGGAGCTGTTGTCACAGTGAAGGAAGAAGTAAGTAATATTTTCACTACAAATGCATTGCCTGGTGCACATTCTTTCCATCGCTTAAGGTTACCTGGGCGGAGTATCCAAAGGTGTCAGGGAGCCAAAAGATCTTGCATCGTGCACCAAAGTTCTTCTCGTAGTACCGCTGACCATAGAGGAACTGGCGGCAGAGAGCCTCTCCGCTTGGAAGGTTGCAGTCCATCTCGACCCAAGTCGATCCAATCACGTTGAACCGTCCTTTCTTTGACGCCTCTTTAATCTCTTGGAACAGCTTTGGGTAATCGTGCGCGAGCCATTCCAGTTGCTGTGCCTGGGAGCACACAAAGACATACTCGGGGTAGTCCTCCATGAGTCTGAGCTGGGTTGACCAGCTTCGCGCAGTCTTGCGACGTGTCTCCGCATATGGCCTACAAGTTACATCGTATGCCAAAGTAAGGCGTGAGACGTAGGACAGATAAGGAGATCAAAACAAATCTACAGGCAAGAAACAAGCTCACAATCATCTTACCACAGCCAGGCGGTGTCGATATGGCTAATGCGTAAAAAGAAGAGATAGAGATAGAAAAATCAATTCACTGTCTGAAGGATGCACTCGCATAATAGGCACTGCAATTGATCCCAATGTACCAGTTTCCGACGGCGGTGACATGGTGGGCGTTAGGAGCGGCCTTCTTGGACAAGAACTCGTGGGAGATCTGGAGGCACTTCTTGAGCGATGCATCAAGATCGTCCCGATCGTAGTTGTCGATCACCTGGTTGAGGGCATAGAGAGCCTCCTGTCCGCGAGCCGTTTCGTTGGGGAGTTCATTCGCCATACCTGTAATGACCTGCATATCGTAGAAGAGCGTCCATGCCGCGTGGTTCGGGACCGCGAGTTCAACTAAACGTAGACCATGAAACAGTATACTACTCAGCACAATGTCATACAGTAGTTCAATCCTTTTTTCTTTATAAAAGAAGGCAAAGTAGTTACCTTGAGAAAGGTAGAAGGTCCTGTTGTCCTCGGGCGGGTTGATGAGGCCGTTCTTGCCAGCGCCAAACATGCCATTGCATGCCATCTCGACCCACAAGTCTATAACCTCTCCACCCTTCGCCTTCTTGAGTAGCGTGTACTCGACTCTTCGGTCGTTACCATCTATTTCAATTTAGGATGAAGTGTGTTTAGTATTGTGAGAGGAAACGTCAAGTACACCAATTGTAGATATCGAATTTAACAAGCTGTTTCTTACTGTCACCGGTGAGTCCTTGTCGGGGGATGCCATCTGTCGACCAAATCATGGCCTCACTGCTCGAGTCCCAGATTAGCTCAACATGCTCGCCAGCCCAGTCTTTGGGCACTGTGATATTTAACTTGAACCAGTGTGTGCTCTAAGGATGACAATACGATCAACACCGACATCTTGATCACTCTGCTTCTTCCCACTATATATTCTAATAATGCAGACGAAGAAAAGAAAAACAAAGAGCAGGCCGTCCTTACCCAGCTTGGACCATAGGAGGTCCCGGTGGATGTTGGATGGAAGGACTGTTTGGTTGCCTTCTCAAATGGGATCCTCTTGAGATCTGGGACAGAGTAAACAGATAACTCGACAGCCTCGGAGGAGCGCTTTGAGTAGAGCTTTGAGTAGAGGTTGATGTCGTTGTAAAAGTCTGTCGAGACAAACTTGTTGGCCCTATCTAGAGTGATCGACCGAAGGAACCTCGGTTGGGCTGAAAGGGTCGTCATATTTGTCGTTGTCGTCGGAGTTTTGTTGTTGTTGCTTGTTGGCGTAGTTTCTTGAATGTTGAATGGGGACTTGGACGAAGGAAGTGAAATGGAAGAAAAGAAATGAGGGAGGACGAGAAAGAAACCTGTTAGTCCCCCTTTCCTCCTTTTGCAAGGTATAGCTTTTGTTTAGCTGTTGTTTTTCACACGGGTACTGATTCTCACGCTTTTTTCAACACACAAATTGCTTGAACGATGTTAGGGGTCATGGGGGTCCTAGCGCAGCTCACGCCCACTTTTGCATAACGTGGAATGATGTGAATACTATGGCCGGGGTACTACTTACTGGAATAGGATGACAATTCTGCTCTTCTTTTTCGCATCATAATATAGGTGATATATCGAGAGATGGACAGCAAAGTAGCCGATCTGGCTGCATTGACCAGGCGGGTCAAAAGTCGCGTAAGTGAGACAAAAAGACGCACTACTACGCCAGAATGTCTCTGTTTCTCTGATTTCGTTTATCTTTTTTTTCTACTTCGTCATAGTTCGCATTGTATAGATGTGTCTACAGGGTTGCTTAGCTTTCGTTCTTTTTTTCTTTTCTCTTCTCTTTCCATCTTCTCGTACACATATCTTCTTCTTCATACCCATTATATCCATCGCGTTTCAGCTCCAAAATGGCTCCACCACTAGACACATCTGCTCGCTTTGACGTGCCTCGTAACATTCACTATCCGGCCACCCTCAAAATACACGACCAACGATATCAGCGTCAACACGAGCACTTACATGAACAACAATACGACCTCGCACACCAAAGCCAGCACGAACAACAGCCACAACAAACAACTATACGCAAACTCGTCGACAAATCAACGCGTCTCGTCAAGAATGCCTACGACCTCATCCTCCTCAACCTCGTCCTTCCCCTCCTCAGTCTCATCTACTTCAAACACTCCACCAGCCCGCTCCACCACACAAGCACAATCATTCATCCCACAGCCGCCAATACAGTTTCATTCAGCACCCTGATCGGTCAACTCTTCTTCGGATGCCTGGGTGGCGCCTATGGTCGTCACAAGTTCTACAGTCTCGACCTAGTGATCATCATCTTTGGGACTCTCTTCTGTGCGTTTTCGAGTGGTGACGGAGGATCGGATGGTACCAAAGGAGGAGGAGGCACGGCGATGATTCAGTACCTCACCTTCTGGCGCTTCGTCCTTGCATTTGGGATCGGAAGCGATTACCCTATCTCAGCGACCGTGCCCTCGGAAGAAGCTGCGGTGATCAGTCGTCGGCGACGAGGCGGGCAATTGGTTACGATCTTGACGTCGATCCAAGGGCTAGGCAACTTGATGGCCTCCATAGTCACCCTTATGGTACTGATCTTGTTCCGGGCCATGATTATTGATGATGGTGCTTCCGAGAACATGGATATGGTCTGGAGGATCTGTATTGCTGTAGGATGTCTTCCTGCTCTGTCGACGGCCCTTGTTCGGTTTACTATGCCTACTAGTGCACCTGAGTCTGAATCTGGATCCGGATCTCGACTTGCTGTGGATCCACAGAGTCGGTTTGACGATGATATCGATGTTCTTCCCATGAATGGCGTGCCAGATAAGGTCGATGAGGAGAACATGTCCTCTGCACCTGACCCTAGCTTTCCTCCACCAGCAGCACATTCAACCTCAACATCACTTTTCAAAGCCCCGGAGAGACGACGCGTTCACGCCACCCGACAGTTCCACGAATACTGCTCCCAAAGGAAAAACCTCAAGGTCCTGATCGGCACCTCCCTCTCCTGGTTCCTCCTCGACATTGCCTTCCGCAGCATAGCGCTCAACCAATTATACCTCCTCGACGCCCTCGGCATGACCTACTCCTCCGACAACGCCCAGGACACCTCCGACAACACCACCACCACCACCACCAACAAGACAACTCTCTACCACCACCTCTGGATGACGACCCTCGGAAACCTCACCATCTCCCTCCTGGGGATCGTACCCGGCTACTGGTTCGCCATCTTCTCGATCGAAAAGATTCATCGTAAACGAACACAGTTCCTGGGGTTCGCCTTGCTACTGCTGTTTTTTACTTTACTCTCGACGGCGTTCCATCAATTGAAGGCCATTGTCCCCCTTTTTATTACGACGTTTACATTTTCGCAGTTCTTTTCGAACCTTACCTCTTCGACCCCGTTCGTGGTTCCTGGAGATGTCTTCCCGACGCGTGTGCGCGCGACGGCGCACGGTATCTCGGCAGGGTCTGGGAAAGTTGGTGCGGTCCTGGCGACGGTGATGTTTAATCGGCTGGTAGAGATGGACAGCCCCTTGGGTGACTCTTCAAAGGGTATTACTGCTGTTGGAGTTGTGTTTGGGTTGGTGGTGATGACTGTAGGGTTTCTGGTGGTTGCGTTTGTCTTCCCACGAGGTGCCCGACGGTTGTTGTCGTCTAAACTTGTATGGTCTCGTAGTAGTTAGTAAGGGCTCTAGTGATGGCGGTGGCACAGGGAACAGGGTTGGTTCCACACCAGCAAGACCCACAGTGGAACTGATTTGTGCAACTGTGTAGTTTTCAACACGTTCAAACGGAACCAAATACATCGCTTAAGCGGAATAGATCCAAAAAACCGCTGAAAACAGCCACCCACCCTAGTCCACTTCTGTGGACAATTTGCCGAGAAATATCCCCGATCGATCATTTGCATGAAGTGAAATACATTTTCTGTTTCTTAGCAGCAGCAGCAGTGTTGTTGTGTTTTGTTCTGCTTATTGTTGCAAGAAGGGACACAGAAGACGAGCAGAAAAGGATGCAGCAAAGATAATTATTTATTCAGATGGGGGGGATATTTTGCTAATACAAAGGAAAGCAGATAAAAAGGACATAACATGAAAGAAAAAAAAAGAGGAGGGGCATGGACATGAGAGGGTTGATGAAGTAAAAACTACATTCTTGTTCTACGGAACTCAACATTGGGGATGTTTTTTTTTTTACAGAGTAAAGTTGACGTTCTTGAGGGCGTTGGCGAGGATGGGCAGGATGTTCTGGAAGATGACGGCAGGGACTCCGTTGAGGGCATCCTCCAACCAGGGCATGGGCTGACCCGAGGAAGTCAACATCCTGAACTTGAAGTTGAAGTTCGAGGGGTTGAACAAAGATGCGAGGATGGTGAAGAACTCCAAGAAGCTGAACTTGAACGAGGCGTTGAGATTAATGCGGTTGTTGCCGCCTGATTGGAGGCCGTTGTTGAGGTGGATGGGGCCGCCAATGTTGGTGACCTCGATGACCTGGACGTCCTTGGCCATGACCGTGATATCGAGCGAGCCCATGTCGACCTGGAGGGGTCCCTTGTTGACAAAGGCAGCAGCAAAGTCCACGCCGAAAGGGGTCAAGTGCAACTTAAGGGCATCCAGGGGCAAGCTGATGGGTGACCAGAGAGTGACTTCGGGAGGGGTGATAGTCAACTGGTTCAGGACGGTGAACTCACCGAGGGCGATGCCGCCCAGGGTGACATCCTGGAGAGCGTTCTTCCAGGTGAGGGCGTTGGGGAGGATGCCCTGCATGGCGGTGCTGAAGGCAGGCTGGATGACCTGGATGCCGGCGCCCAAGGCCCAAGGAGAGCCGTTGAGGTTCATCGAGGTAGCTTGGATGGCAAGGAAGGGGTTGCTCTTGTACATGCCCTGGAGCGAGATGGGGAAGTTCATCTTGAGGGGGATACCGCCCAAGGGGATACCGGGGACAACAATCGTGGCCTGGATGCCGGCCGTGGTCAAGACAGTGTTCATGTCGTTGACGTGGAGAGGGTTGTGGGCGTTAATGTAGGCCTGGGCCTTCTGGAAGACGGCGTCCAGCTCGATTCCGAGGCTGACCTTGCCAGCAATATCATAAGCCTGGCTGGCAGAGGCACCAAAGGCAATGCTGTTGATGACGACCTCTCCGGGGATCTTGCCGACCTGGGCGAACATCAACTGAGAGACGGGGGGGCCCATCGAGCCAATGATGGCTCCGGCAGCAGGCTGGAATGGAAGAGCCAAGGTCAAACCGACATTACCGTTCTTGAGCGACAAGTTGTTGATCACAGGGTTAACAAGTCCATTGCCGGCAACAGAGACCTTGGCGCCGATGTAAGGCATATCGACTGAGATCTTGGAACCAATGCCGCCTATCGAGGCACCGACAGCGATCGAGAGATCTCTGGAGCCAGGGGCGCTGATATCCAACTGGGTGATGCTGAAGGAAGGAGCAGCTCCACCGGGAAGGGTGGAGTTACCACCGCCAACAATGCCAGTCAACTGCTTGATGTAAGGAGCGAGAGGAACAGAGACCTTGACCTTGTCGAGGATGTGGAAAGTGTTGCTGGCGCTGCCTCCGAAAGCAATGTTGGAGACTACCAGGTTGACGTTCTGAGACGTACCCTTGCCCATAATCTCATCAGCAATGGCAGCAACCTTGGTCTGGATGTCAGAGCCGCTTGCAAGGTCGACAAGAGCATTAGCCTTGAGAGCGACCTGATTGTTGCCAGAGGAGAGAGCAATACCGGGGATAGAGACGGTAGCCAAGGGGGTGGTATCCATGAAGGCGCTTACGCTGACGTAGTTGAGCAACAACTTGGCATCGAACTGGTAGCCAAGGAGAGCAATGGCGACATCGGCACCGATGCTAGGAGGGTTCTTCATGTTGATGTCGGCGCTCTCGAGCGAAAGCTTATCCAAGATCGAGGTGGCGTTTCCGGCACCGCCAGCAGGGACGAGCGAGAGGATCTTGGAGATTGGAATGGGGATCTGGACTCCCTGGAGGATGGTGTAGACGTTGCTCTCGCTGGGACCGAAGCCAATGTTGGAGATGGTGACGGTGCCCTGGGGGGCCTGGCCGGCGATGACAGCATTGACAAGACCAGCAACAAGGGCCTGGGCGTTATCGGACTCCTGGAGAGTGACATCGACGTGGGTACCGATGGTCAAAGCAGTGCCGCTGGTGCCGAGAACGATCTTGGGGATACCAACCTTAACCAAGGGGACGCTGTTGACAGCAACACTCAAACCGACGTATCCAACGCTCAACTGGGCAGGGAGGGCCAAGTTCTGGATGGCAATGCTGGCATCGACACCAATGTTGGGGGCCTGGTTCAAGTCGATGGCAAGACCCGAAAGACCGATACCGTTCAACAAGGAGCCAGCACCGCCGAGCATACCACCAATCTTGGCGATGTAAGGTGAGATGTCGATGGGGATGGCAAGACCCTGCAAGATGGTGAAGACGTTGGTAGCGGAGCCACCAAAGACAGCACCAGAGAGGACGAGCTTGGTAGCGGGCAAGGTCTGGTTGTTGAGGATACCGCCAATCAAGCCAGAGATGGCCTGGGACAACTCGGGACTGCTGATGAGGTCGACGTTGATCTTGGCCTTCAAGGCCAAGTCAGTGCCAGAGGGAGCCAAGGAGAACTGGGGGATAGCAACCTTGGCGAATGGGATGGTGTTGATACCAAGGTTAGCGCCGACATAGTTGAGCTTGATCTGGGCAGGGAGTGAGACGTTCTTGACGAGGATACCGGCATCGATAGCAACAACCTGGGGCGAGTTCAGGTCCAAAGCCAAGTTCGAGATGGCAACGCGGTCCAAGAGGGATCCTTGGCCACCGATCATGGCAGGGAGCTTGTTGATGATCGAGGTGACATCGACGGGAATGACAACGCCCTGCAAGAAGGTGAAAACGTTGGTGGGCGAGGCACCAAAGACAGCACCGGAGAGAACAAGCTTGGTGGCGGGCAAAGTTTGGTTGCCGAGGATGGCACCTACCAAGCCACCGATGGTCTGAGTAAGACCAGGGCTGTTGATGAGGTCAACGTTGACATGGACCTTCAAAGCCAAGTCAGCTCCCTGAGGGGCAAAGGTGAACTGGGGGACGGAGACCTTGGCGAGAGGGACGGCGTTGATGGCAATGTCGGCACCGACGTAGTTGAGCTCGATCTGGGCAGGGAGTGAGACGTTCTTAATGAGGATGCCGGCATCGAGGGCAATGATCTGGGGCGAATTCAAGTCGAGGATCAAATCCGAGACGGCAATGCGGTTCAAGAGCGAGCCCTGGCTGGCGATCAAAGCAGGGAACTTGTTGATGATGGGGGCAATGTCGATAGGGATGGCAATGCCCTGCAAGATAGTGAAGACGTTGGTGGGCGAGCCTCCAAAGACGGCGCCAGAGACGACGAGGTTGGTGGCGGGGGTGGTAACGTTGTTCATGACGGCGCCAATCAGGTTGGTGATGGCTCCAGTCAACTCGCTGCTGGTCAACATGGCAACCTCGATATGGGCGGAGATGGTAAGGGCACCATCGACGGGCTTGAGGGTAAACTGGGGAACGGAGACCTGGGCCAAGCCAATGGTGTTGATGGCCAGGTTGACTCCGACGTAGTTGAGCTTGATCTCGGCGGGGATGGTGATGTTCTTCAGGGAAATGGCGGCATCGATTCCAATGGTCTGGGGAGTGTTGAGGTTGACCTTCAAGGCTCCAATATCAAGACCAGCGAGGAGGTTGCTGCCTCCAGCCAAACCGCCGTTGAGGATAGCGCCGATCTTCTGCAAGTAAGGAGCAAGGGCGATGGGAACCTTGACCTGGGACAAGATATGGAAGAGGTGCTGGGGATCGCCACCAAAGACGGGGTTGTAGATAACAAGATTGGTAGGGGGAGCAACCTGGCCGGGGTGAAGGAGAGCACCAACCAACTTGGCAACCTGAGTGCTGGCCTCCTGACCCTGCTGGAGGTTGAGGTTGGCCTGGAAGTTAACCGAGAGAGCACCGTTGGAAGAGGAGAGAACCAACGAGGGGACGGTGAGATCGGCCAAGGGAACGGCATCCAAACCGAGGGAGACACCAACGTAGCTGATGCTGATATCGGCGGGAAGCGTGAAGTTCTTGACCTGGAGACCTCCCTGGACGCTCATGATCGAGGGGTTGTTCAAGTCAAGGACGAGACCAGAGATGGCAATGTTGTTCATGTTCAGGCCACCAGCGCCAGCAAGCAACTGGGAAATGGTGACGCGGGCCGTGGCCAACAACTCGGGAAGGGCAATGGGGAACTGGATCAAAGAGAAGGTTTTGATGTTGTCCGAGGTCGAGACTCCCAAGAGGGGCTTGGAGATGACGAGAGCATTGACGGGAGCGGTGGTGGAGTTGGCCATGAAGTAGTTGAATATGTTGGCAATATCGGTCTGGATGGCAGGGGTGTCCTGGACGGTGATGGCGGCCTTGACACCGAGGGTCAACTGGTTGTTGGCGGTCGAGATGGTGATCGAGGGGACATCGATGTGCGCCAAGTAGTGGGTGTCAAGGGCAAGGTCAATACCAAAGTAGCCAATGTCGACAGCGGCGTTCAAGGAGAAGTTGCTGATCGAGATCGAGGTGCCGAGGTCGATGACGGGAGCCTTGTTCAAGTTGGCAGAGATGGCTCCAATCTTCAAGTTGTTCATGAGGTTGCCGGTGAGCTGGCTGAGGTTGATTCCGAGCTTGGCGGTGATGGCATCCAGGTTAGCCTTGTTGAGGATATCCTTGGAGGGGATCGAAATATCAATTTGTGACAAGATGTCAAAGTAGTCCGAGGGCGAGGCACCGAAGCGCAAGTTGTGGACAGTGATGGCTTCGGGGGTGTTGCCAAGCTGGCCTCCGAGGACCTCGCCGACAAAGGTGGCCACCTTGGCCTGGGCGCTGTCAGCGTTGTTGAAGTTGAGGTTGACCTTGGCCTGGAGGGCGTTAGCACCGGGGGTCATATTAATGTCGTTGACACCAACATCAACAATGTCAGTCCTGTCAAGACCACCGCTGATTCCAATGAAGGGAATGGAGATCGAGATGGGGATGGGGTTCGAGAAACCAGCCTTGGCGCCAACCTGGAGACCAGCGTTGGGGATGGTGGCAAGGGACAAGTCGGTGAGCGACAAGCCCAGCTTGGCCAAGATACCGTCCAAGAGACCAGGAGGCAAAGCTGTAATTGTAATCAAGTTAAGAACAGAAAGTTAGCATATGGTCCAAAAAAGAGAAAAAAAGCGTAAATAACTCACTTGCAAGGACGAGAAAAAGTATCCTTACTGGCACCAGCACCGATGAGGCCGCCCAAGGGAAGAGAGACGGAGACTTGAGAGAGGGCATCGATGATATCGTCGGGGCTGTTACCGATGACAATACCGGCAACACCGATAGAGCTGTGGACAGCCTGGTGGGCAATGACGGCGTTGACGAGGTCAGCAACCTTGCCAGCAATGGTAGGACCGGTTCCGACGCTGATGGCAGTGTTGGCCTGCATCTGAACTTTGCCACCGGCGTAGCTCAAGCCAGAGTTGAGGGCAATACCGGCAAGGTTGGAGCCATCCAAGCTGAGCTGAAGACCGAAGTAGCCAATGTTGGCAACAACGGGGAGACCCATGAACATATCCAAGTTGATGGAGGCGGTGATGAGGTTGTTGGGCAAGACAGCGATGGCGGCCTCGTGGATGGTCATCTCAGCAAGAGATCCGATCTTGAGGCTGACAGCGTTGGGAGCAATGGTGACGCTAGTCATGGCAATAACCTTCTGGATGATGGAGTCAACATCGACGCGGCCGGTAATGACGCTCGAGATAGGGACAGCGAGGTTCAAGTAGTTGAGAGTGTTGATGGCATCCGAGGGAGAAACACCGATAGCCAAGTTGGAGATACCAGCAGTGACATCCAAGCTAGAACCAGTCGTCAATCCGCTGACAATCTTGGCTACAGTGGGAGGAATGGCAGGATCTGGCACACGGAAAATCATTCCAATACCGACAGAGACGGCGACATTTCCGGATCCGGAACCAACGAGATCGGCAATGAAGAGCTGGCCGAGAACATTGCCATCGAGGTTGACATCGAGGGCGAGGTAGGGGATGCTCAAGTCCAAGGCAAAGGGCAGAGGCAAGTTAATCTGGGGCTGGATCAAGAGGGTGTGGCCAGGGGCGGTCGAGACGGCTAAGCTCTGGATGTAGGTCATGATCGAGGGACCGGTACCGGAACCGAGGTTGCTGATGTCAATGGGGAGGTAAGGTTGGATAAGACCGGTAACCATCTGCTGGATAGCAACAGTGCTAACGTTCATCAAGGGCAAGTTCAGGGCGAGGCCACCGAAGAGGTTGTTCATGATGATGGTGGTAGGGGTAGTGGTGTTGTCGGGGCCTCCGAAGGTGAAATTTCCGATGTTAACAACCTGGTTGATCGTTCCTAATAGATGTAATCATGCACGTAAATAATAACATGTTAGAGACTGAATGCATGTGTGCGGCATTTGCATGGCAATCTCGATCTTTCGGATAAATTAACGCTATTCTTACCGGAAAGGAAGTCGTTGACCAGGGCACCCAACTGGGCAGCAGCAAGAGGGTCGTTGTTGAACTGGAGGTGAACAAAGGTCTCGGCGTTCATGGGGCCGGGGGCCAAGTGAACGGCCTCGACGTTGACGGTGAAGACGCGGGTTCCGTTCAATCCAAGATCAAGTGAGACACTGGGGACATCCAAAGCAACGTTCAAGGGGTTGTTCCACGAGAAGGCAACTCCGGCAGTCAACTGGGCGCCAGTGACAGCCTTGACGGTGACCTTTTCCAAGGTAGGCATGGTGAAGTTGATTAGGGGATTCATCATTCCAGCAAAGCCAATGACTGGGGGCTTGTCGGAAGGAGCAGTGACGTTGGTGGGCTTGATGGGACCAGAGGGCTTGAACTGGGTGGGGATGGTCATGGGAGCCATACCGAGGGGGTTACCACCGATCGTAAGACCACTGACAACCAGCTTGGGGGGAACGCCACTGGGGGTGGCGCCGCCAAAGAAGCCAGTGACCAAGTTGTTGATGGAAGCCTGGAGGGCTGGGTTAGCAGAACCCAACGGGACATCGATGGCAACGCTGACGTTCAACGGGCCAATACCACCGGGGAGGGTCAGAGGAGAGGTGGTAATATTGGCCAAAGACATGTCATCAAGGAAGACGCTCAAACCAACGTTGCTGAGGTTCATGGGAAAGTTACCCAAGGGGTTATTGAGAGAACCGTTGACACCAACGACGATCTGGGTAGGCTTGGTAATAGCAAGGCTGACACCGGTCAAGTTCAAGAGACCGGGGATAAGGTACTTGTCCAGAGGGCTGACGGGCTTGGGCACCATCGTGGAAAGGCCACCGAGGATAATGGATCCGGGCGAGTCAGACGCGGCACCGAAGGAGATGGCGGCATCGGCAGCAGGAGCGAAGGGGGCACTCAAGATAGCCAAACCGGCAACTCCGGCGACGGCCAAGAAGGAAGCGAACCTGGACGCCTTCTTGTTATTGGAAGGGGACATGGCGAAATATTATGGAATGAAGGGGGATGAAGGGAGGGTATAGGAGGTCTGTTGACGATGTTGCGGTCTTCAGATTCAGCCAGCAAGTAGTTATGTTCCTGAGGAATGTAACTGTGATGCGACGATCAAAGCTCGTTCTTTTTTCTCGACTCCTTTCTATATGCAATTCCTATCTCCTATTAATGACGCGAAAGATTAAAGAACGACACGTTAGAAACTGATCAAATGATCAAACTGGCTGACATTCATCAGTGGGTGAGACTGATTGGCGTGAAAGAACCAGGGGCAGAGGTGATGGAGTAAAGGGCAAGGGGGTGAGAAATATGAAGATGGATACGGAATGATGGATGCGTGTAAATGAAAAAAAAACAAAGCTTTGGCATGCGCAAATTTGGCGCCCCGCTTAAGGCAGCGACGTGGAGCAGGAGAAACCGGGTCGGAGTCAGTAGAAAGTGGTTTGGAGAGGAGTGGAGGAGTGGGTCGGAGTGGGATAGCTCTAAGGCAGGTGCTCTCAATTATGTTCGCCCGCAACCTCTCAAAAAGGCTGCTTCCCGACCAGGGAAACTCTTTTTTTGTTGAAAGAACTCTTTTCATATGATATGGATGGAATGAGAGCAGCTTCGATGGAAAGGCGAAACAGAGCGAGCAGGCGCGGGGCCGATTGGCGTGCCCTTTCGAAAACAAGATTACTATGAAAGGGAACCAAGGAGAGCGAGAGGAGGCACACGAGCGATTATTCCTTTTCTTAACACGGGCTGTAGCTACATCCTCCACAGCTACTTTGGATGCAGAATTTCTGGGGGATGTTTTTGTCATCCAAGGATGACCTTTTTCTTGCCTAACGACACATAAACACTCTAATTTGCTCTCTTTTTTTTGGATATGATCGAAATGAAATAACTCCAGGGCGCCCACAACAAGGCATAAAAAACAAACAGTGACCGAGAAATTGATAATAACGACGAGAACAAGAAAAGATGGTGCCTGAATGTAGTACACTCAAAGGGGAAAGTAAAAGGGCGATCGAATGGCAAGGATAAATTGTTAGAGAGAGGAAATAGATCAAAGGAAGAGCAAGGGAGAGTAGGCTGCAGATACATCCACAAGGACGCTGCATAAAGAATATACCCCTCCCTCTTTTTTTCTCTGGAGACTGATGTGAACAAATGCAGTTCTGGGAGAGAAAGGGCAGACCGTTGATAGCAAAGCAGGGGTCTTGCAACAGAAAACATAGCAAGCGTGTCAGTTGATGAAAATAAGGAAAGGGTGCAAATGGATGTGAGTTGTTGATGTTGTTGCGCTGGGTATTGTTGATGTTGAGAGGGTGGCAGACCGTTGGAATAACGTGTCTGCGAGAAAGGGGAAGTGGCGAAGGATTTTGGCTTGGTAACGTGAAGACGTGGAGAGAGAAGTATGAACGCGATGAGAAAGAGTTGGAAGGAGAGAAGGTCAGGGGAGGGGAAGACTTGCCTGTTGTCTATGTCAAGCAGGAGGGAGGAAGGGAGAATGGAAGGAGGAGGAAGAAGGAGGAAGGAAGCGGTGGTGGTGCCTGTTGAAGGAGGGAGGGGGAGAAGTAAAGGGATGTGGGGAGGACGGAGGAGGCGACGAAGAGGGTAAAAAGGGACAAAAGGACAAAGAAAAAAAAGAAGAGAGGAGAAGAGAAGAAAAGTAATACTTTTGCGAGAGCGAGAAAGAATGAGAATGAGAGGATGGGAACAACAGAGTGAACAGCCCCCGGCGATGGTTGGTTGGTAGGTCGGTTGATGATGATCGGGTATGGTTTGGTATGTTTGTGTGCATGTGCTGTTTGCTTAGCTTTGCTATCCGTATACAGTGGTGACAGAAGACAGAAGAGGTGGGAAACAATCCTCGCTTTGCTCTCTCGTACAACTCGTTTGCATGCATGTCCATGAATAAGGATTGGGCCGAGGAAAGTAAAAACAAGACGACTGAATAAAAACAAACCTTTTATTTTCTTCCAGTGCTCTGTTCCGCTGCTGGTGTACATACTTGTACCTGTACCTGTTCGCCTGCTTGCTTTGATCGTTGCCGTATGTAGCTCTGCTGACATTCAACCCTTGCTGCTAAGAGAGAGTGGCATGTTTGCGTCTGTATGCCATAATTTTGCACAGGCGCAGGAAAGGACTGGGGTGTAAAGGGTGGTCGAGCGAGCGACATGTTGACATCGACAAGACTAACGACGAAAAAAATATGCAAGCCAACGGGAGGATTAAGAGCATTACGGATGTCGTGCGTTGGTCTCATCCACCACCCATTCATCCCTCGAGTCGCATGCCAGTCTACGTATTACACTATTGAATTGCAATTGTAGTTCTTGTTAATGTTGTTGTTGCCATGTTTCTGTCATCAATCCCTTCTCACACCCTCTGCCCGAGAGCACTTCGCTCAATCTTTTTTTTTTTTTTTTTTTTTTCGTTCTTGTTGAGAGCATTTGCAAACCATCAGAGGATCATGCCACTCTTTCTTCTTTCTCTCTCTCTCTTGCTCACCTACTCACCCACTGCGGATGCCAGTACTCAGAAAGTGAACAAAAAAGAAAGCGCCGTATTATCCCACCACGGCGAGTACAACTGCCGGCCAGGGATCATATTTTTTATCGGTAGATTCCTTTCTTCCTTCCCTTGACAGCTCTACAACAATGATGCTTCGACATGTGGGACACCATGTATTAAAAAAAAATTCAGTGGCAAACGATAATTTTATCGAGGTCCAGCTGTCAGAGTGTGATATTCTATTCTTCTATTCTTCTCCCCCAGTTCCTTACGCCCTTGCGCGTGCTTATCCATTACTAAGGTCCATCCGTATCCTCATCATTCATCAAAGTCCGTTCATGAAATGGATTGAACACTTTTACAATTCTTGCCCCACAAGAATAATTGACCGCGATATAAATGCGTTCAAAAGAAGGAAGTATGGCTGGGGAGGATGAGCATGATGAGTTGACGGGATGGACAAAACTGCACGATGATCAGGGAAAAGGAGAAATGTGGGTTTAGGGCACTTGTTTGCTTTCATTTGTTGTGGTTTGTCTGGTCCCTGTCATTACCATACTAATTCTCTCGTAAACGACCAAAGGAAAGAAAAAGCAATAGAAGATGGAGTTTGGGAGTTGACTTGAGTTTAGGTAGTACACCAACATTAACACCACCAAAACACAATTGGAGTGCGGCAAATTGTACAAAGGGCAAGGAAATATACTCACACTCTCTTCCGGTTGAAAGACGATAATAACAGATCCATGCTTTGTACGCCACATGTGTCCATGGTGTTGTTTTTGTTGCTGTTTTATTGTTGGTTTATTTTTGTTGTGTTTTCTGGTCCGCACCCATTTGGCAATGTACACTTGCACCCATACCATCATACCATACTTCTAAAACCACAGCTACATAGGATGGATGTGCCTGACTTGTAAGCGATACAAAAACACATCACTTCGGCTCACGTTTTCTGCTGGGGTTTGTTTGCACAGAGGGCGCACTAGTGGGATGAGATAAAGATCGCATTCATTTTTCAGGCACAAGCTTTTCTTATGCGCGAGTGTTCATTTTTGCTCATCGACAAGGGAAAGTGACATGAGGAGGTGGAGGAGGGAGGCGAACGCCTACCCGTCGGCTCTTGTAACTAGGCGCACGCTCTTTTTTTCTCTTTCTATTGAAGACGATTGGTCTTTAATTCTAGTATTTCTCCACAACGGGTTTGAGGCTTGTTTTTTGTCATTTGAATGCAGCAGCACGCCTAAAAACCTACCATCAACAACAACAAACAACTGCAAATGCTTATCGAGAACCCGAGGAACCAAGTTATGATTTTGGGGTTAAGAAGAAAAGACCCTAAGGTAGTCGTTGCTTTTTTGTGGAGGAGGAAGAGGAGGATTGATAGAGAGCAGCAAGTACCATAGCATCTTGTTTATTTTGTTAATGTCGATGTCGTCGTTCGTCGGTGGCCTTTGTTGTTTTTTGTTGTTGTTTGTGTACCCGCGTTCAACTGGTCAATGTCATACCAGCCATCAACTGCCGTCAATTATTATTTTTTTTCCTCTAAAACACAAATAAAAGCGTCAACTCGACATAAAATCGACCGATATAACACTTTCCTCCTCGTCGGCCCTTGTGCGCCCCATCCTCATCCAACATCCACCATCGACAAACAACAAGAAACACGACGATAATAAAAACAACGTTGGCGCTAGAGGGCATACCAAGGTCATACAAAGTCGTCCATTCGTTCCTCTATATTTTCTCTCCCTCTTGAAGATGCTGCCCCTACCATTTATGTTTGTTTTTTTGCTCACTACCATCGTTCTGTCTTTCGCTCCACTTCATGCTCGATAACGCACCAGAAAAAAAGAAGTTAGAGCAAACATTCTTTTAACGCACACGAGGGCGCTTGATGTGGCGGCCCAATTTTTAGGGTGTTAACTGTGTCTCGGAATCATCATCACGTCTCCTCTCAGGAACCCCCACCCACCAAGCTTTCTCTTCTTTACTCTAATCCTCCAGCCAACACCATTCCGGGACAGCCAAAGTTTAAAATTATCGCCATGACAGACGTAATTTGTTCAAAGTAAAGTTTTTTTTGTTTTGTGGAATGGTCGAGCTGAGAATGAAAAAAATAGAAGCTCGAGGGTGAGAAAGAAAAAAGCCGAAGGAGAGAGCAAAGAGTGGAACAAAAAGAAAATGAAAATGAGAGCCAGCAAAGAGAGGCGTAGAAAATGTCTTGGAAGAGTGACAACCTTGTTGATACATAAAGTAAAAACAAGAATGGTGCAGGTATGTTGATGTAACTGTATGTTTTATGCTGGATATGTGATTGTAATGCTATAGGAATATGACAAGTACATGGAGAGAGAGAGAGAGCTTAAAGGCGACGTGATCCCGTGGGAGTAGCTGCTTTGTGACGAGGAGAACCGATCGGCGAGGGATGGACAATCTCGAATCCTAGGTCCTGCGCAAAGCATGAGGCAACTTGGATTTCTTCCTGCTGCCGCTCATACGCCGACTGTTGCTGAGCATTGCTGTTTTTGGACTTTGGGGCTTTGGCCGACGGCAATGGAGGGATCGCTACTGCTGGTACGGGAGATGGGGGCGTGGTCCCGCGTGGGATGGGGACTGGGATCACGCGAGCAATAGGCGCTGGCATGACATACTCTTCAGATGCGAACGACGGCTCTGGTAAGATCGGAGGGAGGGAGAAGCTTTCGGGGGATGGATCGTCGAGCGCCAGGCCGGAGAAGAACGAGTTGACAGAGGTTCGGTCTTTGGCTGGAGCTGTCTTGTTGTATCTGTCGACCGTCAATGCATTGTCTAGATCCAGGAACGAGAGCTCGTCGTCATTCATGGTTAAGGTAGGACTTCGAGAGGAAGAGAAGGAAGAGGCTGGTTCGCCAATGCGGATAAGAGGCGCTTGTTGAGAAGGAGGCTTTGCACCACTGTTGACGGATCGGGGTGGACTATCTGGTGGAAAGACGATCATAGCCTCGTCAGCATAGGGCGAAACCACTCCAAGGACCTTGGATGTTGTAGGTGTTGTGATGGCTGGAGGAGGAAGTGGTGGTGGGACGTAGACAATGTGGCTGCCGACTGACGGTGACTTATGTAAAGTCCCTTTGCCCATGCCACCTCCTGTCGGAGGAATGTCAAAGTACCCAGTACGTTCGCGTGAGCTTGGCGGCGCAGGCCAGTTGGAAAGCGGGGGACCACCCATTCGATGGTTCGAATCGGACTCCAGATCAAGCGCCATCTCCCGCTCGGTCATCAACGCGTCAGGTGCATAGGGTCCAGTTGAGCGACCGCCTGCTCGCGCCAGCGCTGTAGCCGAGGGGCGTCTTGTCAAGTTACCGCTGCCATAGCTACCGTCATAGGGCGTCAAGACATCGACCATTCCATTCTCGTTGGGATCAAGGCCGATACGGTAATTGCTCTTTCGATACAAGTCGCGGTCGTTCGTCTCGGCCATTTGGTAAGAGTCCTCTTGCTTGTATTCTTTCTGCTTCTGCAGTCTCTTGCGTCGGCGGGAGCAGATGATACCAAAGAAGCAAAAGAAGAAGGCGACGACGATACATCCTCCACCGACGGCAAGGGCGATTGTGTTCTTCTTGAAGAAGGCAGAGTTGCTCTTATCTAGACATGTCCACAAATGAGGCATCACGCGGTGCGGAGGGGGAGGGGGGTGACAAGGCGCGAGACATTAGGAAACAGCATTCAACAGAGAGACAAGCCAAACCAAGTGCACATAACCCTTCCATAAGTTAGTTTGATCCGAGGGATCCAGGATGCATAAAAAAGAAACTCACCTCCAACACAAGCGCCACTGGTGCAGACCCCTCCCTCACCACATGCGGTCCCGTCCTCAAAGTTGGCCATCAAACTTATACACCGTGCCGGGTGTGAAGTAATATCTGTAGGATCGTTACAACTCATTTGACAGCTTGCACTGGCAGTCGGACAAGCTGTCGCAAACTTGTAGGTGCTATCCGATTGTTGATTCTGGCATTGCAAGTCCCTCTCCGTACAGAGTTCTGCTCCACAGCTCGTGGTAGAATTGGAAGGGACAGTGGAGTGACTCTTTGGGCAGGTTTTCTTGTTAACAGGACACTTGCCGCTCTTTCCAGAGCACATCTCGACAGCATCACAGTCCGATGTAGCAGAGCGACAGGCAAACGTTGATGGTCGGAACTGGCATTGATCACAGCAATCTTGTTGATTGCTATTTCGATAGTAGCATTGGGTAAGGATTAGGCAATGGATATGTTTGTGTGTGAGTGAGTGTCAAGGAGCAATTGGGCGCGGAAATGAAGAACGCCAAAACGCGCTAGAGCCGTCAAAAGAAACTGAGAGTGAGAGAAAGGGAACGGAAGGAGGAAGAGGAGAGACAAAAGGCTTGTCCTAGCGCCAGAGAGCATTTTTCTTGCTCTGACACTCTTGCCACTTCCTAAACAATAAATGTTGGCTCTTTACCTGCACTGTGCTCCTGCATTCAGCTTGCATGTCTTTGCGTTACAGCATGGGTCCTTGGCACACTCTTGCGGGGATCCGCAGTCGCATTCTTCGCCGTGCTCGATAATTCCATTGCCACAGACTGGTGGTGTTGTGATGGTTGTTGATGCTGGAGTCGTAGGGGCATTGGGCGCCGAGGCGGCAGCCTGATCATGCGCTGCTGCAGGTGCTGCAGGTGCTGCAGCTTTAGGGTGAGGGTGGGCTGTATCTGAGTGTGTTAGTTCTGGATGTTTTGCTGCTGGAGTAGTTTCAACCTTGTGGGCAACATCGGCTAAAAGATCGGTGGAGGGAGAGGTCAAGACGCGTAAGAAAAGTGCAGTGGTTGTTGTCGTGGTAGATGGATAAGAAGAGGGACGTAAATGGTAGTCGGATCGTGATTGGTTCCTTACCAGACACAATGGTGCACATACAGCCTACCACTAGGGCAGCTATGAAAGCGCGCATTATCTTCATGACTTTGTTGGATGTCTAACTGGTGAAAGGTTGATGGTGTACTGGTGAGGGGAGGTATGTGGGTATATGTATCCTGAAAGTTGGAGTAGCTGATTGATCAAGGACGAGGCAATTGAAAGGAGAGGAAGGTATGTGTTGGTGTAGTCCGTTGTTGAACAGAAAGTTAGGGTCGTTATTATAAAGTATGCAAATGGCTGTTTGGTGGGTGGTGAGGAGATCAAAGAAGAGTAACGAGTGAATGGATCGAGTTAAGGATGAATGAGTGTGGATCGGGCAGCAAAGTAAAAGTTGTTGCAGAACAAAGAAGGAGAATATTAACGGCGTTAAAAAAAGAAGAAAGACAAAATGGAACTGGGAAGGGCAGAAGAAGAACAAATAACGAAGAAGTGGTAGCCTTCTTTCTCCCGAGAATATCGTAATACTGGCCTTATCCTTCCCCCCACCTTTCTCAGTTGAAGGTTTCCCTTGATCGACTACTTGTCGGTGCAGCATCAACGCATCATACGCACTCATAAAACACAACAAAAAAACGATTACACATATTTTGCCATTGAGAAGAAGCTGTTTGCGAAATGACAAAGAGGGAACAAAGAAAAAAAAGGAGTTCTCCTGAGAAAAAGGAGAAAGATAAAAATAAGCGAGCAGGTATTGGCGAATACAACGAACGAACGAGCACCTTAGAACCCGAGACACAAAGGGAGCAAGGGAACAAGGGACATAGACAAATGACACTCTAGTTCACTCTAGAGCAAAGACAAAGGACAACTCCTTGAAATAAGTTCCTTGAAGGTTGAAAATTGAGAGGAAAGAAGGGAGGACGAAGAGGAGGAGACTGTGTGTGCCACCTTTTTACTTGTATATGTTTATTGCCATAGAGGAGAGAAAAGGAGCAAGGGGAAGGGGTAACGATGAAAATGTTGTGTGCACTGACAATAACCTCTTGAGAGAAACGAGGGGAAGAATACAAGCTACCCTTGAACGGGTGTTCTGAAAGACTATGCCATTTCTTCTATGTTTTTTGCCTTGAGTTATTGTCGGACAAATGAGTGTGACCTTTACCCTTAAGTTGAAATAAGGACGCTATTTGACCGAGTTGTTACTGTCTGCCCCTGTTGCATGCTTCAAATGACAAATCAACAGAAACCGACATCGGCATCAGCTTCGACTTCAAGAAAAGGCAAGGACAGCAAGGACAGGGACAAGAACATTAGCAAGGCTAAAGACAAAGAACAAGGAGAATGGCTGCCACCACAGAGCCCCAAGTCGCCGTTGGCTATTGAGGAGGTCCTCTTCGAGATCGTTTCCCGTCTAGACAAGCACTCGCTCCACAGCTGCGTCTCCGTTAACAGAATCTTCTACCGAGCAGCAGTGAGAGCACTCTGGATGTCTGTGCAGTGGAAGAGCTCCCTCAGCAACCCCTCTTTTCTCCCAGAGATGCTTCGCTACGGACATAATGCGATCGAGCTCCAGGACAACTTTGACGCCGACCTGGATGTTATTGCCGAAAAGTGTACTCGACTCCGGGAGTTGCGACTCGTCTGGACACAAGCAACCGACTCGAAACTACACAACATCCTCGTCGCATCACCCAACATTTCAAGCCTTTACCTCTACAACTGCAAGCCTCTCACCACCCTGGCGCTCTCACACATCCAAGCACTTTCAGGCCTCAAGAAGCTGGAGATCAAGAACATGCTGTACGTGGACGAGACCTCGATCGCCGGAATATTACGGTCCTGCCCGCTGATAGAGCACCTGGTTCTGGAGGATGTCCGCTTGAGTCGAGTTGCAATGGAGAGCCTTGGAGTCACACCCCTCAGGATCAGGACCCTTGCATTGACTCGTTCTTCACCGACAGGAAGCTTTGTTAGGAATATCCTACGCAACGCACCCTTGCTTCGGGAATTCTCGCTCGCCAGGAATGTGCACTCAGCCCTTTTGACGGAGGATCTACTGCCTGGGCCAGATATGTATGGATGTCTGGTCAGCCTCAACCTAGAGTCGTGCAAGACCATAGCGAGTGAGGCCCTGTTGGCGGTCCTCAAGCTCTGTACGGGACTCGAGCGGATTAACCTGTGCGGGACATTTGTCGACGATACTGCGCTGGACGTCATTGCCTCCAACAGTCAGAAGCTGACGAGTCTGAACCTGGGATGGTGTGCGCAGATCTCGGATGCAGGTTTATTGCGGGTGTTGACGGCATCCCAACACTTGGTCTTCCTCGACATATCTTCGCATGGAGTGTTGACGGCCGGGATCTTCCGCCCCGATCTGGTCTGGGCCTGCACTCGACTGCAGACAATGATCATGGTTGGGATCGACATGGTGCGCCCCGGGGGCCAGATCCAGCCAAACCACACCATGATGTACAACCAATTGAGCCGACTTTTGTGTCTGCAGGACTTGGCGATTGGAGGACCTTATCAAGACCTACAGCTGAAGGCGGGGTTCAACAAGATGGGGGAACTGGTCAACCTCGAGTCGTTCAGGATCCATCACCTGCAAACGGCACTAGGCGAGGACGAGATCCGTTGGCTGGTCGAGGCGTGGCCAAAGCTGAAACGACTCAAGGTTGAGCAGGCATCGCTCTCTGAGCCCTGGAGACGGTACTTCCGACGCCGTCGGCCCCACCTGATTCTCGGATAGAACGAGGTGGGGCATGGACCGTATGGTCGATCATTTGTTGTGGATCGGGCTGAATAAATGCCATGGAATTTCTACGTAGGTTATGTGGTACGGGACACGCCCTGTGGTGCTCTGTGACGTGGCGCACGAAGGTTTGTATCCGATTGCTCGCCCAAGGGGGAAGGAGCAAAAGGAAGGAAGGGACGCAAGGGAAAAAAGGAGGTCTATCTATGCCTATGCTCTCACATATACACACACATAGAAACAACTTCCTTTCCACCAACAGCCAGGCGCCATCGGATCGACAAACCTTCTCTTGACACTATTCAAACCCCATCGAATTTGAAAAAAGGATCATCCTGTTCCTTGTTCGTCATCATCAACTCTTCTTTTCTTCTTTCTTTGCTCTTTCACATTTCGTCATCCTTCCTCCTCCTCTCTTGCTTCTCTTTCTCCTCAGCCGGTTTCATCACTCCCTTCTGGCTGCTTAATCTGCCCTTCCCTTTCCTTTTTATTCCCCCTCTCCTGATACCGACCTGGACACACCTCCTCTACCTCCACCGTCACCCTCCCCATTCTCGACACGTCCATAGCACTCTACTAAACGCTCCATGGATACAAACCCAGCTGGTAATCATACCCTTCATGGCCCACTGGCGCTGCCTTTTTAACACTTGCTGGTTGCCTTAGCACGCGCACTATTGTTGTTTGTTCTCTGACACGGCCAACCGTTTTATTTCGTATAGGCGGACCAAGGAACGGCCCACCAGGGAACATGACAATGCGACCACCCCCCTCCCCCGGGAACGGCATTATGAACGCAAACATGCGCCCACCATTCCCCAACCAGCGACCACCGCCACAGCAGCATCAACAACAGCCTGGAGGAAACCCAGCCGGTAGAGCTCCCATGACATCCCCTTTTCCTAGACAGGACCCTGCTCCAGGAGTACAGTCATCGGGCCCAATGAACCCCAACATCAGACCCGTACCACACCAGGCCCCAAGCAACCCTTCTGGCCCCATCCGCCCTCCCGGCGGTGCGCCTGGCGGTGTGCCTCCTCAGCGTCCTGTGCAGCAGCAGCAACAGCAGCCCCACCTGCAACAACAGCAACCTAGACCTCAACCCCCTACACCTACTGGACAACACCCTCAGTTTGCAGGCCAAGGAAGATTACCAGGGGCGAATCTTAATAACGGAAGCCAAACCCAGCTAAGGGGTGGTCAGAACTCTCCCCAGTCTCAACCCACTCTGGCTATGCGTCCACCTCATATGCAGCCAGGCCAAATGCAACCCCATGTCAATGGAGCAAATGTCCGACTATCTGGGTCTTATCCAAACCTGACTGGACCCGGAATGCCACCAGGAAATCGCTTGACTCCTCCTTCGCCCAGTCTTGGAGTAACCCGTTCCCCTCAGATCAGACCCCTGCAGCAAACTCAGCAGACTCAAGGCAACGGACCATTGCCTCAGCAACAGCAACAACATCCAGGACAGCACCACCAGTCTAGTTTGCGGCCTTCCGCCTCTCACCCACAACTTGTTCAACAGGCTGGTATTCGTCCCCCTCATATTCAAGGATCCCCTGTGCTCGCTCACCAGACTGCAGTTCGTCCTCCAACACCGTTGATGCAGCATCAACCTAGACCTCGCCCACCTCAGGCAGCTCCTCACGGTCAGCCTCCTAGTCCGTTTAGCCAGAACCAGCAAGTTGCTCCTGGACATGCCGCGCAATTGGACATGCCCTCCATAAATGGTGGACAGCCAGCGAACGGAGCACCTTCACCTCAGCAACATCCACATCTGCAGCCCTCTCAGGATATGCATCAGCAGCAGCAGCGATCTCCAGGCGCCCGGCCGATCTTCGATCAGATGCGACAGCAGACGCAGCCACCATATCCAGCACAGGGTGCTGGTTCCCCTCAGAACCCACAGAACGCGAATCCAGCCCAGCGACCTCCTCAGCGCCCAACAGGTCCTTCGCAGCCTCAACCCACTCGCCAACTGCAAGGACCAGGATCGGTCCCTCAGTCTCCCCAGCGCCCTCCAACAAAGGAAGCTCTTGCTTCCAGCCCACCAGCCCACGGACACGACGGTCAGTCAATTGATGGAAGGCCCTCCCTAGGTGAGCACGGACGTGGTCCAAATGCCTCGCCACAGCAACACAACAACCAGCGTCCTGCTCACCCTCAGGGTCTTACAGGTGCTCGGCCTCATCCTCAACAAGGCCCTCCTGGACCTGCAGGATTCTCCGGACCTCATGCACCACGACCTTTGCAAGCTCCAGGTTCTCCCATGCAGCGGCCACTTGGCTTTGCAGAGATCAAGCTATCAGGTCCTCCACCCAACACCGCGCCTCGACAAGCACCTGCACTTCAGCAGCCCCAGCTGCATCATCAGCAGCAGGAACATAAGCTTCATGAACTCCAGCAACCTGCTACACTTGTGGAGCCAGATACGCCTCATTCGGACTCCGAAGGTGTATATGACGACGAGGAGGAGGATGATATTGAGGGAGGTGGCAGCAGACAGACTCCACCAAAATCGCCTGCCGCCCAGGATATCGCTCCTCCTTCTCAAACAAAGCCAGCTGCCGGTGGACCTCCACAGGGTCCTCCACAAGGACCCCCTCGAGGCCCCCCTAAGGGCGAGAGCCATGGATTAAGGAAGCTTTCTGGCGCAGCAGGAACAGGACCTGTGCACATCATGCAACCTTCGAACAACCCTACTTCTCCTCCTGCAAGTGCGTTCCCTACATTGGGCCAGCCCAAGCCACGAGTGCGCCCTCCACCTGGCAACGCCAACCATGCCCCTTACCGCCCACCAGAGAGACCATCGCAGGCACCAGTGATGTACAGCCAGTCAGGTCAACCAACCTTCACTTCTCCTTTCCCTGCGCAGGGCGACAAGGATTCTTCGCCAGCTAAATCTATGGTGCCTCAAGGAGCCGAAGCAACTTCGAGCAGCGTTCGACCAAGAGAGGGTGGCCTGCAGAAACGCGTCGTTGCCAGTGACAGCAACGCCACTAAAACTGACAGCCCTGCATCGCAGCAGGTAAGCTTATTTTTCATACGTGTTGTTTTAGAGCCTTTGTCGGTTGTTTGTTATTATACAGTCATCGATTTAACTGAATCTATTTTCATCGTAGGCACCTCCTTCTCCTAAGCTTCATGGTCTCAAGGGAGGCCCCGCTATTTTAAGCCTCGCTAATCACAAGGTAATGATGAAAACGTTGTATATCTTTTTCTTGGCGTTTCTTTTAAATGAAATACGTGGCTAAATCTAACAGTAAAACCGTCTCTAGTCCTCTTCCTTCAGAGTAAAATCTCTAAAGACGTGGGCGATCCGCGGAGGTCTTGTTTACTTGGGCTACACTGCAGTCTTCAGCTGCCCCCCAGAGACGACAGGAGTCAAAGGTCTTTATTGCAAGACGACTAACGGTGTCGGAGGACTCATCAAACCCTTTGTCGCACCCCACTACAACGCTCACGTTGGACCTCATGTGGATAAATATATTGCTCCCGTCGCTCGGCAGGGTCATCGCATCTACATCAAGGTCGCCGATCCAGTCGTCCAAGGAGTATTTTCTGCTGCAGGAACTGTCTACAAGTCGACCGCCAAGAAGCATGTTGATTCCGCCAAGGAGCAGGTACTTTATTCACCATTGGCTAATTGTCAAGGGTGAGTCCATTTAATTAATCTGCGGCTAATTAATCACCATTCAATCTTGAATTAGGTGATTTCCATTCTGCCTTACCCATTCAAGCCAAAGTCCAAGGCAACGGACAAGGAGGCAGGCGAGACCGCAACAGGGTCCGCGCAGGACCAGCCCCACTTTGAAAAGACCTCGAGACAACCCATCCATGTCCAGGAGCCTAACCATGCTTCGGATAGTGTAGAAGAAACGGTATCCCATGACGAGGGTATCGTAGAACCAATGGAGGAGACTTTTGTAGAAAAGGTGGAGGATGTTGTTGAGCAAGTCCAGGAAGCAGTCGTCGAGGAGGCGGCGCCCATTGCAGAGGTGTTGGTTGAGGATGTAACAGAAAGCCCCAAGGAGCCAGCCGCAGTTAAGGAAGTCGAGGTAGAGACAACAACAGAGACTGAGGAGATCCAGCAGGAGGAAGCCATTGTGGTCGATGACGATATTAATTCATTTGAGGCCGACATGGACGTGCCTCTCAAGAATGAGGCCTCGGAGGGATCGATCTTTGAAAAGATGGCTGCCTTCAAGGACTCTATGGAGGGTTTGCGCGAGGATTTCAAGGAGCCCGAGCAGGAGGTGAAGAGCGAAGAGGCATCACAGCCTGGCGAGGTCCCACCAACAGAATCTGAAGTCCAATCCGATGCTGCTGCTACTCCTGTCGAAGAAGCCTCGGCCCCTGTAGTCGAGGAGGAGGAGGAGGTACCCACCACAGAGTCGGCTGAAGCAACAGCAGAGTCGACGATCGAGTTTGCTGACAAGCCAACAGCACCGTCTGAAGAGAGCGAGTCTACTCCAGCCGAGACTGCCGAGGCTACTGTCGAGGCTACTGTCGAGTCCCCTATTGTTCCTATTCCTGAGGAGACCTTCTTGGTTCCGGAGTCTGTGGAGAGTCTTGCTACCGAGGAAGAGGTCAGAGAGACACTTCCAGTGGAAATCGAGTCTGTAACTGACGCAGTCCCTCACACGTTCGAAACTGAGTCAGTCCAGTCTCAGGAGCATGTTGAAGAGTATACTGGAGCCGAGAAGGAGGTCAAGGGTGAGAGTGTAGTCGTAGAGGGAGGAGAAGAGAGGGGAGAGCAAAAGGTTGAGGAGGAGGTCAAAGAGGAGGAGGCCACTTTTGAGCAGCAGGCTGCTCCGGATTCGGCCTCGGCCTCGGAGGTAGAAGGAGACGGAGTTGGCCACAAGGGTCATGATGAGCTGTAGAAATTGGAAAAAAAAAAACGAATGAACGAATAGATATGCTAATATGATTTTTTTTGATATCATTTTTTATCTCGATTCTTGTAAGAGGACACGGTTCGCGATCTTGTTTTTTTCGTACCTGCAGGTGATGGATAACTGCTACCTTGTTTTTCCTTGCTACGGAAGCATGTGTTTGCGTGCTTCTTAGAAAAATGCGGTTGTCCGATAGAAGGCTGAGATGCAGCGACACCAATATTGCTGTGGAGAACCGCAGCCTAAAAGGCTTTTATTGCTTTGGGCTAGGAGGCGATAAGTCGAGCCTATGGAGAATAAACGATCGTGGCATGGTTGATGAGCATAAATTTTCCGCGATGCCCGTAAAATGCGGGTACATATATGTGTCATATTTTCAGGAACAAAACGTTAAAGGTGCACAAAGAAGAAAAAAAAAAGTTATCGGCCTTCAACCTGCTGACAAGCTTTGTGTCTCTCGTAACAAACACATGGTAACCCAACTCTGTTTGATCTTTGACTGCAGCTCACGATAATGTGTTTAAGTATGGAATGGAGACAAGAGAAGACAAGGAAAAAAGTAGATGGAGGGAGGACTCCAATGGTTTGGAGAATGAAGGTTTTTTTTTCAGGGGGGGACGCTTCTGTTGCAGCCAAGTCGCATCATCAATCGTGCATTTTCTAGATCTCTTTGTTGACAACCGCATATTTTTTTATTGCTCTTGGTGAGATTAACTGGGGTTTGGAGTAGGTGGGGGTGGTTCAACCGCAAGTAGTGAGTGCAGAAAGATGAGCAAGAGGCGACAAATACGTTAGAGGGAGGAGAGCGAGAGCGCAATTAACCAGGAACACGGGTAGGGCGGACCTTTAGGGGATAGTGATGGAAATAATAGTTCTTCTCGAGTAAGGAAGTTTCTGTGACTTTTGCAAAGGTATGCGATCTATCAAAGGGTCTGACCCAATGAGAATGAGAGGACGTTGAGCTTGATATGGGAAAATGCGGGGTCAAGTGTCATTGTCGATGTGTGTTCATTTTTTTGCTATCGTTTTTCGAATTCTCGGAGAATTGACCTTGATGAGGCACAGGTGTTGGCAGTTTAGCCTCTGTTCCTCGTTGAACACTCTACCTTTTCTTGAGTGATTGATTGTCCAGGCCGTTTATCTCATGTCTATTCGCTTTTTATTTTCTTCGCGTACTAGAACAGCGTTATGAGCGAACAAGTGTGTCTGTGCTTGTCTTTGACCAATGACTGGGCTCAATTTTTCTTGTTCAACCAGCCACATGTTCACGACCTTATTTTTCCTATCGTGTTATCGTGTTGCTGGGAAACGCGTGTTTGTACTCCCATAGGGTGTGTGATAAGGGTCAGGCGAAGAGAAAAGGGTTAAATACGGCAGAATTATCCTGGTGTTTGTGGGTCCACATGGATAGATAGGATTTCTTCGACTGCGATTACCTTGTCTGAGGCAAGGAGGGGAGGGATTAGAAGTGGGTCCATGCTTCACCATAGCCCGATTGCCTATTTACATACACGCCACGATACGCCATCAAGCGCATCCTCGCTCACTCCTCTCTTGCTCAAGCCCTACTTTATCGTTCATTCATTAGCCTTCCAAGGTGGGATTAGACTAGCTAATAGAAAAAGAGATGGTGGGGAAAGAAAGAACTTTATGGAGACGAGCGCTCCGCCTCCATTCATCGATGCCCTTGTTACTGTCACATGTATCTGACATTGGGTTTCTCAATCTGGTGGTTCTCATTCATGCCCACCAACGTTCTCTTGCATTGCATCCAATACGTCGCATTAATGAACATCCTTCCCCTTGCCTCCTTTTGTGTGTTGTCTTTGTGACTTTTGACCTGTTGAGGAATAAAAAGAGACGAATGAATGATGACTCTTCTCTTCCTTCACTTCTTCCTTCGCCTGTTTGTGCAGGTGCTTGAAGGTTTGAGAGTTTCGCGTGGATCCGTCTGTTTCCCTATCTCTTGTTGATTTTTGAACAATGGACCTCGTGTGTTGTTGTTGTTTCTGTTGTGTCGAATGTTTTGTTTTGTTTGCATTGTTGCTGTTGTGAGCTGCGTTGCTGTAATGTGTACCACCTTCGGCAATAAAAAAACAAACAAACCAAAAAAAGAGTGGACTGCATCAAACAAAGGAATGAGACAGGGAAAAAGAACAAAAGTCCAGACAGTTTTATTTTATCATTCTGCATGTTTTGTGTGTGCAACCATGACATGAACATATATGCTCTCAAAAGAGAAGCGACAATCTCGGGCGAGTAATCTTTGTAATTCGCTCAGCATGAAAGTGAATGGCACCCTCACTCTTGCCCTCTTCGCGATCTGAACAAAAAAGAGAGTTCCGGGTTCTGCCTTTTGTTGACTATGACAAGAGACAAAGCAAGGCCAGCTGAGCAACGTTAGTTGTCGTTTTTGTTGACTGACAATGCCCTTCATTGTGCCAGCGCAACCTTCTTTTTATCTTTAACTCTTGACTATCGATCGTATCTTGTCTCCCTCCATTATAAAACCTCGCCACTCCTCCACTCATTTTTTTCTTTTCTCTCAACAACGCGGCCCCAAACTCACATACGACTGTTCACTCTCCTTCTCTCGCTCTCCCTTCCTCCTTCCAACCACCACCTTCCAACTTAATCCTTCCCTGATCGCCACCACTTGCGGTGTCTTTCCTCTCCTCCCTTGACAGTATAACTCTCATTTCAGAAATACCTCAACGTTCGTAACACACCAAAATGAACGCAACAGAACCCGTGATCGGATCGGAATACGATGCTGGAGACATCGCTTGGACACTTACCTCGACAGCCCTGGTCTGGCTCATGATCCCCGGTATCGGCTACTTTTACTCTGGCATGGCCCGCTCCAAGAACGCCCTATCCTTGATCATGCTCTCCTGCTGCTCCATCGCCGTCGTCACCGTCCAGGTACTTTTTTTCTTCTGTTTCTTGTCTGCTGCTTTGGAGGAAGATGACTCGGTTAAGATTTTGGGCTTATCTCTTTCTCACACTCTTTATTTATCGTCCATTTTCTAATTTCTTGAACAAATAGTGGTTCTTATTCGGCTACTCACTGGCGTTCTCAAAAACGGGATCAAAGATGATCGGCAACTTTGAAAACGCATTCTTCCGCGGTGTCCTCGACCAGCCCTCAGTCGGAAACTCTAAGGTCCCCGACCTGGTCTTCATGCTCTTCCAGGGCATGTTTGCTGCCTTGACCCCCGCCCTTGCCATCGGCGCCGCCGCCGAACGTGGTCGTATCGTGCCCACCCTCGTCTTCATCTTCCTCTGGACCACTTTCGTCTACGACTTTATTGCTTGCTGGACCTGGTCGCCCAACGGGTGGTCGTTCGTCATGGGCGGGTTGGATTTCGCAGGTGGTACCCCTGTCCATATCTCGTCTGGTGCTGCTGCTTTGGCGTATGCTATCGTGCTTGGAAAGCGTTCTGGTGACCAGAAGGATTTCCGTCCTCACTCGATGTCGAACGTTGTCATCGGTACTTGCTTCATTTGGTTCGGATGGTTTGGCTTCAACGGTGGATCTGCGCTTTCGGCCAACCTTCGTGCGGCTATGGCCTGTGTCGTTACCAACCTTTCTGCCTCGACCGGTGGTCTCACCTGGGTCCTCCTCGACTACCGCCACGACCGCAAGCTTTCTGTCCTCGGTTTCTGTTCGGGAGCTGTTGCCGGTTTGGTCGCTATCACCCCCGGTTCCGGATTCGTTTCCCCCGCCTCCAGTGTCGCCATCGGCTTCTTGGGCGCCATCGCCTGTAACATGGCCGTCCGCCTGAAGCACTACCTCAAGTACGACGACGCCTTTGACGTCTTTGCCGTCCACGGCGTCGGCGGCATCGTCGGAAACATCCTCACCGGAATCTTTGCCCAGAGCTGGGTCGCCGCCCTCGATGGCACGACCGTCATCGACGGAGGTTGGTTGGACGGAAACTGGATCCAGGTCGCCTACCAGTTGGCGGATTCTGCTGCCGGTTTGGCTTGGTCGTTCGGTGTGACGTATTTGATTTTGGTGATCATGAACAAGATCCCTGGATTGAACTTGCGTGCGGATGCGCACCATGAGCATACTGGATTGGATTTGGCAGAGTTGGGTGAGCCCTGTTATGGTCATCAGGATGACAAGGGCGGTGTGGATACTCGTGTTGAGGTTGGGGAGGCGAACAGTGGTACTCAGAGCGTTGAGTCCTTGGGCGGCAAGGCTTAAATGCTTCCCCCCCCCCCCCCTTTTCCTGGCCTTTCCCTCTATCCACTTTGTAAAGTTCTACATCTACTACTACTACTACCACCTCCCCCCACGACAAAAAAAGTTTTGCTAACTCTATACCTTATCCCAACCCCCTGTAATAAAACGAAAAAAGCTACAAAAAAAAACAACGTTCGAGTCGCAAATGGATGAAGTTGAAGGTATCTGGCGTTTGTATTTGCAGGTGAAAAGAGAAGGTAAAGTTTCTATGAACAAATGAAGTCTATGGTTCTATGTCATTAATTACATGAAGGAACGGACAGAATATGCTGAAAACAAGAAATAAAGTGGGGGGCTGGCTGTGAACTGTGAATAACAAATTTTACTTGTTCTTCAAGTTCTCCCTGGCAATGATCCAGCGGACCGCATCCTCGACATGATCGACGACAGTGGTGGCAGGGTGGACGTGATGGTTCTCGTCGCCCTTGGGTCTGAATACACCTGTTTTGACTAATACCGAGTTCCAGCCTTGTCCGGTTGCGCCTGCAATGTCTGCATATGGGTTGTCTCCCACAGCTACAATGGATCACGAGGAAGGATACAAAACAGCATTATTTAGCCACATATTAAAAGGGTGGGAAATAAAAAGTGAGCGGGGTGGGTTGTAGGCCATTGCTTACCATAAACGGTTCTCTTGGTGGGCTGGCCATCGGGTCCCTTAGGGAGGGGATCGATCTTGTCGAGAAGAGACTCGGCGTACACGTACGTTGTCCTCATGGGCTTGCCGTAGGTGACGTATTCCAATGGTTGACCTGTCAAGTTCTATACGCGGGAAAGTAGTGACATAATGTTAGTGAGATGTGAATATTGAGTCAGCATTGATCATTGTGAGTCCATCCGCCTTAACCTTAATCAAGGGGTGGTTAACTGTACCTGATAGATTTTTTCGAGACAGACGCGGAAGGTACCTTGACCGAATCGAGGGACAGGGTACTCATTCGCCCACACCTGTCATCATGTATAGTGTTGAGGAATGTCAGTAAGGTGATCGTCAGAGAGTCATTTCACATCTATTGTATGCGAGAGGACTGGGTGAATTGTTTCTGTAAGTAAGGTACCGGTCAGTCAACAGAGAGACTTACGATGTCGGGGTTGGAGAAGTAAATGGGGACGGTTTGCTTAGTGTTATGGAGTTGGTCGGAATCCTTGATGGTTCCTAGCTTTCCGTCTATCCGAGAGAGTTGAAGCGAATGTATTTTGTTACCAAATGAGGCGACTGAGCCACCAACTGACAGATCAACATTTCAGAGATATGCTGTGAGACAATGAAAAAAGGGGCGAATTAGGGCGGCGGCTTACCTTTGGAGACAAGGGCGTCCAAGCAGAGCTGGAGATCACGGCCCCAATCGTTCGAATCGTGGAACACCATCACCGCATCCACCGGTTTATCGACGTTCTCAAGTCCCTTCTAAACATCATTAAAGAAAAAAGAACAAAAGATAAGAATGTAAATTCACAAACAGATCGGACACAGGCATTGCCATTCAAGACGATTACCTCAGTCCAGGGGACAGCCCGGGTTTCACAGGTAGAGATGGGGCAGACGGATGGGTGGACAGAATGGATCTCTTCGGGAGTAATGATGTTCTTGAAGCCATAATCATGGGCCGCATGTTTGCAGGCCGATCCCTCACCCCCGACGACCATGACATTGGCATCGCGGTACTTGGCGACTAGCGATTTCATGGGCGAGTGCGAGACGATAAGGTGTTCGGGATTGACCTTTTTTCAATTGGGCAAAGCAGAAGCAAGGGAGGTATTTGTGTGAGTGTTACTGAGCAATTGACTTTTCCTTCGCTATGCTCATGCGGATAGCTCAAATCGTGCTGGCTGTCCTTACATAGACACCCAGCTTCTTGGTAAGCTGGTCAGCCTTCTCAGACTCGGGCATTCCACCTCCATTGGTCAAGAAAATGTATGGGATGTTGTTCCTATAAGACAAGATCAATTGAGCGTGTCAGATCATCTGTGCCAATTGCCACTAAAAACAGTAGTCGGATAGCTGATCGATCGGTTACTTACTCCTGGAGCAATTCCAGTGCGCGACGAGTTTGAGGGATAACTTGCTTTCCCTGGTGGTTGTTGAATGCAAGTTAGGGTGATTAGTGTATGAGTAAAGAGAAAGTGAATGGGTGAGTGCGAGTGTGATGAATGCAAAGTGTGTACCTTGATGAGGACACCGTCGATGTCGAATGCGATGTTGAATCGAGGGGCAGAAGTGGCGGTGTGGAGATGACGAAGAGGAGCGACTCTCGAGGTGGCGCGCAGGTTGAAGAGGGCGAACATTATTGCAAGGAGTTGCGGAAGGATGTGAAGAAAGGAAAGTGAGGAAAAGAAAGAAGGAAAGAAGAGAGAGAGGTTAAAGAAATGAAGACAAGGAGGATAGGGAAGAGGCTAGTGCATCGTCATGGTGAGACATGGTGGGACACCCAGATCGGAGACCGTTTCGACTCCCGCCATGACCAATCCATTTTTTGTTCTTTCTTTCTTCGTTCTTGACGTGTGAATCGGGTAAAATTTTTCTTCCTCCTTTCTTCGTCCCGCGAATGCGAAATGCGTGCACGACAAAGTGGCGTGCTTTTTGTCTTTTCATCATTCCCTCTCTCTCTCTTTCTTTACCCTCTTCCTCGCCCACCCCACTCCCCACTCCTCTTTCTTTCCCCTCACCTCTTTCTCCCTCTCACACTCCCCATCCCTCGCCCACCACCAAATAAAGAGTGATTGCATTCACCTCTACCGGCGACACTCATTCGCATTCACCCTTCTCAAGAACACCCTTCAACATGGGTTTGCAGCTGATCTACGTCCTCGCTGCTGTGCCCTTGGCTGTCTCGCTCACCTCGAGCGCTATATGCGCTGTCGCCTCCCGATCATCCGCTATCAGGCTCGCCGCCTCGGGGCCTGACCATCTCACCGCCTCCCCTTCGGCTCTTGAAGGCTCCTCGGTCTTCAACCACACCCACCTCAAACGCCACACAACCGCCGATAACAACGACACCACCAGTGACGTCCAGCCAAAGGCCAACGAGATCAAAATCCGATCCGTCCTTCTTTTCCTTCTCTCGCTCATCCCTACTGCCTTTGTCATTGTCTCCTTGGTCTTGGCCCTCTTGCCAGGCTCGGACGATCGCACTCTCTTCCAACGGCTCTACGCACCCCTTATCAACCTTGCAGGATGGCTCTATGCTCTCGTCCTCTTGCTCGCCATGATGACCCACCGTATCCGCTTCATCAATGCGATCCAGCCTCTGCAGTGGTTCTACACAACCACTGTTGGTGTCCTTCTGTATCAGTTCTGGGTCCGCCTTGATTTTATCCTCAAAGGACCTTCCTCGTACACGTCCGACATGTGGATCTTCTTTGCTCTCTCCTCCGTTGCATTTGTCTTGTGCGGCATTGCCTTGACCATGCCCTCCGAGCTCGACTTTGACTTTGTCCATCGCTTTGGATATGGGTATTCATCTGTAAGTAGACTTTTTCCATCTTTTCAAGCTGCAGATGCAAGAAAAGGGAGATGATCTCTTTTATCCGCAGCTGTTTGTCAAAGAAGACGACCGCGCAAGGAAGGATGGTTGCCTTTTTGGTGTGGACGGCATAAATCTCTTTAACCTAGTTAAAGTTTTATTGCCAAGGTGGTTTCTGTGTTATATGGTGTGTACTTACGCTATCATTGGGGATATTCCCACCATAACTTGACTCACACGTCTATTAGGCCAAGCACGAAATGGGAACAGAGTCTTATGCTTCGTACTTGTCGTGGCTCTTCTTCTCCTGGTTCAACACCGTCATCGAGGTTGGCACCACAAAGACTCTCGACCAAACCGATCTGCCAGAGTTGTTGCCCCAATTGCGTGCTAGAACCATTTGGTCCCAATTCCAGGTCTTCCATAATGCAAGGTATGGACTCGGATCAATGTTACCAAACTGAGGTATCATGTGTTGTACACGTTCTCACGTACCTACCTATTCACCCCAGTCCCAGTACGCGTACCATGCCGCCTAACTCCTACTGCGCAGTTTGAATGTTGCGGGAACCTTCTCCGGATAAACATGTCGTGATAATGAAAGAAGATTTATTTTCAACGTGGCACAAAACATTCTCATGAGTAACAACAGTCAGAGTGTCGACCCTTGTATTAATCCGTACCCTTTCCCTCTACCCCTTTTTCAATGAAAACAGAGCGTCCATGTCCCTCCTTAGACGCATCCTCGTGTTTAATATCGCCAGTTTGCTCTGGCAAATGACCTTTGTCATCATCTCGACCTTCCTCGACTTTTCCGTCCCCTACTTCCTCAAGCTGTTCCTCTCCTACATCAATGACCCTACCGTCCCTCCCAAGGTCGCCTACCTTTATGTTGTCCTCATCTTTGTTGCTCAAGTCTCGCGCTCTCTCGTCCAGTCGCAAATGTTTTACATGGGTCGTAAGATCAACGTCTCCCTCATGGCACTCTTGAACGCAGAGATTTACGCAAAGACTCTGACCCGCCGCGACATGAGTGGATTAGTCGACAAAAAAAAGAAGGGCGTCATAGCTGGAAAGGACAAGGACGAAAAGAAGGATAATGCTCCCGCCAGTGCAGGAAAAGTCGTCAACCTCATGTCGACTGATACCGTCCGCGTCTCTGGAGTGGTCAACTTCTGGCACATTGGAGTCTCTTCGCCCATCGGTATCGCCCTCGGAACTTATTTGCTCTACGACCTCATCGGATGGAGTTCGATCGTCGGAATGTCCATTTTGATTATCACCATCCCTGTCAACAAGGCCGTCAGGAAGCGCTATGCCAAGGGTCAACGTGAGCTCTCGAGTGCTCGCGATGAGCGTGTCACCTTGATGGGCGAGGTACGTCCCTTGCGAATTTTGTCCGCCAGTTCTGGCTCACACAAAACGCTGTTTCATGCTCAATGCAAATTATTCTAATCAATTTTCCAATTCATTCACGCGTTATCTAATAGTTGATCGCTGGGATCCGTATGATCAAGTTCTTTGCTTGGGAGCTGTCCTTCAGTGAGAAGGTCTTGAAGGCCAGAGAATTCGAGCTCAAGAAGTTGGTCAATGGTAAGTCGATAGTGCTGAAAACATTCATAACTGCTACACTAAGTCCTAGAGAGCGCAAATCATTTCCTAACATCAAATCTATTTCATTTCATCTCCTGTTCAGTCTACAAGAACACGATTCTCTTCCAGGTCGTTTGGTTCTCTTCGCCTCTTCTTGTCACCATTTGCAGTTTCTTCTGCTACGCCAAGATCCAAAAGGGCGAGTTCACCCCTGCTGTTGCCTTCACCGCCATGGTTCTCTTCACTCGTCTGAAGGCTCCTTTGAACGGCCTGCCTGCCGTCTACATGGCCCTCACCAACGCCAGCGTCAGTTTGAACCGTATTGCTGAGTACTTGGAGGAACCCAACATCAAGAACGTTTTTGAGAACAGACGCAAGTCCAACAACGCACCCGAGATCGGCATGAAGGACATGAGCTCCCAGTGGTGGACCACCGATAGCGCCAAGACGACCAACGAGGAAAACGCAACTCAAGTTCGCACAGAGGACGTTGATCAGTTCATTCTCCGAAACATCAACGTTTCCTTCCCTGTTGGAGAGCTTTCGATTGTCTGTGGACCCACCGGAAGTGGAAAGACGTCGCTCTTGATGGCCATGCTCGGAGAAATGGACGTTTTGACTGGTAACATCTATCTGCCTAGGAGACCCCTCGATGGTGGCAAGGATTTCGACCCCGCCACTGGACTTATCAACGACGGTGTCGCCTTTGTCTCCCAGCAGGCCTGGCTCCAGAACGCTTCGATCCGCGACAACATTCTTTTCGGAAGCCCGTACGAGGAGGATCGCTACAACGAGGTCATTGAGGTCTGCGCTTTGAAGAGGGATCTAGAGATTCTGGAGGACGGCGATCAGACCGAGATTGGAGAGAAGGGAATCACTTTGTCTGGCGGTCAGAAGCAGCGCGTCTCTCTGGCCCGTGCCATCTACTCTCGATCCCGCCATGTGCTCTTGGACGACTGCCTCTCTGCTGTCGATGCCCACACTGCCGAGCACATCTATGGAAAGTGCCTTATCGGACCCATCATGAAGAACCGTACCTGCATCCTTGTCACCCACCACGTTCGCCTCTGTATCCCAACTGCCAAGCTAGTTGTTTTGATGCGCAACGGCGAAATTACGCTCCAGGGAACTGTTCAACAGCTTCGTGAGCAAGGAAATCTTTCCCAGGTTATGGAAGAGGATGACGAGGAGCAGACCACCGACTCGGACGCTGACACTGTTGGCGATAACGATGTCGGATCTTCATCTACTATTGCGAAGCCCCCCAAGCTGCGCAGGAAGTCGACCGCAAAGGATCTCAATGCTGCCAATGCTCCCGCCGAACCTGCCAAGGACGCCAAGAAGTTGGTTCTGGAGGAGACTCGTCAGGAGGGCCGTGTGAAGTGGTCGATTTACCAAGTTTACGTCAACGCCGTCGGTGGCATCCCCTTCTGGCTCCTCTTGTTGGCTGTCTTTGCTATGACCCGTACCGTTGAGGTCTCCGAGTCGCTCTGGGTCCGTGAGTGGGCTAACTCCTACGCTCCCGATACTGATCTGACCAAGTTCATGTTCACCGAGATGTATGCCCTTGCCGGATTCTCGACATCGACCCCCGCCTCTGCCCCAGTCTACGCCGAAACCCGTATTTTCCAGACGCAGCCAGTCTATTACAACAACCCTATTGTCCCAGCTGATAACACCACCTTCACCACAATGGATCAGGATGCCGATGATATCTTGGGCAAGCCTGAGAAGCACGGCACCAACTACTATCTTGCTATTTATGCCCTCATCTCTGTCAGTGCCAGTTTGGCTCATATCCTCCAGACCATCGTCCTCTACTTTGGTTCCCTTCGTGCCGCCAGGTTGCTCTACAAGAAGCTCCTCATGGCCGTCGTCCGTGCCCCTCTCAGATTCTTCGACACCACCCCCGTCGGTCGTATCATGAATCGTTTCTCGAACGATTTCGAGACGGTCGACAGCTCGATTGCCAACAACTTTTCGCAGCTTTTGTCGCTCATAATCTCTGTCAGCTCCATTATCATCGTCCTTGCCTACATCACACCCGCCTTCGTGTTTGTCGCAGCCGTCATCTCGGTCGCCTACTTGGCTATCGGAAAGAAGTACATCAGCACTTCTCGCGAATTGAAGCGTCTCCACTCTGTGTCCCGCTCCCCCATCTACTCCATGTTTGGCGAGTCCTTGGCTGGTTTGTCGACCATCCGTGCCTTCAGTGAGCAGAGCCGATTCATGAGCGACCTCTTGGTCAAGATTGACGATAGCAACCGTCCCTTCTACTTCCTGTGGATTGCCAACCGCTGGTTGTCTGTGCGTTCCGATTCGATAGGTGCCATTGTCGCACTGTCCTCTGGCGTGTTTATTCTCATGCAGCCCGCTGGAATCGATGCCGGAACAGCTGGTTTGGCTTTGACCTATGCCCTTGAGTTTGTCGCCCTCGTCAACTTTTTGGTCCGCGAGTACACCCAGATCGAGATGGAGCTTAATGCCATTGAGCGTATCACTGAGTACACTGTCATGGCCCAGGAGCCCCCAGCCATCGTCGAAGGCCGTCGTCCCCCAGCTGCCTGGCCAATTGAGGGTGCCATTGAGGTCAAGGACCTGGAGCTCAAGTATGCCCCTGATCTTGAGACCGTCTTGAGAGGCATCTCTTTCAAGGTTGAATCTCGCCAGAAGATTGGAGTTGTTGGAAGGTAATCATCAAGTTATATATTTTACTTCTCGTTATGATATAGATCCATGTTGTGCGAAATTGGAACAGGTTAATTAACGCTCTGTCCGTTGTCATTGTCGAAATGAATAGAACTGGATCAGGAAAGAGTACTTTGGCGCTGTCATTGTTCCGCTTTGTGGAGCCAGTTGCTGGAAGCATTCACATCGATGGAATCAACATTGGTGACATTGGACTGGATGACCTCCGTTCTCGCTTGACTATTATTCCTCAGGACCCCATGCTGTTCACCGGCACTATTCGCTCAAACTTGGACCCCTTCAACAACCACGTTGACAATGAGCTTTGGGAGGCCCTGCAGCGTGTCCACCTGGTCAGCTCTGGTCAGGATTCATTGGCCAACAGCGACAACGAAGGTGAAGATAGCACTGGATCATCGACCACCGGACCTGTTACAGCCGCCAGCAAGACCAACGTTTCCTTCTCGAGTCTCGACAACCCTGTCAGTGAGGGAGGATCCAACTTTTCGCAGGGCCAGCGTCAGCTCCTGTGCATGGCTCGTGCGTTGTTGAGGAACTCCAAGATTATTGTGATGGACGAGGCGACGGCGTCGGTTGATTTTGCGACTGACAAGGCGATCCAGTCTGCGATCCACCGCGAGTTTGAGAACTCGACGGTTGTGTGCATTGCTCATCGGTTGAACACTATTATTCTGTACGACAAGGTGTTGGTGTTGGACCATGGCAAGGTGTTGGAGTTTGATACCCCAGCCAACTTGCTGGACGACAGTAAGGGCCACAAGACGCACTTTAGAGAGATGTGCGAGCGGTCGGGCGAGTTGGATGTCCTTCTTGACATGATCAAGAACCAATCGCGTTCCGCTTAGATTCATTTTTCCCATTTTTCCCATATTTCATAAATCATTTTGCCACCAACTTTGAATCCAATTAATTTGCACAGTCACAATTACTGTGTTGATAAACAAACTCGATTTTTTTTTTATTAGTTCACTCCATTGCCCTCTTGACCCAAGCACACATCTCTCAACACAACACAATGGGAGCCGACACGAAACGGAAACATTCTAAGGAGGAGGACGAGGCCAAGAAGGCCAAGAAGAGCAAGTCAGCCACCACAACCACACCTGTTGAGTTAACAACAGCTGTCGAGGAGCAGGACCGGCCGAGCAAGAAGGCCAAGAAGGAGAAGAAGAACAAAGAGGTCAAGGAGAAGAAGAGCAAGAAGGAGAAGAAAGACAAGGACGACAAGAAGGACAAGAAGGAAAAGAAGGAGAAGAAAGACAAGAAGGAGAAGAAGAGCGCCAAATCCGACTCTTCCGATGACGAGTCAAGCGCACCTTCCAGCCCAGCTCCTGTCAGCGACATCACCAGCATGGATGTGGATGAGGATGAGGAGGTTTTCGCTGCTGCTGCTGTCGTTCCTACGCTCTCTGCAGCGGATATCATTGCGCAGTACAAGAAAGCCCAGGAGAGCAAGGCTCTGTTTGTCGTCACTAGCAATGGATCTGGCAGTCAGGACTCGGAGGAATCGCAGAAGTCTGCCGCTGAGGGTGCTGCAAAGCCATTCTATGTTGCCCAGATGGGTGCCAAAGGTGTGTACTTGGCGTAGCTGTTATGACGTTTTACTTTGACGTTCGATTGAGTGCCGCTGTCAAGGACGAGAGCTGACACTGTTGCATTGTTCTTATTTATTATTCAATAGTGGATGACAATGGACTGACGAGGAAGGACAGACGCCTTTTGAAGATCAAGCAGAAGCAGATTGACAGAAAGAGCGAAGGAAATGGCGAGCCTGCATTCAACGTCAAGGCTGGACACGAAATGCTTACTCTCAAGGTAAGCGCGCATAATGTTTTAACTTGCACAGTGCAACATACGAAACATGGTGCCTTATGCTAACGTTTTTATTCCAACTCTTTTCGATAGGACCTGCGCGACTTGGTTGTGTTTATCTTAACTGAGACGCCATCACTGCCCTGGGTCGAGGTGAAAAACAAGTTCAAGATCGACAAGGTCGTGATGATCTACGTTGCAGGACTGGACCCTCAACTTTTACATATCAACCTTCAATCACCCGACGCACACAAGGCCGTCGCCTGGGGTGAGCGCGTGGAAAAGAACAAGGGTGTGGCTACCGAGCTTGATTATTTACGCTGGAATTTCGAGCAAGTCAATGTTGTCAAAGCCACGGGCGACAAGTTCAGAATTCATTCTCCTACCAACACTCTTTTGAGTGTGCCTCTGAGCAACTCTGAGAAGATGAAGCGTGAAAAGGAGAAGAAGGGTAAGCCCTTGACAAACTTGTTATATGCACCGCTCAGGGCTTTCGTAACCAAAAGCCTTATTTTGACAACCACTAATCCGCTGACTTTTGCATTATGAATATGTAGCCGCCAAGTCAGCAAAGAACAGGAAGCCAGAAAACTTCATGATGACCCTGGAAGAGCTTCGCGAGAACAGCTTCCCTATACCTCGTTATCTGGATCCCAGCCTCCCTGAGCTGAAGGCCGGTTGGACTGAGACTGCCAAGCCGCCAAAGACGACGCTTTCGCCTCCTCCCAAAAAGATGATTGCCATGGATTGTGAGATGGTACGTATGGAGGCTTTGTCCTCAGTTCGTTCTTGCTACTTCGCCCTGAGCTCCTTCAAGTCAGCGAATTGTTATTAACCACGGTCGTTTTTTTTGCCACATACAGTGTAGGACAGAGGCAGGACAAGAGTTGACGCGAGTAACGCTGATTGATGAAGCAGGCAAGACCATTTATGATGAGTTGGTGATGCCCGAGAACCCCATTCTCGACTATTTAACACAGTACTCTGGTATGACTGCAGCCCGTCTCAACGGTGTCACTACCCGACTGGCTGAAGTGCAGGAGAAGCTGAAGGATCTTGTGGACTATAACACCATCCTGGTCGGGCACTCTCTTGAAAACGATATGCAGGTCTTGAAGGTATGCTAAGTTTTTTTCCTCACGTGAAACGTAAATGTGGGATGTACAAAAATGAGCCGTATATGTTATTGAAGGTCGCGTAAACTAATGCGAAATTTGTCTCGTAACCACTCTACCTTTCGCCTTGTTTCACAGCTTGCACATCCATTCATTATCGATACTAGTTTGGTCTACCATCATACCCGTGGTCCACCATACCGTCCCGGTTTGAAGTGGCTCTCCCAGAAGTGGCTCCAGCGTCAAATTCAAGCCAACTTGGAGCGTGGACACGACTCTGCAGAGGATGCGCTTGCCTGTATGGATCTGATCAAGCTCAAGTTGACCAAGCCCATTGGATTTGGAGAGTATGAACAGGACCAGGAATCTCTCTTCTCGCGACTCCAGAGGTTCAACAACCCCAAGACCTCGGCGCTGATTGATTCCGATGCTTTTGCTGGTCAGTCTGCGACGACTACGATCCGGACAAAGAGTGATGAGGAAGTTGTTGCGGCCGTTCCCGAGGTGATCAAGAACCACAACTTTATCTGGGCGCGGTTAAGAGATATCGAGCTCAACCACGGTAAAGTTAAAACTATCGACTTGGCCGAGGGTCAGATTGCCGATAAGGGTCGTTTGTCCAAGGTCAGCAGTAGTGACAAGATCCAGGCTTCGGAGGAGGAGATCCGGCAGGGACTGCGATCGATCGACAAGTCTATTGAGCGCATTGTCGATTCCTTGCCACCCCGTACTGCTGTGATTGTGGCGAGTGGACAGGGAGACCATCGCGAGGTGTCGAGGTTGCAGCAGCGCCAGAAGCACTTTATGGAGCTCTATAAGACCAAACACTTGTCTGAGATTCCTAAGGAGGAGCACTTCCTGGAGGCTGACGAGATTTTATTGGCCAAGGCTGTTGAGGTCGCCAAAAGTGGTGTTTGCTTCCTGAAGATCAAGCAGTAGCTTCCGTATAGCTGTGAGCGTTTGAGAGAGAGAGAGAGGTTGAAGAATTAGAAAATAGAAGAAAATGAATGTGAAAAAAGCTCATTGTCTGCGTCTGATACTCTCGCCTGTTTTGCTCATCCCACCCCTTCCTCTTTACGGAAGTTGCTGTTGATTCTATGGCCAATGGTTCATCATCCCCATCCCACCCCTTTTCTGAATACTACTAAGCTTCCTCCATATATTTATGGCACCTTTCCTGGTCCATGAGGGGATCTCTACGTAGCGGACAAGAGAAGACAAATCCTGGAGCGATTCAAGGTATCGTTGAAAGGAAAAAAGAGTCTCCTTGTTTTTTTTATGTTGTTACCTTTTCGTATCCTGTTTCTTTTTGTCCACCCCTTGGTTAAAGAAAAGAAAAAGGGAGTGAGAAATGTTGAAAAGGTTGTAGAAAATCAAAAGCCAGCGCAAAACACACAGACAACTCTCCACCCCTTTTTCCTTTGTAAACGGGAATTGTTTTCTCACTCCTCGAAAATCAAATCCTTTTTCTGCTATTTCACCCCTTCCTCTCTTTCTTCCCCCTCTTCACCTTTGTGCTATGGAGAATTGCGATTTTTTTCTATTGAAAGGAGTGAAGTAGAGGGGGAAGGAGAACAAAGGGGCAATTTGTGTTGATGAATATTTGGACCCATCCGACAAAGGAGGAAGAGAAAGAGGAAGTGATTTTTGGTATTCCATTCGCTCAATCGCTCGCCAGCAAGCGGGGAAATAGGCAATTAGCATTCAAATAGAACGCGCTTTATTAACACATCAATACAGTACTTATTACCAGCATCTTTCCTATGAAAGATTGAACACAAAGAAGGGGGGGATGGAAAATGTAGGGAGGTAAAAAAATAATCGATTCTCATAGTTTCGTTCATAAACGCACCGCTCGCTTCCTTTCTTTCCTCTTCTCTTCTTCTTCTTCTTCACCTTCACCTTTTCCTCCTCACCTCATCCTCCTCACCTCATCCTCTTATTCGATTTCTTTCCTTCACTCCATCTCCTCACTCACCAGCAACAAAAAAAAAAAAAAAAGGTCGCAAGGGTCTTTCTTTTTCACCAACACAACATACATATCACAATGCGTATCTCAAGTGCAATTGCATTGGTCACCTTGGCTGCCACAGCCGTGTTCACTGGCGTCGTCCAAGGAGCAGAAGAACCCGAGGTCAAGGTGTTGACGTCGGAGAACTTCAAGGATGCGATCAACCAAAAGTTTGTCCTTGTGGACTTTTATGCGCCATGGTGCGGACATTGCCAGAACCTTGGTAAGTTTTGATGTTTTTTGATCAGTCACGGAAATAAAAGAGTAGCATGTTGGTTTCACTTGGACTGATCAATCAGTTCCATGTGTTGTAATGGGAGTACAACCGATCACTAACATTGTTTTTTTTTTGACCTTTTGCCCTCCCCCTTCTCCACATTTGTGTATGCGTTACAAATAACAGAGCCTGAGTATGAGGCTGCCGCCAAGATATTGAAGGACGACGAGACGATCCTGCTGGCAAAGGTTGACTGTGTGGCCGAGAAGGAGCTCTGCAAGAGCTACGAAGTTGATAGCTACCCCACCCTCAAGATCTTCAGGTATGTGTTATTTATTCTTCATCTCGTAGCGCTCATTTTCTCACCTCTACATCCGTCCTTGGAAGGAGACATCATAAGCGCAAAAAAGGAGGGCAAGGATTACATACAGAAACAAAGTTCTTTGGAGGGCGACATCTTGTCCTTGGCCTGTGCTTTTTTTTGTACTTTCGCCAGTCTCGTATAAATGGAGGATTGCCTCATCTACTTTGTTCTCACCCGTGGAAAAAATAAAAAGGGAAAGATGAGGAAAAGAACAGGAGTGAGGGATTCAAGGAGTAAAGTGGATACACCGAGCCAACCACCTTCGTGCTTATACATACCTTGCCTTTCACACACATACCTTGACCTTACTCCCCAACCAAGCGACCACCGAAAAAAGTTTCTCACTCTCCTTACTCCATTCCTTCTTCGCCTCCTCTTGCTAATAGAGAGGGTGTCCCAAGAGACTACAAGGGCGCTCGCAAGACCGACGGCATCGTCTCCTACCTCAAGAAGCACGCCGCCCCTCCAGTAACGATCCTCACCGCCGAAACTCTCCCCGCCTTTGCCGAGTCCGAACGTGTCGTCGTCGTGGCCGTCCTCCCTGCCGACGACCCCCAACGCGAAGAGGTCGACAAGATTGCCCGCTACTACCGTGACGATTTCATCTTTGGAGTTGTCGAGGAACACCCAGACGTCAAGGCCCCAGCCGTGGTTCTTTACAAGAAGTTTGATGAGGGCAAGAATATCCTTGAGGGCGAGATCACCGATGCAAAGTTGCTCAGCTTTGTCCGGACCAACTGTCTCCCGACCATTGATGAGATTGGAGCGACCAACTATGCACATTACATGGATGCCACGATCCCATTGGCTTACTTGTTCTATGGCACGACGGACCAGCGTGATGCGCTGAAGGAGGACTTTGAGGCCGTCGCCAAGGAGTGGAAGGGTAAAGTCAATTTTGTTTACCTCGATGCCCAAAAGTATGGTGCCCACGCTACCAACGTCGGTCTCAAGGATAACTGGCCTGCTTTCGCAGTCCAGGACGTCAGCACGGCCGAGAAGTTCCCTCTGGAGCAAAACGACGAGCCTCTGACCGTCGAGCGTATCAAGCAGCATATCACCGAGGTTGTTGCTGGCATCCAGAAGGCCAAGGTCAAGTCTGAGGCCATCCCCGAGTCCAACGACGGAAACGTTAAGATTGTTGTCGCCAATTCCTACGACGAGATTGTTCACGACAAGGAGAAGGATGTCTTGATCGAGTACTATGCCCCTTGGTGCGGATTTTGCAAGCGTCTCGAGCCCATTTACGACGAACTTGGTGCTTTGTACAAAGGATCCAACATTGTCATTGCCAAGCTTGACGCCACCGCCAACGATCTCCCCGCCTCGGTTCCTTTTGCTGTCACTGGTTACCCCACCATCAAGTTCAAGAAGGCCGGTCAAGACACCTACATGGACTACAATGGTGAACGCACCGCTGCTGCCTTTGTCGACTTTATCCGCAAGAACGCCGTCAACACGTTCGAGGTTGCCGATCCCGAAGGCATCTACGAGCCCAAGCTCAAGTCCGAGACCGTCCCTGAGACCCAGGATGGTCCCGTCACCGTCGTGGTTGCCAATAACTACGAGAACGTTGTTCACGATAGCGACAAGGATGTCCTGATCGAGTACTACGCTCCCTGGTGCGGATTCTGCAAGCGCCTCGAGCCCATCTACGACGAGCTCGGTGCACTCTACGAGGGGTCCAACATTGTTGTCGCAAAGTTCGACGCCACCGCCAACGACCTCCCCGCTTCAGTTCCCTTCGCCGTCTCGGGCTACCCCACGATCAAGTTCAAGAAGGCCGGCTCCAAGGATTATATCGACTATAGTGGCGAACGCACAGCCGCAGCATTCGTCGATTTCATTCGCAAGAACGCCGTCAACAAGTTCGACGTTGCCGATCCCGAAGGCATCTACGAGCGCAAGCACAAGTCCGAGGCTGTCCCCGAGACCCAAGACGGACCCGTCACGGTCGTGGTCACTGACAACTACGAGAATGTCGTCCACGACAACGACAAGGATGTCTTGATCGAGTACTACGCTCCTTGGTGCGGATTCTGCAAGAGCCTCGCTCCTATCTATGATGAGCTCGGAGCCTTGTACAAGGGTTCCAACATTGTTGTCGCAAAGTTCGACGCCACCGCCAACGAACTCCCAGCTTCAATTCCCTTTGCGGTTTCGGGCTACCCCACAATCATGTTCAAGAAGGCCGGCACCAAGGACTACGTCGAGTACAATGGCGAACGCACAGCCGCAGCATTCGTCGATTTCATCCGTAAGAACGCCGTCAACAAGTTTGACGTTGCCGATCCCGAAGGCATTTACGAGCGCAAGCACAAGTCCGAGGCTGTCCCCGAGACCCAAGACGGACCCGTCACAGTCGTGGTCGCGGACAACTACGAGAATGTCGTCCACGACAACGACAAGGATGTCTTGATCGAGTACTACGCTCCTTGGTGCGGATTCTGCAAGCGCCTCGCTCCTATCTATGATGAGCTCGGAGCCTTGTACAAGGGTTCCAACATTGTTGTTGCAAAGTTCGACGCCACCGCCAACGAACTCCCAGCTTCAGTTCCCTTTGCGGTCTCGGGTTACCCCACAATCAAGTTCAAGAAGGCCGGCACCAAGGACTACGTCGAGTACAACGGCGAGCGCACGACCGAGGCCTTTATTTCCTTCTTGGAGAAGAATGCCGTCAACAAGGTCGAGGTCAAGAACGAGACCAAGAAGGACACCCATGATGAGCTGTAAAACATCCCCAAAAACTCAACAACAGTTCCAATTGAGGGATCGCAACAGAACAATGGAGCACTCTGTAAATACCTTCGAGTAGCTTTGTACAGTACACACATATTATTCCAGAAGTAAACATCTTTCAATTCACACAACCAAAACCATTGGAAAGTAGAGTGATTGATAATGTACAAGATCCCCAGCAAGATTTATTATAAGCCAAGGAAAGGGAGTGAAGCAAAGCAAAATGGTAGGATAGAGTGGATTAGATGAAGCAAATGAAAAGAGAGAAAAGAAACCACATTTTGGTGCAGTCAACCAAAGACGTGGTTTCTTACTCGTCGTCATCATCATAGTTTTCCTCCTCGTCTGCCCGTTTGCGTTTCCATGCATCGTGGTTTGCCAGATTCTGTTGGCTCTGTGGCAAGGGCACCTGGGCCACTTCCTCCATCTCTTCATCAGAGTGGTCCCCTGCTTCTTCCTCCTTGACCTTGAACAGTGATGGTGTCCCTGCCTCATCCTGTCCTGCAGATAATGCTGCTTCCTTTGCGACATCTTTGTGAGTTGGTGGTGGAAGCTATAGAGTCCCCGGAGAAATATTGAATGGGAGGTTAGTCTTCTTATGTCGGCATCTAAAGGACACGAAGCTGCCCTTCTTTCCTGATATAAGTGCCTTTTCGCATCTGTTTACCTCAGGGATGAGCTGGAAGTTGACGGCGGTTAGGCAGTGGCGTTCATGTGGCAGACGGATCCCGTACTTTTCTGGGATCAATGGTAGTGGCACCCTGTTCTTTTCCTCTGCGAGCTCCAGAAGGAACTAGATAAATCAAAAAGAGTACAAGAGATGGCGCAGAAATACGACATGGTTAGTCCAGTTTCTTCCTCCTGTCGAAAACTCCTCGACATGCTGTGAATTCGATTCCATGTCAAACTACGTCTGTTTACCTCTTTGGGCGGCGGTGAGGTGAAGGAGTGGTTGACACGTCCTTGGATGGCAAGTCGAACGTCGTCCAAGCCCACGTCCGTCCTTCCTGCGTGTTCAGAGTAGAGTAAAGCATCCTGGAAAACGTCCGTCGTATATCCTAGACGATATAAAAATAGTTATAAAGTTTCAGTGGTTCGAGTTCAAGTATAAAAGTATTATGCTAACAAGCACATCTTGCGCACAACTTCACAAGTAAAAGCCTTACGGTGTGCAAACTCGAGCAGCTGGTGTATGACTTTTTGGTCGGCATCCTCGACAGCGAGCGACTGCAGAATCAAAGAAACGACTATAGGACAGACGGACGCCATACGCGGAACAGAATGGGGGATACATGTGAGAAATAGTGGTAGCTGTTGACAACATGCGTCTCGTGGGGTGAGTGGTGTTATGGTCCGAGTGCTTTTTGCATGGCACGACTTTCAAGTGTCCATGCCATGCATGACGGTAAGTGTGGTTTTTTTACCCTTTGCATCCCGAGGTTGTGGTGTTTGTGCCATTGGTAAGTCGTTTTGTTTTTAACTGCTGCGGTTGATGTCTGACGGATTGATGTGTCCTGGTTGTATTGTCCTGACCTGAGGTAAAGGATCGCAAAGTGGAGCGGAGAGCCTTTTTATCTTTTGGGCGTGTTGCGCCCAAGAAAAGATGACGTCTCTGAATTTCAAAATGGCTGGAATTGGTGGCAAAACTAAAAACGACGACCTGAAAGCTGGTACGCGTCGGTCCCGCGTTGTGATAGATAAAAGCCGCTGAAAAACAGTGAAGTCGACAAATACCATACCCATCGACCACTGAACAATAGGTTCCTTCCAGAAAAGCTTGCTGTATTGCTTCCCTGTCTAGGGCTCTGGGAGAAAATATTACTTAAAACCTCTCATCCATTCTTCCCTTGTCGCTGACCTTTCGACCTTCACTCCCTCCCTACATATTAAACTAACCAACAAAAAAAAAAAAAAAAAACACTCCAACAAGGATGTCCGTCAACCTGAATTCTCTTCCCACTCCAAAAACACAAAAGGCTACGAACATTTGGTGTGACGACCCACAACGCGCCATCCTTCAGCAGATCAAGAAACATACCGTGGGTCCTGATGGCTACGGGCGCATCAGAGTCCCTGCGAGATACTATCCTCCCGTAGACAATGGCCCCAACACCATCGTTGGTGAGTCAACTTTCCTGCGAATGTTTGTGATGACTGTGTTTGATAATGTGAACTGTCGTATGAATGAGTACCGTACTGATAGCTCTTAATCGTTACTTTTTTTCTTGGTTTAATAGTTGTAAAAAACGCAATCGGCACGAACAACCTCGCCGCCTTATCACACGAGCTCCTCAAATTCTTCGATTCGGCTGCTGGGTACCGCCGTGCAGCCCTCTACGGAACCGCCAACCGCTTAATAATCGCACTAGTGGAATGCCTCAAGTACCACACCGATCCACCCATGTTCATCCTCCAAGCTCTGATGGCACTCGGCGAAATCGCCAAAACTCGTGATCTCGACCATGAATTTGAACGGATGGTGTCTCAGTTCTTGGTGGATGTCCTTTGTTCACCGCCTTTCCCTCCCCCTGTCGACCCAACAACGCCTCCTCTTACCGACGATGAGATTTGTTTCTTGGCTGGCGACGATAGATATGACAATAGCAGTACTAGTGGTGGTACTGGACAGCCTTTTCTACTCGATGGCAATCACTCGTCGTTCGTCTTCGCCACCTCTTCAAGCACCAATGATACAAACTCCTCCAGCAACAGCAACTCGTCAACACACATCACCAACACTACCATCAGCACGTCCATCAAAAAAACAAAGAACCAACGTCGTAAAAAGAAGAAGATCCCAACCACCAGCGACGACGCTACTCTATTTGATCTCGGAGCATGCGTTTCACCCCAACGCGGGGAGCCTTTGCTTTTGGATTTCGCCGACTCTCCTCTTCTTGCTCAAGACACTCCTCACAGCAAGGCAGCTGTTCAAGGCAAGCCATTCAATATCATGGATGCCAACAACGACATCATCTTCTTCAACCTCAACGACATCCAACCCTCCCCTATACCTCCAACCAATCACCAAAATCACATCTATCCTCCTTCATCCGACAATGCCCTTAGTCACCGTCACCTCTACTGGCTCAAGAATATCGCGTCTCAGGAGGCCCACAACTACTCCATCCAGCCTCGGCACCACCAGGAAGCATTGAACGAAATCCTGGCTCAGAAGAACCCCCTCCAAATCTTCCTTGCCATCAACGCCTTTGAACTAGGCCCTATCCTTCTCACTCATTTATTCAATGCCAATCATCATCATGACCTGCTGCTCGACGCAAACAACTCCAACTATGGATCCTTGCTCATGATACAATTGATTGAACAAGGCTACCCGGAAGAAGCTGCATCCTTGGCACTTCGATTTCCCCTTTGTCGCAGCAACGGTATCGACACAAAGCTGGTGGCTCGTCTTGTCGAGACGAACAAGCTGGGTTTGATCCACGAGTTGATCGGTGACAATAAGGACCTCGGACGCTCAGCTCTGCACTCGATCGACCGACGAATGGCCGCTCAGATTTGGAACTGGGCAGAGGAAGGGATCATCGAACTGGATCAACTGGATCCCTTTTACGCCGTCCAATGTATGAAGGAGGGCGCCGCCCAGGCCAAAGTGATTATATCTGACGTCGACTGTGCCGCGACTCTGATTCAGCTTGCTGGGTTAACCGAATGCACAACAAACCTCAGCGTAAAGTTCGGACTCGACAACACGATGATAGCCCTTCAGAGCCTCAAGTTCGTCACAGACCTCTGCACCGTGATCTCACTCCTCCAACAACAGGAGCAACAATCAGACTCTTTGAAAACTTTGGCTTCAAGTCCCCCCGAACCTATTTCAATCATGGTTGACGATCCGTCGTCTCCAAGTCGCTACTCAAAATATCAACTCACCTGTTCCTGGAAATTCTTCCCAGCCATCATGCAGATCCTCAAGAACGATGTGGCTTTGCAGCGATTGGTCATTTGGTACGGTGTCAGGACTCTGCGGGATTCAAAGACCACATGCTTTTTGGCATCCAAGCTGGGACAGAGGGTGCACCTGGACAGATGCCTCGAACAAGTGAAAGTGCAGTAACACACTCAAACGCAGACCCCCTCAATGGCTATCCATTGTTTGGCAGAAAAACGAGCAATAACGAGTTTAATGTACAGAAGAGCAAAAAAAAGCAGATAAAGAAAAATAAAACGAAGGGCAAATATCTAAAAAGCAACTGGTAAAGGGACTAAAGAGTAATAGAACAACTACAGCTAAGGAAAGAAGAAACAAAATAAAAAAATAAATTACGCCAAGCAAAAACTCCCTTACAGGTCTCCAGCCAGGATCTCCTCGTCCTCGTCCATGAGACGAACAATCTTGACGTAATTGCCGAAACCAATCACAATATCCTTCAACTCGGGTCCCTTAGCCGAATCCATAGGATCCCAAGTCTCCATCTCGGCCTCACGCGACGAAGGTCCTCGCAAGATCGCGTGGATCAGCCTAGTCTCCACAAATGGCAACAACATCGACTCTGAATCCTCGTCATCCGCGGCTCCTCCAGCTCTGAAGCTACCCCAGCTGTCATCCGACCCGCCAACGCCTGACATTGCCGGATGCAGTGACTGACCATACTCGGGTTGTTGCCCGGACGGTGGCAGGCGCGCGAGTCCAGTGGTGAAAACGTATCCTTGCTGGCCTCCTTGGCTTGTGAATGATCCGGGTCGACGCTGGATCTTTGGGCGAGTCTGAGCACTGTTGCCGTCCTGCTGGCCATACTCCATATCCAAACCTGCCTGAAATCCGTGGTGCTGATTAAGCACAACTTGTGTGGCGATCCCGGACCCATTGGAGGAAACGGTGATGGTTCCTGGCATGCCTGAGTTGAACACATCTGTTGCCATCGACGGCCTCCGGGTCGAGTCAGGGTGGGGTCGAGCTGGGAGCGAAGGACGTCTCTGGAGAGGAGGTTGTAGGTTGATGGCTCGGATTGTCAGGTCCAAACTCCAAACGCCCGGGGTCTTGAAGATGCACTGGTAAAGGTCTGCCTCCCAGAGCTCCCATCCTCGCTTTGTCGGGTGACTGCCGGATGCTGTTTGTCTGTCCTGACCAGACACCGTAGATGACAATACATGGCCCTCGCTCTTCCTCCTACTCCTAATGATGTTAGCGACAGGTCCTGGTGTCTCCGCTATCGAAGCATGGGATTGCTTGGGAGGTGTGTTGAGTTGAGCTGTATGTGCCGTAGTGGATTCCGTACGGCGAACACCATAGAGACGCGAGTTGCTGACCGTCATGCACCGGCCACCTCGCTGCTTCATAAAGCCCACCAGTCTTGGCGCAGGTAAAGACGAACTTAGCATGCCCAAGATATCCAGGTGTCCTGCGGTGTTGCCTTGGTTAGTCTTCCAGTCCCGAGAGCCGTTGGATCTTAACCGATCCTGAGACTGACCGTGGTTGCTTCCGTCGTAGCCTGCAAAGTACTCGTGGCCGTTTTGAGTTGGATGGCCAAGTGGTGTCGGTTGACCTAGGGGTGTTGGCAAGGCCATTAAGCCCTCCCATTCTACCATCCATACCATCACAGCCTCATCCACTCCGCTCGAGAGCACCAACCAAACCCGCGGAGCAGGCTCTCCGGTCAGCCCATCCTCGAGTTCCAACGCATGGAAGCAAAGCTTGGTAATTGAGCCCTGGTGAGACGGCTGGTGGTTGTCGGGCTCTCCTTGAGAAAATCTCCTGTCAAGATGCTGCTTGGACGGTCCGATCAGAGCAGATGCTCCTGGCACTGTCGACCCACGGGAGAGTGTCCAGACGAGGTTTCCATGTTCCAGATCCCAGACCTTGATGGCGCCGGTAGAGTATCCCACGGCAACCATAGGTACCTCGGCATCGAGTGACAGTACCGACACACTACCTCCAGCGGCCTGACCAGCATGACCCCAGAGCATGGACCAAGTATCGAGCGAGCCATTCGGCCGGCGAGAGGCGCTCCAACACTGGATTCCTCCATCTTTTCCTGCCGCGACCATGTATGTCCTCTGCGTCAACCCGAGGTCCTGTCTCGTCTTAGGGTCGAGCTCCACCATCGCCAGTTCTGCAATACCGCCTCGATGCCTGGTTTCAGCTACACACTGTCCTTCACCGCTGACAGGGTTCCACTGCCAGATTTGACCGTCGCGATAGCCAGCCATCAACGAAAGACCCTCGCCCAAGAACGATCCTGCTTCCGGTCGTGAAACAGGCTCCCAAAAAAAAATACTGCCTACTCTCAGCTTAGCTTGGTCGATTGTTGCGCTGGGGCCCCGGACCATGCCATACGTCGACTTTAAGGACGGTACTCGGCCCATTCCATGCCCGCCGTACCCATGAGCGACCTGTTCAACATTCCACACATGAACAGCACCATCTGCGTAACCGCCCGCTGCAAAGGTGCCAGAGGAATCGAGTTTTAGGCACTTGAGAGATCCGACCTTGGATCGTGGGTTCTTGACTGGTGTGGTGAATGCAGCGGTCACTCGCACGGAGGGTATATTTTTGTTTGTTGGCGACATCTTCACGGACGCTCCCTCCTCCAGTTTCGCAAGAGGTATCTCTTGTCCATGTCCTGCAACGCCACTCCACAAAAGAATAGAGCCATCCATGCTGGAAGTCAGGATGAGCCCCTGATCTGGTGAAACATCCATCTGGTCGATATCGGTCTTGTGGCCTCGCTGGTACAACGTTTCCACTGATCCTGGGAGAGGTGAGCATGCTCCTGGATCCTGTCCGAGCTCTCTTGCTTCTTGCGCCAAAAGCTCTTCCATCATGAGTTTCCGTTTCGACTGGTAATCTCCCGGCAGTACAATAAATGGGAAACTCCATTGGAGATCGACCAGTAATTTACGTTGTGGACTCAAAAGGTACGACAACAATAGAAGGATGGATGCGGCCAAAATGATCGACGGAATGACAAAAACGCGGACAAGCCAGTACGCGAACAGGCAGACGAAAACCAAGGTCTCCCAAAGGAACTTGAAAGGTCGACGTGAATACAATTGGTCGGTGTGCGTTTGAGAGCTCTCTGAATCCTGCTTCGATCCAGCATGCGCCTCCTCAGACGCATCCTGCTGACTGTCGCAGTTGTCGAGTTCAAAGACGTCAGTCTTGGTGTCACACGGGATATCGTGTGTTCCATTCAGTGGTCTCCATAGTGCCAACACCGCAGGCGACTCAATCTCCACATATCCTCCTTGTCGCTCTGGATCGATCATCGCCCAAAACTCCGTTGAGGCCTCGGAAGGGATGATGCGCCAGTACGACTCTGTAACTGCCACTGTTGGTGTCGACTGGTTTGTGGTCCCGTAAATGTATCCAAGGTACGCCATCACTCCCACCATCTACGCAATTCAAGGGTACATATGTTAGATATGTAAGCAAATGAGCGCAGTGAAAATGAGGCAACAAGCTGACAGTTGCGTATAGGAGACTTACAATAATGGACGTGAAAATGCGTCCTTTCCGGTTTTTGTTGCCGGGCTTGTCGTGCGAACGCGAGTCCTCGTTACTATGGAACGATTCAGTGCTGTCTTTCCTGCGGTGTTTGCTGTCGTTTCCATCGTGCATAGACATCCCGTTTGTCGTATGAATCCCACTGAAACGTGCCGCCATCTCGTTATCGCCAGGGAAGAGACCTGACTTGGTGGCAGAGTGGCGAGAGCCAAAGGGATAACGCGAGTATGGTGCAGCAGGCCGTCCCAGATCTGACAGCTCCAAACGACGGATATCGATCGAAATGACGGTAATGAAAAAGGTCATTTGTAGGAGATAATCCATGATGACAGCGGCAATGGCGAACGTACAGAATTCTTGCACTGCAGGGATCGTCGTCATGGCACCAATGGTCAACAGGCAGAGTTCGGCAACGAGGGTCATTGTGATAGAGACTCCAACTGTGCCCAATCCACGTCCTACGCGCTCCCTGACTGGCAAGTCCATCGATGTTTCCACGACAGCATGAACCAAGATGTTGATATTTTCGACACCAACGACAATAATCATGAACGGCAAGATTTCCCTAATAGAGCGTAAACAAACGAGGCTAAGTTGTCTGTATGTTTTTTCTACAAATTATTCCATTAGTCAAACATAATTCACAGCCTGTGGGTGCGCCCTTACCATGGCATCAGGGTCAACGTTACTCCAAACACCGAACAAAGACCGATCGACATGAGGAGCGAAACAAAGACGGTGGCGACAGCAGCAATGCCAAGACCATACTTGGACTTGACCAAATCCACACGACCGACAGAGAGGGAGATATAGAGAAACATCACAAAGTAAGCCATTCCCAGCAGCCAATATTCAGCCGAAATATTGGTACGAGGCTGGGCGTGTTCCTGAAGTAGAGTAGAGTTTGGTGGGGATGGATGAAGGAATGGGATTGTAAGGTGAGTGTACAGAAACAATTGACCTATTTCCATGAACCTTAATAAAGCCGGCAACAGCAATACAACAACAACAAGAAGTACAAAGCGAACAAGGCGAACAACAACAAAACAATCGATTGGATTGCATGGCTAGCAAGCATACATCAGAGATAAGTCGGCGCGATCCGCTCTGACCGGTTTCTTGCACAGGGAGAGCTCTGACAAGAAATTGAGAAAGTGGATCGGGAATAGAATTCCCGCTTGATGGTACATCCAAGATATCATTGTCGGCGTCTTGTTCTTCCTGTTCTTCTGTCCCTTCCACTGCGGAAAGGATGCTGTTGTCGTTCTCGGATGTTGTTGGGGTGTGATAGAGAAGGCGGGCTTGAGCTTTCTTGGCCCGTTCCGCTTGGAGTTCGATTTGGAGTTGCTTGAAGATGAGGCGCCAGATTTGGCGGACGTCCAATGGGTCATGGAGTGTCCTGCCTGCGCTCGTCTTGTCCGTTGTCGAGGGGTCATCATAAGTGCCAGCAGGTGCTTGTACGCCCAAGTCTCCTCGCAGGAAAAATGTAATGACCAAGGAGAGAGATCGATGGTCTGGTGACAGACCCCTGTCAAGTGACAATCCTCCGAATAGCGAGTTCGAGGACGACTTGTGCCGGTACTGTTCCAGGGTACCGTTGAGGTCAATGTCGGAGCCTACATGGGCGGGATCATCGTCCCGGTAAATCAATGGTGAGTGTACAAGACACTTCCGTCCAATGTCCTGCGGCTGTTCTACGGTAGAATTCTCGTCCTCTGCATGGCTTGAAGATGCTATTGGGTCCAGTAGACAGATATCTCTCAAAGTAACAGGTCGAGGTAGCGCTGTTGGCTGACGACGACCCGATTTATCGTCTTCCTGAGGTGGGTATTGAACGGCGATGTTCTGTATCCGCTCCTGGATCTTTGTAGTAAAGGCAAACAGGTCCGCCTCAGACCAAGGCGTGTTTGTCGGGTCTTGTTCTGCAAAGCTGTGGTCTTCCAAGTCCAAGGCGCCGTTTGTGTAGTGTTGAAAGGGATGAAGATCGGTCGCGTTGATGATGACTGGGGCGAGGTAGTGGAGGGGATCAGGAGAAGGGAGACTCCTACCGAAGGCTCTGGGGTCCTGACTCCATGTTGGGGTGACGACTGACTTTGCCCAGAAGGTGTCGAGGTTTGCCTCGTGGTGGCGAGCAGTGAAACTGTCTGAGAGAGTGATGTCGTACTCAGTGGTGGCGACTGTTGCAGATCGGTGGCGTGCATATGCGGAGGAGTTGTAGGAGGTGACGATTCCCGGGTAGGCAATCATGCCGACAAAGACGATGACAAGGACCATGACGGTGGCCTGGTTGGAGGCACAGACTCTGCCATGATGGTAGAAGGCGTGGGCGAGTAAGTCGTTGTATTTGCGCAGGGTGGGGTTGGAGTGGAGGGAGAATGTCACTGCGACGAAGGAGGCGAGGGAGGCGACGCCCGGGATGCGAGACAGTGCCGACATCGTGGGGGGTGCCCAGCAGTGTGAAATGTGGGTGACCTGTGGGTTTGTGAGGGTTGGAAGTGGATTGGTGGTGGTGAAGAGGAGAGAGGGTTTCTGGAGGGTAGGGAGTATGGAAGGGAACGAACCGGTGGGTAGAGGGGAACGAAGAAGGGGATGACTAGACGAGCATAGCTTGGAGAAAGTGGAGCCTAGAGGACAGGGAAGGAGGAGAAGAGGAGGTATGGACGAAGAGGAGAAAGTAAAAAGAGAAAAATGAAAGTCAATACAAACATGTAGGGACAGGAGCCAGCAAATGGTGGGGTGTGTACCAAGTGTAAGGTACTCGGTGGGAAAGCGATAGAGGTATGAAGGTGCTTAGCGAGTTATGAAGAGAGAGTTTTGATGGGGACCGGAGATGAAAGCCAACCTGGATTCGATAGAACAGAGCCAGTCAGAGGACAAGGAAATCAATCTGTTGCTGCTTGTTTCTGTGGTAGGTTTGTAAGTTGATAACGTTCTCGCGGGTGGTCGCCTGTCAAATCAGGCTGTAGTTGATGTACTCCCTTAGCGCACAAACACACTGCTGCATGCATTTTTTTGTACTATTACGCCCACTTGGACAAAACAAGAACAGCCACAAACAATAATAAAAAAACAACGTTGTCAATCTAACCACCACCACCTTGTCAATGCGGGCAAAACAAAAGGTTCCCCTTGCTGGGCATAACAAACACACCTCACCGAAGGCCCTTACTGGCGCACTTCCTTCAATTGAAAACTTGAAGAAACGCTTCATCCGAAATATAGAAACATGGTCTGTGCGATCCAAGGGTGTCTGCTGTTTTTAGATCCTTTTTTTATTTTATTTTTCGTTGGTCAATGCTTACACTCTGTCTCTTCTTTTTTTTGTAACCGAGCAACCAATTTAACCCTCGACAGTGGTCGAGTTGGCCTTGTGCTTAGGATCGAAGCGGAAGGCTTCTGGTGCTGGTCCAAGCATCATGTCGCTCAGCTTGATCCAGTCGCTCACATCGGGTGAAGCCATCAATGTCTCCAAGTCATTGCGCCCAACAAATGCTGGGGGGCGGTCATTGATCCTCTGAGGCAACACCTCCAACAATCCAACAGGGACATAGCGATGCAAGAAACCTAATCGAAGGAAATAAATATAGTGTGATTGTCAGACACATTGATGAATGTTACCACTTCATAACAAACAAGTAACGCGACAAACAAAACGCGCTCAACTTACTCTGCCACTCCAACAAGAAACGTCTTGTTTGGTTGACTCCCTGAGTGTCAGAACCCCAGTGCTCAAGTCCGAAATCGCAGAAGCGCTTCATCATGTCAAATCGCTCGCCTGAAGAAATATCCCAGTCGCGGTTTGACTTGATCTCCTCGAAAATCCAGGGCTTCATCAAGGCACCGCGTGCAATCATGCAGCCATCAACCTTGTGCTCGTTCAAGTGCCGGTAGTAGTCCGAAGGTCCGAGGATATCTCCATTACCAAAGAGGGGCATGTAGTTATCGTTTCCTGGAATACCACGGTCGGTCTGGGCGCATTGACTGATGTAGTCCCAATCTGCAAGCTTGGTGTAGCGCTGTTGACGCGATCGTCCGTGGAGAGTTCCGAGAGCAGCACCGAGGTTATGGAATTGAGGGGTCAAGTTGACACCGATTGGCTTCTTGTCGTGAATCGCCATTCTGAACTTGACTGTGACAGGGACATCCAAGACCGACTTCATTCCTGTAATCATCCTCCTCATTTTGCCGGGAGAGCCCAAGAGTCCACTTCCAGCACCCTATCAACCATATTGATACAAGTTGGAAGTTAACACACGAGAAAAGTATACTTTGCAACAACCAATGATACACAGCCCAACGTAAGGCACTTACAGCGTTGAAGACAAGGTCGATGGGGCATCCCATGTTGAGATCGACAAAATCAACCTCGGCAACTTGGTTGATCATGTCACAGGCTCTGATAACAACATCAATCTTATTGCCAGTCAGTTGCACTCCGAAAATGTCCTCACTTTTGTGGCGTCTCAGGAGCGCCAACTCTGCCTTCTGACCCTGAACCAAGTTGCTAGCCATCGCCATCTCTCCGCAGGTAATATCAACTCCGTACTCCTTGCAGATACGACGGAAGGGAAGGTTTCCAACTGTCGTCAAAGGGGCCAAGTAGGTCTTGCCGCGGAAGTCGATCCTCTTCTTTTCTGCTGGGCGCATCTTGACGTCAGGTGTATCTGGGTGGCTGATTTCCTCCTGAACGATAGTTGCCTTTGGCATCTTGACATCTCTGTTCTCCAATTCCGAGAGATCCTTCTCTGCAGGGGCCTCAGTCGCAGACTCGACAGCAGGGGTAAGGGTGCTTTCTGTTGGGGTGTGTGTAGATTCGGTCTTTTTGGCCTGTTCCTTAGACGCCTCTGCCAACTCATCTGCCATCTTCTTCAGGTATGCCTCTGAGCGCGAGAAGTCGAACTATGGCGAAAGATGCAGCAGGAGATGTTAATCGTTTTGTTTGCAAATAAACTTCACCCAAGTCGCAAAAACAACATTCAAAAGTATGTACCTTGAAGGATCGGAGGTTCAAGGTCAATTCGTGGGAAAAGACGTTCTTAGTGTTGTTCTCAGCCGCAGCCATCTTTGCCTCGTCCTTGGTGAGTTTGCCGTCAGCATCCATATGGGCTCCCAAATATCTGCACTTGTATCCGTAGTGACACCTATAGTAAATATGCCATCGTTGGACCGATCAGTACAGAGTTCACTCTAAAAAAGTGATACTATCGCCGTGTCCACTGAGCAGTACACTTACTCGCCAGTGTTCTCAAAGTTCACGCAACGATCGCCAATGTCCTTGTCCTTTGCATCCAGGTACTTCTTAATGTCGTGGTTGAACTTGCAGCTATCAGTGACAATGCGGTGACAACAGTCTGTTAGCATAACCTGTTGCACCCTGATGAATCAGATCCTGAGCATACATGCATTTGTTGATTCCTGATCCATACCTGTCACCCTTGTCGCACTCAACACCTTTGGCAACCTTGAAGCAAAGCTGAACCTCATCTTCGATACGACGCGTCACAACACGATCCTGATTCTGTCCCCCGCCACGCTTCTTCCTGTTGTTCTTGACATGTTTCTAATAAAAAGTAAGAGGGCCCCGAGTCAGCTTCGCCCCTGCGGAGGAACTGTAGTATAGGTGCAAAAGTTGATAACTCTATGTGTCTTACATCTCTGCGGTCGCGCTTGTTGTTGTCGTTGACCTCAGGAGTGTTTCCGTCAGCCTCAGTGCGTCCCTGATCGCCTTCTGCCTCGATAGCCTCGCTGAGGTGGGCAATAGTCTCCTCCTTGGCAGCTGGCTTGGGAAGAAGGTATTCAGGTTTGATGGGTGAGATTCCCTTGTGGTAGGTCGAGGCAGGAGTTGACGATTCAGCGGCGACGGCTGATTCGACTGCGGCGGATGCAGTTGGTGGCGGAATCTCTGTTGACATGGCGTCTTTCTTTCTTGTCGTTGGAAGGTGGGTGAGAGTAAAAAAATGGAGCACCACCAAAAAAAAAAAAAAAAAAAAAAAACATGTTTACGGGGAGGGAGAGTGTGAGAATCATCGACAGTCACAGAGACGCAGGGTTCGTTCGCCCCCTAAATTCGTTCATATATTCTTTCCGTTGCCCTACACTCTTTGCTTTTTATGCTCTCTCGTTTGTTCTTCCGCCACCCCTCTTCTTCGTCTCCTCATTCCCTCCGACGTCCCTTCTTCCTTCTTCACCACATCCTTCCTCATCACCATCACATAGCCATGTCACGCCAACAAATTCTCACATTCGCTGCCGCCAGAACCAACAAGCTTCCCCTCAGCGTCGGCCATCGGTAACACACTCGCACACACCCCCTCCAATTATTCGAAAACAGGGACCGCAGTCCTCTTAAAAGAGGGCATCAACCTCCTTTCGACGACGACGACAAACCCTTTTTCCTCCTCGCCTTGTTACGCCTTTGCATTTATTAGTGGTGCCTCTGAGCAATGGCCCGAGAACTCCATCATCTCCATGGCGCAGGCCGTCAAGGATGGAGCCGATGGACTTGAAGGAGGTAAGGCTTTTCTCAAAAACCCTCCACTCGGACAATCGACATGTGAAATTCTTGGCGCTAGAATGTTTTTCCGAACATACCGTACTTTGAACGATACCCTGACCAATCCTTTTCTCCAAAGACCTTCACCTCACTGCCGACGGCGAGATTATTGTCATGCACGACCCTTCTCTCGACAGAACAACCAACGGCACAGGATTGATTAAGGACCGCCCCTGGCATGGCTACATTGACGGGCTCAAGTCCAAGAAGGAGCCTCATGTCGGAGTCCCTCGCTGTGTCGACGTCCTTGCCTTCTTGGCCCAGGACGGCAACGAGAAAGTATGGTGGAACATTGATATCAAGGTGAGTTTTGATCCATTGAAAATGTGAGAATGCTGGTTCCCCACGGACTGACTGTGCACGCCCAAAAAAAATAATTAGGGCGCCCACGACTTGACCGGGAACAATTCGTCTTTTTGGGCTAGTGCATATTTTATAATCTATTGTATCTCTCTCTTCTATTGTTGGCATGGGCACTATTCTTTTCTCTCAAACACTTGTACGAGTTCCGACTTTGGATGATGACGACTTCATGATGAATGCTGTCGTCCTTTTTCTTTTACCGTACAGTTTTCTCTTTGGAGAGAAGGGCAACGCTCAATTGCGGAGCAGAAAAGGCAAATAGTCTGGACCTAGACGCTCATGAAAAAAAAAAATACTATTTCGGGTGAACCAGTGCTTGCGCATGTCGTACGCGTGTTCTTATTTGTGGCCAATCGATCAAACCACATGGAACCAATGGGCACAGACATTGCTACAAAGGGGAAAAAAAACTTGACGTACTCATACACTCACTCCTATACAACACAATAGATGAATAACTCGCCATGGTTGCTACTCTCCATGTTTGCCAGGCTGATGGAGGACCACTTTCCAGGACGCGACTTTTCATCCCAGATTGTATTAGGACTCTGGCACCCCAAGTTCCTGGCCGCCGCCGACAAGTACCTCCCCAGGTTCAGCCGTATCCATATCGGATTCAGTCTCCCCATTGCCCGGGAACACTTCCCACCATCGACGGTCGACGGATATAGCATCAACTTTATGATCCTCTCCACCCCTGCAGGACGACAGTTTGTCAAGGACATGCAGGCGGCTGGAAAGCAGATTTTGACCTGGACTGTCAATGACTCTATAGAAGCTCGCGAGGCTGTCAAGATAGGTGTGGACTATATCCTGACGGACCGGACCAAAGTCCTCAGCGATGTCCTGTACGAGTTTGAGACGTTGGGCAAGGATGGTGTTGATCTGAAATATGCCGCTGAGGCATTTGATACCTGGAGCCGGTGGTCCAAATATGCCTTCTGGAGGACACTCATCTGGATGTTCCTCACTGTCAAGTTCAACAGCGCCACCAAGCAGCTTGACGCTGAACCCGAGAAGATCCTTGTCAAGTGAGCTTTGTCCGTAGTTGTAGATGCTGAGTGCCTAATTATCCTCACTTTTTTTCTTGTTCAAACACTGATTAATACTCAGTCATAATAATTGACGTAGATGATTCCTTTTATTCGATGCTTATGAGAATGGTTTACAAGAAATTCTGCGGCTATCCCATGCCTCCATTGCCTTGATGATTATCATTCCTAAAGCGAAGATTGGACTCACAACAACAACACGACAAAAAGAAACGAAGGGTTAGATGTGACACTTTTTTCATCAAAGCAATTGAACTCGCACCAACAAAGGAAAACAAAAAAGGAAGAAAACACTGCCACAATGATCAAGAGGAAAGAGAAGGCTGAATTAAGTCGCAAGCAAACTCTAACGACACCACGCTCCTATAGTTCTCTCCTTGTCATTGAGAGAAAGTCTATAGTATGAGGGGTGGCACATGCAATCCAGCATCTCACTGTTCCATCCCTTGACGAGGGGGGGTAAAAACAGGACGATGCTGGGGTATTCCCTTTCCTCGAAGCTGAAAACCCCATCGATATTGACTGTATGGATAAGGAGCCCTGTCGAATCATGTGTTGTGCACCAGGTGTAGGATAGAAACGCGAGAAGAGATATAAAGACGGCTGGATTAAGTCGCAAGCGAATCTAGCGACACCACGCTCTACATGGTTACTCTCTTGTCAATAGCGAGAGAACCATGGCATGAGAAGAAGAGAAGTGACAATGTCGCTTCTCTGTCTTTCCCATTGAGGGGTGGTTCAAGCAAACAAGCACCTACAGTTGTCAAAACAAACATGTATGATGCTGAAGGGTTCCATTTTCCTCAGGCCCATGCATCGTATTGACTAGATAGGGATGAGGTGCCTTGTCGCTCGTTTGGGGTCGTTTATCTGCACTCGGTTACAGTGTCTCCTTCGGGTGGGATGTGTTACCTTTGGCCTTGAGTGCTTAAGTTGAGCTTGATGATGTTGGGTTGATTAAAGAGAAAGGATGGTTTCGCGAATGTCGTCAAGCGTGATGTATATCAAGTGCACCTTTACCCCCACTATCCTCGACCTCCGCAACCGACCGGTTGAAGACCAACGACTCTGACGATATCACAAATTACGACAATACGGAACACCTTCAGGAGCAGAGACGCGTTCGAAGGTGGGCTTACACGACACTTCTCTCGATGGCAGATCTGTTCGAGTATCGCGGCACGAATGGATACGGGACCGGGTACCAAAAATCAGAAACAATAGTACAATCTCCACATCTGGAGGATGGCTCGACAACGACCTCCTCCTCAACGACCCGACTTTATCACTCGTCCGAGGAGAAGCCTCGAGTCCTGCGAGCTCCATTCGCAAAAAAATCAGGCGTCACGGGAACCAGGAGAACCGCAAGAAGATGGGTCACAGGATCGACGGTCTACTATTTACGGTGCTGGGAGAACCTAGAAAGTCGGAGGATGTGAAATCGGCGCGGATGAGCATGACACCGAGGGTGCAAAGTACCTGCAGGATGGACTAAACTGATGAAGCTCTTGAAGGACCAACACGACAGGATTCAGGAGCAGCGACCGACAGTTCCTAGACTTGAAATCGAAACGGTCGGGTTACAAATGTTAGGAAGGACACTTGTGGTCTCATCCATAGACTGGCGCGAGCAACCGGTGACGGTGCCTATCGCTGTAGCACAAACCAAGGAGCTGTTTACGGTGCATGTCCCAGCTTCTTTCTGTGATCTCGAGGGTGCGCAAGAACATTGACCGGATTCGGCACCGACAACTTGGGTCGCTGGTAGATGATCTGTCAGACCCATTCACAGCCCCTCCACAATTTCCTTGCCTTCCTCCTACAGCCACAACCCCCATCAAGAAAAAAGACTCTACCAATTGACCATATACCCATAAAAAGTATGATAAATAATAATGATATTGTATGCTATGAAAGGAATGGAATGAGAATATGTTTAAAGGTTGCCAGACTCCTTGGCGAGTGAATAAAAGATGGATGTTGGGTCTGCAAGCAAGTTGGCCGGAGAATCAAACTCGGCCACGCGTCCCTGGTCCAGCACCATAATCCGGTCGCTATCCATCACCGTGTTGATTCTATGGGCGATCGTCAAGATCGTGCAGTCGGCAAACTTTTGACGAATAATCGCCTGAACCAACGCGTCCGTCTCCAGATCAATCGCGGCTGTGGCCTCGTCCAAGACCAACAATGATGTCTTGCGGAGCAACGCACGCGCCAAACAAATCAACTGGCGCTGACCGACCGAGAAGTTGTCTCCTTGCTCCAACACTACCGCATTGAGTCCTCCATCGAGCGTCGAGACATAGTCCTTGAGGTACGAGTCCTCGAGGGCCTGCCAGAGCTCCAGATCTGATTTCGTTCCAGAAGGATCCAAGTTGAAGCGAATGGTGCCTGCAAACAACACGGGATCCTGGGGGATAATCGAGAACCGCGAGCGGACATCGTAAAGTCCCAACGTCGAGATGTCGATACCGTCAACAAAGATCTGTCCCTTGACCGACTCAATGATACGGAAGAGGGACAACGTCAACGAGGACTTGCCGGCACCGGTGCGTCCACAGATACCAATCTTCTCATGCGAACGAATTGAGCAGTTGACGCCGCGGAGGACCAGCTCCAAACCAGGGCGGTAACGAGTCTCGTAGTTGACAAAGTCAACACGACCCTCAGCGGGCCACTCCTGGGGAGGGCGGTGATCTGGAATCGTGTTGGGGGCCTCAGGCGTGAGCTCGACATACTCCTTCAGACGCTCGACGGACACAATGTTGGACTCGATCTCGGTGTACTGACGGACCATCCAGTTCAAGGTCTGGGTAATGCTGAGGGCATACGACAGTGACAGACCAACCAGACCAGGGTCGACGGCAATATGTCTTGCCAATGAGATGACCGACAGGAAGGCAGATCCAAAGATAATGATAGAACTAAGACACTCCAGACGGAAGGCCAACCAACGGTTTCCAGCAATACCGGGGTAGAACGCGCGGAGGTTCTGATCCAAGCGATCTTCGTTGCCGTCAATGAAACGCTTCTGCTGACGGTACGCGCGGATGGTGCTGATACCGCCCAAGGTCTCTTGGAAGTGAGCAAAGACGGGTGAACGGGAGACAGAGTCCAGACGGCGGATCTCTCGAGAGGTTGACAAGAAGTACCTCTGCAACCAGAGGTACACAAAGCTGAAGGGCAAGATGATGATGATGAAACTGGGGGTCGACATGGTCACGACAACCAAGACCGAAATGACCTGGAAGAGCGTGCGCGAGTAGCCAGAGAAGGACCTTGGGAGAACCTCGTCAATGGTTGACTGATCCTTGCTGAAACGGTTCAGGATACGGCCCATAGGGGTGGTGTCAAAGAAGCTCATGGGCGATCGGAGAACGCTATGCAACATATCCTGGTGAAGAACGCGAGCCGAACGGATACCGCAGTAGACTTGAAGGATAATAGACTGGAAGACGGTCAGGAGAGAATATGAGAAACCGAGGAGCGCATAGACACCGATGTAGTACATGGGGCTGCGGGCGTCATTTCCAGAGTCGTTGTCACTGCTCCAGTGAGTAAGCCAGAGAGAGGTCGAAATCGAGGCGGACTGGGAGAGAACCATCGAGAGGAGGTAGGCAATGACGGCAGAGTACGAGCAGGCCTTGGCGTAGGCGAGGTAGACACTCCTACTGACGCTTCCCTGCTTCATCTGTTCCTCTGACATGAGGGCACTGTTCTTGGGTTCAGGAGCCTTGGCGGTGGTACGACTGATGGCAGAGGCAACAGAAGGGCGACGGAGAGTACGAACGCTAGTCGTGCTACGAATACTGTCACGACGAGCCGAGCGAGGAGTGCTTGACAACAAAGGGGTTTCCTCCGCAGGGAAGGCGTCCCTCTCGACCACATCCTCATCCAAATGAACTTCCTGTTCAACCAAAGACTCTGAGTCGTCATCTAAGGTAGCCGCAGCACCCTGGGTGGGGTCGCGTCCAAACTCGCTCACCAGCTGGTAGACCTCGGCCTTCTTTGCCATCAGTTCCTGGAAATTTCCTTGCTCGACAACCTTGCCCTCGCGAAGCATCATGATCTGGGGCGACTGGGACAGGTACTGGATCTGGTGGGTGACAAAGACACGAGTCTTGCCAGCCAACATACCCTTGGGTCCAACAACTTTGTCAAAGATAGTCCTACCGACATGAGCATCCACAGCCGAGAGAGGGTCGTCAAACAGGTAGATATCCGCACGGGCATAGACAGCACGAGCCAACGAGATTCTGGCCTTCTGGCCACCAGACAAGTTGATACCGCGCTCGCCGATCTCGGTCATATCGCCTCCAAGCAACATGTCAAAGTCCTGCTGAAGACAGCAAGCCTCGATAGTCTTTTGGTAGTACTGTGGGTCGTAACGGTTTCCGAACAGAATATTGGCGCGAAGAGTATCGTTCATGATCCATGCTTGCTGGGGGACAAAGGCGACCGATCCACGAATGCGAACCTCTCCAGAGACACGCTCCAAATCACCGCAGAGAGCAGCAATAAGCGAACTCTTTCCTGAACCAACGCGACCAATGACACTAAGGAGGCAGTCCTTCTTGATGGCGATGTTGATGTTTGAGATGACGGGATCAGAGTTCTTGTACCAGCTGTAGGATGCGTCCGTGATCAAAAGCGAGTACTTGTCCGAGGCATCCTGGTTGGAGCCCGAACGGCGACGATCCTCCACAATGATGGCGTTGGGGTCAACCTCAGCACTAGTCAAGAACTTGTAGACACGGCCCAACGCTACATAAGCCTCAATTGACGAACTGGTAGAAAAAACAGAGTGGAATTGGTTAGAGTATTGATTTGTAAGGCCATCCACAGACAGACAATGCAAACGAACAAGACAATGTGTAGTACCTGATGACGCTGGGGAACATGGCGAGAGGGAACTGAAGCAAGTTGAAGAGAGCGATCGAAGGGAAAACAATGTCGGTAGTCATGGGCTTCTTGAGGACTAAAGCGTAGACAGTGAAAGTTGCCAAAGATACCAGGAAGGGAGTGCAGGCCCAGGTGAAACTCTGGACGGCAGAAAGGTAACCGATTTTCTTCATGGTCGCCAGCTCATGGTCGTTCCTAACAGTCAACACCTTCTGCAAGAACGTGCCTTCCCAGGCGTACAGCTTGATAACACGGATACCGTTGAGGATTTCGTTCATCAGTTTGATCCTAGTGTCCTTGTTCTTCATCTGCTGCTGCTGGAAGTTCTTCATGAAGACCGACAGACGAGCGTTGAGGGGGATGGTCAAGATCATGATGGCGACTCCTGCAAAGATGGCCCAGCTCATGGTGTCGTAGAGCAGATACAGGGCAATACCGATCTGGAAGAGTCCACTCCAGACGACGTGCAAGTAGCTGACAAGATCCTGAACACGTTGAGCATCAATCGACATGTGGTTCACAATCTCGCCGACCTATCGGATATAAAACAAAGGGGGTAAAAGATGAGGTGTGAGCACATCATCATGCAGGAGCGGTGTCCTATTGCTTACGATCCTTATTCGAGCAAAGCGAAGCAAAGCGAAGCAAAGCGAAGCAAAGCGAAGCAAAGCGAAGCAAAGCGAAGCAAAGCGAAGCAAAGCGAAGCAAAGCGAAGCAAAGCAATGCAAACACTTACAGTGAACTCCTGACGAGCAGAGTTGGACAAGCGCAGAGACTTTTGATAAATAGCAGTGACCAGTCCAGCGCGGATATGCATGCCGGTTCTGAAGCACAAGTGGAAGTACTGGTGAAGGACAGTTGTCTGGGACAAACTGCAGATGAACATCAAGACGGCGATAGTGTACCCACGATAGAGTGGTTGAGGGTCGTCGGTTTTGTAGCTCATAACAAAGCGCAACATTTCGCGCAAAAGCACGGGCTGCATAAATCCCAAAATGTCGTTCGCCATCTTCCAGACACCTGCAATGTAAAATGGCTTTCCGAATGCCGTCGCGAGTGCCCTCAACAAACTGGGGCTATCAAATTGGGAACGTCAGATGAAATACATGAGGTGAGTCTCTACTACACTTTTTTTCTATCCACCATCGTGTGAAAGAGCATTCATTCCGAGAGGCGACTTACTGTTTCTTCTTGAGCTCTTTTTCCCACGCAGAAGCAAACGTGTTGGACACGTTCTTGGACTGGTCCTCCTTTCTCAATCCCCAGAGGTCGCCCATAGTGAGAGGTTTGGCATAGCCCTTGCGCATCAAAGGTGTTACCCAGTGGAAGGAAGCGATGGAGAAGATGTTGGCATCATCCTCTGGGCATTTTTCCTAAGCAAAGAGAAAGCGTTCCAGACGTGTGAGTCAATACAATTTTCGAAAATAAACATGAGGGAACAGTGCGGCGTTGCAACAGCAAAAGGTATGATGAATGGATCAGAGCAGGGAAAGAAACTGACTAGCACATAGCGCCATTTTCGCCTCCTTGAAATTCCTGCCTCAACACCTTGGCCAAGCGCAACCCTTGGAGTGTCCTTTTTTTACCCCTCTCTTTTTTTTTCATCTAACGCTAAATTGGTCACACAAAACAACCTATGGCAATCCGACGAATCGAATAAAAAACATCCAACAACCCAAAAAAAAAAAAAGGCAATTGGTATAGACTGAGAATGGGGATGACAATCTGGGGTCGACAAGGGAAAAAAAGACTTACGAAACTGTCATCTCCGAGTTGAACACCAGCGTCCTTGCGGAAGCATTCCAAAACAAAGACCAAAAGGGCATCTGCGATCTTGCCGGCAAGGAGTCCAACAGTAACCTGGAGATCCTTTTTCTCATTGAGAATGCTCAGAGGGCAACCAAGGGTCAGGGTACGGAGTTTGACGGCGGAGCTGAGGATGACGAGCAACCAATAGACGAGCAGGACATTGGAAGAGAGGTAGTTCTTTTTGTTTTCGACCACGGTCAGACCAAAGGCCAGGATCAGGGTGGCAATCTCTCCTATGGCGGCGAGAAATTCGAGGCCGATGCCATGGAAGAAGCCGTGCTTGTTGCCAATACGGTCGAGGACCAGACTGACGGTTGAGATGGCGATGAGGGCGACGATTCCTACCTAGTTGACAGAGTTTGCGAACAAAGTATCACCAGTTAGAAACTAAAGGACAGGTCATTGGTGATGGATCAATGGAAAAGGGGGTGCACGCCACCAAAACAATAGCTTAAACAAAGCGTCAGGCTCAATTGATCAGTCCCCAAACAACAACAAGGGGGTGCTACTTGCCTGCTTCAAGGACTGGCGCCAATCAGAGACAGGGTGACGGATGGACTCTTGCTTGGCAAGGCGGACAAGGCGGGGGATACCAGCAAGGACAAGGAAAGCTGCAGGGATCAGCCTGATGAAAGTGTCCTCAAAACACGGCGTAAAGTCGGCAGGGCACTCAGGATCAAATGGACCCTATTGTATATGAACAGAAAGGTACCCATTCCTGTTAGCTCTTTTCTAATGAAGGAGAAGATGAGCACTGAAAGTCTTTCAGTCAGCCGGCTGGGTTGCCATCACTTACCCAGATGCCCTTGGCCTGACACTGCCAAATGGACATTTGTGTGAGATGAATGTGACGAGTGGGCAGGAAAGGTGAATGACCTTGTTTTTCTTTTTGTGCTTCTGCTGCTTATTTGTAGTTGTTTTTTCACACTTCTTGTCTCTCAATGGTGTGGTTATCCGTGTGAACAAGAGTAGAAGGATGAGGAGGACTCTTTTTGTCAATGGGAAGGTAGAGTGGGGAGTTGGGCGGGGAAGAGGGGTAAGAAGAGAAAGGGGGGAGACGGCACAAGAGGAGGAGAGGAGAGGAGAGGCGTGAAGTGAAGGGGAGAGAAGTCGGAAGGCGGAGAAGAAGAAAAAATGGCCACAAGTCCGAATGATTTATACTTTTTATTTTTCAGATTCCTCTTGCGCACTTGCTGCGACATGCTGCTGACAAACGAATCGAACAAATTTTCTTATCAGCACAGTGCAGTGCACAGATATGAGATCCACACCAAACAAAACCCTAAAGAGAGTCTTTCACCTTGAAGCGCTGTAGTAGCATTTTTAACAGTAGCGGGACCAATGGCACGCCAAACACGCGTAATGAACAAGAGCCTACCTTTCTTGCATCCCTCTCTTCTTTTCTCTTCACGCGCAACTGCGGAGAATCCCCGCACACAAAGGCACGCCAGATGGCGAGAATTTCACACCCATGCACACGATACACTACTCTAACCCCATCAAGCATGCATGCACCTTTGCTTCGCAATTTTTGTGTGTCTGTGATTTTTTTTGTTTGTTTGTGTTTCTTATTATCATTTTTTTTTATATTTTTTTTTGCAGCTCAGAGTTTTGCTTGTATATTTACTTGATGAGTGCAGGCTTGGGCATGAAGGTCTTCCTCTTGTTTCCTCCCTTCTTGCCATACATCAACTCGACATAATCCGGTCTTGGCTTGGACTTGTCCAGATCTTCCTTTTTGCTCTTGTTCTTCTTGCTGCCAGCAGTGGCGGCAGGGGTATCTTCATCGTCGTCCACCATGTACTCGTCCTCAGATACTACATCATCGTCTAGGGACTTGAGATCCTTGACTGCAGCCTTGATGCCTCCGTTGAGCTGTAACTTGTAGGCCAACGAGGATTTGGAAGGGTGCGCTGCTCCTCCTGCTCCTGTTCCTGCTCCTGCTCCTGCTGCAGACCTTTTGGAGATGGCAGGGTTGGCTGTGGCGGAAAGGATATCCTTCTTGGGTCCTTTTGAAGAGGAGGAGGTGGCGGAATCGAAGAGGCTGGTTTCGGTGGTCTTGGTAAGGGAGAGGACGGCCTTTTCCTTGCGGGTTGGGCGCTTGAAGAACTTTGCTGACTTTCCCATTGCGGCTGTGTGTTGTTGTAGTTGATGTGTTTGTCCGTGGGAGATGAATGCGTATGTGTTGAAGGAGTTTAACTCTTACAACTGTCAAAAAAAAAAAAAGGCTGTTTACCTGATTGTGACCGTCTCTTGTTCTCTCAGGATCAATTGACAACTGAGGGGACCTGAAGGCTTTCTCAGCCGAAAAAGGAAAGCGCGGGTGTGCCCCGCGCGTCATAAGGACACACGCCTTCTGCTCAGAGTTCTTTCTCTTCTTTCTCTTCCTTCTTTCCTTCTTCACTCACTTCCATTCAACCATGGCGACATTCATCACTGACAAGGTACTACACATCAACAACGACCTCGTCCAGTTGTTCCACCTCGACACACAGGCACTCCTCGAGGACCAGCACCCCCACGCAAACAATTCTACCACCTCCACTCTTAAGACTACACCAAGGCCTTCCTCGTCAAAGAAGGATACGTCAGCCAACCCTGCCGAGCAAGCTGACCATGCCCTCCTGACAGGTCTGCGCGATGCCGTTGGGCTTCTCGATCTTCGCTCAGGAGCCGTCCCTCCCATGGAACGGGCTTTGCTCGCGATCCAAAAGGTCGAGGTGCTGGCCAAAAGCTTCGGCTCCGGCTCCAAGGAGGGAGGAGGAGACGAGGCAGCAAACCTGGAGCATCTCTTCTTGGCAAAGGCCACCGCAACCGTCTACCTCAACCTGCTCGACATTATCCTGAATGCCACTTTGCCCTTGGCCACCGAGATGGAGTATTGGCAATCGCTGCAGGACAGCTCCTCCTGGCGAATTCTTTACATCCTCCAGAGTAAGATATCTCCAAAAGGACCCCCGAACTAATAATGACGTTATAATACTAGTCCGATGACTAACCGTGGGAATATCGTGTTTTTTTTTAGCCTCGCCTTACCGACTCTTCTCATTGACAAGATCCGTCGCCCTGACGACCAAGGAACATATCGACTCACTCATCGCCACCAGCCAAGAATCAGAAGGCGCCAACCACATCCTGCAATTGATCAAGTACTTCCCAACATTCCTTAACAACCACCTGATCTCTCAGCCCGTCTCGTTCCCTCTGGCGATTCATTACGAGATCAGTCACCACCGCAAGCAGTTGCAGAGGATCCGGGAGTACCAGGCGGAATGTCTGGGTCTCCTTGCTGAGCAGGGGTTGAACCTGGACCCGGAGCATTTGGAGGATTCTATTACTCCCTCGGAATCATCGAGTTCTATGGTGAGAGCGAGTGGAGCAAGTAACGACATTGCTCAGGCACAGGCGTTCGTCCAGGAGCAGATTTCAAAGACTGTCTGTCTCATGGAGCGCGTCCTCGACAAGGCCTCCAAGGACACACACCACTTCACCAACCACCAACAACAAAAGGTCTCCTCCAAGAAAGTAACGCGATCTCTCACCATGCTCGGAAACCTTCAAGGGGTCTCCAATCTCAACAACGATGAAATGCTGGCCCATCTCAAGAACCTGATCACAGTTCAGATCCCGCGCTATGTTGAAGAGACAGAGGGCCAAGCACGTCAATTCCAACGCCCTTCGTGGTTGACCAGGATCTGGATCTCGGCCTTGATCGGTTACTTTGGACTCAAGTACGGTATCCAGTACATCAGCGAACACCGTGCTGATCTGGATGAAATGCTGGAGGAGGCTTGGGATACTGCCAAGCGGTTCGTGACGGATTGGGTTTGGGAGCCCTCCGTCCGTATCATGAACATTATCCGACATTCTGATGATCAAGGTTCCCTCCAGATGCTCGGAAACGAAAGTCTCCAATCTGACATTGCCGTAAGAAATTCCTTGTTATATTATGTTTTTACACCATCGACTTTTTTTTACATGGGGCCCATGTTCTGGCATTAATACTGATACTTTTTTTCTATTTTGTCCGCCTTATGAAACAGAGTTTGGAACGGATGGTTCTTGCCTTCGGAAGGGACAACTACAACCTGGGACTGGACGAGTTGGAGGCACTGTCCAAGGCTGTTCATAACGGAGATATTTCTGTTATCATGCGAGCCTACGAAAACGAGCTCAAGGTAAGCCCTCTTCTTCCCCTCCCCATTGTCGTGACAAATGGGTGGCGTAATAGTCATATATCACTCTCGCTCAAAAACTGATAATCGCTTCATTGAAATATCTATGAACGAAAAATAGACTCCATTGAAGGGCGCAGTGGCAGGTCACCTAGTGCAAACCCTCCTAATCCAAATCCAAAAGACAAAAGTCGATGTCGAAGTCGCCATGGCCGCATTGGACAAACTCCTCAAGGCCAACGAACTCAACTTTGCATTCCTGGCCGTCGGACCCAGTTTATTGCTCCTCTGGGCGGTCTCGGCACAAGCCAAGAGCTCATGGCAGCGGATTGCGGGAAAGAACTTGGGGATTGTTTCGATCCAGATGCGGAACTCGTTGAGACAGGTTGAGAGGCTGTTGAACCTTGCCTCGACTGATGGCGACTCGCACGCCAAGGCTACTGAGAGATCAAAGGCTGTCAAGAAGATAAGCCAGGACAGCGAGTACGACGACCTCCTCTCCATCACCAGCTCACCCGCCATGACTCCCTCCTCAGACCTGACAACCGAGCCCTTGACGAACTCGTTGTCGGCCTTGCCCTCGACAATGACCTCCGAGAAGCTTGACAGGATCAGGGCCAAGAATGGAAAAGTCCCTTACAAGACCCAAGGCCTCATCCTGTGTGAAGTGCATCTCCTCAGGACATTTGCGGCGCGTCTGACAAGGAATGAGGGGCTGCGGGATAAAGTCTTGGAGGATCTGCGCGAGATTGAGGAGAGTTCGCTTACAGTCCATCAGCGTTTGAGGACCACCAAGCGCATGTATAGAACTTATGGCTTCCTGGGTTTGAACAATTGAACGTAGCTTTTTCACAATCGACGTGTCATGGGATAAATGATATAGCTATTGTTTTCATTTTTCATTTTCATTTTCCTTTTATTGTTGCTGTGAATGTCCGTGGAGACATGCTCATATCCTGAGAGTGGCGGTATCAAAGACATTATTCGTCCTTGATCCCTCTCCTGCTCAGTCACTGCTGTTTCATCACTTGGACACTGCACTGTTGATCATTTTCTGCTTGAGCTCACCTACAGGTTTTGCAAATACAAAGATAGGTTAGATCAGCTGCATGCTGTGTCGTGTGAAAGCAAAAGAGCCCGCTCAAGCAAGCGTACAAATCACCTTGTCCCAAGAAGTGCACCAAACTTACCAAACTCTTCATCACTTAGCGGTCCAAACCTGATGGAATTGTTGGCCGGGTAGTTCTCAAAAAGACTATTCTCCGTGATCGAGAGCTGGGACCGCTGCTGAGTCAACTTCGCGAAGATGGTGTTCTCGTTACGGTACATGCGATAGGCTTCCTTGTTGACCGCCTGCTTCTCGACGATGGTATCAAGGACGCACTTTTTGAACACCGCCTTGATAAAGTGGAGGACGTGGAAGAGGTAATCCCGATGAGGTCGCCATTGCGGGAATTGGTATTGGAGGGCGAGTTGGCCGTGGTTGTCGATCAGTGGGTGCCACATGTCGCTCAGAAAGTGCACTGTTGGACGACTGTCGGGGTAGTCGTTTGGGATGGTCAATTGGAACTTGAACACCGCATTACGGTAGTAGCCCTTGTGCACGAAAAGAGTACCAAACCACACTGTTATAGTCCACGATATGATCCAGTTAAACGCATGTTGTAAAACAGAGAGAAGGTGGCGCTGGTCAGTCGAGTGTGATGATAAAAAAAGTGGCATCATCCAAGATATCAGGCTACATCAGGATAGGGCACCACTTTGTCCTGCTGTCCTTCCTCCTGGCTTCCTTTTGCAATGTACTCTCACGCGTCCTTTCTCCACGTCTCCCCCTTTTTTGCTTTCTTTTATCCCTTGTCGAAGTTCCTGTGGTCAGTCCAGAAACAAACATATTCCATTGGCAAAAATATTAATCTCGGGGTGATTTTGTTGAAGTAAATAAGCTTGTGTTCCTTTTTGCCTCTCTTCATTCGTAATACTGTCCTTGTCCTTGTCCTCTTTGTGTTCGCTTCCCGTGCTTCCGTTTTTTTTCGTGCTTCCGCGCGTTGCAACTTACAATTCATGTTGTCGGCTGCTGGCATGACATACAGTCCTGAAGGACAGTGGTGAGGGTTCCGAAGGTTTGTGCTAGATATATAATCGAATGACAAGAACGTAAAAGCATAGCCGTGGCGGTGTGAGAAAAAGTAAAAAAGGGAAAGAAGGGGGGTAAAGCTGATAGAGCTGTCCGGCTCTTTTCAAAGAAAGAGCCAGTCTAAAGAAAGCGAGAGACTGGGATCTGCTGCTCCCTTCTCTGTCCACGGGTCAAGCTCACAGGCTACCAACCATCCATACTTACAATTCAATCATGAGTTCGTATCGACGGAAAAAATCTGAAAACAGCTGTGGCCGCGCTGCAGCCGATGGTCTGGCAGAGGCATATCGCTGGTTCTGGTGCTGGTTTTGGTTCTGGTTCTGATACTGTTGGTGTTGCCCTTGCTGGTCCTGGTGGTCTATTGAGTTGCCGTACGTATCTTGGTGAGAGGAAGTGAAGGAGGAGGCAGCCAGATGGTGATGCTGGGGCTGTGGCTGGAAGATGGGTTGCTGCTGCGAGGAGACGACTCCGCCCATGACGGCGCTGCTTGTCCTTGATCGCGGTTGAAAGATACTCATTGAAGTGTTGTTGGTGAAATGAATAAAAAAGTGGAAAAGAAGGAATGGAAGTGAGCAGAGGGAGGGTTGTTGAGTATGATTGGAAATGTGTGGAAATAGAAGAAAGAAGGAAGAGTAAAGTCTGGCTGTGGGAATCAGGTAGCGAATGAAGCGAGATGACAAGCTTGAAAAAGAGGAGAAAATGAGACGAGAGGAAGAGCGGAAAAAGGTGAAGAAGGGAGGAAGGAAAGTGAAAAGTGTAAGGGAAAGGAAAGAGTGGAGCGAAAAGAAGAGAAAAGAAGAAAAACTACTTGGAAGTCCTTCAGGGACACAGTCAAGAAGGTCAATTCGCGCTCTCAAGTTGTCCCTCTGACCTGTGTGGCTGACTGGCATGTCAGGCACGCAGACTCACACTCACGCTCTCCACACGAACACAAATTTGATCGATGCTACCTTCGCACCAAGTTCACACAGCCCTTTGCTGTGACCTACTCCCCCTTGATTCATGTGTGTTGTTCTTTCTATTTTATTTTATGCACAGAGACGGACTAGTCTTCAATTGACATAATGTAGCAAGGAGGGCTACTCGTCGGCAAAGCCTACTCGCTTCTTGCCGTCCCCAGGTTCACCCTCCCCAGACTGGCGCTTCGATGGCTTACTCTCCGTCGTCGATGTAGCTCCACCCTCAGTTTCTTCGTCCTCCTTGGGCATCTTGTACTCTCGTGCAAACCGGTACAGATCCTCATTTGGATCCTCATTCTCAAGATATCGCTCCTGTACATCGTGCACCGAGTTGTCCCACTCGGATCCTGTGCGCATCGCTGTCATAAAGATACTCTCGTTTGCCTCCTCCAGTCCTCCAAACACATATCCGCTTGCCTTGTCGATCGCACGGACCACCTTCGTCACCGACTCCTTGTCCTGAATGCACAGCGTCTCAAAGCCCACCAACGCAAAGTCCTCGATCAATTCACACATGGCCTCGTTTAGCTGCTGAAAACGTTTCATGAAGGGATCCTGGTTCAGGTGGAACTTCAAGTAGCTGAGGTCAGCCACATTGGTGTAGAAATCCAGCGCCATAGGTAGCCGTCCATACGTCTCGATCAGGTCGACCTTGGAGAGAACATTCACATGAGGGAGTTCCAGCTGGAGCATCGTCTTCAGTGAAAGAAGCAACACTGAGATGTACTTGGCCGCGTCCGTGCAGTAATGGGAGTCCACCAGGTGTACGCAGCACAGCTAACAGCCCAGAAGAGTTGCACATTAATAATGTGCCCAGTAAATATTTTTTCTTCCGCAGTGTGAGTGTTAAACAAATCGACTCAGCTTACCCTGTATCCCAACTTCTCCAATCTGTTGAGGATCCGCTTCATGGCGTCGTTGTGTGTATAAAGCTCAACCTGTCCCGGGCAGTCAAAGACGATGTAATCGTCTCCGCAGGCTTTCAGCTTTTCCTCGAGCCACTCCATGTTGTCCGCCAGATACTCCATGCAATAGATAATGCCTCCGTTGGGACCCAGTTGCAGATTCTCCATTGTGTCCTCCAACGAAATCAGCTCCAGAATCGAAATGTCAGTCGGATATGGAACAATCTCATTGGCAGGGTCCAGGTTAACGATAGTTGTCTTCCTACAACCAGGACAACATGCTGCATGTTAATATCCAGTCGATCAAACTCTCAGTGCACCATGAAAATGAGAATTACATGGAAACAAAGCGACGCTTACCTTTCCATGCCGTTGAGGAACTGATACATTCCATTGCAGTATGTCGTCTTTCCTGACCCTGGAGGTCCAATAACTACCTGAAAAATGCGATCAGCACGTCCGCAACAGAGAAAAGGTCATGGTGGCGCATTAGTTTCTTCCTTCTTTTCTTCTTCTGGTGTTCGTGGTCCATGGCGTTCACTCGGGGTGGAGTATGTTGTATTCTTGTTCTCCTCTTTGCACCTGAAGTCCATCGACCTGTTCGTTTTACCTGTGCGAATGGCATTTCTGTTTCGTTATGGTCTGCGGAGAAATGGGAGGAGAGATCGTCTGCCGTGGAAAACTTCAGAAGGTTAGAAAGCTTTATACCTGGAGCGATGCACGTGATCATTCGGCGAAGCTGGATCTTTTTTTTTTCCCTTATCCCCTATCCAAAGACAGGGACTGAAGGCGTTGATGTCCTCTTGACGGCCGTTTAGTTCGATTGCAAGTACCCTCAGAAAGTATAGCTCGTCCTAGACGACTACGGCCACGTTGCTAAGATCATTGGCAACTGCTCGATTTTGGTGTCGCAAGTGGGTGACAAATACAAGCCGCTCGCTGTTCACTTTGTATATGAGGCCTGGTGATCGTTGATTCTTGGACTCTCCTTGACAGTACTCACTGGCAAATGGGATCTAAAATATATGAGGGCGTAGCTGTCTCCTACTCACATACCTCCTTCGTTCACACTAGATATCGTTGTGTTAGTTTGCTGGGGTACCCGCACAAGATGTGCGTGCAAAGTTACCTTGCTTCTCTGTGCAAAATAGAACTCTTCGAAAGAGAAGAAAGCGGGGGGGAGGACATTTATGCATGCATCCAAGATACAACACTCAACATACAACAACAAACAACTGTTTCCTATTGCGCACCCCCCTTCTTCTTCCAATTAGCTTCACGACAGAAACTAACCCTCATTTTTACACCCAAGAATGGATGTTACCCCTTGTTTTTCTGCTGTTCTTCTTGGCTGGTTAGTATGTGGAACAAGTGCTTCCGTTGCCTGACCATTGTGCCACTCGCTCTTCCTTTCTCTTTCTTTCAAGTTCCCACTCTCCAACGCCTATTCTCTTTCTTTCTCGTTTCTTTCTTTCTCTTTACCTCTTCCCTCTCGCTCCACCTCCATCAACCCTCGCACCTCCCAACAGAACAGCCACCCATCCCATCGCGATACATCAGAACAAAACACTACTAGGAACACCAATGTCAAGCGCCAAGCAGGACGTATCCACAGCCGAGCTGGGTCAGGTTGACCCACGGTCCTCAATCGACGGCGACGAATCAACATCACTCTTACCTACCCAGCGTCAACAAAAGCAACCCCCTGGCAACAACAACAATGGTGGCAAGCGATTGAGCACCGCCAGCAACGGCAGCAATCACTCCCTCTCCGAGAAGGCAAGAAAGAAGATCATTATTACCCTCACCACTATTTCTGGAGCTTTGCTCGTCATCCTCGCCTTTACTCTCATTGGCAAGGTCGGCGACCCTCCAGGTATGTGCATACATGCCTTCTTCATCTGTGACGATCAAAGAAAAGCCTTGTTTTTCTTTTACAAAGAATACATATCTCACCATTGGTACCACATACTTCTACGTAGTCATCGAGAAGAACAGACCGGTGCTGATCAAGGCCAAGAATGGAGCAGTTGCAGCCGAGGAGATCCATTGCTCAGAGATTGGTGTTGAAGGTAACAATCCTCGTTGTTCGCACAAAAGAAGACTTTCATTGTCAGGTGTACCATGGGAGAGAACGTGAGGCGCTAATTGTTTATTTCCTATTTCATGTTTGACCCCTTATTTTGTTTACCAGTGTTGAAGGAGGGAGGAAACGCAGTGGATGCAGCGATTGCCTCTTGTCTGTGCATCGGTACCATCAACTCATTCTCGGCCGGTATTGGCGGAGGAGGGTTTATGGCCATCCGTCTACCCAATGGGACAGTCGAGACGATCGACTTTCGCGAGACTGCTCCTGCAGGGGCCTACTCGACCATGTTCAAGAAGGACCCGATGCTCGCCCAACTTGGTGGACTGTCAGTCGCAGTGCCCGGTGAAATCAGGGGTCTCGAGTTGGCACACAAGCGCCATGGCACACTGCCCTGGAAGAGGCTGTTTGCGCCCTCTGTCAAGATGGCCAGGGAGGGATGGGCGGTTGGTCCTGAGCTTGCTAATCGCATCCAGAGGGTACGCGAGATGATGGAGACTGAGCCAGACTGGAAGCATGTGTTTGCGTCATCGGATGGTGTTGCACTGGTGGAAGGACAGTGGATCAAGCGTGAGGCCCTTGCAGACACGTTGGAGAAGATTGGTGAAGAGGGAGCGGATGCGTTTTATACGGGTGCGATTGCCCAGAGGATTGTCGACCATGTGCAAAAGCATGGAGGCATCATGACCATGGACGACATGAAGGGTTACAAACCCTTGGTCAAGGAGCCCGTTTTCGGATACTACCAAGGTCGCAAGGTGTACACGTCCCCGGCACCGACCAGTGGACCAGCACTCATCAGCATCCTCAACATTCTCGAGCGATACAACATGGGCAAATACAAGCAGGATATCAACATTGAAACCCAACGCTTTATCGAAGCCATGAAGTGTACGTACTTTTCTCTCCCTCTCGCACTGTTTTCTTAATGGTATTTATACTTTCTTGACGCCCTCGGTTACTAACACGCGTTCTTACCGCTAATTGATTGATACAGTCGGTTTTGCACAGAGGACTGAGCTGGGCGACCCCGACTTTACCGATCTCACGAGCATCGTCAAGTCAATGATCTCCAAAGACACAGCATCAGCCATCCGCGCCAACATCTCCGATACACGCACATTCCCAGTAGAGTACTACAACCCCCACTGGGGCCCGATCGACAACCACGGCACGACACACATGTCGACAGTAGACAGGGATGACATGGCTGTAGCATTGACCTCGACTGTCAATCTCTTGTTTGGTTCCAAGCTGCTGGACCCGAAAACGGGCGTGATCCTGAACAATGAGATGGACGACTTTTCGATTCCCGGACATGCGAATGCCTTTGGACTGCAGCCCTCGCCCTTCAATTACCCTGAGTCTGGCAAGAGACCCTTGTCGTCGTGTGTGCCAACTATTGTTGAGCGGGATGGCAAGTTTGAGATGTCTCTTGGTGGAAGTGGAGGTTCCCGGATCTTGACCGCTGTTCTGCAGGTAAGATTGCGCACTCAGAGAGGGAGAGAGAGAAAGAAGAGAAGGCGCGTGCGTAGTGGGTGTAGTGGCGATGGATGGTGACAGTTGAAGAACAAGAGAAAAGGAGAAAATAGGATAGGATGGGAAAAGATGAAACGAGTGGTTGCTGCGGTGTTTGATTGATTGTGCAAGGGTGGGTGTTGGATGGTGATGGTGTGATTGCTTGAATACCGTGCAGAGAGAGAGATGGGAAAACTAATTATTGCTTCCCTTACTATCTATCCTCTTCTCTCTTCTTTCTTCTCCCTTTTGGTTCAATCTCTCTTTTTTCCTCCCCTCTCTCTTCTTTTTTTGCATGATGTGCATTGCCGTTACCTCTTTTTCTTCTTTCCGCTGGGGGGTAAAAAAAAACACAACAACCACATTGTTAAGACGATGCTGAATGTGTACAACTATGACCTCAATATCATGGAGGCGATTGAGAACCCCCGAATCCACCACCAGTTAATGCCGCATGTGGTCGATATCGAGGCGGGATACCCAGAAGGCGAGATTGCCTACCTCAGATCGGTTGGACACAATGTCACGATCTTTGACCGTGCACTGGCTAAAGCTGAGATCCAGGCCGTCATGCGCCAGGCTGATGGATTTGTCTATGCTTCCAGTGATACTCGCAAGCATGGCATTGCAGCCGGGTACTAAGTTAGCAATGTTGCAAGAGAGATATGTAAATAGCGAATAACAAATACCAGTTTATGTGCAGAACAGAATGAGGGAATGTGCTGCAGCTGTTGTGGTCAGGGAATGAACATGATGCGTGTGGCGTGAGTGGGTGAGTTGTGCGTCAGAGTGTCGGTGTGTCAGTGTGTCGGTGTAGGGAGTAATTGAGTATGGCGGGATGTATGTTTTGGGCATGGGGTGTGTCCATGTGGGCCAAAGCCAAACTCTATATATCATTCTGCTGGGGATGCTGATGATGATGATGATGTCCTTTCAATAAGGGCTGCTGCTGAACACAAACAACGACGACCAGAGGGACACACAAACACACAGAGACACAACAAAACACGCGAAGTGCATGGGATTCAATGGGGGCAATGACATGCCTGCCATCACACACGAAAAAATCTTCTCTCTCTCTCTCTCTCTCTCTCTCTCTCCCTCGCCACTACAAACTCCGTCTCTCTTCACGTCCTTCCCTTTTCCCTTCCCTTCCCTTCCCTTCCTTCCCTTCCCCTTCACTTCCCTCACCCTTTATCCCTTGTGGTTCTTGTTCTTCTTCTTCCTCTTCCCTTTTCTTCTCACCTCTTCTTCTTCCTTCCTTCTTCTCTTCTCTCTTTCCTTCCCCCATCCCTAACAACAACTACTCCCTTCATTACCAACCAACCAACTCAAAGAGTACATTCAAATGGCGGACAACCCCATCCCTGGCGACAAATATGTCCGTACACTCTCTCACTACCTCCGCTCAAACCAGCGTAGACTGCTCCCACCAACACCGCCACCAGTCCCCGCCATACCCGCCTCCCTCGCCGCCACCACCGCCGCACAAGCCCGCTCCCTAGTCACCCCTGCCGACCCCATGGCCGCCGCATACGAAAACATGATTTCCTCAATATGGTCCGCCACCGCAGCAGTCGTCAACTCCATCACCCCTCTAACAGACAGACCCCTCTCGCCTCAGGAACGAGATATCTACACTGGCGCATGGGACGGCACTGGAGCTATCCTCCCTGACTCGAACCCATCCGAACGTCAACTCTACCTCTCAGCCCAGCTTCGCTCACCCATCCTCCCCCTCGACCTCTACTACCTCCTCTACCTGCTCGAGCGGTTTGAACAGGTCGGAATCGACCTCGAAGGCTGGAAAGGCACCACTGTCAAACCCGTGGGAGACTCGAAACCGCGCGTCATCATGCAGGACAACTCCCAAAAGAGACACTCAATTGCCATTGTCGCTCCCGCTGGCGTGAACAACTCGGGCCTCCCCAACTCTACCGGCTTTTCTCCCTTCCAACCCCCCGCAGCAGCAACTAACGGCGGGAATGCAGCTACTACTTCTGGTCAGAAATCCAGCAGACCTGAATCTATTCGCTCCTTCCAGTCTGCTGCCCTGTCGACGTTGACTTTGATCACAGGGTGGAAGCAGTGGTCAACGGCAGCCAATTCGGGCTCGAGCAACCTCACCATAACCGACGACATCCATTTTATTCAAAAGTTTATGCGACACATACCCAGTCTGAGACTCTGTGCCAAGATACCGCCAGGAGACCAGTTTCAGGGCAAGGGCAGGATCGAAGGCTTTCAGGCAGAGGCCATCCTGACTCTGTTCAACCACGGACGCCCAGTACCAACACAAGGCAGCAGCAGCAGTACCAGTAAAAGCGGCAACAACGGGGATTCTACTTCCAACGGCGACGATACACTCCTCTTGCTCCCCCTTGCTGCAACCTTCCCAGCTCTCACACATTTGGAATTGCATAAAATCCCTCCAGATTGTGTCGAAGGATGGGAAGTGTTGATGAAACAGCTCAAATCCCTGGTCATCATTCAGTCAGGCATAGAAGACGTGTACGACATCATGGTCAAGTCGGTGATCGATAGCGAGCGTCGCAGGCGTCAACGAATATCGCGGGAGAAGAGTCGGGCCGTCCTAATCAAGAAGGAGCAACAGGAGGCGCTCAAGGACGCCGCATTGACTTCGCAAGAGCTCGCAATCGACCCTACTCCGCAAGACGGGACCGCCAGTAACGGATCTGCTTCGTCTTCATCGGACGCATCAGGAGCAGGATCAGATTCTTTGGAATCGGACGCAGTGATCTTGTCCTCCCTCAAGATGTGGCCTCTCCTCCGCCATCTCTCTCTCTCGGACAACTCGCTCCCTACATTGGCGCATTACGACACTTTTGTTCACACTCAGTCGATCGTCAGTCTGGACCTCTCGCACAACCTGTTCCTCTCGCCGCCCTCAGCGCTTATTCACCTGCACAACCTGCACAACTTGAATCTGTCTTACAACATGATTTCGGGTGTTCAGTCGATTTATCAGATTCTAGGAAACATTGCTATCCTCGACTTGCGTGGCAACCGTCTGGAGAGCCTCTCAGGACTGGAGAGACTCTGGAATCTGGAGAAAGTGGATGTCAGAGAGAACCACCTGGACGAGGCTGCCGAAGTGGGCCGCTTGGCCGCCCTGCCCGGTATCCGCGAGGTGTGGTCACAGAGGAACCCGTTCTGCATGATCCAGGTAAATTTTGATGGTCAAACAACCTGCCACTATAGTTTGGTTTAATAGCACCTTGTTGACAAGCTTTGTTGTTTCTATTTTGGATAGCCCAAATATCGTCTGGAGATTCTTGCAGTGTTTAAGGCAAATGGACATGATCTTATGTTGGATGGATCATTTGCGTCGTTTAACGAGAAGCGCCTGCTTGCGAACATAAGCCCGACTTCATTCTCGACAACCATCTCCAGTATCAACAATGTGGCGAATATACCCTCTGCATCTGCGCCCATTGCCACCTTTGCCAAGGAGCTTGTCCGTCCCGAGCCCATCCGCCATTCTCGAGCACTATCCTCCAATGCAGACGAGGTCCTGAATGCTGCTACGTTATCGCCTCCTGGCGCCAGTAGCTCGTCACCCGTTCCCAAACTGGCGAAAAAGAAGCTCGTTAAATCAACGAAACGACTCGAGCGTGTCGTCAATCTGGACAGCAACCACGTAGGGGAGGCCGTGCCGCCAGGAGCAGACGATGATGTCAAAGGGGTGAGGAACCTGGAGAGCGACGAAGACAACGGTAGCGGTCAGTTGCCAGAGTCCAAGCTCGCATCGCCTGTTGTTCCTGGCAAGAAGAAGAAAAAGAAGGTGACAAAGTCATCGCCTGCTGAGGGAGCTGGAGAGTCAAAGGATGTTGGCCATGGAAACGGCGAGCTGAAGGAGAAGGAAAAGATCAAGAAGAGGGTTCCCAAGAAGAAGGTTGTGGCTGGTGTGGCTGCGGCGGCAACAGCCAGCGTGGCAGAGGTTGGTGCGCCTGTGGCTGTGAGTTTTGCAGGGGACGAGGAGGATCCTACGATCGACCATTCTCTCTGCCAAGACGATCACCACGTTCATCGACATCGTTTGGCCCATCTGGAAAAGTCGATTGCTTCCAGGCAATTGGAACGAGCTCATACATCGTTCGCGCCACTTGTGGCACCCCTGGCAACAGCTCCATCCCAGCACCAACGACACCCCTCCAGAGGCATTTTGAAACGCAACCCGACGATGCCTGTCAACGGCAGTGGCGCGATCTCGCCCAGAATGAGGCCCTCCTCGCCGATTGGATCGTTTTGTTCGGATGATGGTGGTGCGGATGGCTATCGAAGGAGGATTGAGGCGATGCGCAACGAGGCAGGCAAGAACTGGCTGATGGTCTTGGCAGAGATGGACAAGGATATTGTGCAGCAGGAGGAGTATGCACGCGAGAACAATTCTCATTAATCTCTCCTACTTGTTTTTGCTAGCATAATCTTGATACGCCTATTACATCCTACCATTCCTCACTCTCGCGTTTGTCCTTGATGTCGAATGCGACTAAAAACGCGTGTGAAAGCGGACTGCGAAATGTGATGTCCCCAATATTTCAAAACACACTTTAAAAAAAAAGAAAAAAACGCAAGCTTAGCTTTGGGTTCATACATCACCTTCACAGCATGGCGGAATTCGAGCAAGTCAACACGGCATTCCTTGCATGGCTCGCAGCCAACGGAGCCACAGTCTCAAATTCAATTGCCCTCCAGGACTATTCTGCCGAAAGTGCCGGTCGTGGAGTCATTGCCGTTGCCGACATCAATGTAAAACCACGAAAAGAACATCTTCAGAAGAAGAAAAAAAAGTCGATAGACGATAGGCAAGCTTATGTGACAGGAGCCTGAAGCAATTTTTGGTACTGACAGTGTTGCAAAAACGAACCCACCCACACCCTTTTTTTCCGTTTTTTGTAGACAGATGAGGAGCTTTTCTCGATCCCTCGGCCATTGCTTCTCTCGCCCGAGACGTCCGAGTTGGCCAAGAAGCTGGATCTGACGACACTTGAAGGATGGAACCCGTTGATGATCTGTATGATTTATGAATATGGCCGTGGAGCTGCTTCTCACTGGAAGCCATACTTTGGTAAGTATGCAGTACGCTGAAAAGAATTTTTTTGTTTGTACAGGATGGGTACCCGATTGGGGCTGTTGTAACTAACTTTTGGTACGTTTTTATTGTGTTGGCTGATAGATATTTTGCCAATGGAGTTCTCGACGCCAATGTTCTGGAGTGCAGAGGAACTGAAGGAGCTTGCAGGGACTGGAGTCATCGGTAAACAACACATACTCGAACCCCCCCCCCCCCCCCCCCCCTGGACACTATCACGCACTTGGGCCCGCCCCTCCGCTTCTCGAGGATATGGGAGAGGAAACTAACATTTAAACATTGAATATTCAAAATACAAAAATCATAGACAAGATCGGTCGGGAGGAGGCAGAATCGATCTTCAAGGAAAAGTTATGGCCATTGATCAGCGCACACCCAGACCTGTTCCCTACGACCGAACAACAGGACAAGGAGGCAGGATTCTTGAATGTCTTCCATCGGATGGGCTCGTTGATTATGGCGTATGCGTTCCACGATACGCTTCCGGACAAGGATGAGGATTCGGATATGGATTCGGATGATGAGGATGATGAGGAAGAGGAGGAGAAGGTTAATGTGTCTATGGTTCCCATGGCTGATATGCTCAACCACAAGACCGGACACAACAACGTAAGGTCTTCTTGATTGTGCACCCTTTTTTGTGGAATTTGGAGGAATGTGTGGTTTTGTTACGGGAACAACTTGCGATTACTAACGCTTTTTTGTAATGCAACCTTTATCATAATAGGCAAGGTTGTTCCACGAGAAGGATTGCTTGAGGATGGTCGCTATCAAGCCCATCAAGAATGGACAACAGATCGTATGTATCATGGACGCCAATTGATTAACGACGATCGTATCGGAAGCATTGGTGTCTCTCACTGACCTTTTCTACTCTCCTTTTTTCGACATTCGCAGTACAACACATATGGCGAACTTTGCAACGCAGGTAGGCTATTCATTCTCGATTACAGGCATAGGCGACTTGGTGTAAGATCGATAACCGAAAATGCTGTCCTTTATTAACTCTGATAATCTCCGTTCTCCTCCATAGATCTGTTGAGAAAGTACGGATTTGTGGATGTTCCCAACCCAAACAACATTGCAGAGATCAGCGGCGAATCGGTGGTGGCCAAGTGCACCGCTGCAGATGATAATGGAAAGGACGAGAAGGTTGAATTCCTCCTTGAACAGGACGGCCTCGAAGAGTAAGTTTCTCCTCTTTTTTTTTTTTTTTTTTTTGACTCTGCCTCACACAAGTTGTTTTTTATGCGAAGATATCGTGTATTAATTTACCATTGTGTTTATCGCACCTTTTTTTTTTTTTTTTTTTTTTTTTTTTTGGGAACTTTGCAGCTTCTTCATCCTGGAAGCAGGCGGCGAGATCCCCGAGGAACTGATTGGATGTGCAAAGATTCTGATGATGCCGATTGACGAGTTCAAGACGACGGTTATTGAAGGCAAGAAACTGCCAAACACAAAACTCACGGTCGAGGTTCAAAAGGTCCTGCGGGAACTTCTCGAGGTCAAGTTGGCTGAATATCCTTCTTCCGCCAAGGTAAAAAAAAAACTGCTCATTTCTGTGGACTATGCGTGCTTGAAAGGAGTTACCCTTTTTGTTGTTGTGGATGGTGATTTACCCCCCTCCCCCCCCCTTTGCTGACACTATTTACTCTTTCTTCGCGGGAAAAAAAATGTACACGTGTAAAAATCTAGGAGGACAAGGCGCTGTTGAAGCAAGCTACTGGCACCATCCCCGAACGGACACGCAACGCCGTCGTCGTCCGGTCAGGTGAACGCGAAATCGTGCAGAGTGTACTGGATCAAGTCAAGAAGTGGAGACCCCCACCACCCCCTCCTGCTGCTTCAACTGGAAAGCAGAAGGGTAATGGGAAGGGACAGCCACCAAGCAAGGGCAAGAAGCCTTATCAGAAGAAGTAGACTGAACATACACAATTATTTTTTTGCATGCATAAACACACTAATACATTATATTTGTCAAAACTCGAAAAGAATTACATTATCTCGCACTAAAAAAACTCGTGTCAGAAATCTCAACCTTGGAGCTGAGCCTTAAGCTGGTTAACTTCCTCCTGGAGCTTCTCACGGGCCTCGCGCTCATCAGAGAGCTCCTTCTTGACACGATCAAGTTCCTCGGTCATCCAGCGACGCAACTTTGCGATCTCCAACTCAAGTGCCGCAGAGTTGCCGCCCGAGGCTGGGACGCCCTGGAACTGACCGAAACGAGAGCTCAGCGACTTGACACCACCAGTGGGGGGTGCAACTCCGCCAGCAGGGGTGGGTGCATTGGCAGGAGATCCAGCCGATGATGATGAGGAGTTCACGGGGCTCAGGGGTCCCTCGTTTCCAGACTCGGTGCGACGACCAGTGGGGCGCAACGAAATTGATGCAGGCTGTGCACCGGCAAAAGGAGTAGGGAACTTTTGGAAGATGGGCTTTACAGGCTTGGGTGGAGGAGCTGCCCTCTCAACTACAGGAACTGGAGCAGGCTCTGGCTTCTTGACTTCCTCGGCAGGGGCCTATTATCCACGATCAATTTATATCATTAGTTCACATCTTTGACAACTCTGCAATCTCGTGCAATAATCTGTACAAAATACAACTTACGGCCTTGACTTCGGCTTCCAATTGGGCAACAAAGCTGCTGGTCTCGGTAGGGACGGGTGCGGTAGGAGGCTTGCGGCCCTTGGCGGGTCTGGGTCTAGAAATATGGCTCAGTGCAGGGCCAGTGCTTTCCAACTCGGGCAGCTTGGGCTTCTCAGGTTCCTTCTCCTCCTCAACTTGCTCTTCAACAGCAGCGGGGTCAGTAACAGTCTCTTCTTCCTGCTCGACCTCCTTTTGCTCCTCCTGAGAAGGAATTGGCTCCTCGGGTTCCTCCTGGTGCTCCACAGTTTCCTCCTCGTGAACAGGTGCCTCAGACGCGTGATGAACTTCAACTTCTTCCTCTTCAACGATTTCCTCGTGAACAGGCTCGTGTTCTTCAGCCTCGCTGGAGACAGAAGGCAAGTGGCTCACAGGGGGGGTAGCAATGGATCTTCTATTCTCAGCGATAGAGTGGATAGAAGGAGGACGGGCCAAAGGAGGCAATGGTCGGCTGCGAGCAACAGGCGTAGGCAGGATGTAGGAGTTGCGTTTCGAGTCTGAGGTAGGGGTCTCGGGGGTCTCGGCAGCAACATGTTCCTCTGAAGTCTCATCCGCCTCGGTCAAAGGAGCCTCAGGAACAGGCTTCTGGGGGCGGCGCAAAGTGCTGGAGCGGCTCAAGTCACCAGCTGGAGGCTGAGTTGAAGTTGGCGAGGAAACATCAGGGTTGGGGAAGACAGGGACGGATGCAAGGCGGGGCGATCCGGGAACATCATGGCTGCTGGTGCGGGAAATTATCGACATTCTCTTGGGTGGAGGAGAGCTGGGAAGTGGTGGCCCTTCGATCGAGGCGCGATCATAGAGTTGGGCAGAGGAGGGTGTTGGTGACGAGATCATTGATGGTGGGCGCGATCCACGAGGGAATGCTGGAGGAGTTGCCATGGGAGTCTCGTTGGTCCTAGCGCGCACTGGCTCAGCACGAAGAGGCTCAGCAGGGACGGCAGGGAGTGGGGCTGGCGCGTGGACGGGTGGGCGAGATTGAACTGGGGATTTGGGTGTTTCCTCCTGAGCCACAGGTGCGGGTGCAGGTGCAGGGATTGCGATAGGAGCAAGAATTGGGGCAGGTGCAAGAATTGGGACTGGTGCAGCGGGTGCAACTCTGGGGGACTGAACGGCCTCTTCCTTGATCTCCTCAACAAAGTCCGAAGGGAAGTTTCCGACTTCGCCGTCTTCGTTCCTTCCGCTCCACCATCCCTCATCGCCCATCTTATCTGTCACAACAATGGTCGATCCCTTGACCAATGCAATCTCGTCTATTAGAGGCAGAGTTTTAAGAAAGTCGCATAAGTCATTTTCACCCTTGTCCAGTTCACTTGCGCGTTCAATTGTAATCCTTGACGTCTCTTACCATCCTCCTGAGCAGTATAATCGTAAACAACCAACGCTCTAATTTGTTTGGCTATTGACAAAAAAAAACAATAATACGATTATAATTAATAACACTCTTCGATTAAGTTTGGTTAGAGTGGCATCTGAAAATATGCAATTACAACGAACGTACATTTGGGCTTCTTGGCGCGGCTGGGGACGCGAGGCTCCTGAGCAACAACAGGCTCCTCAACAGGTGCAGGAGGAGTAGCGGGTGCGGGTGCAGGAGGAGTGGCGCGAGCAGGGGTGTGGTGGGCAATCAAAGGGGCGACAATCTCTTCGGCGACAGGAGGCGAGATCTTAGGTGGAGCTGCAGCCACGACAGGAGAGCGAGGCTCATCGACCGAAGTCCTCTTAACCATACCTCCGACAGATGGAGCTGGAGCGGGAGCTGCAGGCTCGCTAACGCCTCCAAGTTTCTTCAATCCTCCCGTCTTCTTGAGTCCAGGAACGACTCCTCCTGCAAACAATGATCCGAGACCTCCTTGCTTGACTCCAAATGCAGCCAACTTGAACTTGGTAGGCTTGTCTCCAGCGTCTACAGTCTCCTCCTTGTGCTCCAAAAGTTTGACGTACTATGATTGTTGACAGTTGGGGACACAAGAAAAAGGGGGGAAGGAGGATCAATCATGTTAGCGACATAGTCAGGTCAAGAGTCAGTCGTCTCTAAATAGCCTTCAAACCGCCAATGGGTCACGCATCCGCTTGACAGCAGACATGCATTAATAACGCAGGCAAGGGGGTAAGGAGGAGAGAACACTGTCCTTACATTGCTAGGAAAAGTTCCAACTTTGCCGTTCAAGTCGCCAGTCCACCAAGCAGGGTCGCTCGAGTCGAGAATGGTTACCACGCGGCCGACCTCCAGTGACAACTCGCTCGATTCCTTTGCCTCGTAATCGTATTCCACTCTAGCGAGAACGGGGCCTATCAACAGTGATAGAAGACAAAGATAATCAAGTTAGCGACATTTTTTTCGGGTTCACACTGTAACCCACTGCAATTTTCTTTTGTATTTCATCTTGGTGCTCATTCTTTGTATTTTTGGCCAATGCTCTCGTTCCTGTCAGCACTGCTCACCGTTTTATCCATTTTTTTTCTCCCATGACGGTGACGCTGTAGCCGTTTTTCTCTTTGTATCCTCACGCCCCTTCCTCTTTTTAATTGTTACCTTCGTGCTTGGGTGCAGGGGGGGCAGCACTCTCCGCTGCTGCTGGAGCAGTCACCGCTTCGTCCTCAACAGGCGCTGCTGGGACGGGATCAGCTGGTGGGGCGGGGGGTGCTGCTACTTCTGGTGCTGCTGGCTTTTCTTCATAAGGGTCCACAAACTAGTCATTCCATTGCAAAGTAGAAAACGGGGAAGCGCTTTGTTAGAACAATCGTCGTAATACGCCGTGACTCAGTATTGTAACAATGGGATACGCTGGAGAATGCAGATGCGGACTTACGTTGGCGGGGAACCAGCCTGCTTGACCGTCCTTGACCCTCTCACCAACCCACCATCCAGGGTCAGAGTTGTCCGAAACAGTAATGATGTCTCCGACCTGGAGGCTCAACTCGTCGCCCTTTTCGGCATCGTAGTTGTGATGCGCAATGTAGAGATTCGCTGTTGGTGTTGTCGTATGAAGTGTCCAGTTTGCGGCGTAGAAGTGAAGGGAAAAAAAGTGCAAGAACAAGAGAAAAGAGGGGGAACGGAGGAGGAGGAGGAGGAGGAGGAGGAGGAGGAGGAGTGTGAATAAGTCAAAGAAGTTGTTTGCACTGCGTGCAACAAGCACCTATGCATTACGGCTTTGCAGTGAATATAAAAGCCAGTGTGCACCTGTCCGTCCCACGTTTCTTTTGCCGCGCTTCTTTTGTTATCGTTTCTTACCCATGGTATCAATAGGCCTTTTTATTCGTTCCTGAGTTTTATGGAGGCGTGCAGGGGGGAGAGGAGGGTGCTGAGTGTTGAGTATGTGTGTAGAGGAAGAGCACGAAGCTGGGAATGTGAATGAGTGATGGAAAAGAGAGTGAAGTAAAAAGTAAGGAAGAGTAATGGAAGCGTACAAGTGTAGAAATAAAAAAGAAGAGAGAAGAAGAGACGATGGGCTTTAAAGTGATGAAGCCCGTCCTGCAGCTCGCCTCCTTCCCCTTCAGCCGTGTCGTCAAAAACGACCTCGTTCCTGGGCGGGCAGAGGAGGCGCGCGTGCACTTAGATAGGGTTCACTCTTCATCCCCCGTGACTGATATTGAACCATTCGCCCCATTTATTTGTTGAAATGATAATAGAGAGCAGAGAATGTTTGCTCGCGCTGAGAATGGTTGATACCGCCATCTACACCAACATCAGACGCACCAGGAAAGAGGGACATCCGTCCGCTTGGTAACAACAGTCATCAACGCCTCCTTCATCGGTAGCGTCAGTGAACCCTTGAACATCGGCCCACAGTGACCCGGCGTCAATTTGAACGTGTACCTCTGCAACAGGATACAGGTTGTCGCCATCGCCTCCAACTGCGCAAACGTCATGCCCAGACACAAACGTGGGCCCGCATTGAAAGTGATAAACTTGAACTGACTCTCCGGCTTGAATTTGCTAAAGGGGCTCACTCGTCGGCCGGTCGCATGGTTCACCGTTAAACCAGGGCGACCAGTGTCCGAAGAGACTAGCCATCGCTCAGGGACAAACTGTTCGGCATCGATCCCCCAAACAGCCTTGTTGCGGCCCATACACCAGTTCGAAAACGCGACGAGCTCGCCCTTGTAGATTCGTGTGCCGTCAGGGAGTATATCGTCATCGACGGCCTGCTTGACGTTCTTGGGGACGGGTGTGTGCAGTCGCAGGGTCTCGTGGAAGACTGCCTTGACATAGGGCAGCTCGTTCATCAAGACTTCGTAGGTAATCTTGTCAGTCGAGCCTTCAAGGACCATGTCGATCTCATGGAGAACGTTCTTCATGACTCTTGGGTTGACCATGAGGCAATAAAACTGCCAGGTCAAAGCCTGCGCCGTCGTGTCGCGTCCAGCTCTAACCAAGACCAAGGAAAGATGTTGCACCATAGAACAGATGTGAGTAGCTCATTTGCTTCGCTCCTATAGCTAACCTTGGAATGAAAGGAGTGCAATAAAAATACGTACATCATAAAGTTGACAAATACATCGCGGAGCTCACGGTCAGTGAGCATGGTGCCATCCTCACTCTTGTAGGTGATAAAATGATCCAACAGATCTCGCGTTCTCGTTGTAGCTTTCTCAGGGGTTTCAGCTCGACGGTCGCGCACAGCCTTGGCAGCATACTCATCCAGGATACTAATACAACCCCAATGCTTCTTCCACCGTCCAGGGATAATCCGGTCGGTGATGAACCAAAACGGGTTGAGCATTCGAAATTCAGCCGCCGAGTTCAAGAAATCAAACGCGTCTCCAAACTCATTTGGACCTTCCTCGTTCAGCAACGCCTTGAACTCCAACCCAAATGTGAGCTTTCCAAACGCATCTAGCGTCAACTTGAGGAACTTGTCTTGGAGGTCAACAGGCATCTCAGCAGCAATGGCTCGGTCGAGAACGGTGCTAAAATCCTCAGCACTGGACTTGAATGCGCCTTCGACCAGACTGCGATAGAGCTTGGTAGTGAAGATGTTGGAGGCCGTCTTTCGATGGAACCTCCACTCTTCATGGTCGGCGACAAATATTCCTCGGCCAAAGATATCTGACAAGTTCCAACGAACTAGATCGCCCTTGACATAGTTCTCAAAGTTGGCTGTTTTTCATACAATAATTAGGGTCAGAGATGTAAGATGAGGAGAAAAGACAAGGTGAAGCGTCTGGGTACCGAAGTTGCCTACTTTTGAGGATGTGCTCCATGAACTCGGGTCGATTCAGGAGGATGGCGCGACCAAAGATTGGCATCGTAATTGACCTGGTCCAAACAAAATCCAAAGAGAGCTCGTTGTGCAACGAAGGATGGTTGCTGTTAGCTTATGTCTTGTAGGGTTCGATGAAATAGGCTCGTGGGAAAGTGCATCCGAACATTTTTTGTGCCACAAGAAGCAAAATGTATATATGGGAGAGAAGACTGCGAGACCGTTCTTTTCAGTACCTCATAGAATGTATATTTCACCATAAAGAAGGCGATAAAACAAGATACAAAAGTAAAAAGATCACATGCACAAGAGCAACAATAAAGCCAGAGAGAGAGAGAGGGAGTCTTACACAACATCTCCATGCTCTTGGAAGATCTGATGGAGGTAAAGGAGAGGGTCTTCTCGGTGCTCGATAAAGCCACCAAGGTTGCCAATTAAAGGTAACCCTGGAGCATCTTGTCCACGAGCTTTGAGATCTGGCCGGGCTCTTGTCAGGAAGGCTCGGTTGGGGTACTTGATGATCGCCGCTACGAAGAATCCGATCGTAGCCAAGACAGCGTACTCGATGGGTGTTCGCTTGCGCTTAGCCATCTGTCGCTCCAACAGTCTTCTCAGACCGATGCCTGCCATTACGAGTGCCATGGTTAAATGTTGAAATAAGGGGATGAGATGAATAGTGGGGTGAAGTATAGCACTTTGTGGTGAGCGTGGAAGGGTGACAAGTTAGAAAAAGAAAAAGAAACGAAAAGAAGGGAACTTTTAAAAACATTTCTCATGTTGCTCCTCAACCTAACTGTGAGGCAACGAGGATAGGTTAGGGAGGTAACAATGCCAACTTCAAAAGAAGTAATGCAAGGAAAGAAGTAGATGGTTAGATGTCATCAGTTCTTTTAGTGTACCCCTTCCCCGTCCCTTTTGAGTGCGATCCCCTCATCATTGGTACCAAAGCTTTCTTTTCTTTTTTTTTGTTGGTTGTTATGCTGTTCAGGCGTCATATTGAGGACCATGTTCTTGCAGAAAGGCATGGTGGAAATGTCTCCCTGGCCTCTCGCACAGATCGCACTGGCATATGTTCAGAGGTAAAAAGACAAACAGACACAAACGACAACGAGGTCTAAGGACAATCAACAAGACAAAGAAAGGATGTTACTCTCTTTTAGCTGCATGTGAATGCGAGTACAGGAAAAACGCGTTGTTGACTTGTCGTTGCCTTGCACATCAACGTCAATGCTACCACCCATCGACAGGTAAGCGAATACTCTTCTTTTCAGTGCCAATGGACACAGCTAAACTCTTAAAGTCATGTCGCTTCCTTCGTTTTTCTACAACTGTCTTTGACAATGACGACCGGCAGAGATGAGGAAGACTGGGTAACAAAGGAAACAAAAAGTATCAACATCGGATCGCTTGACAAAATCCTGCGAATGGAGCACATTTTACTATGCTTCCTTCCACTCTTCTCCACCCTTCTCCACCCTTCTCCACCCTAACCCCTCAAACCTTTTGGCACCCCTGCAGATTTTTCAAGTCCCTCGGCCCACTTACAGCCTTGCATCGCGTAAATGGATCAAAACAACAACAACAAATCAACAAAACCCCCATTCCGCGAGCCGAAATGCGAGACCCTATGGTTTGCGCCACCAAAATTTCAAAGTCAACGTTGTCGGTCGTTGATCACCAGAAAACCTTAACGCGTAAGCCATCAAGAGCGCAAACAGCGACACGCGAAGTTGCAAAGCAAGAAAGTCCAATCTGGACATGTTTTATTCAATAAAAAAAAACACTATCATTCTTTGCGCTGAGAAGCAAGAGGAACACGGACAGGACCATCCGTCCGCTTAGTAACAACCGTCATCAACGCTTCCTTCATCGGCAAGGTAATCGACCCCTTGACTGTCGGCTCAGGATGCCCCGGTGTCAACTGGAACTGGTACCTCTGCAACAGGATACAAGTCGTCGACATCGCCTCCAACTGCGCGAACGTCATGCCTAGACACAGACGAGGACCCGCGTTGAAGGCAATAAACTTGAACTGACTCTCGGGTTTGAACTTTCCATAGGGACTGAGTCCTCGACCGGTCGCAGGGTTCACCGTCATAGCAGAGCCACTAGCGTCTGAAGAGACCAACCATCGCTCAGGGACAAATTGCTCGGCATCGATCCCCCAGACAGCCTTGTTTCGACCCATGCACCAATTCGAGTACGCGATAAACTCGCCTTTGTAGACTCGTGTTCCGTCAGGGAGGATATCGTCATCGACGGCCTGTTTGACGTTCTTGGAGACTGGTGGGTGCAGACGCAAAGTCTCATGAAGGACTGCCTTGACATAGGGCAGTTCATTCATCAAGACTTCGTACGTGATCTTTTCGGTCGAACCCTCAAGGACAGTGTCGATCTCGTGAACGATATTATTCATGATTCGAGGGTTGACCATGAGGCAGTAGAACTGCCAGATCAATGCCTGTGCCGTCGTGTCGCGGCCAGCCCTATATAAAACCATATCAATGCACAATATAAAAATCACATCAGTATGTTGCAGCTACGTTCCTCACAGTAGTACATTGTACAATGAGAAAGAAAAACAATGATTGAGCGCATACATCATAAAGTTCACAAAGACATCTCGCAGCTCACGGTCGGTAAGCATAGTACCATCCTCGCTCTTGTAGTTGATAAAGTGGTCCAAGAGGTCTCGTTTCCTCGTCTCGGCTTGTTCGGGCGTCTCAGCTCGACGGATACGCACGGCCTTGGCCGCGTACTCGTTCAAGATACCGATACAATCCCAATGCTTCTTCCACCGCCCGGGGATGATCCGATCAGTAATGAACCAAAACGGGTTCGATAACCGAGCGTCGGCAGCACTAGTCAAGAAATCAAACGCGTCGCCAAACTCGTTCGGACCATCCTCGCTCAATAGTGCCTTGAAGTCGAGCCCAAAGGTCAGCTTTCCGAACGCATCCAGTGTCAACTTGAGGAACTTGTCCTGGAGGTCCACAGGCTTGTGGGCAGCAATAGCACTATCGAGTACGGTGCTGAAATCCTCGGCACTAGACTTGAAGGCACCCTCGACCAAGCTCCGGTAGAGCTTGGTAGTGAAGATGTTGGAGGCTGTCTTCCGATGGAATCTCCACTCCTCATGGTCGGCAACAAAGATCCCCCGTCCGAGGATATCTGTCAAGTTCCAACGGAATATGTCACCTTTGACGTAGTTGTCAAAGTTGGCTTTTGAGAAATAGCAGAATGAAAAAAGTTGATGTGGGCGTTAGGATTTGAGTTTTGACACATATAGGGTTCAATACAATCGAAATGGTGGACAATGCGACGGCAAAAAACACGATAGTACGACGTTACTTACTTTTGAAGATGTGCTCCATGAACTCGGGCCGATTGAGGATAATTGCTCGGCCTATCATAGGCATTGTGATAGAGCTGTTCACGGAATGCAAAAAGAAAGAGTCGTAAGAAAGGGCACAAGATGGCTCTGTTAGTTCATGCAGTGTCAGGTTTGTCCGTAAGGCGAGTCCAGGTAAAGTGTGGAGAAGAGAGATGAAGGGCAGGAATAATTTGGGCTCAAAGGTCGCGTGGAAGGTGCACAAATCAAAAAGATTCGGGGGATTTGTGGTTGTGGGGTACATGTGGGGAGGGGGTTGTGGGAAAAGGCAAAGAACTGACAACACAACAGGATTTTTTTTTTCGCGAATCGAAATGTGTACCCGAACTGGCTAAGACAAGAAGGAAAAACACAGAGTAAACGAAGCACACCGGCTCAAACGAAGGATACTTACATGACATCGCCGTGTTCTTGGAAGGTCTTGTGAAGATAATCAAGAGGGTCCTCCCGGTGCGACAGCATATCGGCGAGGTTTCCAATCAAAGGTAAGCCTGGAGCGTCTCGTTTCAATGCCTTCAGGTCTGGTCGAGCATTCGTGAAGACGGCCCGGTTGGGGTACTTGATAATCGCCGCTACAAAGCATACGATCGTTGCCAGGACGGCGTACTCGATGGGTGTTCGCTTGCGCTTAGCCATCTGTCGCTCCAACAGTCTTCTCAGACCAATGCCTGCCATCACGAGTGCCATGGTTGAGTGTTCGAAGGAGGGAAAGAGGCGAAGGGGTATAATGGATGAAGTGGTAGGTAATGAGGGGTAAAAGTAGTAAAAGTAGTGTACTTTGGTAATGGGTGTGGGAGGCGAAAAGTGCAGGGTAGCTGGAGAGTAAGAGGGGAGAGAAATAGAAGACAGAAATACGAAGGATGTGGTCAACTGATATATAAACTGAAGGAAAAAGGGCTCTTTTAAGGATGTTTCCAGTTTTGAGCTGGGGGTATGTTGAGGCAATATTTTTCCTTGTGAACAAACAGGAAAAGCTGAATTGGGGGCCAACCAATGTCATAACAGCAATATTAAAAATAATAAGGGGTCGTTGGTTGTTTGGTCTGTCCTTCTTTACCTTCGAACGGCATGTGATGGTGGGCCAAAACAAACGCGTTATTGACATGTTTCGCGCCTTTGACAACAAAAAAAAACCACAAAAAAACTGTCAAAGAAGCCAGCGTTATCTCCTGTGTCGACAATGGAAATGGTGGTGAACCCCATCAAATCCGTCAAACATCCCAGTGGTTTGCCCTTACACTCTGGATTGTGAGCATAGATAGAGAGAAGAGGTGCGAGTTACAGCGAGTACGAAAATGTGATGGGGGAGGGGGGGGCATGGATTTGAAAAGATGCGTTATCAAGAAAAACACAAAAAAACGGTTGTTGAGGTAAACACCGGATCGCTTGACAAGGGGGCTTGCAACTAGCTCTTTTGCAAATCCTTCTTCCACAACCGCCTCATTTACCACCTTTGTTCTCTCAGTCTTTTGGTCATCCTTGCAGATGGTCAAGTCCCTCGGCCCACCATGATTTGCATATTTCGTAAGAGTTCCAACATCAACAAATCAACAAATCTAGGATCTTTCTTGCGAGCCGAGATGCAGCCCCTCGTTTGCGCCACCAATTTTTGGCTCCAAAACCACGCTAACTATGTTCTACAGCTGATCATCGTGGCGCGTCCTTCATTGACGCGAAGGCATCATTTCAGGGTAGAGAACACATTGGCGCTGAGCATATTATTGGTGTTTGTTTATTCCATGCATGAAGGAGAAAGGTAAAAAAATGAAAAAGAGTGAAGGGGCGAGAAAGAAATAAAGGGTGAGAAGTAGAGAAGGAGGAATGAAAAGGTAAAAAGGGGTCTTCACTGAATGTTGATCTTGGCTTGGGCAAAGTTCTTAATGATGGGGATCATATTGTCTCGCAAGGCCCGGATCTGAGCGTACGCCTCGGCTCCCAACTCGTCCTTCCGTGCCTGGGCTGGGACGTTCTCAAACCGCTGAAGCATCCTCTGGGTCGAGTTCAATGTCGCGATCAAGTCAATGGATAGCTCCTGAATCTCCCTCCGGACAGACGCATCCAGCTGTGGGTGATACATGTACAGAGCCAACTGCGTTGCCATCACCACAAACGCATCCTCCAATAACGATATCATGCGAATCGAGGATCCAGTAGAACTTGAGAGAGTAGCAAATGCAGACTCGTCGGACTTGGGAGAGTTGGAGACCGTCACTGTTGTCGACGATCGTGGTGAGGCTGATCCGTTCGCACCGGTAGTTGCTGAGGCAGATCCTGCTGCATTAGCGTCGCCAGACGTAGTCGTTGTAGAGTGTGAAGCTGCTGACGACAGGAAGGTTCCAAAACAAGCCAGGCGTGATGACGGCTTGGAGTTCGTCGTGCTTGTGGACGACAACGCACTGGCATTCTGTTGTCGATTGTCGTCGCTCGAGTTCGAGTTCGAGTTCTTGAATAGTCCTGCTGATCCTCCTGTCTTGCCCTCCAAACGCGCCTCCCACTCCATCAACGACGTCGTCGCGTACTGAACCAAATCAAACATGGTGCCGATGGATGCTGGCTCGTAAACAGGTGTGTTGGCGATTGGAGCGATTGTTGTCTTGCGGATGGGCCACTCTAAGTTCGACTTTGTCAAGATAAGCGCTGGGTCCGTCCAGACAAGGATCGCTGACAAGATATTCCTGACAACGGCCGCCAGCTTGGCTTCGATCGTCGTGGTGAGAGTCTTGTTGTCGCTTGACTCCTGGTGCTTGTGCTCTGCTCTGGTCACTGCGCGGGTCAATGAGGCGAGGGTGTGAGGGTGGGTGAAGAGATGAACCGCATGCTGAAGAATGAACAGCGATCGGTCAAAGAAGGCCTTCAGCACCTCCTCGCCTCCCAAGGGCTCCAAGCGAACGTCGTGCTTTGAAAGCTCATAGAACAACATCGTGATCCTCTCCATCTCCTCCAACTTGGCGCTCGTCATGGGTCGGTCTGTCGATGTATCCAGGCCCTTGCTGATTTGGTTCCCGTAGAGCTGAATGAATCCGATCAGAAGCTGCATATATACGTCACTCGAGCTCATCGACCGCAACAAGCTCGTCACAATCGCCAGATACATGCACCAAGCCTGGTGCCAGTTTCCTCGGTCGCCATGTACCTCATCAAGGTGCTCGATATCGCCTTGCTGAAGGAACATTGTCAATCCATTGTGTGTCAGCATCGACATGACTCCTGCATCGCAAAGGTAGGCCGCCATCTCCGGAACGTTGGCCAAGGCGAGCAAAAAGTTGAGACTGCCCTCAAAGAACGATGGCCGGCTGTCGAACTGTCCTGACGAAACGCTATAGGCGCACAGCTGCAAGTTGAGTCGGACGACATCCAAGTTCCTCAAGATAGGGATCCAGAGGCCGGCATGGGGGTTCCAGACGGGGTGGCAAATCTCCTCCAACAGCGCCAACAGTACCACAATCAAGTCGGAATGATCATACTGTCCAGACAAATAACTCTCCACCACGATGGAGAAACATTGGGCGATTGTCGGCAGGAGAAGGATGGATGACTTTTGAACCAAGGCCTGGTGTTCCTGATCCAGAATGGCGAGAACCTCCCTGTCGTGCAAAGCCCGGTAGCAGAACAGAAGGGTCAAGAGGAGAGGGTGGTGCGCGGCAAGTCCATCCGCTGGGTTTTGGACCGACTCCAAGATGCCCATCTCGGGATTCTGGATGAGCTTTTGGAGCTTGGTGACAATCTCGGGAAAGTGGACAGCGAGATTCTTCTTGTCCGATCGCTTGACTGTTGCCGAGTTCTCGACGACTGTCTGCAGAAGAAGACAGCAGTTCTGACGCGCCATCCTGAGCACAGCACTGCCATTGGTCTCCCGTTCAATGTGGTCCAAGAGGCAGATGACAAAGTGGTAGTACGCGTTCGCCTCCGCACCCGCGCTCTTGCCCGCCCAGAAAGCTGCTCCCAAATCAGTCGTAGCCACCTCAACAAAGAAACGCCAGGCGGCTAGGCGTTCCATCTCCGCATGCACGATCGACCAGTTGAGGTTCACGTGGAAGAGGGTCCTGAGGAAGGCGTGCTCCCGCACCTTGCCTCCCCAGATAAACTTGAACCGAGCCTTACCCAAATCTAACATGAATGTCTCTCCTGCTAAGTGATCCGCGTCGAAGTTCTCGTCCCACCGTTTCACAGCTAGCTTCAGGTAATCCAGGGGGACCGTAAGATCTTGACCCATCTCCTTCAACTCTCGGTGTCCCTGTGCGTGGTAGTGGATTTTGGGAATAGTCTCATTCCATTCGCCGAATTTGCCCTGCTGAACACACGTCTGGATAAAGGTTTTGATGCCCTTAGGCAAGCTGTCGACATCCCTGGTGAGAACGCCCTGGCTGGCGTAGTGGAAGTGAATCGCAAGGCCAAAGATCCGGAGGGCATGGCCGCGAGAGCGCTGTTCGGCGTTGACAGACGAGACGTGGAACACCTGAGCCATAGGATCGCGGTTATAGCAAGAGAAGACATCCTCCCACTTGGCCAACTCCAGTTCGGTGTGAATATCGGGTCGTGCAAGGATGTCTCCGAGATCGTTCCAGAAAGCGTCATTGTCCTGTAGGCTCTTGATGAGAACAGCGTGATCCAATGCGTTTTGCCAGAGGACATCCAGGAAATGGAGGGCATGGGGGAGGATCTCGGGGTCAGTGTCGAGGACAGCGTCCTTCTTGTGAAGGATATCGAGGGCCTTGACCAAGATCGAGTTCTTGGCGATTTCCTTGAACTGGTTATCGAGCACGCCAGTGACGGGGTTGACACGGTCGTTTGACAAGAACAGAGTCGCGAGTCCAGGCTGGGTCGTCAGAGTGATGGTGATGAGGCTCCAAAGGGCAATCCTGTAGTCGGCGGTCTGGCCATCGTCACCGACGCGGTTGACAAGCGTGGAGACCAATTGTTGGGCCTGATCTGAGGTTCCGAGATATCCAACGAATGATGGCCGAGTTGGCCACTCGTTGGTCAGCGCGCACAGCAATGTGAGGACATCCGTTGAGACGAGCGCCACATCAGCTCCGCAGGCAAGGTCGCTGTATGAGGTCAAGACCTGGATCAGAGAGGCGTTTGCACGGCCAACAATGCGATCGATCATGTACACTTCCAAGAATGAAGGCTGGCCTCCGGAGAGCTTGCGGTGGCGAAGCAGACTCTTGACAAATTTGAGGCCTTGGTAGATCATGATGTAGATGTCTCCGAGCTCCCTGGTGCGGTCGTACTTGGAAAAGTAGGAAGAAAGGTCGGGTCCAGATCCAATCAGCGAAACTAATGGTAAGCCAAGCTGTTTGCCGCCGTCGTATAAAAAGTTTCTGAGCAAGTACTCCTGAAGTGTCGCAAGGCTGATATATGTTGTCGGGTCCGAGTCGCTGAGGAGCGGAAGGTCCTCGAGGGTGTAGTTGAAGATCGAGAGAATCCTGGACCCAATGACAAAGCGGTCCCTGATGTTGACGTAGTGCCAACTCTCAAAGTTGCAGAAGAGGTCGTTCTGGATGTATGCCAGGCAGGGATAAAGGATCTCCGCCTTGAGACAACGCAACTCCTTAGAGTCCCAGATTTCCTTTTGCTGGGCATTCAAGGTCAAGGTTTGGACGAGCTCGAGGAAAGCCAAGGTCACGGCATAGTTGCCCTGGAGGCATTCGAAGCGGGTGAGGAGATTGTAAGCCAGCCCGCTTGTTTGGACACGACTAGATCCTGTAAACTGGACCGTGGTGGTGATGACTGAAGGCAAGAACGACGATTGCCTCAAGAAGAGCCAGACATCCTGCGAGTATGACTGACAAATCCAGCGGAGACACTGCAGGCATGAGGCGATCACGTCGAGTGGTGGGTTTTGGAACTTGGAGGTCTGATCCAGGATCGCAAAGAGAGTTGGGATGAGGGAAGCACCTTGCTTGCCGGAAAGAAAGTATGCGGTCAATTCGGTGGTCACTCCAGGGTGCTGGTACAACGCCTGAAGGAGGCCCAAAATAGCCTTGACATGCGTGATCCTGACATAGGAGTTGGAGTCGGTGTCCTTGTCCTGCGTGCGGAAAACGTCTAGTATAGCAGCACAGAGTTCCCATCCAGAGCTCTCGTAAACCCACTGGACGACTTGAGGTGCGTTTGGCGCCGAGACGAGGCGCCCTTCCATACCAGCCGGCAACATCATGAATGATCCTCCAGTCGCGATCCCGAATGGCACCCCCTGGACCGATCTGTACAATGTCGAGCCCTCGGTCGCGTGCGTGTCGATCTCCACACACTGTGCCTTGTCTGAAAGGAAATGTGACAATGAAGGCAGATGTCGGAAGAACTGGATGGTGTGGCGTGCTGAATCTTCGCTGCCGGTCGCTAGAGCTGTAAGCAACTGCAGAAGGGGGTCGAACTGGACTGGGAATCGTCCTCTGGCAGCCTCCAGAACGTTCGTGACTCCTTGGCCCAAATCCGTTGACTCGTCCCAGACCAGGTGACAAAGATGAGGTTCTCCCGTCAGCAAGTCCGAAAGACAGAGTACCAGTCCATCGAAATCCTTGATATTAGTAGGTCGTCGATCCAGAAGCACCAGCTCCAACAGGAGGAAGAAAAGCCGCTTGAATGTCGGTCCGTCCTTTGAGGTGCTGTCGAAGAGTTCGTTCGATAAGAGGCTGCTGACGAACGCAAAGAACTTGAGAGTTTCCAGGGCGACATAAGCGAACTGACTGGACAGCGTGATCACATCTCTCCGCCTATCCTCCGGCAGGGTGGTCGCGTGAGACGAGAGAACACTACACCAGGCCAGGATGAATGGCCCCAACTCCTGCTGGCGTTCCGCACTTTGGAGAGCATTGTTGATATGTTGGATATGGCTAGCTGACTTGAAAATGTGGTGGTTGTCGTTGATGCCTGTTGTTGACTGATCGAACAAATTCTCGAGATCCAACGAAGCGATCGAAAGAACAATGCAGAAAAGTCGAATATTGTCACAGACGTCGTGGGTCTCCTTTCTGATCCTGGATTTGTAGTGCTGTTGGCGCCCAAATTGTGTCGCAAGTAGTGTCTCAAGAATGACCTTGGGAAGGTCGATCTTGCTGTCGGTCCCGGCAATGCAGAGGAAAATAGAGACTTCCAGAAGCGCAGCTTGTTCAGCCAAGCACTGATCGATCCAGAGTTCCAAGTACTCTGAGTTTGACGTGAAGTAGTCGGGGGCTTCCTCTGAGGCCCTGTCGCGATACTGCTTAAGCAATTTTTGGATCAGGGTGAAGCTCTGAGACAGAGTATGGTCGACGGAAGGGATGATGCCGTACTCGCTGTTATGGTTGTTTTCCGTGACCTGGCCGATAATCTCTTTAAGAAGCGCTACCAGCGACAATCGCTCTTTCCAGTAGGTCGTAACTGCATTCAATAGGACAGAGTCGGTGATCGTGTCGGGTATATCCATCTCCAGGGAAAGTTCCTCCACGACAGACAGGGCTTGTGTCTCGTTCAACTTGACGGTGTCGCTGAGTCGCTTGGCGAGGTTGATCTGGGCGCCTGTGTATTTTTGGCCGGAGGCGTTAATTGCAGAAGCCATGCTCGTACGTGCATTTGCTGATGGCTCCTTGAAGGCGCTCAATCCGAGTTTGATATCGTCCATCCTGTCGTCGATCAGGCCCTGAAGATTCGCTACCGAGTTTCTGGCTTCTCCATCCAACATCGACACGGTCTCAAAGAGTCCAGCAAACGACCTATGCTTGTTCCAAATAAACGTAGGTATGAGTGGAAATTCCAGTGGTGAATGTTCACAAAGCCTTTCGAGGAAGTAATTTATAGGCGGTAGCCTACCTCCCAGTCCTTGACTTGGCTTTCGATGTGGAGGCGTACTTGCTCATCGTGGCTGCGGTTTACTGATCAAAGTGCTTCTGCGTCCGTGTTTTTTGCGGGTCTTGATTGTGATCACTCTAATTTAGGGAAACGGTGTATTGTTGGATTTAGTTCGTGGCGCGACCGATCTCGCTTGTCTTGTGGGTAAGGCTTCATGGACGATTCCACAAGGCGGTTGAAATTGGGTACCTGGCCGGTTGAGTAGTAGACCGTTGTGTGTCCCAAGGCGATTGAGCCACTGGAAAGGAAAGCGGTGATGTGTCGGACAAGAAGCTCTCTGACAATGGAGGTGCGGGTTATGAAGTAAATCGCAGGCGGTTGATGAAGCGTGCTGATCCACAGAAGATATGCGGGAGGGAGGAGTGATGGGAGTAAGGAAAGGGGCAGGGGGAGTGAGGGGCGATAGGTGGTTGTGAAGTGAAGAGGGGAGATGGAAAGAGCGACGCGTTTGTGTTGGCTGATGTGTGTGAATCTTCAAAACAGCCTTCGTGAAAAAGTATTTGTGTGACTGTGGCTTTCAAACCGGCTTTTGAATTCCAATGCTTGGGAGAGGGAGAACCTTCACACCTTTATCTCACCTTCACTTTCTCAACACAACGACCCAAGACGATAACCAACAAAGCGACTGCCACGGCCACGACCAGGACATGCACCCGACCCATCGCGAACGCCTTTCTCAAGTCTCTGCAGAGTCCGGCCTCGATGTACACGCGTCTATTCATGTCACTCTTGCCAGCCAATGCACACTCGTCGGTCTTTGACGCCACCAATATTCACACCGTCGTTTTCTTCAACACTCCTAGTTTATTGCCCACTTAGACGACGACATTGCGCGTTCTTCAGTATCAGTGAACCAAAGCCAGTTTCCTTCACATCAGCCATCACAACCTCAAATCCACAAACCACACAACCTCAACCATAACCCATCAGCAACGCCAGCGCCCGTAACACCACCACCACAAGGCACAACAAAACTCGACCTCGACGGCATTGACCAAATCCTCTCCCGCCACGGTCTCCTCCGCTCGGGAGACATACTCGACCTCCACGGCCCCACAGGAAGCGGCAAGACCCACTTCCTCTACGCCATCATCATCTCCACCATCCTCCCCAAATTCTGGCGACACTCCAAATCCTACCCAGCCATCCCGCTCCTTGGAAAAGCTCGGAGTGTGGTCTTTTTCGATCTAGATCAGGGATTTGATGTGGAGAGGGTGAAAGATTTGCTTTGTTTGCAGATCAAGCATCGGGTGCGCCAGTTTTTGGATAGTACAAATAATAAGGACGGGAATAATGATGTGGCCAACAGTGACACCACCAGCGGCGACGATACTTCAACAACCGCCACCTCTGGGACTAAAGAGATCGACATTGAATCACCAGCGTTCCTCGCAAAAATCGACCAACTCGCCATATCATGCCTCCGCAACGTCCACGTATTTCGTCCGCAAGATACAATCTCGACCATCGTCCTCCTTCGAACCCTAGAAACCTACCTCCTCCATCAAACCAACACTACCACTCCCCCTCCTTCCCTTTCCACAACAACCTCACAGCTCCAACCCCAATCCCATCAACAGCAGCAACAGCAGCAGCAACCATCCCCGCCATTCGCATATTTGATCCTCGACTCCCTCTCAACCTTCTACTGGCAAGACAGAGCCCAAACAAACCATAGCCGCATCATGTCCCTCCTCTACGACGGCCTTCAACGCCTCGTCGCCCGCTGGGGACTCATCTTCATCACCACCAGCTGGCTCCTCGACATTTCTTCCTCATCGTCTTCAACGGCTACTTCGGCTTTTGCAAACATCGCCGACAGGACTATCCCAGACTCTTTCCGCGCAAAGATACGTTACCGGTTCTTGCTCCAACCCAGAAACTTGGACCGATTCGAGACTGAACAGCTTCTTTTGCAGGAATGGCAGTTCCGTCAACAACAACAACGACAACAACAACAACAACAACAACAACAACAACATGGAGGCAAGCAGGACGACGTCACGCAAAGCGGAGGGAAAGAAGAAGGAAAAGCGGTAGGAGTCCTAGAAGCAGGAAATAAGCATTTGAGCCATGAACCAGATTCGATCGAAACTAGACCTTCCTTGTTCCAAGGCCAAATGACCATCCCCGAAACGCAGCACGAATCACACACACAACCTGAACTCTTTCGATTCTCAATATCGATGAAAGACGGTCTCTTTTCATTTTGTCCGCCTCCTCCTCCTCCTCCTCCACCACCACCCCTATTCCCTAAAAACATGTAAATAAAAAGGCACAACAGCTTCCATAACTTCATTGGGTGGCGTAAAAGTACAACTTTGATATATTTTTTAAAAAGGGTGTGGAAAATGGGCCATGCAGTTAAACGTGAAAAAATATGCGATGCAAAAACAAAAAAAAAAGTAAAAGTAAAAGTAAAAGAAACATGCAAAAAAGAAAGACATTAGTAGCAACGGGCGGCCATCTCGAAGAGGGTGTCGCACTCGCCCGATTTTTCCACCATGTCGCGGAATCGACTGGAGGGATTCGTAATCAGGTTGATAGGACTGTCGAACTCAATCACCCGGCCTTCCTCAAGCACCAAAACACGGTCATAGTCCATAATGGTCCTCAAACGATGCGCAACAGTGATCAGCGTCGAATCGCCAAGTTCGTTACGGATTGTTGTCTGGATTCTCTCGTCCGTTGCAAAGTCAACGCTTGCAGTAGCTATTATATTCAAAAAGAAACAATAAAAACGGTTAGTATAGGATATTCAATGACAATGGTCTCCTATTCATGAAACACCAAAAGACCAAGGGAAGAGTGTTACCTTCATCCATGATGATAACTTTGCTTTGGCGAAGCAATGCACGGGCCATGCAGAGGAGCTGACGCTGTCCCTGAGAAAAGTTGTGTCCGCCATCGCTGACAGGACTGTCCAAACTCTCAAAGGGATCTACTTGATCCGACTGCGGCTGGGGGGACGAGGTCTGCTGTGCTGGGGCTGGTTCTGCAGTCTCTCCTTGGTTAAACGCAGAGCAGAGCACTCTTGGAGACATGGGGTCAACAGGAAGGAGGCCGTTGTTGTGACCATACAGCAAGGGTGTCGAGGCCACCGTCTGGGTTGCTGGATCCATAGTCTCGTAGCGAGAGACGGGAGAGAGAACAGCGGAAGCTGTGGGCATAGGTTGGGGACAGACCGCAGGATGGAAGGGATCGTTGTAGACTCCGTTCTGATACTCTGAAGCAGAAGCATCCAGCATCAGACTATCAAGACCGCTAGGAATTGGGTCGAGATTGAAAAGGGGGCCCGATCCATTCATGTCGTAAGGAGAGCTCTCGTGGTGGGCATGAGGATGGCGGTGAAAGTTGGGCTGATCAGGGTGTTGGTCACCGTAAGGACTAGATGACATGCTTGAGGCCGAGCCAGATCTAGATCCACGTGCCTTTACAAGGTGGACGCGGCGCAGAGACTCCCAAATCTCGAGATCATCATGTTCTTGGAATGGGTCCAGGTTGGATCGGATAGTGCCGTTGAACAGCACGGCATCTAACAACAACATCGTACATCATAATTAGCGTTAATAAAAATATACAGGCCTGTACAATCAAACACGCTCTCTGACATTGTCGTTGTTACCTTGGGGTATAATGGTCAAGCTCCTTCTCAAATCTTCGACACCAATCTTGCAAATGTCGATACCGTCAATCACGATCGACCCTGCCGTGGGCTCCATGAATCGGAAGAGCGACAACGCCAGCGTCGACTTTCCTGAGCCTGTGCGGCCCACAATTCCAATCTTTTCACGCGGCCGGACACGGATAGAAATGCCCTCAAGAGCAGGCTTCAAGTCAGGCGCGTATTGCATCGTCAAATCCTTGATCTCGATAGTTCCGTCATATGGCCACTAATGCAAAGGGAAAGAAAAAAAAAGTAAACGTCCGTTTGTTAGAGCACAGTTGCATAATGACCAAATGGCGACATATGACGATAGTACAGCTTGACTACTTACGCCAGCCGGTGGACGAGATCCTGGAAGGATTGCAGGTGGCTCTTGAGGCATATGCAAGTACTCTTGGACACGCTCGACACTGTTCAGCGACATCTCCATCTCCGTGTAGATTCGAACAAGCCACTACATCAAGGGAAAATTAGTGGCAAAACGTTAATTGTCAGATCCCATCATGCAACATAGTGTACAACTACTCCAGATAATTGACAAGGTACTTACGTAGATGAGTCCCATAATGTTCAGGGTCGATACGAGACTAATACCTGCCCAGCCAGCCTCCACGCGTTCGATGTTGAGAAGAATGAGAATGCCGGCGATAAAGTTGACCATGGCGCCCATAAAATCGACACGGATGCTGAGCCAGCGGTTGCACATCCACAAGAAATAGTAAGGCGCATTGTTGTTGTCCAGCTTTGTCAGCACTTCTTCCATGAAGCGCGTCTCAACACCAAAGGCGCGGATGGTGGAGACTCCGATGAGAGTCTCGCCAAAATGACTGTAAAGAGGGGACTTTGTCACGGATTCGATACGCTTCAGCTCTCGGCTTGCAGTAATGTAGTACGCACCAATGACAACGTATGCCGTGGCTAGTAACGATGAAATATACAGCATCGGACTGGTTAAAGAGTGCTCGAGTATACAATGTCAACGCTGAATTAAACAACCACAAAAAAATAGACTTACTAATGAGCGCAGCTGCGATCAAAAACGTCGGTGTAACGAATGTGACGACAACAATAATGGTAACGATTCCCAAAGCATCGGTCGCCAGGGAAACCATCTTGGACATCATCTGAGTATCAATGACCTCAAAGTCCTTGGAGAATCGGTTAATGATACGACCCACAGGAGTAGTGTCGAAGAAGCGGATAGGGGCACGGACGACCGAGAGCAACAACTGCTCGTAAAGGTCTCTTGACGCTCTGAGGGACCCGTAGAACTGCCAAAGCATCCTGACGACAGTAAAGAAGACGGCCATGAGGGTAATAAAGCAGTAGATTCCAATGTAAAAGTCGAGGTCCTCGACTTCTTCGTTCTCATCCTCCGGAAGGCCGCCCCAGCGAAAGATCCCAAACCGCGCAATAGGCTTCGCGACTTTCCTGACCTCCTCAGTCGCGTCCGTCCAGATCTTGATCCATCCAAGCTCCATAACGCCAAGCATTTTCAAAACTAGGAGGATGAACGCCAAAGTGATCCAGAATCCTGTTCCTCCACAAGCCTTCATGTACATGTCATACACCATCAGCTTGACCTTTCCTCGTGCTCGTGCTAAGACGAAGAAGCAGAATTGATTATGTTAACCTACAAGTCCTCCAACTTTAACACCGTACAGAAGTTGTATGTTCGCTTCGTTACCTTCTTCATCGACGAGTTTTTTAGCCCCTTTGATAGTCGCGGCCTTAGGGGAATTGGGGCTGCGAAGAGAAGCGTCTCTGGAAAGGAGAGCGTGGTCCGCGGCTAGTGTCGATGAGCTGGAGACATCCTGGTCCTCCTCCATAAGCCCATTTCGCTCCAAAATTTCGCTCAACAGTCCGGAGCGGATCAGCTTGACAGGTGAACCAGTCAGAAGCAACGATCCATCCTTCAGAAGGGCGACGTAGCTGGCGTCCCGCAGGCAGAGGCGAACATGGTGGGTGACCAAGATCCGGGTCCTTCCGTTCATCAAAGGGCCCTTGAGACAGTTTTCAAATATGTGACGAGCTGTGTGCGCGTCCACCGCTGAGAGGCAGTCGTCGAACAACAGATGTTGGGCTCTGGAGTACATGGCTCGGGCCAGCGCCACTCGTTGCTTTTGGCCACCAGAGAGAGTAATGCCTTTCTCGCCAATCTCGGTCAAATCTCCATGTTCGAAAACCGCGAGATCAGGCAGCAACGCACAAGCTTCCAGGACATGTTGGTATCTTTCAGACTCGTAGGGGGAGCCGAAGAGGACGTTCTCCCGGATGCTGGCCTGCTGCAGCCATGGATACTGCGAGACATAAGCGACTGAGCCGTGGATATACCCTGTTGAAGGGTCAACTATCTTGGACTTTGCCTGAGGGAGGTGAACCGATCCTGAGATCAAATCCATCTCTCGCAATAGGGCCATTAGAAGCGATGTCTTGCCCGATCCCGTCGATCCACCTATGTGTTGAATATATAGCGAAAAATAAAGGCTGAAAATGAGAGTCTGTGGGAAGGATAGATCGCCAGCAATTTGATGTCAACAATGAATGTCTGCGAATTAGAACTTACAGACGAGGCTCAGCTTGCCAACAGGGAAACTGAGCGTCAGGTTGTTGAGCATAAAGGCACCTTGGGATGGAGCCTGATTATCAAAGGTGTTCGACGAAGCTTTGGTGTGCCACTTGAACGTGGCATTGGTGAAGCCAATCGCGTTGGAGGTCTGGAACGACTGTACTATGGATGTAGGGCTCTGGACGACGCTCTCCGGAGTGGCCACGTTAGCAGCATCGGAATACTTGGAGATTTCGCCTTCGTTCAAAAATGCCTCGATTCTCTTCATGCTGACGATCGTCTCCAACAAATCCGTGATCGAGCCAGGGAGCAAGTTGAGCGGAGCTCGGAGGATGAAGAAGATGGCCATAGATGTAAAGGCAACGTGCGACGAGAGCTCCTTATGTTCGAGCTTAGTGTAGGAGGTGAAAGACATCACTGTGACCAGGATAGGCGAAGTGAACCAAAGCAAGGTAAAGAAGGTGTTGATGATGTAAAGGCGGACAAAACGGCGAAGTTCTTGGTCGCGCACCTCTATTGTGGTACGAAGTGGAAAGAATTGTGTTGGTAAAAAGCATAGAAACCTTTGCGGTAGAGGTTCTCAATATCTAAGGCATCAATATTACTTACCCATAATCTTCTTTTGAATCTTCTTCTCCCATGCAAAGAATTTGATCATCCTGATTCCCTGCAAGAGCTCGCTCATAAGTCCAACTCGGCGATCTCTTGTCTCCATGAGTGACTCCTGGATCTTTGAGTACTTCCTGGCGGCAAAATGGTGGGCTGGGGAAGTCAAGAACATGACACCCAATCCAACAAGAGAAGAGGGGCCAAGAAGACCATAAAGCATGACCACTCCAAGGGCAATCTCGATAGGGCCCGTATAAAGGAAAAAGACGGACGACCCCATAGATGAAATACGGTTGGCGTCGACCGCCATTAGGTTGGTGATCATGCCAGTATCAGATCGTGCGCCCTTTTTGGTGCTCTCCGAAATGATTCCTGTCATATCCTTGCGCCTCAATGCCTTCGAGTAGACCTCCGCGCTCAGCATGGCGCGAAGTCGGACGTCAACACGCCGACCATAGTACAGGTTCTGGCCAAAGGTGACACTTTTCAAGATGTCGCTGACAAGCATCCCAATCACGTAGAGGTACGCCATCTCCTTGGGACTCTTGATGATCACCTTCTCGTCGTGGTATTCCTCCATGTAGCTCAGAAGTTTGTCCATGAAGTAAGGCATACCAAATGACGCGACCGACGATACGATTCCAAAGACAACGTTGATCCAGATATCTCTGCTGTTGCTTTCGTAGATTCTCCACAGGAGAGATCTTTGTTTTTCTTGAAGATAGGATCTATGAAGGACGAAAAAAGGGCTTATTAACGCCTGCCATTTTCGTCAACATTCCTCATCAAAGACATATAGACTCTTGTGGACTGTAAGAGCTGCATGAAAACGATTACGAACCTTGTCCGGGCAAACACTCTGTACATTGGCCGAGCACGCATCTGATCGGTCAGACTTGGCAAGAATTCCAGCTCCAGCGCTCGCTCGTAGCCCTCCCACATGATGTCGTTCATCCAATTGTAGGTGATCCAGCGGAAAAACGATGCGTTGACTTCTGTTGAGACTTTTTTACCCTCGAAGTAAACATCCGGTCCCTTGCTCGTGGCGGTGATCACATAAAGGAAAATCGAAGCCAAGACCATGTTGATAATTGCCAAGCCAAGTTCCGCTTGCATGCGTTGGCGCATCTCTGGTGTTGTGCCTTCCGGCTCAGTGCCCAGGTAGTTGCGATAACGGAAGGCGGACCTCGTCCTGATCAACGAGTTCATGAAGGTGAACATTGAGAACACAATAAGCATCCTCCTGATCCGAGACGGCCGCACGATATGCCGCGTGAATCCTGCCACCATGCACAAGATGAATGCGTACGACTATTGTTGCAAATAAACAAAAAAAAAAACCAGATGGCTTGCGTAAGTTTTCAATTACTACCTCCAACGCCAAGGGTGGTAAGATTGGACATACCGCAGCCAGCTTATCATCGGTGGAAGAAAAAAAATGTTACTTTACCCAGGCAATTGACTGTGCCACAGGCATGACAAACCGATAGAGTGGCAGATGTATATGCCCTGGTTGACCATGCCGACCGCCCAGCTCCAGAAACTTCCAGCGAACCAACGCGAGCACCAGGAAGCCAACGGCTTGGATTAATGACACCAAGACGAGGGTGATGTCACTGTTGGTAGGGTGGTTGACATATGAATCGGACCGTGGATCCTTGTCCGAATGATCTTTGGGCTGTAACAGTAAAGAAATATCCTCGGCAGGAGCTGATAATTGCCAAGACAATACACAAAAACAAAGTGCGATCTGGTTAGTCAATTGGTACAAGTTTGGCTACGTGGATAGTTAAGTGCCGTTTTGTGTTTTGTCGTTGCTGTGTTATTTTCTTTTTGTGCTGTGTGGTAACAGTAGAAAGTTAAGGTAAGGTAGGGCGACGGTGTCTTGGACTCGTTCTCGCCAACGGATTCGATAATGACTTCCTTAAAGAGTATCCATCCATCCATAGTAGAAAGACAGCGATCGGGTACATAAAAAAAACGATAGGAAAAATTACTTACTGGAATTAGCAGACAAGATCCCGCTTGTCCGCCTTGTCAATACCGGTAGTATTGACTGTCTATGTTTCATGGCATCAGGGTAATTACTGCTGTGATTGTTATTGTTGTTGGTATGGTAATGAGGTCGGTAGTGGGTGGTGCTGTTGTAGCATTCGTATCGGCTCTGATCCTGTGGGCGGTCTAGCAGAGGCGAAGTAACTGAGGGGCCTCCTGTTCGATATGACGACCTATCAGCTGTTCGGGGCTTCTTCACTCTATCGACACATCGCTCGAGTAATGGTCGTGCTCCGCATATTGTAAGGGTGAGGACTAGAAAAGAGAGTGGAAGTGTCGTTTCTAAGGCAATCTCTCTGAAGCAGGGTGTCAAGTCCAGCGTGTCGTCGGTGAGCGGGCCCTAGAAGAAAAAGCAGATTCGCAGTCGATTCAACGATGTGTTAAAAAGGGTGAGTTGGATTGAGTACAGAAGATCGCGATTGTGCGAAGGGAACGAAGAGAGTGCTGGAGAGATGAGCAAAGGATAGGGCAGGGAGGAGGAACATACCCAGGTATCGTTGCCGCACCAGGAACTCATGTAAACTTTTGTGCAGGAGGTTTATTGGGTGTGTGTGTGTGTGTGTGTGTGTGTGTGTATGCTGAGAAGGTGGATTGATTCGTGAGGTGGATGGACGTTTAGTTCGTTTAGGGAGTAAGTAGGAGGGTGAGTGCGAGGTGTAGGCGAGAGAATGAGGATGAGGATGTAAGCTACAAGTGATGGAAAGGAAAAGGTATATTGAGCGAGCGAAGAAGAGTGAGAGAGTGAGAGTTGGTGGCGGTTGTTTGATGAGGTACAAGTGGAAGTGAAATGGAGGTGAGGTGTGATGAATCTATAGCGGCGATTGCCGAGGAGTGGGAGAAGGGGGAGAGTGTAGAAAGAGTGAGAGAGAAGGGGAGAGAGGAAGAAGACAGGCGAAGAAAAGACAAAGGAGCTGAAAAGGAGGGAGAAGAGGAGAGAAGTGAGGAGAGAAGAGAGGAAAAGAGATAAAGTCGTTGCGAAGTGGTTGTGTGCTGCCTGTCTGGATAGAATTGAAAGTTAAAATGGAGGGTAGGAAGAGAGAGAGGTGGCGGGGTGTGGAAAAGAAAGAAGTAAAAGAAGAGAGAGAGAGAGAGGATGAGGAGAAGAGAGAGGCATGCAAATTTCAATTGGAAACAGGATGTGGCCAACTGTCACCCGCGGGGCCGTGAAGGAACGCTATTGAAAAGAAAGAAAACAAAGTCGATCGTCCTAGAAGAGAGAATGGACCCCGAGAAAGGAAGGAGGAGAACAAGAAGCAGAAAACTCTTTTTTTTTTTATTATATTTTTTGTCAACAGAGTCGGTGTAGGTGTGGGTGTGGGTGAAGGGGTGTGGGTGCGGGCAACCAACCCCCAACCCATAGAAAAAAGGCCTGACTGTGGGAGAGTTGGTCCGTAAAAGGCGATCCATCCATCCATCTCGCAGAGATAATGTAATAATTGATATACATTTATTTTCATATCTGTTGCCACCATCACCAGCCACTGCATGCTTTTGTTTTCATTCAATGGGACGGGAACATTCTATAATTCAATGAGTATCAATCAATCGCACTTCGGACACAAAATGGCCCTGTGCCAGCAGTCTGTTTGTTAGCTGCCACTCGGTCCCTTCGGACATCTCCTCCGTCTTTGTCTTTGTCCTTTTCCATGTCCTTTCAAAAATTCCGGATTGTTGTTATTTTTCTCCTTTACATTCAACTCATGCCTTTTGATCTGTTGTCTGTCTCTTTCTCTGTCTGTCTGTGGTTGCACATACACCCTCCCACGCTCTCTCACCCAATTCCAAGGGTGCCATCCTAAATTGGCCTCGATGTCTGCTGCTGCTGCTGATCCCCCTTGAGCCTTGTACTCTTCCTGACCAAATATGGTTTTGTTGTCGCTTTTTGTTCTTTTTTTTTTTTTCTTTGTTTTTCTTTGATCCTCTCGTCTCTTGCAACTTTTGATGGAAGAATTTATTCAAGCAGTTTTTGGTTCTGATCTTGTTCCCCACGAGGGGATAGGCACAACAAGGTAGCCATGAGGCATGGGTAGAAAAAAAAATGCAAGAAGGGCGGGAATCATGCAAAAATAAAGATTATCTCTTCGATTGCATCAGTGTTGTCTGTCTCGGACCTCAGACATTCAAACATACCAGCCCTTTTCTTTGTTCTCTCTCTCCTATCCCTGTTGTATGCGCTTCCTCATCTTCTGTATATGCGGGGATGCGCGAAAAAGGAACTCATCCTGGGAAAATTGCTTCCCTTTTCGACAGGAACCATAGGGCCAAAGGAGCCCATTCTCCGAAATAATAAAAACCAAAAAAAAAAACAGAGTTTTTTTACTCTCTCTCACCTCTTCTCTCACACCTTCAAGCAAGGTCTATTTTACTGTTTTATTGCAAAACAAGGGCTCCCAGACAAAGCTCCCATCACCACCATGGAAGGGGAGGGGGGGTCCATGGTTACCACCCTGTTTTACAATACTCTTCTCAATTGCACTTTTATTATTTTTCACACACCTTGGTTTATTTTTTACCTTCTCTCATTTTTATTCCGAGAATGTCGACATAGCTCTAGCAACACAGAGATCGTTAGACCCAACTCTCTCTCTCTCTCCCTCTCTTCGTTTGCCTCTTCTCTAAGGCCACTCCACTCTGCATGCATATTCATAGGCATAGGCGTTGCACCAACTCCTTACTGCAATGTGGAAATACCCCAGTGGGATGAGAAAAAAACAATTGATTGGTTCTCGTTTATTACCGACAGGACACACACTCTAGCCAAGGCATCAATAAAAAAAGAAGCTACTTGCTAAAAACGCTATCAAGGTAAGCTTCATAGCTGTATCCCTCGCCAACATCAGAGTGAGGCATCGTTGACTGGAGGTAGCTCACAACTGCAGGTGGAAGCATCGACTGCTTCAGATCTAACTCTGTCACAAATGGCTTGTCGCCTGCCACCACTCGGAACGATTCACGGACCTGATCGGCCGATGTGCGATCCTCTGTCACTCCGACCATAAACGTAATGAACTAAGTAGAGAAGTGGAGGTGATTGTTATGATCGACAAGTACATCTTGACACACGTGACAAATCAATGAACGTCCATTCGCTCTTTTCCTCACAACGTACCTGTTCAAAAGTGACCTCCGCGCCTCCTTGAGTGCATTGTGCAAACACACCAGCAAACTCATCATCCTCATACATGATGCCCAAACTGGCCAATGCGGCGTTGAACTCGGCCGACGACAACGAGTTGGTCTGGTTGTTGTCAAAGTGGCGGAAAGTGCTTTCAAACTCTTCCAATTGTGCTGGAGTCAAGTTTGTCATATTACGAGAGACAATCTATACCATTTACGCGAGAAAAAAACAGAGGTGAGAAAAAAACCAACAAAGCCAGTCGTTTTCAAACAAAACCCCCCTGCATAGTCGTCTGTGCACTTCAGAAATGAAAAAGAAAACAATACGCGACAAATATAGACAACAACACTAGCAAACAGAGAGTGTGTGCGCCATTTTCTTTTCTTCCCATACCTGGTTGGAGATAAAGGCTGACTTCTTTTGCAGAGCCTGTTCAAGCAATCCGAAATCAAACGAAAGGTCGTCGGCAGAGTAAATGGTGTAGTCGTTCTCCTCGATGTTGGCCTCGACGCACTGGTCATCTAAGCGCTGAATCTGTTCCAAATTGTCACCCATGGATCCAAGATGAGTCCCCAGTTGGCGAACATGGGCCAGTTGCAACTATCACCATTCATTCACAAGAAATATGGAACGTTAGGTCTCGTGATCCTCAAAGGTAACGCATTCGTTTGTCGTCTTTGATCACCTATCGCGCATTGGCATAGCTGTCAACTTACGTCCAAGTCACCATCGAGTAGAGCCAGCTCGTTCGAGATGCTGTTGACCATGGCTTGGAAACCGTTCGCCTGCTCCGCGAAGTCGCGTCTCAACTTCTCTTTGATGCTGAATTAGTAGAATACGGAGAAAACGCGAATGGTTAGCGAGACAAGGCCGTCAACGGATCATACTTCCGTACGCAACACAGAACTCGCACGGCCGCAGAAAACACGCCGCTTACTCTCGGATTTTGGCATTGATGAGCCGGTATCTCTTTTCCTCAGATCCCAGGAGTTCCTTCCAGAAATGGTCGAGGTCCTGTTACAAAGAACAAAATATGTATGAACAGAAGAATGTGGGACAGGGAGAATATTTTTGTTAGTACATGCAAGCTTAGACATCGCAAATACAAGTCCATGGAAGCAAAAAAGACAAAGAAGAAAATGCACGCATGTAAAACTAGACGTACCTGAAGTGTCAAACCGTGAGGAGGGTAGTATGGCCTCAGCTCATACGTCTTCAACTTGGTCTGAATGTTACCCAGGAGGGTATCGATATCACGCTTGTCAGCGACCCATGTGCGCTTCAAGGACGTCTTGTAGTTAATGAACTCGAGAGACTGTCGCTTTGCATCTGCATAGTCTCCTCTGAAAGTCGACGACTCCCATTCGGACTTTTTGTTGTCGATAGCTTGCATCAACTACAAGGTGAAATTTGCATGAAAATGAAATGTTAGTTAGTTAGCCAAAGTACATACGCCACAAAACGCGTTTTCGTTACCATACATGGGCATGTTACTTACGGCCTTGACGCGTCTCTCATAGTCATTTTCCATAGTCCAGACAGACTCCACGACCTCTGCAAACTTGGCGACGCGACGACCAGCAGTGTCGACTTTGCCGAGCTCGGAAAAGGCATGGAAATATTGCGCGACGTAGGTCATGATGGAGCGCTCATCTGGCTTTGTGATATCGCACACATCTTCCACATCCAGCAGCTTGGGAATGTTCAAGTGCTCCTCCGCGACATCAAAGGCCAGCTGAGTGTTGCGATGTCTATCCGACTTGTCCAGCGAATCAAAGTCCAGAAGATCGGGGCGGTGGCGATGAATCAATGCACAGCTATCACACGGCCACATTCGAGACTTGAGTGTCAGTTGCAGGGCTTTTGAACATAAGCATATATCTCAAGATCGTCCCTATTGTTCAATTGCTCACAAAGATGTCACCTACAATGCCAAGCCATCAGCCCAACTGTACGTAAAGTCGCGGACATTGACTTCTTGGTAAGGTGCGGTCTTGCGCTGGCACCACAGCAGCAATCCCTCCTTGGCACTCAAACCCTCCTCGCTAGAGTTGAAAATAGGTGATATTTGCATTAGTTGGATGTACACTCACGCAACTGTCGTAATGCCGACATGAAGAAGTGGTCCAACACACTTACCTGATGTCGGCGATAGTGAATCTCAGAATAAGGGTCCAGATCATGCCCAAAATCAACTTGAGGTTCTCGTCCACAATATCTACAGGGAATGAGGGTGTCTTGGTTAAACATATGTCTTTCTCGCTCACATTAATCAGATTCGCACAAATCGACAACCCCCCGACTCTGTGACAAAAATAAATGAGAGACCTACCCTCAGCTCCAATGTTGGTCAGATTGACTCCACGCTGGCGGATAAATTCAAGGCACTTGTTGACGTTTTCGACCTTCTGGATGCGCATTCGGGAGACTTTGTTGTATCGGCCGAGACTGGCATCTCCAATGATCTCCTAATGACCGCATTAGACCATTGTTACGCATCGGTGCATCATCAGTATCGGTTTAATTTCATTTTTGTTCCTGCTTTGTCCTTCCTGCAGTATCATCGACAAACATACCAAGAGCTGGATCAGAGGGACACCGTCAGACAGCTGGAGAAGGTTCGAGATCTCTTGATGGCGACCAGCGCTGAGCTTTGTGTTCACCCTAGAGCGTATGTTTCATTGTCAACAGATCAGTGGGGGTGGGTCAGTCATGCAGTTGAGTGCCTCTGATCGGATGATAATGGAGAAAAAACGACACAAAGGCGCTTACCATTTTGTGAAGGCTGTGGGGTTAGAGGGAAGAACGAGGAAGAAGCATGGAAACGACACCGCCAGTTCGATGCGGTTCAATTGGTCAGTCAGGGCATACAACGAGACAAGTGTTGAGTAACAAAAGCCCAAGACAATAGAAAAAATAAAACAATGGTTCCCGCCCAACGGTTCATAATCCAACCGTGACATCATTTGTAGCCGTGTGATTGGCCGGCGCGAAAGGGTCTGGCTCAACAATCAGCCCCTGTCCCGTTTTTTTTTACGAAAAGCGTCACTTATTCCTGCGGGTCTGTGAGTGTTCGCCCTTGCCGCGCTTTTCTTCTTTCCTTCCATTGCGGAATGAGACGACTTACTCTTTTGCTGGACAGTCTCCCATGTCTTGTCCATGACTTTGGCTACAAGTGAGGGAATGACATTGGACAAAAGGTAGGTCGTTTGTTAGTGCACAGTTCGTTTATTTTTCCACGCTTTTGTTCCGCTTGCTTGGCGCTCGTCTGCGATGCTGTGCGCACTCTTTCTGGTAATAAGAAGTACACTGCAGGTTCGATTGAAAAGCAATCAACCGCAAAGGCTTGTGGTATCCTGCACAATCATTTCTCATATGGGTGTTGATAGCAGACAAGTCCTGGAGCAGACACAGAGGGCGGCGTACCTGTGTCTTCGACAACCTGGTTGGCTGCAGTTGAGGGGGCGAAGGAGTTTGGCATGATTGTGGGCGATGCTGAGGTGTTGGTGTTTTGGTGAATATGTGTCGGTGTTTGTTGGGTGTTGGAGTTGGGTTGAGGTGGTTGAGCAAGGTACGTGCGTGTATGTGGGAGGAAGGAATAGATTGAAAGTAAGGGAGAAGAGAGGAAAATAGAAATGAGAAAAGAAAGGCGGAAGATGAATTTGGCTGCAGGTGGTGTCGGTCAATAAGAGATATGGTCAATAAGAGATCAGTGGCTTGTCCTGAGGAAGAGGTTCCTGTTCCTCTCACTCCCGGAACATGAGGACAGTCACTCGGACCTCTTGTTTTCCTCCAAGATGTTTATTTGAAGAGGGCGATTTCTCCTTTCTTGTCCAACCCTCACCTTCTATTCTTCCCTCCACTCCCCCACACGTCCGACCATGTTCTCCCTCCGTGCTGCTCAAAGACTCGGCTCCAAGGTTACCCCTTGCTCCCAGCGCTGCCTCTCGACCCTCGGTCGTAGCAGTAAGTCTCTCCTTCCTTCAACTCACTCGTCCATACGATTCTCTACACAAGCACTCTCTCGCGTTCTTGCCTTGTGTTTCCGACGAGGCATTCAGGTCCCACGCTCACTTTTACAACCCCCCTTTCTCCTCAACGACACTCCCCGCCTCGCTGACCCTCGTAGTCTACTCGAGATCTCCTTTCTTCTTTTTCTCACGTTCACACAGGGCGTCAACATGCAGCACTTTGTCATTTTTCATTCCTGAATCGATCCTTCAGTCAAAAGATCAGGATCACTTGAAACAAGTAAATGGTGTTCTGAAAAACAGTACTAACTGATCGATCTTCTTTCTTTTTATTCCGTGTCTTTCGAAAATAGTGCTCGCCACCAACCCTGTCTCGGTTGCCCAGAAGGTCGCCGTAAGTAGAGAGCCGGACCGGATCGCACCCGTGAGATAGGGAAACTATCCGATCCATGGAGTACTTTGTCAGTTACCCTGTTTACTAACGCCAAGTTCTATTTCATTCAACCAAATAGTCGACCTTGGTTCAGACCTCGGCTGCTCGCACTGCCTTGACTGTTCCCCGCATGGTTGTTCGCCGCACCATGGCCACCGACGGAAAGTTCTCTCGCAACAAGCCTCACGTCAACATTGGAACCATCGGCCACGTCGATCACGGAAAGACCACCTTGACTGCTGCCATCACTAAGACCCTCGCCTCTTTGGGTCAGGCTGAGTTCAAGGACTACAACCAGATCGACAAGGCTCCCGAGGAGAAGGCCAGAGGTATCACCATCTCGACCGCTCACGTCGAGTACGAGACCGCCAACAGACATTACGCCCATGTCGACTGCCCTGGACACGCTGATTACATCAAGAACATGATCACTGGTGCTGCCCAGGTACGCATAACTCTTTATGTTTATCTCTTCATTACTGACTGACTTGCTAAATAGCACGACATGGATTCTTCTCCTAACAGCTAGGTTCTTTTTTTTCGCGCTTATAGATGGATGGTGCTATCATTGTCGTCGCCGCCACCGATGGTCAGATGCCCCAGACCCGTGAGCACTTGTTGCTCGCCAAGCAGGTCGGTATCCAGAAGTTGGTCGTCTTCATCAACAAGGTCGATGCCGTCGATGATCCAGAGATGTTGGAGCTCGTCGACATGGAGATGCGCGATGTCCTCACCACCTACGGTTTCGATGGTGAGAACACCCCCATCATCTCGGGATCTGCTCTCTGCGCCTTGGAGGGTCGCAACAAGGAGATTGGTGAGGATGCCATCATGAAGCTCATGGAAGCCGTCGACACCCACATTGACACCCCCATCCGTGACTTTGAAAAGCCTTTCTTGATGCCCGTCGAGGGTAAGTACATTTGACTTGTGCCTATGAATTGAATCTGTTTTGGGCGTGCGAAATATGGACATGGACGACAGTGGGATAGGGGATAGGGGACCAATTGCAATTTAGTAACACATTGTCTTTCATGCGTGTGTTGCACGATTAGATGTCTTCTCCATTTCTGGTCGTGGTACCGTCGCCACCGGCCGTGTCGAGCGTGGTACCATCACCAAGGGTGCTGAAATCGAAATTGTCGGTATGGGCCCCAGCTTCAAGACCATCTTGACCGGTATTGAGATGTTCCACAAGGAGGTAAGAATCTTTTATATCCTTGCTCGCTTAGTTTACTGTTAATTATTTTAATGGCTCCCATAAGGTAGTTAACATTTTCTAATCTTTTCTTCTTTTGTATATGATAGCTCGACCGTGGTCAGGCTGGTGATAACATGGGTGCTTTGCTCCGTGGTGTCAAGCGTGAGCAGCTTCGCCGTGGTATGGTTCTTGCCCAGCCCGGCACCGTCAAGGCCTACAAGAAGTTCGCCGCTTCGCTCTACATCTTGACCAAGGATGAGGGTGGACGTCACACTGGATTCTTGAACAACTACCGCCCCCAGATGTTCGTCCGTACCTCGGATGTCACTGTCACATTGACCCACCCTCCAGAGGAGGAGGATGCCGAGAAGATGGTCTTGCCCGGAGATAACGTCACCATGAACTGCGAGCTCACCAACGGAGTCCCATTGGAGAAGGGTCAGCGCTTCACCATTCGTGAGGGTGGCCGCACCGTCGGTACCGGTGTCATCTCTGAGTTGATGGAGTAAATCACACTTAGGACCCTTTTTTTTGCATAACATTGGGAAAGGAGTTGTCGTTTTTAAATCGCGAGCATATCATCTGTAGAATAAACTTTTTTTAACACTTACACTAAATAGCGATCTACCGCACAGATCCAGGCACGCACTTTTTTTTACACGCGATGGTTGAACGAAGTAGGAAAGGAAGAGAGGTTCTGTCGCCACATGCATGAGGATCATTGTGGTGGTATGTGCAAGCCACGAAACGGCTATTACTATTTGAGAGCGAAAGCAAAAAACAGCCAGGGTACAGTGAGTGAGGTGAGGAAGAAGAGACAAAGAAAAAAAGAAACGGGAGAGGGCTGAGAGCAACGACGACCACACACCTCTGGGGAGGGCGGACTACAAGAACAAAGAGAGGGAGAGAGTGAGAAAAAAAAAGATGCAGGTTGGTAGACGGCGATTGTGAGTCTTTGAGGAAGGTGACTGAGAGCCATCGTGTCTTTTCTTTGGTGTTCGACACATCCGCCCGTTGCCGACTCTCCCTCTGAGCAAACAGTTGCGGTTGCAGTTGTCGTTGTTGTTGTTGTTGTTGTTTGTGCCTGACTCGTATTGATGTATGTTGTGCTGGATGTGAAGTTGACCCACGCATTTTTTTATTAATATTTATATCGTTCCCTGCCACACCCTTTCTCGCACTTTATCCCTTTTCTCATCCTTTCACTTCTTTTCCCCTTTTAACCTTTTTCTCTTCTCTTTCATCCAGCCTCATCCCTTCCATCCTTCCTCCCCTACTCCCCCTTACATCGTCCCCAGTCTATCCTGTTCCCCTTGCCCCGTGGCATCCATCCTTCCTTCCTATCTCTCTCATTCGCTCAAGAGCCCGCTCCCTTAACCTAGCCCATCCACCATGGCCGCAAGGCCAATATCCTACACAACGGGTCGCCCCAACATGTACCCTCCCCAGTCTCAACCACAACCCCTCTACCATCCTCAACATCAACAACAACAACAACAACAACAACAACATATGGCCTACCAAAGACCCATCCAGCAGCAATACATCCCACAACAACAACAGCAACAACAACAGCAGCATCGTCCAGTCTACTCGACTCCACAGCATCAACACCAGCAGCAGTTTATGCCTCCTCATATGCAGCAACAGTTCCAACAACAAGCAACCATGTCACCTCGGCCCCAGCAGTTTATTCTCCAACGGCCTAACTTGATGCCCGCCCCTTCTTTACCCTCGATGCCGATCCCTCAACAACAACAACAAATACAACACAGACCTGGTGCACAACCCCCTTTTAATCCTAATCCTAATATCCTTCCAGGGCAAGTTATCGGCCACCCACCAGGAGCGCCGGGCGTACCTGGCGGCCAGTCCTTTGTTCTCCGGACACCTTCTTTGGGCGCCGCGCCTAGTGTGAGTTTAGCAGGCGCTCCTCCTGGTGCCATGATCAACCCTGGATTCAGACCCGTCATGATGCGACCCCCAGGAGCTATCTTTACCTCAGGACCACCTACTGCGATCTCGTCGCCTGGTCTTGCAAGGATGCCTGTTGCTATTGCTGGAGGGATGCGACCTGTTTTTATTGGTAAGAGAACTTCTTCTGGGAACCCAAAAAGATATAAGCGAGAGTGCTGCGAGACGTCCAGCCATGCAATTGAAGTTTGGGATTGCGAAAGTGAGAGAGCCGGTCAGGAGGAAGAAAGAAAAGGATACGCCTGACAGAGGTTATCGATCCAAAAAAAAAAAAAAAAAAAAAAAAAAAAAAAGCCAGGGCTTTAGCAAACAAAAAAACATAACGAAAAACAACACGACTAGTCTGCAGAAATACTTCCGAGGAAAAAAAAAAAAATGACACAGCAGTCTACCAAAAAAAAGGAACAAAAGAAAAAAAAAGGGGGACAATAACCATGGAAAAACCATGGGAGTGTTTCTATTTTTTTTATGTTTGTCACCCTAATAATAATACTTTCTTTGAATAATTTCACAGCTGCTGGACCACCCAGTATTATCAAGAACCCACTGAGGACAAAGGCCCTTCTTGAACGAACCGTGCCTGTCATTAACGTAAGGGGACAAGAATGGCGACAAAAGGAGGCAGTGAGAACGGGAAGAAAAAAACACGACAACACTCTTTGGAAATAACCAATGTCGAACAGGATGGCGGCAACAATTAGAGCCTGAACCCTCTCGCGTTCATATATCAGAGGATTCTCTTCCATAATGGTCCTTGAACAGTATTCGCTAACGGTGCTTTACATGCCTACTTGTTTTGCGACTCATTCATTAGATCAAACAAAAGACGAACACCTTGCTCTCGAACTTCTGGGGCGATGACATGGATATCGCAAAGGATGGACGGATTATCGACCGGTCAACGGAATCACCTAACGGCAGCGAAAAGAAGCAGCGTTCTCGACAGACAGGCATTGTGGTCGGCATTGACTTTGGAAACACCTTCACCGGTGTCTCGTATGCTCACCAGGGCGATGGCGAAATGATTGACGTTGTCAAATGGTAACGAAGCCTTGGGTTCATCTTTTGATCTTATCGTGCTTTTGCTCCTTGGAGTTGTTTTTTTGAGCACTTTTGCAGCTGAAATGAGCTAACCCATGCGTTTTTTTTTTCCCTTTTTTTTCGGGAACTTTACAACAACATCAACAAAACAGGCCGAGACACTTGAATGCGTATGCCAAGGTGCCAACGGTCAGCTTGTACAAGACCGGCGAGAGCAAGGGGATGGCCGACTGGGGCTCGTCTGCATTGGCCAGCTACAAGCGATCCAAGACGGATCGGGTCTTGGTTCGGGATTACAAGCTGCTCCTCTTTGACCAGAACGCTCGGGGCCGTCTCGACAATGGACTTCATCTAACGGACGTCCTGACACAGTATCTTGGAAGCATCCATCGCCATCTCATGGAGGAAGTCAACAAGTCTCAGGTCTTGGCTGCAGAGTCTGTGCCGATCCATTACTGTATCACGGTCCCACAGGCATGGACGTTGCCCACGCGTGAGTTGATCCTGAGGTGTTATGTTGAGGCAGGAATCATCCTTCAGACGCCTGCACCCAACATGACTGTCATTACCGAGGCTGAGGCTGCAGCGACGTACTGTCGGGAGAACTGCGACGAGTTTGATTCGCTCAAGGATGGCGAGATCTTTATGATCTGCGACGCGGGTGGATTGACCACAAATGTGACAGTGTTCAAGGTCGACGATGCGTTGGGCGTGCGCCAGTTTGTCCGGATGTCGAGTTCTCATGCCGAGAACTGTGGATCGGTGATGCTGGATCGCAAGTTTAGAGAGTTGATTCTGTCGAAGCTCGCAGGGCTGGACATTGACGCCAAGCCGCAGCGTCAGAAGGCGTTTGAGACGTTGTTGGAAGGGTTTGGAGAGATCAAGTCGCAGTTTGATGTCACGTCGTGCGATGAAATCAAGCATATTTCGATCCCCATGGGTTTGGATGTCAAGGAGTTGCAGCCGGTTCCCGAGTGGCTCGAGGACGAGTACATGGCTTTGACGGGTCAGGAGTTGTGCGCGGTTGTGTTTGATCCGGAGGTGGAGAAGGTCTTGGAGTTGATCGATAAAGAGTCCAAGAACCACCCGGTTTGTGCGGGTCTCTTTATGGTCGGAGGATTTGGCGCCAACAAGTACTTACTCGACAAATTGGTCTTGGCGACCAACAAGAACATGGCCAACGGTTGTGGTGGTGGCACAGACTCGAAGAGGTCCTCACTCGTCAATGGATTGGCGGGCTCCATGTCGGATATGAGTCTCAATGGCGGCGCGAATGGACACCACAGCCCGGGTATTATCAAGAAGGTTGTCATGGTCAAAAAGGCGGAACTTGCCGTGGCTCGTGGCGCTGTCATCTATGGTCTCAAGAGCGCATCCCAGCATACCAAAGCGTTCTTGTAATTAAAAAAAAAATCTTCCCCTTCAGAATACATGCACCTATTAATGTGTTGAAGAATATCTGGTATCAAAAGAAAATATTCTCTTATCTCACTATCTTTCTAAGGAGTTGTTTTTTTTAAAAGGCTTCTACGACCAATGGCTCATGGTCATAGTAGACAAGTCGTCGGCGGACATCCTCGGCATGGTAGAGCACCTTGTACTCGCCGCGACTGTAGAAGCACACTGGTAGGACATGGCTCGTCGTAGAATCCGGTTGCATCTAGAAAGAGAGAGAAAAAAAAAAAGTTAGTGTGATGAAACAATAGCTATCGAAATGTCATGCCACATACAACACGGGCTTTACCTTTGCAAGTGGGGTCTGGAGAACGCCGTGCCAGACCATACGATCGCCCATGTCATAATCCATCGTACCATCACCATGGACTTGCACAGGCTGCATCCTCAGACAAAGTTTCACATCTTGGTGAGACCGGTTGACAACCGTAAACCGGATCTGTGCAAACTTCTCGACAGGACATCTCCACCGGTTAGATCCAATCTGCTCCAACCCTCCCCGGTTCGACCCATCTCCCTCCTCCTCCTCCTCGTTGTCCTTGTTGCTGTTGTCCTGGTCCTCATCCATGGCGGCAGTAGGTTCCATGGTGACCAAGAACGATATGTCCTCGATCTTGAGCACGCTCAACATGGGCTTGGTGAGACGAAGCGTTCGCAAATCAAACTTGCCAAACCGGCCAGAAGTATCCTTGCATGTCCAACGAGCGACCACTCTCTTGAGCAACTCCTCACGGAACCAGAATAGCGCCCGCTCCTTGGCCTGATCTTCTGACGACAGCGCCGTGCCACGTGCCAACACAAACTGCTTGTTAGAAAGCGTGGGGATCGGCGTCGCAAGCTGTTCAGTCGACAACACCATTCTACGAACGGGCAGGATGATTCGTTGAGTGCTTCCAGGCTGGATCACAGTTGTCGACTTGATCAATCGACTCACATCCAACCCCTCGCCCTCCTCAGAGTCATCCACCAACATGGCCACCTCCACAGGGACCGTCCAGACATTACGGACATCCAGCGTCAACAAACAGTACTCGTTTTTGTTACCCAAGGCCACTCGACGAGAAATAGCCGCCTCGATCTGCTCCCCAGGCAAGACAGCATCTCCTCTCGCCTTGGAGAGCAACTGCTCGACCGACTGGCGCTTGTCGACTTTAGAGAAATTGGAGCTCAGACGCTTATTGATTGTCCGGGATCCTCGGCGTCCTGCCGACAGATACTTGTTGTGGCCCTGTTCTTGAATCTGGACCGCCTTGGGCTTCAGGCTGCCTTCCTGATCATCCGCACCGGGAGGCGCCAAGAATCCATCGCTCGAAAAGTCGATCCTGGGTGGCTGAGTCGACACATCGGCGCTATCAAATGTGCCACTGTTAGTGCTAATGAGGGGGGTGTTGGGCTCGGTCACTGGGATATCCATACCACCATGAGACTGGAGGTAGAGGATATCAAGGTTTAAGGACTCGACAGTCTTGTAAACAGTGGTCAGGACCTGAGTGAAAAGCTGGCGCGTGACAAACACCTCGGACTCCTCAACACCCTCCTGCTCAGGACGCGTCAGGTACGCATAGTCGATCTGGACCATACCCGATGAACAACCGCGCTTTCCGAGCAACTCAACCTTGACCTCGCGAGTACCTCCGACAGGGATGTGGCATTCCACCTCGCGATTCCACGAAAACACGTTGGTCTTCTTCAAGAACAGCTCGAGCTCGTATGCATCCTCTGCTGACAGCTCACCGCCGTTGGTGCTCTGCCCGTAGTGGTTGGTGTTTCCAATTGCCAACTGGCTGGTCGTGTCGGAGAACGTCAGTGTCACAAAGTCGACAGGAACTGCGCCAATGTTTTCCAATGTCAACCGAACTACCGTCCTATTAAATAAAAAACAGTTTGTTAATAAAGAAAACGTTTGCCTTGGATACATTGATTTGATAAGCGCGACAAAAAAAATGTACACATCGCTGTAGCTTACCTCTCGCCTTCAAACAACATGACAGAGCCGTGCTGGAGTGAGGTGGAGCTGATCTTCAGCAAGGGCTGTGGAGGAATAACTGTGACCGTTGCAAACTTGGGCTCAATCGTGGCATCGTCTGACTTTTTGAGTGTGAAGCTCTCCAATCCCCTATGAAGTCATTTGTGCCTAGCAAGTTAGTCCATCAACTCCACTTGTATCCTATGTGTTCGAATTTTCAAAAACGCAAAAAGAAGATATGCTCCGTACCTCTTTTTGACGCGAAGCATGGCATCGCTTGCAGCCTCGGCGGCCTTGCTGTCGTTGGTGGCAACACTTCCGGTTCTTGGGTTGGTCACAAAGAACTCTTCTTCACTACAGTGAAGGATCTGGACCCAACAACCACGAATGACAAGCTCGCCTGGACCCTTGGGGATACCGGCAACCTTGATGGAGACAGTAGTTTGTGCAGGGATCATGGTTGACGTTGGAATCGCCTCAAACTCAACACCCGTGGTCGAAAGACGGATCTCCTGGACCTCAATGTCTATGCCGTGAGGGTTGGTCAAGGTCACAATAAAGTAGGCTGTCTCGTCTGCTACGAGGTCCATCTTGGCGACATTGTTAACCTTGCGGTGGAAAGGATTGTAAATGAATGGATCAACCTCTCCTGTCGCACCCACCGGCCGCTTTGTCTCAGGAAGGATAGACTTGAGAGTATCCTTAGATCTTGTGAAAGGCAACTTGCGAGCCGATGGCCTAGATGTAAGCCGAACATAAAAATAATGCTAAATATAACTTTCACGATATCATGTCTGCGAACGCGGAATAAAGACGTTCAATTCACTTACGAGCACACTTCAATATCGACGACAAGGCTCTTGGTCCAGTAGTGGATGTCGGTGAGATCTGTTGAGTTGGACTTTTTGGCTACAGCAAGGATGCGAGGCAATGACGCATAGAGACCAGCCTGTTCCTCCCTGGTCAAGTATGCGTGAAGCTGTCGCAGAAGCGTGGTGGAAAAGTACATCATCGACTTGTAATCTAAACAGTCAAAGATATCTGCCTGTTAGATCAAATCCTGACATATATTCTGAGCGTACTCCTGCAGAGACGGTGAAAGCAAACGTACCTGGAACAGCCTCGGCGGTGCGAATACACTCATACAAAATATCGATCTGGAGCTCAGGCCATCCGTGATCCATGTAGAGGCTGGTATTGGAAGTGAAAGAGTCGCCCACGCCAAAGACATTACAAATCTGTGTCAGGCACTCCAATACTCCGTGGTCTGAGTTTGCGGCCTTTCGGGGGGAGGTCCCGTTCGATTGTGCTGCTGCTGCCTGAGCCAACCGGGTCTGATGCAACAGTGGGGCAATCATTCGCACAGCATATCGGAGAAAAAGCGACTGCTTTCGGCGGAACTGAACTGCTCCTAGAATCGAAGCGATTGAGGTTGTGAAATGGATCTACAAAGATGATAATAGTTAGCACTCTGGATCACAATCTAGCTTCACAGCCGGAAATCTCACTCAACAACGACTTTGTCTTACTTGATCGAGAATCCAGAGTTCGTCCAGTCGGCCGGTCCAAGCCTTGGTGACCCAGTTCATGATGTCTGTTCTAGTGACGCCAAGATTGTGGGTTGTGACGCTTCCGCTGCGCGACCTCAATGTTGACGCTCGGCGCAACAAGGCAGCAGCGCCGGAGGAGGTCTGGGACTGATTTGCTGAGGACGACTGTGTCATGGGCTGCTGTCCTTCGCCAGCCGAAGCCTCAGTGTGCATAAGAATGTTGCCGCTCACAACCGCCGCCAATGCCCGATCGTCCAGAATTCCATTTCCGCAAGCAAAGCAAGTTGCGATGAACTTTGTCACCCTCATACAGGCTTCCACATAGAGGATGGCGGGCGCAGCGTTGTTGGGCACCTTGTTGTAAAGTGAGAGGATGGTCTGATACTTTTCAGGGATGTCGATGATTAGTGGTTTGATAGCAGGGGCGGTCTGTGCCTTGGCAGGCTCGCTGGTAGTAGGCGAAGCGGGCGAGGATGTGACCTGTTGAATCTGCTGCTGGTTAATATGCTGGAAGAGTTGAATGAATGAATGAATGAATGAATATCGATATGTTCAGTTCAGTGCCTCCAGTTTCTCATAAAATTGCAGACTTGCGGAGCTAATTAATCCTCAATTGTAGCACTCACGGAGATGTCGGCTTGGATAAATGCTAGGAGAACAACTGCACAGTACAGGCCCTCCATCGCACTCGCGTTCCACAGGAAATCCAGGTTATACTTCGTAGCCTCAATCACAGACTGGTAACTAATGTGCAGAATCACGCATAGAAGATAAGTTGATAAGATGACATGTACTCAATCGTTCCCGTATGTTAACAGTTAATTTGCTATTCAGCAAATTAATGTTACCTTGTAACTGCGTCGGAGAGACGTCCTGCCATCAAGTACAAGTCTCCGTATAGCTTTTGTGCTCTGGCAGCAGTCCGCTTCCTCAGTTTCTGATCCGTGACGACTGCAGTTTGGAGGTATTGGTTGGCCGAGTTCACGGTTGCAAATCCTGCGGAGGACATAGAGCGCTGATGAGTTGATGTTCCTGAAGTCGTCATTGCAGAAGGTGGAGCTGTGAGCGGCTTCATGCCGTTAACTGACATGTCTGGTATCGAAGGAGCACTGGTGGCTGACATAGGTCCCGAGTTGGGTCCATTGCGCGTGTAAACAGGGATGGCTGGACTGGGCGACTCAATATCCTGTCTCTTCCCGATCGCACCTGCCTAAATGTCAAAGAGTAGTATGCGTAAGACTTTTTTTTCCTGAGGAGCACGGCATGATTGAGGTCCCTCATATGTGTGCAGTCGTCGCGCATTGCCTACGATGACTTACAATGTTCTCGAACTCGGTCAAGATGGTCCTGGTAAGGTCGCAGATCAAAACACGCAGGTAGGAAGAAGTATTACCGACGTTGGGAATCATGATCACTCCGCCTCCTCGAAGATCGTCCGGATGCTGTTCTGAAGGATCGAAGGCAAAGCACTGGTTTGCAACTGCTGACGGATACTGTAGTTGAATAGGGAAATGGAGGAGTTCAGTTAATGCTGACAACGCATTAATAGGACCTTGGACTGATACGCAAACTAGCAGGTATATCCTACCTTGGTGAGAAGCTGCTGGAAGTGTTGGTATCCTGCTGTCATGTTGCCATCAGGCCATTCCTGACAATCCATAATTCCTATTACCTACACATTGGAAAGTAAAGTGTTAGCATGATTCATAGTCCACTTTGCCTTACGCGAAAGAGCCCTGGGCTGGAAAAAAAAATGAAACGCGAGACTTACTCCAAAGATACGTCGGTGCATTTGAAACTCCTCGAGGTACTGGTGCTCGCCGTTGTAAGAGGTCACAAACTGAAAGTAGAGCTGGCCTTCATGGGGCACGTTCTGGCTAAAAAAGGCTATGAAAGAGAGTGAATGCAATTGGTGATTGTAAGAAAGTTGTGTTCGTGGGGGAAAAAACGCCAGAGCATCTTCCCGACCTCGCTCACAATACTCTCGACGGTTGGAGGCAGGTGGCAGCGTGTCGCTCATTCCTTGACACTACAAAGCAGATGCCAGTCCTTTCGACAAAGAACTGAGCACCGCTTTTTGGCGAATAGACGTAAGTTGGGCACTTACAGTTTTCAGTCCGTGGGCCCATCCAGACGTCCTCGAGTTTGACAGAGTTGTGTTGCCGAAGCATCTTGACATGTCGCTCGAAGGTGGCTTTCTTGATAGGTCCTACAGGAACGAGGAGGACGCGAATGCGTGCGGCGGCGATGAAGTTGACAGCATCCATGTTGTTCCTTGAGACAGCTGAGCGAAGCGAGTGTTAATGGCGATCCTTTCCTGAGGCTTGTCCTGGCTGTTGAAGGGTTGTGTAGAAGATGGGAGTGTGACAGAGATGGGAAGAGGAGTTGTGTCCACGAGGGCAAGGATGATGATGAAAGAGAAGTGCCACACACTTGCACTTTGGAACAAACTCGCCCTGCCTCACTTGTGTGACTGCAAAAATGAGTTGAGAGGTTCAAAATTTCGTGGCAGGACGGAGAGGAGAAAACCATTGAACGTTGAAAGATAGCCCAGGCGGTTTTTTTTATTACTTTGCTTGTGGCTGTTGTTAGCTTTTGTCATGAAGTATGGGAGAGAGATACGGATATATGTTGTTGCAATGGTGGCAGAGAGCAAAAAGAAGGAAGAAAAAAAGATCGACAGCTACATGACAAAGTAAAGGACTCCGACGACGCAGGAGCCGATCACGCAGGACAGAATGACATTGTCCCTGTTCTTCCGCGACTGGATCTTGCCAATCAATTGTCCGACGCTAGGCAGCTGTGTCGCCACGTTGTTGATCCGCTGATTGACGCTAAGCAGTGTAGACCGCTGTCTGTCAAGGTCGTCCCTCGTCGCATATGCTTGTCTATTTTCGTTACGATGCACACATACAAAACAAAGGGTTAACATCATGAACACTTCTCTATCTCCAACTGTTGTACAGCTAAAGAGTACGATGGCAATGTGCAAAGATAAAAATAAATGAAATGCTACCACAGGAACCTTACTCGAGCGCACTGTCTGCAAGGTTGTGGCTTCCGTCGATCCGAGACCGTTCGTTCAAGAGATAGTCAGAGGCAGACATATCGCCGTTCTTGAATGAGTTGATATCGTCGCGGACAGAGGTCAGCAGCTGAGCATGATCTCTTGCTGCTCGCACATTCTGACGTGTCTTCCTGTATTCTTTGGTGTAGTCGTGCAAGATGTCGCGGTGCTTTTGGAGAAGATGGGTCATTGACAACGGCGCCTGGCCATTTGTCTGTGTCTGGTTGTCGAGGTGTCCTGACATGGCATCAACTGTCCGGCTCAGCTGCAAGATAATATAAAAAGGGCAATGTCCATGTACAAGAGGTTAGGCCACTGCCGGGGATATCCAATTAATACGATAGGGGGCTGTTGCACAGACAAAACGGTCGATTGCAGGCCTGTGGCCGTTGGTATTACCTTTTCTAGGAGCTCCTCGATATTGGTCTCCAGGTCTTCTCCGTTGGCAGCAGCAGCACCGGCACCAGGGACTCCTGCAGCTGATGCTTGTGGTGGCGCTGATGCTGAACTGTTCCGGACGGCAAGCTTGGAGAGTGCGGTGAGTTTCGATTCGATTTCCGACTCGATCTGGCGGACCTCCTTGCGTAGCGTGTCCCAGGAGGCTACTCCTGTGGCTGCAGCGATGGCCTGGGAGGCATTGTCCAGACTTGGGGATGGTGAATGAGAGTTACTCAAAGGGGCACTGCTGTAGATGGGCGTCCTTGAGGGAGTCGTTGACTTTAACATTGTTGTATATGTGTGTATGTGTGTGTGATGGGGTCCTGTGAGCGTTCGGGTGAGAAAGTGGAAAGTGTGAGCGTGTGTGTGAAGATAAAGGTAGGCGAGAGCGTGAGTGAGTGAGAGTAGAGAAGGGTAGGGGTGTGTTTGGGCGTAAAGTTGGATGTGCAAAGGGATGAAAAGAGAAGAGAAGGACGATGGAAGAAGGAGAGGGTCAAGTGCCAGCCTGAGCCAAGTAAGGGAAACAACTGAGTTTCACTCTTGTTCAATTACATGGGTGACTATCTTTAATTGCACAAGGCTGCAGCACAGGATCGCCTTGAAAGGCTAATGGGCGGCTGATCAACGAATCCAAAATTCCTCCTCTAGAGCAACGGCTTGGAGACAAGGACGAGGTGGCGGTTCTCCATCATACCCAGATCCTCGCCTCGCTTGCTCATGTCGCGTCCAATCGTGTTATCCTCCACGTCCTCCTCCCTCTGCTCAGGGACCAGCCCAGACTCGCGCACAAGCTGATGAACCTCAGCAAGGTTGTACAGACACTCTGCGTAGAACTGGTCGCGGATCACACCCTTTCCAGTCAACATCACAACCTCGCGACTGATGAGCCGCTTCTTGTCCTTGCTCAGCTCTCGCTCCCGGCAGACAATCATGGTGTCGTCAATCCATTCCCAGCCACGGGCCGAAAAGTTCTTGCGCAGGTATGCACCGTCGGGAATATCCATCACCACGAATCCACCAGGCTTTAAAATCCGACGGATCTCCTTGAGAAGGTTCACGTTGGCATTGTCAGTCGCAAAGTAACCAAACGAATTTCCCATCACCATCACAAGCGAGAACGAATCGTCGTCGTGAGGAATCGCGCGGCAGTCTCCGATCGTGAACGACGCGCGATCGGACACGTCTGCAGCTGCAGCTCTCGACTGGGCAAGTTCAATCAAGTACTGGGACTGATCGTGGCCGTGGAGTTCCAGATGAGGGTACAGCTCTGCCAGTTGGAGAACATGTCGTCCTTGACCACAGCACAGATCGAGGATGCGAGTTCTCTCAGTGCTGCTGGAAGGAGGGACAGACTGAAAGATGGATCGAATGGGCTCGTGGGTCTCCAAGAGACGGATCTCTTCAAGAGTAATTTCCGGATCCTCCACAACATCACCGTCCGTCTGAAGATACAGATTGTCACCAAAAACGCCTTTCCACCGGGCCTTGGGCACGCACGGCTCTGGATCTTTGACTCGTCCGTAACAGATGACAGCAGGCAGAGGGGGAGGGATGATATTTGTTGCGTTATCAAGAACATCCTTGTCGGTCAAGAAGGCGACAGAGTTGCCGTAGGGGCGAGCTTGGTTGAGAGTGGGAGGCATCCTGATCGTCCGTTATGAGTTGTTTTGTGAGGTTACGTTGGCGCTAGTGCGGTGGTAGGTGGTCGAAAGAAGGGAGAGAGGTAAGTATGAGAAAAAGATGGAGAAAGGTGGGAAAAAAGTAAGATAAGATAGGGTGAGTAAGGATGTATATCTCAACAGACAAAAGAAAGGGGCAACCATTGACATTGTAAGGTGCAAGGCAGATGTCGGCTTAGGCCAGGCCAGAATAGGGTGATCTCACACAATACTACGAACAAGATTATCAAAACAAGTCCAAGTGCAAGTCGATTCCACAGAAGAGATGGATGCCAGTGGTGGTTTTGCACAGCTTAGGAGAGAGACATAGCACACCATCGACTCCAAAACACATTGTGAAGGGGATGAGGAGGGGGGGGGGGAATCATACGTGGTAAAAAGTCAACCACATCAACTAGCAGGCTGACAACAGATATACAGAAGAAGGGGATGTAAAACAAACAAACCAAGACAAGCATCTAGGAGTACCACCAGCCGGAGATATCTTTTTTTTTTAATATGTAGAGAGTGATTCGAGTCTTGTATTCTGCCGAGTCGCGTTATTTCACGGTATCAGATACCAAATGGTATGACCCTTGCACATTTCATCGCCTACACAAAATGCTCTTAGAGCGGGTGATGCACTACAGAATCCTGTCTACTGAATGTTGGGAGAAGAAAAATATATCTCAACATGCGATGTTCCTTTGAAGATCGTACTAGTTCAAGGAGAAAAGGTTTCTTGTGAGGATGATTGATGTTTGCCTCCATTGTTTTCGCTTGTATCAGTCATTAAAATAACAAGATACAGCAATGGAGTAGTGGGTCTCTCGCCGTGTACCAGGGACAAAAGCAGACAAAGAGTTATGGCATGTGCCCTCGCAACTGACCATGGTAGTCGGTCTGTCGGCACATTACGCAGATAATGGTGACCCGCCCTTTTCACCCTTGAGATGATTGACGGCCAAGAGAAGGTCGATCCCTATTCAGGCACCATCACCGATCACGTTGTCTCTCACTAGTGAAAAATGTTTTTGATCAGTTATGAAAACGGTGTAAAAAGACAAGCAAGCACCAAACTTTTCACTCCTCCGAATGGATAACCCTGGTGAATGCAGTCATGACAAACAAAAAGAAGGACGAACAAACAAGGAATCGTTCATGACTATTCTCTATCTCTCAGGTGATACATAGGAGTAAAAGTGATAAAGGCGAAAGAGGCAATTGACAGCGGAACTGGAGTGTAGATGGGGATAAAAGAACGAAAAGATGTTTGCCCTACACGACCAGGGGCCGTTGTGACTGTTGTAGATTTACCCCCCTCCGCATTACTGCGGCTCGCATCATGTACTCAACTTGTTCATCCCATTTACCACACATCCTTACTCTTCCTCCCTACTTCCACCTTTTGTCACCCATCAACTCCTCAATCCAGCACACAACATGGGTCTGAAGGAAGTCAAGTTCATCGACTGGTTCAAGGGAAAGTTCCCCCATGCCGCACGGGTTGTCGCTATGCACGAAGGAGCCCATTTCGACTCGGTCTTCATCGACGTCAACTGTATTCTCCATCCAGCAATGAGGGCTGCAAAGAACGAGGCGCAGTTTGTCAAGAAGCTGTATACTATCCTCGATAGGACCCTCTCTCAATTCATCCCTGATCGAATCTGTTATCTATCCGTTGATGGGCCGGCTCCTCTTGCAAAACTCCTCACACAAAAGGCTCGTCGCGCCTCAAAGGTACGCCTCCATGCTTTAATGTCACCATTCAAGCCTTTGGTTGAATGTGTCTTTTAAACACGTATTTACACACCTTGATTGTTGCTCTGTTCTCAATTTATAGTCAGGGAGCGGAAAGCCGAACCATATGAGCACGCTTCAAGTAACCCCAGGATGCCCGTTCATGTTGCGACTGGAACAATACCTCAGCTACTACACAGTCCGGTACCTGCAACATCGTCGCTCACAAGGAATCTCACCCGATCTCAAATTCGTTATTGACCACTCCAACAATCCCGGGGAAGGCGAGGTAATGGGAATACCCCTTTTCCTTTTACAGCGGGTTTTTTATCCCTCGGTGATGAGCTATATATCCCCTTTTCTTCTGTGCTAACATGTCCCGTGATCTGTGGTTCGGAGAATCTAGAGCAAGATCATCGAAAACGTCGTTCAACAAGCAGCCAACATCCGCGGAAGACCTTGCGCGATTCTCAGTATGGACTCAGACGCCATCATTCAAGCCATCACCCTTGGGATGCCCAACATCTTTGTTGTTCGCAAAGACTCACCCCAAAACCCAATCGTTGCCATCTCAATCGACAAGTTTATGCGGTCGCTGGAGGCCATATTCCCTGGGGAATCCAACAGGAGTCGACTCGACTTTTGCGCACTTTGTCTATTCCGAGGAAACGACTATCTGCGAGGGTTGTTTGTTGGTCTAGAGAAACTCTGGCTGGCTTATCTTTATACTCGGCTTGTCGACCCGGCGATTCAAACAAGGGGGCCTGAGAGATATCTTATCGACGCCACCCTCAAGACGTTTGATCTCTTCTTCTTGAAGCAATTGATCCTCAACTCCTACAAGGACAACAACACACTCAAAATCCCCAACAACTTGGCGCCGCAACAAGCCCAACCACAGCGGCAACAATCGCCAATTGTCGGATCTGAGTCTGAGGTATCAGAGCAGGACGAGTACGGGAACGCGAGCGACATGGAGTCTGCGGGCGGAGACGACAGTTCCACCGACGATGACGAGGACGCAGGAGGAGATATCAATGCAACGGGCTCCAACAGCGATATTGACGACAGTTCGGATCAGGAAAAGAAGTACTCGGTGAAGGATTACCTGGAGGGCGTATTGTGGAACCTGGAGATGTACTGCTCAGGAGTGTGCCCAGACGTCTCCTTCACCTACAAGTTCTGGACAGCTCCTCCTCGCAGAGCAATCGTCACCTTTGTCGACACGATTGCCCAAAAGAAACCGTACCAGACCTTGTCAGCCAGCTCTACCAGGAAATTGGTCAAAGTGGTGACAAGCGACAAGACTTATCTGCATCCACTTGTTTGCGCCATGATTGTAAGTTGTACATGTTTTTTTCTTTCGCAGAAGAATATGTAATTTAATATTTGTCAGAACCCAGCATTAACGCCAAATTTCGATTACTTTTTAGCTGTTGCCGATAGATAGAGCAGCCGCCTACTTGCCAGAATCCATGGCTCTTGTGCAATCAGTCATCGTTCCAGAAGAATCCAGGTACCTTACACACGAGGAGATGATGACCATCGAGGAGACCGTGCATGGAATCATCGACGTCCTCTCAAAATCCGATAAGCCTCAAGACATCAAAGTCGCCAAAGAACTGTACGGACTCTACAACACTCGATCGCCCTACATCTGGACCCGCGTCCGCACCGTAAACACTCGTACCCCAAAAACCGAAACCCCACCAAGCCCGAACGTCATCATCGATGCTCTCCAAGCCCTCACCATCTCCTCCCCCACTCCAGAAAGCAGCAAGCCCGACTCGGCCTCTCAGCAGCAGCAAGGGCGATTCGTCGATCTGGAATGCCAGCAAGATATTATTTGCACCTTGACCAAGACGCTGCCCAGTGCTGCGCAGGTTGGGCAGCCTAATCGAGTACCAGAGATTGTCGTGTCGTGGGCGGCTGATCCTCGACAGCTGGATATCACGGCACAGGGAGCCAAGCCGTCGACGCCATGGATGTTTTTCTCGTTGCGGCAATCTCGATTTGGACGACCTGGTCCTGGTCAGCAGCAGTATCGCCCGAGAGCACCTCAGCAACTTCAACAGCAGCACCGACAGCCATATAATCAAGCTAGACCGAATGTACCCGACACCCGAAACCCTCAAAACACACGCCATATACCACAATTGAATACGTCCGTAGACAATCCCGGTCAGCAACAAGCTAGACGATGGACGCGACCACCTGCACCTCATGCACAACCGCAGGCGCCACCAGCAGCAGCACCAACCAACAATGCCGGAAACAAAAACAACAACAACCAGCGAACCCCTGGACGAAAGCCCAAGCCCGCGCCCTCTTCCGTACCTGGTCCTGGTCCACAACAGCAACGGCAGCATGACAAACGGACAGAGGACGGAACTGTTATTCCTGCAGAAAAAGTGATTCTTGTCAGCTCAGCCAATTAAACCAAGTAATTAAATGAATCAATTTTCCAACTTGCATGAACTCAAAGAAAATAAGAAAAACACTCTAAACACGCAGGGGGGAGCGGGGGGCAAACAGTGCGCTTTTCCTTCTCTCTTCCACCAAGCGCCTCGTCCGTGAGACATTGCATTTCGTTTTCTTCCCGCTTCTTATACTCGCTCCGCTGTACATGTAGTCGTGTGATGAAAAAAACAAGAATGGCCGGTGGGCTGTACAGTAATGCTAGTACTAATTGCTCCTCCTCCTCTTGGTCGCGTGAGTAAAGAAGAATAATGCAGTAAATTGCCCTTCTGAGCATTGGCATTGACAAAAAATTAAGAACGAGTTCGCCATTAAGGTACTTGGATATTACATTCGACGCGAGAGCGGATGAAGATGATGATGAAGAATGGCAAATGAAAAGGAATATATTCGCAATTGATGGTGCAATCAGAATAACAAGCAAACGCGAGTGTAGGGGTATCTAACCTACTCCTCCGGACAGATAAACATAGACAACAGCAAACGGTATAATAAGGAAACACGTTTTCCTTGCGAATATTGAAAGAGGGTTGCTCCTTCGATCGAAGGGAAGAAAAAGATCAATTGAGATATTTGTTGTAGTTTTTTTTTTTTTTTTTTTTTTTTTTTTTTTGGCAATATTCTTTATTAACTACCAAAGGAAGTGTGGTACAAGTACCTTACCCGTTCTTTTCCATCTCGTTTTTCTCTCCTTCTTGTTGGGTTACGAGCGTGTTGAATGAAAAGGCAGAAGAATAAAACAGTGCATCCCTATTCGGCCTCACATGGGCAACTGCGGTCCTGCTGATTCGTTCGTTCAATGGTGTTTGCCAATCGGTGCAACTTCAAGAATTAAGATTCCAACGGGCACACGAGGAGGAAAGAATCGTTGTTAATGGTGATTAAAACAAGGGAGTGAGCGAACGGCGGGAATGATCGATCTGTAAACGAAGGATAAGACAACAAGAGGACGAGAGAGTGGGCGTCCACTCCGATTTGCCGATATGGACCGCTCTGGTTATGAAGCGACGGCAAACGACAAAAGAAGGACTAGAGAGGAGAGGAAGAGCGAGCTCACTTCTTAATCCATCTCAGAACACTTTAATGATTCCAACGTTTCATTCCAGACAAAAAAAAAAGAGATTTATGGAAGTTGGAGAAAGAAAACAGAGAGAGAGGGGGGCGAGAATATGGTAAAAGAGGACCGTCGAGGTGTTGTGTTGTCTTTTTGCTGGTGAGGCGAGTCAAAGGTGAGGGGAAAAAGTATTGAGCCTGGCCAAGAAAGAAAGAAAGGCAAGGAATGGATGGGACGGTCCCTGAACACAAACAAGGTTTAGGTGGCTCACTGGTCAACGCGTGAACGCACGTTGCGCTAATCGACGGCTCTGATTGGTTGGATAGGCTAGGCGGTGTAACCGTTGGATTCTTCTAGGGTTTCCCTCTTCGCACACTTTAGATCAACTACTGTAGGGTACTGTGCTGTACCTGAGGAAATAAAGGTACGAGAACAAGCCAAAATAGGGCAACATACTGTTGGTCCATCGGTCGGTAAGTCCTGGTGTCACTGGGCTAGACTTGAACTGGGCTGGGCTGACCTTTTTCTCGGGCCAAAGAGCACAATTGATTCTTGCCTTGCATTCATTCCGTGCCCTTTTGGTTTTGTTCATTTTTTTTATCCCAACGAGTACGCTCATGTTTTACATAGATGCTGCTGTTGTTGAAGAATGAAAGAAAAAAAGCGAGCGGCCCCTTTGCCGATTCCTACTCCTTCTCCAACGCCCCACTCGTCACTCGAGTTTTTTTTTACTCCTGGTCAAGTGAACGATAAGAGCAAACGAAAGAATAGAACAAAAAAGTGGCGCTTCTCCGCTGTTGTTTAGAAATAGCCACTCGAAGTGAAGCTCTTTCTTGTGGGCGCCCAATGGGGTCTGCATGAAAGTCATTCTGCGAATTCGCTGGTGGGATCAACTATCTACATATAAAATTTGATCTTGTTTTCTTTATCGTCAGACTGCTCTAGACCCATTGGCTGATGTGTATGTAAGGGGGTTTTTTTACAATAAGGGGAGTAATGGACGTCGATGTTTTTTGGTGCGAGATTGCGGTACACAGCATTAGCGATGGTCGGCGACAACAAAAAAAAAGGGGGCCAGGCGAGCAAGACCAAGGAAGCGATAGAGGCACAAAGTGAGAGTTCAATCCAATCTAAATGATTGGCAAGGTTACCATGACACACTCACGCCACACGATCCATTTGTGCACGTTGCCCACGGCTAGCTGCTTAATGCACACCCTGTGCGCCTATGGAATGGCGCCTCCTCTTTGATTTGATTATTTTACTTTTTTTTTTCAACGCAGAGACGCATAGACAAAGACACAGACCCACGTCCACATCAACCACATTCGCCATCTTCTGATTTTTAATTATTGATTATTTCGTTCTCCTCCCCCTTCCTCCCTCCTTTACCCTTCTTTCTCCTTTGCTCTCCTTTCCTCTCTTTTCTCCTTTTCCCCTCCTTCACCTCCACCACCTTACCATCACCGCCATTCTTTTGCATTCTATCTTCCTTTCTCCTTCTTCTTCATCCTCTCCTCCTCCTTCTTCATCCTCTCCTCCTTCCTTCCTTCTGCTGAACCGTTATCGATAATTCGACTCGAACAATTCCTCTCCATTCTTTGTAAGAATTCCTTCCTCGGGTGTATGTTGACGGTGGTACATTCTCTCAGCCATAAGCACAGTCATCCTGACTACTAAACCCATGTCTCCTTCCCCTTCTCTTCTTCATAGCAACCTGGCACAACCTATCCATCATTCATTCCGCAATTCTCACAAGTATGGCCTCCACTGGACTTCGTTCGCCTCAAGCCTACAGAAGCACAGGGAGTGCTTCCAACTCTGACGAGATCGTGCATCACAGCAGCAACGGCCTTCCCCAACGACCCCCTCGCCAGAGTCGACAGCGGTCTGAGTCCTCGTCATCGCCCATTATGACTGCCTCCCAATATAACTCTCACTTTCAATCGGATCCATATTACACTCCTTCAACTCATTCTCAATCTCCTCGACCCTCACCTCGATCCACACCCAACACCTACGGCTACCAGTCGTCGCAGGTCCCACCCTCACCTATGACATTCCAACTCCCTCCCTCTGCCATGTCAACCTCCAGTCGAGACGATAGCATGCGCTCTGGATCCATCTCTTATCCTCACCAGCAACAACAACAGCAGCAACAACAACACCAACATCAGGGATACCAAAGCGGAAACATCTCATCAGGGTCCTCTTTCAGGTCCCCTCACATCTCCCCGGGTCTCCCATCCAGTGGCAGCGCTCAGATGATGCCTCCACCTCTTGCTCTCCCTGACTCATTCCTGGAGGATCAATCCGACTACGCAGGATACTACTCCTCTGATGTCGGGATTCTTTCGAGCCCTCAATTGCTCTCAACTCCTCAGGTCTTGTCGAGCCCTCAGCTTTTATCTGATCCACAGCAGCAACTGCAGTCTCCCATGAACAGCGGCACTTTGTACCCTCGGCAGCACCACACAGGCTATCCTCACTCTCCCGACATTCCTCCAAGACAGGGATCAAGATCTGCAGGAGCAGGGATGGCTTTGCCGAGCCCTCATATGACACCCACGACATCCCCATTGCAGATCGACTTTCCAAACCTCTCCCTTAACGGTAAGCAAAACGAAGAAAAAAAATGAAAACAGGAGAGAGAGAGACTATTATCGCTGCTGCAAGGGGAGGGGGAGGAACTTGAGACACAGAGAGAGAAGTAGAGATGAGTGTGTGGGTGTGCGATTGTGTGTCTCTGTGTGTGAACAACAATCGAAGAGAAGGCTGCATCATCAGTCGAATCGACTGTGGATGTGTTTTTTGTCCCGTGAGAGCAATGGCCATGCCTTGAGCCTGTCATCTCTAATGTTTCAGGAACGTGGTCGCAATCACAGTCACACACCCTCAACTACTGGGAAACTCTACCCTTGAAAGCCATCCAGACACACAAACCTAAATTAATTTCCTTTGCCTTTCTCTTTCGACAAAAGATGCGCGTCGGCCAAGCGGACAGCCTCAGCAGGTCCAGCCCCCCACCTCCGGCACTCGCAGCCGCGCCTACTCAACCACAACCGTCTCTACCGACGACTCCTCCACCAGCCGCAACTCCCTCGTACCCAGATCTACTGTCGACGGAGCAAATACCCAAGAGTTCTACCACGGTCAACCTCATGTCCCCATTGAATCCTTCCTGATGCCCTCGCAGGAGCAATACCCGGCCGACTCGCTCATCCTCTTTGGTGGCACCGCAGTTCACTCAGAGGGAGGCCTTTTCCGCAAGGATTCCAAGGAATACCTCATGCTGACTAACTCCAGCTTGCTCAAGTACAAATCCATGGAAAAGGCGGCCAAGGTCTTTGGCAACCAGTCTGTTTGGTCCTCTTCCTCGGGCCACCAGATCATGACACCACAGCAGACAGCATTGATCTCCAAGGATAATCGTATCTTGTCCCTTAACTCGATCATTGGCGTCTACACATACCAGCCTGCAGGAACGGAGACCCAGATCGTCGTCGAGTATCTTGTCTCGATCTCGTCCCAGCCCGCCACTATGCACTTTACCCCAGCTGTGGACCAAGTAGAACCCTGGTTGAAGGAACTGCGCCAGGGCTGCAACTACCATGCCGCTCAAGCAGGATTGATTGTCAAGGGCACCAGACAGCGTCAGTGGGTTCAAGATAAGCTTCAGGAGGACCACATTGCTCTGCCCTCCAACGTCGCCGAGGACCACCCAACAGCCCTTGCAGCAGGAGGCATGTGGCGTGCATTCTTTAGGGCGCAGCGGATCAAAGGAGTCCCCGTACAGGAGAGCGGCGTCTCGGATTCTAAGGTGGGGCTCGAGAACAAGGCCGTCGTGATCGCCGTCGGAGCCTCGCACATCCACATTTTGCCTCATAACCTCGGCAATAGCAGCTCCAAGGACGACTTGAAGGACGAACGCAACATCCTGCAGTACCCGATCTTGACCATCAGGACCATCCACTACAAGGAAAAGGACGACACCTTCACCTTGGCTTTCGGAACCACATTGCGCCAACGGACGGTCATCATGACGTTTGCCTCTGCTCGCGCTCGTGAGATCATCATCGCCATCCGTGCACGTGTCGAGAGCTTGCGCTGGCTCTACCCTCTCGGCAGGAAGGGCATCGAGCTCGCTCTTTCCGAGAGTATGTCGAGGCCTATTCCTGTGCCGTCCAGGGACCATCTCACCGACCTTGGGTTCGACGAGTTGCTGCGCGCTGAGTGTCACGCCATGGGTCTGGATCGCAAGGTCTTCAAAAACGTCGTTATCGATGGATTCAGCATCACTGTCGGCAAGGCAGGCGACAATCCTGACAACAAGCGCGACTACTCTGTTGAGGAGATGAAGTGTCTTCTTCGTGCCCTGCGATTCAATACCACCTTCAAGGAGATCAGCTTCTACGGCATCTCCTTTGAGAACCTTCAAAAGTCCAAGACGCTCAGGGATGGAACCCTCCGCTATGGTCTTCGTCCTGACCAAGAGCTCTACGAGTTGATCATGGGCAACCCACAGATCCGTGTTCTGAACCTCCATGGCTGCCACCTGGATACGGGTGCCATTGGCAGCATCGGCCGTGCTATTCGCGATGGCTACACTGCTGGTCTTCGTCTCGAGTTGCTCGACCTCTACGGCAACCATGCCACCGACGGTGCTGATGTCATGACGCTTGCCAAAGGAATCGTCAAGCATGCGGGAACCCTCCACTACCTCGATGTCGGTCACTGTCAAATCACTGGCGATGGCATCAACCAGGTCATGCACGCCTTTGTCGCCAACCCAGACGTCGCCTCACACACCCTCGAGTTCTTTGGAATCCAAGGCAACCCTGAGAGCAAGGTCAACTCGTTCATCCTGGACATGTTCCTTAAGCACTCTATGTGTCTCGAGAAACTGGATCTGTCGGATCTGACGTCATGGAGCAAGTCACCCATCCTGATGGCAGAGACCCTGGCCAACTGTGGCGGATTCCTGAAGCGCCTGGATCTCAGCGGCATGGCCTTGCACCCGTCGACCCTGGACCAGATTCTTTCCTGGATTTCCAGCCCAGAGTGCGAGACCCTCGAGCAGCTCAAGGTCGAGGGCTGCGGTTTGGATGGCAGCCAGTTTGCGAGCATCCTGGACGCTGTTGGTCAAAGCGGAAACCAAAAGGTCGAGATCTGCGCTGGCCGAAATCTTCTTTCCGACGGTCAAGACCTTCCTGAGAACCTTGTCAACGTCCTCTCCAATGGCGAGACGGCTACTTCGTTGGGTCTGCGCCGTACCTGCTGGAGCGAACAGGCTCTGCGACAGCTCTTCCTGAGTCTCAGTCATAACTTTACCCTCAAGAAGCTCGATCTTTGCGCCGTTTCGCTTGCCTCCGGCCGGGACCCAGATGTCGAGACCTGCAAGCTCTTGGGCCAGATGTTGGCGTCCGAGGCAAGTCGATTGGAAGAGTTGCTGATCCGGGGCGAGGAGACAGCCGAGTTAACCTCAAGAATGGGCAGAAACCTGTGGAGGTCGTTCCAGGGCTTGGGCTCCAGTCGCTACCTGACCAAGCTGGATGTCAGACGTAATCGCTTCAAGGACGAGGGTGCTTTGGCTTTGGCTGAGGCTCTGCGCATTAACCAAAGTCTTGTCTGGCTCGACATGGACGAGAACGATGTAAGTGTGCTTATCGGTTTTCTTTTGTTATTGTTTTTTTTGCCTGCAATTCTTTAACATTGAGGTTCTAACGGTATACACCCTCATTGATCATGATTGTTATGTTAGGTTACTGTCGACGGATTCAATGCTATTCTGTCTGCCTTCCACCAAGGAGGCACGGAGCAAGTCCCTACAAGCAGCCAGTGTTACAACAGCACGCTTGCCTACTTTGAGCCACCTGTCATGGATGTGTCCAAGCAGACATGTGCACTCCAGGAGGCGATGCTAGAGACCTACAAGTCTGAGCAGGAAACCCGATTCCTGTTGAACCACGCCACTGGCAAGGATGCAGCCGAGTGGAAGGAACGTTTGGCCCAGATTCTCCGACAACGTCAACAGAGCACTGAGGCTTGTTCCAGAATCGAGAAGACGATCGTGGGCATTGCTATGGTGGTTGACCGAAACAAGGCGGCGATGGAGGCTGTCATCCGCGACCGTCAGCGCCGACGAGAGCGTGAGCGCGACCGTGAGCTCCTCCAGCAACGCCGCGACAACAGACGCGCATAGAACTCTACTCCATTCTTATCGACATACCATACCAACGAACCCACACCATACACATTCTATATACGTTTCTTCATTCACTCTCATGAACTGTACAGTACTTTATTAATAATTTTTCCTTCAATTTGGTGGCGCTGTTCCAAATGTCAATTTTATCAGTTGTTTTTTTTTGAGTGTTGTTCTTATGTTCTTTGTCTTTTCTCTCGTCACTCACATTCTCGACATTCCGATGCGACGCCATGTTCCACAAGCGGGACATCTCCTTCACCGACCACAAGGATCAAAATGGATTTGCCGATCATTCCAGTCCTGCTCACCCACAGAGTTCATCGCCTCCTGTCTTGCCACCATCGCCCATGGCTCACCACAACCAAAGGCACGTCGTCTCTTTCAATCAAACGTAATCCCTCGATCCTTCCATGCCCCTTCCCTCGGAATCCTCCAACAAGGCAGCCCAATGACCCCAGCAACGCGTCGCACGCTCACTCGAGGACGATACCAACTGTTTCAACCCGAATATCCTCGACACTCACGACTATCAACTCTATCACCCAACCAAACTGCAACTACTGCGGTCCTGGACGAGCCAGATACTCCACACACGCAACCTTCTTCTTCCTCGGGCAAACGACGCCTGGCAGCTCGTAAACCTAACTCGCGACAGTCAGGGTCTCCATGGACTCCGCAGGAAGACGAGATTCTTTTTGATTTACGGCAACAGCGGGTCAAATGGAGGACGATCGGCGCCCAACTGAACCGGACCGTTGCATCCTGCTACTCGCGCTACTACCGGTTCTTGGATCCCTTCCTAGCAGATGCTATCGAGAGCGAGCTGGACGAAGTGGAGGATGTCGAAGGAGGAAACGAGTCAGGCGGGGCAAGCATCAAGGAAAGGATCCTTAGCGGGACACTGGAGAAGCCGAGCGTGAGACCCCAGCCGTACGTGGAGCGTGGGCCATGGAAGGCCAAGGATCGGGAACAACTAGAGCTCATGGTCACAGCCAAGGTACCATGGAGCATCATTTCCCACCAGCTGCAGCGGAACCAGGATAGCTGCAAGGAAAAGTGGCTTCGAATGCAAAAGAGTCATCTCGAGAAACGCCGGTATTCTAAGAGGGTCCGAGGGGGGCAGTGGACTCGACTCTACAAAGAAGGATTCACTCCGCATCATCGAGACCAGCTTGTTCGCGCCGTGGAGAAGTATCTGACAGCTAAGAGAGCCTCGGCCATCTACGACAGCAACCCGCTTAGGATTCTGGGAGTCAATGATCCGGGGGAGGAGGAGGAAGAGGAGGAAGATGGACCGTTCGACCCGTCGATGATGCACCCGCCGCCACTATCTCTTGACCAACAGACGATTATTGACAACAACTCGAGTGACCAGGATTCGAGCGTGGAGACCATCGATTGGGAAGCCGTATCGCGCGCCTTGAACAACAAGTTTCCGGCATCAAGACTTCGCTCGATCTACCACGAACTGGCAGTCGCCAAACTTGTCTGGACGCCGGAGGAGGACGAGCGATTGTTCCGAGCGGTTATTCGACTAGGGCCACCAGAACTGCAGCCCAAGATTTGGACCATGATTAAGGACGCCTTTGGAGACGTCATTCGGACCAGTAACGACTATCGTGCCCGGTGGAGAGAGCTGGACATGCCTCAGCTGGAGCGCGAGTGGGATTTCTCGGAGAAGACAAAGTTCTGGCGGCGCTGGATGGAGTATCAGGAAGCAGGATCGCTACTAGACCAGGAAGCCTCATCGTCAGACAAGAACAGTTCGATCCAGTCTGTCATAGAGCCGCGGCCGTTGTTACTAAAGCCGTCGCATGAACCCTCAACCCAGTCTAGGATGGATGCATGGGATCTGATTGCAGAAGGATTGGAATACCGACACGGACGCGACTGTCAACTTTATTTCGACCACACAACCCGCAATTTCCCTAGGGACCCGGAGCTCTTTCGTTACTTGTCACTCGAGCTTGCCAAGGCATACCTGGAACCGCGCACAGTGTCTTGGTCGACGGATGCATCGAGAATGTTGGTTGCAACGGTCAACTCCTTCTTGCAGGCCAACAAACTCGTGAAATGGGCGTCGGTTGCCCAGGCGCTGGATCATCAATACACGGCCGAGCAGTGCGAGGCGAAGTGGCTGTATTGGTCCCAGAATCACGTACCGACGCCGGATGATGCACCGATATATGGCGACAAGGAGGGACTGGAAGTTGGACTAGACTCGTCGGAGCATTTGTCCAAGCTGGGCCAGGCGGTGGTTGAGCGTGAGAGCGATGATAAAGACAAGAAGGCCACGGAGCGAAGGCTTTGGACGGACGATGAAGTTGAGCTGCTGAAGAAAGGAGTCGAAGAGTATGGACTTCAGTGGTACAAAATCCGGGACGCATATTTACCTCACCGAGCCATTCAGATGATACATGAGCGTTACTGGCGTATGCAAGCCAAGAAGACGGGGCGGTTCTCGGAGAAGGAACGGAGCCAGCTTGAGACGGCCATTGAGATCTTTGGCGAGGATGCGGACTGGGAGCTTATTGCGGGGCAGGTCCCAGGCCGCACAGCGAGCCAGTGTCGGAAGAACTGGAAGTACAGCACGACGCACCATTTGCACAAACTGGGCGAGCCCTGGACAGATCAGGATCGAGAGCGACTCAAGAGTGCAGTCGCGCGGTTCGGAAAGAAGAGGTGGACTCTTGTTTCGGAGTTTGTGGTTGGAAAGACACCTGACCAGTGTAGGAACGAGTGGAGAGAAAAACTGGATCCTGTAGTTGATACAAGTCATTGGTCGGGGCAAGAGCGAGATCGGTTGATGGAGCTCATTATGGATCACTTGAGTCGAAAGGACGAGGCGGAGGAGCGAGCCAGAGCCAAGGCAGAGTCAGGAACCACAGAGAGCAATGACCAGGGATTTGTCGATCCAGCGCCGCGGTACAATGGCAAGCGCAAGATTGACTGGAACGAGCTTGCCAAGGAGTTCAAGGGCCGCACAGCTCAACAGTGCCGACTGCAGTTTGATGTTCATCGCGCTCTTTACCGCCTTCAGGGCGACTACTAAAAAAAATAAAAAATTGGGTTCTCGAAAATTGGGGACTGCTGATTCCGTGGCTTGTTTTGTTTTTTCTTGCTCGAATGCCCTGTGCCCTTGATTTTTTTTTTTTTTTTTTTTTGAGGTGTGCTCGTCGTTTACTTCTTACGCCGCCATCGTCCTCCTTCTGTACCCCCTCATCACGAAAACACCCCGACACACACAACACAGCAACAATGCCAGCAGTCAACAAAAAGGTCGTCAACCCCGAGAAGGAGATGCGCGGAAAGGATGGCAAGAAGCCCTACAACCGCAACAACAACAACGGAGGCAGTGTCCTGAAGAAGAAGTCATACCAAGCCAAGCCCGCCAAGCTGGACGCGGGCGAGGTTGTCGAGGGCACAGCGGCGATGAAGAAGAAACTCCGAGATACCTTCCGCCAGCTCAGCAAGAACCCCAAGATGCCTGCCGATACCAAGTTGGAACTCGAGAGACGTATCGAGGCCTTGAAGCTTCAGATTGCCGACAAGCAGGTTGATCAGACCGAGCAGAAGATGGTTGTCAAGTACCGTTTGGTCAAGTTTATCGGTAAGTTTTTTATTTTTTATTGGTTAGCATATTTTTTTAAAGGAGTGTGTGGTAACACTTGAAAGGAATTTGGGCCACTAACGTATCTAGTCTATGTCTGTTATTTCATATAGAGTCAAAGAAGGCAAACCGCAAGATTGCGGTGTTCATCAAACAGCACCCAAACTGGGAGTCGAACGCAGAGGAGAAGGAAACACTGGACCAGCTCAAACTTGACCTCGCCTACATCCAACATTTCCCCAAGACCCTCAAATACATTTCCATCTACCCCAGCGAGAACATCGACGACCCCGCTTGTGAAAAGGCAAGAGCCGAGATCCGTGAGCAGATCCGGACGGGACTCGAGTCGGGAGCGATTGAGCAGTTTGTCAAGAAGACTCGTGAGGTGGTCAAGGCCAAGATCGTCAGCAAGGACAAGTTGACGACCGAGGAGGCGATCAAGTTGACGACGGAGAAGATCAACAAGGGCAAGAAGAGGACCAGAGAGCAGGCAGCTACGGATCAGGAGAACCCCTTGTCCGGTCGTGCCAAGGCTACTGCTGAGCGTGAGGCTGCCAAGCCCAAGAAGAATGCTCAGGAGACTCAGGAGGAGGAGGAGACTTTCTTTGAGACCGTTTCTAAGGATGCTGTTGCTGCTGTTGCCGCTGCCGATGAGACTGAGGCTACTACCACCACCGCCGCCGCCGCTGTCGAGGAGCCCCCCAAGAAGAAGTCGAAGGCACAGAAGAGGAGGGAAACCGCCGCCGCCGCTGCCGCCGCTGCTAATGCCGATACCACCACTGCCCCAGCAGAGGAGGCCCCAGCAAAGAAGGAAGCCCCAGCAAAGAAGGAGGCCCCAGCAAAGAAGAACGCCACCAAGGAGACCGCAGCAGCAGCTACCGCCGACGCCGCAGTGACTGAGGATGGAGAGCCTCAGAAGTTGGGCAAGTGGGCCCGCAAGGCTATTCGCTCCAAGTCGACATTCTCCGCCCTTGAGTCCACCAAGGAGGAGGGAGAGACTGCAGCACCAGCAGAGGCAGCCGAGGTTGAGGTTGAGGAGGTGAAGCCAGCCAAGAAGGAGGCACCTGCCAAGAAGGAGGCTGCACCCAAGAAGGAGGCTGCACCCAAGAAGGAGGCTGCTCCTAAGAAGGAGGCCGCACCCAAGAAGGCGGTCGCACCCAAGAAGGAGGCCGCACCCAAGAAGGAGGCTGCTCCCAAGAAGGAGGCTGCTCCTAAGAAGGAGGCTGCTCCTAAGAAGGAGGCTGCACCCAAGAAGGAGGCCGCACCCAAGAAGGAGGCTGCACCCACCAAGAAGGAGACACCCGCACCCACCAAGAAGGAAGAGCCCGAGGTGAAGATCACGACAGTCAAGATCGCAGCCAACGACAAGGACGACAGCGATTCCGAGGACGATACTCCTGTTGAGCCAGTGCGCAAGATTGTCAAGATTGACGAGACGTTGTTGAAGGAGCTGCCTGAGGTGCCCAAGAAGCGCGGTGGTCGTAACTTGAACAAGTTCAGGAAGTAAAACACCGATCCCCCATGTACAACACTTTCATTTTTAATTTTCATTTCTTCAGCATTCATTAAATCACATTCACAAAGAAAACTGCAAAGCAAGGTTGCCTCGACTGCGATGCGTAATTTTTTTTCCATCTGTTGTTGCAGGCATAAAAATTACCACAAGTTTACTTTCAGGAACAGAAGCCAAGGGCTTGGGGACAGTCTTTGAGCGCCATAGGGACCAAATCCATGACAGGAGTAGCAAAACATCCACAGCGTTTACGGAACCCTTCTTCGTATTCGTGACCAACATAAATTAGAAGTCGCCCGAGATAACTCTGTTCCCATGGTAGCTCTTGACAACGCCTTGTGGTTTGACATGAGGACGAGGTTCGCAGTGAGATGAAATGCAATAAGAGTTATTTTGGAGGAGCGGTGTGGAGTAATTATTGTCGCGTGTTTTCATTCTCGCGTTTTGTTTGGATAGGCATTCTCCTTACATGAAACACTAAGGGTATAGCTAACAAATACAAATACAAAAGATCTCTACTCCTCCTTGGGCGCAGCCTTCTCAGCCTTGGGAGTCTCCACCTTTTTGAACAGCTCAGAGTCATCACCCAACGACAGAACAATCTCAATGGCCTCCACAGCACCCTTACTGCCCGTCTGGAAAGTAAACAACAAGTTCCCCTTCAACGCAAAATCGTGCGCAAAGCCCTTGAACGACTCATAATGATAATGCTCCAGCTTGCTCTCAATGGTCCTCATCTTCATATACAGCCCACTACCATCCTCCTGAAGGGTGATAGTAAACTTGCCATAGATTGGGTTGGTGTATTCTCCAGTGTAATCGATCAAGTCGCGGGTATGGGGTTTACCCTCGATGCGGTCCGGGATGTCGTTCTTTGCCATCATGGCGTAAATGTCATAGGTCTCTTGGGTCTTCTTGAGGGTGTATTCGTGGATCCAGTCCTCGGTCTTGGGAAGTTTGAGGAGGTTGTCGGCGATGTAAAATGGGAGACTGGAGGGGAGGTCTGTGACTTGGAGATTGGCCAAGTGGGCGATGACGAGGTCGTCGTCGGGGAAGAAGGCTAGGTTGGATCTGTACCCAGGATTCGAGCCAGCTAGTGAAAAGCAGAGAGGAGAAGATGGTGTGTTAGGTTGCCTTCACTTGTTAAGATCCATGTCTCGTTTGATTCAATCTTGTCAAGACAAAAAAAAAGCAAATACATGTTTGCGCTTACCATGATGAACAATGGTGTGACCCTTGTAAGAATCTAGAACCCAACCAAGGCCATATCCTGTGGTAGGAGCAAAGTCGGGCTTGCGTACCTTCGACTTCATAATGTTGTGGGGTTTCAGGGTCTCCTGCACGCTCTCCTTGTTCAAGACCTGCTTGCCATCGAGCTCACCCTCCTTCAAGATAACTTGACCCCACTTGGCCAAATCCAGGACGTTCATGTAGATGTCTCCAGCAGCGGCATCGGCCATATGAATCTCATCCATGTATCCCTCCTCATATACCTCCTTCTTGGCATCATCAAACGTAGCAGCATCGTAGGGTCGTGCAAAGTTGGACAGCTTCTCCATCTCTGGCAACGAGAGTCCCGAATCCTTGAGTCCCAGAGGTTCGAGCAACTTGGCCTTGATCAGCTCCGCATATGTCATCCCTGCGACCTCGGCACTGGCCTCTCCTGCGACGGCATAGATGATGTTGTTGTAGTTGACGATGGGGGACATTTTTGTGGTGGGCAGGTTTAGGTGTCTGAGTTGCTTGATGAGGTCCCTGGTTGAATCCTTGTTCCTGAACCATGCGAGATCAATTGATGGCACGGGCTGTGTGTTTTGTTATTTTTGTATAAAACAAAGGTCAGAGTGGTCAGCCATGAGACGTCAACAGGTCTTTTTTTTTTTTTTTTTCTTTTTTTCTAAAGGTGTCAGCAAAAGCTGTTTTGTAGTTGACTTACTGTGCGATGGGCGAGCATATCAGCCAGGGTCAGTTGGGAGGTCAAGACGGAATCCTCGAGCTGGAACTCGGGAAGGTACTGAGAGACAGGGGTCTTATCCCAATCCATCTTTCCTTCAGCAACCAGTTCACCAATGGCGGTCGCAGTAAACGCCTTTGTCACAGAGGCAAGGTGAGAGACAGTCTACATCGCCACATTTTTCAGAATACCGAGAAGGAAAAAAAGTAAATCGTGAGAAAATTGAACCTAATACATGAAAACAACAACGACGGACAAGAAACACAAGCATTAATTTTTTTTATCATTACCTCCTTGGTGAAGGGGTCAGTTTGGTTGCGCTTTCCGAATCCTTCAGCAAAGACGAGTTCGCCCTTATGCATAATGGCGACACTCATTCCTTTGATACCGCCCTCGATCCTGGCCTTTTCGAGAACCTCAGGGAGGTTGGCGAGGAAGTCCTTGGTAGACATGTTGTCGTCAGTGGCGATTTCAGTGGTGGTCATTGTTGGAGGGATGAAGAGAGGGAGGAAAAGATGGAAGGTGTGTTACGGTGAGGACGAAGGAAGAGACAAGAGTTCTTTTATATGTATTTTTCGTCAACAATTCGACATATTTATTTTCCTTGGGGTCTTGGCTCGTTGCCAGTAGGCTAGCCTTTGACCAGTATGTTCCCAGCACCTAACTGCGGAAGGGAATGATGCACCCAAGTGAGCGACAAAGAAAGACGACGGCGTGTCTAAAAAGAAGTCGATCAATTAGTTATGTCATCCAACCTTGTCCTTCCGCCCGTAACGTACGATTTATTTGATTTCGAGCGTCCATTTGTAAGTGGTCAACTCCATAAGCTCCAGCTGCAAATCCGCCGCCTGGAATCAATCGCCAAGATGCTCTCCTTCACTACTTACACAAGGTATCTTTAGCATCGCCTTAATAACTGAAATCCGCGCCGTGCATCTGTTACAAATGAGGAAACGATCACAAAGACGACGAAAGGATACGAATTCATAACTTTCCGTTGTACCAACACCACCCAGGCCCAGCCCCTTTGCCACTTGGATCCATGGCATATTTCTTATTTCTCTTTCGACTCTTGGCTGACGATGAATGGTGAATAAATGAACGCAAACGCACGAAATCGATGTTCCCATAGTCTTTTATTCGGAGCTCGTAGGGGAGAGGGGCTTACAAGTCTGAATGGCTCTAGGCTTGAAAGAAGAGCTACGTGTTGGTAGGTTGTAGAAGAGTAGAGGATGCCTTTCTTCAAGAGGGAAAGCAAGCACTTGTTTTGGTCCATGTTCGATTCAGACGGTGATAAGATAAGATCAAAGGGAATTGATGGTTGACAAGTTTGCCAAGTGGATATATCACTTGCATAAATAACCCAGTCATAATCACCAAAACGAAACGCTGGGAATGATTTCTCACAAGGACATGACATTGACGCCACCATTTCCTCCCCTCGACTTTTGTTACGCTTGATAGCTTGCTTTCTTTACATTCTGACATCACCACAGCGCAGCTCCTTCCAGTCTCTCTTCTACAATGAGCTCATTCAGCAGCCCAAAGGCAAAACGAACCGCCACAGGATCAAATGCATTCCAACGACAGGGCTCATCACTCACACAACCCGCATCCAGCCTTAGTACTGATCAACCTCCTTGGCAATGCGGAATGTCATGTGTGTTGACCCACACACACTTTCAGTTAAAATGCCAAGCGACCCTCATGAACTAACCACTTGACCTTTGAACGACTCTGTTTTACCTAGTACCATGTCCTATCTGCGGGAAGTCAATCGCTGAGTGGTAATGATGTTTGCCTTTCATGAAGCACCGGTACGCCGTGCTGCTCTCTCTTTCTCTCCACATATGTCATGATACTCATTCCTAACTTATATTGACTAATCAACCAAATAGGTTCGTCAACAACCATCTCGATAACGAATGCACAGGAATGGAGAGCGTAGCAGAGTCATTGGTAAAAACATCATCCTATCTATGCAAGCGACTTTTGAGATTATCATGGACCTACAGCTTCACTTTTGTAAACCAGGAGAGTCTAACGACGTATTCTACTTTGACAATGCCACATTTTAGTCACAACAGACATCGGGCAAACGGAAGCATGGAGACACAGTCGACGACTTTGACGATATTGATGGGGCAGCCTTGTTTCAGGACAATGGTGACAATTACACGGCAGACATTAATCGTCGCGACTCGTATCCGGCCTCCTCAGCAACCTCCTCGAGCCAACAACAACAACAACAACAACAACACCAACAAATCTCGTTTCAGAGCAGAAAGGATAAGGCCAACGCTGCTGTCCAACGGTCAATGCCATTAGCAGAGCGAGGCAAGTGTAGTGGTTGGATGCATGGCCTTGAACTCGTGAAAGGCAGCTGTGTCATTGGAAAAGAGATCCTTGAACTAACACCGCAACACTCTTCCACATTTTAGCCCGACCCGCTAGTCTGGACGACTTCATTGGACAAAAGGAGTTGGTCGGCCCTGGAGGCATTCTAAGGGCGCTTGTACTTCAGGACACGGTACCATCAATCATCCTGTGGGGTCCCTGTGGTGTAGGCAAAACGACTCTAGCCAGGATCATTGCACATACAACAAAGGCACAGTTCAAGGAGATGGGAGCTACCACTCATGGAGTCGCAGACGTCAGGTACAAGCTTTGTTGCGAGCGAGATGCTTTCGTCGTTTTGCGGGAATGACTATCTAATACTGGTTATCATTTTCTTACATGTCGTTTAGGAAAGCATTCGAGGACGCAAAAAATCTATTCCAGTTTTCAAGGCAGCGGACGATTATTTTCCTGGACGAAATGTAATGACTATCATCCTCCTTGTCTTCGTCATTGGTCAAGTAGCAGGATACTTACAAAGGCAATGGGACCTGACCTGTATTTCTCTGTTCCGTCTTGTTTTGTTAGCCATCGGTTTACAAAATCACAACAGGATATCTTCCTCCCCTTCGTTGAGAGAGGCACGATTACTCTCATTGGAGCAACGACCGAGAACCCAAGTTTCAGGGTGAACAGTGCTCTGCTCTCACGGTGCAGAGTCTTGACACTTGAGAAACTGTCGCTCGAGGATGGGATGGACAAGATGATCCAAAGGGCTGCACGGATCAAATGGCGGGATATTCTGGATATGGCCTGTGCAGAGATGACCGAAACCGAGTTGGCGACCTTGAACTCTACATTTGGACAGAATGATCGGACGTTTGATGAGTGGGTGGATGCAAAGACGGAGCCGGGGGCTATCAAATGGCTCATTGATCTCAGTGACGGCGATGGTACGTATGTCTGGTTTTTTTTTTGCTATTACGTTTACTGAACGGAGGTCTTATTGACCCTGGCAATTAATTTACCCGTTTCTTTTGAACTCTAGGTCGATCGGCGATCAACACTCTGGAGATTGGAATTCAGGGCCTTTCGACTATAATTTTATCCGACGACTCTATGTACGGCAATAGTCAAAAAGAACAAGAGGACCAAGCAGAGGACAGGCAACCATCCGGAGTTCTTGAGAGACTGAACGCTGCCAAGCTGACAGGAGAGGTTGTCAAGATGGCGTTCCAAAAGACCCATCTCCAATACGATCGTCAAGGAGATGAGCACTATAACCTGATCAGTGCACTTCACAAGTCTGTCCGAGGAGGGTATGTAAACTTTTTGTCATTCATGTTGCATATGATAACTTGAGGTAGAAAAAAAACTGTATCGTTGGAATGTGTAGCTAAACAATTGGAGGTTGATCCGATAGGGATGCGGATGCGGCGCTCTATTGGCTGGGGAGGATGCTTGTATCTGGCGAGGAACCGTTGTATATTGCCCGGAGATTGATCCGCATGGCGTCCGAAGACATTGGCATGGCCGACTCTGCCGCCCTACCTCTGGTTCGCATCTTGAAAAAATGTGCCGTCATTGTCTTTGTTGAATGTGTCCAGACAAAGCCGCAGTCATTCTTACGTGCGTTTTTTACTCCTCTCTGTTAGGCGGTATCAACGTACCAAGCGTGCCAGATGATTGGAATGCCCGAGTGCGACGTCAACCTAGCCCATTGCGTAGCCTATATGGCCAAGGCCAAGAAATCCGTCGATGTTTACTATGCCTACGGGCAAGTAAAACAGACAGTGTCCGAAGAATTCGCATACCCAATCCCGATCCATCTCCGAAACGCACCGACGACATTGATGAAGGATCTAGGCTATGGCGACGAATACAAGTATAACCCGCTCTACCCGGAGGGGACCAAGGTCGATCAGGAGTATTTGCCAAAGGGGCTGAAGAAGCGCAAGTTTATGGGCGAAGCACCTGTGATGACCCTGGGCGAGGACGGAGAATGGCGTTTGTAGATATGATTTTTTTGCTCACTGATTTTGATTTACAAACATGAAACAAAGAGAGCCGTTTGCCTCCAATGTCAGTCAAAGGCTGAGAACAATGATGTTGTATATGTTTTTTATAGCATGGGTGAGGATGGAGGGAGGACGGAGATGATGCTGATGGGTTGATGGTAAAATGATGAGATAGTGAAAGAGTGAGAAGGAAGGGTGGAGGAAGGTAACAGAAACAAAAGGTCCTTTACATCTTGAAGTGGTCGTGGTCCTTGTGGGCCTTGTAGAAAGGAGACTGGATTTGGACATCCTTGAGAATCTCGGCGACCTTCTCCATGACTGTGCTGTTTTCCTTGAGCGACGAATCCATGTTCCAGATCTGGAAAATGTCAGAGTTCCAGCGTGCTGAGACGGACAAGCCAAAGATCTGATCGTCTATTGATTAAATAGAGAAGGAGAAAGAGATGGGTCAGTCACTGCATATTTGGTTTTCCGTTGAAAGGTCAATTTGTTCTTGCATAAATGCATGTTGCATCCTTCCGCCGACTGTTGTCTCCCGTTTTTGTTGTTTCTTTTGCCGAAACTTCCACGGACCCCGTTGTAAAAAAAAATAGCAATTAGAGTTGAGGCAGGAGGGAACACACTGATTCCAGGAGGAAAGAGGAGTGCTTGTCCACCAATTGAAAGGGGCATGCCATAAAAATTCATCCTGAAACCCCATATTAGTTCCTATGATACGCAGGCAACGAGAGTAGCTGTGTTCTGCTTCCGGCTAGAGGTTTTCGTTTGTTGTTGTTGTCGTTGTTGTTGTTGTTGTTGTTGTTGTTGTTGTTGTTGTTGTTGTTGTTGAAAAAAGCTTACCCTTGGAAATGGTTTCCTCAAACTGCTCGCCAATCAAGGCCATCAACAGCTCGCGCCAGACAAAGGCAGTATCGCCCTTGGCCGTCCTGAAGTTCCATGCGCCTCCATGCTCGTTCTTGGGATCCTCCCACAGGGGCTTGACCCCCTTGTGGATGAAGTGGAGCGAGCATCTCAAGGTCAGACGCTCAGGGCCCGTGATGTTGTTGTACACCGACCAAAAGGACTAAGTGGAGAACGGTAAAAAGGGTAACAAAACAACAAGGATGATATTACAAAAGGAAATATCCGCAGTGGGCGAAACGGAGTTTACGTTAGTTGTGTAATATTTTCCCCCGAAAGACAACTGGGAAAGAGACAAAGGAAGGGAGGGAGGGAGGGGCGGGTGTTCGGTCATCTGATTCCCGCACGGCGCAGGAATGGCTGTTTGTTCATCCCGCTCAGCAACTAAAGTGAAAAGAAAACTTTGTTCTGACTTTTACCTGGACAGTGTTGACATCGGCAATCTCCTTGAGGTTCTCAGTGTACTCTGCTGGGGTGGCATTGGCAACGAACCTATGGAAGGGAAGGTGGTGTCAGAGCTTGGATCCTTTTTTTTGTCCTTGTTTGAAAAAAGAATGGGTCGATGGTCAAGATGATGAAAGAAAAGACAGGGCCCATACTTGTCGTGCCAAAAGACCCAGTCGTTCCTCAGGGGAATAGGAGTGGCGGCTGCCCCAACGGCAGGGGTTCCATTCTCTGATCCGGAGGGGCTCTTTGATTCCACATTGTCTCCTCGGGGTGAAGAAGCAAGGGCCATGGCTCCAACGCCGCTCTGCTGAAAGACAAGTGAAGAAGGCATAACTAGCAAAGAGTGGAAGAGAAGATCAGTTTGAGGAAGAAGGTGGTGGGGGTTAGAGAGGAGTCGCAGTTGGTCGTTGGATATACGGCAATTGGTGGCAGGGGAGGAGAATCCTTGCTGGCAGGCTGGTTGGTGTTGTGAAAGTGAACGTCGTTCAGGGTGGGCAAAGTCGATGGTTGTTTTGACGACAGTTGTAGTTATTGCTGCTGTGCTCTTTTGTTACTGTTATGACAGAGTGGAGTTAAATTGATGGTATATTGTTAAGCCTACTTACTAGCAGGAGAAAGAGAGAGTGAGAGGGTGAGAAGAAAGGTGGGACCCGGAAAGGGGGAGAGGGGAGTGGGGAGGGGAGGGTGCCTGGGGGTAAGGATGAGAGAGAGAGAGAAGGAAGGGAAGGGAAGGAAGGAAGAAGAGTAGGAAGTACGGCTGCCATTAAACAATATCTCACGTGAATCAGCATTTAGACTGCTCTTTGAAAAAAAAAAAAGGTGCCACACATTTTTGCCACAGAGCGGCTTTTGACTCGCAACTCTTTCCCCTCTTGGTCTCCTTGTCGTGATCACCCTGCAGGAAGAGACCGCCACTCAAAAGGGATAAAACAGCATGATCTAATCCCACTACCACCAATTACACGGACAAGGACAAGCACAAAGATACACCAACCAACAGAGAATTACTCTCATACACATCCACACTCACCTCCACCACCACCGACAACAAGTAACCCACCAAAAAACCTTGTAACATTCACCTTTCGCCACCTTCACCTCAATCGTTGCACCGCCCAGTGCTGCCATGTCGGGGCGAAAGCATGAACAGAGTTCGATCCGGTCCCCGGTTGCCAGGATGACTCGAAGTAGAGCACAGAGCGTGGCTCGGGGAGAGCTTCAGCCAGCCCCAACAACCAGTCGTCAGGTGAATCGCGTCAACGTTGAGGAAAAGGAGGTGCTTGTTGAAGAGCCGGTTGCATTGGGCGCGTCTAGTGGAACCGAACAGCCAGACTTGCCGCTCTCTTCCCCATCACAGTCACGACTCTTGGTCTCAATACCCATGGGCGATTCCAAACGGAAACTCAACAACACAGCCGAACAACCTCATAGTTCTCCTCAGAAGCACCGGCGGATTTCACAGGGCAAGGAACAGTACCAGCCACCAGAGCCGCAGAGTCCATCCCAGTCGCACGAGCAGCAAGCAGAAGCTCAGATCAAGCTCGATCAGATACAAGGCGCTATTTCAGAGGAAGACAAGGCAGACTCAACAGCAGCTACGGTGCCACCCTACAGCCAGCCCGATCAGATACAAGGCGTTGTTTCAGAGGGAGGCAAGGCAGACTCAACAGCGGCTACGGTACCACCCCACAGCCAGCCCGATCAGATACAAGGCGTTATTTCAGAGGGAGGTAAGGCGGATTCAACAGCAGCTACGGTGCCACCCCACAGCCAGCCCGATCAGACACAAGAAGTTGTTTCAGAGGGAGGCAAGGCATATTCAACAGCAGCTACGGTACCATCCCACAGCCAGCCCGATCATGATGAACACTTTCAAGAGTTACAGGAAGTCTCCTACGCAGCGTCAATATCACAGCAGAAGGAGAGCCACGACATCACAACATCTAGAGAGTCAGCAGAAGCACCTCATACACCAATGCAGGACGGAGACGCGACAAAGGAACCGTCTTTGGATAACCGTGAAGGAGGAGAGCGAGGAGATGACTCGCGATCGAAAACGAACATCCCCGAGGCAGCTTCCAATACAAAGGACAACTGGGACGATCAACACCGAAGGAAGCGTGCAAGGACGAACGACAAGGCCGAGGGTGATGGGATTCAGGATGATGACGAAGACAGTGATCCCGAGGAGGACGAAGAAAACCAGGTGGTTCCTGAGTATGTTTTGCGGGAGATGCAGGCGTTTGAACAAGGGTTCAATGGTCTGCAGGGAAAGTTTAAACTTCTGGACAAGATCGGAGCAGGTATGGATCATGAAGAGTATTGAGTGAATGAAACGTGAAAATGAGCTTTTTTTATGCAACGTTTGACATTTACTTCTCTTCTTTGTCACAGGCACTTTTAGTTCTGTTTATAAGGCGATCGACCTCGAGCACGAACAATACGACAACACGGCATGGGATTATCAGATGGAAAAGCTACCTGACGCCGATGTCTCTGAGGACAAATCTACTACAACCAAGCTGAGCGACTCTGAAGGAGGCAAAGTGGTGGCGCTTAAACGGATTTACGTGACGAGCAGTCCTGATCGGATACAAAACGAAATTGCCATCCTGCATGATCTAAGGTAACGAAGCTTGTGACAGATTTGCTCAATGAATTATATGTTTTCTGGGTGAACTTGAGCCTTGCTGACGTCCATTTTTATTATTTTGCAATATAGTGGCCACAAGAATGTTGTGCCGTTGATCACCGCGTTCCGATTTATGGACCAGGTTATTGTCGTATTGCCTTACTTTGAGCACCGCGACTTTCGGGTATGTTGCCATCGCTGTGAAAGAATACGCGACACATCGTCATTGGGGTACGCAATTGCAAACGGTACTAACCTTGCTCGCTTCCCTTGCTCGTTCGGGTTTCATTATTTCAAGGAATACTACAAGACACTGCCCATGGACGGTATCCGCTGTTACTTTCGCGCACTACTCAAAGCCCTCATGCATGTACACGCCAGCGGCATTATTCACAGGGATGTCAAGCCAAGCAATTTCCTCTATGACGTTCAGAGAAAGACAGGAATGCTCGTAGACTTTGGACTTGCACAGCGCCAGGAGAGTTCACGCAAGTCCTATCGCGAGTCGAAGTCGCGGTCGTCATCTTTGAGAGCTAGCGCAGCGGAAAGAACATCAGCCGTAGCCTCAGCAGCGTCCGCAGCAGTAAGGCCATCAACCTCTACATCGGCGGCGACTGCACCAACAAGGATATCAACATCTTCGACTAATGCAGGAGCTAGGGCATCGACTCCAAATCCAACGGGACCGACGACATCAACTGCAGGTGTAGCGACGACAGGAACGCAAGCGCAAGCAGCACATTCCTTCTTGGCACAAAGGTCTGGCTCTACTCGACGCGACAAGGAAAACGACGCCCCTGTCAGCTCGAGATCTATGCTCGAGAGTCGAGCAACGCCCAGAACATCACACGCCTCCATGGCTGTTACTGGCGCACCAACACAACCGACAGCGACATCCTATGTTTCTTCTTCGACAGTTCCTACTCCAGCACGCAATCAGGTCCATTCTGTCCGCCACACGACCACTACACAGGATTTTGCCGCGACACTTCAGAATCCATTTCAAAGGCAGCGTCCTGGAGCACATGCCGCAAGCATTAGCGCCACTGTCGCCAATAACCCCTCTCCAATGCCTAGTCACTCTACCCACGGACGGTCAAAACACCCCTCACACCTTCCTCACTCAGAGACCTCCTCAATACCCCCTATTGGCCCAGTACCAAAGGCCACTCGTGCACTAGGATTTGATAAGAAGGATCCAAGGTAACTTGCGACAATAGACCTGCTTTCAGTTGAAACATGCGGATCAAACAGGAAGCTAACGCACAGTTTGTTCTCAATTATCAGGCCTGTCATCAGAGTTAACCGTGCAGGAACGAGAGGATTCAGGGCACCAGAGATTCTCTTCAGACATGTTCAGCAGACAGTTGGTATGTCACAATTGATAGTATTTCCTACATCTATTCACAGGCTGCAGAGAAATGAGTCTTTACTCACTAGTGTCTTGTCATATTAATGTAGCATTGGATATCTGGTCTGTTGGAGTAATTCTACTGTGTTTCCTATCAGGACGATTCCCTTTCTTCCATTCGGACGACGATCTGGAGGCTCTATTAGAGATTGCGGTCGTTTTTGGTCAACGTGAAATGGCCGCCGTCGCTGCCACATTCAGTAAGTTCAACATCCAGCGAATGTACTTCTTTCCCATAACATATGCGCGTTGTTATGATCCTAACAGGCCGAGTGTTGATACATCGTGTATTCTGTTTGATAGATCGAACGTTTTTAACCACTATACCTGCCATCAAGGACTACGGCGTTTCGCGCGCCAAAATTTGTCGACTAATGAATCCGACGCGCTTTGGCAAACCAAACCAGCGGAGTTCACAGTCATCTAATCGATCTTCAAGATCCGCTCAGATTAGTGATCGTCAAGAACATAGTTCATCGAGGAACCTCGACGCGCAGGCGACACCTGCTTCAGATGCACATGGACAAAGTGTAACATTTCAGGCTCATGATCCAACTATTGTGGCGTCGAAGATGGACCTTCAGTACCGAAGCGGCACCCACAAGCAAGATGGTCTGCCTGAGCCCGACAATCGGAGACGTGCCCACAACGATCTTATGACGAGAGGAAAAGATCGAAAGGCAGAGACAACACCGACTGCAACTTCTGCAACCGCTGCGACACAGCCAGACGTTGAGGCGACATCGACCAATCCAGATCCTAAGTCCGGTACCTCTTCCGCAACCAATGGTACTAGGAAACTCACAATCCACGAAATAGAGACCGCTTACATCAAGTCGCTCAATATTGTCGGTACGGAGAACGATGAGGATTTTATGGATGCAATCGATCTTCTGGACAAACTCTTGGCGCTGGACCCGACCAAACGAATCACTGCCCGACAAGCACTGAAGCACCGATTCCTTGCAGAAGACAAACCGTAGGTCGCACCCCTGCTCTTAGAACACTAGCTGGCCACACCATTTTTTTTATCTCCATTCCTTTTCTTTTTTGCGGACGTGACTTTCCCCTCCTCCCGCTGTACCAGCATAGTATCCATTTCACTTTGTTTGCAATTTTTCTTGACTCTTTCTCGCTCCTTGTACAACGTGTACCATAACCATTAAAACACTACATTTTTCGCACAAAGAGCAATGTGCGCATGTCGGGACGCGTAGTTTAGAGTATGACAGCAGGCCAAGGATGCAAGGGGCAAATCGAGGGGGACGACAATACTACAAGGAAAAATAGAACGAAGAGACTTGAAAGGGTGAGAAAGGAGGACCATTTGGAGTTGTCAATTTGCGAACTCTCACCCCTCTTTTTCGGTCTCCTTCATGGAATTCTTTGGTTGTTACTTGTCATTGCCCTTCTTATTTTTTTTCCTCTGCTGTTTCCGCCTCTATACTTCTTTTTTTTCTCTTCTTCACCATCGCTGTCATTTCCTTTATCCACATTTTCGCTTCCCCGGACTACTTAACGACAACCTCTATACTACTTCCTGTGACAAGCAGAGAATGAAGCGGACATCAACACACCTTTGGATCCAGTTGGTCCTCTTCTTAGTCCTGACGATTATCAATGTTCCGCCGTGGCTAATGTTCAAAGGCAACACTATTGCCTCCGTCTGTGCTCTCGATGTCTCTTTCGGCGGCGAGGGCAATGAACCCAACGTTGTTGTCGTCGAAACTTTGACGCAAGGTCAAGACGGCGAGCATGACGAACGGACACGAGAAGGACAGGCTCATGTTCAAGGATTTCAACAGCAACAAAGACCACTGGGGTTTGTGAAGTCTGATCCTAGTCTGGACTCGATCCCAATGTCGAGTCTTCAGGGGAGTATCGTTGTTGCAGATCCCCAGCTCGATTCGCAGAGTCGTAGTGGGGGAGATATGGAGAAGGAGGCCAAAGATGCTCAACAGACGCCTCTGGAAGCACCGTCACCACAGAACCCAGACACTTCTTCGCTAGATGACCTTGTAGCACCAGTAACCGAACCGCCTACAACTGGATCAACGCACCCTATCCGGCGGCTGATCAACACCTACTACGTGCGATTGTCAGCATTACCTGGCACGGAGGAGGCAAAAGCCCAGCATGCGCTGGTGAGAAATGCCCTGCTGGCACTTCCTGGGAAAGTGACGATCCGACAGGAGTTTGGGAGGGACGAGGACGATGTGTTGAATGTGATCTCGTTCAAGTTGGAGGGGTGTAGTGATGAGCTCGAGGAGGTCGCTGCACTTCCGGGTGTTATTGGGATCTATCCTGTGGTGAGTGAGTAGAGCCTTGTCTGGTCATAATTGTGTTATCTTTTGTTATCGGTGTAGCATTCCTTGACAATCCCTGAACTTTAAACTTGCCTGTCTTTAATGTGTTTCTCTATAGCACACGCGGAAGAGACCAAAGGCATTGCCATTGGGATCGCTGCAGAGGACGAGGCCTAGCCTGGAGTCTGCGCATATCCTGACAGGGATTCAGATGGTCCACCAGAAGCTCGGTCTGACCGGCAAAGGCATCAAAGTCGGCATCATCGGTACTTTTTTTTTTTCTTGTTTCTTTCATTCTTGCTCAATTTCGATATGCGCTGTTGACTTAACTGCATCTTTTCTTTTCGGACCGATGTGATTTTTTAGACACGGGAGTGGACTACAAGCATCCGGCGCTGGGAGGATGTTTCGGTCCTGGATGCAAGGTCGCTTATGGGTATGACTTTGTGGGCGATGATTACGATAACGGCGACAGCGAGAAGGATACGCCGAAACCTGATAAGGATCCCATGGACTGTGCAGGGCATGGTACCCATGTTGCTGGTATTGTTGCCGCGCGTAATGAAGGACCGAACGCGATGGGGCCTCAAAATTTTGTTGGTGTTGCTCCCGATGGTAAGATATACTCTTTTTCGTTGCGAACTGACGGTTCCTTGGGATATATACAGCTGCCTCTTTTGGTCAGAGAGAAAGAGGGAAACTAACTATTACGCCCACACTTCAACGTATGGAACTTTAGCAACTATTGGAGCGTACAGGGTGTTTGGATGTGACGGAGAAGTCAGTGACGATGTCCTGTTGGCAGCACTGAAGAGAGCATACAGGGACGGCATGGACATTGTGAACTTGTCCCTCGGAGGATCTTCCGGGTGGCCCGAAGAGCCCTTCGCTACCGCCTGCAGTTCCTACATCAAAAAGGGGCTCCACATCGCGATTGCCAACGGAAACGACGGCGAGGAAGGACTCTTTGAAGATGGCGCACCAGCGACGGCTGCGGGTGCAGTGGCTGTTGGGAGTGTTGACAATACGCATTTCTTAGGCCCTGCGGCAGATGTAGTCTGGCAGTCGTTGGACCGTAATGGGAAGGAGGTTAGTGCTGTTGCTGGACGTGTCGATGGTGCTGCTGCTGGAGGTGGGGTGGTGGGTCGGATCGGGATGGCGTTGGGTGCTGATGCGGCGGACGTGCCCTTAGTTGCGTTCAGGAGTGATTTGACTTATGTCATATATGCCCCCTCCAAGGATCCTCAAGGATGCGCACCCTATGACGAGGCTGCACTGGACAGAGATAACCAAGTCCCTCGGCCCAACATTGTTGTTCTCCTCCGTCGTGGTGGATGTACGTTCAGCGACAAGGCCAAACTGATTGCCAACGCCAAACTTGGGGGGCTGTTGGTTTATGATATCATCCCTGAACAACGGCCCTTAGGAATGGCAGTGAGTGGGTTCAACATCTCTGCGGCTGGTCTTTCCTTTGAGGACGCTACTGTGCTGATGAACGCGTTGAAGGCTAAAGAGACCAATCCGACGCTCCGGAATAGCGGTCGCAAGTTGACTGCGCGGTTCTCGAGTACCGACCAGATCTTGAAGTTGGCGAGTGGAGGCAAGATCTCGGACTTTTCGTCGTGGGGCCCAGATGCTCGATTGCAATACAAGCCCGATATTGTGGCACCTGGAGGAATGATCTACTCAACTTTCCCCCTGGCCAAGGGCGGGTTTGCGACCTTGCAGGGCACATCGATGGCGTCTCCTTACATGGCCGGTATTCAAGCCCTGTTCCTGTCTAAGTATGGGAAAACCGAGCCGGCGCTGCTGTTGAGGATCTTGCAATCGACTGCTGTCGTGACCGTCAAGCCTGGATCGAGTGAAGGGCTGACCTCGGTCTTTCAGCAAGGTGGTGGGTTGGTCTCGATGGAGAGGCTGTTTGCGCAGGAACTGCCCACGATTGTCTCGCCGACAGCTCTATACCTCAACGACACTCAGTTCCAGAAACTCGACCACGACATCACTTTTGTCAACCCATCGGCCTCGTCTGGTCGCACTTGGACACTTGTTCACAGACCTGCCGTCTCGGTCAACGGATTCGAGGATTCCAACCACTACAGTCCTGTCAACCAATCTCGTCTTCGGCATTCGGATATCTCTGCCGGTTCTGCTAGCATGACCCCAGCTCAATTTCAACTAGGCCCGGGTGCCACAGGTACTTTTCGCGTTCGTATCGATCCGCCTACAGGCTTGGACATCAAGGAGCGGTGGCTATTCAGCGGGTTCCTCGAGTTCCAGTGCAGGACGACCCAAGGCGCAAGCTGCGGATCAAGTCTCGTTTCTTACGGAGGAATGCATGGACATTTGGGCGATATTCCGATCCTGAATCCAGCTCTGATCTACCCAGCCTTGCAACTCGACAGGCTCCTCAACGCTGATGGGGCCAGTAGGACCACCTCATCTTCGACCCCTGACAACGACAACGACGACGAACACCATGTCCACTCCGACACCGGCAGGACCCCCTCGGGCCACAAAAAGAAGGGCGGCGACAACACAAAGAGGAAGGAACAAAAAAACCTCTTCCGGGACCAGTCTGAGCTTGTCCAGGTCGGCAAGGGTGACCAAGACTGGGTCCAGATCCTGGTCTCTATCAATTTCCCGACAAGTCTGCTCACAATTGAGGCCGAATCTGTCTGCGACAATGATCATGGTGCGGGGAGCAGCGGTGACAGGATTCGACTGGAGATTGGAGGATCTGGTCGGAGCCGGTTCCAGATCGAGACTGAGGAGGACCTCGAGGTGGCTGAGAATATGGTCGCCAGGGTTGAGCTGCACACAGGAGACGAGGACGAGTTGCCTGAAGACATGGATCTGGGGTTGGTGGCGCATATGAAGGAGCGTTTGGCGCGGTCTCGGGAGCTGGCGTTCATGCCTAGCGGTCTTTACATGCCCTATGAGGGGTACTCTCGTGTCATGGCGCCTAATGTCCCCATTGAACCCTTGTCTCTCCTCCGCAAGTCTCACAAGCATGGCAAGAAGTCCAAGGGCAAGGCCGAGTCCAAGTTTGGGAAGAAGAAGAGCAAAAAGGCGCACAAGTCCAAGTCGATCAAGAAGAGCTCATCCAAGCACCAACGCCACTACCGCCAAGGCGCCAAATCGACATCCGGCGACAAGAAGGGTCGCCGCAACGAGAACGACCGCAAGAACAAGAACAAGAACCGCCATCATCGAGATAAAGAAAACGGCGAAATCACGACCCCTCACCACAAGAAGCAAGGCGGCGGTAGTGATCGATCTCGAGGACGAAGGCGACCGGCCTCAGCATCAGCACGACCATCAAGACTCTCACCTCCCTCTCAAATCAGATCTCCCACCTGTGTACCCCGGATATTGGGCCTGATCCCTAATGGGTTCAATCCTTGGTCAACACGCACGGACTCGACGGAAGGAAACGCGTTCCAAACTTTTTCGTGGATGGGCGACCTATTGCTCCAGAACCATGATGCCAACTCAGAACCCCAATGTGGCGCTGACGGACTTGATACTGGAGAGGATACGGAGTCTTTGGTCAAGGATGTCGATGGCGGAAAGGGAGACAAGAAGAAGAAGAAGCGCAAGGGCAAGGGCAAAAGGCCACGACCAGACCAGAATATGGCAGAAGGTGCACAACCAGATCTGACGAGGGATCTGCCAGATGGTCAGTACCGCCTTGTGGTCAAGGTGCTCAAGCCCTGGGGAGTCCGCGGTCGCGCCATTGATGTCGAGCGCTGGTCCAGTCCCATCATTGTCATCAAGCGACGCAAGTAAATATTTTTCATTATGCTATCCCTCAATCATTTTTTTATTTTAAACACGCGATTAGAGTCGACACAGGAAAAATCAACGAAATAAAAATGCAGACGAGTGCGTACATGCACTACTAGGAGACTGTGCACAAATGGAATATGGCGTTCGAGTGCCGCTTCCGGCTCTGTGACGGTGTCTACGTAGGCTTTCAGGCATGGCTGTGACCCTGTCGGCCTCTTCCTTTGGAAAGAAAGATACAGACGAGCACTTATTTAATTTTTTACTATGTATTATATTTTCATGCCGCAACAGCCGGTTCCATACATTGACATTGCGTGGTTCAGGAACAGGCAGCCGCGCAGGGAGTTGATCAAGCAATTGAGATACCTCGACATGCCCTCCAAGTTATTCCGCGTCTCCATCCTAACCAACGCAGCCATCGCCGAACTCCCCACCTATCTCCCTTATTACATCGCCGACAGGATCCTGAACCTACCCCAGACAGTCGACTGACTCAACGACCGAGCCCTTCACAGAACAAAGGACATCTACGACGTCCAGGCCAAGACCGAAAATGTCAGCTTACCGGATCGCATCGAGGGTAAGCCCCACAGCCACGCGTTGGTGGACTACACCGGCGAGTACGCCAATCCTGAAATCGGCAATACCGTGGTTAAGCTTCAGGAGGACGGGTCGTTGTTTATGAAGGTCAGGACGTTTGAGAGCAAGTTGGAGCACTATCATTACGAGTCATTCAAGGGGTACGTACAGGACTTTACGATCCGAAGGAATGTGTTTCTTGAGTTCTTTACGGGTTTGAATGGTCGTGTTGAGTCCGTGGAGGCTGCTCTTGTCATGGCTTTTGACCTTAAGATCTCAAGAAAGCGGCATCGCTCAAGTAAAAAAATCGATTGTTATGGTTTGTCTTGTAAACCTTGTTTTTTTATTCTTTCTTGGATACCGCCTCGCGTGTTGATCTCCTGTGAAATATTTCTAAACGGCTGGGAAAAGATAACACGTCACCATTAATTTCGCGTCATGGAGGCGCTTTGCCAAGACGCCAAGAGTCGACACTGAGAAAGAACTGCTGAAAGAGAATGTTGATGATAGCATGCACTTACTACAGATGTAACATAACAGATAACACAGGAAGAATTTTTGTGGGAAAAGATGTGATCTCAAAGCTGCTGTGCATATAAATACCATGGGCAAGGCCAAAAAAAATTTAGCTATCCCCACCGCCACATAGTATTTTCACATTTACTCGCGAAGACCATGGCACCTCTGCTATCCAAGTCGGTTCTCCTTTTCCTTCTTCTTTCACCCCTCACCCAAGGATCATGCATTCACCGCGGATCACATTCTTCCTTCAAAGTCCAGGATTCTAATAGCCGTAATGTCGCTGATGCTACTGCTGATGGCAACCATAGGTTGTTCTTTGAGAATCTCCCCACCGTCCTGGAGAAGGCTCGTGTAGAAGGCGGTATCCCCGGTATGTCTGTTGCGATCATGCACAAGGGCCGTCTTGTCTTTGCTCAGGGATTCGGAAGGCGTAACATCAAAGATCCATTCACGACAAAGGTACCTATCAAGAACAACTTGAATCATCTGTGTGTTGTCTCCTTTGTCCTTTTTTTACTCACGATTATTGTTTTTCCTTGCCGCGGTGGCACCAAATAAACTCCCCATCCGTTGTAGACTGTAACTCATATCGCATCGCTGACAAAGGCATTTACTGCTACGGCTGTGGGTGAATTGGTGGCAGAGGGTAAGGTCGACTGGGATATCACCCCCGTCTCTCAGTACCTCCCCGAATTTCAATTGAAGGATCCTGTCCTGACCTCGCAATTGACTTTTGCCGACTTGCTCTCCCATCGAACGGTAAGATTGCGTTTACTATTGAGATGTGTCCTTGTATGTGCTAATTCGTCGCATATGGCGGACACTAAAACAAAAATATCATCTTCCTCGTGTCAAAACAGCCCTTTCCTTACATTGACGTGGCATGGTTCAGGAACGAACAGCCGCGCAGGAAGTTGATCAAGCAATTGAGATACCTTGATATGCCGTCAAAGCTACCTCGCGACGTCAACTACAACAACGTCATGTACGCCGTCGCCGGAGAGGCTGCCGCCAACGTCGCCGAAATTTCGTATACAGAACTGATCAAGACCAAGATATTTGACCCCCTCGGACTCAAGGATGCAGGACTCTCACAAGCAGAGATGGCGAAGCGATCCAATTATGCGGTTCCATACTATGCCGCCACTTTTGCTGACGCCAGGAGCGGGATTTATACAGAAGGATACATGGATCAGATCCCGATGTCTGATGCACCTGCTGGAGATATCTACATGAACGTGTTGGACCTGGTCAAGTGGGGCGGTGTGATCATGAACGAGGGTGAATTGGAGGGAAAGCAGGTTTTGAGCAAAAGAAGCGTCCAGGAGACATTGAAGCCTCACAACGTATTTTTGGATGATGAACGTCGGCCTGGTTTTGCACCTACTACAGGATATGGGTTTGGTTGGATTCTGGATTCGTACAAGGGTCATGCTATTATGAGCCACGGTATGTCAATTCTCTTTCATGCTCCCCATTATTGTTAATATTTCTGTTGCTCTCTGCCAAGCAAAAACAAGAAAACAATCAGACAGCAAAATTAACCAAAGCCTTCATCTACCACCAGGCGGAGGAAACCCTGGTTACAGGTCCATGCTGGCATTCCTGCCGGACGACGACCTTGTCCTCGCGTTCTTGAGCAACATAGAGGTTACAAATCTCCCCGGCAGCATCCTATATTACATGGCCGACGAACTCTTGAACTTGCCAAAGACCGAGGACTGGATCGACGACGTCGCCGTTAAGAGGACCCAAGAGACCTATAAAGTCCGCGGCGGCAATGAAAATGGCGATTTCCCTGACCGTATCGAAGGAACACGCAACAACCATGCCTTGGTCGACTACACCGGCGAGTATAGCCACCCTGTGTTTGAAAAGATTGTGGTCACGCTTCAGGAGGAAGGGTCGTTGTTTATGAAGATCCGGACGTTGGAGACCAAGTTGGAGCATTATCATTACGAGTCATTCAAGGGACACGTGGAAGACTTTTCCGCTAGGGGGAATGTCTTTTTTACGTTCTTTACGGGTTCGAATGGTCGTGTTGAGTCGGTGGAGGCTACGCTTGTTTTGGATTCTGGACCCGAAGTGTATAAGAAAATGGAGACGTCAAAGCAATAGAAAATTGAAATTTGTTGTAGTAGTCGTCTTATAAAAATGGGTCTGTGAAAAGATGGCATTTGTGCATGGTGGTTGGATGTTCTCAGAAGAGAGAAAGAAGAGAGGGAGAAAGCGAAAAAGAAGGAAAAGAGAGAGAGAGAGAGGGGAGAGAGAAAAATAAAAGTGACCGAACGTCGACCTTGTCTCGGCTCACATCCTGCACAGAGGCCAGCATGTGGCGCTACACCTATAGGCACAAGTCGGAAGGCACCGTCTCGCCCTCTACGTTTCCTACCTCTGCCCAGTGATGAACTCAGGGTGAGACTCCTGGCTCTACTACTTTCCGTCGTCACCTCCACTTCCAAGTTAGCCGGTGATTTTGAGATTGTTTCCAAGACGCGGGAAGACAAAGCAGTGAATATGATGACGACTTGAGCAATGACTACGAAACGCGAGCTTATTCTCCATGGTTGTCTGCTTCGTGTAGTTAACATGTGCGAGCTCGACTGCCACATCAACGTCACAATTTCTTCTGGGCGCGAGAGCCCTCAAAATTGAATGTCATATGCGGTTCCTGAAGCGTCCTCTTCCACGCCCTTCACTCCCTCTCATCCACCCCTCTCTCGCATTCACGCTCCTTCCTTCTTCCTCTCTCCCCATCAACTCCATACCCAACAAATAGACACTCATACACACACGCACAAACATACACCAACAAGAGGGGACCAGAGACCATATCAACAGTAACCACAGACAGAAAAAGCGCACAGCACAACACACTCCTCTCTTCACACAAGACCCAGTCATGGCGGACCCTGGAAGTCAACCCCCTGGCATCGACGTCGGCATGCGAGTCGAGGTCAGCGGGAACCTAGGCTACGTCCGCTATGTCGGTCAGACCTCATTCTCCACCGGACGATGGGTCGGTGTCGAACTCGACCTGCCGCGAGGTAAAAACGGTGGTGTCGTCGAAGGAAAACGCTACTTTGACTGCAGGGCCATGCACGGTGTCTTTGTCCGTCCACCTCAAGCTCGCATCATCGTCGACGGTGTTGCTCCTACTGGAGCACAGGTAACTAACTGGCTAATGGCGACATAAGCAGAGTCCTACTACTTTTTGTTCTCGTAGCATTCGTTCGTTGACCCAATGGCTGACCACCATCTCTCTCTGTTGCATTCGCGAATGGTAGCCTGAACCAGCAGGACGGGCGGCTTCTCGCCCCTCATCCGTCTCAAGTCGCTCACAGCTGTCTGCAGGAAGCCGAACACTTGTTCCGAGCAGACCCTCGTCCGTGAGGACCACTATCGCATCCCCAACAGCCGCCACAGGCGCCTCAAGACTCACAAAACCAGCAGCCAGGAGAGCCGGCACAGACTCAACACCCGATTCGCCCGGCTCTGCACGCAGGATAAAAGTTGCACCTCAGTCAGCCCGTGACGATGACCACCACTTGGCAGAGCGTTCACGTTCCAGCACACCACCTACATCCGCCAACCTTCAGCAACCGCAAAATCAATTACTTCTCCAACAACAACAGCTGCAGCTTCAAAGGCAGCAAGAGGCCATGCTGGCGGAGGAGGAGAGTAAGCGTCTGACTATGGAGGAGGCCTTGATTCAGGAGGAACTTGAACAGGAGGAAGAGCTTGCCCAGAAGGAACAACAACAGGAACAACAGGGTTTTGCTCCTTTGCCAGCGTCAGCCTCTGGAGGAACCCCGTCGACTCAGTCGCAACAGGGAAACAACGCTCAGCGAACGGAGGCTGTTGTCCCCTTGAAGGAGTATGAGGAACTGAAGATCAAGCTCCGTATCCTGGAGACCAAGCGCACTGAGGACCGTGAGCGGATCCGTGATGCTGAAAAGGCCAAGGAGGAATCTGAACAGTTCCTGAACATCCGCACTAAATTGCAAGGTACTTTTTTTTTTATATTTAATCTGCGGTCGGAGGTGATGCTGCTTCCTACTTTCAGTTGACATCACTGGCATATCTAACACCCTACCATGTTTCTACACACTTTAGCCAAGCTGACAGAGATGCAACAGGAACTGCGGGACTCGAAGCGAAGCCTGAAAGAGTCTCAGACAGAGAAGGAGGCGTTTGAGAACAAATACAACGATGTGCTCGATTCTATGGAGGTGACACTACTGGACAAGGAAATGGCAGAGGAGCGGGCAGAAAACTTGCAACACGAAGTCAACATGCTGAGGGAGAAGGTCGACGAGATGCACGTCGACTTGAACGTATTCCAGCAGGAAGATGGCAAGTAGTTTTTCACACACGCACTTGCACTTGCTCACGGCCAAGCTCACTCGCGCTCCCCTGAAAATTATTTTGTTTATTTGCTGTCACATGCCACATGTGGGACGAGCATGGTCACTTCAGTGGGACAACAAGCATCTGACCATGTATATGCATATTTGTCTTTTATCAATCCGAACAACACTAATAGCAGGTCTTGGAAACCCGGCTGTCAACCAAATCCAGCTGGAACGACAGAATGAACGACTCAAGGAGGCTCTACTCAGGTAACACGGACACCGGATAATGAAACAGAGAGACCTACACCATGCAACAGTATGACATCTACATGTCCTTACCTCTGGCTCATTCTTTCTATTATTTTATACCACCAGGCTGCGTGACATGACGAGTGAACAGGAAGCAGAGATGACCAGGAAACTCAAAAACCTGGAGAAGGAGGCATCGATGGTGCAGGAGGTTCAACTTCACAACGAAAAGCTGCGCGAAAATTTGGAGTTGGCTGAGAGCCAGATTGAGGACTTGAAGCAGCGTCTGGATGATGCCATTGGTGCTGAGGACATGATCGAGCAGCTTTCCGAACGGAACATTACCCTCGGTGAGAAGATCGAGGAGATGCAGAGCGCTATTGACGACCTGGAGGCCCTCAAGGAACTTAACGACGAGCTCGAGGAGAACCACAGCGAGACTGAGAAGCAGCTTCAGACAGAGATCAACATGAAGGATGGCCAGCTCAGGGATCAGTTTAAGAAGATCGAGACCTTGGAGGAGAACATTGGCGACTATGAGAACACTATCCTCCAGTTCCGTGAGTTAGTTGTTCATCTTCAGAATGATTTGGAGTCGTTGCGCCAGAAGCAGGAGTCTGCCACCGGCAGTGGTTTGGGCAGCCAGTCCCAGGCCATGTTGAACCTGAACCTCCAATTGCAGTCGACTGCGATGAAGGCTCAGGCCAAGGCTATCGACCTCGAGCTCCGCAAGCTGGATGCCCTCCAGGCCAACGACAACTTGATGCTGGTCCAGCCCTACTTGCCCGATGGTTTCTTCCGCACCGAAAACGACTCGATTCAGAGTCTGTTGTTGTTCAAGCGCCTGGCGTTCAAGGCAGAGTTGATGAACAAGCACCTGGAGCAGCAGTACAGCATTTCGGACAAGATTGCCCAAAACAATATACCCTCGGACCTCGTGCCCATCTGCGAAATCCGCCAAAAGCTGGCCTGGTTTGGCGACCTTGCCAAGCGGTTCGTCTCTTATATCGAAGGCTGCCCCGTCGAGGTCTTTGTCAAGATGGGCCATGTCTACCACGACCTTGTCGGAACTGAACGTCGCCTCAATGCTTGGGTCGAGCTTTTGCGCAAGGAGGAACTCAAGGAGTCTGATTGCGTCGTCGATCTGCACAGGGCCATCGCCCAGCTAGACCATTTGGCAGACACTTTCTTGACTAACACCAAGTTGGACCTTGTTGACCGTTATCAAGGCGCTACTCGGGCATTGGACCTCAACTTTGACCGCATCTTTGTCAACCTCTCGGCCATCGGTTCCTTGTTCAAGACGAGCGAGGATGGTGTGCGCTTGGTTGACACCGACGATATCCAGTACCAGATTGTCCAGAGTGTTGCTAACATGTGTCTGCAGGCCAAGTCGGGCAAGACCATCACCAGGTACTTTCACTTGCCTTGTCTTTTGGCTATATTGCCTTCTTTGACAATCAACTATACAATGTTAACCGGTTGTCTTTGACATTCTGTCTATTTAGGAAAGTTTTGCGCAAGATTGACGAAATGACATCACAGGCATCGGTCATCAAACCTGAGGCCTTCGCCCAGTACAGCAACGCCTGTACTGCAAGCACGAAGTTGGGCGAGTTCACTCACGAGGTCAGGAAGCGCATCTTGGAGTATGTTCGCGCTCGTCGTGAGGGTGTCAAGACTGAGACTATTCACCAGACGATCTTCAGTGTCACCGACTCACACTTGGGCATCAACGAGACTGGAATGTGGGATGGCTGCCGCAAGATGTTGACTGGATTGTTGCAGGACATCACTGCCTTGGCCGAGGGAATCTTGGATCCCGAAATCTCCGTCAAGAGTACGTTGTTGTCATCAGTTTGTTTTTGCTTGCCACTCGCCCCCCATGGAAAAAAGTAAATGCTAACAAATTTATATGTTGCAATTATTAGTTGCCAAGCCTGACAAGGTCTGGATCAAGAGGGCCAAGGACTTGAAGGCTGAGGTCATTATCAATGTCGACGCAGAGCAGAAGGCTCAATCTCTTCAGGACCAGGTGTTGAAGCTCGTCAAGGAGGCCAAGCTAAAGGTGCGTGCGCTTTTCTCACTGCTTTTTAGCCATGTGTTTTTGTCCACCTTGCCACGTGTTCCTAGGACTAACATGTAATATAAACATTCATGTGTCAATGTAGGACCAAGCACTCCAAGAGTCTGGAGTCAAGATTGAGTTGCTCGGCAAGCGGATGGAGAACTTCAAGAAGCAGGCAGAGCAGATTTCTATCTTGGACCGTGATGTTGACAAGGCCAAGAAGCAGGAGCGGGATTACGACGAGGCTATCAGCGCTCTGCAGGCTGACATGGCTGCCCTTGAGGAGCAGAACGCTCAGTTGAGGAGATTGGTCAAGAAGTCAGAGATCAGGAATATGGTGCCACCATCAAAGAGGCCTCCTCATGGCCAACATGGTCCCAGTGGCTCTGTTCTTGACTCTGAGGCTACCAATGCTTTGGCCCAAGATGGATCTGAGACTGGCAACAACAGGGATTTGATGATCCAGATTGAGTCTCTCAAGTCGGCGCTGCGATTCTTGCGTTCTGAGAACGCGGCTTTGAGGACACGGGCTGCTTTGCTCGACCTTGGATTGACTGCCGACCTGTCTGGCCTGGCTGCTCCATTGAGCCGTGTCTTTGATACCGAGGAGTCGTCGGCTCAGTCTCAGGGTGGTGCCGCCAACCCCGTGACGCAGAAGCGTGCCTTGAACGCGGATAATGAGCTCAGGGCTGTTGCGCTTGAGACCAAGAGACTGATCAAGGATGCTCGTGTTGTTTGCGCGTCACCCAAGATTGTCGATCTGACCAAGCACAGCATTAGTGCGTCCAAGGCTCCCGCTGCCGATGGATCTGCTGCAGCTGTTAGCACATCAACAGCTCGCCGTCCATGGCTGGCACAGTCTAGCCGTCCTGAGTGGCAGTACCACACCCAGCAGGCAGCCTTCAACACGATCCAACAGAGAAGCATCGAGCTCAAGGAGAGATTAGCCAAGGTGTCGCGCAGCGGCATCAACGCCGCCCCTGCCAAACTCAAGAAGGTACGCTTTTTTTTTGTGCGAATTAACGTTGCATGGTTGTTAAGAGAGAAAATTGTGCTGGATTCATGATTTCTGACCCATTTTTGTTCTTTGTGGCTTCTTTTTTCTTCATTCTATTCGGAACGTACGTGTGTTTGTAAAATAGCTTTCGTTGGTGGAGACTCCGATCGGCCGTGTTCATTTCCCCAAGAGCATGTCTGGACTTGCAGGTGCACCGGAGAGCCAACAGTCGCCAGCAAGGAAAGACTTGGCTGTCTATCTCAGGAGCAGTGCAGAGTTTGAAGCCATGCACCAGCTGTTTGTTCGCTAGACGCCTTGTTTTGTTATATAATTACTAAGAGAGAGAAATGAAGTCGATGCCCTTGAATATATCCATTGTTTGTCGTCATAACACAAACGCTATGTATTTCTCCGCGACAGCAAAGAGAGTTTGAAAAATGTGAAAAGAAAAAAAAGTTCCCCGCAACTTCGCGGTGTTCGGTGAAAGTGGGCGGCCCCAGGAAGGTGAAGGTGGATCGGCTTTGCCCGTGGAAAGTCGGAGGCTGTGGGAGGACAGTGAAAGGGGTAGGGAAGCCCACCAACCAATCAGGACGCAATTACCAGAGGGAGAAGCAGGGACTCTCTTCTTTTGAGCTCGTCCAACACTCTCACACAAAAAGTGTTGCATTCCACTCCATTCTCTTCTCTTTTCTCATTCTCTTTTTCTTTTTTCTTTTCTTTTCTTCTTTTCCTTCTACCCCAACCAGCACCACCTTCTCCTACACCCCTTCCTTCTTATACTCAAACATGTCCGTTGCCCCCAGACTCGTTATTACCTCCAACAGGGTGTTGCGCTCGCCCGCCGCCCCTGCTGCCCCAGGAACCATCATTGTCGACAAGGCCACAGGAAAGATCGTCGAGGTCCTCGATACCGTCAAGACCCGTCAGGACTTTGGCGAGCAGATTACTCACCAGGAAGACTTTGTCGAGGCTGTCGATAACGTCGTCATGCCCGGTGTCGTTGATGCTCACGTAAGGTTTACTTTTCTCTTTTTTTCCGGTTTTAAATGTATGCATGTTTTGCATGGTGTGGAAGTGGATCATGAACAGACAATTGACGTTTTTTTTGTGCACTTTGTTCATAACACACAACAATAGGTCCACATCAACGAGCCTGGAAGAACTCACTGGGAGGGATTCGCAACTGCCACCAAGGCTGCTGCCGCTGGTAAGAACATCCTTTGACAACTTCCCACGCTGTTCACTTTCTCCCCCGTTGTGCCAGTCACCTTGAACACCTATTGATCAGGCTCTAACAAACTGCAACTACCTCCTTACAAACGTATAGGCGGTGTTACTACTTTGATCGATATGCCTTTGAACTCGATCCCCCCTACAACCACCGTCGAGAACCTCCACATCAAGACCGACGCCGCCCGCGGCCAGACCTACGTCGACGTCGGATTCTATGGTGGCGTGATCCCTACCAACGTCAACGACCTGATTCCCCTCGTCAAGGAAGGCGTCAAGGGTTTCAAGTGCTTCATGATTGAGTCTGGTGTCGACGAGTTCCCCTGCGTCAATGAGGAGGAGATTGCCGCTGCGATGGAGAAGTTCCAGGAGACTGATTCAGTTTTCATGTTCCACGCTGAGCAGGACTGTGGAGATATCCCCAAGCCCGAGGGAATGGACCCCAAGGACTACAACACCTTCTTGCACCAGCGCCCCCAGCTCCTCGAGACCAACGCTATCCGTACAATCATCAAGTTGGCCAAGCAGTACCCCAAGGTCCGCTGCCACATCGTCCACTTGTCCGCTGCTGATGCCCTCCCCATGATCCGTCAGGCAAAGGCTGACGGTGTCCGCTTGACCGTCGAGACCTGCCCTCACTACTTGTCGTTGAACTCTGAGAATGTCCCTGAAGGCGCGACAGAGTACAAGTGCTGCCCCCCTATCCGTGAGGACGAAAACAGGGAGAAACTCTGGGAGGCATTGAAGGAGGGTACTATTGACTATGTTGTCTCGGATCACTCCCCTTGTGTTGTTGAGCTGAAGTTGATGGAGGCTGGTGACTTTGTTGGTGCCTGGGGTGGTATTGGTGGTCTCCAGTTCGGTATTCCAGTCGTCTGGACCGAAGCCCGTCGCCGTGGCTGCACGTAAGTCTCCCTTGTCCCTTTTTACTTTTTCGTATTGGTTTTTTGTGTCTACTTTAATCACATACTCCGCCTTTGAGGCTATTGCTGTATGCATTGACTAATAATCTCTTCTCCCTTCTTCCTATAACCTACTATAACAAAATAGTATTCAGGACTTGACAAAGTGGCAGAGCTTCAACACCGCCCGCCAGGTCGGATTGGGCGGCATCAAGGGCTCGATCACAGTTGGCGCTGACGCAGACTTTGTGATCTGGAACCCCGACGAGACCTTCGTCATCACCAAGGAGATCATCGAGTTCAAGAACAAGGTCACCCCTTACATGGGCAGGACTCTTCATGGAGTCGTCAAGGAGACCTTTGTCCGTGGACAGAAGGTCTGGACCCAGGGAAAGATCACCTCCGAGGTCGCCCTTGGCAAGCTCTTGTTGTAAAATTCTTACATAACATACATACCCACCTCTCTTCTCTTTTCTTCATAATCCCCCCTTCATTAACCCCCATTAGACCGATGGTTCACTGCCAAGTAAATCGCTAATTTGCATTTTTTTTGTCGAAATAAAATCATCATATGTACAAAATGAAAGCAATCATTGTGAGGAACTTTTTATTACTGTCAAAGTTCCTGAATATGACAACAAAACTTACACTCTATCAGCCACAATCCTGGACCATCGACTTGCAACTCTAAATATCCAAACCTGCCTGTTCTTCATAATTACCGACGCTGAAATTGAACCCATGGAGATACCCCCCGCTCTTGTTCCCGCCTGTTGATTGTAGTCCAGTCCAATAGTCTTCCTGCGGCACTGCCCTTCATCTATAACATATTCCCAAGAGCTCCACCTCAGAAAAGGAGGGAAAACATCGTGCACAATGCAAAAATAAAAATATCAACATGTAAATAATTCAATGTCTGCTCTGATCCGCAACTTCCCATGACCTTGACTTCAAAAGATCCCAGTGCCTTGTCCAAGTGTGCTTGCCATGTTTGATACCAAAGAGAAAAAGTAGAGGGAAATAATGGTTAGTAGGCTGGGGTAAGGCTTGCGCTTTTCTCCTTTTCGGACAAACTCCACTTGAAAGTGCACACGAAAATAAGAACCTGCTTTTCCCTCCTCCCCCCCCCCCCCCCCCACCATCTCATGGCGCGTTCGAGCGGTGTAAAAGGGATATTGTAGCCCGTATCTCACTTCCGGTCGGTGGATTAAATTACACTGTAGGGGCGTTTCGCGCAGTGGGTTAAGAGAGTTTGTGGAGGGGTGCAGAACAGGTGCTGACGAAAAAAGAAAAAAAAAATGAAGAGAAAACCAGAAAAAAAAAAGAGGACAAAAATATGAATGTCTCCACGTTCCTGTCGTAGAGGTCGCGCAATTGCCGAACATAATCCTAACTACACCTAGGTAGGCATCGGTATCAATCCTGTACTTGATCTAGCTCGTATTACCAGACGACTTCACCAACAATGCTAGGGCAGTAGGTAAACTGACCTCGCCTCTATTCATGGACGGGCGAGTAGGGATTGAGTAAACCGAACTACTCACGCTCTTATTAACACATCTCGAGCACAAAGAGGAGAGGGGAACAAAATCAACTGAGGGTCGCTTTCTGAGATGTCAACGGGAAACTAGGAATATGGGAAAATGTGGCCCGAGGTAGAGGTATGCAGAGGGGGAAGGAAGGTGCTCAGAATATTTTGGACATGCGCGAAAAGATAGGGAGGAAGTGGAGAAGCACGATCGGAGTTGGTAATTTTGTTCACGAGTGGAGAATAATGAGGACGGCGTTCGGCAATTAAAGTCCCGTCCTTCACTGTCGTCACATCCTTCGGGGACCAGGGCTACCATCTGTCGATCGCGCCCGTCTGTCCTGTCAAAGTGGTAAGGTATTCACCTACTCTCTTTGATCCTATGCTGCAAATGGAAGGAATTGCAATCAGCCGGGGTAAAGTATGAAATGCAAGCGGTTGGGGGTGAATAAGAGCAAGGGGGAGAAGAGGGCGCTTGCATGTGCCACCTCTCTTGTTGCTCAATTAATGAAAGACACACAATCGGGTGTCTCTTTTGTGCGATGCGATGCATTTGTCAGTTGTGCCTACTTGCTGCTGTCTGTGTGAATTATTTGTATGGGTTTGTACTCCCACAACCCTCCTTGTTGTTGTACTCGCCTGGTCAAGAGAGAGTAAGAGTGTTGCATATGGAATCCAGGAACACATTGTTTACAAGCAGGAGAAAGGGATTCATCGAGTAATAACAACAGGTGATACTCGAGTCTGCACATGGACTAGAGTTGCCAAGTAACCATGGACTCTCTCTCTCTTATTCTTTGAGGTAGGAGTGATATAGGCGCGAGGGTGGTGAAGGCCATTCACGAGAGTATGCTGAGACACACACTAGTGAAGGATGGTTAACGAGAAGATGACAAGGGGAAGGCTGAAGAAAAAGGATAGAAGACGAGTGAAAGTTGAAGCGTAAAGAGCTGTTACGCCTTCTCCTTCCAGGTCAACCTTATCGATTTCTCTCTCATCATTCCTCTCCATTGCTGAGCCAACAATAGCGTATGGCTATGTACCTTCTCTATGCAGTGTGTATCTCCAAATGTCACGCTATATTCCTCTGTTGTGATGTACTGTACATAGACAGCGCTCAAACGTATTCATTTACTCGTTCATTCAATTCATATTGCATCGCATCCACACCGCGCTTGTCCACCCTCATCCCTCTCCTATACGCATCCACAACACAAAAAGCCCGTTTCGCTTCTCCACTGCCTGGACTCCGTCGTTTCTGTGGAGCACAACGCAAAGTACTTTTTACCAGCATACTTTACATTTTCAATGCTTTCTTTGCTTCTTTCCACTTTGGCCATCCTCCATTCTTCTTTAACCCTCCTCCTCTTCCTCTTACTCTTCCTTCCCACTTTCGCCTCGAGTAGCTCCCTTCTCTGAGCAAGCGATCGATCACCCATCCCTTCCTTTCTCTCCTTCACTCCCTCCTTTTTCCTCCTCTTGGACCCCAACACAACAGAAACGATCCTCACTCCTCCCTCTTCTAACGGTCGTCTTCTTCCACCTATACCCTTTTCCCCTCCAATTAATGATCCTTTACTCTACAACTTAACTCAACAATAATCCCCACTACACACAATGACATCCTCCACCAACCTCGTAAACGAGAAGGGTCAGGACCTCCCCTACCCCGACGCAGATACCGAGTACAACAGCGTCTCCGACAAGGAAAAAGAAGCCAGAGACAATGAATCATTCATTGAATACGAATACGATTCAGCACAAACACCCCACCAACCTCCCTTCTACCGCCGCAAAAAAGTCATCTGGACCTGTGTTATCGGCACCATCATCTTCCTCGCCATCTTCATCCCCCTCTTGATCTTTGTCATCATCCCCAAGATTGCTCAGGCGATGCTCAACTCTTCGTCGATGTCCGTCCTTCAGTTGAACATGACTAACCCTGGCGAGACTTCTCTTACTGTCGCTGTCAGTGTGGAGGTTGGAGGAATTCCAAAGATCTTTACGGCAGATATGGAGTTTACAGAGGAGGTGGTGGTCAGTTGGAATGGACAGGCCATTGGATCGATGTCATTGGATCCTGTGCATGTCTCAGGTGGAAAGGGTAACATCTTGCAGTCAACTGCTTTTGCGATCGTGAACAAAGATGCCTTTGCCGCCTTCGCCAAAGACATGGTAAGTCTTTTCTTCTCTCTTATTCGTTTCCTTTATGAAGGAGGGGCGTAAAAATGAATCTTCTACAAATACGAGTCGAGTGAGTGTGGATTGTGTGGGATCCAAGAAAAGTGTAAAAAGACAGGCAAGGAGTGGCGTGAGCTTCTTTCCCAGAGAAGAAACTTTACTTTGGTGGTGGGCATGTGCCCTGTAATAGTGTTCATTGCTCTCAACACGAAAAAAAAACCAGAATGAAAAACGAGAGAAAGAAAGATCTTTCATGATTTTCGGGTGTCTTTTTGTTGGGAGGGGTATGACAATAATGGACATGGTATGGGGGGATGGAAATGAAGGCGAGGCTGTGAAATTGCCTGTCAGTTGGGAGTGTATTTCTCAGACACAGACAAGGAGACAGGGACAGACACGCCATGGAAGCCGTTCCTGACACCTTTTACCAGTGTGTATGTATGTGTCTTGGAGAAGGAGTAGTGAGGGGCTGGATGCATGATAAGGTCCTTGGCTCATAAAGTGAACCTCTTTGCTGTTACTGTTGTTTTTCTGCAAGGGAGAAAAAGAGAAAACACGAGAGAGAAACAACCTGCTCTCAAATGGCAGCCGTCTTCTTTTCTTCGCCCCACAACCAATCCAACTCCTCACCATCGCCCATAGCGCACTCTTTCCGCCCTCTTTCTGTACTCACTTCTGTCATCTATCCAAGACTTCTCTCTCGCCATTTAAGAGTGCAATTGTCAAATGTCAAAAGGAACCAAGAAAACGAAAGACAAAAAGAAGTGCATAGAAAAATGCGCTATTTGAATCTTTTGTGGGCGAGAGAGGACAGGCCAGTCAGCGCACTGAGCACCTTTTGTGGGGCAGGAAGAAACAAGTAGAGAGGTGTCGGAGGTTCATCTTGTTGGTTCGTTCGAAAGACGGGCATAACCATCCAGAAAGAGAGAGAGAGATAAAAGAGTTGGGGAGAGTAACGAGAAATGAGCATAAGAGTTCACTTTACGATGCTTATCATCTGACTGACTGGTTACCTTAAGTTGATATTATGAGCACCTTTCTCTCTCTTCCCGTCTGTTCACTGTTGCGGAGCTTGTTGAATGAGAATAAAGGTTGTGGAGAGAGTGGGTTGTTGACCCGAGCGGGTCGTGGAGAAATGATGTGGCCAGAAAGAGTTAGGCATGGCCTATGCTTGCTTGTAGAAAGAGGAAGCCATGTACCTCTCTGGATGTAAAGGAACAGAGGAGAGAGACTTAGTAGTAGCGGTGGAGAGGATTCAAATTTGATTACAACTCCAGGCATGAACTATGTCCCTCTATAGAGTACCGTGAGTACTAGTAGATACTAATTCACCTCGGCTCACTCTCTATCTTTTTCTTTACTATGATATAGCTCGCTGCGGATGGATTCGAGTGGACGCTAACTAGTACCGCAACCCTCAAGGCCCTTGGACAGACGATCAAGAACCTCGAAGTCAACAAGGTCCTCAAAATGAACGGTACGTTTATTTTAATGGTATACACAATTCAAGTGCTGTGTATCAGGAAAAGGGTTTACCTTAGAACAGCCATCAATCGCGCGAGGAAAGACAAAAGGGGGCCGTTGCTTTGTTCCTGCTGCTACTATTACTCTTGTTAATTTGCGTGTAACAAACATAACCAACATGTGTCCGTTGCATTGTTCTAACCATTTCGGTCATTCGTTCCAATTTACCTGGACAATAACAACAAAAAACAATAGGCCTGAGCAACTTCTCTAACCTCAAAATCCTCAAGTTCGACCTGCCCGCCGATGCCCCCGAAGGTGCCAAGATCTCCATCACGGCCGCCATCGCCAACCCTTCGCCCATCGGAATGTCCCTCGGAACCGTCACCCTCGACATGAGCTTTGAGACAGCCTACCTCGGTCGCGTCGTCGCTAAGGATGTTACCCTGATTGGGGGGCAGCCCATGATCCTCAACCTCGAGGGAACTCTTCTCAAGCAGACCGAACAGGTTCACCTCGACGAGCTCTCGTTGCTCATGTCCAACTACCTCGGCGGTATTGTTACCCCCGCCAAGGCCAAGGGTGTCTCTGTTCTCCCCGACGGTGTCAACGCCGTCTCCTGGTTGACTTCCGCCGTCACTGCCATGACCATGACGGTCCCCCTCGTCTCGCCTGAGCCCTTGAGTGTTATCCAGGGGTTGAACATTGTCGATATGGGCCTGACTATCCGCCCCGATGCTCCTTGGAACCCCATTGCGGTTTCCAACGCCGTCAACGCCGTGTTCAAATTGCCATTCAACATCTCCATCAACATCACCCAGCTCGCCAACGCCACCATGACCTTGATCTACAAGGGTACTCCTTTTGCCGACCTGACCACTGCTGTCTGGAACCAGACCACATCCGACATGGCCAACAACAAGATTGTCTTCACCATGCCCCCCTCGCCCCTGAATGTCAACGATAACGCTCACGAGGCCTTCCAAGCTTTCTTGACCGAGGTTGTTCAGAACACTGACTCTGGATTCGAGATCAAGGGTAGCGCTGACACTGTTGCCACTACTCCTATGGGTATTGTTCGTCTCAAGGTTCCATTTACTTCTGCTGTTTCCTTGAAGGGTATTGGATTTTCCTCTGTCTCGCCTACTATCTCCAACGTCACCGTCATTGGCGGCAATGCCGACTATGTCACCCTCTCTGCAAACGTCGACATCAACAACCCCTCCATCTTCTCGGTCGATGTCGGTCCAGTCAGCTTGACGATTAGCGGCACTGCCGGCGGCATGGCCGGCGTCATGGGAGATGTCATCCTGCCCAGCCTCAAGTTTGCCCCCGGTCTGACTACCCTGGCTGCACAGGTCCGCTTCCACCCTTCGGACCCCGCCTTCCGCGATGCCTTCTTCTCCGGGTTTGTTGCCGGCAATATCTTTGACTGTACCATCACCGGAACCGCCCAGTCGACCGACATTGCCTCGATGGCGCCCGTTCTCGCAGCCCTGGTCATGAAGACTCAGGTTCCCGGTATCATCCCCGCTCCTCACTTGATCGTCTCTGGAAACGGTGCCCCTTCGATCGGAACAGTCATCGGAAACCGCCAGATCCCCTTGACGGTCTCTATCCTCAACCCTCTCCAGACCACGCTATCCATCGACGACATTAAGGCCCAGGTCTTCTGGGAGGGCAACTTTTTCGGTACCATCGATACCGCCGTCCCCTTCTCGATTGCCCTCGGCGCCACCGCCGCCTCCCCTCCATTGGTTGTCCAGGCCCCCTCTGGTTTCGAGTTTGGTCTGTTCATGATCTCGACTTTCTTGCCCAAGAACATGGGCGTCCTCACAGGTACTATCGTCAATGTCGACATGACTTCCAACCTTGGTGTCACTGTCGGTGCCTCCGCCGGCGCTGCAGGATACACTGCCGGTATCAGCTATAACCAGACTGCCGTCCCTGCCTTCTTGAAGCTCGATCTCGGCTTTGCCCAGAAACGTTCCTTGGAGTCGATCAGTGCTCTTTCCCCCCGTGCTGAGCCCTCGGTTTATGACGGACCCGAGTACCTGCAGTGGCTGCAGGAGGCCCTCTTTGCCACCTACCCCGAGGAGGCCAAGGCGTATGTTGCCACGTTGAACAAGTGAAATGAGAATGAGATGTAATAAATGTTAATGGACTTTTAGAACGTAATAAGAAGTAGTTGGTACTACTGAACAACATGATTTAGGATCTACTCTTGTGTTTGAAAGGTGCATGCGAGCATGCATGTATATGCTATGGAAACATCGATGAATATATATGTTACATTCAAGAGTTGCTTCGGTGGTGCTAAACTTGTACTCCCTCTGCTTGCCATCGGTTGTACCTGTATCCGTGAGTTGCTAGCAACGTGATTGTAGTTCTTGGAATTTAGGAATTTATCCTTTGGCTGAACGTACTCCACGTGAACAAGGAGTTGCAGGAGGAGAGGCTGAGTTGCTCTGGAGTTGAACCGAGCAAGATGTTGTTGCTACTCGGCACTTTATTGACTGGTGTGGCTGAGTCGAGGGTGTTGGCTCGGTGCGCACAGACCCGTGTTTCCTGCGAGTTTTCGTTTGTGCAGCCTATGGCTGTCCAGAACACCTCTTTATTTTTCATTTTTCAAACTTTACTCTCCGTTTTCAAGCTTTATCATCGTCATGCTGTCGATTGTTTCGTCTGGCCATGGTCCAGGATCTATTAACTTTTCTTGACCTGAAGTTGACCCGACTGGGAGAGGTGTAGTGTCCAATTGAAGAAGAACAAAGGGTGAGAGATATTCCACTTAAGGTACTCACTCGAGACTCGTCGGAACCAGCATCTTCCTCGCCATCTTTTTATCCCTCTCTTCCCCAAGTTTGCCCTCAAAAACCCATTGCGCAACTGATGATGAAACTCTGCGTCGATGACGGCCGTCCAGTTGAACATGACCGAGCCCCAAGAGACCCAGATGACGGTGTCAGTGTTGGCAGCGCTGGGAGGAATTCCAAAGATCTTTTCTGCAACGATGGAGTTTACGGACAAGGTTGAGGTCTCGTGGGAGGGGTGGTTGATTGGGTCGGTGACGCTGGAGACGGTGCATGTGTCGAAGGGCAAGGAGGAGATCTTGCATAGTGCGATGTTCCAGATCTTGAATACTACTGCGCTCAGTCAGTTTGCGAAAGTCATGGTATGTTGGTTGGAGTACTTTTGAATGCATTTATTCGGTAAGGTATATGTATATATTCTCTCTTCAAACGGGCGAATAGTAACAATTAGGAAAAGGAGGGGAGGAAGGAGGAGGGGTATCGTTGGCGTCTGAATGGAATGTTCTCATCTTCGATTTCATATCCGCTGCTCCGGTCAAAAGATCAAAGAGGGAGGTGTCAAGACTCGGCAGTTGGTCTCTCTGGCACTGAGTCCGGTGACGGTGACGGTCGCCTCGACTCGTGTTGTCCCTGCTGCTGCTGTGCGGGAGGAGGCGACAGTGGCACGCCACCAGAACTAAGAACAGTCTCAGAAACAACCTCGGCATAGGCAGGCGGTTTGCCCATAGAATTCATAAACGGTGGGGGACTCACATCCTGCTCATACGACGGTGCCACAAAAGAACTCACACTATTCGTCACCTCGACCCCCGTCATGCCAATAGCCGGCTGCTGTCCGTACGGGTAAGGGTCCCTCCAGCTTTGCGCCTGCGCTTGGTACATCCGTAGCCGTGCCGCTAACGTCGCATTATTCGTCGGGACCAAATGTACCCCCAACGGGGTTACCATCGTCGTCCTCGTCGTCTCAGGCGTACCAGTAACATGAATGGTGTGAGCCCCCGTGAATCTGTGATGCGCAGAGTTGTGAATGGATAGTTGAGCTTGGGCAGCGGCGAGGTTATGACGACGCCGAGTGTCGAGGAGGGAGCGTTGTTGGCGGTTGACGTGGATGCAGCGGACAAGGACTGCGAGGAAGACTATGGCGGCGAGGCCGCCCAGGATTAGTTGAATGGCGAGGCTTGAGAGCGGGTCTTCGCCTTTTGGTTTTTCTTGTGGTGGTTGTTGTGTTGGTGTTGGTGCTACGTCTAGAGGGGAAGAGGTGATAGAGAGAGGGATGTCTTGTCTCTTGTGAAGGAGGAGGTTGTGTTGGGTATCTAGCGCCCATGCTTCCCGCTTGTCGGTGATGATGGTGTCGATTTGAATGGTATCGAGGATTCTGTATTGCTGTTGTTGTCCCTGTTCATATCTATGGTCGTCATCTTCAGGATCGTTTTGGTAGATTTGGGCCGTGAGGAGGAGGTCAGTTGGACCATCGAGTTTCCTTTTGTTGTTCTTGTACATGTGCGAACTAATCGGACTCATCTGGGAAGGGGCTATAGAATGGGAAAAAAAAGGAGGGAGGGGGCTATGGAAAGGTACAAGGACGATTGAAAATTTGTAAAGTAAGTGAATGAAGGCAGGGTGTTCAAGGTATAACGAAAGGGTGGAGAAAACAAAGACTAAGGGAGGGCTGAGATGTATGAAAGCCCAGTAAGAGGACGAGGACAAAGGAAGGAGATTGGGTAAGGAGGCAGTAAAGAGATTGAAGTGCCCTTATTTTACAGGTTCTAACGTCGGGAGCGAAGAGAAAGGAGAGGAGAGGGAAAGAGAGAGAGAGAGAGAGAAAGAGGACAAGAGAGAGAGAGAGAAGGAGAAAGAGGACGAGAGAGAGAGAGAAGGAAGGGTGGAGAAAAGAAAGGAAACGGCGACGACGTTGAAGAGTTAACGGACTGGGAGCATATGACGGCGACCCTGGTCGTTGTTCGAACAAAAAAAATGCCTCAAACATTTGCTTTGTACTGTACTATGCACCCTGCGCCTGAATCCCTTTAACTTACCGATGATGAATGATAGAAAGGAGATCGCCTCAAAAAAAAGGTACAATGAGCAAAAAGCAAACAAAGCTGAACATGCTCGCGCAGGCGTAACGCAGAATTGTGTTCTTGCTCATCCATCGACTATGAAAATGTTTAATCGTTCTCTTTTTTTCTCCGCGAATAGGAGAAATGCCGCATTTAAGGATTCAACTCACACGCGTCTTCCAGGGTTAGTTTCTACGCCCACCCACCCGACTCGCATGCGCGATTTTTTTCTTGAGGTGCGTGGCAAATGGAAGGACTAACAATGAACTTTCTTTCTCACAAGAACAAAAAAAAATAGCGCGTTAGAGAAGGCTAATGCGGGGATGCAGGTGTACAAACATCGAGGTAAGGCTGGGAAAACAGACATAATTAATTTCTTCATCTTTCTTCTTGTTTGAGGAACGCAAGGCTACTCATGAGCCATCCTCGCTTTGCAAATTTTCACAGAAAGATGAGAATGCATTTCATGTATTGAAGAAAAAAAAAAAGTAAAGTATAAACTAGGGGCGGAAGGCGGGCATGAGACGGACTTCGCCTTCAAACCAAGGAGCATCGTCAGAGCGCATGCGAATAGAGAGATCCGGTCGAGCACGACCAACACGATACTCTCTCATCAAGACCTCAACTCGTTGCCCCAGCTCCACTTCGACAGTTCTGAGGGCGCTCATCTTGTCCAGTCCTTGGAACAGTCCTTCGCCTGTCAATTCGTCATGTTCGCATCCATCGGCCGTCAATGTTTTCAGTTTGGGCAACCCATCGCCGAGGACGCTCAATAGACGGTCGTTCAGGATCCACCTTCCAACTAGTGACAGTACTTTGAGGTGTGGAGCGAGAACAACGCTCTCGAGGTAATCGACCTTGACGGGTGAGTAAGGGTAGAGTGTCAAGTGGAACTCTGTCAGTTTGGGACAGTATTTGAGAGAGTTCATGTCGAACCAGCCTGCCAATTCGCCTCGAAGACTTAAAACGGTCAATTGGTGCAGGGGCCATGTCCAACCAAAGAAGGGTGGAATCTCCGAGAGAGCTGGGTCGACTGGTGAGAGTCGGAGAGCGACACCTTTCAAGTCCTCGAGTGTGTCTCGGAATGCGTAAACACAGTCCTCCAGGGCTTGTTTGACAGTCGAGGTCTTGTTTGAGGAGAGATGAAGGGTGTTGAGGTGCTGCATCGTCAAGGGGTCGGCGTCGTATCTGGAGACTGCCCAATGGAATGCGGTGGGTGATTGGACCCCGATCTGTAAAGTTTTCAGTCGAGGGCAGGTACGGACGAGATCCAACGAGTAGTCTTGTTCACGGACCTGGCCGGGGTCACCCAAGAACGACACCGCCAGAGCGGAAACCACGGGAGATGGTGGTGAAGAAGGCGGCAAGGTTGGAGGGACATAATCAAGGTCAAAGAGCAATTGCTCCAAGCTGTCCCGATTCTGGATCTCATACGAGTTCAAGTCCTTGGTGGCCTCCTTGTACCTCGACAGATCAATGACTTTGGGGTTTTTGATCACTTTCATGATGCTGTGCAGATTGGGCTTCTGCAACAACCGGACGTCATTAGGTCCTGCCAGTTTGAGTTCTCGAATGGTTCCAAAGAGTCGCGCATGTTGCTGAAGAAAGGCTATCGCTGGGTCGAGATTGAAATGCCAGCTGACGCCAAAGAGTTCGAATCGCATGAGGGAGGAGAGGTGGGGGCCTACGGATTCAAATGCGGCAAGACGTTGGATAGGGAGGGAGATGGTCTTGATGCGATCAGGGTGGTGTAACAACAAAGTTCGCTCGATTTCGTTACGAGTGAACATGGTGATGGTAGTGTTGGCCTGTGCTAGAGGGGCGGTTGCATTGACTGGGAGGGGCTGTCGCTGGATATTTGGGAAGAGGATTGGGAAGGTGCTGGAGAGGTTCATGCAGAGGTAGTGATGATGGTATGCGGCCAGATAGTCCACCAGAGGTTTCTTCAATGCCTCCTGGTTCATTTGGAAGATGGGAGAGACAGGAGGGAGGTTTGTCCACGGCGAATGAAGTCCTCCTTCATTATTATCATCGGTCAGCGGAAATCGAGGGTGCTCAGAGCAGCAATTCATGAGCAAGAAGAGAAGCTGGGCATGCCGTCTGGTTCGTTCTTGAGGCGACCATGATGTCTCGTTAGACTCCAGCAACGCAAAAGGACCAGAGTAGAGGAGGGGCACGGCGATCCGGAAGAAGGTCTTGGAGACAAGGAGGAGGGCGTGGAGGGTCGAGATGTCTCTCGAGAGATAATTAAAGATCTCTTGGATACATTCTTCAGGCAGATGGGGGACACATTGTGCTTGTGGGGATGTGGGGAAGGAGGGTGGTGGCGGTGAGAGGGAGGTGGTAGGCGGGTGGGAGTGAAGAAGGGAAGGGAATGAAGAGTTGTCAATAAAACGAGAGGTCAATGGCATAAAGTGTTGTTAATGATGCAATGTGGATGTACACTTGAACAATGAAAGGATCAAGTGAGAACAAGGAAAGCGTGGGGGTTGTTGTTTGTGCTTGATAGTGAGAAGGCCCGGTGCAAATAGGGCGGGTTACAAAGTGTAGTTGTATGGGAGTGCAGAGTGTGTAAGTGTTGAAGAAAAATGAAAGACAGAAAAGGAAGAGAGAATGAGGCCCTATTTAAACATCTGAAGAATGGGCCGCAGTCGTGATCAGATCAACAATTAAGACGAAAAAGATTTTCCTCTCTTAAGACTATTCGTTTGGGACTATTGATTGGTCAATTGGAACGACAATTCACGCACTTCACACACTCACACCCCTTGCTCAAGGAAGGAGTTGAATGAACACTCTTTGTGCCGCAGTGAATACTGTAATTAGAACAAAGGGGACAGAGAAGGGATAATAGAATGCAACGTGCTTTTGTTGTTGTTTGGGGATGGAGCATGTCAATTGATTACAAGAGTGTTCGAGAGGGTCTGGCTGAGCACTTAAGGCTTGAGTGTGAATGAAATGAAATGGACGTTATGTGCGACATAACATGCAAGTTTATCGCATCGCTCAAAGATAGCAACATGGCAATGAAGAAACAAGTGTAGTTAATCGAAAGAAGTTGATTATGCAGCATTGAGCCATGTCATGTAGAGAAGTATAGGGAAAAGGGTACCGAGAAGGGAATAGGTATCATCCATGGTACATGCCAATGGTGAGTTATAGTATTTCCAATGGTATGTGGAGTGGTGGATCCTGAGAAATGGTGGCGTGTGTGTGATGTGTGTAGGTAACAAGTGGAGCAAGAGACCCTTACTTGACCTTGTTTTAGGTACCCTGTGGGGAGTATCCCTATCTTTTCTGAGATGTGAGCACTTGTTTTGTTTCCGTTTTTTTTGTTTGAGATGGAACAACCTTGTTGAACAATGCCAACGACAGCAAGCCTACTGTCGGTTGTCATTTGGCAACAGACTTTGCTACTTCTTGCAATTGAATGCCTCCGATGGCTACGGATACTGTGAGGTAGTTGTAGATGTTTATTTGTTGATGTTGGGCGTGTGATGACACATGAGGGATCTTTTCTTGCTTACTGTTGTTCCTTCCTTCTTCTCCTGATCATGAATAACGATGAGCCAACCAACGAACAAGCAAGCAAGCGTACATACAACCAAACAAGCAAACAAACAAGCAAACAAACAAATAAACAACAGCACCATCAGGGTAAACAGACAAATGAAAGAAAGAAAGGAAAAAAGAAAGAGAGAGAGAAACACGGTCCTCTCCATCTATTTCTTCTACCTTCAACCTTTAATGAGAAAGTACAAAGAGAGAGAGAGAGAGAGAGTGCCCCAGTCAAAAAAACCTTTTATTAGAAAATAACCTCCTTCATCATTGTGTTGTCCACCCTTTGCCTTCCCTCCCTTTCTTCGTTCAATAGTGCTCACACACTCACACCTTTTGTCTTTTTATCCCACCACGTCGTTTGTTTGATTGATTTGATCTCTTTGTCCTCCCCTGCTCGTTCTTTTATTACTCTTCCTTTGACACTCTTCTTCCTTTTCTTCTCACCCTCCTCCTTCTGCCTTCCTTTCTGCCGTCTTTCTTCTTTCCCTCTCTCCCTCTCCCTCTCTCCTCTTCCTCTCCTCCGTCCCTTCATGACCACTCCCCCCTTCCCCTCATAACCACTTCCTATACTTCTCATCTAGATTGCAGCTTGCTTTCTCTTCCTTCTACTTTTCATCATCATCTCCACTCCACTCGCTCTTCATCTCTTTTCACCTTTTTTTTTCCTTCTTCACTCCTTCTTCACTCCTTCCTTCTTCATCCCTTCCTTCTTCATCCCTTCCTTTCGTTCCTGACCTGCCCCGCACTATTGGTCCGGGTTTGGTCTCATCTTTCATCTCACCTCAGCTGAGCGAGCAACAAGGAGGACAACGAACAGGACCCAGTTCCCCCACTTTGCAAACGGACAAAACAATTAGCTCCAGTCAGTGTCCTCTCTCTCTCTCTCTCCCTCTCTCCCTCCCTTTAACACCCTTGTCTGCGATGCCGCCACTCAGCAACGGTTCATCATCACCCCTATCATGGCTCCGATCGGCAAAATACTTGGCAACAATGACCCTTAGAACGCTTTCCTCAAGAGTCGCTCTCTGTCTTGTCATCGTCCTCATCGCCCTTCTCTCCTTCACCTCAGTCCTCTTCTCGGGATCCTCCTCCAATGACATCTACTACCCAGGTAACATACCTCTTTCTCTCTTGCTATACCCTGCCACTTGCTTGTTCATCTGTGCCGCTCTTTTTTTGGCGAGAGGAAAGATGGAAAAAAAGCTCATCAGCGGGAGAGTCAATCATTTTTACTGTCCCAACTTCACACAAACAGCCCCCACTCTTCCTTTTCTCCCAATGCTCTTTGTGAACACAGTGGACAGACCAAAAGAAAAGGAAAACTGACCAACCAACGTTCAATACCGGGCATTTTGCAATTTAATTGTCCAAATAATACAATTAGACATCCTGCCTGCATCCAACAGCGACCAGCCCTTCAATCCTGACCCTCTCGCCCTCCTCGGACACAGGCGGCCATTGAGACACAGCTACCAGGAACTCTACCGCCTCGACTCCAAATTCATGCTCAACGAGGACGGCACCGCCTCTGTCACCGTCATCATCCGTCCCGAGGACTTTGGCGACTCCCTCTCGAAACAGATCCGCTCCCTCCTCACCCAAACAGTTCAGCCCCAAGCCATCTGGATCGCCGTCGCAGAGGATCAGGACCTCACAAAGGCTCAGGAACTCATCTCATCCTTCAACAACGAAGAAGAGGATGTCAGTGTAGACGACGAGGACGAAGAAGGCGCCGAGGTTGGCGAGGGTGATTCCGAAGCCGCAGAGACAGAGGAAGAGCACGAGGAACGTCAACGGGTCAAGATGCGCATCGTCTCCAAGAACGATCCCTGGTGGAGTGTCGCCCGTCAGGCTTCATCGGAATTCTTCCTCTTGCTCGAGAACGGCGTCATTCCTGGAAGCAGTTACCTCGGAACTCTCCTCCGTCTGGCCCACACCCCAGAGTATTCGCGCGCATTACTTGGAAGCCACGGTGCAGTGTTGTCGACCATGCCTGAGGACTTCCTGGACAGCGATCTCGATATCAAATGCTTGCCTGAGCAGGATCGCAGCGGGCAGGTCAAAGCAACAGAGACCGTTGATGTGTTGTCCGATATTTGGTTTGGCAGGACGGAAACCCTTCAACTTTTGAGCCTCGAACCGTGGGCGTCGACTGGAAAGGCACCTCTTAGCATCTACCTCAGCACCATGCTCCGATACTACGGATCGATTCCGTCCATTGTGGTCGCCAACGATCCGCGCAACTTGGCCACCTGGGGCGACATGAGGAAAAAGACCGTGCCCTCCAACTTTTGCGCCGATATCAAGAGACTTTACAAGGAGAGCAGCATCTGGCATTCTTGGATTCAGCGCGGAAGAGCTCTTGTGTCTCAATACGAGCAATTATCCAGCGTCGTCGTCTTTTTGGCCAGCATCGATGAAGCAGCTTTGCTCAAGGATCTCATCTGCCGCTGGAGTCTTTCACCCGACACCTCCATCCACGTGGCTGTTGCAGGATCGTCTCGTGGACTTGGACGCAAGGAGTTTGCTCAGCTCTTGCCTTCAGAGGACTGTCATGTTGGCATATATGACATGCGGTTGAGCTACCTGCCCTACAAGCCCACTGAACTGGAATCTATTCGTCTCGCATCCGAAGTCTCTGTCAACTCCTTCCATATCCTCCATTCCCTTCGACCCAAGGTCATCTTTTATCTTCAAGAGCCCAACTCGATCTTTTCTGACGGACTCGTCATTGCTCATACTCGTGCCAGCATTCCTGCCATTGCTCTCAAGCCCGAGGATATCGAACACGTCCGCTGGATTCCCGACCTACCCATCCAGGCCCTTCAAAGTAAGTTGCCTCGTTACTCTTTTTTATGTTTTATGGGTTTGTATGATCCACAGTGCTAACAAATTATTCTATTTCGCTTTTATAGACTGGAACACGCCTGAGGTCAAGCTGGTGGTCATTACGAACAACCGTCCGGGATCGTGCATCCGCCTTTTGCGTTCGCTGTCGCATGCGCACTACTTGAACGACAAGGTTTCGTTGACACTCAACATGGATGCAGAGGCGGATCGAGTCACCATTCAAATGGCTGGATCCTTCCAATGGGAATTTGGCGAAAAGTTTATGAGACACCGTGTCCGTCGTGGCGGTCTGATGTTGGCAGTCGTCGAGGCCTGGTATCCCCAGGGTAACAACGAATACGCAGTTCTGTTGGAGGACGATGTCGAAGTATCCCCCCTGTTCTACAGCTGGATCAAGTACAACATTCTCAAGTACCGATACTCGCCCGACAGCCAGCTCTACCAGCATATGTTTGGCGTCAGCATGTATTCTCAAAAGTTTGTGGAGACACATCTTGCAGGACGAGCGCCGTTCAACCCCGAGGACATTTTCATTGAAACACCCGAGTATGAGCTCAGGACACCATTCTTGCTTCAGCTTCCTTGCAGTTGGGGAGCTGTTTACTTCCCCGAGCACTGGAGAGAGTTTCACGAGTACGTCGCCGACCGCCTGCTGGATATTGAATGGAACAAGACCAGTCTCCAGTCCGTGCAGATCCCCAACTCTAGAACCAACCGCTGGTCCAACTCGTGGAAGAAGCTGTTTATCGAGATGATCTATATGCGCGGCTACGTGATGCTCTACCCCAACTTTTTCAACTTTACATCCTTTTCAACCAACCATCTGGAGTGGGGCACCCACACCAAGCAACAGAGAAACAGTGCAGGCACGTTCTTGGTTCCACTGATGACGGACAGCGAGAGGCTGTTGGATGATCTCCCTAACCGCCGGCTGCCGGACTGGGATTCACTCCCTGTGTTGGATCTGTGGGCCAACCTGGCGACGAGTGCCGAGTTGATTAAGCGTGGCAGGGCGCTGCAGGAACAGCTCAACCCATGCTTGCTCAGGAACAACAACAAGGAGGTGATCTGGGAGGGGCAGGAGAAGGATCTCAAGTGTGCCAAGACGTTGCCGTACTACTCGACCCATACGACACCATTGCCCAAGACGACAGCAGCGCCGGCAATCGAGACGTTGTCGATATCGGCGATTGGTGCAGACCCTCTGGCAGCGGCGAGTGGGACGGCCTATGGCGCAGGATCGCCATCGCCCATGCCCACGCCGCCTCCTTCAGCAGACGATGGTGACAACGACTTTGTCGATACACCACCTGCACCCAGCAACCGCCTCTCGCCCATTCCTTCTCCTACCCCTCGGTAATTCCCCTTTTTTCCACCCGTCAACTATTCCTCTCCTTTCCCTCACCATTAGACAATGCTTTTTTTCCATTTTCCTCTTTATTACCCCCTTACCAAACAAAAAAGTGTACATAGTATTTAAAAATCGGTGCGTCCAAACAATGGCTAGGATGGTCAATATCACGTGTAAGAAAAAGACGTTGGTCAGATCAGCGATCGAGTTTGAAAAAGCAGTCATCAGATGTTTTTTTTCTTTGAACCCGACTCAAATTTGGACAAAACGCTTTGAACGGTGAGTAAGCGTACAGGCACACCCCGAACATCTTTTCTTTCCTTCCCCCGCATCCATCTCCCCCTTCCTTCCTTCCCTCCCTTTTTCCTCACTCACCAACACTCATCATCACCATGAACCCCAACCCTTGGCCACAACCAGCTCAGCAGCCCGGCGCACCTAGCCAGGGTGACATGAACCTCTTCAACTCTGTCCTCCGGGAGAACTGTCCCTTCAAGTTTGTCTTTGGAGGTGTCACAGGTACGGCAACAGCCTTGCAGGATAAAGCTGCACCTTTTGTGTGTGTTGAAGGAAGCAAGGATGCTGGTATCAGTTGAGGTCAGGATAACAGGGAAGCAGGAGCACAAGGAGTCGAAGGAAATCAACTGTCGTTTTTTATGGACGCTCTGGGTCACCTTACCTTTGACATATCGACAACGACCTGGCAGTTAGGGCAGACAAGGAACAGATCGGGAACAGAGCAAATATGTAACAGACCTGTCAACTCGAAGCATTGGTCGATCTGAATTCTCAGCGGGCTGCTTTTGTTTAAACCAGACCTGCAGTAGAGCTATGACTTGGGAAACAGAGAGAGAAGAGTCAAAAGAACCTGGATCATATCACTAACCCCCATCTCCATTCATTTCCCCTCGTTGATAGGATTCGCTTTGGGAGGAGTGTTTGGTATTGTGATGTCGTCGTTCGAGTTTGCAGGCCCACAGTTGACGCCGCAGCTTCAGGAACTGTCGACGAGGGAGCAGATGAAGATTATGCTGAAGGATATGGGCAACCGCTCCTACTCCTCGGCCAAGAACTTTGCCGTCGTTGCCGCCATCTTTTCTTCCAGCGAGTGTTTCATCGAGGGCGTACGTTCACTTATTTATCATTGTGCTTTCGTTCTTTTGCGTTTGTTTTTGTTTATGCTCAGTTGGCAAGGAGTGGACAGGAATGAGCTGCAGGATCATAAAGCGACAAGTCATCTAACAGTCGTTGCCCTTTTCCTTCATTTTTTTTTACTCTCTATGGAAATAGTACCGTGCAAAGAACGATATCTATAACGGAACGGCAGCAGGATGCTTTACTGGAGGCGTGTTGGCGGCCAAGGGAGGAGCCAAGGCCTCGGCCTTTGGATGTGCAGGTTTCGCAGCCTTCTCGACAGCCATCGACTACTGGATGAGGCACTCGGAATAAGCAACCCATTTCAGCGATACAGCAGTATCTATAGTAAAAACTTCGGGATCTAGCACGGATTATGTGGAGGGTGGGACAGCTCTCGAGTTCAGGGCAATGGAACGATTCACCTTATTCAACATTTTTTCTTATTCCAATCCTACCCTTCTCGTCCACCATGACACTTTTTCTTCCTAGTTTTCTGCTCTGTGTGCTACACCCCTCCACTTCATTCTTCCTCACTACTCATGTACTTTTACTTCACACATCTCGACTATTTCTTTTGTGCATTTTATTGCTTCATCATACTATCCATAGACTTTTTTCATATGTACACTCGAATAGATAAGATACAACAAAAGCAAAAAAAAACTTCGTGTGCTATTGTGTAGGAGATTCTTTAAAGGTGGGAGGAACGGACCATGACGGCGCGATGGTGGGAGAAGGCCTCGATGGAGTACTTGCCGTGGTAGCGGCCCATGCCCGAGTTGCCGACTCCACCGAAGGGGAGCGAGTGGTCTATTTAAGATAATTGGGCGGAGAAAGAATTGGTTGAGGACTTGTTAGCGACGAGATCGATTTTTTTCTAATGGCGACATATACAAAATAACGAGAGAAGAGGTTCTGTGTGAGGGATGGGGGAAATGCAGGGCTTACTCAAGAAGTGGGAAGCGACGTCGTTGACAATGGCGGCACCAGAGCGGGTCTTGGAGAGGACTAATTGAATGAACAGATGCAAGAGGAGGTGAAGGTGTTAGTGAAAATGTCACTTGTAAATATCGATATTCTTGACAGCCAATCAGTAAGCAAGAAAAAGATGAACAATGCAAATATACATACCCTCTTCGACCTCCTGCTTGTCCTCAGTGAAGAGGTAGAGTCCCAGGGGATGCTCGCCCGAGTTGATAATGTTGATTGACTCGGTCAAGCTCTCGGACGTAACAATGGGCAAGATGGGTCCAAAGATCTCGTCCTGCATAATGGTATCCTTGAGCGACACACCCGTGACAATCGTAGGCTCGATGTACAAGTTCTCAGCATCGGAGTTTCCTCCATAGACAACCTTGTTCTCGGCCTTGACGGCCTTCAACAATCCCTCGAGACGAGCATGCTGACGCTTGTTGATGATCTTGGGGTAAGACTTGTTATCCTTGATGTTGGCACCGAACATGTGCTGCCAAGTTCCGATGATGTTCTGGATCAAGGACTCTTGGAGGTCCTTGGGACAAAGGATGTAATCGACGGTGAGACAGATCTGGCCACAGTTGGCGGTCTTCCAGCCTGCAATCTTTTGCGCAGCCTTGGGGATGTCTGCCTTGGAGGTGATAATGGCGGGGCACTTGCCGCCGAGTTCGAGGGTGACGGGGGTGAGGTGCTTTGCGGCGGCCTGCATGACGATACGACCGACCTGGGTGCCGCCGGTGTAGATGATGTGGTCGAAGCGTTGTTCGAGCAGGACGGTTGTCTCTTCGACGGCGCCGTTGATGACGGAGACGATGGTGGGGTCCATGTATTTCTCGATGAGGTGGGTGAGGAGCTTGGCGGAGTGCTCAGAATTCTCGGAGGGCTTGAGGATCACGGTGTTGCCGGCTGCGAGAGCGCCTGCCAATGGCTCCACAACCAACATGATTGCTACATTGGGAGAGAGATGGTAAAAGAAGACAAAACACGTACACGACACGACGTCAATGGAAGAAAAACGAGTAATGTGAGCGACCAATGCTGAGGATAAAATAAGATGCGAGCGGCGAAAGGCGAAAAGGATAACTGCGATGCTGTCTGGGTGTGGAGCTTGCTTTCTTTTTCCATTCTCCGATCACAACCCCCATGCACTAGCTCTCTTTTTTTATGTTGTGTTTTGTGAGGGGTGCATATGCATTGCATTGGCATAAACACCATTTCGACATTATTTCACCAGGACCCCAACAACACTTACGGAAGTTCCAAGCACCGATAACCAACACGGTTCCCCTATCATTTCGTCAGCAACAATGGACGAGAAAAGTACGCTTGCGTTAGCACCCATCGATCATCATCATCACCCGGTAGTATTCGTCTTTACTCTCATCATTACCACCACCGCCACTGCCAAGAAGATGGAGAAAGAACTTACAAGGGGGAAAGACGGACATAGGAATCATCCTTATCGGCAACATTGAAGCCCTTCTGGTTCTCCGTATACTTCTCCAAGTTATCGAGGAAATCCTTGGTGGCGCTGATGCAGGTGGGGATCTCAAAGTCGGCGGAGCGGTTCAGGTCGGCCCTGATTGCTGCCGACAAATCGGCTGCGTTCTCTTCGAGCAACCTAAGCAATGCACGCACTGATTTTTGTTTGTTTTGTGTATGGTAGAAGGAAGGAAGGAAGATGGGATACAGGTTAGTCAACCGAAAATATGCTTATTGAGAACGGAGTGGCAGGGATCTTTATGAAAAGACAGAAAAGGAGCGTACACTGCTGCTTGCGGAACTCGAGGGACTGGGTGCGGTGGGTCAAGAAGGTGGCACGCGAATCGGCGATAATCTATCAAGGAGATAAGGCGAACCGAGGAAATGAGAAAAATGTGGAGTCAATTCACCAGTCTACAGATGTTTCTCCTTTCTTGACGTTCTTTCTATTAGATGGTGTTGAGGGTGTACCTTGGGGATGCTGTGGACAGGGGTGAACTCGATGGCAGTCATGATGAAGAGTGTTTGCGTGTGCAAAAAAAGGATATGAAGTGAAGATTGAAGTAAAAAGAAGAAGAAGAAAGAAAGAAAGAAAGGAAGAGTGAGGAAAGGGTAGAAAAAGAATGACAGAACAACCGAAGCGAGAGGCGTGAGAAAGGCCCCATTGGCTGGGTCAACCTAAACGGTCCCATTTGTTGACCCCGCCATCCTTGTCCTTTGTCCCTCCCCTTATTATCTCAACCATATTTTTTTTTCGTTTTATGCTCCATTGGTATGGTTACTTACCAACAATCATGCTTCTGCACATGCCCCCTCTCTTTCCTTGGGTTTCTACTATCTTTCTTATTCCTCGTATTCCTCTTTCTCTCACGCCCACTGACCCCAGTGTTATGTTTGATTTACGCACTGCCCCCACCCACAATAAAGCAAACGGCATGATCGGAAGGCTTTATCCAACTGCAAGGGTGACCGACACCATTTTTTTCATCTCGCCAAAACGTACTGTACATGAACATAAGCATCTATACTCACTCAAAACTACGCCTGCTCTCAATCTCTCTCTCATTCTTTCTAACATTTTGCGACTTTTACCACGGGAGACAAAAAAAGTTGCGCACATTCATGCGCCCTATGAAGGAAACTTGGCGGGCTTAGTCAACTTGACCTGTTCGGATCAAACTGTCACCGATGGATGTGGACTCGTGATAGAAGGAGAGGAAAGGGTCCATGTAAGTTTCCAACCCGCATTGTTTCCACGTCACAGAACACAACAATCCTTTATCTTTGAACAACAAACAATGACCAAAGCACCCATTGTTAGCGCCTTCGGCTCAAAAAGAGTGATCACGTACCACATCACATTATAACTTTATTAGTCTGATAGGTCAATCGAGAAGCAAGGATGATTGATCATCCAGAGGGAGGGTTTATTATTGATTTCTGGTGTCCTACCCCACAAAACAATAAAATAACGGCCGCCTTTGGTGCACGGATGGAATGGATTTATCCGTTTCCTTTGTTCATCGACCGATCACACCTCCTAAACAACAAAATATAAAAGTGACCACTTTGCCTCAATTCAAACCACATCAAGAGGACAATTCGAATTTCAATTGCGCCTCCCCATGGATTCAAACTCATCTCATGTTCTATCCTTTTCCCCTTCACCTACACATAATTTTCACCCAGTAACCCCGCCTTGTACACAATTCCCATACAAATTTCTTCAGTTGGAGAAGAGCAGTCCGAGGGGTATAAATAGTAACCGCAATTGGGAAGCCATTAGTTCAGTATCTACATTCGAGATTATTACAGTACCGTTTATGCTCTTTCTATGAGCTTGTTCGGAGATTCCATCTCGGTAGACGTTTTGGAGTTTTTAAAGAATTGCTCTTCAACAGGGACGGTTTTCGGCCTTGTCGTGAGGTAGTAATGTCAGAGGCTTCGTACATTCCTTCTTCTTCCTTTCATTTTATTTACACAACCATCAAAAAAAAAAAAAAAAAAAAGGATACGTGTGTGTGTGTGACCTTCTTTTTATGGAAGAAGGTTGCACACAAATCCATGGGTACCTCAAGCGCCAAGACAAAGATGTTCTTGCATAGCCCTTTGCACGCTTGCACTGTGTTTGTCTACAAGTGATCCAGCACTGTTATTGTCGAAACCAAGATCAAGATATACCCATGCTCTATTTCATGTGTACACCGCTATGTTCGTTTATCTATGCACCTCAGCACTACTGAGCCTCCTCCTTCTCCTCCTTCTTGAACTCAAGGACGACATCATCATCCAGAACGGTCCTCAGGCCCTCGACACGCCCATTGTTCGCCGTAACAAACGTCAAAGGAACAAGTGACTTGACCCCAAACTCTCGAAGCAGTGCTGTAAACAACTCGAAATGATAGTGTTCCACCTTGCTGTCGAGCGTCCGCATCTTCAAGTGCAAAGACGCGTCCTCTTCCTCGAGACGGATTGTGATCGTGTCGTAGACTGGGTGCGTGTACACACCGGCATAGTCGGCCAACGTGTGGCTGGGAGGCTGATTCTCCATGCGCTCTGGGAAGTCGTCGCCACCTTCGAGGTCCTTGGCGACTTCTTCGTATGACTCTCTCGTTTCCTGGACGGCTGTCTCGTCCGACAGCCATTCGATCGTCGTGGGCAGACCCAGCATTCCATCGGCAATGTAGTGGAGTAGGGAGAAGGGGAGCTCGGTGACGTCGATGTTGGTCAAGTGCGCAACCACAAGGTCGTCGTCAGGGAAAAAGGCCAGGTTCGATTGGTAACCTGGGTTGGATCCACCTATTAGATCGACGAATAAAGTTCATATCCACAGCTTGTTCAATTTCCGCCATCGTTTGTGTTTGTGGCCATTTTCAGTGACCAAGGACGCATTAGAAAAGAAAAGAAAGGACATACCATGTCGAAAGCAAGTGTGACCCTTGTAAGAATCCAACATCCAGCCAAGGCCGTATCCCAGAGTAGGGGAAAAGCCAGGTCGACGCTCTTCATCATTCACGATACTCTGAGCCTTGAGGGTCTCCTGGATGCTCTTCTTGTTCAAGACCTGCTTTCCATCCAGCTCGCCCCCCTTCAGGATCACACGTCCCCACTTGGCCAGATCCATTGCGTTCATAAAAATGTCTCCAGCGGGGGCATCGGACATGGGGATTGGATCGATAAATCCTTCCTCAAAGATACCGTTCCTGGCATCATCAAAGGAGTCGGCATCGTATGGCATTGCGTAGTTGGGCTGTCTTGCCATCTCCAGGTGCGAAAGTCCTGCGCTCCTAAGACCGAGGGGCTCAAAAATCCTATTCTTGATCAGTTCGGGGTATGACACTCCGGCGACATTGGCGGCAGCCTCTCCGGCGACGGCGTATAGGATGTTGTTGTAGTTCATGAAGGGGGTCATCTTGGACGAGGGTATGTCGACGTGCCTGAGCTGCTTGATCAACTCTTTGGGGGTTCGGCTGTTCCTGTACCATGCCATGTCAATTGAAGGAACGGGCTATTGCGAATGCCAAAAGATAAAGCGAGAATTAAACCTAACTGGTCACAACCTATTTGTGTGTGTGTGTAGCCCCTGAGCGATACAAAAATAGTAATACAGGTACAAAGCAGGTTCAGAGAAACGAAACGTACTGTGCGATGAGAGAGTAGGTCTGCAAAAGTCAATAGAGACGTCAAGACAGGGTCCTTGAGTTGGAACTCAGGGAGGTATTCAGAGACCGGGGTCTTGTTCCAGTCAACCTTGCCCTCTGCCACCAGTTCACCAATTGCAGTCGCCGTGAATGCCTTGGAAACCGATGCGATATGGGTCACTGTCTATGAAAGGGGGTGAGAGGGAGAGAAAGGTTATTTTTGGTGGCAACAACATCGTGAGAAAATGGCAATTGATTTGTTCACAAGTGGATTTCTTTGTCTGCTTATTTACCTCCTTGGTGAATGGGTCGCTGCGATTGCGCTTCCCGAACCCCTGGGCAAAGACAAGCTCGCCTTTGTGAAGGATAGCGACGCTCATGCCTGGGATACCTCCGTCGGTTCGAGCCTTCTCGAGGACGTCGGGGAGGTTGGCGAGGAACTCTTTGTTGTCCTGTGGTGCTGGTGTCGTAGTGGTGGTAGTCATGAGTCCTGTTTGTTCCAAAGAAGTGAGAGAGTGAATGAGGTGGTGATGGAATGGAATGGAAAAGAGAGAGGGATGAATGAAGAATGAGAAATGGAATGAATTGAAGTAAAGAGAGGGTTCTTGACGTGAAGGGAAGAGAGCGAGAGCAAGCACATGGACAGAGAGACAACGCCTTCTTACTTGATTTGGTCTGCGCTTTGACAGGGGGCCGTAATTTTTTTGCTCCCTTGAAAAGTTGAATCTTTAGCTCCGCTCGACTTTGCGCCATCCCTCCTTCTCTCACCTTCTCTAGTGTTCCCTCATCAGCCCAACAAGCGACGCCACGCCTAACCAGCGCCTTCGACCACTGAGCACACTGTCGCATCTCCTTCCTCATTATTCGCAGTACGATTCGATTTTTTCGTTCTTTTTTCTGTTCCTGAAGTTTTTTATCAAGTTCACAGTTGATCGTGAGTTTATTTTTACCAACAGTCCAAAAATCAGAAAATGAAATATGCCTTGACTACTCTTCCTTTGGCGCAGCACCAGCCTCGGTCTTCTTGAGTTTCAAAGGGACAGTTCCCCCAGGAAGGACCGCTTCTGCCGTCTCGACATCATCATCGGCGCCCATGACAAACGTCAAGAATACATACCCCTTCACCACGAAATCGTGCACACGGCCCTTGAACGACTCGTAATGATAATACCCCAGTCGACTATCCACCGTCATGTACCGCATCTGTAGGGCTTTTCCATCTTTCTGGAGGGTAACGGTGATCTTGCCATAGACGGGGAGGATAAACCCGCTGGCGTAGTCGACCAACTTGTGGGCGGCGTGGGGTTTGCTCTCAATACGGTCTGGAAGGTCGTCTTCACCCTGGTGGCGCCCCTCGTTTTTTGGACGGCAACCGAGAGCTCCACCAAAAGTGTAATCAAGGACATCTTTCGTTTTTAATTTTCGTTTCTGTCAGAATAATCAGGGCAGAGGATGACGGTGCCTGGAAGGTGATCTACGTTTTTTTGAACTGTTAATCACCCTCGGGTGGAAGAGGGGTACAATTGTGTGTTAACTGTCCCTCGCACCGCAGTCTATGCTCTTACCTATAGACACCAACCACTCCACCTTTTCTCCTCGTTCTCCTCCATCCCTCTTCTCCATCCTTCCCTGACTTTCAGAAAGGGAAATAAATGCAACTTAGTGGGTGTCTTTATGAATGATAATGATCAAAGATATGACGGCAAAGCATCACTCGCCAGGAAGGACAGGTGTAAATACCCCTTCTCCTCTCCACTTTCTTTCTTTTTCCCTTCTTTCCTTCGGCCAGCCATTCTTCTTTGTTACGATAAAGTACACACCTTTTTCGCTTGACAGCAAAAAAAGGCTTTACTAATGTTTCTCTTTCTAAATATACCATAACCCTTATGTCTTCGCCAGAAGGATAAATGTGTGACGTCGAATGAAAACGCTTTTCTAAGGTTTTCTCGCGCACTGTCCAGCTTCTTTCTCCATCCCACTTCCCACTTTTTTTTGTCGATTGGTGCCTGCTCACCGTCATCCACTTGTGCATCTCTTCATTCTGTCGGAACGGTCGGTAAGCATCCAGTATTTTATTCCCGTCATCTCTCTGTCATCTCTTTCACATCTGTCATTCGGAAGGTTTTGAATGTCAGGAACAATGCTCTTTACTTGATGGGTCTCCGGTGGGTGTTGCTTCTTGCAGTCAGTCTTCTTTTCAGCCAAAAAATAAGTAATACCAAAATTGGCGGCTTCCATTCGACTCTTTCAGTGGTTTCGATTGCCATGCTGTTTGTGGAGGATCAACACTCCTTTTCCTTCCCTGGAGTATCAAACATTCTAGCGATAGCGGGCATGCGATGCCTGATTGACACGCAGCCTCTTTTTCTGCCCTTTTCCTCCATGACTGGTCTTTGGCTACGTCCATCTTTCCTCTTCAGTTTTCACTGGCCACGCTTCTCTGAACAAGCTCGTACTCTGTTCTTTACTCTTTTCTCAGGCATGTTTTGCACGTGTACTCTCAACGAGTCTTGATGCTTTTCTGTATTCCCGGCCCGGCCAAATCACAGTCCCCTTGTCATCCACTTTGCATAGTATGCTGCGTTACCCAACTAATTATTTCAGCTCTTTGACTCTGCTTTGGTCACCTTCGCCAGCCCCTCTCCCCTCTCTCCTCTCTCCTCTCCGCTCTTCTTCCTCCTGCTCCTTAGCGCCAATCCAACCCATGTGGATAGTCCTCCTGGCCTTCATCACCAGCCTCTGTCTTTACATCGCTGGCTACTCGGCATGGTGGGTCCTTGGTATCAACACTACCGCTGCCGCAATTTTGGCGCTACATGCACTTTGTGTAAAATCAACACCTGCATTCATATCCATTCTCCTTATGTTCGACATCTCCGCATACGTGGCTGGCGTTTCGCTCTGGTGGGTCCTGGGCGTTCCCGCTGGTTTCGTCGCGCTATGTATATTCTCCTTTTGGATTCTTTACTGTCATCAGGACATGGACGAGAGACGTTACAGTGGAAGCGATCATGCCTATTCCGTACCAAGCCATAGCGACCGAACTATCAACGAAAGGACACGTCTGCTGCCTTCCTATACATCCCACCCGCCTGCACCTGCGGAAACCCCACAGAGAATCGCTCCATCAAAATCATCCTATATATCTCGATCGCTTATTGATACTGCACCAAGAGTTTTGCCCGCACCACCAAGCACTTCGTTTCGTGGAGTTGTTGACCCGGGGCTCCTGCGATACACCGCGCCGACTTATCCATCTCCAGCAATCGTTGACACAAAACGCCCACGCTATGCAAACCCTACATCAGGATCTTTAACGACAGTGGCAGGGAGACAGCCGGTACTCGCTGCACCGAACAGTTCTCAGCCTGCCCGTAAGATCCCGCAATACACCACGGCGACTTATTCATCTCCACCAATCGTTGACACAACACAACCACGCTATGCAAACCCTACATCAGGATCTTTAACGACAGTGGCAGGGAGACAGCTGATACTCGTTGCACCGAGCAGTACTCAGCCTGCCCGTAAGGTCCCGCAATACACCGCGCCGACTTATCCATCTCCACCAATCGTTGACACAAAGCACCCACGCTATACAAGCCCTACATCAGGAGCTTTAACGACAGTGGCGGGGAGACAGCCGGTACTCGTTGCACCGAACAGTACTCAGCCTGCCCGTAAAATATCTGCACGACGCGAAATCAACGGCCTGCTTCTTCATACATCAGTAACAGCAGAGGTAGACGACCGGTACACGTATGACCAGAAGATCAAAACAGATAGCGCCCCCCATTCAGCAACTCGATCTGTCGCTGGAGTTTTCAAATGCTACAACTGCAAACGAAAAAACCCACGCGAATGGACTTCCTATGGGATCTGTGTCGAAATTTGGATGTCGTCCACCGGTCATCGATATCGAACTCAGTTGAATTCTCAAATGTGCAAACATTGCAAATCATTTGTCGAGCCTGAGGTTAACGAGGACGATTATGTAACGAAGGTCGTCAGGGTGCTGGATGGCTGGACGGGTCAGCACTCAGTGGTCAAGCCGCTCCGGTACTATCCCCCGACTGGTCCGCACCAGACAGACAAGTGCCATGCCTGTCAGAAGGGCATATGTCTCCAAAAGCCCACAAAGTAGCGTAACACTCAATGGAGAAGGTTTTTTTTTTGTTTTTAAGAAATTTATACACTCAATGGAGAAGGTAGGGGTTCAGACTTTTTTCCTGTCACGTTTTCGCCTAGATTCCAATAATTTGTATCGCGTTTTTATTCTTACTATGCATATGTTACTTTGCATTATGTCTACCTCAGCCGTTTTAGCCCATGTCTCTCAACCTCCAAGCCGGCGCATTATTACTAAAGTGCTTCAATAAAATGAATGTGGCGATTGCTTTTAGTCAGAGCCAATATACCATTGCATGCGCCTAGTTACCACAGCTGTCCTTGCATTCGTTGAATGTTTCTCGACGGTTTTATTAACACAAGAAAAAACAATCTGCGACTAAATAAAAAAAAAAAGAGAGAGGAGGAGGGATTACTCTTCCTCCTCCTCTACTTTACCAAATGTCAACGGATCAGATTCATCAGGAAGAAGAGCCTCCACCGCTTCAACATCGCCCTTAGCACTCGTGACGAAGGTCAAGAACACATTCCCTTTCAATCCGAACTCATGGACAGGACCCTTGAACGACTCGTAGTGGTAGTGCTCCAGCTGGATCTCCAGAGTCCTGAGCTTCATGTGCAGGGCTTTCCCGTCCTTCTGGAGAGTGACGACGATCGTGCCGTAGATGGGGTGGGTGTAATCACCGGCGTACTCGACCAACTTGTGACTAGGAGGCTTGTTCTCGATCCGATCTGGCAAGTCATCACCGCCCTTGGCGTACAACTCCTTTGTCTTTTCAATAGTAACCGACAGCCAGTCGATCGACTTGGGCAAACCCAACATTCCGTCAGCGATATAGTATGGCAAGCTGTTGGGGAGGTCAGTGTTGTCGACGTTGGTCAAGAGCGCAATGACAAGATCGTCGTATGGGAAAAAGGCCAAAATCGATTGGTAGCCTGGGTTCGATCCATCTATTGTTTCCACAAGTACAGACAGCTCTTTTATCAGAATGTTGTTCTCATTTTTTTTGTTTGTCATCATTTTCACAAGCAAGAGAAAGCACAGATGAACAATTGAGAAAGGAAAACATACCGTGTCTGAAACAAGTGTGGCCCTTGTAAGAGTCCAATAACCAACCAAACCCATACCCAACAGTAGGTGCAAACCCTTGTCGACGCTCCTCATCATCCACGATACTCTGAGCCTTGAGGGTCTCCTGGATGCTCTTCTTGTTCAAGACTTGCTTGCCATCCAGCTCTCCCTCCTTCAAGATCACGCGTCCCCACTTGGCCAGGTCCATCACGTTCATGAAAATGTCTCCAGCGGGGGCATCGGGCATGGGGATCGGATCGATAAACCCTTCCTCGTAAATCCCGTTCTTGGCATCGCCAAAAGAAGCGGCGTCGTAAGGTAGCGCGTAGTTAGACTGTTTCGCCATCTCGGGCTGCGAGAGTCCGGCACTCTTCAGACCGAGGGGCTTAAAGATCTTACTTTTGATCAACTCGGGGTACGACATTCCAGCGACATTGGCGGCGGCCTCTCCGGCGACGGCGTACATGATGTTGTTGTAGTTGACAAAGGGGGTCATCTTGGTTGTCGGCAAGTCGAGATATCTCAATTGCTTGATAAGTTCTCTAGCAGGCTTGCTGTTCCTGTACCACGCCGAGTCAATCGTGGGGACGGGCTGTATGTAATTGAGAAAACGACGCACAGGGAGTAACTTTTAGTCAGGTGCATATGTATGAGTACGATGCAAACATAGCAAAAACTACGCACATGGACAAAAAAGGACAGAGTATGAACTCACGGTTCGATGGGACAACAAGTCGGCAAAAGTCAATTGAGAGGTCAGGGCAGGATCCTTCAATTGGAAATCGAGGAGATAATGAGAGACGGGTGTCTCGTTCCAGTCGACCTCGCCGTTGGCAACCAGTTCTCCGACCGCGGTGGCGGTGAATGCCTTGGAAACGGACGCGATGTGGGTCACCGTCTAGAATGAGACGTGGCAGGGAGGTTATTTTTGGGTGGCAAAAAATATCGCGAGAAAAAGTTATGAATATGTTAAAAAAAGGGCGCTGTCGACATGGAAAGTTTTAATTACCTCCTTGGTGAATGGATCGTTGCGGTTGCGCTTTCCGAATCCTTGAGCAAAGACGAGTTCACCCTTATGGATAACGGCGATACTCATACCCTTAACACCGCCGTCGGCACGAGCTTTCTCGAGGACGTTGGGAAGGTTGGCGAGGAAGGCCTTGGGGTCGTGTTCCTGTGTCGCATTTCCTTTTTTTTGGGCGGCGACAGATGGAATGAGTGTAGAATGACAGAGGATGACAGAAGAGACCAGAAGGAGTGGGTTGAAAAGTGGATTGATCATGATGTGAAGGAATAAGGATGGCGGATTGACTTGAGTGAGTTCTTTGCATGGATGGACTCCTTTTTATACCTTCGCAGGTCTGCGCTATACCTAGCAACTAAAACCAGCCACTTGTCAGTGGAGTAAGTATGACAAACACGGGCAAGCCAAATGGACTTGCCTTTTGCATGGACGTCTCGATATGAGTGTCCTGAATTAGTTAGACAGCGGCGAGTACCATGCTGGTTGTTTTATTAGTAATTAGCGTGCGCATTCTTTATTAAATCGTGTAACATGTCTAGTAAGAATGAGGCTGTTGAAATCTCGACCGTGGTATGCTTCAACAGCTCATTGTTTTCAGTCAATTAACTGTAAGTAACTCAAGGTGCGCCGACTCGAGTCGAAAGTGGCGTGGTTCTAACCCTAGTTACAGCAAAAGCTGAGACAATCCGTCGTTTTTTGCTCCGTTGAACCCTGAGCTCCATTCAACTTTACTCTACTGATCTACGCCTCCAATTTATGTCTCATCTATCCCACTCCTTCCCCAGGCTTATTATTTTCTTTCTTCTATCCCACCCGTTCTTCTGGCTTCTCCCTTGGGTTTCCTCCCTTCAGCCCAACACTGCAATACCACACTTTTGAAACCGCATCGCACCTCATCTGATTCCGATCTACGATCAAAAGTAGAATCAATCCCTTTCGTCGTCATCTGCCAAGACTTGCGAAGCTGGAGAAAAAAAGCCCAGTTGTACCTGAAGTGTGCAGCGCTCTCAATGAATTAAACTATCATTTGTTTGCGCCCGATCTAAACAGTCATCCTTGAATTTCCAAAGACGCATTTTTTGCTAATAGAAGTTCAGAGACTGCGACAGGACAAAGAGATAGAAAGAGGGGGAGAGGGAGTCTACTCCTCCTTGGGCGTAGCGGCGTCGCCAGTTTTGGAGACTTCTGCTTTCTTGAAAGTCAGAGTGTCAAGTTACCTAGGAAGGATGACCTCCACGGCTTCAACATCACCAATAGCGCCAATGACGAATGTCAAGAACACATTTCTTTTCGTCGAAAAGTCTTGCACACGACCGACCCTGAACTACTCGAAATGGTATTGCTCCAGTCGACTCTCTAAAGTCCTGAGTTTCATATGCGGGCTTTTTCGCCGTCCTTCTCGAGGGTGGAGACGATCTTGCCGTAGACGGAGTGGGTATAGTCACCAACATAGTCGGCCAACTCGTGGGTCTAAGGCTTGTTCTCGACGCGTTCGGGGATGTTGCCATCTTACAACTTGGCCACCATTCCGTACATTTCCTGGGTCCTCTTGAGAGCTGTCACGTTGATCCAGTCGTCGGTCTTGTGCAAACCCAGGAGGCCATTGGCGATGTAGAAAGACTGCTTGGAGGGGAGGTCGGTGATGTTAATGTTGGTCAAGCAAGCGACCACAAGGTCGTCGTCTGGGTAGAATGCCACGTTGGATCTGCATCCTGGGTTGCCTCCATCTATGGTAGGAGAGGTGGACAAAAAAAATATGTTGAGACATTTGCCCGCACAAAGTTGACATAACCTGCAAGGTACTCGCTCTCTTGGAAGTTAAAATAAAAAGACAAGGGCTTTTTCTTTTTTTTCACCGAACGAAAATAGCGAAATAGAATGAGATGTACATACCATGCTGCATGTATGTATGGCCCTTGTAGGTGTCCAACAACCATCCAAGACCGTATTCAAGAGTGGGTGCGAAGTCGCGTCGACATTAGGGAAGACGCGCATAATTGTGAGACTTGAGCGATTCCTGTACGCTCTCCTTGTTCAAGACCCGTTTGCCTTCAAGCTCTCCCTCCTTCATGATCACGTCAACCCACTTGACCATATCCAACACGTTCATGAAAATGTCTCCAGCTGGCGCGTCGGCCATCGGGATCTCATCCATGTATCCCTCCTCAAAGATACCCTTCTTGCTTCCTCGGACGACGCAGCATTATAGGGCATGGCATAGTGCCCAGCATCCTTCAGACCGAGGGGATAAAGGATCTTGGTCTCGATCAGCTCCCCAATGACAACGCGCACTGATCCTGGCGTCTCATCAGTCGTTCTCTTTCTTCCGTTCCATGTCCGTGCAATTGAAATATGTGAGCAGGAGAAAAAGCGGAAAATAATAACCAGACACTAGATTTGCCAAGCTTCGATAGTAGAGCACACTGTGTCATCCATTGGAGCATACCATTTTTATGCTCCTATGTTATTTCGATTCTCGGTACGCCGAACTGATTGAATGGAAAGGGAGTTATGCCTAGTAAGTACTTCATGAACACGTTGGACCATTTTTATCTTGGCTCGCAACCCTATAATATGGCAAAGAACAAATCCAACCCTTATCCTTTCCTAGTTCGAGAGGGGAGGTGCCTTCTAGGGTTCCGGAATCTTATCCATCTTCATGAAAGGTATCAGATCTGAACCCATGAAGGAAACGTGGATGGCATCCACGTTTCCTTTACTGCCTGTCTGGAATGTGGAAAGGATGTTACCCTTCAGAACAAAGTCGTGCAGGTATCCCTTGAACGATTCGTAGTGGTAGTGGTCCAGCTTGCTCTCCAAGGTCCTGATTTTCATATGCAAGACACTGCCGTTGTTGTCTTCCTCCTGGAGGGTAACTGTGATCTTGCCATGGACGGGGTGGATGTAGTCACCGACATAGTCGATTAACTTGTGGCGGCGAGGCCCGCCTTCGATACGGTCAGGGAGGTTGCCGTTTCTGACCATGGCGAGCATGTCGTAGGCCTCCTGAGTTTTCTTGGGGGTGACCTCGTTTATCCAGTCGGTCGTCTTGGGGAGTTCCAGGAGTCCGTCTGCGATGTAGTAAGGTAGATTGGTTGGGAGACCGGTGACGTAGATGTTGGTGAGGTGAGCAACGACTAGGTCGTCGTCGGGGTAGAACGCCAAATTCGAGCAGTAGCCAGCGTAGCATCCACCTAACGGATACATAAAAAAAATATACCTTCGTCAGTTTTGCCAATTTCACGAAAAATAAAGAAAAGGGGGAGTGAGGGAGAATAAAAAAGTACGTACTATGTTGTATGATGGTGCGACCCTTGTAAGAGTCCAGCATCCAGCCGAAACCATATCCCATGGTCGGTGCAAAGTCACGGCGACGCTGAGGAAGATTCTCAATGTTGTGCGGCTTTAGTGTCTCCTGGATACTCTCCTTGTTCAAGACCTGTTTTCCATCGAGCTCTCCTTCTTTCAGGATGATTCTTCCCCACTTGGCCAGTTCCATGACGTTCATGTATATGTCGCCTGCAGGAGCGTAGGCCATTGGGATCTCGTCGATGTACCCTTCTTCACGAATCCCGTTCCTTGCATCCTCGAATGTGGCAGCGTCGTAGGGCATGGCGAATTCGGGGTGTTTCGCCATCTCCAGCTGTGAAAGTCCTGCATTCTTGAATCCCAGAGGTTCGAATAACTTGACTTTGATCAACTCTCGATACGACATTCCAGCAACATTGGCTGCCGCTTCTCCTGCGACAGCGTAAATGATGTTGTTGTAGTTGACGGTGGGCGATAGCTTCGAGGAGGGCAAGTCGAGGTGTTTCAGCTGTGTGATGTGTGTCCTTGTCGCCTCCTTGCTCCTGAACCATGCCATGTCAATGGGTGGGACTGGCTATGAACAAAAAAGAGAGTAAAGATCTTAGTGAGGTGCATGATCAAGATAACGCGTCAGTCAAAACAAAAAAAGACGAAAGACTCACCGTGCGGTGTGATAACATGTCAGCAAAAGTCAATTGCGACGTCAAGATCGAGTCCTTGAGTTGGAACTCGGGGAGGTATTCAGAGACTGGTGTCGTATCCCAATCCACTTTTCCTTCGGCAACTAGTTCGCCAATTGCTGTTGCGGTAAATGACTTTGTCACCGATGCGATGTGTGACACAGTCTACAAGGAGGAGACATGTTTTGGCGGCAAAAAATAATAATCGTGAGAACGAAATCGTGTTTGTCGTCGAAATAAAGAGACACCGCTGCTACGATTGCATTTTTATTTTATTGTTGTGTACCTCTCTGGTAAATGGGTCCTTGAGGTTACGTTTTCCAAAGCCCTGAGCAAAAACGAGTTCACCCTTGTGCATAATGGCAACACTCATGCCTGGGATACCTCCATCGACCCGAGCTTTCTCCAGCACAGCGGGTAAGTTTTTCAAGAACTCCGAACTGGGGTTGGCGGCAGGGACATCTGCGCTAGGAGAAGAAGTGGATATGGTTCTCGATAGCGAAATCGAACCGCGATGACGTAGTAGATGTGGATGAGTGAGGGAAGACCGAAAAAGCAAGCGAGATGACTTGGACAGGAGGAAGTGTGACATGGTGAGAGAGAAAGATGGTGAGGACAAAAAAAAATCACAGCGATATTTATTTCTATGCCAAGGAATGCAAACCATATTTTTGCTTGGTCTCATGGGCGGTGAGCCCTCGGCCAAAAATGGAAATAACTCATTGGATTTCGACGAACTGCATGCCACGCGCGCCTCACGTCCTTTTCTTTCTTCTTCTTACTTCTTTTCAGATCATACCTCCACCACAGAATTACAGGCGCTCCTTCTAGAAGCACAAGAGGAAGGGATGGCTAGGTCTGGTGGGAGGGAACGAGAAAAGAAGACAAACCAGCTGCTGGGGATATACAGCATACGTCCTCCACGATACGACCGCCAGAGAGAGTCATCGATGCTGTCCAAGAACTAAAAATAGTAATGCGCCCACCGTTCTTCCTCCGCCATCAGTTAGACATGTTACTCAGGGGAGAGGGTCGACGGCCAGAGTTGTAGGACCGCTGTTAGGTCCTCAATTGGTACGGAGGGGGGAAGGGGGTTGTAGGTTGGGGGGAGGGGAAGTGACAATAGCATCCTAAAAGAATCACACAAAACGATACACTGCAGCGTGCCAGCGAAACTCTTGTCAATACTGCTCTCGTCCAAGTGATGTGTAAAAGGACCTTGTATTCATATTATTAAAGAGGGGGTTGTTACCTGCAGCGTGCCAGCGAAACTCTTGTCAATACTGCTCTCGTCCAAGTGATGTGTAAAAGGACAAAGAGGGCTCGGCGCACTACTAATACTATGTCTACTAAAGAATATGACTGCTAACCTAAGGCATCGCCGCCACTGCCTAGCCACCACATCTTTTTGTAACAGACATTTACTAGATCAAAGCGAAGAAGCCCCTTAAGACGCTTGCTCACCTCTCGCTTACAGCCCTGGAACAATGTATCGGCGACGAGACCTAAAAAAAGCAATGTCGCTATGAACGCTTGGCTGCTACAAGCCCGTCGTAGGAGATCCGTCCCAGTCATCTTCATGTCACAGATTTTTGTTCCTCATTTTAAGGCCGCAGCAAATTAAGGTTTGTGTTGGGATGTCAAGGCATTTAGGATTGTGACTCTGGAAAGGGTGAAACAAAAATGATGCGTCAAATTTTGAAATTCACGTTTTCCATTAGCTTGGTCGCAGTGACACAGTATCATTGATTGTGGTCCTCAACACGCCTTCATCAGCCCTCACCACCACGCCTCCACTAACCACGCCTCCAATCCTTTTACACACAGTATAAATACTCCTCTCTCCTTGTAATAAACAGCATCTTTTCTAGCCTTTTCCACTTTCCTTTAGAATTCTTGTCTCTCTCTTCCTTCCTTCTCTTGCTCATTCCCTCATTCACACACTTGCTCAGTTTCTATTGCAATTGGTGTCTGTCATTCTTAATATCTTTATCCTTCACTACTGCCTTGCTCATCCTTTTCATTTCGTTCCTTCTTCCTTATCTCTTTCTTTTCCTCATTCCTCCATTATTATCGCACCTTCTTGTTACACCATCACCGCCATTTTCGTCATCGTCCCCGTCACGCTTGTCACGCTTTTCATCTTTATGGTTAAGATATTCCGGACACATCCCCTCGATCTACATGAGATTCGCTCAAGAATTGCCAGCAGTCTTGGCCTTAAAGACCTCGCATCCTGTGCGCGTGTGAGTCAGGATTGGAACGGCTCATTTACACCGCCACTCTACAGGTCTGTCGTGTTGTCAAAACATGGCCTCAGCATGGAATCTGTTGATAAAAACAAGCAACTTATACAACGCCTGAAGATTCACAGCTCTGCTTATGAAAAACTATCATCGACGTCTGCACGAGACAAAGTAGTTTTTAGCGTTATGGCTAACTCGACTCTGACTACTTTGGACTTGAATGGCAACTCGATCGGAGACGATGGAGCTGTTGCGCTGTCGGAGGCACTCAAGACCAACTCGACTCTGACCACATTGCTCTTGGCTGACAACTCGATTGAATACGATGGAGCTGTTGCGCTGTCGGAGGCACTCAAGGCCAACTCGACTCTGACCACTTTGGACTTGAGTACCAACCCGATCTATGAGAACGGAGCTCAGGAGCTGTCTGAGGCACTCAAGATCAACTCGACTCTGACCACTTTGCTCTTGAATGACAACTGGATCTGCGAGAACGGAGCTCAGGCGCTGTCGGAGGCACTCAAGACCAACTCCACTCTGACCATTTTGGACTTGAATAGTAACCCGATCGGACCCTATGGAGCTCATGCGCTGTCTGAGGCACTCAAGACCAACTCGACTCTGGTCACTTTGAGCCTGGAGCGCAACTCGATCGAATCCAACGGAGTTGTTGCGCTGTCTGAGGCACTCAAGACCAACTCGGCTCTCACCGCTTTGAACTTGGCGGGCAACTCGATCGAATCCATCGGAGCTGTTGCACTGTCGGAGGCACTCAAGACCAACTCCACTCTGACCATCTTGGACTTGAATAGTAACCCGATCGGACCCTACGGAGCTCATGCGCTGTCAGAGGCGCTCAAGACCAACTCGACCCTAACCACTCTGAGCTTGGAGCGCAACTCGATTGGACCCAACGGAACTGTTGCGCTATCCAAGGCACTCACGACCAACTCGACTCTGGCCACTTTGAACTTGTGGGGCAACTCGATCGGAGAAAATGGAGCTGTTGCGCTATCTGATGCACTCAAGACCAACTTGACCCTAACCACTTTGGACTTGCAGTACAACTCGATCGGACTCAATGGAACTGTTGCGCTGTCTGAGGCACTCAAGACCAACTCGAGTCTGACCACTTTGAACTTGAGTCTCAACTCGATCGGAAACAACGGAGCTCAGGTTCTGTCTAAGGCGCTCAAGACCAACTCAACTCTGACCACTTTGAACTTGGAGCGCAACTCGATCGGACCCAACGGAGCTGTGGCGCTGTCTAAGGCACTCAAGACCAACTCCACTCTGACCACTTTGAACTTGTGGGACAACTGGATCAGAGAAAAAGGAGCTCAGGCACTGTCTAAGGCACTCAAGACCAACTCGACTCTGATCACTTTGAACTTGGGGGTCAACTCGATCGGAGACAACGGAGCTCAGGCGTTGGCTGAGGCACTCAAGACCAACTCGACTCTGACCACTTTGAACTTGTGGGACAACTCGATCGGATCCTATGGAGCTCAGGCGCTGTCTGAGGCACTCAAGACCAACTCAACTCTGACCACTTTGGACTTGACCAGCCGCTCGACCGGATTTAACGGAGCTCAGGCACTGTCTGAGGCACGCAACATCAACTCCATTATGGGCGTCGTATTTCAGTGACTGTCCATGCCTTGTAGAGTATATATTGTTACAAAATTGCTGCCTCTTTCCTGAACACGATGATGTCTCTGTAGTCTAGATGGCCACCCTTTTTAAGTAGTATTAGTAGTGTGCCTGAGGCCGTTGCCCTTTGTCTCAGCTATTCTACAATCTTGCACCGACCCTGCCCCCTGAAACGATATATTTCACAGCGATATCAGTAAGGATTCCCCATCATCTTTCTCACTGACTCCTATCTACACACTTCTGTCTACTCTTATCTAATTTCATTTCCTAGCACAATGGACTTTTAGTAAATCCATAACGTTGCTATATTATACAGATTTAAATGGGTATAATATTTTTCTTCCCTCTCATATTTTCTTCCTTTCCTCTCGCTCTCTCTCTCTCCTCTCTCCCTCTTTCTTTTCTCTCTCGTTTTGTACTCCCTGTGTCGCGAGGACCTTATACCATCACGTAAAAAACCCCAATTTTTCCGAAACCACTCTAAACATCACTTTAAAACAAAAACGCTTCCGCGACTTTTTTTTTTTCGTTGCTCACGAGTGTTAGGACAAAGTTGTGGTCGGGGATTGGGGGACTCGAACAAACTAACAGTCTTCAAAAGGTCGACTTCCAATTTTTTTTCTCTTTATTAGTGTCAACGATCGATCGTAGTGGTAATAAAAAAAATACTAGTTATTTTGTGAAACGTGGCCCTGCCATCGTTGTTATTTTGCTTTTGTTGCTTTTTGTTAATGTATAAAAAGGGGGAGAAAAAAAAAAGAGAGCTCAGCTCGTCCTTTTTGTATGTGTACGTGCGAGGTGTTGAGGTATTCTTTCGGCATCCTTACAAAACCAGCTCAAATCACCAAAAACCACCCTTAGAAGTAGAGGCGACGACGGAGGGTACCAGAGCAGGCAGCACCCTTGGACCAAACGGCAGCAGAGCCAGGGGTATCGCCCTGAGTCCACCACTGGGCGGTGTACGTGAATCCTCCATAGGTGACCTTGGCTCCACCAGAGTAGGCAGTAGCAGACGCCCAGGCGGCAGTGCTACCGCACGAGCCAGGGGTAGCGGTCTGAGTGGGTCCAGTACCAGAGCAAGCACCGTCATCAACCCAAGGAGATCCAGACGAAGGGACGTTGCCCTGGGTCCACCACTGGGCGGTGTACTGACGACCGTTGTACGAGACCTTGGCACCGCCAGAGTAGGAGGTCGAGGCAGACCAGGCAGGGAGGGTGCATTGACCGCCGCCGCCGGGGGTGGTGGTGGTAGGGAGAGTAGTAGGGGATGTGGTAGGCGCGACGGTAGTAGAGACGGTGGCAGTGACGGTGGATGAGGCAGTGGGGCTCGGTCCTCCACCGGGTTGAGGGATGGATCCAGCGCAACGGGGGGTGCTGGCACCAAGAGCAGCCTTGCAGATCTGTTGAGCGACGGAGCTGACCTCGACGTTGTTGGGCTGCTTACCAATACCCTTGTACAGTTCCCAGAAGAAACCTCCCTTGGCTCCCTGGACGGCAAGGATGGAGGTGAGCTCGGACTGGATCAAGGGCAACTGATGGGAAGCATCGTGGTTATAGTCGGGGTAGGCAGGGGTTCCGATCTCGTATCCAACGTGGGCGAGCATATTGTTGTCGGCATAGGACTTCATGTAGTAGTTGACCTGTGCGCTGAGGGAGCATGTGTTGGCGTCGGGGCACTCGTAGAACTGCTGGTTGTTGGACAAATCGTAGGTCATAACATTGACTCCTCCAGTAGTGGCGACAAAGCTGTAGAGGTCGGGGTACCACTGGTTCAAGTTGTACCAAATGTTCTTAAGGTTACCACCCCACCAGTTGGTCGAGAGACCTCCGGCGGCCGAGGCGGCAGTGGCGAGGAGAAGGTTGGGAGCGATGGCCTGAATGCTGAGGCGGACGTCTTGCATGATGGCGGCATACTTGTACGTGGTCTGGTGGTTAGTCCAGGGACTATGGAGGGTTGTTGGAGAATAGAAAGAACAAAAGTCAGCAAAGGGCGCGTGGTTTTTTTTTCTCAACGCCTGTAGAAATATGACTGTTCATTTTCGCGACTTACCCAGCAGCAGGACCGTTCTCTAAGAAAATGAAATGAAGCAAAAAAAGACGCATGCAACGGTTAGTTTCACTCCCATTCGCGCTTACAAGCATAAAAGCAATACATTTTTCATGTCAAAGCATCAAGGAACGAGTTTCCTACTGTAGTAATCAGCGTGCCACATCTCTTCGTAGTCGATATCAACACCGGTCAAGCCGAGGTCCTTTCCGAGGTAGACAAGATCCTGGTAAGGGTCGCGGTTGACCTTGGCATAGTATCCATCACCAGGGACCAAGTTAGTCTGCTGGTTCTTGGGATCCTTCCACTGGGTTCCGGGGACCATCTCGGGGTGGAAAACGGGAGCGTCTCCCTTGGCACCGGCCTTAATGTAGGTCAGAGCAGCCTGCCAGACGGACGAGTTGGTGGGCTCGGGGAAGATGTCGAAATCTGCGAGGACGGTGCCCTCGGATTGGGGCTCGCAGGTGTAGCACCACATGTTTGCCTCTGTGCAAGCAGCGAGCGATCCACCGTTTTCCTGGATCTTGTAGTAGTTGGGAGTCGTAGTTCCGTAGCCTCCGACGGAGTAGTACGTGTAAAGGTACTGTGTTTAAAAGAAATGAAAGGAAAGAAGGAAATGTTAAACGCGTGTCATGGAGAGTCAAAACCTTAATGACAAGCCATGAGTACCAATAAAAAAAGTGTACTTACAGGGAAGCAACCATAGTTCCATCCTCCCATCGACAAGAAGACCTCAACACCTCCAGCCTTAAGCTTCGCAACCTGAGCCTTAAGATCCGCAAACCCATAGTCTCCCGAGGTTCCATAAGCCAATCCAACGCGTTCAAGGGTGTTGGAATTGGGAACGTAGACCATACCGGGACGAGCGAATGCCAAAAAGATTCGGTTGATGGGGATGTTAGCGGCATTGTCGGCGAGGGCCTTAAGCTTGGCGGGTCCGTTGGTCGGGTTGAGGAGGAGGTATCCGGCGACGACGGGGTTGTTGACGGCCTCGGAGGACGAGACTGCGAACACGATGGCTGAGGCCACCGAGATCAGGGCGGTTGACAAACGCATTGTTAGGATTTGTTTCGGCTTTTTTTGAGAGTTAGAGGAAGGGGAGTAGGAGCTGGTGTGGAGAGGGAATGGGGCGAGGGTGAGCTGAAGAGAAAGAAAAAAAAAACGGCTTCCACCACTCTGTTTATATACTGCCTCGCAAGCAATTATCAACGCGAGCACAGTTCGATTTTCTCAGTAAGGAAGAATGGAAAAGAATAGACACTGAACGCCCCCCTTGAACCCTGCCAGCCAGCCCGACCCATCGGCACCGTCCATCCATCAACTCCAACGCACCCCCCCAAGATTGCTTCGTGATAAGATTCAAGCTCGGACAATCCGTTTGCGTTGGCGTCCACGGGTAAGATGACTAAGGGGGTTGACGGTTGTGGTTGTGGTTGCTATTGAATGCGGATACACACACACGCATCTGCCGACAGTCAATAAACGGAAAATGCGATGAAGAAGGGACAATGGTAATCGCCTGTTGTCGTGTTTGTTTGTTTGTATTCATTGTTTTGGTGTTATTTGGTGTTGATGATAATGTGTCTCCATAGGCTTGTGTCGAGCATTTAGTCCATTGTTTAACGATAAGAGGAGAAAGAGGCGTTGGATTACCGCACCTGCTTTTTTTGTTACCTGTTCTCATCAAAACACTCAACCGATGGTGCTCCGTCAACAAATTGAGCCAAGCTAGCGAAAAAAAAGAGAATAAGGATACTGAAAGGGTGGATGTTCGGCTACTCCTTTGTTGACCATTGAAGCGCTCTCTTTTCTTTTGGGCCGGCGATGAAGAGTAAAGTAAACAAAAGGCTACTCCTGACAGCTAATTTTTTTTGGCAAGTGTGTGAAAAAGGGTCCTAGATGAGCTGATTATGCGAGATTGTGCTCTGGTCCATGAATATATGGATTTCGACCTTAACCCCTTGCCGATGGCTGTAAACATTCCAGTCTGATCATCAATCAAGGAGGGATGATGATTATCAACGGTTGCCGATTCGATTGTTTTGTTGAAGGGGAGTAAGAGAGAGAGAGAGAGAGAGGGAGAGAGAGAAAAGAGATAGAGTGTTTTCCCAATATCAACCACGCCAATGTCGAAAGAAGCCGCCATGGTTTGAAGCAACACGTTTCGTTTGACATGTTGTTCCTTGGACATGTTGTCTGAAGTTATTAACGAAATGTCGCTAGCACACGACATAAGAAAAAATAAATGTCGCTTTGGTATGCAAAACTAACAATAGCAAACCCTTTGATCCACGGGGAAAAGAGTAAAGAAGGGGGGGAGCATTCTTGTCAGGAGCCAGGAATTTTCCCATTTTGCCCTGTCGCCTATGTTTAAGTTTAGTTACTGACCTTTGGGTTACCCTTGTCCTTGAACTTGTGCCGTATGTCCCTTTTGAATATAGTTAAAGGGAAAAGAAAAAGAGAGGGCTAGGGAGAGGTTCACAGTGGGCAAAAAAAAAAAAGAATCAGCACGCGTATCAACCCAAGCTCCCAGCCAATGAGAACCTGCCGTCGCCTGTTTGTGTGCTCTCATGAACACAGATTACGATCTTGCGTCGGATAGCACGGATGCAAAAATTCAACGACGAAAGGCAAAGGGAAATGGACAGTAAACCCTCCCTCCCTTGCTCGCTCGTTAGCTTGGCAACCATTGCCCGCATTTATATTTTGAGTTAGGGAGAGAGGGCAAAAGACTGGACTATTAAGGCATGATGATGATGATAGATGACATTCAGGCGCATCCTCCATGGTAATGTCTAACAGTGGGCTAGTTAGTTCATTTCGTGCTTGCATAAATAAGGCGCAACAAATATCCATCTTCCACATCCACATTGAAGAATGAGAGCCAGGGCAAGGAAGGGGTCAACGCGTAAGCCGTGTTTTATCTGTCACCGTGGACTCTCCTTTCGTTTTTTATCCTTTTCGCATTATACACACACGGGTGCAAAAACATGAGAGCGAGAGAGAGAGAGGAGAAGAAAGGATAAACACGTCTTTGTTGACGTCCCTAGGCAAAAGATACTTGCGTTGTTATCCGATGGAATCCATTGGACGAGTTTGTTTGTTAACAACCTCTTCAGCAGAGTCCCCCCAACGAAAAAAAATATATGGTAACTGTTTATTCATGCACTCGGCTGACAAGCGATCTGAATGATTGTGCAACCTTAAAAATTATCACTCTTCCTCCTCATACCTTCTCTCTTCCTCTCCACTTCACTCCGGACCAACCAATACTACCGACATACACAAAGTGCATTGCAAGCAAAAAGTGATGCCTCTGTAAGGAAGTCATCCTGCAGGGTCTGAATTTCGCAGGAGACAATCGACAAGCAGTTCAATGATGGCAGATGATGTGCACGGAACATCTGTTATCGTTTATTCCATTGAATTGAGTGAATTGAGTGCATTGAGTAACCCCCCCCTCTTTTTGCACTTTATCTCGTTCAGCTTTTTGTACATTAGTCCAGGCCAAGCCCAGTCCAGTCCGGGTCCATCTCCATTAGCTTCGCATTCAATCGTTTTCATCATTCCATGACTTCATTGGGGCATAACGCGAAAGATAGTTCATAGGCGTAAATAAAGTTCCGCTGGGGCACTCCTCCACATTTTCTCATTGCAAAGGATGGTTTTTTTTATTCGCAAGTGTTGGCTACTATTCTTTTGATTTTGCTAGGACTGTGTAGGAGAGTGTATGGAAGCATGCAGAAAGTTATGTGCCAGCGATGTGAGAGTGATGTGTACGCTACGCTAACTGTGTGCGCTTGAGGTGTGTGTGTGTGTGTGTGTGTGTGTGCTAGGGGCGATTATGTGCACAGCGACAGTTGAGTTCAACGCGCTCAGAAGAGGCGCGACTGAACCAACTCCAGCTCCTTGACAAACTTCGCCGGGTCACCAGGCCCAGTCTCGATGTAGATGTTACAAATCGCAGCATGCCCCCGGCAAGTGAAACCACGTTGTCATACAACACGGTCCCGCAAGAGGTCCCAGCGATGCTTGACCACATCATCATGCGGCTCAGGGATCTTACGACTGGCGTACTCGGAATCAGATCAGTTTACAGCAATACCGATATCGCCTCGGGGGACTTGCCGTGCAAGGCGGAGGACGTACTATTCCTCGAACAGGTACATGAGCGAGTTGGATCCAACGTACGGGTTGCGACCGATCTCGTGGAGGAGAGAGACATTACGTCCGAGTTGCTCAAGAGGTAGGACTTCATGGCGTCATCCTTGGTCATCCGAGGCGTCACGGGGTACTCGCTAGCCTTGTAGGCGGCCACCACATCGAGGGCTGGCACCAGGTGGTCGATGTAATACTCGGCTGGTGGGTGTAGTGGTTTGTTGTGATGTGTGTTTATGTGAGAAAAAATATTTAGACTTTTGAATGAAGACTGAGGGAACTGAAGGGAGTGGCAGTCTTGTGTTTGAGGATGAAAGAGTAGTAATTTTGTTGGATGAGATTTGGGTGCGGAGTTGAGGGTGACTGGAAAGGGTGAAGGAGAAAAGAAGGAAAGAGGCAACAAGAACAGGACAGACGAAAAAGAGCCAAGAAAAAAACACGCGCTTGAGCGTGACAGCACACAGACACCACTTGGTCGTTATTTTGACGCGTGTCTGATACGAAGAAATGACACATTCTCCGCTTTGTGGTATCAAAGATCAATGGCGTTTCTGCAAACCTCGGGACCATTGGAAAAGGCAAAGAAAAATTTGGTGGTGTGATAGTAGGAAGTAGTTTACGCGTCGCGCGTAGTTCATATTTTTTTCTGGTATTAGTTCTAGGGCATTAGTATTGTGCTCGTCCTTTGCCCTTGTCGCTCTTCATGCTCGGGCTCGTTGCTGCCTCGTACTCGTTACTGTTCTGGTACTGCCCGCCAGGACCGGAAGACTCGTATCCGTCTGCATCCTGTCCATTCACAGGTGTTTGCGGCCGGTCGTTGACAGGTGTCGTCATATCCCTAACTGGCGGCGGTGGTGGAGGGGTCACGACCATCGTCATCCTCGAAGGCTGAGTGCTCGCCCGTGGTGTCGGGGATTCTATGGTCGTCCATCCTCCTTTGACAGACTTTGAAGATCGCTGGTTAGGGTGATGGCGGTTTTGATGATGGCGACTATCGCTCCGGGATGTGGGACGCGAGGAGGTTCTTGCTCGCGGTGCCTTGATATGACCATTGCACACAGCACAGTTGAGAACCCTGAGAGCAGGTGATGGTGATTGTCCGAGAGGTTGCATGAGTTGGCTGTGGAGATTGGGACCGTTGGACGGCAGAACAGGGGCCGACGCGGACTCCATCTCGAGACACTGGCGATGGTATCCGTGCCCGCAGCGGAAGAGTAGGAGGTCCTTGTCCGTCAAACTCTTCTCCTTATCAGCAATTGTGACACCGTTGGCTTCCGTGGTTGTTGGTGGAGCTGGTGAGGCCGATTCAGAGTTGGTTGCAGAGTCAGAGGTGACGCTAGTCGATAATGCCGCCTTGATGGCACTGGCAGCGGCCCGCTGTTGTTGAACCCAGAGTTCCCGAACAATATTGGGACCCCAGAACGCTCCACCACAGATCTCGCAGTTACCCTTCCGTGGCCTCCAACCCTTGGCTCTTGTTTTCGCAATCAGCTGGACGCCCAAGAACAAGTCCCGCTCAAACAGGTTGTTTGTCATCTCCAGCAGCTGTCCCTCGTACTTGAACGTGTCGAGCATACCCAGGAAAATGTCCTTGAAATCCGAGAATCGGTTCAGCTCGCCCTCGTCGGCAGACTCTGACTTCAAAAGCCGTCTCAACAGGGATGGGAGCGACACCTGCGGGGTAGAGGTCGAAAGAAGCAACGTTGCTAGGATCGACTGGACAAAGCCCTTGAAGTTGTTCGAGAGCTGGTCAATGACTTGGAACGAATGCTGGCTCTCGGGTGTCGAGTTGGAAAATAGCGCAGGTGGTGCATTTTCGATCAAAAGCGTGCTTAGCGTGGTTTTGGGAAGCGGTTCGTCGTCCTGATCGTCCTTCTCCATGCGGCTCGATGCAATCAACAGGGTCATCTTCCTCGAGGCTGCGACAAACACCTGCAACAATCTAAACCACAGCGTCTCAGTGTCACTCTCTGCTGTTGACTTTGGCTGCGCGGGGGCGGTGGTGGTATGCGACAGGATCTTGACCTTCTGACTCCGTCGCTCGCAGAGCTGTTTACCCACGTTCAACACACCTCGAAGGCGCACCAAGCTGGCACGCATGTTAGACTGCTCCTCCATCGACCAGTACTTATCCTGGACCTTGCCATCCTCCTTGGACTTGACCAAACCCGCCAGAATATCTATACGTTCCTGTACAATCTCCAACACCTTGCTCAGTGCACCTCCAACATTGCCGCTCCTCTCCATGATCCAGACGACAGCGTCTACAACCCCAGCGTTCTCGCAGAGTTTCAGCACCTTCTCCAGACGATAGCTGTTATCTTGATGTCTCTCCAGGTAGTCGTAAACACCAGACGGGTCGTATTGGCACAGGAGTTCGACGTACTGTTCGTGGATTTCCGGGTCCGTGATCGCTGAGGCACCGATGAGTCGTTCGCTGTCGTTCTCGATCTTCGAATGGCTTCCTAATGTATAGTCTCCGTCCAAGGGAGGGGCACGGTCCGCAACGGGGATATTTGAGGGTTCAAGCAATCCGCGAAGGTAGGCAAAGAGACGAGGCTTGGATCCGTGAAGAGTCTCGAGGACAGAACGATGCTCGGCATTCAGGTACCTGTGAACGAGAAGGGCTGCCTGCTCGCCGTCAATGTCGACAATCTCGGCAATGTGCTCCATCGCTGTCTTGACAATGTCAGTCCTCTGCTTCTCGGTAATGTTGATGCGCTGCGGTCTGGTAGGGTCGAGCAGCTTACGGATCGCTTCAAACACTAGAGGGCGGCGCTCAGGATCCTTGAGGAATGTCACTACCATAGGTCCATACTGCTTCTGGGACCGATACATCTTCTCCAGCACACGGTAAAATCCTGCCTCGGTGTAGAGAGTCATCATGCCTGCTTCGTCCGCCGGTGAGTAGCATCGAAGCAAGGCCTGCACTGCCACTTGTCGCTCCTCTCTTGTTGATGGGTCCGTGTCGCTCGAAAGTCGGGTGAGGATCCTGTGAAGGGTTGTTGGTGACAGGGCAAGGGCTTTGGGTGATTTGGCGTAGTTGCGTGCAATAAAGCTGTAGAGGTGGGCCATATCTTTGGGGGTGTACTCCTCAAGAGGGCGAGTGTTGTCGCCGTTCATGTCAGAGATGGACATATTCGAGAACGACGTGCTAGGCGTGAGGACCTCCAACAGGGTATTGATGATGAGCTGGCGACTCATCACTCTACCTGGGCCGTCCTGTCCGTTCCTGGTAACCTGAGAAAAGTCACGATTTGTCGAAGCAAGGTAGCTGTCCTCAAAGGCAAGGTCGATGACTTTAAGGAATTCCTCGCTGTCGTGCTTCAAAAACAGCTTCAGGTACGGGTAGGTCGGCTCTGCATCGTCGGCGTTGTCAGCATCCCGGGTAAGAATGAGTTGGCCTCCTACAGGCGGCCACATCACGCACCGTCCTGAAAAGATAAACGAGTAGAGAGAAACCTTGGCCGCCACCGCCTCTGCTTCCTTCAATTTTGTCCCGTCGATGTAGGACTTGCCGAGTAGACTGTCGGCAAGATATCCATACAACTTTTGCACAATTTCCTGATTCGAAAGTCGCTCCGGCTGTGCTGGTTTGTCGTCCGAGATCGCCCTAGAAAGAGAAGACTCCTCCTTGTAGGAACTTGGTTGGTCCTGCTCATCGCCACTCTCCTCAAGGGAGTCCGCTGACTGGCTCTCCTTCAGGATACTCTTGATTACGCGAAGCAACTCCACGACTGGACTGACATAGTCGCCGATACTCTTGTTCCAGACGTAGATCAGGCCGTTGTAGAGCTGGTGTTTTTGACAAAGGTCCACGATCTGGTCCATTTCGAGAACATGACATGGCGTGTGACATATGCAGAGTTCCAGGGCCTTGTACATCCCGCGGTCGCCGTAGCACTTGACAAAGGCCTGCATCACCTGCGGCGGCATCTCGGTGAGTCGATCCTGAAGAATGTACCCCTCCAGAGATTGAAGGAAGATTCCCCTGACAAGTGTGCTAGCTTCGGCATATCGCTCGTACACGTCCTCGAACAGAAATCCTTGGTCATCGATGGAAAGACATGTCTCGATAGCCTGGATGGCCAGATCGTGGAACAGAACAGTGCCGGCCCCAACTCCTCCAGCGGCCGCGTCCGCGTCAACATCCATCATCCGCTCCGGGTTGAATGTGTAGTTGAGGGATGCTGTCAAGAGCTCGTAGATCTTCTCTCCGACAACCTGTTTGCGTGTCGACTCGTCCTCCGGCAGTCCTACTACTGCTGCTTGAACCGATTTTCCTGTGTAGAATAATGTCGCCAGTGCAATTCCTTCCAAAAAGTCGCCAGACTTGACCAATGCCAAAATGCGGTCAGTCCAGTTGAGGATCGTTCCAACTTGGACTCGACGCACACCCTAACCCATATTAGAAAAGTACATGCTATAAGTAAGGATATTCAACAAGGGTGCGAAAGCAAACAAGCTCGACACAGTGCATGTGACTTACAAGGACAAAGAGTTTTCCTTTATGGACTCTCCAACTATTGTTGTAGCTCATGTCGCCTATTACTGGCTTGGAGTCAACCGAGGCGATAGCGGCAGGAGGGCGATGTACTTTGGCAACGTCTCTGAACCAGTCGTGATAGACAATCTGCAACGAGCGTCCACTGCACCTCTCTGTCTCGCACATGAGCTTGGGGTCAAAGACAATGATGTCTTCCGTGTTGGTCAAAAGCAGTAGGATCTAATGAGTATGTGCTCTAATGTGTTAATACAGTTCCTATGGATTGACTTGAGTAATGATTTAATGTCACCTTGGAGTAAGAACGCATACCTGTGGTCGAACCCACTGAATTCCAACGATGCCTTCCCTACAAATCCAATCGCCAATCTTGACAAAGTCGAGCTTCGGGGTCTTCCCGTTCGCCTCTGGTGCCGACTTTCGGTCAGGGTTGAGGTGCACGGATCCCAGTTCCTGGCTCTGTCCAGTTGCTTTGAGAACCTGAAAAATGTACAAGTGTCGGTTCCACGAGAACGCAAGCATTGGGTTCGTCTCCACAACTTCACTATCTAGAAGCAGAAAAAAAGATATTGGCTGTGTTAGTACAGATTACGATTTCAAGACTTGGATCTGTCATGGTGGCTAAACATGTTTACCTTGTCCTTGTCCTCGCTGACTTTTCGCAGCTGGAAACCATGCAAGATTACCAGATATCACCGCCGTTGATTCGCCGTCCCTACTCTGAAGCTCCTTGGGTCTCACAAACTTGAAAAGTGTCTGAGGCTGCGGCTTTACGCACACGATCAGCAACTAAACAAGTAGAACACAGAAAACTGGTGAGTATAATGAAGACTTGTCAATCGAGAGGTTCAGGCTTTCTTTACAATCAATCCATATGGCTTGCCTTGAATGGCGTCAACAATGCAACAAGTCCGGCGCTGTCAGCAGGGTGAGGGATCTGTCCATACGGCAAAACACCCATTCCGAAAACCGTGCTCTGACGGGATGCCCCGATTGCTCCACGACCTTCGTAGCCTCGTACGAACTTTGGACTTGGGTATTTTCCAAGAAGGCGCGTCGTCTCCACAGCGTTGACCATCATGACTTTGTACAAGAGGTGGTGGAACGACATGCCCTGATATTGTAATAAATTAACAAAAATCGCGTTAGGCCAATGTGGTTACAAGAGCACAAAATCTCCAGATAAACGCAATTGTCCTGAATAGACAATGAGATGTTTACCTGGTCATCGGCGCTGACGACTTCGGCACGCTTGATTCCAATAAAACCAACATTCAAAACCGCAGATCCTCGGATATGTCCAAGCTTCCTTCCTGATAACGCAACATCCTTGGCAATGGGAGGAATGATCCTGGATGGGGCGTTGGGTTTGCTCACGTTCCAGACAATGACGCTTCCAAGAGAGTGTCCAGCTACCATGTACGTGTTATCGGAAGAGATGGCAATAGAACACACCGACCCGTGCTCCAGTGCATATTGCGGATTGCCAAAAATGCCCATAAGTGCCTGAGTGGTACTGTATACCAAGATGGATCCTCGACTGGTACCCACCGCGATGATATTAGAAACCGCGATGCATGTTCCCAATCCTGACGAGGCCTTGATATCGTCAGAGAAAAGCTGGTCTGAGAGTTTGAGCAATGGTGTCCATCTGAAGGTCTCCCAGGGCTCAGCGCCAGCGCCAGGACCTGGTGAATGAGAATCCGAGAGGTTGTTGATCCCTGATACTGAAAATGAGATCGACGACGTCCTTGAATGGCGTCCCGTGATTGCAGACGATGAAGCGACTGAGCCAGGTCCAGCGTGGGACAGTGGGTGAGGACGAAGGCGATGCATAGGCTCAACGGATCGAAACGACAGCCCTGACAGGGGCGAGCTAGGCAACGAAGTAACGCCAACGTGTCCGTACTGATGTCCAGACATAATAGAGGTCTGTGAGAGGGTATCTTCGCGATGAATATCCGACGCTGAATCCATCTCCGACGTGCCGCCGCCCCTGAGGTTCCCGAATCCCTGTAGTTCATGCTCATCGTCGTCTGACACCTCGTTCAAAATTGAATCCAGGTTCAGATAGTTAGCTATGAGGACGAGTAGAGGAGTGAATGAGGTTGGGTTAGGTGAGGGCTCACAGCCATTCAGCGCAGCACACCATGAATGTTGTGTTGGAGCTTACAGTTCCGGACAAACTCCTCGTAGAGAGAGGTCTCACGGACAATCCTGTCGAGAATTTCCTTGATCCGCTTTTGCCGTTGAGTCTCGCCAGAAATGACAATGCCGCCGTCCTTTTTGGATTGCTGAGGAGCGTCCGCCAGTGGTCCTCCTTGTAAATGCATGTGAAGCTCCTCCGATATTTTGTAGATGTCTGCAAGGACGGCCTTGATAGTGGTCTCTGGGGTATTTAGCAAGTCGAGTTCCGGGATCCGAAGTTCAAGGAACTGCTGCTCTAATGATGTAATTGACTGAAGACCATTGACTGTTACCCAATGAGAGAAAGTTAGACCTGGAGAACTCTTGGCACATAAATTCACAAGGAAATCACAACACATACTGTATGTTCTTACCAAGCCGCGTGTTGGAGCCTTTCAAGATGATGGGAGCATTGGATCTAGGCAGGGATATTCAACAAAGTAGCAAGGGTTAGGATTAGAGCCTGTATCATGAGATAGCCTTTTGCTTTCGACTGTTGGACCCCAACGCAACTTACGGTGCTTCTTTCCCGTTTTTATAAGTACCGTTTCCGCGCGCCTTGACGCGAGAAGTTTGGTTGATCATGTCCATTCTGGTTGCGTTGCTCAGCAATGTCTGGTTACGGTGATTGAAACGCGCGAGTCGCTGTTCGTGGCGTTGGATAATGCCTTGGTGATGTTGCTTGGTTTGAAAGGCGTCCTTGGGTGGGTCGCTTCGCCGGATGAATGAAAGGTTGGCGAGGTAGTTGGAGCCAAGGGTGGGGTGTTCAAGTGCAGAGTCTACGTCGAGGGATGATGACGAGTCGAGAATGGTCTTTAAACTGGACGGACTATCTAGAAACTGTATAGTGTTGCGGGGTTGATTATGACCGCGTCGAGCTGAGGATGACGCGACGCTGCTTGCACGCGTGAGAGTATTAACAGACGAAGAGGGGCTGGACGAAGCAGAGGATGGTGCTGAGAGGGAGAGGATAGAATGCGATCTGTCCTTGGTTGGACTTGTCGAAAGAAAGGATGGATTGAAGGAGGATGAACGGGCTAGGGATATGTCAATGGGTGGAGAGTCTAGTTTGTCTGAGCCGACAACGATGTTGACGGCAACGGGTTTGAGGAGACGGACGTCGGTCGAGTTTCTGGGCGTGCTGCTGTTGCTGCTCTTGGCGGTGTCGGAGAGAGTGCTTTGAGGTGTCCTGCTTCTGGAATGGGCTTGATCGACCTTGTTGAAACTGAAGCCGGGGTCCAAGTCCAGGTCGAGGTCAAGGTCGAGGTCGATGGGACGAGAAGAAGTTGTAGTGGTGGTGGTAGAAGAGTTCCTGCTGGAGAGGATCAGACCTTGGTAGCGTTCTTCGTCAGAGGAGTCTGGTTCGAGAATCTCTTTGAGCAGTGCTTCGTACTCGTCTTGGGTCGATGTCGGCGAATGCTTTGACCCGAGAGTGTTCATGGGAATCCTTTTAATTGGGTGTTAAAAAAGGGCCTTGGCACGTTTTACTGGGACATGGGAAACGGTGACAAGGTGTAAAAAGGAAGGGTTGCTGACTGACTGCACGGTTGATGATTGTTGGGGTAGGAGAGAGAGAAAGAGAGAAGGTGGTGATGAAGGTGGAAGAGAGAAGAGAGAGAGAGAGTGAGTGGAGAAAGATTAGATGGAGAAAGAGTCGACAACAGACGAAGGATGGGCGGGAAGAGAGAGGAAGCTGAAGGACAAGAGAGGTGAAAGAAAAAAAAAGATGTCGAAGGGTGTGCGTGAGACGGTGGTGTCGATTCCCCTTTGGACTGCCTTTTCGAGCATTCAAAAGGAGGAACGAACAAATGCCCCTCGCTTCCCGCGTGTGCGTCCTTCTACAACTCCAAGGGAAATGGCCCCACTTGCTCTACTTGTCCATGTACACATGCACATACGGTGGTCACTGTGGTTCGTCCTCCTCTTCCTCCAATGCATTCGTTCGAGGGACTGACTGAGTGAAATATCGCCAGCATTACTGCACTTGTGGGATGGAATGAAAGGCTTTCTTGTTGAGTCGACTTGCCACCAAATTATTATCACCTTGCAATTGATCATTGTACCTTTGGTTAATAGTTCTAGGACGCAAGTTTAAAGAGACACTTTGAAGATAGAAGCTCTGCTTCTATTCCTGAATATTAAATGTCAACTGCAAGCAAGCAAGTAGGTCGACAAAGAGAGAGATGAAAGTGAGTGAGCTGTTCAATTAAAGCCATTGCAACGTAGTCATTTGTTGTTTTATTTCAACCCCTGTGTGTATCCACTTGCATGCATCTCCCTCTCTCCCGCCCTTCGTCTCTTTGCAAGGGGGGAGTAAGGCAAACGATTCCCTCTTTTCAGACCCGTGACATTGGCGTTTGGCACTATGGCAGCAATGCACCTTGTGTGATGGATCCTCTCTCTACCTTCGTCGATGATGTGTTTTATGGCGTTTCTTCTTCTTATTCTTCTTCTTCCCTCGCTTCTTTCTTCGCTGGCTCTGTCCTTTATCTTTTATCTATCATAGTCTCATTCCCCGTGCGCACACCGTGTCCCGACCAGAGACAAATTTTTTGTCCGTCGACTTTCGAAACTTTGACCCGCCTTATATATCCTTCGAGTCCTGACTGCGTCCTTCATTCTCCTTCTCTTCACTCTTCATAAACTTACCCGCCTTTCCTTCTCTTTTCACACACTCCTTCCTCTTCTTCACTTCCTTCAACTCCTCCATACCCTTCCTCAACCCCACCAATCCCAACGATGTCAGCGGACGACTTTATCACTCACTACCAGCCTCCTTCCTTCTTTACCCTCTTCCCCGACGCTCTCGCCGTCGTTATCCGCCATCTCAAGTTCTCCAACGAAACCCTCGCTATCCTCGCTCTCGTCAACCATGAGGTAACACTCTCACGCTCACGCTCTTCGTCTCCCTTGTCGAAAAAACACACAGCAGCGTTGTTACTAACGTACTCCTCTCTCTTCATTCTACACTTCATCCCCTCAAAAAGTGCTATCTGACAGCAATGCCGGTACTATGGTCAACCCCCCGACTCGACAACAGCCTCGTCTACACACCCCTACAATGTATCCAATCGATCCTCACCTCCATGGAAATCCGCTCCCTTCGCCCGGAGACCCGCCTCATGATCCACTCCTTCGACCTCTCCCAGGTCCAAGAGACCCTCTATTGCACCCTACCCGACAACTGGCTCTTCATCATCCTCCAACACGCACCCATGCTCCAAAACCTCTGTCTCTCCGGCAAAACAACCACCTCCCCCTTTGTCCGAAGCCAAGCCTTCCGCAAGCTCGCCCAAACAAACTTGATCCACACAGAGCTTAAGCATCTCGACCTTAGCGACTGTACCGATATCCGAGAACCCGTCTTGAAATCTATGACGACTCATTTCCCTAATCTGGTCTCGCTGAACCTCTCCCGGACCTCAGGTGTAACCGACACTGCGCTGGCGTTGATTGTCGATCGCTGTCAGTACCTCGAAACCGTCAACATTGCTTACTGTCGCCAGGTGACCGATCTCGGTCTCTTCTCTGTGGCAAAGTTCTGTCGCCGCAACCTGCGCGTGCTCCACCTGACTGGAAACCTCAAGATGACCGATGCTTCTTTGCTGGCCGTTGCCAAACACTGTCCGCGCATCGAAAAGCTGTTCCTGGGCGAATGTTCTCGTATCACAGATTCGGCGCTCGAATGGATCGCCCGGTCATGCTCAAGTACGTCGCTCAAGGAACTGGAGCTACACCGTTGCGACAAGATCATGTTTGGCCTCCCACTCCTGGAGCTCCTGGCGAATAAGTGCAACGTCCTCGAACGGTTGACGCTCACCTACAAGCAGATCAACTCGAGACGAGACGATCTCAAGCTGGTCATGGAGGCCTTTCGTGATTTCCACCGTCTGCAGTCGATCGACATTTATGAGATGCCCGAGCATAGTCCGGCGTTGTTCTTCTGGGACTTGGCATTCCAGGCGAGTCGCGGCAAGCTGAAGGCGATCAATCTCTACAGGGGCAGTTTTATGACGGACTACATCCTTGGCAACTACGCGACTGCACCAGAGTATGGCCAGAATATTTCCGACCAGTCTGTGCGAAAGTTCAACGATATGCGCAACGGAGCCCACAAGGCTACCGTCAACCTTTTTGTCGACGACTTTTACTGATTCCTTGTCGATGTTACTAATTCCATGCCGCAATAATAAAATACATCATTCATACTTTGAACCAAGTAATGATGTGTTGTTGCTTTAATATTCTAATATGACAAATGTACTTCCCGCTCTTTATGGTTTCCGCTGGCCTGCCTCCTGATTTAAGCCGCCAGCCCTGAATAGTGTCCATACTGCAAATTTACTTCCGGTTACGGGCGTAGAACTCGTATGCCAAGGCATGCATCTGTGGTGGGAAGGGACTTGGGATCTCGGTCTTTCCGGGACGGGAGATGGGCGAGCGCAAGAAGCAGGTCGAGCAGGTGTTATAGTTGACCTCGAGGTAGTCGGGGACGAAGAGGAAGGGCTGGGAGAAGGGCTTGGGGACAAACTCCATGGGTGACTTTGTCACTGCTGCTCCAGCTTCTTCTTCACCCTCTTTTGGTGCAGTCTTCTTCAAAGTTGAGACGGATGTGGGGTCGACCTGAATGATATCTCCATCTGTGACACGGTGGGAGGGGTAGGGCATCTATTTTTGAGGAATTGGTTCAATGGAACGGAGTGCGTTAGAGCCTTGAAGTTATTCTCATTGTCCTGTGTTGTTTTCCGGTACTGATCGCTCCTGAATTGTCGCTTGTTCTGTTTCGAGAATGTATGTTCGTGTAGAAACACCGTGCCGTCTTCATTCTCATGCTACAATCTGTGAGGATAGATCGGCCATTCCACTCCTGACGTGTGTTCCTATCGTTCCCATTATCCAATTGCGACAGTTGATCGGCCTTTCATTGATCCGGCAAAGAAAGAAGAGACTTACAGGCTTGCCATTGACAGTAACCTTGCCGTGTCCAACGAGCTGACGGGCAGCATAGATGGAGGGGGCAAAGTTGCTCCTGAAGACAATGAAATCCAGACGCCTCTCCATCTCGGCAAAGGTCAACGAAAAGACTGGAGGATGAGGCTCGACACCTCCGACCTTGGTGTTGGCGGTAGGGAGGCGAGTCTTGAACATGGACTGCCACTGACGCTCTGTGATTTGGTCTCCGTGGTAGGAGCGGGTGTCCTTCTTGGAGGCCCATTTCTGTTGGTAGAGGGTCTTGTTGGCCACGTTGGGGACACGGGCACGCTGGGTGGTGTTGAAGAGGTTGTACTTGTTCCAGGACATGCGGAGCATCTGTCTACGGAGCGAGTAGACGGGGATTGTCGAATTGCGGACCATCTTTGTTATATATATTCCTGCTTTTGTCGCGTTGTTTGGTGTTGTATCCTGGACTTTGTTCCTTCGTCCTTGTAGTGAAGGTCGGGTTAAAAGAAGGCGAATGCGGGAAAGGCGTCGAAATGGGTCAACGAAAGGAGATCTCTCGAAGGTAAACTCAGGGCAGGAGGTTTGGTGGAGCGGGGGAAGGCAGCGAGACTTGCAATTGTGTAAACAACACCTCGCAGTCACACTTTATGGAATAGATGGGTTCTATGGCCATGTGCAATTAGATGGGGTCCAAATGACCCGGCATGCCTCAATTGAACGCCAGCAACCTCGCCCGAGCGAGAGCTCAAAAATAGAACACTCTCTGATAGTTGGCCCATGTTTCTCTTTTCTCCACCACTAGGGAATATGTGCCTGTGGTGTGAAATACACAGAAACCAATAATCAAACTATCAAAAATGTGTTTGGATGCCCCGTCCCAAATATGCATCCCGCCCGGTGCATCCTTCTTTCTTCTTTTTTTCTTTTGTGCTGGGCGCAAGAGAGAAGGAAGAAGAGGAGCAAGAAGAAGAGGCAAAGCCTCTTTCTTGACTTGACCATGACTAATGATAATGTACTCAGACATGGCTTCCCTTGTCAAGCCATCCGGATACGAGCAATTAAAACAGACGCCTCTTCGCACTTTTTATCTAGCTTTCACTTTTCTTCTTTCTCCACTTTCTCCTTTCTTTCTTCCTTCCTTTCTTCCTCTCCGCTACCTTTCTTCACTTACTTTCCTTCTCTCCCTATCAACCTCACCACCATCTCTCTCGTCGCATACCCCGCCAAACTGCGATGCACACAATACTCACCTTCACCTGTTAGATTCATTCCCATCCACACCAGCCCTTATCGTTACGTTTCTTTTCTTCACCCCCACTCACCTTGCATCGTTACTCTTTACTTCTCATTCCTATTCCTACATCTTGTCACACCAAACAGTGTATCGTCAAACCCTTTTTGTATTTTTACCACCCTCCATCACACTTTAACGACAGCCTCCACTAAGGACAATTTAAAGACAACACACAGATGCAGACGACAAGCCCATCGTCGTGGTTCTGCCGGAGCATTGCCATCACTCTCTTCACCCTCCTCACCCTCCTCCTCTCAACACCCCTTTCCAACTCTCACACCCCAGCCCTAGCTCAAGCAGTGCCGCCCGATTTCTCACCCACTCCCAGGAATCGTATCTTCTTCTGGAAAGTCACCTACTCCACCTTGGCCCCCGACGGCGTCACCCGCCCCGTCATCCTCGTCAACGAGAAATACCCCGGTCCGAAAATTGAGGTTAACCGAGGCGACTATGTCACAGTTATTGTAGAGAATGCTTTAGACGTCCCTACGTCTTTTCATTGGCATGGTATGACTATGCGGGGGGATCCTTGGTATGATGGCGTTCCGGGGATGAACCAGTGTCCTATCCCGGCCGGGACGAATTTCACCTATGCCTTTGGCACCGACGATGTCGTTGGAACGTAAGTCGCTTTTTTCGATGACTATTGTGTGGGATGTTAACTGTTATTTTTGGATTCCAGTCTCCTCGGTGCTAAGTGCTTGTCTTTTTAACTGACCATGAACGAGCGAAGGAAAGGAAAGCGAGAGGAAGAGTAATGTAATGGAGAACGAGAATGAGAAAGAAACGAGGCAGGGGAGAGAAGGAAAAGACTAGGAGGGAGCAAGTGCAACAAAAACAGGTGTTCTCACAGTGTGTTCGCACTTCAAAATGACTTTTTGAATAAATGCGATCCAGACTCCACCTATGGGCTAATACAGCTGTGAAATACGACTGAGAAAAGGCACTGATATTGAAATATCTCCTTCATTTCATATCAATAGACATTGGTGGCACGCCCACTTTGAGAACCAATACATCGACGGTTTAGTAGGCGCAATCATCATTCGGGATCCACCAGCGACGAACCCCTTCCTTCGTGCATACGACGAGGAACGCAATGTCATCCTGACAGACTGGTACCATCAGGCAACAGGACCTCTTCTCCAGACCTACTTGTCGCCGGCCAGCAAAGGCCATGAACCAGTACCCAACAGCGGTCTTATCAATGGCAAAGGAACCTTTGACTGCAAAAATGTCATCCCGGCCGACTTACCCTGTAATCAGACCACCGACCGAGCTGTCTTTCATGTCATTCCCAACCGGCGGTATCGTCTCCGGATCATCAATACTGCGTAAGTATCTATTTGATATCGATCCCCTACTATGAGTTGCCCTATTGTAGATCGCCACTAATCTGCACCACAAATTAATTAACCCATCGTTTTTTTTCTTGAAACATAGTGCGGCGGCATCGTTTCTGTTTTCGATTGATGGACATCAACTACTGGTCATTGAGGCGGACGGCACGGATTTGAACCCGTTCATGGTTGACAGCTTACCGATCAACACAGGACAGCGCTACTCGGTCATTGTGGTCACCAACCAGGACATTGCCAATTACTGGATGCGTGCCGAGATAGGCATGCATTGTTTGCCTCCTGGACAACATAATCTGGACCCGATTGTGTTGGGAGAGTTCCGGTATGCGGGCGCTGGCGTAGCAACACCCACCTCTGTCGGACGATGGGTACCGAAACCACCTGTCAAGGGTCAAGATCCTGAGGAGAACCCTGCGTTTTTGGCTGCCTGCCAGGATCTGGACCTGTTTGCGCTTCATCCCTTGAAAGCAGTACCCATTCTGGAACCCATAACCAACAACTACCACGTCAAGATGACGTTCAAAAAGAACCCTGAGGACGATATCGTTCGTGGCTACCTGAACGATATTACCTTTGACGGTGATGCATGGAACCCGACAATTGTGCAGAACCTGAACGAGGCTGCTACGTACACTGTTGGGGAACATGTGATGCGACTCGACCGACGAGATGCGGTCGTTCAGATTATCCTCGACAACTCTGAAGGAGGCGAGCACCCGTTCCACTTGCACGGACATACTTTCCAGGTCATTGCTCAAGGAGTAGGTTTCTATGAGGAGGGCAAGACACCCATCAACTCAATCAACCCACTCCGACGCGATACGGCGACGGTCCCCGAGAATGGGTTCACAGTGATCCGGTTCAAGGTCGATAACCCGGGAGTCTGGTCGCTGCATTGTCATATCGAGTGGCATGTCTCTACAGGGTTGGTGATGCAGTTCTTGGAGTTGCCGGACGAGTTGAGAGCGATGGGGATCCCAAAACATGTTGGCAAGCTCTGTGAGACCCCCGCTCCACGGGGGTTCAAGGCACATACTGGGTTCATGCCTGCCGCTGCCGCCGCTGCAAAGCCTGCCGTTGCTGCGTTTGTTAACGGCACTACTACTACTACTTTCAACCATTAGAGCAATGGGTGACTCTATATATATATTTTCATACCATCATCCATTTCATACCACATTCACACACACACCTTCATTCGTCGCTCCTTTAAAACTGTAGAAACACTAAAGGCCATTCCTTTAAAAATGATTATATATTGCAAAATGTACAAAAACGGAGTGGGGGGAATGAGGGGGGGGGGGGGGGGAGGAGGGGGAGAAAACGAAACACACTTAGGCGGAACGCTTCTTCTGGAGGTTCTCAGCAAGTCTATCCAAGAACTCGAACGTGTTCAAGTAATGCTCACGCTTCAAGCCCTTTCCATGAATAATCAAAGCCAAATCCTTGGTCATGTCACCGGCCTCGATGGTATCGATACAAACAGTCTCCAACTGAGTCGCAAACTGCTTCAACTCCTCGTTGTTATCGATCTTGGCACGGAACTCAAGTCCACGGGTCCAGGCAAAGATCGACGCAATGGGGTTGGTCGAAGTCTCACGGCCCTTCTGGTGCTCGCGGTAGTGACGGGTCACAGTTCCGTGGGCGGCCTCGGCCTCGCAGCACTCACCATCGGGGGTCAAGAGGACGGAGGTCATGAGACCCAAGGATCCATAACCCTGGGCGACAATGTCGGACTGGACATCACCGTCATAGTTCTTGCAGGCCCAGACGAAACCTCCGGAGGACTTGAGCATCTGAGCGACCATGTCGTCGATGAGACGGTGCTCGTACCAGATCTTCTTGGCGTCGAACTGCTCCTTGTAGTCACGCTCGAAGATCTCCTGGAAGATATCCTTGAAGCGGCCATCGTATTTCTTCAAGATCGTGTTCTTGGTCGACATGTAGAGGGGGTATGACTTCTCCAAAGCCACCTTGAAGCACGAGTGAGCGAATCCAATAATCGACTATTTGTTTCATGAAAGGTGTAAGGGAATGGTCAGAAGCTGTTGCTATCTTCTTCAAGTTTGTAAGGTGAGCAAAAGTCCATTCAGTAGAAAGAGAAAAAAAAGTACCTCGTCGTGGTTGTACATGCCCATGGCAACACCGGGGCCCTCAAAGTCGTAGACGACCAAGTTCTTCTTCTCGGAACCATCGGCGGGGGTGAAGACGAGCTCGAGGCGACCGGGTACATCGACAACCAAGTCGGTAGCCTTGTACTGATCACCGAAAGCGTGGCGACCCAAGACAATGGGCTCGGTCCATCCGGGGACCAATCTAGGGATGTTCTTGCACAGAATGGGCTCACGGAACACGGTGCCTCCCAAAATGTTACGGATTGTTCCCTATTGTCCATTGAAAGATTGAAAGGAGTCATAGTTAGTTATCGCCGTTAACCAACTGAAAACCATTATCGGGTACACCTGCCAATGTGTATGGCAATAAAAACAAGAGATCTTACGTTGGGGGACTTCCACATCTGCTTGAGCTTGAACTCCTCGACACGGGCCTCATCGGGAGTGATGGTGGCGCACTTGATGCCGACCTTGTACTTCTTGATGGCCTCGGCAGCATCGATGGTGACTGTTGATTGTTTAGAAAGTGGAAGTGACAGAACGGAAACCTTGTTGCGTTAGGACATTTGCCACGTTCTAACCATAGACGATCTTCCCCACAAACACACACTTCTTTTAGAACTCGAAAAGAATAATAAGTTTGGATATCATCCTGAAGCAAGAAAACTAGCTCGCTTGTTTGGCTTTTGACCCAAAAACTGTTCACATTGAGAGAAAAGAAGACGTGGTAGCAACAAACGTGATAGGATAGGTGTGTGACAAATGAAAGGCTGGCCGATCGATTCAGGTACAAAATGTGGTGCGAATTGAGGTCCGATCAATGACGCGATCCTCGGTGGGGGCAAACACAAAAAGCGAGCTCTCAGTTTTTATCTCTCTCCCTCTCTCTCTCTCTCTCTCTCTCTCTCTCTCTCTCTCTCTCTCTCTCTCTCTCTCTCTCTCTTCCCTTGGGTCCATTTTTTTTGAATGGTGCCACTTAACAGCCAGTGCCATTTTTTTCTTTTTTCTTTTTTATGTTTGACATGTGCGACATTCAGCAAAAACGCTGATCCGTGGGACGAATGACCCGCAATTTGCGGGTTATTGACTGAAGATTTCGCGGGGAAGTTGATAGAAAGAGGGGGAAACAAATTGAGCTCCTCCGCAACGTGTCGCCATTCGCCATTCACCATGCCACCAAATAATTATCATAAGATCATGAGGGAACGGATGTATGGAGCCAATTGGATGGGGGAGGGGACAGGAGCCAGGTTGGTGGGATTGATTATAAAGGGGGTAACGCTTACCCTGGTCGTTGGTCTCGTCACGGTACTCCATGCCGAGGTCGAAGTACTTGATGTCAAGGTCGACATAGGGGAGAATCAACTAACAGATAGATAAAAAAAAAAGTGGAATAGATGGTGAGTACGTTTGCATGCATAGATCCGCTTTTTTCTTATCTCGTCCTTATTATCTCACAGCACAACCCCACTATCATTGTCACCAACCCACACGCAATTGCTCTCAATCCTGCAGTCGCTTTTTGGTGGCACACGGCCACGGAATATGCGAGAAGCCGAAAGTAGAAGAACATCAAAAAAAATCTCAAACAGCCGTAACGACACTAAGGAGGCAACTTTCCCATGCACACACAAGCAATCCTCAGACGAGCGAACATAACGAGGGCCATGGTCTGAACAAAGGTACAAAAAAGGACCATTGTTCCCATGACTGTATGTTTCGCTTCCTCTTCCCTCTCTTTGCACCCACTTCCTCGTTCCTGACATATATTCCAGAAGTAAGATCCGCTGTCTAATAAGAAAAAGTAGACAATTGTGATCGGAGCAGCAAAAGATCCCAGGCAGCCGTGACTTGCCAAAAAATGACGCCTCTTTCGTTTCTTACCTTCTCGCGAATGCCGTCCCAGATGATGCGGGTCATTTCATCGCCCTATAAAAAACACGAATGAAAGAGATGCAGAGACATGAGAACAAGGGTTAGCTTTCTTGGCCTCTTGTTTCTTTCGCTCACACAATCTGATAGGAGCAAATGCCGTGAGAATTGTATCGTTACCTGCATCTCGACGACAGTTCCTCCTGAAAACGTATTTCCATATCAAAGGTGATGTGCAAGGCGAGAAGAGTAAAAAAAAAGAGTGAGTTGACTGTTGTGCAGCATGGAGTAGTGTTTCCAAGATGATGACAAGAGACGAAAGGAAAAAGAACAAACGAGTTGCGCTGAGGAACGTAGAGGATGAGGAACGTACCGTTGATCTTGGCGGGAGACATTATGGATAAGTTAGAGTGGGTGGAGGTGGGTGGTGGGAAAAGTGTGAGAGTAGAGGGGGGGAGTGGATGAAATGAGTTGAAGAACGAAAGTAAAAGCAAGAAAGAGAGAGAAGAGAGTCTGTGGGGGCGGCGGTCAGGAGCTCATTATATATCATTGATTTGGCCCTTTTTTTTTTTGTTCTCTTCTTCTCCCTTTGCCATCTCACCCTGGCCAATCCCCTCAATTGAACACTTTGGCACGTTCACTTTCCATGGTGTGAAATATCCTTTAAAAAAAAGAGTCCGGAGAACGGAAACCCATTCTTTTGAACGTTCATTGTGGGACAGGCAGAGGACTTGGGACATGTACTCTTCAAGTATCCATCCCGCTCCCTCGCTCATTTTTTATTATCTGATCGATTGATTCGTTGCCATTCAGTCAGCCAATGTTTTTCTATCCCTCTCCTTCAGTCCAAAAGTCGGGGTATGCTTTGGAAATGAGAGCTTGCACTCACCCTGGTTTCTGAAAGTGTTTTATTCCTTCCCTCTTCTTCTTTTCAAGAGTGGGCAGTGTGAATGTGAGCTGATATGCTGAAGCGATGGGCACAAATGGCAACTTGTCCTACACAATTTTCCCGTGAATATGTTGCATATCCTTCCTGGCGCCAGAAATGGTATCCAATATCTATTCCTGCCCAATCCCATCCCTACCCGGAAACACCCTTCCACTTCTACTACCCCTGTGTTCGGGGTTTACATCCTGCCCTAATGCTCCAGCTCAACATCCCTCTATCCCAGCCTCCAGCTAATAAAAAACGAACGATACGTTGCGTGCGTGTCTTGTCTCCAATTCCCCAGTTCCAATCCGCAGTCATGAAAGGTGGTGTCAATGACCACGAAGGGGATGGTCTTATGTTTTGCCGTTGGACAGATATACGATAACCATTGCTTCCCCTTCTCCCTTTCCCAATCACGTTGATATGCCTTTGTTGTCATTGAAAAATGCTTCGGTCACTCACTTCCCCACGCTACATTTCCACACACGACCGTGCAAACATCGCCTTTTTTTTCCTCGTTGTGTGCAATTGCTCTCTTGAATCTCCTAAGCGGCAGAATCAAGTACAACGCGGAAAGGAAGCATGAAAGAGGAGGAAAGATGTGAAAGGAAATGAGAAACCGTGCGTCGAGTGTGGGAAAATTGTTTAGTTTCCCCCACGCATATTTTTCTTCCTTGCCTTCTTTCTGTTTGGCGTCTCTGTGTCTCGGCGAATCTGTTCCTGAGAAGCTCGTTCACGCCCACTTTCATTCAGTCGTCCATCGCTTAAAAGGATGCGCTCGCTCTTGTCAATTGCTTCAATGACATCCTTTCAGAGCTCTCCACCCTTGTACCTCTCTGCCCGCGGATCAATCAGAACAAGATGTTGTTGATGTGTTTATGTGTCCATTGTGGCGCCTGAGTCGAAGCGTATCCTTTCCCTCACTCAACCAAATAAGTGAACTCGGTAACCTAAATAAACAACTATAACCACTTCTTGCCGTCTTCTCTTATATCTTCCTTTCCTTTAGCATGGACACAACGATAAAAGTATCATCCTTAATAACACCAAACGTAACTTGAACAAACAAAAAAAAGGAGAAAAAGTCTGGGGAAGGTGGCTGCGGATTAAAGTTCAGGTGAACAAGTTCCATCGGCCCTTTTGACCGTTTGTTTTCTGTATTGGCCAATGGCATCCCATTCCCGTGGCAGAAGATCTCATTTCGCCATCTCTGCTCTCGCTGGCACAAATATACCACTGTACGTACTGTGCATTCGATCATTCCTTGAAGGGGGAGGGACTTGAGCGTGGGGAAAGACTGTGGGCAGGGTGAACTTTTTTTTCTCCTCCCCCCTCCTTCTCCTTCTTCTCCTTCTCCTTGTCCACATAAAACGTGGTGCTTACGGAGGGAAGGGAGGAAGGTGATGAGAACGTTACTCATGTGCAGACACACAGACAAAAAAGTTGTGTTTTTATCTTTCCTTCATGAGAACCAATTCCTAACCGTCGCTGCTTCCAATTCGATCTTTCTCACACCCTCCCCCCAAAACCGTGCACAAGTTCCCGATCCCTACGGTGTACACAGGCCTGGACATCTTACTTCTACCCCCCCCTACACAATTAAAGATGGCAGGCCTCCCTCCTCATTCTGAATAGACTGCTCAGATGGAACCTGCCAAGTTCGTCATGGCCCACTCGCACTCAATGGGCTTAGTTCGGGATTTGAACCTTTGCCGACCTGCAATGTTTGCTGAGAAATCGCATCAAGTACTTTACCCCACACTTTTGCTCGCTATCGAATCTACCTCCCTTTCCTCCTTATGTACAAAACGGCGTCCGTTTGTCTTTTTGCTTTTCCGGCTCCATCGCACTGGACACCCACCCTTGTCTCAGCTACTCACCCAACCTCAGTTTTTGGTCGCGTTGAACAAAAAATCGCTAGTTTATTTAGGCTTACCGGCCTCGTTCGTATCATGAGGTGGTTAATGCGAGATGCCAACCTCCTTCTTGATCTCCTCGACAATTGTACGGTACTCTGCCATCGCACCAACACCTACAACATGCATACAAGATATACACAGTCAATACACAAGGCGTCGCTCTTCCGTTGGTGGCAAACATTGAATACCAAGACTTACCGAGATCGCCACAAGCGAGCAGTTTGCTGATAGGCGGGATAACACGGTAGTGTAGAACATCTGTCAAGGTGGAGAGGTGAATTGCTGTAAACTTGTGGTTCCACATATTGGTGTTCATTGCTGGACACACAATTACCGACCGACTCTCATCCCAAGCGCGCAAGATACATGTCTATTTGTCCATGTAAATACAAGTCAGTCTCGCTCTTCCTTTCGTTTCTGCTCTTCATACCTTCGGGAGGCCATGTACAATACTTACGATCAGATTGTCGCAGAGACCTTGTGCCAGCTTAGCCAGTGTGTTTGCATCCAACGGACAAATGATAAACATGTCTGCCCAGTTGCGTAGCTATGTAGGAAAAGTGAAAGTGATTTGTAAGCAGTCAACCCAGTGCGCATGGATGAACAAGTTTCACTCGCAAGGCGTGAAGATAGCAAGTCGGTTGCCCTCACATCGATGTGCAAGACTGGATCTAACATCTTGTTCCATGCCTATGCGAACAACGAGGAAGAGACGTCAGATATCATATCAGTATAGCTCAAAGGAACACACCCAAGGGACGGAACACAACAGCTCAAGGACCTTACGCTCCACTCGTCTTTGTCAGTCAGCACCTCGGCGAGGACATCCTTGGGGTCAAAGAAATGAAGCGCAGCGGTGGTGGCAACAACCTTGATCTCGACGAGATGCCCTACTTCCTAAGAAAGGAAAGAGACACATCCAGAGACATGAAATGCAGTGTTCCATGGTGAGTTCGCCCTGTGCTAAATTGCCGGTCATTGCTTGATGGCATCAAGAATAAAAAGGCCGAGACCAAGTCCATAGACAAGTCGTACCTCGACCAATGTCTTGACAATAAGCGGGATTTTCACGCTGGCCACACTTCCTGTGGCGCCGATAAGAATCTTCTTCTTGGCGTGGAGGACAGTATCTTTTGAATAGTCCACGAGTGGAGTTATAAGATGGTCTGGGATACGTCGAAGAGGCATGTGAGGAATGGAAAAGGAGCAATGCCGAGAGGGAAGAAGTGGAATGTGCTACATCTTGCGAAGCGCGGGTTTCACCAAGAAATGTGACTGCATACTTGGTTCAAACGCGCTTTTTTTTTGCGAGTGTTTTTCCAGAAGCGTGATCACAACAGGCTTCATTTTTTTACCTCTCCTTCGCTCCTTCGTCACCACTCCTTGCCATCACCAGGAGACATCCGTTCGACTTGACACTTCACAAACACGCCTCATCGACAGCACAAACAGTCATCGACCTCTCTATCCTACCCGAATCGTGCGACATTTCAAACCAAACAAAGGATTCCGGTTCGCAACAATAGAATTCACACCTGTCTAACTTTACTCAAACGCACCCTTCAGGATGGATTTGAGAAACTATTTTTCCGCCAAACCAAAGCCAAAGGCTGCAAGCACGCCAGCAGCCGAACCGGTATGTACACGAGCCAAAAAAAAAAAAAAAAGAAGTAATCGAGCCTCCCACCATGAACCCACGTCTTTAAAAACATTGTGCACGTCCACTCACCACTCTTTAATTCCTGCCTTTGTGTTGTCCCATTTTGCCACCAAATTTTCTTGGCGACTCCCTCCTTCATGCAATATACGTTACAGGAGCCAGAGAAAAAGCGCCTATCCACGCGCAAAAAGACGATTATTCATGGTAAGCACGCGGTGTTTCGCTCATTGAGTACCGCTTTGCTGCGTTCATGGTGATATCATTACAGCAATGAATGTAACATATTTTTGTGTTGGCCCTTTTCATACCTAGATTCGGACGAAGACGACGAACAGGATGAAGTCATGCTAGTGTATGTGAGCACAGCAGAGGAGAATGGGCGGTAATATCGCCTCTCAGCGGAACAGGATAAAGACGACAGGCTAACGACGAACACACCTCCTACTGTTCACTGCAATAGTAAATCGAAGCATTTTACCGCCGCCACACCCTCAAAGCCAGCACCAGCAAAGTAACGATTAATCGGATCAGTTTTAATATGGAGGCGCACAATGGCAAAGGGATCAATACCTAACGATTACGTTGTTTACCATCGGCTTGATAGAAAGGAGGTCGTGGAGGAACTAGTGGATCCAAAAGCGTTTTTTGCTTCCTCTAAAGTTAAAAAGGCCCAACCAGCAACAACCACGACATCAACCACACGATCAGCCTCAACACCATCACCATCTAAACCCGTCGAGAAGCAGGCCAAAAAGGAATCAGTCGAGGAACCCAAGACACCCGTCGAACCGGCCAAGCCTCAACCTCCTGCAAAGCAGACAAAAAAGGCGAATGACGACGACTACTTTTCCGATGATAATGATGTTGAAGTGCTCCCTCAGCCAAAAACGAGGACAGCGCCACCAGCAAGGATCAAAGTCGAGAGACTTGCATCCCCTCCTCCGTCAAACAAGAGAGCCGCGGCTGCTCCATCGTCATCAAAGAAGCGCAAGGGTCCCGCTAACGATGATTACGAGGACGAGGACAATGACGATGAGGTCGTCTCAAAGCCGACGAAAAGACAGAAATCAACTCCCAAGAAGCCAAAGGATGACGACGCCATGGATGTTGACGAGTCTGAAGAAAAGCCCAAAGCCAAGTCCAAGTAAGTCTGATTAATTTGATATCCAATTTATGTTGTGAATCTTTGACTGTGAGATCAGACTTCTAACAAAACGAGCAAAAAAATAATTGCAAATCATAGCTTCTGGGCACACAAGAACAAAACTGGACCCTCTGCACTCGGATCCAAGGAGATTCCCAAGGGCGGGGACAATTGCCTAGTGGTAAGCCAATTTTATGCTCGACCTCATGCACACAGTACTTGGTCCCCAATTGCTAAAGCCTTCTCAATTATGATAAACAGGGCTTGACATTTGTCTTTACAGGAGAGCTGAGCTCGATTACTCGCGAGGATGCCGCAGATCTTGTCAAGAGGTATTCAGGAAGAGTGACTGGCTCACCAAGCGGGAAGACCTCGTACGTGGTTGTTGGAGACGACGCAGGACAGTCCAAGCTGGATAAGGTCAGGAAGTTGAAGATCAAGACTTTAGACGAAGACGAGTTCCTGGATTTGATCCGCACTTCTCCTGCCAGAACTGAGGATGGCGACATTGTCAAGTCAAAGCCCAAGGCCGCGGCAACCACTGCCTCTACCGGCAGCAGCAGTTCGACCAAGGTGAAGGCTGAACTTGCTGAGACAAAGTCCTCGTCGTCTTCCTCCAAGGCTGCAACCAGTGAACCCTCGACTGTCAAATCTGTCAAATCTGAATCGAAGGCTCCTGTCATCGATAACAACAAGTAAGCCATGACTCTATGCGAAGAGTTTGCTTATAACGCGTTGCGGATCAGTGCCAATGGGATCTTTCTCTGACCGATAACCATTTACTGGGAAAATAGGCCGGCAGAAACAGAGCTTTGGACTTCAAAGTATCGGCCGAAGCAGATCAAGGACCTTTGCGGTAACAACGCTGGAGTTCAAAAACTTGTGAGATGGCTCGAGAACTGGTGAGTCTCGACACACTGCTTACCGTCAACTTGACCATTGCTTGTTATGGATGGCGTAAGGATGAGTAGCTAAAAGTGAAAATTATGTCTGCTGTTAGGGATGATAACTACAAATTGGACTTCAAGAAGGATAATGCGGACAAGTCCGGAACCTTCCGTGCAGTATTGATTTCAGGTCCTCCTGGTGTTGGAAAGACATCTGCTGCCCATTTGGTTGGAGATTCGCTGGGATACAATATTGTGGAGTTCAACGCCAGTGATACTCGCAGCAAGAAGTCGCTCGATGTAAGTTTTTGGAATCTGTTGTTAACTTCTTCGTTCACAGTTAAATTCGACACGCACACACACTTGTCTAACCTTCAATTCTCGTCACTTTCGACGACGTGTTAATTAGGCCGACGTACGTGATCTCTTGGATAACCAATCACTTGGCGGCTACTTCTTGAGCGGAAACAATTCTCCAGGCAAAGGAGTAAGTTGCGTTTACTCATGGCGAACAATGGAGGATTACATCTGTAAAGTCTGCTCTCAGCTTCTAATATACACACCTTGTCAATTTTAGAAAGAAGTCGATCATAAGGCACCATCGATGGCCAAGAAGCAGCTCATCATCATGGACGAAGTCGATGGAATGGCCGGAGGCGATCGCGGTGGTGTGGCCCAGATGATTGCTTTCATCAAGAAGACTCAGGTAAGTTCAAGCATCTCTACTGCACGTTCGCCAAGTATTTACGTGGAACTATGTGAGCTATGTGTTAAGGCTTTGCATCTCACGTCGAATAGGTTCCGATCATCTGTATCTGCAATGACCGCCAATCGCCCAAGGTGCGCTCGCTCGTCAACTCGTGCTTCGATATGCGATTCCAGCGGCCACAAGTTAACCAGGTCCGCTCGCGCTTGCTGAGCATTCTTCACAGAGAAGGTCGACAGATTCCTGCCAATGTTCTGGATAAGTTGGTCAGCGGCTCCCAATCGGATATCAGACAGGTTTTGAACATGCTCTCGACCTGGAGTTTGACAAAACAAACCATGGATTACGATGAGGGTACTGCATTGTCAAAGGTGTCCGAAAAATACGTCGCCCTTAACCCCTTCCAGATCGCTGAGCAATTGTTGGTCAACACCAACTATCGCGCTCTGAGCTTTGCAGACAAGTTCGACACCTACTTCAACGACTATCAGCTGGCGCCTCTGATGATCCAGGAAAACTATGTCCGTATGAACCCTACTGAATCCGGTGGCTCGCCAGACAGTCTCGGAACTATGGAGCTGATGAGCAAAGCTGCCGATTCTCTTTCAGATGCCGATCTGGTGGACAGTATGATTCACGGGTAAGTTTGGCTTGTTGTTCAGCTGCAGCGAACAATGCAAACGCGTTTAATTGCTTTCTGACCATAACTTTGAAACTCTGGTCATTGTCATTCAATAGGAGCGCACAGCATTGGTCTCTCATGACCACACACGCTGCCTTTTCGTGTGTCCGCCCTGCATTCTTTGTGCACGGCAACATGCGTCCTGGTTCAGGCGGTAACTATGGACCCATGATGCAGTTCCCAAGGTTAGTATCAGTGTGTTAACAGTTTGAGCACCGATTAACGGTCGATAATGCACATTGACTAACCCCTACTGTTGGTGTCTCTGTGTTGATCAATAGCTACCTTGGACAATACTCAAAGTCAGCTAAGTACAGTCGTTTGGTCAAAGAGGTTCAGATCAGGATGCGCCTCAAGATTTCTGGCGACAAGAACGAGGTTCGACAGAATTACATTCCTGCGTTGTTCCCAGCTTTGACACGACCATTGATCGACGAGGGTGTGGATGCCGTTCCGGGACTCATTGAGTTCATGGACGAATATTATCTAAGCAAGGAGGACTGGGACACTATTCTCGAGCTGGGTATTGGCCGAAACGATGCCAAGGCTGTATTGGATAAGATCCCTACTCAAGTCAAGACGGCGTTTACGCGCAAATACAACTCAACATCCCATCCCCAGCCTTACCTCAAGGCTACGGTGGTGACCAAGGGACGAGGATCGGCTGGTGGTGGAGGTGGAAGCGAGGAGTCGCCGGACAATTTGGATGTCGTTGAGGCCGATGTTGAGGTGCCGGAAGAGGTGGATCAAGCTGCCGAGGATGCAGAGGAGGAGAGCGTAGAGAAGGATAGGAACATCAAGCAGAAGAAGGTTAAAGGGGCAGCTGCCAAGGGCAAGGCAACGGCCAAGAGCAGTTCTGCATCCAAGGGCAAGGCCACCACGTCGGCTCGCAGTCGCAAGTGAACGTGCTCATCTGTTCAAATCTACACAGCATCTCCGCATTAAAGAAAAAAAAAATTCGATCTCGCATGCCCCTTAACCAATGAATATTGGTTTACTGTTCGAAAAGTTGCCACGCTCATCCATTCACCCTTTCGACCTCCATCCCACTCCTCGACTACCACAACCACCGTCGCTACAACCAACACTCGCATTCTTACCGTTTGAGGAAGCAGACTTCGCAACACAAGAACTACCATCGGGAGGACGACTTTTTTTGTTCACTTTTTCTCAAACGATAACCTCACCCTCAGCCTCCGCAAAGAAAATCTCTCCCATCACCTGTTTACGCAAGCAAGGGAAGAAAACACGAGCACAGCCTACAACACAACCGCGCGAGTACGACAGTAACAAGAACAGGAGCACAGGATGAACATCAACGGACTGTTCGCTCACAGCCTGACGGACCTGATTCGCGGCATCCGTCAGAACAAAAAGAATGAGCAGGGCTACATTGCCAAGGAAATTGCAGACATTCGTCTGGAGCTCCGTCGCAACGACCCAGACCTCAAAGCACAGGCGATTGCCAAACTGACTTATGTAAGCCAGCATAAAATATACACACGCACACAAACTTGTCAGTGGCATTCGGGAACCACTGTGTAGGACAGCGAACTGTCAATGTATAAGGAACACTCCACCAGAGTACTCATTGACAACCATCTGTACCCTCTTTCGCTATTACATAGCTTCAAATGATGGGCTATGATATGTCATGGGCTTCTTTCCATGTCGTCGAGGTCATGTCGTCTCCAAAGTTCCTCTACAAAGGAATCGGATATCTGGGCGCCGTTCAATCATTCAACCAGGAGACCGATGTGCTCATGCTGACTACCAATCTCATCAAGAAGGTATTACGGTTTAATCGCGAAGCGGAGTACCGATATTCGACTGACAATATTCACATACACACAGCACAAAAGGAGTCGTCTCACTCACACCACAGGGTTGACAATATTTCATGATAAAACGTGCACTCTAGGATCTTGCGTCTTCCAATGCAAGCGAAATCGGAATCGCCATCAACGGATTGTCACATATCCTCACGCCGGACCTTGCACGCGACCTCTGCGCGGACCTTGTTGCCATGCTGAACCACTCGCGACCCATTGTTCGCAAGAAGGTCCTCTTGGTCCTTTACAAGGTCTTCCTCAAGTACCCTGAGGGTCTTCGTCTCTCGTTTTCACGGATGAAGGACCGCCTGGAGGATCCTGACCCTTGTAAGTCGTTGCTCTCTTTGAGGCTTCTGTTTGCCTTTGTGATCATTGCCTTGCCTCGTCTGAAATGGATATGCTGCTGACATTCGTACCTGTTTGTCTTTGAATAGCTGTTGTTTCTGCTGCCGTGAACGTCATTTGCGAGTTGGCTCGGAGGAACCCCAAAAACTATCTTTCCCTTGCGCCTCAGCTCTTCAAACTTTTGACAACCTCGTCCAATAACTGGATGCTTATCAAGATCATCAAGTTGGTATGTTCGCGGCACCCAATTGCTATGAAACTCATGTGGTTCACCAAGATTTCACAGCATCAGCGCTAACATACCAAGTCGTCTTTTTCAGTTTGCGGCCTTGACGCCTTATGAGCCTAGGTTGACAAAGAAGCTGCTCCCACCCATCACGACTCTTATTCAAACAACACCTGCCATGTCGCTCTTGTACGAGTGTATCCACACTGTCATTGCAGGAGGAATGTTGGCCACAACAGGATCAGGAAGCAATGCCGAAAGCGCCAACATGCTCGCCGCAACCTGTGTCACCAAGCTCCGTACCTTCCTGGAGGACCCTGACCAGAACTGTATGTGGTTTGCATTCTCTTTTGTTGCCGCCGCAGTTGTTTAATTTATGCGAAATTATTTACCCACAACTTTCTTTCGCGTTAATAGTGAAGTATATTGGATTGTTGGCATTGACCAAGATTCTGCCAACACACCCTCACCTCGTGGCGGAGCACAAGGACATTATTCTCAAGTGTATCGACGATCCCGATATTTCGATCCGCATGAGGACTTTGGATCTCATTGTGGGAATGGCTAACAAGAAGAATTTGACTGAGATTGTGAAGCGTCTGATCTCACACTTGCTGCCCATCAACGAAAACGAGGTTACTACTTCCTCGTCACTCAACAACGGCGCCGCTACGGCCGCTCTGATGGACCCCGCCTACCGTGCCGACATTATTCGCAAAATCATCTTCATCTGCTCTCAAAACTCCTATGCCAACATTACCAACTTTGAATGGTACCTTGCCGTTCTTTCCGACTTGACAAACATTGCTGGAGTGAACGTCGGAGAGTCGCTCATGCAGCAGTTCATGGATGTCGGTGTCCGTGTCAAGAGTGCTCGATCCTACACAGTTCAACTGATGGTAAGCCAACTCGCTCATATTATGGCATTATTTATGTTGTTTGCAGACATTTCGAAATGTCGAGTTGACAGAAAGCCACTTGATGATATTGAATGTAGATGCGCCTGTTGGCGGACACGAAGCTGACAGAGCCAAGTCGTCCTGAGGACTCCAACTCAATGGTTCTCCTCGCTGCTGCATGGTTGACCGGAGAGTACTGCGCATTGCTTGAGACTCCCGAGACTGCCTTGGAGCTCTTGGCACAAAAATCGACCGCGAAGCTGGACCCTGCCATTCAGGCGACTTACTTGCAGACCATGCTCAAGATCTTTGCATACTGGATGAACAGTCTGCAATACTCATGGAACGAGGAGGCGAGACAGTCTCTTGTCGAGATGCTCGATCTCCTTCGCGAGGGCATCAAGGACATGTTCAGTCGCAGCCCTGATCTGGAAGTTCAGGAGAGAGCATCCAATATCTCTGTCATTCTGGATATTATCGCAGAGCATGTCCCCAGAACCCCACTCAAGATTGCCAACTCGATCTCGTTTGCACCTACCATGCCGAAGCCCCCAGCTGTTCTCGGATCCCTTTACCCTCTCTTTTTCAACCAGGAGCTTAACCCAGTTGCACCCAAGGCCCAGAAGAAGGTTCCCGTCCCCGAGGGTCTGGATTTGGAGTCGTGGATCCATGAACCCGTGCCCGAGCAGGAGCCCGAGTCGTCGGACGATGATGACTTCTTGAACGAGCGCCCATCTCGCTGGGGCGAGGAGGCAGTATCTGGAAAATCAAAGAAGAAGGGCAAGAAGGGCCGCGACCAGGAGGATACCAAGGAGAGCGCCGAAGCCAAAGCTAAGCGCAAGTCCGAAAGACGCGAGCGTCAGAAGCACGATCCTTACTACATTGGAGGAGGAGGAGGAGACGACTCTCCCAAGAGCCGGAAGAAGAGCCAGGACGATCTGGATGTTGACTCGATCCCAATTGTTCAGTTGAGCATGGATGGTTTCGCCAAGCCCATTGTGATGAGCAAGAAGGACAAGTCTTCAAAGAAGAAGTCCAAGAGACGCGAGCGGTCTCGGTCGCCGCCCGTCATCCCCGTCGAGTTTGCGGTCGAAGAGATGCCTGAGGATGCCACCTTGTCGGCCAGTGAGGACGAGAGCAGCAAGAAGGCCCAGGGCCGTGGTGGAGTCAGTGGGTCGAACGGCCGAGGAATTTTGGATCAGGACAACTCTGCCCTTCACGATGTTGATCTGTCTGTCCCCGTTGGAGAGGATGAGCACCTTCCTCGCGCCAAGCCTTACATGAAGCCAGAGGAGGTTCGTCAGTATGAGGATGAGCTTGCTCAGCGCCGTCGTGTCGAAGCCTTGCAGGCCAAGAAGGAGTCCAAGAAGTCGAAGAAGACCAAGAAGGAGTCGACTGGTGAGGGTGAGGAGGAAAAGAAGAAGAAGAAGAGCTCCAAGAAGTCAAAGACCAAGGAGGAGCCACTGATTACTCTTGAGCCCCCTGTGGTTTCAAAGTCTCCTACTCCTGAGAGACCTCGCTCCGTTGAGCCACCAGCCCCTGTGGAGGCCGCTGCTGTTCCCGAGGAGGCCAAGTCCAAGAAGTCTAGCAAGTCTAGCTCCAAGACCAAGAAGAGCTCCGCCATCAAGAGCAGCACGACTTCCAAGAAGACCCCCAAGGTCCCTGTCATTGTTGCTTTCCCTGAGCGATCCAACATCGAGCTTGCTCTCGACGACAACATTGCCCTTGTAAGTTCGTCTTTTTGTTTGCAGTATATTTTATTGCTTCTCTTTTTCATCGAGATTCTAACGGAAGATATTGTTAATCTATTTATTGTTGCAGACGTATGATATTGCGCTTGCTCAGGTCAGCTTGGATGCACCCACGGCGCCTGGTTCTGAGCCCGAGAGTGAGCCAACTGTGTCGATCCAGTTCAAGGTGCATAATCGAAACCTAACGGAGTCTATTTCATCGATCCGTGCAACCTTGGCGGATTCGTTTGATGTTCGTTTGGGCGGCGCTCAGGCCGGCGAAGATAGCGTGAGACTTTCGACATCGTCGATTGAACCCCAGAGCTCTGCCAGTATGACGATGGATCTGTTGATTCTGGGTCGTGTCCGGTATGAACTCCGGGTGATGGGCACGCTGTTCTATGAGGCCAATGGCCACGAAGAGTCGATCGAGTACAACTTTGCGGTGCCTCCTTCAAGCTTTATGCTGGCGATCCCCCGGTTGACTGGAGCAGATTTTTCCAAGATCTTGACGGAGCAGCTCGAGGCGTTTTCGGCAACAGGATCGGCGACGGTGACGTTGTCATCGGGTACGACGGGACAGGACGAGGTGTTTTGGGACGCGGTGGAGAAGATAACGAAGGAGGTGACACATACCCATGTGGTGGAGGTTGTTGATGGTGCGGCCAGTTTCTTTGGTCAGAGCTGGCAGGGATACCAGGTTGCGGGCCTGATCAAGGTGAACAAGGGAACGGACACGGACGGAAGCGGATCGAAGACGATCGAGGTTGAGATGAAATGTACGGACCAGACGTTTGTTGACGGGCTTGCGAAGGAGATCCTTGACGTGGAAGTGTACTAGTTAGTTTCCTGTTGATAAACCATTAAAAAAGAAGCAAGAAAGAAAGGAGGGGGATAAAGAAGAGGCTAGTGAGGGCATGGACCTGAGGGGAAAGGGTGATAGATGACCATTGCATGCATGCATATGCGTGTGAGTGTGCACTGTGTGGATCAGAAGGGCACAGAGTAGTCGCTTAATAACGTCAAAAGCGGACCAGTGTTGAGGTTGAAGTGATTGGGTGTGGTAAGTGTGTGCATGATCAAGATTGCTGCTGTTCTTTTCCTTGCCCTCTCCTCGGACGCCTTCATGCCCGCGATTTGTGTTTCCCACCCTTTGGGAGTAAGCACTTGGCCGTCGTCTACTTTTTCGTTATCTCTTCTTTCCCTTCTCCCTTTTCTTTCATTTCTCTTCTTCTTCTTCCCACACCTCTCTCCACCTTACTCTCTTCCTCACTCTCATACTCGCATCTCATTACTCATTCCTCCTTCTTTCATTCAACAAAATAAAACAAAAAGAAACATAATGAGCAACTTTAACGACGACTCTATCAAGAACAACCTCGAGTGGGTCTCCAACCTGTCTATCGACATTGAGCCAGCTGCAGTCCGCAAATCGTCCATTATCTGCACCATTGGTAACATACACTTACGACGCGCCTACAATTACTTTTTGGATGTTTCGCTTTGTTTTGCTTTTTCAAGGACCGCCCTTCGCTGTACCTGTACGCCAAAAACTCATGCATGCACACTCTTTATTGATCCATCATATTATTATCGATGATGTTTACACACAGGTCCCAACACCAACAAGGTCGAGATGATTACCGCGCTCCGCCGCCAGGGAATGAACATTGTTCGCATGGTACGAAAGAGATAACACCTCTCAGCTCGAGTCCTTTTTTGTTTCCTGTTTCAAACCAAATCAACAAAGTCGGTGAAATGAAAACAATGCGTTACCCCAGACCCCATCATTTTGTTGTTTGCATAAATAGCGACGAAAACTAATATTTTGTGATATGGTCAATGCATTTTGTGTATTGTTGTTATTGTTGTTGACTTCTCCGCCCTTTTTTTCGATAACACCCTTGTCGTACTTTTGCTACATAGAACTTCAGTCACGGTTCGTATGAGTATCACAAGTCGGTCATCGACAACACTCGCCAAAGTTACAAGGAGGACTCTGGCAGAGCTGTAGCCATCGCACTCGACACTAAGGGCCCAGAGATCCGCACTGGGCTGATGGCCGGCGGGACAGATGTGCCGTTTACTGCTGGTCACACAATGACGTTTACGACAGATGAGCGTTATGCAGAGGCATGTACGAAGGAAGTTCTCTACATCGACTACAAGAACATCACCAAGGTGCTGGTTCCTGGCAAGACCATCTATATCGACGACGGTGTCATGTCTTTCAAGGTTCTCGAGGTGAATGATATTGACTTGAAGGTCGTGGCCCTGAACAACGGTAAACTCTCGTCCAAGAAGGGTGTGAACCTGCCCAAGACCCGTGTCGATCTTCCGGCGCTGTCGGAGAAGGACAAGCTCGACCTCGAATTTGGAATTGAGCAGAACGTGGACATGATTTTCGCATCGTTCATTCGGTCTGGCGAGGATGTCCGAGAGATTCGCCGGGTCCTGGGTGATGCCGGAAAGCATATCAAGATCATCTCGAAAATCGAGAATCACCAGGTACGTCAATGGGGGCTTATTCTTACTCTTCTCTTTTCTTTTTTCTCACAGATCTCAAAAGAGAACAAACGTGATGTGTGATATTGTTCGCGTCCTTCCCTTAATGCGGCCAAAGCCTGCATCCGACAATCTGCGTCACTCTTTAGTGCCTTTTTTTTTCTTGTTTTCGGGACACACATATCGGACTAGCGCCCTTTTTTTCATCCCCCTGATTTTCGTCTCTTACCTGACAACTTCATCTCTTGCTGTCACTCTAGGGTGTCGATAACTTTGACGATATCCTGACCGAGACTGACGGTGTCATGGTTGCCCGTGGTGATCTCGGCATTGAGATTCCTTGCTCGACCGTCTTCCTAGCCCAAAAGATGATGATCGCAAAGTGCAACATTGCAGGCAAGCCTGTCATCTGCGCCACCCAGATGCTTGAGTCCATGACGGTAAGTGGAAAACAACAACACTGAACATACATCACAGAACGGGCAATCTATCGAAGCCTTGTTGACATATCCCTGTTTGTTTTTTAATGCGATGAATCGTGCAGTACAACCCTAGACCCACTCGTGCGGAGGTGTCGGATGTGGCTAATGCTATTTTGGACGGAGCAGACTGCGTCATGTTGTCAGGAGAGACCGCCAAGGGAATCTACCCTCTGGAGGCTGTGAGAACCATGCACGAGACCTGTATCCTGGCCGAGTCGGCAATCTGCTACCCACCACTCTTCAACGAGCTCCGTGACTTGACGCCCAGGCCCACAAAGACCACCGAGACTGTGGCTTCCTCGGCCGTCTCAGCAGCACACGAACAGGCTGCTGGTGCCATTATTGTGTTGACGACCAGTGGAACGACCGCACGTATGGTCAGCAAGTACCGTCCCAAATGCCCCATCATCTGCTTGACCCGCAATGCGTCGACTGCACGACAGGTTCACTTGCACCGTGGGTGCTACCCATTCCACTATAGCATCGAGCGTGGTGCCGACTGGCAAGAAGATGTCGGTATGTTTACTACGTGTTTGTCTGACAAAAGTATGTCACTGCGCAATCGTGGTCGTATAGTTTCTAATCCGTTGTTTTCTCATATCATATTATAGATGCTCGTTTGCGTTACGGTATGGAGGAAGGTATTAAGGCTGGTTTGCTCAAGAAGGGCGATGTTGTGGTAATGATCCAGGGCTGGAAGGGCGGTCTGGGCAACACCAACACCCTTCGTGTCCTCCACGCCGAGTAAGGTAGCGTCCGTTAGAACTCCCTCCTCTCACTCACATCAGGAATCGATCGAACCGCTACACGAAGACAACAATTTTTGCAAATTGCAAATAGCATATCTCCAGTCGACATGTTCGTATTAAAAACGAGTATTACATGAATGCATATTATGACTAAAGGACACACCCGCTCGCCAAAGAGAGGAATAGGTGGTGGGTAGCTTGAAGAATGGGGACTACTGCTGTAGGACTGAGGCTTGTCCTTGTATGATATGGTCTTATGGCGTTGGGCTTCAAGTTTTTGGCGGGGTTGTTAGAATTCCTACTCATTTCCTTCCTTTGCACTGCTTTTATCCTCCTTCCTTTACTCCACCTTTATCTTTCTCTTACACGGTGGATAAATGACTTGCTTATTCTGGAGACGTTACTTTCCCGATAGTGCTACCTGAAAGTTTAAACAATCGTACTGCGGCAAATTGCTCAACATGGGCAGTGGGACAAGAGACTTGGCATTGATGAATTAGCGGGATACACGACCTTGGGCGTAACCAGTTCTTGGGTTTTGATTGGAGCACTTGGAATGCTTGGAATGCTTGGATCTAATATTTTCCTCTTGGCACGCCGCACCGACAGCGAATTTGGTTTAGTTTTCACACGGACTCGCAGAGATGAGAGCGACGGATAAGACAACCGACCGTTCACATCCAGGATGCTCTCTCCCACACTCTCACGGTGCACCGTTACACTATAAGAGGGCTGTCTATTTCTCATAAAGGGAATGGTCAAAACGACAAATTGCATATTATCCGCACATAACCACTTTCTCAACCAACGTCGATTAAATATGCAGTTCCGAGCATTAGCAACACCAGTGCCATCATCACCCGATGCAGCAACAAAGACCAAGGATACCCTTCCAGCGGATTTGAGTTCTATCCTGGAGGATGCCAGGATCAAGAACTGTATCCAAGGAATGAGTGTCGCTGTTCTCTACAAGGGCGAGCTCATCTTTGCGGACGGGTTCGGAAAACGCAACGATGAAGATCCCTTCACCAAAGAAGTACGCTTCCTTCTTTTGTCTAGTCTTCACTCGCACCAAGCTTTCTTTTTTTTTTTTTTTTTTTCTTCTCCCACAGCAACCAAAAAAAGATTGACTCCTAATTCTTATTTGTGTGGTCAATAGACTCTGATGCCGATTGGGTCCGTGACAAAGTCATTCACAGCCATGGCCATCGGCGAACTGGTCGCAGAGGGAAAGATGGATTGGAACACCACTCCTGTCAACACCTACTTGCCCGAGTTCAAACTCAAGGATCCCGTTCTCACCTCACAATTGACCCTCGTCGATCTCCTTTCTCACCGCACCGTATGTCTCTACCTCATGTCCATGTTTTATGCTCCGATAGAAGGAAAAGAAAAATCAAGGAAGAAATGTTGAGCTAAACATTTTTCCTTGAATGTGTTAGAACCTTCCAAACGTGTTTTTGAAGTGGTTCAGGTCCAAGGAGAGCAGGGTCGAACTGATCAAGTATCTGAGGTACGCCGAGCAGCCCTCCAAGCTCACCTCGAACTTGAACTACAGCAACACCATGTATGCGGTTGCAGGAGAAGCTGGTGCCAGGGTCGCGGGTGTTTCGTATGAGGAATTGGTCAAGACCAAGGTCTTTGAACCCTTGGGTCTCACCAACAGCGGATTCTCTCAGTCGGCCCTGAAGCAGTTCTCGAACTATGCTCTGCCCTACGACGCTACTTCGTTTGAGGAGGCCAAGAAGGGAAACTTTATTCGTGGAGAACTGGATGAACACTACCTGACGGACGCACCCGCTGGCGACATCTACTCCACCGTGATAGATCTTGTACGTTATGGCAGGGCAGTGTTGAAGGGTGGAGAGGTGGATGGGAAACAGGTGCTGAACAAGGAGAGCCTTGCGGAGATGTGGACCGGACGAACCTTCTCAGTTACGACTAGACGGACACTCGACTTTGCGCCTGTTCAAGGGTATGGTTTGGGGTGGGTTATTGATGCTTACAAGGGTCATGCCAAGTACAGTCATAGTAAGTACACGCTTGTTTCCTGTTTTTTTTTCCTGACTCTTGTCTTCCTACATGTTTTTTTTTTCTTCAGGCTCATTTTGAAGACACTGCTAACAGGTTGCTTTTTACTTTTTTTGTTCTACGCTTGACATTAGACGGACTGATATCTGGATACAGGTCAGGGCTTGACATCTACCCAGATCAGGACTTGGTCGTTGCTGTCCAAGCGAACGTGAACAAGGCAGCCCTCCCAGATAACGTGTCCCACTACATCCTGGACGAGTTGTTGGATCTGCCCAGGACCCAAGATTGGCTATTCGACGTCTCGCCCACCAAGACAGAGAAGGCCTACACAATGTCTGAAATGGCCGTTCGAGGCGACCTTCCCGAAAAGATCGCGAACCGACCTCATGTTCATTCCCTGAAGGAGTACGCCGGCGTGTACACCAATCTCGCCCAGGGAGATATTTCAGTCATCTACGAGGAGAAAGAGGATGCGTTGTACTTCAAGAATCCGGCGTTCCATGACAGGATGGAGCACTACCATTTCGAGCTGTTCAAAGTTGTGTTGAGGATGTTTGGGTTTGGTGCTGCGATAGGTGTCAAGTTTGAGACGGGTGCTGATGGGAAGATTGGGGCTTTAACGTTAATCAGACCTGAGGAAAGCGATAGTGTTTTTGAGAGGAAGGTTGTTGTTGTCCCCGCGACTGGCGCCAGGGAGGAATAAATAATCAGAAGAGGGGGAGGGAGTGGATTGTCGCTCCATTCTTTAAAGGATAATTTATTTTTTTTCCCCCACACTTGGCGTGTTTCACCGACGGAGTTGAGAATCTTTACACAGGCACAGATTGCAAAAATGCCAAACGGGTCCGAGAGAGTTACGCCTACAAATAACAAATAAACGTCAATTTAGCACATACATAGAGCTGTTTTTTGTTCATTGGATCGTAGCTCCGAGTAGAAACAACAGCGGGCAGCTCAAGTCTGCCCCCCAAGAATAGTCTCCCTGCAGGATTGAGGGTCTGTCTTGGAGAAGGTTCAGGGTCGAAAACAGGATCCAACAATGAGACCGAGGACGCGTTGTATTTCAATCACCCAGCGCTCGACAGCAAACTGGAGCATTATCATTTCGAGATGTTCAAGGTTGTGCTGAGCATGTTTATGGTTGTTTGGGGGGCAGTGGGTGTCCAGTTTGAGACGGGTGCAGATGGGATGGTTTGAGAGTTTGACGTTGGGTATAGAGAGACTGTTTTTGAGAAGAAGGTAAAACGGAAGAAGGGTGGTAGAGAGTCGCCTCTCTATATTGGTTGAGGCAATAAACGTTTCCTATTGAATAAAAGAGAATAAACGCGTCGCGCTTTTATTGTTGTGGTTCGTTTTCTGTGTCTTCGCTTGATGAGATGTATCTTTGACGACTGTTCGCTTACATTCTCCTACTGCTTTGACATATTATTATTTTTAAATCTTGGCATGACATGGATCGACTGTTGGGCGTTATGCACCATGTACGACGAAAGATTTCTGTCCCCTCTGTGCGCTTTATGCTCTCACTTTTCTGCCAGAAGCATGTACGTGTGTGCATGGGTGTCCTCCATTTCTGGCAAGCATCGAAAAAATGTTTCCTTATTCGTGAACAAACACTCCTCACACAGGGCGGCGGCGGAGGAGAGGGATGTTATGCCAAGTTGGTTCTGAATAGCGAGAGAGAGAGAGAGTATGTATGTGTGCGTTTTTCTCTTGGCAAAGACCCTAAAACAAAACGGACAAACAACACGTTGCGAGCCATACGAGAAGCACGGAAGGCTATTCCGGTTTGCCGCCAATCTCAGGTCCCACATATAAAAGAGCCGCCCAGTCCATGCCAAAAAAAAAAAAAAAAATCAACAACGATCTCTCTCCTGTCATTTCCCCGACCCGACCTTCAACATGCAAATCCCGTCTGTCAAGATCGATCTTTCAGGACTGAGGGCAATCTTGGATGCAGCCAGGATCAAGAACGGCGTTCCAGGAATGAGTGTCGCTGTGATGTACAAGGGCGAGGTTATCTTTGCCGAGGGGTTCGGAAAGCGTAACGAGCACCAACCCTTCACCAAAGAGGTACACTCCCCAACGCCATCCAATTGTAATTCTGTTAAAGGCGAATCTGATCAACGACAGAAAGATGAAAGTACTCACACACACCCCTCCCCCCTTTATTTTTCTGTGCTTGTGCGCTCCTGAACGAAAATAGACAATCTCGCCGATCGGGTCGTTGACAAAGGCAATGACATCCACGGCGATCGGTGAACTAGTCGCGGAAGGAAAGATGGACTGGAACGAAACGCCCGTCAACAAGTACCTCCCCGAGTTTGAGCTCAAGGATCCTGTCATCACCTCCCAGTTGACCATAGCCGACTTGCTCTCCCACCGCACTGTACGCTTCCATCATTGCCCGTTGTGGGACGCAAAAAAATAATAACCGTAATCGTACATGGACCCAACATCATTTTATACTCACAATTATTTTTTTGGTCACTAAATGTCCTTTCTTTTTTTTTTTTTTTTTTTTTTTCAACCATCATGAATAGAGATTGTCACCAGCAGCGGAGGTGTCATGGATGAGAAGTCGTACTCCAAGACGAGAACTTATAACCCGCCTCCGATACGCATCCATTCCCCAAAAACTCACTCCATACCTCAACTACAATAACACCATGTACGCCGTCGCCGGAGAAGCCGCCGCCAACGTTGCCGGCACCACCTACGAACAACTCGTCCACGATAGAATCCTCACACCCCTGGGACTTTCCAACACGGGCTTTTCGCAGAAAGCGTTGCAGAAACTAGATAACCACGCCTCGCCGTACTATGCAGATTCGTTCTCGAAAGCTCAAGCGGGGGAGTTTCGAAGAGGGGAGTATGACGAGATTTATATGGCGTTTGCACCGGCGGGTGATTTGCATTCGAATGTGTTCGATATGTTAAAGTGGGGGAAAGTTGTTGTGGATGGTGGGAAGGCAGAGGGTGGGGAGCAGGTGTTGAGTAAGGAAAATGTGGAGATGACGGTGACGCCGCAGAGTATCGTTCCACAGGGGAGGACCCCGGAGATGTCGGTTTCTTTTACTTATGGGCTTGGGTGGGGTTTAGGCTCGTATAAGGGGCACAACTTTTACACTCACTGTAAGTATATTTCCTCTTATTTTTTTTTAGAAGAAAAAAAAAAAAAAAAAAGGCGCGTGGTCCTCTGAAGTTACGCGACAAAGCCAACGCGCTCACTCTATTTTTTTTTTCTTCTTTTGTTCTTATATAGCGGGAGGATACCCAGGATACAGTGCAAACCTGACACTCTTCCCAGACGACGACCTGATCATCGCTCAACTCGCAAACATCCAAGCCTCAAGCCTCGCCGTCTGCGCCGATTTCTTCATCGCCGACAAAATCCTCAACCTCCCTATCTATCCCACCGGCACCCAACAGGACTGGTTGTTCGATAAGGCTGTCAAGCTAACTGCAAAGGAGTATGAGATCTTGGAGGGAGACCGGGAGGGAATCACATTGCCGGCTCGGGTTGAGGGAACGGTGTCGACGCTTCCGCGTGAGGAAATGGTGGGTCAATTTGAGAACCCGCTCTATGGAGTCATTACCATCGCCCGTGTGATCCCTCACGAGGACGAAGGCAAGGGAAAAGAGGAGGAGGAGGAGGAGGAGGAGGAGGAGGAGGAGGAGGAGAGGCTGGAGTTCAGGTATAATGAGTACAGGAACAAAATGGCGCACTACCATTACGATACGTTCAAGACGGTGTTGGAGGATTTGGGTGTTGCTGGGGCGAGGCTGGTTAGCTTTGAGGCCGCGAGCGATGGACATATTGCAGGGTTGAGTATCAATTTCGAGGAGCCTGATTTGGTTCGGTTTGTCAGAGTCAAGACTCCTATCACCGCCACTATTGCCGAGAAAAAGGAGTAGTAGTGGTAACAGTGGGGGGGGGGGGGGTGTTGTAGTTCGAGAGTAGTACGATAGTATACATGCAGGAACAGTTTATTAACAGAAATGATTCAAGAACAGGTACAAAAAGAAGGAAAAAAAGCGCGTGGAGATAGGGAAGTCTAAGGGGTGTTCTAACTTACAGGAACGGTAGCAGGTTCGGGCTTGTTAGAAGGCAGCTGGCCATCGAAATTAGCCCTATCCAACGGACAGTGGTTCAGATTCGTACCCCACCAAGCCGGGAAATCAATCTCATGTATCTGCAACGTAAAGAAAATCACCAACGCCGACACGGCAACCCCCGAATCCAGCGCCGCCGAGAGCACATAATTGAACCGCTGGTACCAATCCTTGTAATACCGCTTTACACAGTACTGGAAGCAGAACCCAACGGCTAACCAGTTAGCGTATTGAAAGGGTCGCGCGGGAGGCATCATCCCCGTAGAGGTCAAGAGGACAGGGATATGGATCTGATCGAGGACTGTCCCGGGGTACCGTTTGGAGATTAAGTAGAAAGGGATGGGAATGAGCAATCCTGCGATGAAGAAGTACATCAGGGGGTGGTAGATCGATGCCGAGCCAAACATGCGTTCGGGCGCAATGACTCCCCAGATGACCGAGGCCGAGTAAAAGACGTTGGCAGAGAGACAGGTGAAATGCCCACCCTCGGGGGTACAGATATTGGGTCTCGTCGCGAGCAACCAGTTTGCGGTAAGCAGGTTGACAAAGCCCGCGATAAAGGTTCCAATCAACTGGGCCATGAACATGGTCCGGGGCGGGATCTTCATGTACTGTCCCAATTTGAGGTCACCCAGAAACGACATGGCGTGCGACATCGAGATGTATCCATAGGTCTTGAATGTCACATTGGCAATAGGGCGACCAGGGAGGATGTATCCGATAATAAACTCTGTCAAGATGTTGAGTCCCGGTTGCTGGTTGGTGACGGCCTGGATGAGACCGATCGGGAGCGAGAATAGGGCCGAGATCCCGACAGCGAGGAGGACACACCACCAAGGGAGGCCATAATCCCAGACCTCGCAGGTAACGATGGATAGAATGACGGTGATGCAGAAGAGGGTCAGGTACCACCATTCGGGGACCTCCTTGTAGGCCTGCATCATCTTGTAGTGGATGTCCTGGCTGGCTCCGCGTGCCTCCTTCCATTGAGCCCAGATCTGCTTGCGGTGGTACAAGAACGTGTGAGTCAAAATCGCCGTCAATCCCGCAAATCCAATCCCGTAACTATTTCATTCATGACAGGAATTTGGTTGGAGAATGTACGACGGCTAAAACCAACATATATGATACAGTAAGTGGATGAACGGATAAAAACAAGAAGGAAGTAGTACCTGATGGCAAAGAAGGTGGCAATTCGGAGAGGCCCGTAGGCATTGTACATGGGCTCATCAAGAGTCTTGGCAGGGGTTAGGATAGACAAGGTGTCATAGTAGTACCCATCGGTCGTGAACAGTTTTGAGGTCAAGATCGGGTATTTCTTCGCGTTCCAGATATCCAGATAATAGGCTGTGGGGACCATGACCCACGCAATCAAGATGAATCCAAGCATGATATTAACCTGGGCCCACCAAGGCGTGATGAGAGGTGATCCCAAGAATGCAGTAATAGTATTCCAGTCCAACGAGAGCACACCAATGCCAAGTCCTTGTGACCCCGTTATCTGCGACAACACCACGTTCGAAGGCTGGACATAACAGAGGAGCGACAAGGCCGTGATAGCTGGGAAGATGTAGGCCGGGATCCAGTAGTACAAAAACGAACCGATCGCACAGGCTGCAAAGAACTTTTGGCGGGTCCATTGTCCAGGGGCGAGTTCTTCCCGACGATGAAGCGTGTTGAAAAGAGCGACAGTCGCCAAGTTGGAGGGCCAGATCATGGCTGCTGGGTATACGAGGTACCGGCGTAGAATTCCTGCCATGCCGTAACCGACCAGCTGTGTGGTGAGGATCAAGAGCAAGTTGGCAAGGAATCCAAAGTTCTGTTTGTAAAAGACTCGTTGGATGACGATGATATCGACGGCGTAGGCGGTTCCTGCGCCACAGTTGGCCATGATGGTGATGAGGACGTGTTCCTTGACGTTGAAGGGTCCTGGGTTGAGAGTTATTATTCTGCCAAAAATGCTGTATTCCGTGGTTGGGAGGGCCCTTGCCATGAACTTTCCAATCCTGTAATGATTTGTGACAGAGGGTTTCGACGGGAAAAGTTCATCCATGCATTATGCACAGAAGAAGAAAAAAGGGTGAGGGGTGCTGTTAGTGGTAACAGTCTGTTGTCCAAAAGGCATACGCAGTTGCATCATGATCACTCCCATCGTCCCCCTCTTTGTTTCTCTCCTTGCATTTTTTCCTTGTCCTGTTCGTTGACTCCTTGCATCCCTCTGTTCCTTGTTTCATTGCATCTTGATGTCAACCATATTTCAACATTGAATACTTACGGATAGGACAGCAATTGGATGACCAACCCTGAGACGACCAAAGGGGCATCGCGGAAGAAGCTATGATTACCATAAAGAAGAGGGCATGTCAACATTGATTTTATCGGTTCGGATTTTCTTTGCAAGATAAGGTTATCATGTGCCATTGGGATTGTAATCCGATCGAAAGACCCACTTACAAGAACTGTTTACGGACGCAAAGAGCAAATATTTGCCAGTGTGGAGAGTAGGGGAAGAGGAATAGTGGCAAAGTGGCAAAGTGGAGAGATAAAGGCAAACATCATTAGTCAGAACCATCGTGCATGATCATCAGTATAAGCACTTTATCACCAACAGTTGTCCGTGCACACCACTCTTGCCAGACACTAGTCTGGTTTCGGCGCATTAAAACTTTAATCCGATCCGACATGGTTCCCAACCTCCGTTCTTTTCTTCTTTTCTTCTTTTCTTGCTAAACCATTACCTGGTTGACAAACGACAACGACAAGATCGAAACGAGCCCCATGACCCAGAATCGGAACGTCAAACAAGGTAACGAAGGGTCATCCACATTGGACACCACCGCTGCTACCTCCGCAACCGGTGACACTTCCCGTCCATGGTCGTCCTTCAAGTTTCCTCCATCACTACTGTCATCCGAGTCCGAATCCGCGCCGTTGGCTATTGGTCGACGATGATCTCCCATCTCTGCCCGTTCATCGTCACTTGAGCTAGAACTCTTCTTCTCCTCACCACCAGAAAGTAGCCCTTTATTGTCGGCGGCGTCAGAGGAGGAGGAGGAGGATGTGGTGACTGTGGATTGAGATCCATAAGAAGTCTGTTGGAAGAGCGGAGACGATGACGGGTGAGTCGGTGACAGTGGTGGCAGTGTGTGCGGAACTGCTGACGAGGTCCTGTTAAACTCCTGCATCGGTGTCATCTCTTCTTCATTGTTGTCGTCTCCACCCTTGTATCTGCCTGGTGGCATCTCTGTCTTGCTGTCGTTAGACGAAGGAAGAAATGAAGGACTGGGTTGGTAGAGGTTTTTTTTTTTTTTTTTTTTTTTTTTTTGGGAAATGGATGTTTGTTGGTGATATCTGCTGGTTGGTGACCTGTATTGTTTATGTCACAGTAAAGGAAGGTAAAGAGTATGTGTGAAGGATGAGAACGGTGAAGATGTCAGTTGAGGTCATAGACACATCGTTGTTGTCCCGGTAGTAGTGTGTGAGGCAGGAGTTGGGTAGAGAAGTGAAAGGAAAGAGAAAGAAAGAGAGATAGAACACGGCGGTGTTCCATTTTATATTTTTGGCTTTTTGGGAGGAAAGAAACCCGAAGGGCTATGCAATGTCCGCACTGATCCTTTTTTCTGTCAAATCGAAATGAAACAAAGGACGAGATCTAGCCCTCGCATGTGCTGGTTGTTTACCTGCTGCGATATATATGTGATGTCGTATAAAGTGTGATAGAGTGCCCTTCAGTGTTCTGTTATGGAGGGTATGGTGTGTGTAGTCAGAGTATGTGTGCCAAGAGGGCGTAATATCCAATCAAGTGATAGAAAAAAAAAAGTAGTGGAAGACGAAGACCGTGAAAAAGAAAGCAAGAAGGAAAAGAACAAAAAAAGACAAACTAGGGACTGCAGGATATCAAACGACATTCTTACTATTTGTTGTTTCGATCACGACTGTGGTTGACATACATATGCTGTGGAGGAGTGACCATGGCTGACGAACTATCATTGGCAAGTCACCATAAGGCCATTCTGTACGCATATCATTCTTCTAATTCCTCACATTCTATTGCAGGTAGCTAGCAGCCACTTTTGGCGTCATTCTTTTGCCTTTCACCGCAATGGATATCTAGCTGCTGGTCGTTTAGAGTTGTGCACTTACATGGAACTAAATAATGCCGTCATTGCTCGTGAACAGCGATCTATCGAACTAAAGAGCAGGCCAGGCTGAAAGAACTTTGCATGAGTTATGTCTTTGTCACCATCATTGATAACCAACCAACCAGTTGGCTATTCCACATCCAGCTTTCAACCGAACGCAATTTCTATGGTTGTCTGTTGCTGAAAAAGCTCAGCCACGAAATGGATTTTCGGACATTCCACCGCCTGCTGAACGTTAAAATAGAGAAAAGTAACCATGCATCCAACAAACAACATCGACGAAATGTAGGGCGAAAAAAGAAAAGCGACATGATAACTCGCAAGCAAAATTAGATATTATTATTGTACAAAAAGAATTGCGTGAAAGGAGATAAACCCGTGGTTGGATAACAAGGATAGCAAATGATGGATGATGCCACAAAACTGCAACAAGAAAACTAGAAAAAAAATGTCCAAGGCGACCTTTTTGTAAGAAAAGGCCTGGTCTGGTCTTGGATCGTAAGTTGGTCCTTATGCGGCCAAACGTTCAGGTGCTTCGGAACCCCCTCAGGAAATCCCTCTCAATCCCAAACGCGGCCTCTAAACTTCAATAGCTGTTTGATCGATGGTGAGTAGAAAAAATTGTTGTTAATTACTCTACATCTCATAGCTCTGTAGAAAACATTGTCATGTCTCTCAGTGCACCTTAAATACATACGTTAGCGATTCGTTGGGACACTCGTCCGTGTAATGGAGCCCAAACTCTTCACAATTCTCGCAATACTATTGTGAAAGAAAACAAGAATGGTGAGAAAAAGCATCATTGACAAACAAAACACGCCAAATCCTTGCAGCCAACAAACAAAATTAAGGAACTTACTGGGCGGTCATCCTCCATCTCGGAAGGAACAGGCGTGCTGCTGATGGACGAGGACGATTCATACCTCCTCATGTCAGTCTTGTTCGCACTGAACACGGCCTTGCAGCTGATAATGTCGTGGCCTTCGATCTCGCAAATCTCACAAAACAAGACCTCGTCGTCCACCGGCTTTGCCACTGGTGAAGAGGCCTTGAGCGATTGGGTTCGTACAGGCACCGCCAAAGGGGAGTGTTGAGCATCCTGAGGCTGGTGGTTCCTGGACAGCGTTGAACGACTGGTCGACATATACGGTGAACTGCTTGGCCCGCTGGGTGTCGCCGAAAGCTGCCTCTTCAGGTCCGAGATTTCATGCTGGAGACGATCAATCTGCTTCTCCTTCCGCTGGACTTCCTCCTCGAGATCGGCCTCGTGGAAGATTTTGCTCTCGATCAACGACTCCAACTCCGTCAACTCCTTGTTCAACTGGCCAACCTCGTATGCCTTGGTGCGATCCAAATCCACATATCGCTGGCGAAGGTCCCGCATCTCTGAAGCATGGGCTTTGGTCAGCCGGTCCAGCAGTGCTTGCTTCTCCTTCAAAAGTCCCTCGAGTCGGATGACAGATTGAGACTGTGCGGCTGCTACTGCGAGGCTTTCGACTGTGCTATCCTTGTCTGCTTCACTGGGCTCTGAGCTCCCCATCTGATCCAGCTCATCCTTGTCCTCGGTCGCCTCAGATCCAACTTCATTTGCCAGACTCTCCGCGTGAAGACGCTCAACCTCGTCCATCAGCTTGAGGCACTCAGTTTCGACGTGCTTGTGGGCCTCCATAAGGTTGTCATGCTCCTGCATCAGCTTCTTGTTGACGTTGCCAACAGTGACATTCTCGCGGGTCAAGTCATGGACCATGAGCTTCAGATTGGCAATTTCCTCCTCCAGATCCGGCCGCAACGTAGCAGTCTCAAGAGCACCCGACTCGCCTTCGCTCTTGGTCACAACCTGGGCAGGCGTCGAAATGGCCAAGGCTAAGGCAGCCTCGAGCTCTGAGACCTTGTCGGCCAATTGAGACTTTTCGCCTTGCGTAGCATTATGCTCCTTCTGGATTGCTGCAATGTCCTTGGCGTGGTCTGAATGGAGTTGCGAGATCCTATCCTCGAGCTCCTTTCTGACCGCTTCCGCTTCCTGCTTGAAAGAGTCGCGCTGCGCCTGAGCCTCAGTCAACTCGAATCCTGAATCCTCGATCTTGGCATTCATTTGGATGACCTCGAGCTGCATCGCCTCGCACTGCCCCTTCCACATCTCGACTGTCGACGCAACAGCCTCCAAACTGTCCATCTTCTCCTTCATCTCTGCGACACTCGTTTCGGAGGCCTTCTCGACCTCAGCGACCTTGGACTCCAAGGCGGAGCGCTCCTTTGAAAACTGGTCCTTTGCTTCAATCCACTGATCTCGAAGCTGTCCGACTTCCGTCTCCAGCGCCTCCTTGGCCTCGTTCAAATCGATCACAGTCTCCTCTAGCTCGGTCATCTTTAGGAGAAGATCTTCCTCGTTGTTCTCTAGCACGTCAATCTCGGAACGAAGGCCACCAATGACGGTAATGTCCTCTGCAATCGCCTCCTCCAAACGTCTCTTCTCGTGCTCCCAGACTTTGCGCATACGGTCGACTTCATCGCTCTGAACCAAGCCTGCAAGGTCTTCCAGCTCCGATTTGAGGCTGATGATCTCCTGCTCCCGCTTCGAGATGGATGCCTCATAATCCTTGGCCTTCTCCTCCAGTGACTTGATCAGCTTCTCGTTCTTGGCCAAGAGGAACTGTGACTCTTGAAGGTCAGCATCTGCCTGGCGCAGCTTGGTCTCTGCCTCTGTCTCCTTGGTCCGTCGAATCTCCGCCTCGTGATCCAGTCGAGCTTGCACCTCATGAAGTTGCTCCTCAGAATGGGTCGCGTCTCGTAGAGCCGCCTCCAGCTTGGAACGAAGGGAGTCTGTCGTCACCTTCAGCACCAACTCCAGATCCTCTAAACGAGCCTGAAGGGCGTCTCGTTCTTCCTCCAGGCGAATTAGCTGCTCGGCCCATTGGGCGGTGCTTGTGTTGAGCGATTCCTCTGCGGTCCTCACTTTGGCGTCGTCCTCCACGGCCTGAGCCTGAAACTCCTGCAGTTTGATCTCAAGCGTAGAGATCTTTTCATCTGCATCATGCAAGTGCTTGGTGGCCGTCTCGATCAGTACTTGTTGCTCCTCGCGACCGAGACTATTAACGGAAGATTGTGATTGTTGCTGCTGTTGCTGTTGCTGTTGCAGAAGATCTTGCACTTTTTCCGTCAAGTCGACCTTCTCTTGGGTAAGGGCTGCTCGTTCCTTCATCCACCTTGCTGCATCCAACCAAGCCTGCGTCATCTTTTCCGTCATAGATTTGATCTCCTGATCCTTGACCAGCTTTTCCTTCTCCCATTCCTCCTTCATGGAATGAAGCTCCTCGAGTTCCAGTCCCAGTCGCTCGTCAATGCCTCCTCGACCTAGACTCTTGCTCAGGAAGACACGCTCGTCATAGGAGAGATCTCGCTTTTCGAGTAGCCGTGTCATTTCCAGTTGGCTCTTAGTCTGGTTCATCTCAGTCTTGAGCATGTTGTTCTCGGCGACGGCCACGCCGAAATCAAGCTGAAGTTGTTGTAGCTTCGTTGCCAGGTTGCCTTGAGGAGACTCGGCCATTTGAATTAGGGTGGCTTGATCGAGCAGGCTAGGCGGGAGCACCGAGTTGGTGTTGGAGCTGACGCTACCGTTGGTATCGGAATAGTCAGAGGAGCGCGAAGAGAGTCTCCTGGGCGAGCTCATCAGTCGTCCAGGCGTTGGGGAAGTACGAGGTCGACTAGAGACTGAGCCAGAAGGAGATGTTGTTGGTCCTGACCTGGAGTATGCACTAGCCTTGGTTGCCTGAGTTTTGTTGCCAGGGTGAGACAGGCGTGAGCCCAGACCAGACCTCATATTGGACGCAGAGGGTGTCGGTGAGGTTGTTTGAGGACTGGTCGACGTCAATGAGAGGGTTCTGTTCGTTGAAGGGGATCCTGGAGACTCTTGCGCGGCACCATTTTGTTGCTGTGCAGACAGGCGTGAGTTGGCAGGTTGGGGCATCACATTACGCTGTTTGAGTTGGTTGGCGGTGACTCCGATATACTTTGATGCTCTGGAACCAGCAGTAATCCTGGAGGCTGCTTGGGCAGCATGGTCGAGTGTCGGCTGTGGCGGTGGTGTTGGCTGTGCATTCTCGCGGGCAGAGGGTATTTGGGTGATTGCTGAGGCAGTGGCTGTTGGTGTTGGCGAGAAGGGCAGGAGGAGTTCGGTCTTGACGATCTTGGCCGCTAGGACAAAGATTCCGCAATTTGGACGACAGCTGAAATATGACACTCTAAATAAACAAAATAGAAGCAAGTGTCTGCGTCAGCACACATAGACACGCATACTTCCTTTATAATACTGTCATACCACGTTTTTTTTCTCTCGCCTTGTGTTTACAACGACTAAGTTAGAATAACAGGCCGCACAAAGAAAAATGCTTACCCGGCCACTGTGCCGTCGTTCTTTCCTGTTGGGGTGTCGAGCTCGATTCCTGCCCAGATTCCAGTCTTGAACTGAGCTGGTCCGACGAAGCGAAGGTATCCTGTCAAGCCCATACTCTCGACTGCTACTCTGTCGCCGAGCTCGAGGCCCTCGGGCGACACAGGGAGCTTGTTCTGTGCTGGGGATCCAGGGATGGTTGACAAAGCGCCATTGGTGCCTGGGGTTGTGTTTCTAGCGGTCATTCCTGAAGGGCCAGCCCCCGTCGGCCGCTGAAACCCGGGCTGCTTGGATAAGCGAGGTGTCGAAAGACCAGATGCTGCGCCCGAGGAGGTGCCTGCTGACTGGCGGAAAGGTGTTGTGGGCGAAGAGGTCGAAGAGGTCGAAGGAGAAGTTAAAGAAGAAGAGGCTGAGAAGGCTTGTTGGAGTGCCGAGGTGGTGAGGGGGGATATGGCGGAGAAAGCGCCTCCTGCGCTTGAGCTGACGCGTGAGGTGCTGGGGCGTCGTCCCTGGGGAGAACGAACGTATAAAGGAGAAGCGAGACCGGTGGGCGAGCTTGCCCCGTTTGTGGTTCCTGAAGCTCCTGCTATCCCTGAATCTGATCCTATGGACTCTGTTCGCCTCCGGTTGGCGCTGGCGATGCCAGGATTGTGCGCTGAGATGGCTTCAGCAAGGAGTGATTGCTGTTCTTGGGTCATGTTCTGAAACGCCTTTGTGGTCGAGGCGGCTGAGGGTAAGAGAGAGCGGCGCTGGTATGTGCTGCCTGGACCGGGAATGCCTGTGAGGGAGGGAGGTCCCCCTGAGGTGGGCCCCTTTGTCTTTGGACCACCCTGGGGTGTCTTTAGGGCCATTGTTGGCGTGTTGTTGGTGTTGTTGTTGATTGTGATGTGAGAGCTGGAATGGAAAAGAGGTAAAGAGGAAAGATGATGAGGTTAGGGTTAGGGGGGAAGGAGGTCTCGCGTGGCAAGTTTGTGTAATGAAAAAAAATGGGTTAAGGACAGGCGATAAGGTGGGGAAGGGGAAACACCTTGAAGGAAAGGTAGGGTCGCGATAACAAGAAGAGGGACGTGTCGTGGATTCTTTTTTGACGTCAAGGAGGATGTGTTGCTGGTGAAGAGTGGGGGGTGATGAGAAAGAAGAGGGGATGGCAGGCAGCAAGACAAGAAGGGATGCTAGTGCCTTTCAATGATAAATTGCAAAGAGCACTGTGTTTTTTTGGGTTATGAGCGTGTGCGAGCAGACAGCACATGTCACCAGACCGCTGCAGGCCAGAGCTTGATGTAGGTGTATGTGATGGATGTGCATCTGCTGGCATATTAATAAAAACAAGGGTGGTGAGAGACAAGCAGGAGGCACTGCTATCAAGAGGGAGGCAGGACATGGGATGTGAGGATGTAGTGGAAGAAGAATGAGAGACTGGGAAAAGTGTAGCCACTGTCTATTATTCGTTGACACGACAGCACTCTGTTGTTGTTGTTATTGGCCGTAGCTTGGCTGTCCGTTCGCCAGATGCACGATGGTAGAGATTAAGCACGCACGCGTACATATCTTCTAGGAAGACGAGACTATGGGTGATAGATAGACGAATAGACGGGGAGGAACAAGCCAGGGCAATTGGGATCAAAAGGTTCTTCCTGTTTTGTATCGTCCGACTCGGACAAGGAACGACAGGTATGCAATAGGTCTGCGCTCACTTCTTTTTAGTATCAATTGATAAAACAATGCCTTTTGCTTTCGGCGTCGTTGCTGTTGACAATCTGTCGGAATAGACGTCTCGACCCTCTTTGTGGAGAGTGAAAGGACAGGCAGGCTATGGATCGACACCAATTTGATGCTACATTCAAAGGGACAAACCGGAGAACGACTGCGTACGAGGGCATGGCCCTCCTTTTACTATCAGTGGCAATTGGCCAATCACTGTCATGTTCCTGGCTCAGCATTCAAACACACACCCGCACGGCATGTCCCAAATAAGGAAAGGGACTTCCTTCTCCCTTGTTCTGGTACTACACTCACCTCCTGACCCGAGCACCTCCTTCAGTCCAGTCTCTTTTTGTTTACTTTGCTTCTTCCCTATGTCAGGTATTGGATAGACTACTCTACTGGCAACCATTGCACTCGCATTCCCAAACTTGTTCACTCAAAGTATGAGAGAAGTGAGCTCAAGGGAAAAAAACTTTGCAACTTCAAACTCTATTCCTCTCAAGAGGGCATATGGGCAATGGCGAATGCGACATTCACAAGCAACAACGAATCACATAAATAACGAACATCATCCCCTCTCTTTCCTTTCTTCCCATCACCATCAACTCACTTCTCTTCACTCTTCTTCCTTCCATAGGAAACACTCCCCACTCTACCAAACACCAACCAACTCTTACTCTTGTCCATCATGAGTCAACAACAACAACAAAAAAGCGCCATCTTCAGCCAGCGTGTCATGACCGACTTTCTCCTCGTACGATCCATCTCCCTATTCAGCTTGTACTTCTCACTGTCTTTTGAACGTATCACAGATCGGCACCACTGACACTCTCGTCCTTTCTTTCATTGCAATGAACCACTTTAGGGAGGAGTCTCTGCCGCCGTCTCCAAAACTCTCACCGTATGTGCTTCATTTCCTTCGCAAATGTACTTTGAAAACCAACTACATATCGATTTGCCTTTCATTCTAACACCTCTTCTCTTTGCACTTTGAATCAATCTTCTCTCAACAGGCGCCCATTGAACGTGTCAAGATTCTGATTCAGAACCAGGACGAAATGATCAAGTCAGGTCGCCTCAACAAACCTTACGGAGGCATTGCCGACTGCTTCAAGCGCGTGGCTGCCGAGGAGGGCGTCAAGGCGTTCTGGAAGGGCAACGGCACCAACGTCATCCGTTACTTCCCCACCCAGGCCCTGAACTTTGCCGTCAGAGACCACTTCAAGCGCATGTTCAGCTATAAGAAGGAGCGCGACGGATACGCCAAATGGCTCGCCGGCAACTTGGCTTCAGGAGGTATGGCCGGAGGCATCTCGCTGACGATCGTCTATTCTCTGGACTATGCCCGTACTCGTCTCTCGAGTGACGCCAAAGGCAAGAACGGTGCCGCTCGTCAGTTCAACGGCTTGATTGATGTCTACCGCAAGACCATCGCGTCTGACGGTATGGCTGGTCTCTACCGTGGCTTTAACATCTCTCTCGCTGGTATTGTTGTCTACCGCGGCTTGTAAGTTTCAACCCCGTCCTACGTAGAATGATACCATTGCCCATGTATCTATTTCATTTAGTCATATTATGTAATGTGGGGAGTATTCACTAACAATGACCATTCTTTCATTCCATGGTGTTTCATCGACTCTTCTATTTTTCCGAATATTAGGTACTTTGGATTGTATGACTCTATCAAACCCATCTTGCCCAGCTCTCTCCAGGGTTCCTTCATTGCTTCATTCATTCTTGGCTTTGGTGTGACTAACCTGGCTAGCTTTGTCGCCTATCCCATTGACACTATCCGTCGCCGTATGATGATGACCTCGGGAGAGGCCGTCAAGTACAAGTCCTCGTTCGATTGCTACAGCCAGATTGTCAAGAAGGAGGGCTACAAGTCCCTTTTCAAGGGTGCTGGAGCCAACGTCCTGCGTGCCGTTGCTGGCGCTGGTGTTCTCGCTGGATACGATCAGCTGCAGGCCCTTGCCAATAACATGTCCTTTGGCAGTGCCTAAATGCGACGCGTGTTTCATTTTCATGACCAATCTCTTCTCTCTCCACTCTCCACTCTCCACTCTCCACTCTCCACTCTCAATCAACAGTTTTCAATTTCAACAAACTCTCCACCCTACAAAAAAAAAAAGAAACTAGCTACTTTCAGTATCGTCGGACAATAGATGACATTACCTGAATGGTTCTCCACACTTTGTTTGATCGCGGCAGAACAAACAATTAACAAATAAAATAAATGACCCCGCAAACAAACTTTCGATGTCCATGCGCACAGGCAACGGACAAGAAACAAGATAAAAAGGAGGTATATTTCATCCAATATTGAACCATGCGCATTGAATGTACAGGGGTGGTGGTATACGTGTAATTGATTGCAGTCAATGATACATAGGTGTTGAGTGTGCGAGTCTGGGCGAATGTGAATATGTGCAACCCCCCTTTGTTTTTACTCCAAAGCAGGCCAAAGATGGGCGTCTGGACGGTCCTTGTATGGCCAAGTTGCTTTAATTTCGTGTGGTGTCTTTTGAGGCTGCGTGTCCAGTGGATGATTCGCACATGCGGAGTTGTTTCCCTCCCGATCAATATTCGAGTGTAGAAAGGGACTGCTTTCTTTACTGCCCTGGCCCTTTCCCTTACCCTTCCCATTCATTTTTTTTCTCGCCAATTGCATCTTTGATTGATATCACTTCGTCTTTTCTTTTCCCTTCTTCGTCTTTGCTCACTCGAACACACTCCTCTTTCTCTTCTTCTTCTTCCTATTTCTCATACCACCTACTCACCCCTTATGCCATAGCAACATCCTTAACCCGCCTCACTCGCCTCATTCCACCTCTACATCTCGTTGTCACTAATACCTGGTATAAAAACAGACCGATGGCAGCTCGCGAACAGAAGACAGATGAACACACACCTACTCCATCAAGACACATCGAGCTCGCCATGACCCCCCTCACCCAAGCAGACGCAAACATTATCTACGACACCACTGACTCGACCCTCGTCCAGACCATGGCCATGGTTGCTAACGCAGGTGCTGACGCAGGTGCCGCTGCAGACGCCGCCTCGGTACGCTCATCAACCTCTTCACGCCACTCTGCTCACTCCCCAGCCTCCCCTCTCTCTCCTTCCCCCATCGCGTCGTCCTCTTCCTCTTCTTCCACAACACATCGTACCACACACACCCACACGACTGCCACCACAGCAGGAACGACAGCCACGGCATCCTCAGGAGCAACAATGAACCCTACGCCACCCACCTTTAGCAACCGGCCTCCGTCAAACAGACCCTCGATCGAGATCCCTCAACCCCTGTCTCCTATTACGCTGCACCACGCCCTCGACAGCACCTTCCCGTCACCAGTCACCACGCAAAAGCCCTCGGCCACACCCACCAGGATCCTTCCTCGGTCGATCGAGTCCTGTGTTCAGGATACGTTGGCCAAGGAGCCAAGCCAGCAGTACGGATCTTCATCGTATTCTGGATCTTCATCGTATTCTGGATCGGGATCGAATGGCCAGCGGCGCATCATGACCCCAACCAGTCGTTTGGCCGAGACTGCAGTCGGCGTACGAGAAGTCTCCAAGAAAATAGGCAAGTACTCCCCCCATTTCATCTCTTTTTTACTTTCCTCTCGTCATTTATTTTTGTTGTTGTGCTCACTTCAGAGAGAAAAGAAAGGAAGCAGAAAGAAGGGTTGTGTTTGTGCAAACGCATGAATGCCACCAAACCTCCCGCGTGTGCTTGTTGTTTGTCTTTGCATAGCAACGTCTCTTTTTTTTGCCTTCACTCTCTCTCATACTTTACTTTGAGAGCAAATGTAACTGGGCAAACAATCAAAGAGGAAGAGCGAGTGAAAAAAGTACTGTTGATGCATGCCTGCCCAGATACGGCGCGTGTTTCTTGTCCCTGGACAGACTCATTCATCCCTTTTTTTCGTCCTACCAAGCAATTTTTGTCGTTTTTTCTTTGTTCCTTGGCATGCGCAATGGACAGCTTACTAACCAACCTTTTGTCTTCTCCTCTTCCTCAACATTCTTCCTATTAAAAATAACAACGATGACTGTCGCTTTAACCTCCGCAGGACGAGCCAGAGTCAAGTGGGAAACCCCCAAGACGGTTATGATCGTCACCAAGCCTGGCGACGAGTCGCTTCTAAAGATTACCCGCGAGATTGCCAAATGGATGATAGCTTCCCGCGGACTCACAGTGTACGTTCCAGTGGATCTAACATCGCTCTTCCACTTCTTATCCACTTTCCCACCCTCCTCATCCTATGAAATGACATTGAACGACATAAAATGCTCAAGTGTAATAATTGAATGAGTGAATGATATGTATTTATCGTTGTCGTTCTCTCCTCCATTGAAATCAATTAATAGATTTGTTGACCAGCAGTTCAAGGAAAACCCAAAGTTCAAATACCCATCTTTTTTGCAAAGCAAGAAGCATAAGTACGATTATACCCACTCCCTCAAGTTCTGGAACGCCGACCTCTGTGCCGAAGAAGCGCATCTCTTTGATTTCGCAATAACTGTGAGTATCACTCTCTGCCCCCTTTCTTGTCTTGATCTGAAAGAGCACACCCGCATTGCCCCTGCTTTCTTTTTGCTTGTGTGTGTATGTGGAGAATCAACTTTCAATTAACGCCCCCCAATGGCTGTAATTGTACCATTACCCTTTCTCGACTTGATAGCTTGGCGGAGATGGAACAGTGCTCTTCACAAGTTGGCTTTTCCAGCGGATAGTCCCGCCGATCTTGCCCTTCTCTGCTGGATCTTTGGGCTTTCTGACGCCCTTCCCGACAATCGACTATCAACAAATCCTTAGCACCTGTTTGGATCATGGAGTTCGAGTCAACCTGAGAATGCGATTCAGCTGCACTATCTATCGGTGCCTTGAGCACAGAGCTGTTGACATGTCCAAAAAGAAGAAACGGAAGGGATCTCGTCGCAGGAGTAAGAACAACGCACCCGCCCACAATGCAGACGATAGCGACGATAGCGACGCAGACAGGAGGGCTTTACCCACAGTCCTCACCACACCGACAGAGACGTTTGAAATCTTGAATGACCTCGGTAAGTAACTTCTTCAACATCACGCTTCTTGCTGGACTTTTGATTAGATGTCGAATGTGTACATTAACCAGATGGATCTCATGAACACTATCAATAGTTCTTGACCGAGGACCAAGCGCCAACCTCAGTTTGTTGGAGCTTTTTGGCGACGAGGAACACTTGACAACGGTTCAGGCAGATGGAATTGTCATTTCAACCCCCACTGGATCGACGGCCTACTCTGTAAGTGCACAATTGCTTAGCATTTTAAAAGGCCTATTTTTTTTTTACTTGGGATATCATTCTGGAACCAAGGTCGAGATATGTCTTAACCTAACTGATGCTTCTGTGTCTGGCTGTATTTTATTTCTGCTGTTGTATAGCTTGCTGCAGGCGGCCCATTGACTCATCCCGAGATTCCAGCGATTTTAATTTCTCCTATTTGCCCCCATACCCTGAGTTTCCGACCCATGTTGTTGCCTGATTCAATGGAGCTTCGCATCTGTGTGCCCTTTGATTCGAGATCGACAGCATGGGCTAGTTTCGATGGTCGTGGCCGAGTGGAACTGAAACGTACGTTTTTTGTCGTATGCCCATCTCATCTCCTGTCTTTGCTGTAAAAATACGAAACCACTTGGCTAATTATAATTATCTCTTTCTTTCTTGCAGAGGGTGACCATATCAAGGTCACGGCGAGTGTGTACCCTTTCCCAACAATCTGCTCGAGCACTCAATCTTCAGACTGGTTCCACTCGCTCTCGCGCTGCCTTCGATGGAACGAACGGGAGCGTCAAAAGGGATTCACGGTGGTGGAGCACAGTCGTCCCAAGAGGACTCGACAGGCTTCGTCGTCGATACTTTCGCCTCCTAGTGGTCGACAAAGCGTAGGACCAGGAGAAGGTCACCAGACACCCACAGCAGGAGTGCCTCCAGGAATCAGCAATCATATTTACATGCAGGGTGGCTCAGCTTCCAGCCCAAACATTGACAACGCAGCAAACATCCCACCAACTCCACAGCATCAATTCCAGGGACAAGGTCAAGACTTGCATCATGTGAGTGGAAACAGCAGTGCGAGCAGCTCACGAGTCAGGCTACCTAACCTGAGATCAGGAATGACAAGCCCAGCCATCCGGAGGACGGGCAATGGAGGACAGGCTTCCGAGTATTTTGACCACTCACCGCAGGACACGGATACTATGTTGACTTGCTGGGGCACCGATACGAGTGAGAGCGACGAGGACGATGATGACGATAGTGACGTCGGATCTCAGGAGAAGGAGTGTGCCGAGGATGGCGATGGAGAATGGGAAGAAGGGACGAGTTCAGAGGAGGACGATGACGATGATGATGTTGATAATGCTGCAGCGCATCGCGAGGCAGGTCTGAAGGGCGGTGGTAACCTAGATAGAGCGTCGTTGTCGATAACTGATATTACGCACGGATCGGGACCTATCAAGGCGTTGGCAAAAAAGATGCAGCGGGCTGCTATTGGGTCTAATAGTTCTGCGACGGGTACTGGATCAGGGACCGATGGTACCGAACGCGGCCCTTCGCCCGTAGGCCATCGACCCTTTTCGTGAGGTCTTCATGAAATTGTTCCTGAATAAACGTTGATTCGTCCCACGTGACGTCATCCAGAAAAAGAAGAAAAGACACGCTTTGAAAGCGTTTCTCATTTCGTTATCTTTTCCTTCCTCTCTTTTCATTTTTATTTACCCATGGATCAACCAAAGGCAAACCTCGTCCCAGGTTGGTCAATTGTTGTATGCGCACTTGCACTTGCGCAGCTGTGTTTGTTTGCGCAGTGTTGTTTTTATCGATGACGCAGCTTAATTTGCTCATCCCTCCGGTCTCTTGTATGTCTGTATCTCCAATACGTAATAAAAAGGTCCCACGGTGGTGCCCAAATACCTGCTGGACCGGTACACAAACAGCTTTTACGGGAGCGGTGACCTGCAAAAGGAATGTCTAGACGTCTACAACTCCTGCTGCACCCAACTCGAGTCCCTCCTCGGGCTCCAATCCGCAAAGGTACAAGGCGGCTCAATTGTTATCATGTCCGGTGAAGGGATGGTGGGGCTCTGGGGAGGACTCAAGTCTGTCATCCCTTGGCCTTTCGAGTATGCTACTGTCAATGGGGTTTCGAAGCTCGTGGAGAGTGAAGGGAGGAAGTATAGGGTGTTGACGGTGGGTAATGGGGTGTATGGGTGTGGGATGCGGGAGATGGTTGAGGGGTTGCGGTACCCGAATTTGGAGGTCCGGGCTGTAGATAGTCCTTGGGATAAGCCAGTGGATGTTGCCAGGGCTGTTGAGGTTATTCGCGACTGGCAACCTGATCTCGTCACCAGTAAGTTGTCTTTTTTGTGTATTATCGCGTTGCCCTTTTTTGCGACAATGACAGGATGGGAGGGGCGCTGAGGGCGTGGGTTGAAATAGTTGGCTATTCTTTATATGTTTTCACTCATTATTATCTTTCACTGGCGAATAGTGGTGCATTGTGATACGCCGACGGGAACGTTGAACTCGGAGGCTGTCCGTCTGGTCGGTCAGGCTTGCGCCAATACTGACGCCTTGTTCTACGTGGACATTGTCAGTTCTGCGGGCGCCGTGCCAGTCGACGTTTCTGGCTGGAACATCGACATTGGTAAAGACAATTAATTATCATGCCGATTTAATACTGTCGGCTTTGCTGCAAGAGTGTCAACGCGTAATGTGCCAGGCATTTGGTGCTGATCTATATATATTTGTAATTGGGAACTCTATGAATAGGCTTGCTCGGTTCGCAAAAGGCGTTCTCGTTGGAACCGTCATTGGGGATTGTGACGGTCAGTGCTAAAGCTTGGAAGCAGATCGAGAAGGTCAACTATGGCGGATATGACGCCCTCCTCCCCTTCAAGTCCTTGCAGAAGGTAATAGCTTTTCTTTACTTACTAAACACCTTCACCTTCACCACCCTCACCTTCACCTCGCCGAGCTTGGGTACCACTTTTTTTTTTCGCAACTCTTGGCCTTTTTCATTTCGTAAAAATATTCACCTGTCCTCACAATCTACTTCCACTTTGTTCGAATTAGTCGGGCGTGTTCCCGTACACACCTCTGTGGTCAGCTCTGGACGCAATGCAACTGCAGCTCAAAACCGTGTACGGAGCCCACAACGAGCTCGCCACAGGAGTCTACAAACGCCACGAGGAAGTCGCGCAGTACTGTCGTGAACGTGTCAAGAAGATGGGGTTGAAGCTTTGGTGGGATGGCCAGCACGCCGAGTTCAACTCGCCCTCTGTTACGGCGATTCGGGTTCCTGAGGATACTACCTGGGAGGAGTTGGATCAGAAGTTGAGGAAGGAGGGTGTTATCTTTGGTGGGAGGTATGTAACTTTTTGTCTCTCTTTTTTTTTTTCTGGCTTCCGAGTTGTTGTGTCTGTGGCAGAGAATGCGGAGCTAAAAGGATGATAAGTGAGAAGGGGATTATGAATCTATTTTATCGAGCTAACATGGTTTTCTAACCTGATATTTCTCATGAAAAATAGCTACGGAGAGACGGCCAATGCATTGTTCAGGATTGGACACATGGGCACCCAGGCAGATATGAAGACTGTTGCCTATGCCCTTGACGTTCTTGAGAAAATTATCTCTCAAAAGTAAAACCGCAGAATACCTCCCCCCTTCATACATAACTTGATCGTCCATAGAATAAAATCGCACGCGTCTTCTATCTTTTATACTTGTTTATTAATGTATCTGCACAAGTACATAATTTTTACATGCCGTTAGAGTCCAACCAGGCAGTGATGCCCTGGATGCCCTGTTCCCACTCGGCATTATCAGAGACCATGATCAAATGTCCGCCATCATCCGGATCCTCGAGCTCGATATGATCGACCTGTCCAGCCAAAACGTGGCATTCCTTGACATCCTTGGTCGACACAATCTCGTCACCGTTCGAGGTCACTAGAAGGATGGGGAACGTGGGTTCGAATAGACTGGGCGGGATTGTGTTGTAGATGCTCAGAGGGAGTTGCTCCAATGGGGATGGGATTGATGCTTCGGACTCGACTGTCAGAACTGGGACATCTTCCTGAGCTTCCGTAGTGGTGGTGGTGTTGGACGAAGATAACTCCGTTGTCTGCTTTACTTCCGTGGACTCCCAAACAGGCACCGAATCGCGACCAAGAACCTCCGATGCCTCCGTCGTCTCCTTTGCTGATGTTGGCTCGTCTGCAGTTGCTGCGGTTTTGTTAGCAGAAGATCCCTGTGTGCTGTCGCCCTCTGCAGCCGACGATGAAGCTTCTGTCTCCTGATCCTTCTTCTTCTTCTTCAACTCAGCCTCCTCCTTCTCCTGATGCTCTTTGGCGACCTGGTCGATTTTGTAGACTGCTTTTTTGGGCAAGACATATCGTTCCCGGAACCCGTCCTGCGCCATCACATCGGCATGGGTTTCAAATGCGAAATCAGGGAGCTCCTTAAAGGTATCACCCGCTTGCGGTGACTCTTGTGATGTTGATGTTGATGTAGCGGCCTCCACTTGTGCTGTTTCTGAAATAGACGCCGCGGCACCCTTTTTGATCTCCTTGGTAGCGGTAGTATCCTTGAGTTGCAGTTTATGAGACAGTTCCTGGAAACGACGCTGAATGACCTCCGGTATAAAAGGCGACACCAGGACCAGGGCACTGACAGGGTTAGACTCGACATACTTCTGAGCAACAAGAGCATGTAATCCGTGGGCGATCAGGATAGGCGGGTAAAAGGAATGGTCCGTTTCAATAGCGGTCTTCAAGGTCTTGACAAAGTGGCGGATATAGGCGTCGCCCGAGTCAAGGGGTTGGTGAGGCATACTGAGTTCGATGCTTGTGCTCTGATATCCCTGGTCTGCCAAACTTTCCTGCCATGTCTCCCGGAAGCACCTACAATTGTATTTGCGAAGTATGCGAGGTTGCGTAAGTAAAAGCTTACCATTTGAAAGAGGAGGATATCGTTGCAAATCGCGTAATAAAGAAGCAAAATATGATATGGTACCAGTTGCCGCCAAAGGGGCCGGTGAGGAGGACGACAGGCGTGGGTTTGAGGAAGGCATATGTCGAAGGTGGACTGGTGGTACAGGATACGGAACTGGGTGGGTTGCTGAGGTTGGTGGGTGTTGGTTCCGATTCCTCGTTTACTGCTTGAGAGGCTGTCGTTGTGGCAGCTGGTGCTTGTGTGTCGGAAGGTGGGGTTGTTGTTGTAGAGGAGGAGTACCATGATCTTGCGGTGGATGAGAAGAAGACAGGTCGACGAGGGAATGGCGATGCAGAAGCTGAGGCTACGGTTGGGTTCCTTAGGAGGAGCCGTGCCTGTGCGGACAGCCTTGGTGCGAGCTGTTGGAGCATTCGGTTGATTTGTGAGTGGGTGCGATTGCGTGTGGATCAGGGAAAGAAAGAGGCGAGGGAGAAGAGAAAGTTCGTTGAAATACAAGGAGACGCATAAAGAAACGTGGGCGGGTCAGTCGAAAAAGGAAATTCGCGTGAGGGAAACAAATTGACTCTTAAGTAGCCATGCCATGCTCTCACTCACGTATGCCTCACGGCTGTTGCACCGTAGAAAGGTCTGCGTATCGTGTACAAGAGAAGCAAATAAAGGAAGGGCAAGCAGGTACCAATGGATAGAAAGCTTATTGCCCAAGGATATTATGTGTGTGGTTGGTGCAATTGGACTTTTACCAGCAGGGCCCACATTACTGCTCGCAAAGGCCGTCAAGAATAGGAGAGGCGCAAAGCCATCCACCAGCTCGAAGGGAGGAATACAAAAATTGACACCGGTGCCCTTCCTTCTTTGTCATCTCACTCCTTTTCCATCCATCTCCATCCCCCTCAACAGCGAGAAACCATGGCTGACATCCTCCCTCAGCTCATCGACTTTGCCTCACAACTCGACCTCCAGCGCGTCATCGTCCTCCAGACCGTACGAAGAAAGCCAGGCAGGCAACACCCAGTGCATACTTTCAATACTTCCTGTCCTATTTCACACGCTCACAATACTATCTCACGTTTCAATTCCTTTGACTCGTAGACAATCTGTCTGTTTGGCGCTATCAGAAGTGTGCCCGCCTACAACATCCCCTTGCTCTTCTTTGGACTCTATGCCTATGAACACCATGACTCTGTCGACCCGCTTCAGCAGGTATGGGACGCTTTGTATGTCTGGACGGCGCATTTATACTTTGAGCAAATCGAAATAACAGCTACTATTCGTTTTATGGACTTCTTAGTTTGCAGGGTTCACAGCGTTCAGCATTCTTCTGGATATTGTCTGGTGTCTCCTCTCACCCGGCATTGGCTTTGGAGAAGCGTAAGTCAAAGCCTGATAACACGAGTATCACAGGCAGGGAATCAGGAGTGGAAGAGATAAGGCCTAACCCTCCCCATGCTCACATATACTCATTTTTGTTGCAATTCTTCTTTCTTTCACGGACGGGCAACACAGGCTGACTATCGCCGCATTGCTGCTCAAGGTCAGTGCGTCGTAATGAGAGTCGCCAAGAAAGGACTTGTCTTCAATTGCTTTTGGGATTGCTGATAGCCCATCTTTCAGCAACCATCTACTCACAAGTTTGCTTTTCTACCTGCACTTCATACACTGTAGCCGGTGAGCATCATCTCCGCCCTTCAGCTTCTCAAGTACCGAGGCGACCCGTTTTCGAATCTTGGCGAAGGATGTAAGGAGAACATCTTTCGAAAGCCTTTTCACATGTTCAATTGTCCACGCAAGTTTGTGACAAAATGATCACAGCTTGCCTTTCACACTAATATAACATTGCAATTTTTCTCCCCAATGCTGGATAGTGAATTGGACTGGACAGCGATCGCACGGATTCGGAAATGGATCGGCGTATCAGACACTGGCAGAGGATGAACGCGACGCAGAAGAGATCAGCATCCCTCGTCACCATAATTACCAACATGGACGGCACCGTGGCTCTCACCAGTCGAGTTCTTTCATGACCAACAGCAGTCGATCGGGTTCGGTCAAGTCAAATCGGACTGGAAGTGGTCATAACGTCGAGCTTGGACATCATGGTAATGGGTATGATAGCTCAGCATCTGGTGGTGGTAACAGTGGACATGGAGTAGGACCAACTCCAGTTTCTGGAACTCCCGGCAATAGTGGCGCTGCTGCTGTTAGTGCCATGGAGGAACGCAAGAACAAGGTCGGACAGAACGTTTCGGAGGACGAGGAGGAGGATGTGAGCAGCCATGATGGCACCCCCAGCAGTGGACCAGTCAATGCCCAAGCAGGATACCAGCCATTTTAGTGCACCCAAGTGTGCCCTTCTTGGTCTCTTGAAAATAAAAAAAAATAGCAATTGGGAACTGAAAGTGTCTCTGGAAGAACCGCCGCCTAAACGCGCTAGTCGCGGCCCACCCTTGACACTCAAAGAGCGTGACGGCGCATCTCGTCAAAACAATTTGGCCACCAAAAAAATACAAGAAGAGGGCCAGCGCGCTTTTTCTTCTTTTTTTACTTTTTTCCATCACACACATCCGACCATCAGGACAAACCCTTAGAAAACTCACAACGATGGAACATCAAGCCATGGAACTTCTGACCACAAGAGTCGAGGACGAGAAGCAAAACGTAAGGAGAAATCGACCTTTGTTTTTGGCTGACCTCCGAGAAATCGGCATTTCTCACTTTGAACAGGGAAGACTTGAATTTGGTGGCAAAGAAGGCGAATCTCTAACATCTCGCTTCGCTTTTTCACAAACAGGTCACCTACAAGTGGTTGAGTAGGAGCTTGGGTATCTCTGTCAACACTTCCAAGGAGTAAGCTACTTTATTTTTCTCGGTGTGAAAGATCTATGACTCTCCAGAAGAAAGTATGCTGGAACTCATTCCACTTTCTTTTTTTTGTTCTGGCCTTTAGGTTGATGCAGGTGTACGTGACGACTGTTGGAAAGGGCAAGGCACACGGAACATACTACCTCGCGCGACAGGATCCAGAGACAGGAAACCAGTACCTTTCTCTTGTCAGCCAGGAAGACCTCAATGGTAACTCATCGCAAGACCCTCTTACTTGCGACAGGAATTAATTGGCTTTACACAGCAACAGATTGCTAACACCAAAGAGCGATTTCAAAAACCGAAAAAAAAAATAGCGGCAAAGAAGGACGCCTCGGTGATCGGATACCACATTTACAGTCTGGAGCCTTCACCCCTCAAGGACCTCGCCATTCTCTCAGCAACCAACTCCGAGGCAACTCAACTTCAAAAGGGCAAGGACATTAACACCTACAGAGTCATCCGTAACCACAACGTCGTCATCTCGGCTCCAAACTCTCGCCCCGCACCCGCCACTACCTCATCTTCATCTTCGTCATTTGCTGCAAAGCCAAAATTGGGGGCAGCAGCAGCAAATCAGAACGCACCGGGACTTTTAGGATCTAAACCTGGATTGAAGTCTGCCACCAGTGCTCCTGCTGCTTCAAATTCTGTTTCTACACCCGCCGCCAACGATACCTCAAAAACCACTACTAGTGCCAAACCAGCAGCAAAGGGCTCGATGATGAGCTTTTTCGGAAAGACGTCAACAGCAGGAGGTGTAACAACCAAGGCAGCACCAGCACCAACACCAGTCAAAGCCAAGGCGTCGTCAACACTGAACTTTAAACCTGCCGCTCAACAAAAGCGCAAAGCAGATTTGATGACTGACAGCTCTGCAGCAAATGACATGGCCTCACCGCGCACTTCCAGGAGCAACGAGGAATCTGAGGAGGATGAGGTTGACTCTGAGGAGGAGAGAGATCGTCGTCTGGCACTTAGCTCACGGTTGGATCAGGATCAGGGCGATGTTGTTGAAAATTCCAGCAGCAGGAACAAACCGTCCAGCGGGAAGCTTTCCCCGGTGGATGTGGAATCGATCAAAAAGAAGCAGCGCTCGGCACGTCTTTTGGTCGTTGACGATGATGACGATCTGGACGCTGAGACGGCACGTGCAGTCGCTGAACGTAATGACGATGATGAGGAAGAGTCGGTTGCGGCCATGTCCAAGGAGGCTCGTGCTGCTTTGAACAAGGAGAAGGAGGCTCAGCGATTGGCTTTGGAGAATATGATGTTGATGGATGACACTACTACAACGTCGGCAGGAGCAGACATGGAGGATGAGGATAGCGCTATGATTGATGTTGAAGTTTTGGATCAACCTGCGACCGCCCCATCGCCTGATACCACTGTTACTGAAACCGTCGATGCCTCAGGCACTATTACGAAACGTCGACGCGGTATTCGCGCTGTCACCAAGCGCAAGACTTCCAGGAACGAGCGCGGTTATATGGGTGAGTACCCTATGCCATTTTCAAAGATTGCGCGTTTTGAATTAATTTGGCCCGCAACTAGATTATTAACCATTCCTCCGGTTACTTCCTTTCATCAAACCCTCGTAGTGACGGAGGATATTGTGATTATGGAGCCATTCTCGGAGGACGAGATCATCGAACCCCCTGCACCAGCACCTGCTCGTGTCGAGAAGCCAGCCGCAGATGCTGCCTCCAAGGGCAAGTCAGAGGCTGCCGGACCCAAGAAGAAGGCTGGCGGCAATCAGAGCTTACTCAACTTTTTCTCTAAAAAGCAATAAACACAGTTTATATATTTCCAAACAAATCGTTGATATTATATTACAAACGCAATAGTTGCGCTTCGAGGAAAAGGGGAAAGAAGAAAGGACAGGGCTTAATGAGGAATGCCGTTGGTGACCTTCTGGAAGGAGTCGTAGAGAACGGTACGACGGTTGAGGTAGGACTCATCAACCCTCTCCTTCATAAACTCGGCAGCGGCACGCTCCGAGCGATCAACCTGGAAGCGAGAGCGAAGACGCTTGATGGTCTCTCCGCGGAAACAAGGCAAACCAGACTCCAACATCAAAGCAACCATCTGACAGATCTGCTCAGCGTAAGGGCGGGAGGCCAAGTAAGCCTTAATACAGAGCTCACAGAACCAGCGGTAACCCTGGTCCTCGACACTGGTACCCATGATCTGGATCATCTCGGCCGTCAGCTTGAAGGGCGACGACTCAAAGTTGATGTTTCCTCCGGGCGAGATGTCCAGAATGAATCCAAAATCGATATGAACCACATGACCCTCGTCGTCGATCATAATATTTCCGTTGTGGCGATCCTTGAACTGGAGAATGTACGAGATCACACTGTAGGATGCAACGGACTGGATAAAGTTGTTGCGCGCCTTCTGGTACTCGATCGAGTCGACGCCACCGTACTTGGTGACAAAATAGTCTTGCAAGTTGTTGACCTTCTCACGACCAAGCTGGTCACGCGAGATCGAGTTGGGGATAACATCGATCATACCGCATCCGGGCGCGGTGGCGACAATACGGTAGGGGAACAGGTACAGATCCAGACCGACGTTGGTAAAGATGTTCTTGAACACCGCAATCAGCTGGATGGCCAATACATCCTGACGACAGTCGTCTCCGACCTTGAAAATGGCAGACTGCCAAACATCGACCGTCTTGGGGGCAGCTTCCTCCTCGTCCTCATCGTCGCCAGCACCACGCTTGATGATGGCCTTGCCCAAGTTGGATTCCTCGCGGGTCTTGCGGACCTTGAACGTCGCCATGAAGGGGGTCTTGGCGTGAGACTGGAGAGGACGTCCGGAACGCTTGTCAATGTCAATGACAACTCCCTCAGGGTTACTGGGCAGGTAGACTCCGACATCGACTACAATCTTGGCCATCTCCTCATCAATCTTTTTCTTCTTCTCAGGTTTGGTCTTCTTGACAAAGGGCATAAGCGAACCAGAGATCGACGTGACTTGGTTGAAGAACTTGAACTCGCGCTCGTAAAAGTTCTTGGCGTCGCCCGACAGTCCGTTAACAATGTTGTCGATGATGCGATCCAGGGCAGGCTTGAGAGGATCGGGAACCTCACTGTTGTTGTCCTTGTACATGTTGGCGTTCATGTTCCAGATGATCTGATGGGCAAACAGCTGTGAGACGCGGGCAGCGCGCATAATGTACTTCTCGACGTAACCCAAGTCATCGTGGCGAAGAGCCTGCACAATCTGTGGGACGTAGAAGAACACGACCTCAACAGGCGAGTGCTCCAAGGAGCGCATGGCATACTGGAGGATCATGGGGTTGTTAAGGTACGCAGGCTGGAAGTACGAGATGGCGGTGATCGAGGGCACAGGGCTCCAGAACAAGAGGTACTTAAGCTGCGAGGGAGAGTAACGAGCATTGCCCTCGCCGAGCAAGATCTGGACAGCGTCGGCATCGTGAACGGCGGCAAAGGGATCGCTGGCCAAGAGAAGGCTGAGCTCGCTGGGGATGACATTGTTCTTGAAGCGAGACATCAACTGCAGGGCCAAGGTGGGCGAGACCCCCCAAGCGAAGCGAACCATGTTACGCCAGCCCTCCTCCGAAAAGCTCTTCTCATGAACGTTGACCTCGGGAGTCGGACCGTTAATGATCAAAGGAGTGCTCCAGACGCTGAGGCGGTTCAGTTCGTTTTCGTTCAAGAGCGACAAGAGACGGCGGCACTGAGTATGCTTGCGAACAATGGCATCACGCGTCAAGTCCTCGGTAAAGACATAGTTGGCGTCAACGCCATGGCCATCACCAGACTGGATGCTCGACAGGATAGAGTCCAAAAAGATCTTGTCCTGGTCCAAGGCAGTGCCAAACTCCCGCATGACCCTGGTCTCGGTCTTGCTGAGCATCCTGTTACCGCCAAACGACCAACGAGGCGACAACTCGAACCACGAGAGGGCAGCCATGTAGAGAGCAGAGCGGATTTTGTACTCGATCAAGGCTTCCATGCGGTTGGTCTGGATGAGGCGAAGACCCAAAAGAATCAACTGGAAGCGACCCTCTCTGGCCAAGGGATGGGTACTCATCTTGTAACCAGTGTCAAAGGTCAACTGAAGCAAGCGTGTGAAAATGTCAACCATATCACGGTTGCCGTAGCGGGTGGCCTGGAATCGGCTGGACAAGAACTCGATCCAGATGACGTGAGGTGCGAAGAGGTACGACGCAATCTTGTAGCTCTTCTGGCGAGCCTTCTTGTCAGAGGGGGCATACTCCATGCGTGCGCGGAAGGGATCCTCAGAGTCCAACAAGGGCGAGAACAATCCTTTTTGGTGACGCGAGGCCCAAGCCCACCCAGAAGCGACCTCGGACATCAAACGCTTCTCGACAGCAGGCTTCTCGGTGATAAGCCAGTTCCAGACAGAGGTACCGATCTTCATACTGTCAGGAGTGAATAAGTAGATGGGGATCCAAGCAATCATCTTGACCAAGTCCTCCTCGATTTTGTCCAAGGTCACCAAGGCACTGACAGCACGATGAAGAGCGTTGGCGAGATCCTTGTTCGAAATGAACTGGTCGTCCTTGACCTGCTGAGCCATCTTCTGAAGGCTCTCCCGGAGGGCGGGCAGCTGGCTCTGGAGAACAGTCCCTGACTGGTTGGTGAAGACAGTCGAGAAGCTCTCCATGCCTCCAATCTCTCCTTGGTAACGACGACGAGCTGAGAACTCCTGGAAGAATACGGACGAGTTGTCAATGATCGCTCCAGGAATGTTGGCGAGAGTGTCGAAGCTGTTGTGGTTCTTGACAAGGTCCTTGCCAGCACGGGCGGCGAGGGTACGACCCATGTGGACACGGCTGATACCAGTGTGGATCTTCTCAGATTCGGCAAGGTAATCCTGCAAGAGAGCATCTACCTCTTGAGGAGAGTTGGCCATGGCAGCGCCGATCCACTTGCGAGTCAGATCGACAAATTTGCTCAGCAACTCGCGACGGTAAGGGTACGAGTCGGGCAAGTCGATAGTCACGTTGACCTTGGACGAGGTGAAGCTGTAGATGGGGCAGTACTCGTCGGTCATCTCGTTCTCGCAACTGAGCCAAAGAAGCTCGCTGATCTCAAGGACCAGAGTCAAGAGGGCCTTGTCACACATGAGCTGGGGGAAAGCGACAATCATGCGGTGGACCCACTTGGTGCTCAAGGAGCTGACACGCTTCAGGCGATGGGCGCATCCGATGAGAAGGTTGCGAACCTGTTGACGGACATTGTCGTCCAAGGAGTGGGAGAGAACCTTGGTCTGGGACTCTGAGGTGAAGACGTTGATCACCTGGTCAGCAATGGCCTCCAAGCAAGTGGAAAGGCCGCCGTCGTTCACGCCAGAGTTCATAAAGTACTTAAGGATGAAGGAGCAGTTTCCTTGGCGACTTCGCATGGTCTCGACATGATAGACGGACAAGAGGAAAACGACCTTGGCAGAGCTGAGAGTCTTGATTTCGCTGGTCTGGGCAGGAAGGAAACTGGCTAGAGTGGTCCTCATCGACGATTTTTGATCCTCGAGAATGCTGCGGGGAAGGACAGAGTTGTACTCGAGATCGCCCTCCAGGTAGGCGTTGGTGCCCAAGTCCCCTGAGACAAATGCGGGAGTCTTGCGAGCAATCAACAGCATCGAATCACTCCACTCTTTGTACCAAGGAGAATCCTTGACAAACTCGAAGAGGACACAGTGGAACCAGACATCGCGGAACAGCTTGGCGTCCTCCTTGCTGGGGCGAAGATGGGGCTGGAAATCCTCGTGCGACAGCAACTGGCCCAAGATAGGGAGGAGAAGACCCAAACCGGCAGACAGTGAGTTGATTCTGTTTTGGCTCTTCTTATTGGTCTGGATGGTTGCCTGAATCTGAACACCCTTCTCGACAAACAGCTTGAGGAGGCAAGTCAAGTAAGCGGGGTAGAACTCAGGACGAGCGTTGATCGTCTTTGCAAGGCGCAGCTGGCAAGCATTGACCTATTTGTGTATAAATTGGACATTGTAATTACGTTAGTCAAAGTTCAGCATTGGCAGGTTATATCTGTTCTTTGCATTCATGATGCACACGTACAGTCTCGCAAAGGTCCTTGGTCTCGGGCTTGTTCTCAGGCGAAATGGAGAGCTTGGAGAGGTTGGAGAGAATCTGAGTAATGTCGTTGAACGAGTTCTCGGATCCTGTCATGGCCATGTCCGTCAAACGCGACACAATAACGCAATCCAGCTTGGGGCTATGATGGCGAATCTGCTGAGCCAACATCGAGAGGACCAAAGGCGTGATCTAAAGTTGTACAACAAATGATAAAAAAACAAAAGTTGGTGCTTTGGACGTGGGCATGGGAGTGTGTGTAACATTCAATAGACACACCGCGAAAAAAATGGATCAAGGTTCAACCTGTTACCTTCTCGCTCTTAAAAACGCAGGCAATCTTGGAGATGGCAGCAATCACGTTCTCTTGGATCAAGTTGGCCTGACCAGAGACGTCTGCATCCTCACCTCCGCTTGTGGTGTTGTGACTGTAGAGGGTGTTCAAGAGAGCATAGACCGTCGACATGGCAACATCCTCGCCAGTGGAGAAGTGCTTCAATGTCTGCGCCAAACGCTCAACAGCGCATGCTTGAATGATTCCAGCGTCAGGTCCTTCGAAAATAGATGATGGTGTCGTCAAGAACTGCTGCAACAATGCCGCCATTTCCTGATTCGCCTCAGCAAAGCTATAGTTCAAAGCAGAAACCGCAAAGTAAGTATGTGAGGCCATTTAAAATCAACTGAGAACAGCAAAGAGAACAAAACTTACTTAATGCCGAGGAAAGCCGAGCAGTCCAAGGCTGCTGCGTGGATCCAGAACTCTTCGATGCGGACTTGGTTGAAGAGGCAAGTGGAGATGTGAGAAGGAAGAACATCATCCAGCTCGTGAATGTAGACACTAGCCAAGGACGCCAGTTGCAACGAGATGCCCATGATCTCGGTGTAGTAAAACTCGTATGAGACGTTTCCTTGAGCCAAGAGCTCGTTGGCAAAGGCGCGCATATCGGCAAAGAACTGGAGTGACATGATGTACTCTGTCCTCATGACCTTTGTGAGATCGACAGGTCCTGCAGCGCTGACACTGACAGGGGTGGTCAAGAGAGTGTTCCAGACATCATCAAAGCCGACAAAAGCGGAGGGTGCAGGGGTAATTGGTTTGTCTTTGTTCTCTGCCTTGTCCAAGTGAGCCTTGAGGAGGCACCCGATCATGTTGCGCTTAACAGTCAAGACCTGGAGCACGACTCTGTTGGAGCTGAGGACGATGCTCTCACCAGCATACTGCAAAAGAACGCGGTGGGCATAAGAGTTGGTGGTGTCCTGTTTGACGACGGTGATCGCCTGTCGGATACGTTCTGAGGTCTCGCTGGAGAGGAATGGGTTGGAGTGCGAGACCAGATCGGCGAAATCGCGGGGCTGGAATTCAAGAGATGAAGTCTCCAATGCAGCGAGGAGGCCGTTCAGGGAGGGTAAGACAAACTCGCAGACCTTGGCGGCTGTTGTATGCAGTCAAGGGAGACAAAGAAGCGAACGATGGTGAGCAAGCTACGACCTTTTTTTACATTCTTTGAGCAAATTGAATTGAGCCAACTAATAGTTTGCACAACTCCAACAATAGCAGCAAGGTAGATGACAACGTCCGTTGATAATGAACATACCATTGTCCGAAATGACAAAGGACGACAGCTTGTCAAGATAGGCCCAAATAGAGTCAAGAACCTGTTGGCGGACAGAGGGCCTCTTGCCAGCGATGGTCAGGAGGTGCGATGTAATGTTGTAGGTCAGGTTGTCAGCGGGAGACCGACCTGTTCGAATAAAAAGGGGAGGAAAGGGTTAGTCTTGCTGAACCTGACGAGAAATGTTCAAACGTGCTCGTGTTACCGACACCACATCCCGTTGCTGTCGGCCTTTGTTACCTTTGAGGCCGAATCCATCGGTGAATTGAAAGTTGACAAGTGAGTGGAGGTATCCCGAGAGACGGGGGACGAGATCGTGGTCAAACTGGCCAGACGACTCGGCAGCGAACTTCGCCTGGGCGATCAACGCATGCTGATGGCGCATCGTCTACAAAGAATTGAGAACAGAACAGCCATATATCATACTGTCAGTCTCCAGGAACACAATGACCATGCAGTGTTCACACGGACATGTATACTGCGTTGGATCCACCACAAAACGCAGAGAAGGCAATACTACAGCCTGCGTTCGCTGCAAGAAGAGTTTCATTTCAAGTACCATAAGTCCGCCTTCGGCAAGAACGGGTTCTGCTGCACCCTCGGCAACACCACCAACAATACCGGTGGCATAAGGCTTAGGAGTTGAAGGTTGACTAGGTGAGGGCAAGCAGGGTCCAGCCCTGATGAGCCTCTGAACCTCATCGGCCTGTGTGGTCGAGTCTTTGGCGAGAGTGGATGCCAGGCTCGACAAAATCTGCGAGTGCAAGTCGAATTCGAGACTATAAGAGTGATGGACGGGAAGGGATGTAGAAGGCTGCTGTGAGTTTTGATGATGTCAACGTCGCCTTTTTGTCGTGTCGTTTTGTATCAGGTGAACAATGCAAGTGAAAGCGACGTACGAATCCATGGGGTGGTTGCTTGTTTTATGAGAGCGATGAAGTGGGAGGGGGAGGTGGGCGTGAAAGAGAGGAATGGATGTTTAAGATGTAGGATGAGGGAGTGGATGAATCTATATGTGATGCAGTGAGGAAGTGAAGAAGCGGAGTAAAGGTGCGAAAAGGTGAAGTGATGTAAAGTGAGAAGAAGAGAGAAGGAAGAAGAGATCTCCCTTTGACTGTGTGGGAGAGACCTGTGGCTGTCCCGTTGTCTCTCTAAAATTATCGCGCCTGAGAGCCTGAAGCAGCAGCGGCAGCAAAGCAGCAAAAGAGTTCATTTCATTTGGCAGCGCACCAGTCGGAGTGCATGGAATTGGCATATGCCATTTAGTGCATACTTTATCACTTTATCGCATTACGACTACGTGCCTGAAGAACATCCAGCCTGGCTCGCATATCTCATTGCCGCATGTCTGCGGCACTGCGGCAGGTGGGTTTCACCAGAGACAGACAACAGATACGCCACCAACAAACTGATAAAACGAAAAACATGGCGCAATCGTCGCGTCAAAAAGGAACGTGGCACTTCTCTTTTCTATCGCAGGAGATTGAGAGAGACCATCTTCATCCTGGTCATATCAATAAATTCCTTTCCTTTTGGCACTCATTCCACCCGGCGAGGATCGTCTTTTGAACCTTGAACCATGTCGCCATGGCCTTCTTTTCTTCTCCAACAGCTTTCCTTTGGCGATTATGTTTACATTGATTGCAAGTCCGGTCAACGACGCACATACGAGTGTGACTTGGCAAGTGCACGCCCACGCGCTAGTAGACGTAGTCTAGCGCTCATACTCTTTTCTCGCCGATGCACCGAAGAACCACCCGGCAGTTTCTCCGTCTTCGCTCGATCTATGTCGTTGGCGATCTTGTTACAAGTAAAATCCTCCCAGCATTTCGGTCTAAAGTCTAGACTACCTTCCTACTTACAAAAAAAAGGGTCCTGACTATTCAGGTTCACACGAAGGTACAGCAAGTTGACCACGTCCTCTCTCTCTCTCTCTCCTCACATGAAGAAATAGACACGTAGACTGATTCCGATTTCCACTTTGGAGTCAAAAAGGACGACCAAGAGAAATGGTGATCGGCCGTTGCTTGCCCAACGGTTATATACCATCGATTGCTTACTGTCCGGTCCAGCTTGAAATCATTTCCCGGTGCTGGACCTTTAACACCCTTTCAGCAAAAAACAATGGCGAATGTATCGTATTGCTGCTCTTCTTTGCCCTTCAGTCACTCATTCCTTCGACCTTTACTACAACAAAAACTGGCTTCGCCCTTTGCTACCCTCTCCTACGTTAATATCCCTACCTAACACCAAACCTCACGATCCAACTGCCAGAAAACACTACCTTTCCCTCCACCCCAGGTAGAATGGCGAATACTCAACATATTCAACAGCCCTCGCTCAAGTCCTTCATTCTCAATGTCACACAGCTGATCATGGTCTGCGGACAAGGGCTCCTACTCCTGAGTGCTCCCGTGGCAAATGCCCGTGCCCCAGGAGCAAGAAGATTACCCAGGTCATATACGGATCTCAAAATACCCTTCAAACCGCCGTCGTCGCCCTCTTTTCTATCATTACCCGACATCAACACTGCCAGCACATCCAACCCAGCTAGACGCTTTGATTACTGCGCGATGGCCGCGGAAGAGTCCAATGCCAACAACGGTACTATCCCTTACAAGGCCGCCAAAGGATGCTACGAGATGTTTGACTTTGACCCCAAGGTCAGAGACCAGACTGTTCAAAGTGTCCGAGCCAACCTGGAGTCGTTCTACGTCTTTTACGACATTGCAATGTAAGCACCTCTCTCCAATTGGTTTTTCTTATAACCCTTTTCTCACTCGTTACCTAACCTGCATTGCTTGCATTGGATGCAACCATGTGCCACACGCATGAATGATAGCTCACCCCCGCACATGGAAAATTCGGATCTGCAGCCTGTCAATCTCACTGCTTCACTAATATCCCTCGGTAACACGACTTTCAGGGACGACTACAGCTTCCATGCCGCATTGGCAACACAGATCTCTCAACTGCAGGACCCACACACGACCTACAAGAGCATGTGCTACCAACAGTTCCTGTTCATCCAACCCCTTTCAACTTACGGTGTCTACGAGGACGGACGGAACCAGGTCAAGGTCGCCACGGTCCTTAACAAACTCGATCCTCGCCTCACTACATCGCTGGTCGATTGTGAAGTTACTCATATCGACGATCAACCAGCATTCGATGGTATGTCCCATCTCTCTCTTTCGTCCTGTCCATACAATCATCACATTTGTTTTCATTTACCAACCAGCCCAAACCTAAATCTATGTGTTTGTTCCATCCATTGACCATAGTGGTGACCAAGTTTGCAGCAACAAAGTCATACTCCAAGGATCGAGGTGTTCGTCTCAACAAAGCATTCTCGTATCTCGCCCACGACAGGACAGGAAGCGCCTATGATCGATACGCACTCGGCACCTTTGCCCAGCGCACAAAAGTCCCCCCCAACGCCACAATCGAATACAAGATCGACTGCAGCGCCAAACGATCCAAATCTACCCCCGAGGAAAAGCCCATCCAAACAACCATGGTCCTCGCCTGGTCTGCACTCGACGCCACCATGCTCCCTTACGACGACGCCCCCTCATACCGCCGCCAGTTCTGTTCCCAAGACTCGATCCAGACCGTCAAGAAGTTTGTCCTCGACTCTGCCAATGCTGACGATTTCGGATCCGTCAAGACTGAGCTCCACAACGGCCGTAAAAAATCGAGGGAGCTCTACCGCGGGTCTTATGCGTCGTTCCACATGCTGAGCGACGGTATCACGGCTGTTTTTCGACTCGGGACTGAATCGCCCAACAAGCAGGGGAACTACAAGGCGAGATTGGGATTTTATAAGAACATCGACAATGGGTTTGCTGCGATGGAGGCTGCGGGAGCGAAGAAGTTGATCATTGATCTTCAGAACAACTCTGGTGGTATTATTTGCTGGGGCCGCTATGTTCTCCAGACGCTCTTCCCCAACACCGTCGATTCGCCTTACATCTATAGCCTCCGCGCCTCGCCCCTTGCTCAAGTACTGGCCAAAGCAACCTTCTTGTACGAACAGGACATGGCTTCACCCTATGCGGGTCTCGTCGATCCAGCGACAGGCGAGGAGGTGACGGACGATTCGTGGATGAACCCAGGTGATAAGCTACAGGGGCGCGAGGGGACGTTTAGCAAGAAGGTCACCGATAGGTTCTGTGTTGCTGTGGATGATATCAAGGGTGCAGCAGACGAGGCTTTATTCGAACCAGAGGACATGTTGATTCTGACGAACGGTTATTGTGGATCGACATGTGCGGTTCTGGCGCTGCAGCTTCACGAACGCTATGGAGTGCGGACAGTCGCTGTTGGTGGTCATCACGGACAGTCCATGGCGTTCACATCCTTCCCCGGCGGCGCTGTTCAAGCCAACAACACTCTTTGGGTCCAGCGTGTCCAAAAGGTGTTCAATTCCATGCCGATCCTTGACCGGGACCCACTGCTCGAACCTCTTCTACCACAGTCCCTCCCTGCCAACGGTCAATTGGCATTCACTCTCCGCCAGATCATGAGTGCAAGCAACGAGGCTCAGGTGTCAGAGTACATGCGTATCCCGAGTGAGTTCCGGATGGATTACACTTCCGCACGCTTCCGCATGCCGTCTGTTCTTTGGGAGGATGTTCGGGAGGAGGTCTGGGGGATGCCAGGTTCGTCAGAGTCGACTGAGGACGAGACTGAGGACGAAAAGTCGTCGGTACCCAAGGAGATGATCGAAGAAGGAGAGGATCCCACAGGACAAGACCAAGGGGAAGGCGAGGTTGGTGAAGAAGAGGATGATGAACTTGAGCGTGGCGCCGAAGAGGCCGACCGCGAGGACCTTGAATGGTTGCAAGGGTTTGAATCTCAGTCCAAGTGAGCAAGGCATTTCGCCCGAGTCACGTGCAAACGTATTTATTAAAAATGACGATGAATCATATCTACGGTGACGTTTCAATGTCGCTGCTGAGCCGAATTTTTTTTCGCTTCTTGCGGATTTCGCCTCTTGTTCTCTTTCCTTCCTTTCGTATAAATATACAAACAAACGACATCCATCACCCAAGTCCAAAGGGTTCCTGCCTAAAACAAGAAGACACATCCTCCTACAACCAACAGACCCAACTTCCACTCTCTCCATCAAGACTCACGGACCACCCCACCCATCAAATCACTCTCCGTCCCAACCCTCCAAGCAGAGTCTTTCTCCCTCTCCCTCTCGTCTCCTACTTCCTCTGCGCAGCGTCATTAAGCTATACATACATACTCCCATCCTCTCCTCTCTCTTGATTGCATCCTCTCCTCTACATTCCTAAGTCCGTTCAAAGACTTTTTTAATCTCCCCTTCACAAATCAAATCAATCAAATCAATCATCATGTTTGCCGTCCCATCGATCGCAGCCCCCGGCTCATCTAGCACCGCACAACCAGAGAAGCAAGCTGCTGCGGCGGAAGTGTCGACGGACGACCAGACCGCCGCTGAGGCCCCCTTGCACTCGGTTGCCGGTATTGTCCCAACACTCCAGTAAGTTCATAACCTCCTGTTTGCTATCGCTACCAGTGTTGTTCGTTCCCAGAGGATTTTGAAAGACATATTGGGGAGTTGCCCTTTGAGCGAGGGGCAGGGGAACGGAGATACTGTTTGCTGTTGTTGCGGTCCGTCGACTGCGATGATAGGTCTAAAGCCTTTCGCTGTTGAGTGGTTGCTTTTGTTGGATAAGCAAGACAGTGCAATAAGAAAACCCCCCCTCCCCCTTCTGTGGTTTGTTGTTCTGTGTAGTAGTCGTTCTCCTGGTAACTGACAACGAGCTGGTGGAAAGCGGCGAGGTTATAGCGAGTGGTTGAAAAAGCAAGCCTTCAATACGTTCTTCCATATCGACATAATGAGTGAAAGTTAGAGTTGTGAGTGATGATTGTTGGGGACGAAAGGGATATCTGAGGACAAAAGCTATGGGTAAAACGGGGTGATGTTGTGTACGTTTTGTGGGAGGGGGAGAAATAGGGAGGAAGTGGAGGAGGGAAGGAGGAGGTGTGTGTGAGTTGTGTGTGCAGGTGTGTGTGTTGCAGACAGACATGCTGATAAGAGACGGAAGCTATTTATTGCAATGGGCACCGACCCTTTCAGGAGACAGAGAGCAAATCTGGTGGTGGCTTGTCCAGAAACAATTGGCGTTTGACCCATGTTTCATGCAACACACCATGTTGAAGCGTGACACTAACAAGTATCTCGTACCACTGTGCTACTTTGCCCTGATAGAAACATTGTCGCCACCGTCAACCTGGATTGTCGCTTGGATTTGAAGACAATCGCCTTGCACGCTCGTAATGCAGAGTACAACCCCAAGGTACATTGACGCTACTAGACAAAGCACGCAATAGGCACATTTTGCTATCTTGCTATACGTTCTTTTGTTGCAGCGCTGGGTTGGCGCCTTATCCATACCACACGACTAATGGGCTCCCTAAGGCACATTAGTTGTTGTGAATAACACTGTGGGCGGAACAAAAGAGAAATCGATGGGCGAAGAAATGGGCGCAACGTAGCAAAAGTTTACTCAACTTTTTTACTTATATATTTGCATCTCCTATTCTCATATCGTACACTTTCTCTGCGATCCTGCTCTCTTTTCGTCACCGTCTTGCTTCTTGGCCACCTTTTAGCGTTTCGCTGCTGTGATCATGAGAATTCGTGACCCTAAGACGACAGCTTTGATCTTTGCCTCCGGCAAGATGGTCGTTACGGGAGCAAAGTCTGAGGACGACTCCAAGCTGGCCTCGCGCAAGTACGCTCGTATCATCCAAAAGTTGGGCTTCCCTGCAAAGTTCACAGACTTCAAGATCCAGAACATTGTCGGTTCCTGTGATGTCAAGTTCCCTATCCGTCTCGAAGGATTGGCCTATGCTCACGGACCCTTCACATCTGTAAGCGGAGCTAATTATTGGAAAAGGTGTTCAGGGATTGTCATTATTTTGAGATGTGGTATCTGATCCCATGCATTTGTTTTAATTTGCGTGTGTAATTAGTACGAGCCTGAGTTGTTCCCTGGTCTCATTTACCGTATGGTTAAACCCAAGATCGTATTGCTTATCTTCGTCTCGGGCAAGATTGTTCTGACTGGTGCCAAGGTAATAATCGACGCGTCGTACTTGGCCTTATAATCTACCACTTTGAGATGCACCATCTAACAATGGTGTGCAAAATTCAATTCTACAGGTCCGCGAGGAGATCTATCAAGCCTTCGAGGCTATATACCCCGTGTTGACGGAGTTCCGCAAGCCCTAAGGGACCACCTCCTTTGTGGCCGGTTCTTCCTGTGCGACCATTTGTTCTCTCGTCGGACAAACAAAACCAAACAAATATTTGTAGCTGATGGACGAACAACCAAAAACAACACATACACACTATGGAAGGTCTAGGACAAGCAAAGGATGGTTGAGAGAAGACCAAACGAACGTCTAGACACAACAGTGCTGTTGAACAGACTTCCTTTCTCTCTCGTGTTTATCTCATCTTCTCTTAACCCTTCCCATTTCAGCATTCGCTTCTCGTTTCTTTTTTTACTTCCTACTTGTATTGTACCTTCTTTCATTTCCCCTTTCCTTTCTTTCCCTCGTCAAAATCGCGCTTGCGACTTTGCGGTCTTCTCCCTCATGTACCATATCACATTAGCACACAAGCACACAAACAAACACATTACCACCAATTCGATCTTTTGCGCCTTCAGACACAACAAAAAAATACTGAAAAACAAACCAAAAATAATAAAAAAATGACAACTGTACAAAGTGTGTGTGTTTTATTCTGTTGCAAGCGGAAAGCATACGCTTTTAACGCGATTGTTGATGATACACAACTGGGCGTCGATTTGAGTCCTGATGTGACTGTTGCTGTTGCTGTTGTTGCTGTTGCTGTTGAAGACTGTTGCTAGTGACCTGAGAGAAGATTTGACCCTTGAGCATGATGTCCGGGTCATTCATGTAATCCATAAGACTCTCGCGTCCACCTGCACCTCCTCCACTCACAAAGGTAGATGTAGCAGAAGCTGTAGCACCGCCGTGTCCTCCTCCGATTCCACCAAACAACATAGTGCTTTGACTCGTCGTGTCCATGGGTCCATAACCAGGTCCAACCGCCAGAACAGTGGACCCGTCATGTCCTCCACTGCCGCCGCCGCCACCGGCAGCAAGAGTGCTATACATCAGCAACTCCTGTCCACCAAAGTCGTTCCCGCCCGCGAATGCCATGGCGGCGTTCATCGGCGTCAAGACTCCATGCTGCTTTGTCGATGTAGTGAAAGGGTGGTCGACCGGGGCATAGTTGGACAACAGTTGGTGATGAGGATTTGAGCCAGCCGAGAGAGGGGATGCCAAGTCAGAGGGTTCTGAGAAGGATTTGCTCGTCATCGAGGCCGTCGAGGAGATGAGCAAAGGTGGGTACGAAGGTGGGTGGCCGTCCTGAACAAAATCCTCTGCCGAGAAGGTCATGTCGCCAATCGTGACTGGGAGTCCTGGGACCATTCCAAAGCCCTCAAATCCACCACCAGACAAGAGCTGCGATTCCTGAAGTGTCATCCTGGCCGGTGGGTTCTGAGCATGAGATTGGCCCTGCGACTGGGACTGAGACTGAGACTGGGAGTAGATCTCCTGGTTGCCATAGTCGGCAAGGCCGCCTCCATGGGAAGACGAGAGATGAATGCCTGATCCGAGCGCAATGAGCTGCTGGTGAATCTCAATCTCCAAATTCTGCACTTCCTGCTCAGTAAATTTGTTGTTGATCAAAAGGGCCTCGTACTCTCCGAGCTTGCTCCGCTGTGCATCGTTCAGACCCTGCTTCCAGTTTCCAAACTGATCGTAGATCGCGGTCGGGTCACTGCCATCTTGATCCTCCATACCTCCAGCATTAGGGAAGCCAGTCGTCGAGCTGGCTTGGTAAGCCAGATTGTCGTTCCATTGCTGCTGTCCACTGCTGAACGAAGACAAATGACGATGCCGTGAGTTGTGATTGGTGAGGGGCGCAAAGTAGGTGTCCTGATCTGGCCCGCTAACTGCATAGCCGCTGCCGGCGAATCCGCTATCTGCTGTGGTCTTGCCACCGTCGGTCGAAAAGTTGGGGAGGGGTGCATCCGAGGCACGATGTGGGAGATGAGGACGGCCAGTGAACGACGCGTTGTTGTGATGTAAAGAAGCTCCTGACGTTCCTGACATCGGGATCGATCCAATGGGAGCAGAAGTTTGATCCAATGGAGAGACGACGTCGTTATAGCCAGAGGCCATATAGTTGCCATCGACGACAGGGTACTGGCTGCGTTTCACACTCGCATCGTGTGGAGACTGAGGCTGGGATTGCTGGTACTGTTGGTTGTGCTGCTGTTGCTGTGGGGGGAATCGAGCATTGCCCTGGAACGAAGAGGCGGAGTTGGTCCGAGGTGTTGTCATGCTTGGGTGTGGGCGCTGTTGAGGATGTTGATGTTGTTGCTGAGCGTTCACATGCTGTTGCTGCTGAAGTTGTTGTTGTTGTTGTTGTTGTTGAAGAGTAAATCCTTGCTGGTTGTTGGAAGGAACGAATTGACCAGCCATCCTCATATCCTGCGTCTCCACATCGTCTTGGTCGCTCGCCTGTCCATCATCATCATCATAGTCGCTCTGCTGCTGTTCTTCCTCCTCTTCTTCCTCACCCGAGCTCTCACCCTCTGAGTACCCTGTAACATCAGTGGACACGCCAGGAGAACTCTCAGAGGTGAACCCTGGTGATCGCTCATTCCTTGGTGGGGATGTTGGAGCATCGACCTTAAAGGGCTCCACCTTCTCTGCTGTGAGCTTGGTTACACCTTCGTAACCGTGGGCAACAAAGCCGAGGAGCTGAGGACGCTCCATGCTGGATGATGCGCGAACAATGTCGTGGAGCATCTGCTTGATCTCATCGCAGTACCGTTGAGCGGTCTCTTCCTTGCCAAGGACCTTGCTGGCTACAATGTTGGCAAAGGCTCCTGCGGCCACGGGCAAGATGACGTGGGCGTTCATGCGGGTCATTGGACGGGTATTGTAAATGTTCTTGATTCCGATGGCGGCGTCATAGCAGTACGAGCTCCAGATACCGTGGACTCCCATCTCACGATGACTTTCATGAAGCTGGAACGTATGGTGCAGACTGATCTCGAACATGTAGGCGACGGCGTGGTAGAGCTTTGAGAACCTTGACTGGCTTCTCATTGCGTCCATGTCGGTGGGCGTGACACGGAGGTACGTAGGCAGGGTCTTGGTGCGCCACTCATGCATCGCCTCTCGGACCTCGTCGACCTTTGTATGGGGGCGCTGACGGGTCGCTGTGCATGTGATATCGGCGACTCGGGAACAGATCTCATACATAGGAACAAAATGCTCTAGATCTTTGATGCCTTCATAGTCGTCCTGTGGGCTACCTCGGAAATCATGACACTGGTCCGAAACCTGCCTCGAAGGGAAAGGGATGTCATAGTCGTTGGCGGTGATGAAGGGCGACTGATGGCTGAGGGAGTAGCTGGAGCAGACAATCACGACGCACCAAAAGATGCGGTGGCCGAGTTCGGTGGATTCGGCGGTGTGCGCATTGTATTGGTAGTAGTAGCCCTTGACGCGGTTCAATCCCAGACCTGCGGAGGCCGAATGCGAGAGGGCAACGAGGTTATGGACGGCGTCATAGTTGGCGACGGATGAATAGAATCCTGTCAGAATAAGATAGCACTGACAGTTGGTGACGGAGGAGTTGAGGAAGTCCTGAGTGTTGAAGTAGTTGAACTTTCTGCACATGCTGACACCGAACTTGGGCTCCATCTTGGCAATCACGTCCTGATCGCCTATCTCATGTCGGAACGCGAAGCCGGTAGCCAAGACACAGGTCAGAAGCTTCTGCACCTCGATCGTAAGCAGCTGGACGGGATCCGAGACTTGGTCCATGAACGCCTTCCGGTTGAGAACAGGGATGTAGTAGTTGAAGTGGTTGAAGTAGCAGTCGATGATGGTCTTTTCGGCGTGCCCGATTGACTGGATGCGGTTGCTGTCGCTCTGGAAGTCAAATGGGGGAGGCTCGTATCGGGGAAGGTTGATGACCTGGGATAGGATGGGCCCAAAGTTGTTGTTTGAGCCGGCAATGTCGAGCTGGCCCATTCTGGCGACGATGATGTCGGCGTTCTATTGTGGTTCGTTCGTTGGTTTAACAAAATTGAGGAAAGAGGCGGTCCAAGCGCGGAGCGGGCACGTTAGTTAGGCTCCTGGGTAACAAGGGGGTGTGATCGGGAATAACGGCGGAAGAGGCTATGTGAAACATGACCAACCTTGAGCTTCTGGGTGTGCTCCTGCTTCTTCAAGAGGACAAAGGCGTCGTGGGCCGCCTTCTTAGACACGCTGAGCGAGTCATATCTGCACGGTATTGAGGCCGCCTTGCAGGAGACACAAGGCTCCAATCCATTGCACTATTTCAATTGAACATGTGGCAACGTTAGTACTCGGCATGGCTAATGCTTATGCACGACTGAATATAGTTTACAGGGAGAAAGAGAAGTAAAAAAGCTACGAGTGCATCTTGCCCTCTCTTCCTCTGATACAGGATGAAGGGAAGAACATCACACTCTACAGGACCACAGCAAAACACGCAATATGCGTGACACACCGAGAACGGAAATCTTGTATAAACCCAATTGAAAAGAAAGAAATAATAGTCCAATCGAACGCCTCGTCCTTGTTGGGGGGATCCGAGAACGCCGTTCGCCATACGATGTAATGCGAACTACAACGTTTATCGATGCATGGATGCTGACAGATCTCTGCACCTGTCCTCCACCTTTTTCCCCATCTTTCTGCGACACCAGTCGCATAATTGAACCATGCTAACCAGTTGGGAAGGCCTGCATGTGCTTCATCTCCACTCTTCCCATTGCCCAGTGTCGATTTTCGTTTTGTTGTTGTTATTATCGTCGTTGTCGTTATTGTTTGCGTTAGTTTGTTTTGGTTTGGTGCAAAAAATCAATCAAAAAAAAAAAAAAAGGTGAAAGGAAAAAGGAAAAAGGTTCGAAGACGTTCGTTGGTTCGTTCGTTCGTGTTGTTCGTCGGGTTGAGCATTCAGTACATCACCACATCAAACGTAAACACACAGCCATGCACATGCTCGCTGCGGTACTCTTTGTTCACATACACAATAACAACCACAGACGGAAGGGTCGACCGGGGGCCAGAGCACCATTGCTACTGATGCTGTTGTTGTTTTTTGTGAGGAGCCTCATGACTTTTTCCCTCTTTCCCTGACTCTCTCTCTCTTCTTGTTTGCCTATGTTTTTTTTTTGTTGTCTTTACTGGTTTTGGTTTGTGCGCATGGTTTTCATATCATATGTCAATAATTGCAAGAGGTGCCAATGAGGATGTGCCGTTAGGACAACCAACAACAAGGGGCTACAATTAAAGGTGGGTCCCGGGATAGATGACCCACTAACGCCAACGAACAAACATCACCCTTTAAAAATATCAATGGGGAAACAACAAATACCGGAGCGACTTCAACTCACCTTTCGATGACCCTCTTTGCAGTTGTCACAAGAGCTCACTTGAGGCTTCTTCTCGGCTCCTTCAGCCTTGTTGCCTTTTATTTTCTGCTTCTTTGGTGCGCCGGTGTGCGTCCGCTTCTTGGGAGCGGCCGCTGTTGTTGCCGCACCTGCAGCAGCTGAGGCGGAAGTAGACACAGCACTGGACAAAGAAGACGACCCTTGCTGCTGATGCTGCTGATGCTGTTGTTGTTGTTGTGGGTTCTGCTGGGTGACGGCGGGCCGGTGTTGCAGCTGGGCGGTGGATGGTGGAGGGGGTCGCGCAGGGTGTGAGTTGGGGTGCTGCTGCCTGTTTGCTGACGACGAGCCGTTTGGTTGAGCGTTCTGCATTTATGCGATGCTGTGGAGGGGTATGAGAAAATAGGGGGACGAAGAGGTGGTGGTGGCCGACGGGCGAAAGAAGGTTATTATAGTGGTTGACTGCTTAGTAGGAAGGAGACAGTCTGTCGGATGGGCAAGTTGGTGTGGTTGAAGGCGTTTGTTTGATCGTCAGGAGGGTGAAAGATGGAGTGGATGTGAACAAAAGTTAGTTGAATGAGCAAAAGGGTATGAGTGCGTGAAAGATGAAAAGAAAAAAAATGGTGGCGGTGAGTAGGGAAGTAATGAAGGAAAGTGGATTAGTGCGGGTAGGATAAGAAAGAAGGAAAGAAGGAACCGAACGAACGAAAAGAAGTGAGGGCGAAGAAAAAGGGCAGTTGAAATATCTGATATGGGAAAATAATAATGGACTAATGGGATTTTGATACAAAGGGACGTGGCAGAGAGGAGACACCACTTTCTCACATTCTCACACATCACACTCGTTCATTCATTCATTCACACACGCACTCACCCCTCAATGTTGCATGCACCTCAATCGACGCATAAAACAATGGCACGCTTTGTGTTGATGTTGCTATTCTTGCACACACGTCGAATAATGCGAACGAAAAGAAGAAAAACACATCCACCCATATCCAACCAAGGTCAAGTAGCACAAAGAAACCAAAGGAAAGGAAACCCAAAAACACCCGCCCTGCTATCTTCTGCTTCTCCTCCTCTCCTTCCTCCTCCCTTTCTTCCCCTTCAGTGTCCACCACTGTGGCTGGTCATTTTTTCTTGTTATTATTGTTTTTCTGTTGTTACTCCCATTACTGAGAGGAGTACAAAGATTCAGAACAAAAGCCTACTACTTTTGCGGCGGACACGTCTCGTTTTTCTTATGTACTTCACCACTTGTACAGCGAAAAAAAAAAAACCTCCTTCGAATGGGTTACTTACAATCTATCGACTCGGACTTTGGCTCGAATCTGCGCGGCGAATTTAGAACGGGATCTAGTTTTTTTTGGGAATTCTTTTTGGTGTTTTTTGGTGTTTTGTTACTGAGAGCGTTGAGTATGTACGGTGCAGATGTTATTGTTAACTGTGGTAATGCGTATGTGAGTTGAATATGTTGAATATGTTGAATATGTTGAATATGTTGAATATGTTGAGTGTGTTGAGTGTGTTGAGTATGCGGTATGTATGTGGGTGTGTGCACTGAGCGTCGTTGTTGAGAGTGCGGAAGGACGGACGGGGATGACACGAAAGTAAAAGGCAGATGCGGATGACAAACAAAAGAAAAAGGCAGAAAAGAAAAGATGAAGAGAGAGAAGCGACAAGGATAACAGGTTATGAACAGGTTTTTTGTTGAGCGAGAAGATGAAAAAAAGGGTGGTTGTTTTTTTTGTTTTTTGTTTTTTTGACTGGCGGATGCGCCTCTTTTTATCCGCTTTCATACAACATAGAACATCAGACATGAGATGTATGTCGCATGGCATTAAACCCCACTGGAATATACACAACACAGAAACACGACCCTTCCCTGTTGCCCCTGCTTGTACTCCCTCTGCCTCTCTGTCTCGAAAACCTCACGGCTGCCTTATTTGCCTGTCCGCCAATCGCCACATGCGCACTGCTCTTTTCTCCTTCTCGTCTAGTTGTTGTTCTCTCTTTTTTTTCTTGTGTTCCGATTGTGTCTCCACCTTGATGAGTGTTTGAACTGTGTGTACTATGGATGAATGAATGAATGAATTATTGTTGTCTTTGTTGCTATTGTTGTGTTACTGTTGTCTGTTGTTGTTGAGTTGTTCTAGGTGTTGTGTTCCCCAACTTTCGATCTTTCTCGGCTGTTTGAGTCAACGCTCTCTCCTCTGTCTGTCTGTCTGTCTGTCTGTCTGTCTGTCTGTCTGTCTGTTTCTCCCCCATTTCCTCCACGATCCCCTTTTCTCCTTCCCCCTGGCAGATCGCACCTACTCAGCTCTAGGCCATTCCTTCGAATGGACTCACACTGTATCTGTTACTTCTATTTCGAAATCGGATCAGGCGCACGCACACCTTCCTGCTCTCATAGACGGAAGAAAACTAATCCCGCCACACATCCTCCTCTTCTATCCCTGCCCATTCTCTCACTCACGTCCATTGCCCAGCTTGCTCACTCACCAACCATGGCCATTCGAATCGAAGGAGAAATCGGGGTGAGCAGGACAGACAACGAGACAGACAACGAGACAGACAACGAGACAGACAAAAAAAAGTGAGCCGATCCTTCATCCACTCCTTCTTTGAGACAAAAGAACACATTTGCAAAGTTTAGTTGCATTGGTTGGATCGAGATGGCAACGAAAAAAGAAACCCGCCAAGCGGAATGAATTGAGTTTCGGTAATATAACGATCTCAACTTTGTTACCCATATCCCTCCTCCCCTGTCCTTTCCTGCACACGCAACATTACAACAAACAAAACAACAATCAACAAGGCAGCATCACTTATTTCCATCGCCTTCTTCCATTGAACGCCCTCATATTCCATCCACCTGTTTTTTCTTCGTCCGATCTCGTTTTTGTTGTTTGCCATATCAAACATATATGTAAAGTAGAAGAGGTGCTGTGTCGAGTCATGTCGTTCGTCCTCTTGAAGTATGAACACTTTTTCGAACAACATTCCATTCAAGAACCTTAACGATCGGTGAATTCACCGATCCTTTTTGTTTTCCATTTTCAGGGGCAAGTGATGTACAGAGACAAGAAAAAAAGGCCGAGCCCCCCGTCGCTCATCGTTTTACCCCTGTCTGTCCATCAACCTATTGGTCCTTCCGCTTTTTTTTTTATCGTCCGATTTACTTCATCTGAGCGACAGATGTATGAATGCACAACACAAAAGATGTGCAGCTGCCCTCAACTCAACTGCACCATTGTACCACTTTCACCTCCCATGGCTCAGTCAGCACCATCTAGTAGTACTCATTGCTATCAGCTTCGCCATTACCCATTGCTTACTCTTTCTCCCATTTACACCTTTTCGTGCCTACAAGCAGAACCATGGGGTTAGTCACCATGGCCCAGGACCTAGTCCTTCTTGGCGCTCAATCTTTGGCGGAAATGGAACTAATGAGCCAATTGGGGTGGGGGATGGATGGCGAGAGCTCAATATCATGAAGCCAAAGGCTACCTACACGTAACCAAGTAGCTAATCGGACATTCAATTGCAAAAGGATGAACAAACATAGAATTATAAACTGGAAAAAAAAGAGGGTGCCAAGAAGGAGGAATGAATGGCGCAGACTTGGAATGGCCATTGGAATAGTTATTGATCATAAGGAAGGGGGTGTAACAAGCACCAAAGCGCACGCCAACAGTCCCGCAGGCGAGGAAGGTTGTTGAAGGAGGGATTTATGTTGACATTAATTAGGGAAGGAGGACAGAAGGCTGTGTTTGCACAGTGAATTGATGGTGTATTGGTATTGGGGAGACAGGGTTCTCGGCAGCGCAAGAGTGCGTGAATGGAGGTGCTGACATGTTCAGTGCTGTATATCCACTTTTTCCCTTTTTCCGCTCATTTGGGCTGAGCTGGTATTCACCTAAGCTAATTTCCAGTGCCAGACAACCAGCCCAGCAAAAACAGAGAAATGAGGAAACAAACTCAATGGATAGATGATCATCGTGTTCAATATCACTCCAAAAGCACCGCCCGCCACTCCTTTCTTGCCAGTGATCGATCGAGTTTTGTTTTTTCTTTTGTAATCCGAAGGCTAATTCGAGCGTTTACATAATCAACGAGCCGCGGAGGAAATAACACGTTGAGATACATGATGGACCAAGTTACACGGCGCGAGATAGAGGGCAGGGGATGAGATGGAGGAAGGGAAAGATTGTTAATATCCATTTTCTTCTTTTTGTTTATTTCGTGCGTTGTGCGTGTGCTCACACACATTACACGGTCCTTTTTTTTCTCAAACACGATGTGATATCGAATAAAGCGCATGTTGTTGTTTTTTTCACCCTTTGCCATTGCCTTTGCAGCCATGCTCTGACAGTACAACACAGCATACAGTCCATAAAGGAGGGATCGTTCACACTGTGTGGCTATATCCTTCGCCCAGCCAGTCCGTGTACCTCATTCTCCATCTTTGTATCCTAATTGGCCTGCTCTCCAGCAAATGAACGTACGCCGTCTGTCCCTAGTCCTGGCAAAAAACCAGCACCAAATGACTGACGCGACGTGTTCACTCCTTATATCCATGCGCCCCTACCTCCTTCCACCTATCACTCATTCATTCCATCCATCTCATCGAGCGTTCAAAGTTTTTTCCTCCCATTGATCTACTTTAATCTTCTAGTCTAGCAAAGCTCACCGCCTAATAAACTGACGCGTCTGACAATGCAAAAAAGGATTCAAGTCAATTGGTGTTCAGTCTAGTGATTTATTGTACAATCTATGTCGTTGCTGCCGTATGTCGCTGTTGTCGATGTTGTTATCTCACTCTGGACACTCTTGAGGAGCGTGCCGCCGATCCGTTGCTCTATCACCAGCTGAAGACTTGTCGACACCACGATCTTGGTTAGGGAAGAGAAGAGTGGGAAATGGGCGAAGACATAAAATAATAGAGAACAGAGAGAGAGATAGAGATAGATAGATGCAGCTCATTGCATGCAGGGGAAGAAAAACAGATATGCAGAGTGGACGAAAAACCAAAACCAAAAATCAATACGAAAGAAGAAAAGAGCGACGAGATATGCGAGGATGAGTTTTTTTTTTCTCTTTAGTGTTTTAATGCTGAATGAATAAGCTTGTCTTTTAGCGTCTGCGAAGCAATCGGGAAGCTTGACATCCCACTAACCCCATCACGGCAACGACAGAGATGAGTGTCAAACCCATGGTCAGGACGGCCCGTCGTGTGGAGGTGATCTTGGCGTACTTGCGCTGCTTGCGTTTGTTGTTCAGGTTGTCGCGTCCTTCTGTCCGCATCATCTCGTTGTCATGATATCCGTGGCTTCCTCCATCCTCGTCCGTACTGTCCCCACTTGTTGATCTGGCTCTTGACAATGCGCCCTTCTAGGTAAGTTGCAAAAAAAAAGAAAAGGAAAACAAACACACGATATAGCGACACCCAAAAAAAACCCAATAGAATTGGCGTAAGAAACAAAAACAATAAAGCAACATAGAATAGCAGCATAGAATACAAAGCGTAGGATCGGTGAGCAGGAGAAGAAGCATAGCCAATGGTAATGCGCAGGAACAAGGATTGAGCATCATAAAGTGAAAAAAAAGAGAGAGTGAGAGAAAAAAGAGTTGGTCAACACACTGTGCGTTTTGTCTTATGTTCTCACGGGTAGAATTACAACCCTACTCGAGACTGTCAACTTGTAGGTAGAGTCAGAGGCAACGGCCTCGATGTAACAAAAAGAGTCTAGGCCATGAACAAGACAAACAACTCGCCCATCGTTTTCATAGTTCAAAAAGTAAATACTTCCTCCAGTTTGGTTTTGGTGCGAGTTTGTGAAGGACGGACATGGGTGGACGAGTCAACGAAATCAAGCAGTTTGAACTAATGCGGTTAGCGTGAGTGGGAATGCTCTGCGGCATAGTCTCAATCATCACTTGGGAGCTGACAGGCGGTGGGCAGAATGAAAAAAAAAAAAAAAAAAAAAAAAAAAAAAAGAGAAAGAGAGACGCCCCATACCAGCGCACGCAACGAAAACGAATAAAAAAACCTTCTGACTCCATCAGCTCAAGATAGGAGGACTAGCCTCAGCTATGTGGGACATATAAACGTTAACCACAAGAGACAAGCCTGGACCATGGATTTTGAGGGTCAATCCAATCCTGCAATTGGTCCACTTCCGCGGATCTTGGTATTGACAGATTTCCTCAATCTCCCGTCCCTGTTTGCTTTGCATGGTCGCCCTGGTGGCATCGGTCTATGATTGGCGGACCAAATTCGTCTGGCCCATTGCACAGGGCGTTGTTGATGTTATCCCTCTCGTTTTCCTTGCAGCGTTCTCCTTCTCCTCTTTTCACCCCACAGCGAAAAAAAGTGTAAAAAATAAAACGGCATAATGCCAAAATGCCTCAGAAAGCCAACTGTCCACTTGCTCAGAGGAAAGCCGAAAAGGAATAGCGTCAAGTTAATCGAGGCATGTGTACTCGATCGACCATATTTGGGATCAGTCAAGGAAAAAAAGGGGTGGATGAAAAAGGAGTGAACGAAAGAACGATCGGGCGAGCGCGAGATTTGATGAAAATGATAGTGTTGAGAGAGAGCGCCCATAGTTCTTTATAGTTTGGGCGCTCCGTTGCCCCTTTTGGGTGCAGGACTGGGCATGGGTACCTTAACAGGGGCAGGCGAGTTGGCGACGACCTCGGCGAATCGGAGAACCCGGGACGAGACTAAGCAGATAATGAAAGAACGAGGCGAAGGCAATTATAATGTTAATATTGTTGCCTTGGTTCACAATGGCGCCGTCGATTTGACTTTCAGTGACGCGTAAAAGCAGTCGGCTTTCTTACCTGTAGCGTTATCGCGACGGTTCTTCCCTTCACGTCTGAGGGTGCCAATGTGCTCCACCATATCCCAAAGTGCGCCACTGGCAATGACGTGTCCATCAGCGCCTCTGCTTGGCATAAAGTCTGGGTGGAGGGCAACCTTGGTTTTCTCCTTAGGGCCGGTGGGCTTCTTGATCATGAGGATACCATAATCGCACAGGCGGTTGAAGCCGTTTTTGAGGGTCTCCATGTTGACGGACTCAAAGTATGAGAGATCGCCCTGGTAGTAGAGGGTCTTTCCAAACATCTGGGTCTTCTCCACAAACACGCGCTCTTCGATCCAGTGAAGTTGATCTCCGCCAGCGTTGGCCTGCTCGGTAATCTCCTTGGCGGTAGGGATAAGAGTGTAAAGCGACACGGCAGCCAGCCAGTATGTTTCCACAAAAGGCCAAAGCAAGAAGCAATAGAAATCTAGAGTAAAGAAAGAATGGGCAAGTGGAATTGGTCAGTAATAAGCTCTAACATGACCCATTCCAAAGCGTGTTTCTTCAAGTCATGACTGAGATTGTGTACCATAGTTCTCGCGACCAATACTGCGTTCCACATCGGAAAGGCCGACAAAGCCTTCGCTGTCGATCTCGATTACGTTTGATTTCTATAGAGGTTCAAAGAGGAGTCAAGGTTAATGGTGTTTCCAGAGAGTGAGAGTATGCACATATCATCGACTGGATACATCATGTCTGAAGCACGAGCTTACCTTGAGGTACTCCAAGGTGTTTTCTAGGTTGCTCTGAATGTCGCCAGGGTTATAGATAAAGTCGGTCTTAAGCAGCCGACTCAAGAATGTGACCTCGTTCAGCAGCTCGGCCTGGCTGATTTTCTGTGTTGACTTGGCTCCACCGATCTTGATGCGAGTGTACATGGTGACGGCAACGATAGCCTCATGGATGAAAAGGTGAATGAGCTGGTTGCGGTAGAATGAGAGCTCGAATCTCTTGACGGCGTAGAAGACAGGCTCAAGCAAGTTCTTCTGAAGAGCGACCAAGTCCTTGAGAACCCCCAAAGCGCTATATGGAAAAAAGCATGTCCAAGCGGTATGAGTATGCTAGTTCCTCAGGGAGACGACATGTCAGAGACGGTCTATGCAGAGGCAGAGACACTTACCGATCGACGACTTCTCCTGTCTCCATCCCGCTAAAGTTGGCGACACGACCACCCTTGGACAAAATCTCGCGCTTCAACCAGTCCACGCGGCGAATAAGCTCATTGCGACCAACACCCTATTAAAAATCAAGATCGAAATGTCGTCATTAGAAAGCTGACATAAAGAGGCACCTGTATATGGACTGAGGACATGTTAGAATACTTACGCGTCCACGAAGAGTCAGGATAACGGTACCAACAAGTGCTGTTGGCATAACAACTGAGACGGAGTTCTACATACGTGAAGATAGCGAATGCAACAATAACAACAACAGTCAATATCACGTCGCATCCATCTTGACCCGATTAATTAACGATACGAATATATAAGAGGGAAGTCAGCTTACAATGTCGGCCAACACCTTGTAGCCCAAGGCTTTCAGTAATTGAGACTTGGCAGTGTTATCGGTCATCTCCTGCTCGTTGATGATCCTATTTAAACCAGAAACACATAGGTTAGTTGATGCTGAAAGGTTGTCATTGCGATGTAGAATAATATCGGTAATGAAATTGGTGGCCAAAGCTTACTCTCGTCTGTCAATCTCGTGGTTCATAAACTCGCGCAGACTGTAGGGCTTGGCGAATCGGACATCGATGCGCCCCATCTTGAGCTGAAGCAGGCGTGAGTTGGTAATGACACCCCACAAACTCTCCTTCTCCTTTGGAATGCCAAGCAGCTCATTGATGTACGTCTCGGTCTCGATGACCTTGTCGTACCCGATCGATATAGGAACGATGTAACAGTCCTGAACACGATTCGAGAGCATAGCGTCCATGATGATCTTTAGAACTATGAGGCAAAAAAAACGAATGGTATGGCATGAGGGGGTGAACTTTTGAGTGTCATGACGCACCCATGCTCCCATCAGATGTACGATCAAGGTTGAAGCATACCTCCGAGCTTGGGTGGCAAAAGCTTTCCTGTTCTGCTGCGGGTTCCCTCGATGAAGCACTCGATGTTGTAACCGCCCTCCAAAAGCTCCTGGACGTATTCCTGAACGATGGTTGTGTAAAGATGATCGTCGGCCCATGAGCGGCGAATGAAGAATGCACCAGCGCCCTTGAGTGCCTTTCCGACAACAGGCATGTCCAAGTTGTCTCCAGCAGCGATATGAGGCAAAGCCAATCCCATGCGGAAGAAGATGTAAGAGATGACGAGGTAGTCGATGTGGGACTTGTGACAGGGCAGGATGACCATGGAGTACTTCTTTTCCGCACAGTACTCTGCAACGCGTCTCAGCTCGAGGAACTCGGACTCCTTGATATGGATGCCTTGGTGGTACATGCGCACAAGAATGTTGTTGATGAGGAAAGCGAAGAATCTAATGAACGAGTAATATAAATGAGCAAAAGCATGTGTCAGTAAACAAACAAACAATGTAATACAGTGTCTGTCAAAAGAAATGTCATAATCGCAACCCAATGTTGCCCTCCATTATTGCCATACCTGATAAACTTCATGCTGTTCATGTCACTGACGAGCTTGTCGATGTTGGTCTTTGCCACTGCAGTCACTTCGGCCTCCAATGTCTTCCGGCGTGCCTCGACGTCCTCGGGACGCATGGGCCATACCTTGGGCTTGAAATTCTTCTTTCCTGCATTGGCAGCCTTTTCTGCTTCGTGAGCATCCTGTCTCTGTTTAATCAAGACCTCCAGCTGTTTGTTGGCCATAGACTTTACTAACTCGACAACTATTCCATCGTCCATTAACAATTTTTGTGAGTCAGCGTCATAACCAAACATGCAACCTATGTCATAAGGTGTATTTTCTCAAAAGAAAAACGAAAAAGTGAGCTTACCTTTCTGACTGGCAAGAATGCGGTCCTTGAACGAAGCCGAGAATCCTTCGTAGAAAATGCGAGTTCCGACATAGTTGCTGTAACTTCTCCAACCCTATGGCACCATCATCAAAGGGGAGATAAAACAGATGTAAATACACAATGGATCTGAGGTGATAGAATTGAACACTCTTGCTCTTTGATACTTCTTTGATGTTCTCTTTTTTTTCTGTGGTTCTCTTCCTTGTGCCTATTCTCTTCTCCAATTGATCGTCCGTCCTCCGTGTCACGTCCACATTCTTGTTCGTAACAGACATTGGGACACGTGTATAATGTTGTTGTTCTCGCGAGCACAAGAAAACAATAAAATGAAGCAGGTCCAAGTCGATCCGCAAGAAGAAAGTGCACCAAACAAACAAGATAAGTCCGCCATGCATTGAAAGTCGTTCTTGCTTGAATAAAAGTCCAATTGACGACTTACAGTTCCTTGGTAGAACGCTGCAGTTTGCACCACGAATCCGACGGGGTCCTCTCTGATTCTTCCGGCATGTTTCTTACTATTCGTTTGAGAAGAATTATCGTAAGTGAAGGAAAAAAAACCACGGGTTAGAACAGACCAGACGACAACAGACAAATTAGCAATAACCCAACCACATGAACGGTTGAAAAAGGAAAAAAAAAAGAAAAAGAAAGAGAACTTGCGTGATATTCTCGACACCAGACTCGTCGTTGTCGGGTCCACCGCTCTGGGTTGCTTGCTTGCCGTTGGGTGTGGTTTCAAGGAGTGGGCTCGTTTCGCCAGAGGGAGGGCAGGAAGACGAATCAACCTGCTGTGCGGGGACGATTGGCATGACATTCTTGAGTGGCTTTAACTCCAAGATAGGCCCCGTACTTGTTCCGACATTGTCTGGTCCAGTTTTGCTGTTCTTTGTTGCCATGTTGTTATGTTTTTGGTGTTGAATGAATTGTGTTGGGAGATGGACGGTCGTTGTTGTTGTTGTTGTTGTTGTTGTTGTTGGAATGAGGTGATCAGAGCAAAAAAGGAAAGGTCCTGATCCTGTCCCTTTCTGTTCCTATGAAGAGTCCTTGCAAGGCGAGGTTGACAAAGGCAGGCGGAGAGTTGAGGGAGAAAAAAAGCGAGAGGGAGGAGGAGTTGGCAGAGAGGGTGAGAGTAAGAAAAAAAAGAAAAAGGAAGAAGAAAAAAATAATTATGGGGGTAGTCTTTTTCGGTGGTCTCCGACTGGGGTCGAAGAAGAGAATTGACGGAAAGAAAAGGGGAAAGAAAACAAACGAAGGAACCAAAATCCTGATAAATGGTTTTCGCACACCCACGACTGGAGACAATTGAGCACAATTAAAGCAAGAAAAGGCGAAATAAAAGAAGGCTACAAGCTACGACTAATAACCTAATGACTATCTACAACTACAACAAGAAAAAACTACGACTACCATTGACTATGGATCTACAATCTAAGAAACAAAAAAATGAGGGATAATAACGGCTCAATTGGTCCTGTCCCTAATGGGCGCTGTGAATGTGTGTGTTGTTGTTGGAGGAGGAGGAGGAAGAAAGGGGTTACTGACTGACTGGTGAACAGATGGAAATGTGGTAAGAGAGACAGTGTGAGAAACGGGCTGTCGAAGAGAGGAGTGTATGGGAGAGGAAGATGAGAAAAGAGAAGAGAAGAGAAGAGAAGAGAGAAGTGAAGAGAGAGGTGAAGAGAGAAGTGAAGAGAGAGAAAGATGAAATAATAAAGCGAAACATGGACGGACACTTTAACGCATCAACGTTTTCTTTCAAATACTTTCATCGATCGACCTTGACAATTGCTTCGGCCTCCCCTCTCTCTCTCTCTCTCTTGCCCACTGATACCATTGCAATCTCTACCGCTCTTTGTTCATGTTCACGACCATGGCTCATGTCCATTAATTGCCCCGCCTGTTCGTTCCCATGTCTTTTGACTTTGTCTCAATTTCATGCCATTCCTCTCGTCCTCGTCGTTGTTCACTGGTCGTTTGACCTTGCCCTATCAGTGGAGGTGTGGGATGTGGACGTGTGAGTTGTGGATGTGGATGAAGAAGAGAAGGAAGACGGCCTTGACAGAACCTTATTTGCCCTTGGATGCGGGCCTTTCTTGCACTGGTCAGTGGGGTACACTTGCTTTTGCGATCTCCGGCAGAAGAATTCCAATTGTTGGGGGAAATGACATCCACCTTCTCCCGCATCAAAGACAGACAACTAAAAATGACATCCTCTTGACCTCTTCTTTCTGGTTATATTTTTCTAAGGTGCCGTTGTACTAACGCCAATGGCCATCATGCCATTGTACACTCTATATTACATCACACAGCCATACCATTGATACAGTGGCATGTCTACAAACGTGTATCGATGAGCTAACTCCGTTGATGGGAACCTGGTCTTGGCAGCCATATGTGCCGCTCACATCCATTAAAACTCTCCCCTAGAGCTATTTATTTTTATCCCGTTTACTCATGATTCGAACCTCCTTGACGACATCCACCACTCATATAATGCTCTAAAACACCTTCTCAAAGTAGTCTTCCCGCTTTCACCATCTTCCCTACGCTGTTCTCCACAATGATAGAGGACAATGCATGCAGGATTGATTTACGGCGCGTTTTTCTTTGTCTCTTTTTTGCCCCTCCCTCATCACTTTTTTTCCTATTCCTTGTTGGTCTTTGTACACTGACTCGATTGAAGTCGTCTGTGAGTTTTTTTTCCCTTTCAGAAATAGCCCCCAAAAGAGTGAGTGGTGAACGGACCACCTTGTAATATTTTATTCTTCATCCGACCCGAATTCTACTTCCGGTCGTTTTTCTGTTGGCTTGACATTGTGAGCAAATTCAAGCGAGCCTGCCCGTTCCTTCTCGGTGGGAAATGACAACAGAGAGGAAGCGAGGTTCGCATCGGCTCCATTACTATCCAATGGTAGCTACTTTGTCAGAGTCGGACCCTAGCTAACAATTAACTATTCTTTGAAACCGTTGCCTCGACGAACGGAAGTTGACAACGACAACAACGAACAACGCCAACAGTTTTTGGTTTTCATTCAAACCCTTCGGCGAATCAAGGAAAGAACAATGAGGGCGTGTGCTTTGCAGGGATAGCAAAGACGCACGAAGCGCAACTAACCATGTGCCTAAACGAATAATACATTAAATCTTAATCATCAAACAGCTTCAAACGCACTAGCACGCGCCCTTTTCATGTCTTCATTTCATGGACAAACACAACCTCACCGTGCCTTTGTTTTTCTTTTGTTGCCAAGCCCTGGCGACCATAACCGTACCAGAGCATATCGGACGTTTTGTGAAAGAGATAAAAAGGCTGATAACGAACATGGGCAAATATGTTCTTGTCGCTTTAACGAGCAAAGGCAACCTACTATGCGTTTTGCGTACCCCGTCGATCGGTCTGCTTCTTTACTTGGCGTTGCCTGTTCCCATGGCACTATCTTTCATGTTTTGTTGTTGTTCATCGTCCTCATCTCTTCCCAAGACATAACTACCACTCTATGTTCTCCGTTTGCGACTGGCAGTTCAATGTAGCTGATGGATCATCACTTTTTGCGCTTGAAGACTGAAAAACAAGAAACACACAGACAGGCATGGTAGCATGTTTTGATACAACGTGGAGACGGGTTCGTAATAGATAATGTTCCCCTTTCTTTTTTTTTTCAATTGATGTCGTACATGAGCGCGGACGATAATTGTCTCCTTGGCCAACTCCTTGTGAAAGGGTGCGGAGGCGTTACAAGGCCGTTGACGGCAAGATCAACATAGTTAGCATGCCGATCTAAGAACAACTCAGTGGAGTGGCATCGGCGCCTTGTTGTGCTGGAGAAGGAGAATTTTACCTTTGGTCTATCCTCGATGCTGTGTCTTCTTTAATAGCAGCTGCGCGAGAATGCGGAGTTGTATGCAGAGGTTCCACTTTTCCATGTACCCTATGCATAGAAAAGGATATGGACAGCGATTTGATCACGTGGCGGTTGTTTATCCAGAACACAGAAATGCGGCTTCAGCCACCCATCCTCGGACTGGAGAAAACAACCACCAGGCGGGTAAGCCAAAAGGGGGGTCGCGGATTCGGCACTTCCCACCCTTCCTTGCCACCCATGCCGAAACTTTGAATGCTTCTCTCCTAGCTCCTCCTCCTCCTCCTCCTCCTCTCGCGTCTTTTTTTTCCTTCTCCCATCTTTCCTCACCCCTTCTTCCTCACTCCTTCTGCATTCGTCCTTCCACCTCAAGGACATACATTCTCATTTTCAGGCACATTCCACCACTTAAACATTATTTTCCTTCTTTTTTCAGGCACCAGAGCGCCAGGTATGCAATACTAGTCGCGCCATGACTTTCCTCGCTCATCAACTCGGAACCAAAACAACACTTATCCGATTAATGCCTTGGTGCTAATATACCTCGTTTCTGTCGATAGCCAACATCTCCGGATTACTTCGCCGAGACGACTGATACGCGAGTGATCCAATGTCGTGTTCTTCCAGCCGCGCGGCCAATGTACTGTCCGTGGCCATGGGCATCCCTTCGCGGTCCAAGAATTGTCTGACTGGACTTCCAGGACACAAAATCCGGACAGGAGCCTCGGAGTCGATCTCTAGTCGATCCTTCTCTTCCAGCAGCCAAGCCCACGCCTTGCCAGCAACCAGTCTCGGCAGATCGAGTCGCCCAACGAATGTGTCGACGTTATCAACCACCAGCAGGATACAGCACAGCGAGCCAACATGGGAGGCCTTCTTTACACATTCATGTAGCATGGACCCCAGGATATCCAGACCGTTCGCTTCGCCATCGCACACCTCACAGATCCGTCACCGACACAGCGCACCTCAGCGATCGTTTTCCGTTCAGGCATTCACGGACAAATCGGCTGCTACATCTATGGTCTCAGAAGGGATTCGGAACTGCTCGCAGAAGGAGGCCCTCTCACAGCAATCGATGCTCGGATCGCAACCCTGCATTGTCCTCGACAGCATTCATCGAGGCAAGAGAACTTCTGCCAGAGCTTACCTTCACCCGGACATCGCCTTCTCAGGATCTGCGCAACGAGTGGCCGCTCAAGAGTCGATCACCATTCCTATTTCGGTACCTGGCACTTCAGGATCTCAGGCACGGATTTCAGCCAGGAGCATATCATCTTGTTCAGTCTGGAATTGCCGCAACACTTCAAATAACCACATTGTGTCAAGGAGGTATTTGCACTCGACCCGCTCAAGGCGCTCATTCGCTCCCCAGGAAGGCCGACCCACGAACGGACTAAGCTATGAGGAGAGGCGTGCGATGATGACTGAGTTGCGAGAGAAGATGATCCTCAGGTCTTCTGTCCCTGTGCTGTGGGGTGTTTACACCAAGATCGTCCAGTCCCAACTCCTTCCTCAAGTCCAATCCGACGACATCATTGTTCTGTATCAAGTCTTAGCTCAGTCTCACCAGAGCGAGGAGGCGATGGAGATGATGCTCCAGGTGGCGCTGGATGTGAACGAGATCGGCAAGCAACTTCCTCAGGAACCATTCGAGATTCTGATGCGCCAGGCAACAGATCATATGCCTGCCGACCAGATCAAAGCTGCGACATGGCAGATCCAAGGGCGCCGGCGGTTTTTTTCGGAGCTCGTTCAGCTGTGTGACACGAACGCCGAGATGAGGAGAGTTCTGGGACTTTACAGCCAGCTTGTCAAATCTTCGTTCGATGTCGACGGATACTCGACCTACTTTCAGGGACGGACGAGTCGTGCCAAGAAGCTTGCCGTGGATGTGTTGAAGTGGGTCGAGGGTGAAGGGACCGCTCGCAATCGGCAAATCGTTGAGTACCTCCTAGTGTTTCTTCTGGATCGATCTCGACTCCACCAGGTCTTTGGCGCTTTGGGGACACTTTCGAAGGACGGTCTTGTCTTCAGTCATGGATTCTACACCACCGCCATTCACCGATTCGGACGCGATCAAAAGTTCGACTACATGAATTACACGCTCGACCTGATGAGGAGGCAGGGACTCAAACCACTGGAGGACACATACTCGGCCATCATCGACGCACATTCCAAGGCTGGAAACTTGCGGGAAGCTCAGCAGGCTTACCAGGAGGTCCTTGCGGCTGGCCTTGTTCCGACCAACAAGACTCTCGGTCCTATGCTAGAGGCGGTTGGAGCGATGGGCGAATACGACATGACAAGGCAGCTTGTGGGGCAGATGAACTCCAGCGGCGTCTCCTCGAACGAATATACCTTCAGCGCACTTCTCCAGAGTGTCTCGCTTGACTCCGCCAAAAGTGTCCAACTCTTTAACGAGCTTTCCAAGCAGATGGTGCCCAACACCGTCAACTACAACATTCTCATCCGCGCCTTCCAGCGTCAGAGCGATCTTGACGGTGCGTTTCGAGTGTTTCGGTCGATGGTAGCGGATGGCGTCCGGCCGGACAAGTTTACATTTTCCAGCATCCTCAGTCTCTTTGCCATCCGAGGAGATACGAATGGCGCCGAGGCCTTTTGGAACGAGATGGTCGGAGTCCATGGGGTCAAGCCTAACGCCTTTGCATACGGATCAATGATGCACGTCTATTGTACCGCGGAGGATATGCTGAGCGCCCAGACCGTCTACAGGGAGATGATCCAGTCGAGCATCATGCCGAACGAGGTCATTTTCGGAACCTTGCTCAACGCTTACGCCCGACATGGAGACCTAACTCAGATGCTGTCCATCTACGACGCCATGCGCTCGGAGGATCTTAAGCCCAACAGCTACATCTACTCTAATCTCCTGTTCGGCTTGGTCAAGGACGGCGACATGCCTGCAGCTCAACGACTTTACGACACGATGGTGGAGGACGGATTCGGCCACAATGTCCTAGCGCAGACGATCCTGATGAAGGGATATCTTGATCATGGAGGCTTCCAGGAATCCCAGGCAATTTACAAGAACATGATCCGCTCAGGTCTGATACCCAACTTTATGACCTACGCCGCTCTGCTCCAAGCCCACACCAAACGAGGCGAGATCCGCGAGGGCCGTGATTTCCTGAACAAGATCCTCAAGAGTCGTGGTCTGGTTGTTGTCGGAGACGAGGAGGATGAGTCTATGGAGAGCGAGGAACTGAAGCAGCTCGGGATTAACAAGAGTCATGACCGAGCAAGTGCGAGCTCACCCGACTCTTTTGACCGGGACTTTGTGTCAGACCAGGTCCAGGAGGGCCACTTGTCGACCATCGGAACCGAACGGAAGCCTCTCAAGGTGTCTGCCCGGCCCAACCCTTTGATGACCTTCACGCCGCTGCTCGATGCCTATGCCAAGGAGGGCAACTTTGTGGCTACCAAGGCCATGTTTGACGAAATCAAAGCCCGCGGACTGGAGCCCAACACAGTCACCTTCACGATCCTGATGGACTCTTACCGTCGCGCCGGCGATGCCGAGAATGTGCTGAGCATTTGGAACGAGCTGTTTGATCGGTTCCTTAGCAAGTGGCGATCTGTCCAGAGCCACTCAGATCATACCGCTCCCGCCAAGGCAGTGAATTTTGAATGGATCGGCGATCGTCTGTCGACCAAGGCCTCCAAGCTTCAAGGGATCCTGCAGCGACCGGTTTCGATTGTTCTCGACTCGCTCTCCTACTCTGGAAGGATCCAGGAAGCCAAGGCGATCTGGAAGCAGCTCGAGGAAGCTGGATTCCAGTTTGATTCCTCCAACTGGAATGACTACTGTATTGCTTTGGCCAGGAACGGTCTCTTGCTGGATTCGCTCGAGATTGTCCAGGACAAGTTGCTCCCTGGATATATTGCCGCGGAATCAAGGCAGTCTGGCGCAGACTCGTCTTCAACCAAGACCCTGGACGCGATCTCCTTGGATTCTCGGAGTGGAGGAGGTTCTTCTAGAGCCATGGAGGTCTCTGGCTCGTCAGTCTCCAAGCGTGGGGCTCCTCTGGAATCGATTCCCGCCGCCGATGAGTCTACCATACCCAAGCTTGGTGCAACCCTGCTCTACCCTCGACCCAGGACGTTCGCAGCGTTGGCAGACAGTCTAGAGGACCTCCTGTCGTTGGAGGGCGTCCACACGAAGCAGCTGTCGGGTTCGCCTTCTGACCGCCAGGACACCACCAACTCGTCGGCAGTTGAGTCTGAATCCCGAGCTACGGATACCACCTCCGACTCTCAGCACAATAATGTGCGAAGGAAACTCGTCGAGGACAAGCTGCAGCCCTACCCGCACCCATTCGAGAACCTGGAGGGGCACCACCGCCAGATCTTGTGGGACATAATCCAGAAAGATTACTCGCGTGTTCTGGAGGCCCTTGCCGGGGGTATGCTTGTGGTGACTGGTCCTCAAGCCATCATGCGATCAACTTTTGCCACCTCTGCTGGTTCTGGTTTCAGCAAGGATGTCCTTGCCGATCCAACCGATTCTACCAAGAGAGAGGCCAAGTTTGCCGGGTTCCGCCCATGGCGCCGCCTCAAGTTTGTGATGAAGGATATGGAGCGCCAAAAGTTTATCCAGGAGCGGGAGGAGTACTATGAACTCTTGCGCAAGCGCAAACCCACTTAGTGGCCGAGAGAGGAGGAAAGAGGAGTAGTTTCGATTTTTTTTCACATTTTTTTTTTTAATCCCCCACCCATTGTACCATATCCATCCTTGTAGACATTGCTTTTCTGATAGACAAAAAAAAAAAACTCTTTCTCATTTTGTTTTCATTTTCTCATTCCGCAATACATTTCCGCATTTTCTTGCCATTTTGCCTATTCGATTACATTAACTGTCCGCTCTTGGGTATTTTTCCTGTTATGTTTCTGCTTTACATTTTTTGCAATAGGACTTTTTTTTTTATGATGTGAAAAAATTGTAACAAAGGGAGTAGATGAAAGAAGACTAATAGACATGTCCAGGTCTGGCAAACCCTCCAGTTCCAACGCCAGCAGACCCAGCATTCGACAACCCAATACCTCCTAATCCAAACCCTCCACCACCACCACCAATACGACGAACCCTCGCAGGCTGACCTCTAGAAGCGTTCACGACCTCATCCGGGTTCCCACCAAAGATCTGACGCCAAGTCCGCTGGACATGGTACACCAGACTCCGTTGTCCGACGAGCGTCAACAGGATGGTTCCGAATCCCCAGAAGAAGCCGTGGATAAAGGGCATGATGATGATGTCCCGGAGGGTCATCACCGTTACTCTTGCAGCGATCGAGGGGACTCTCTTTCCTCCTTGCTGTGTCTGTTGTAATGCTCCTGATGTTGGCTTCTTTTCGTCCGTGGTGGATGCGTCGAGGGTAGTAGTAGAGGTGGAGCCAGCAGCAGCGAGGGCAGACTCATTGGCGTGGGCCTCATAGATCTGATTCAGGGCCTTGCGATAATTGTTGTCGAACCTCAAGTCTGGGATGGGAGGCGCCTGAGCCAGCAGGTGAGATGCGGAATCCGAGAACCGTCTTTTTCTGCTCCCGCTCTTCTTGCGTCCTCGACCAACACCTTTCTTCTCGTTGTCAGAGTCCTCACTGTCGTTGTCAGAGTCCTCGCCGTGGAATGCTGCTGTTCCTGAAGAGTGTTTGGACTTTGACGACGACGACTTGCTCTCCTTGGTGCTGCGGGTGTGTCCAAAGCCTGAGGAGCGTAAGGCCTCACGGGACTTAGTAGTAGCAGAAGAAGTCGTTGTCGTAGTCGTTGTTGTTGCGGTCAAAGACTCGGTTCTTGCTGTTGCAGCAGAGTTGCTCAGACGGGTGTGGGGTCGGGAGAGGAATGGAGGGGTCGAGACATTGTCACTGTCGCTGTCGCTGTTGTTGGCGTGATTGTTGTGGGATGCATCCCGGGGATGCGGTGTTGCATCGTGTCCAATACTGTCCGACATGGTCTTTTCCTTGGGTCTCTTTGGGTTGTGTTTGTTGAGTGTGTGAAATGAAAGAGGGGGGGGGGTGAACGAGAAAGCGTGCTTTCAGGGGTCCCCTTCCGCACCGTTGCGAGCACTACGTCACAAAAAATTTGGGAATATCACGTTTTGGGCGCGTCCGGTTCGCGTCTATGCACCAGGTACAGCGGCTACCTTTTAGAGCCAGTTGGAGAATCTGCAGTATGATTCCATTCTTCTCTACATGTTATATACCTGGAGACCACCCCAGCACCCAATATCACTCACAGCTACTGCTCGCGTTGCTGATATCTTTATTTCATTTCGAATCATCAAGAAAGAGAAATGTCCTGACATGTTAAAGAGATTCCTAAGGAGACTGCGTACGTCCAGGATCAACGCCTCCAATCTCACGACGTCCTGACCGCTGACCTGACAAGTTGGCGCCGCCACTGTAACCGTATTGATAGGTGTTGATAACCGTCTTTCCTGCATTCAGCACCTCCTCCGAGAACTCCACCTCCTATTCAATGAAAATTCGTAAATAGAAATAAAACTGTGAGAAACAGCAGATCTTGTGCCACAACGAACAAAAACACGATGTGTGAGAACTCTCAGGTCAGCAGGAGAAAAACGAACATGTTTGTCAGACAGCTTGGGTCCCAGAATCTAAACACCAACAAATGTAAGGATAGAAAGAGGGTGAAGTTAGCTACGAAACGTTGGCCCAAAAGTTCAGTCCCATGCCTAAATTCTGCGACACATTGTAGCCCATTGATGTTACCGGTATGTCGCAGCCGGCTTTTGCGGCATGCCGTGAAAGAGACCAGATGGCATCGACCACTTGTCCTGGGTTCTTGTTCTCATACAGGTCGATTGTCTGGAAAAGATCATGCTTCGGACATCCGAGCCTTTCGCAGCCCCCCAGGAACATGGCAATATTCTCCATCTAGCAAGAATAAGTACCACGAGTGGAGTGATTAGCCTTCTCAAGTTGCGCTTTTCTGTGTGAGACTCCCTGCAGCAGCCTAATCGACATTCGGAAAGTGTAAAGCGTATCATCCTGAAAAAATGTACCTGGACAAAGGGCATCTTGGAAGACTTTATCTTGACAAATCCTGGAATGAGTACATTCATCAACCTAGTTGCAGGCACAAAATGGTATCCGGTCAGGTTTGCAGTTCAAAATTGAACAAAGAAAAGCTCGTAACAGCCTCCCCGAATGGCACTCACTTGCAGAGGATGACTCCGTCCTTGAGCGACTGCTGGAACCCTTCATATGGGAAGGGCTCGCCAACAACAGTCTCAATCCATTGCCGTGCCTATCAGAACAACACGAAAGACAGTATGGGCCATGTTACCCTGTCATGTTTAGACTTTACTCATACACTTTGGAGATACCTCCCAATGCAAAACGTTAAAGACGGTTGATTACCTCTACTTCTCGACCAACATCGTACTTGGAGGCAAGCTTTGCGGCAATTTCTATGGAGTTCGGCCAAGAACAAGAAGCTCTAGTGAGTCGTTCGCTTCTTCCTCAAGTCGGAGTTGTCTGGTGTCTAAAAGGGAGAGTGCGCTGTCGTTGAGGAAACAAAGTAAAAAATACCTCTGTCGATTCCGAACTTTCTTTGGTCGCTCATGCTGAAGTGAATGTGAGTCTGTGTGTGGGTGTGTGTGTGTTGGTGAAATGTAAATGGAGAGAAGAATGCAATGAAAAGAGGGTTAAAAGTAAAAAAAGAAGACGCTTGTTTCCTTTTTGTGTGTCGTTTGTCAAGCACACTCCACGTGATGGATATGGAGCATTGGGCGTAGCATGCTTGGAAAAAGAGAAAGAAAAAAGTATATTGCAGTAGAATGTCTGTCTATGGTCATATGGGAATGCTGGTCATGGTAGATATCATAAATGAGAATGGGAGAGCCGTTTAAGCATCGTTCTGATGCAGGTAGGTAAGAACACTATGAAGATTAACAATGATAGTTAGCATCACTGAGACCGATACAGTTGAGCGGAACAATGGTTTCATCAGCCACTAGAAATTCTTACCTAGGGACGACAGAGCGCGACTTCAAAAGAACCTCGCGCCACTCCTCGTTCGCGTCGGACAGAATGGTCAAGGCCCCCCCTGCTCCAACAGAAAGTTCTAACAGCAAAAGGAGAAAGAAACGAGACGGTCAACCTCGATAATAGAGTCCGGATATTCAGTGCACATTGCGAAAATATAAAGAGGCGCAAGAACTTACCACCAACAAGCTGTATCTGCCCTTCCTTGTCCTCCTGTGGCTCAACAGACAGTACAGCAGTGCGGATCACAACCGCAAGATCAACTGCAGACCGCACTCTGGCCTTGGTCCCACTTCCGATCGAACGCTGGGATGGCGCGGCTACCGCAGGAATGCCAATGTATCCAAGGCAACCCGAATAGATACCGCGTCTAACATGGTGCTCGAGCGAATCCAACAATTGAACCGATCTGAGCTTAGGTGCCCCTGTCATCGATCCTGGTGGGAAGCATGCCTTCACTGCCTGGGTATTGTCGATGTGATCAAAAAGTTCGCCACGGACCGTTGTCACGAGCTGGTGGACTGTCTCGTAGGACTCGACCTGCATCAGGTAAGGGACCCGGACAGACTTGGCATTACAAACATGCGCCAAATCATTGCGAATCAAGTCCACGATCTATCACGCAAGGAAAGGGAATGAGGATCAGCCTCAAAAATTACAATGTAAAGCAAACATACTCCGCGCCGTCTTGAAAGGGTTGCTTACCATGAGGTTCTCGGCGCGCTCCTTGATGTTCTTTGACAACGAGTCTACCCGGCTCTGATCTTCACGCCGCCTGGCCTCCGCACATCGATCCCTGACCGTGTCATGTCTCTCTGGAGTGTACTCTTCATCTTCATCCTGCGTGTGATCAGCGCTATCTCCATCTTGCTCCTCAACTCCACATCCCTCGTCTTCCTTGCAGAAACAACCCTTAGCCACCGCAACAGTTCCCTTAATGGGCTTCATCTCCACCGTCCTTGATGTATCGTCGGTCGTCTCCTCATCTCCTGGCCTCTTTCCAATCTTCAAAAACCGCTCTGGCGAAGACGAGAGAATGATCAATTTGCTGACCAACTCGTCTTCAGCGTCTGGTACCCGGCCGTGACGATATCCTTGAGTTAGAACCGGTTCATCGGCCGCTGTGGGTAAGCTCAGGAAAGCCGAGAATGGAGCAGGGTTGAGTTTCCGCAGGATCCTGTATAAATCAAATGCTGGGTCTCCATGAACGTGCTGGTCCTTGTCCTGTAGTTGTTGGTATAATGGCACTTTAGCCCGGAACTGAGTTGTCAGACACAACTCGTAGCTCTCGCCCTCGTGAATGTAGTCAAGACTGTCCTGGATCGCACGAAGATAGTCCTTTTCCGTGACATCCACCTTGAAGGGCGACAACAAACCTGCTGAGGACTGGCGACGATGGCGTTGCTTGACCAGATAGGGCTCGCTCTTTCCTGCGTGGGAGAGAGATCCTGCGAGAGTCGAATTCCTTCGGTTGAAAGCGGGTTGGTTATCCGATGCAATATGAGCGATCGACCGACTCACATCCTGAACCCAGTTGCGGCAACCCTCCCAGCTTTCAAACCCAACAGATCCACCAACGCCGTGGAGAATCCTGCCAGGCTGGTTATTCACGACACCCAAGACGTACACTCGCTTGTCGACATGGTCGAACACGACTGCTTGAGTGGCCAGCACAAAGGAGGCATCAGGTTGCTTAACACAATCACAGCTGCATGGGGTTTCGACATCTGTGTGACCGAGGCATCGGCATTCCTGCTCCACAGGGGTGTGGTAACCCTCTAGACTCTCTCGCTTCATCTCGTATCCGAGGTAGCCCACCATGCCCGCAAAAAAGTCGAAAGGCACCGAGTCAAAGTCGCACTGCTCGCCATTAGGACCTTCAACCGAAGTCTCGACGTTGTCCTTGCCAAGCTCGCTCATCACGTTGGACATCCAGTCCCAGAATGTTCCTGATGATCCGTCGTCCAATTTGACACGCTTTGGTGATTCTGGTGTCTGGTCCTGGTATCGACGTACAAAGACCTCCTTGTGAATTGTTGAGTACTGGATGACTGCCTGTACTGATCCAGGGATGAGAGAATTCTGTCTATGAGCGCTCCTTGTCTCAACGCCTCCCATAAATGAGAAGCGAGCCATTGGGTGAGGTTGACGAGCGCTGTCGAGCCACCATGAGGCTGCCTTGGAACGAGGTCCTGTCAGGAACAAGGACGAGAAAACCTTTTCTGGTTCAGGGAAGATGCTGGGATCCAATGCGCGAATGAGAAGACTGAATGGGCTCGACCGCTGCTTTAGATTGTGATGTGGCGATGGAATGGTACGGGTGACAATCGGTTCCGTCGGTACGACCGAGAGTCGATGGATATAGTCGGGGATGGTGAGTGAGTTGTTGAGTCGATCCTGATCGGCATAAAACTCAGTCGAGATGCGGAAAAAGTTGGTCATCATGCGTTTGCCGAACTGGGTGCAGATCGACTCTGGGTGGAACTGAACTCCATGATGAGGGAGTGTCTTGTGTCGAAGCCCCATGAGGACCTTGGATCCGAAGGCTCTGTCAGTGTTGGAGATGTGCACTGAGCCACTGGATAGGTTATCTGCGGCGATCAAGGGGAAGCTATGACACCAGGCAGTGGCGACAAGAGTGTCGGGCAGATCGTTTTCCTGGACAACCAAGGAGTGGTAACGGACGGCTTCAAATCCCTGGGGGATTCCTTGAAAGATTCCCTTGCTGTCGTGTTTGATGTGGGCGATCTGTCCGTGCACTGGCTCTGGTCCGTAGGTGACTGCCGCACCATGGGTCCAACCGATGCCCTGGTGTCCGAGACATACACCAAAGACTGGGATGTGAGAGGTTTGGAGGATATGAGTACAGATACCAAAGTCCTAGATATCGCGACATTGTGTATGAATAAAGTCAATGTGAGCATGGGGGAACTGAATTAGACGCGATATGCTGTGACTCATCCCCAACGAGAATGAAGGGAAAATCGCAATTGCGAAAGGGATATGAAAGTGAAATGAAGGTGTGTGAAGGGACAATTGACAGCCCAGTAGCAAAAAAAAAAAAAAAGGGAGGGAGGAGGTCAACGGAACCTTGTTGGGATATGGTTGAATAAAAAAAAAGAGAAAGTTGCGGCGGACAGAGTTCAGAATTGTCCGTGTGTTTGTAGCACCTGCACAGTACATTTTGCACACTGAATCGTTGGATCGAAGGTTCGTTTGACAATGCTGCTGATAACCCACAATACCTGAGCACGTTCGGGACGCCCTGGACCCGGGGAAAGGATGATCTGGTCAAAGTACGGCAGGATCTCCTGTTCAAATACAGGCCTAGATAGGGAGAGATGTGAACGGCATAGGATTAGAAATTAGATTGAGTTGCCATGGACCATGCAGGGGGAAAGGCAACAGAACAGGGGATTGATCAATCTCGGACAGACCAAGGACGGGGATAACTGTATGAAAAAGTACATACCATTCGAACTGATCGTTGCGGATAACGACAACGTTCTTAAGCTGGTCCTCGTCAAAGAGCTGGAGGAGGTTGAAGGTGTACGAGTCGTAGTTGTCGACGATCAAGGTGCGGAGGGGGAGTAAAGTCGGATTATCCGTTGCTGTCGTTGTGGTTGTCGTTGAAGCAGCCACAGCTGCTGTGTTTGTGTCGATGTCCATGCTCCTGTCGACGGTGGGAGAGATGGGTGACCCTACTACTGGGGTCGGCATGACAGTCTGAGGTTTGAGTGGTGTGAGTTGAGGAAATGAGAATGTAGGAGTGTGCTAATGAATCGAGTGAGTGAATGAGGAATGCAAGAAAGAGAAGACGGAAAAGAACAAGAAAAACGGTGGGTTGTGTGAGGAGTGAGAGGAGGAGAAGCGCAAGAGCAAGAAGGAAGGAAAGAAAAAAAAAAAAAAAAAAGAACAGATAAAAAGAACGTTCAAAGAGAAGAAAAAAAAAATTGTCAGAGTTAGTGTTGCCAACAACTCCTTTCTCCCTTCAATGCTCTTTTATCCGCACCTTTGGCTCTCCCCTCACTCTTTCTTCTCTGACACCCAAGAAGCAGCAACACCATTGCAAATAGTTTATCCTGTCCAAACGGGGTCGCAAAAAGATAAAAAAAACTGCCTTAAAGGAGTCCCAAGGAGACCTTTGATTCAACAAAGAGCTCCTCCTGGCTCTCGAAAAGAAAAAACATTCGCACCCTTAGGTGCAAAAAGTTATTATGACCTATGCAGGGCTCGAACCTGCAATCTCCTGATTCGTAGTCAGACGCCTTTCCATTGGGCCAATAGGCCAGCCAGCAGACCAAGCCAATAGGCTGGGCCAGTAGACTTGCATTTTTGCTATCCAGTTTCTTTAGTGCTATTTATACTATCGGTATGAGATTCACGTGATATATCACGTGGGCATATTCGACGTCATTGGCGCCGTAAAAATGGGCTTTAAAAGCGAGAGACTCTACAATTGTGCAATCTCCAACTCCTTCTTTACCATTTTTCTCAAATGACTCGCCAGACCACACTTTTTGTCTCGTAAGGATAACAATATACTCATTGGTTGTCTTGGTTCTGCATCGATGAAGATGGACGAAACATTCGAGCAAATGTGCCTGAGAAAAAAAATGTTCTCGGCTGACCGTTGCAACCATTTTGTTTCTCCATGTGCTTTCCTTGCATTTTCTGTCTTATAGGGGATTCTCCACTCGCACTCGTGCCAGAGATCTTGCCTACGAGTTTGAGAGGTAAGTTTACGTAGACCTGTTTTTTGTCCAGGTTGCATAACCTGTTTGCATCCGTGCTGTCAAACTCTATATCATGTTCTAATATATCCGTGGCTTCTTGGCACAAATTAGATATGGACCTCTCATTCGCTGCGATATTCCCGCCCCTCGCAACAGCTCGTCGAAGCCGTAAGTTATCGACAATAGGACAAAGAATGCGTTTTTTTTCTCGGGATAGGATCTTTTGTTATTTCAGACAGGAGGGGGAAGTGCTGAAGCAGGATGGAACAGCATGCACACCTGTATATTTTCGCCACAGCGACAGTCACCAAAAAAAAAAAGCAAGGGCCTCTCTACTTTCCCAACGTCTTTTTTTGCTTCCCTGTTTGTGTTTATGGACATACTACTTCAGGACCGCGCACGGATATGCGCCATCGCCAACCTTTTATTTCAATCTACTATTCTGGATCTTAGAAACACAAGGAAAGCGAGGAGGCGAGGATGTCTAGTCTATGCGTGATGCTATGCTAACATTCAAAACCATATCAAATAACAAATATTCTCGCCAACAAAAAAGATAAATGTCGATCGGTCGATACGGGAAACGCAAAGAGTGAACCACGACACCTCTTCACACCGATCCACGAACCTAATCCTCCACTTCCCGTCGGATTCGTAACGGAACGACAAGATGAAGACGTCTCCCATCCCTCCTCCTCTGCCAACCCATCACGATTGTCTTGTCTCGGACCTGCGTTACTGAAATCGACTCCCTCTCTCTCTCTCTTGCTTCCTCCCTACTCGCATGTCGTTTTCCACGATCCTGCCCCCAACCTTATCATTGCGCCTTTTGCAATATTTGGCCTAATTATTTATTTCAAACTGGACGCATGCTTGTTTTCTTCCCATCATACTTACGCTTTTTTTTTGTATGACCATGGGTTGGACGCCGCAGATATGCCTTTGTGGAGTTTGAGGATGATAGGGATGCTCGCGAGGCCTACTATGAAATGAGAGATGCTCGTTTCGAAGGCTATCGCCTTGATGTCCAAGTAGGTGAACAATCAAAATATCCGACACTCTTGAATGATCCAGACTTTATTTGACGAGCAACTATCTTACCTGTTCACTCTCCTTGTCTTGTCTCGTAGTTCGCAAAGAACACACCCAGTGCATCCTGGAGATATGAGGCAGGTGGTTCACGACGCCGTTCCAGATCTCCTCGTCGCGGTCGCTCTCCTCCTCGCCGCCGTCGCTCTCCTTCCCCACCTCGTCGCCGCCGCTCTCCCAGCCCTCGTGGACGAAGCCCAAGCCCCCGCGGCCGTCGTCCTCGTTCGCTCAGCCCTGCAGGTGACCGTCGCCGTAGATCTGCCTCTCGCTCTCCTGTCCGTGCCAACCAAGATCGCCAAGCTGCCCGCGAGGAGGATGTCAACATGTCACCTGCACGCGGTTCTCGCTCACCTGCACGCCGCCGTTCCTCCAAGGATGAGCGTGCTATTGACAGCGGTCGTTCCATGTCTCCTCGTCCCCGTTCAGACTCTCCTCGCCACCGCTCCATCTCTCCTCGTGCTCGCTCCATCTCTCCCGGAGACCGCTCCATGACCCCTTGAGCAAACTGGGATTAAAGACTGATCCATGTAGCTAGGGTATATTCTCAAAAACATCAACACCATTAAAAACTTTTTACCATGAGTAGGTTGTTCAAGAGTTGTTATTACAAAATTCTATGGGGGTTGGTCTCTCTGACCCAGCGGAGAATATATGGATTGGATGACTATCTAATGCTAAAGGTGTGGAATGATGGTTACTTTAAGCAGCGGTCTTCTTGACCAAGAAGGACACAAGGTCGACCTTGGTGATGACGGCCTTGACCTTGGAACCCCCCCGCTCGGTGACAACACCGGCCGAGTTCTTCTCAAAGAAACCAGTCAAGTCCTCCAAGAGGCTCTCGTCGGTGATCTCGGTAAAGTGGGTGCCAACCTTCTGGAACTTGAACATGACATCCTTGACCTGGCCATCGACCTGGACGCGACCAGCTGCGATCCTGGAGAGCAAGTTTCCGAGAGTGACCAAACCAACCAAGCGACCGTTCCTGGACGAGACAACGGGGAGCTGATCGAATCCGTTGCGCTCCATCAAGAGGATGGCCTCACGGCAGCGCGAGGTGTTGGTAACGGTGACGGCGGCCTTGAGGTGGAGGCTTCCAACGGTGGCTCCGCCCCACTGGAGGTGCTTGGTCTCTTGTTCGATGACCATGGTCTGGTCGGTGAAGCCGTTCTCCTGCATCCATCCGTCGTTCAAGAACTTGGTCATGTAGTTACGGACAGAGTCGGGCAAGAGGACAACGCAGCGCTTGCCGGGCCCCAACTCCTTGGCAGCCTCGACAGCAGCAGCCATAGCAGTTCCGGACGAACCTCCGCAAAGAATACCCTCCTCGCGGATCATACGGCGGGCCATGATGAACGAAGCCTTGTCCTCGCTCTTGATCCACTTGTCAATCAAGTTGCGCTCCAAAGCCTCGGGGATGAAGTCGTAACCGATACCCTCGACCTTGTAACCCTCAGTTGAGGCGTTGAGCGACTCGGGTTGAGCCAAGATCGATCCATGGGGGTCAACACCAACAATCTAGTGGGCGGTGAAATTTGAGCATAAGAAAAAACAAGGGTAAGTAAACAAAAGGCATGATCCAATTTTCCATTTGTTTTGTGTGCTCGTGTTACTTTGTTCTCGTGTTACTTCGAGGGAAAATAGGGGAGGAAAAAACATTTGATACGTTGTCGAGAGTACTTACAATGATGTTGGGGCAGAGAGCCTTGAGCTTTCTGGCAATTCCAGTGATGGTACCACCAGTTCCAGCACCAGCAACGAACATATCAATCTGACCGTTGCAGGATCTGTAGATCTCTTCAGCAGTGTGATCGTAGTGGGTGACGGGGTTGTAGGGGTTGGCGTACTGGTCCAAGATGACAGAGTCGGCAATCTCGGCGTTCAAGCGCTTGGCAACTCCAATGTGCGACTCGGGGGCATCCCAGGCAGCCTCAGTGGGGGTACGAACGATCTCAGCGCCCAAAGCCTTCAAAACATCGACCTTCTCCTGGGACATCTTCTCGGGAAGAGTGATGATGGTGCGGTAACCCTTGACAGCGGCAGCCAAAGCAAGACCGATACCTACAAGGGTCCATTGAATAAAAACCGATGGGACCTGGGGTCAGTTATTTTGTAACGAGCGAGAGGGGAGCAGTGCCTGTAAAAATAGAAGCTAGAAAACATGCATGAGAACCGCGCTGGGAACCAAAACAAACAAGTAGGAAAAATATATTACCAGTGTTTCCGGAGGTGGGCTCGATGATGGTGCATCCAGGCTTCAAGCGGCCGTCCTTTTCGGCCTCCTCAATCATGCGCTTTCCAATGCGATCCTTGACGGAACCGCCAGCATTGAAGTACTCGCACTTGGCCACTATTAGATGCAAGACAAAATTACGAAGATAGGCATGAGTTTCTTTGAACAAAGAGGCGGTATTCCAAAAGAAGCAAAGTGTTGAAGAGAGACCCTCAGGTCAGGTACATGCACAGGCACGTACAAAGCTCGCACTGGAGACCCTCCGACTTTGCGATCTTGTTGATGCGGACCAAGGGGGTGTTTCCGATGTGGTCCAAGATGGTATCGAGAATGACAGGCTCAGGGAGGCTATCGTTGTTCGTTGGAAGAGGGACGTCCGTTATTAGCACGTCTTCAAACAGAAAAGTGGTGAGCTAGTTTCAAGGAACGCCGTTTGTACTTTTTGTTATTGAGCTGTGAAAAGAAAACGATGCATCAGGGGGGTGTGAACATACTGCTCTTCATGTCTGTGGCTTCCGACCTGGGAGCAGCCGTTGTAAGTGCAGTTGGCGGACATTGTGGTGGGTGATGAGGAGGAGGAGGAGGAGTTGGGGGAGAGAGGGGATGAACAAAGAGAAAACAATGAAAAAATAAATAAAGACAGGTCCTTTTTTGGGCTCCACTATTTTTCTCACGGGGTGAAGCGCATGCGATGGAATGCCCTACTCGTCACATGTTGAAATGATGGCAAACCTGCCCATCCTGCCCATCCTGCCCTGAAGTCCATTTTCTACTGAGCTGTTTGCTCTTTCTTTGCTCTCGCCCATGCCTCCAACAATCAAAGTCCACGGTTGACTCCAAAACGCAACAGGCAATCCATTGCAAGAGATGATATCGCGACGACCACAGCGGCCTTGTCTTGTCATAGGGTACATTTCTGCTTCAACACAGCAGGGTACGAGTGTGATTGAGTACGAGGGGTGATTGGTTGGGATAGATTGATAGATTATTCCCTTTGGCTCCTTGTTGGCTGTTTCAAAGACCACTCCCCCTGGTTTGTCGCTGAGGAGTGAGGTCCACTGGAAACCGAGGAGAAAAGAAAAGAAAAGAATGAATGAATGAATGAAAACCTTTTTTTGAACGATGAGAGCCTGGCCTCTCCTAAGCACAACGTTGTTTTTTTGGGTGAATTATCTTAAAATAAGAAAAGAGAGAGGCGAGCATGGCCTTTTCTTCTGACTGCACATCGTTCGAGCAAGGTCGGCACGAGCATAGCTCGAGGGTGCAAAGAAGGAACAAAGGTAGAGAAGGAATTAGCAGTGTATCGACCGAGAGAGAAGGAGAGGAGAGAAGGAGGCCCGCATGTGTCTATCACCCTGAGGTAAGGCAAGGCAAAGGGCAAAAGGGTGTGTATTTGTGTGAAATCTGTTCCATCAAACTGCCTTTTTCATCTCTGTTCTGTTCCACCTTCATATCATATCTCCTTTGCTGCTCTTTCTTTCTTTCTTTCTTCCTTTCTTTTGCCTTCTGCGTCTTTGCTCCTCTTCCTCCTCCTCCTCCTGCTTTTCTCTTCTTGTTCCCCCTCCTTCACTCTTCTTCTTCTTCTTCTTCCTCCTGCTCCACCTCTGCTTTCATATCCGCAGCCTCTTTCTTATTCTTTCCTTCTCCTTCACCTTCTCCTTCTCCTTCACCCCTACTCTCCTCCCTTTCTCTCCCTCCCTTTCTTTCTCTCCCTCAACTCATACAACCTCCAGAGAAGAAGACCACTCCACATCATTCATCACACCCAAGGAACACCACTCACTCATCTCGCCCCATCCATTCGAGCAACCCCTTGACCATGGACAAGATTCTTCACTTGGGCAAGAAGAGATCTGCCAAGCAATCGCCGCCCATCTCCATCTCTTCCCCTACCCCGAGTCCAGCCTCTCCTTTCTACCCTTCCTCCAACGTCGCCTTTGTGCCCCAGACATCATACCAGCCAAGGGCCAGCGTCAACCTCACCCCCGCCGAGGCTAGTGTCTACTCCGGCAGCACCTACGCCAACTCGAGCAACGGCAGCATCTACAATGGCAGTGCTGGAAACGGTGGCGGTAACGGAGGAGGTAGCAGCAGTAACAGCAACAGCGGCGGTCATGGATATCAATCGCATTCGGGCGATTACTCGCCTTCGTCGCCGCCTCTTTCTGCTCACAGAGCAAACTCCAACCATTACTCGGCCTCCTCCAGCCCTTACTTTGGCTCGGTCTCGGCCGCTACTGCTAATGTGATTGCCAGCTTTACGTCAGGACACCACCGAGCATCTTCCAGCCAGGACCGACCAACATCGCCCAATAACTTTGACACGCAGTCAGTGCGCTCCTTCAGGACTTCGACGTCTGGCACAGCCAGCGAAGCTGGTCGAGCCGAGGCCCTTTCCACGACTCGTCCTCGTTCAGACCAGGAGATTGAGGATCGCTTTGTTGACGTTATTGTAGGTGCCTATGACTTCTCGATAGTTATCAGCTATTATGTGGGACTTGGCGCATACATGGACGGATTCTTTCGTTTCGTTTCGTTTATGCTGTCGCAGCAAAGTGGATATGAACAGTGGACAACAGAATGGCCGAGGAGCAAGGAACAGCGACAACAACAGAAATTATAGCAAATGATGATGGTCTAAATGCCGTAGTTATTTTATTTATTGGGCTGGCTGGCTTGCTTACTATCTTCATGTACGATGAACTAATGCGCTTTCAATTACGGTTTTATTTTCGTTTCACTCATAGAACAACATGGGTATGCACGAGCCAGAAAAGCGAGCAGCAATGTCAAAACTGTCTCTGGCGAACAAGTGGCAACTCATCTTATCGCACGAGTCGCGGGAACAGAGCGAGGTGAGAAGCAGTTTGGTGTATAAATGCTTGCGCCAACTGTGCGATATCAACAGTACAACAATTCAGGGGAGCAACAGAAATGACCGTTAATTAGCCCTTTTCCTCTCCGTGCTAATCTTGATTATTATTATTTTTTGTTTTCTGTCCACTTTTTAGGCCCGGAAGCGCGTGGAAGGATTTATTGACAAAACCTCACCAGAGTACTATGTGCGAAAGCTACAATCGGATGCTGATCTCAGGAATATGGACATCAAAGTGCTTATCGCCCTTCATGTCTCACTAAAGTCCCAGCCAATATCGTATGTTTGGTTGGATGCGAGTTATCGGATAGTATTGTATTCATCGCCACCCGCATATATGTCGTATTAATGAATATCTTCGATACTCGTTTGTTTATAGGTGGGTTCGCATCTTTATCCAGAATCGCGGTCAACAAATTCTCTCCAGCTCATTGGCAACCCTCAATCATCGTCCGTCAAGGTACTGTTTGTTATTACACGTCTATAAACTACATAAGAGCCGTTGTTATCCGTCATCTTAGGAAGAACAACAGAGTCAGTTGACACCTCTCTTTGACCCCAACTTCTATGTAATAGACGAGATACGGATTTGGCAATGGAACATGAGATTGTCAAGTGCTTGAAGACATTGCTCAACAACAGATGGGGCGCACAGGAAGCCATCAAGCACCCACGTTGCATTTCGGCACTCTGTTTCTCCATCACATCCCCTCAACTCCAGACGAGAAAGTTGGTCGTCGAGGTGCTGACCTTCTTGTGTTACTGTGAGGTCCCCATGGGTCACAAGCTCGTCCTGGAAGGTCTGGATGAGGTTCAAGAGTACTGGAAGGAGAGTGCGCGCTTTGATGCATGGATGCGTATTCTGGAGAACACCATCGACGGACGCGGCCGTTTCGGAACCATGGTTGGCATGAGCGAGGAACTGAAGAAGTCGGGCACACTGGACAGTCATTTGATCGAATACGTGGTAAGTATCATTTTCTATGTGTTATGTTACGCGTATGGTACGCCGAAAGGTTTAAGCTCTTTAGTAACCATTGTTTTCATTCTTATTCTGCTTTCTAGCTGTCGAATGTGATCTTTATCAATGCACTGTTGCAAGTTGTGGATGACATTGAGCTGAGAATCCACCTCCGAAGCCAACTTACGACCAGTGGATTGACCCGAATCATTTCTGTAAGTTATCAGAGAAGTTCATGTTACTCCATTGCTTTTGCACGTTTCAGTCTCGGAATATGCGCTGACATTATGCACCATTCTATGCTAACGTGTAAATAGAAAATGAGGAGTCTTGGTCATGACCTGATCGACATGCAGTTGAACATTTACGAGGATGAGGCGGAGAACGACTATGACGACATGGTCGAGTTCTACAACCACCAGATCTTGCATGATATGTCCGACCCTTACGATGTGTTCCATGCGCTACTCCGTTCCGTCGAAAGCAGCAGGGCATACGACTTTTTCTTATCGCTGCTACAGCATATGCTGCTGATTCGTGAGGAGGGTGACCTAAGGTACAACGGCGTTTCAGTGTTCGTCGTCAGTGCGTAGGATTTCATTGTGCTAAGCGCCTGGTATTAATTCGGCGTGTTGATGTTCCTCTTGTAATATAGGATTCGGTATTTCCAGCTTATGGATGCGATCGTAACTCAAGTTGTCCTTGATCGACGTGGCATTACTGACAACTTTGAGCAAAAGATTGGAATCTCTGTCAACCAGCTCGTGGGCAAACTCGTGGACCAGGATCGTTTGAATGTCGCGCTCGATGACGCCAAACAGGCACGACAGGAGCTGGACAATGTTCTTAAGCAGAAGAAGCAGCTAGAGCAGGAGTCTGGACAACGAGATGGTATGGTATCGAACTGAAAGTTAAACCATCTACTGAGTTCTGTGTCCAGCAGCGCACACCAATCTTACAAAGATCTTTTCTTTGATTTCATAGATGGCTTGGTTTCCCAACTGAGAGCCAATATTTATTCGCTGGAGGATCTCTTGCGGCTCTCTCGGCATACCATCCAGACACTTCAGGCCAAGTTGAACGAGGTTGAGAACGCGACACAAACCAAGATTGATGCACAGGACTCTCAACTGAGATATTTGACCAAATCTTTGGAGGATGCCAACACCCAGATGCAGGAAGCTGGCATGCAGACCGGAGTCTCGATTGGCACTGGCCAACAAACTGGCTACGGCAATGGCTACGGCAACGGATATGGCAACAACCATATGGGGGGTCAAGCCCCGCCGCCTGTTCACTATCCTATGCCCACGATCGACAAGGAAAAGATCCGACGCCTCATGGAAGAGACCCGGCTGGAAGGCCAGAAGAGAGCCGGTCGCGTGCCTCCTCCACCTCCATTGCAGCTGCCTGACTCCAATGTCAACAACAACAACAACAACAGCAGCAATAACAACAATGTTCAGGATCAAAAGGGCGCATATTTTCACCCTAGCGAGCCTTCTGCTCACGAGGAGATGGGTTCACACGGATACAATAACCAGCCAGCCATTCTGGAGGAGATGGGTTCAAACAGCCATGGCGACCAGCCTTCTGGAAAGGGCCATTCTGGAATCAGACACGCGGGGGATGGCGACCAGCCTGATTACATTGCCGATTACATTGGTGACGGTAAGTTAATGTGGAAGATACGACGTTCACCATACTAGGAAAAAAAACGACACCCGTGCTTATACCTTCCGCAACCATTTATATTGACCTCATTAGGTGACGATGATGAAGAACTAGCAATACTGGACACAACAGCAGCTGGAGTACCACCGCCAGCGCCGCCACCACCTCCAATGGGAGGAGCTCCACCACCACCACCTCCGCCGCCTTCGACAGGCGTGCCTCCTCCTCCTCCTCCACCCACTGGCGGAGCGCCGCCACCACCACCTCCGCCCTCTGGTGGACCTCCACCTCCTCCCCCACCACCTTTTGGAGGACCGCCACCTCCTCCTCCTCCACCAGGCATGATGGGCCCACCTCTCTCACCGCCTGGTTCAGCTACTTTGGGCAGTATGATTAACGCGATGAACAAGGCCAACGCAGCCAAGTTTGGTGGCAACAACTCCGACTCTGATGATGAACCTGCACCTGGAAGTTTCGCCGCATTGTTAGCCGCCAAGAAGAAGAAACTTGGAACTGGCGCTGCTCTGGACGCTAAGCCAAAGCCACCTCCAGCACCTGCCCCACCCATGGCCGGTGGCCCACCACCACCTCCTCCTCCTCCACCTGGCATGGGTGGCCCGCCACCTCCACCTCCACCACCAGGCGGCATGGGAGGCCCACCACCCCCTCCTGGTGCACCTATGATGGGCATGATGATGAACGCGAACAGGAAGAAGGAAGCCGCCATGGCTGGGGTCAAGCTGAAGACACTTCAATGGGACAAGCTTAACTACATGGCTGTCGGAAACACTGTTTGGGGCTCTGGTGGAGTGGACGAAGATGCGCTTCAGCGTGCTTTGGGCGATAGCGGTATCTTTGGAAGCATGGAGCAGCTGTTCGTGGCCAAGGTTGCTGAGTACAGGGATCCTCGTCCCGCCAGGAAGGCACGAGAGATCCTTATCCTGGAGCAGCGCCGTGCCCATCAAATCAACCTCATGTTGGGAGGAATGAAGCACACGAACCCAGAAATCCGTCACGCTATTTACCGTATGGACGAGGAGTTCTTGACCTTGGTGCAGTTGACCAACTTGCTCAAATACGTGCCCGACGCTGAAGAGGTATAACAAGCTCAATCATATTCATTTGTTGCTATAGCCTATCCGTTTTGATTGCTGGGCTGAATAACTAACCATTGTTTCTTGTTTGGATTGATAGAGAGGTAAACTTCTGGAGTACAAGGATGCATCGGACGACGTGAAGGTGCAACTGGGCAGAGCTGAGGCCTTCTTTGTCGAAATTTTGACGGTTGACCGCTACCAGCAACGTCTGGAGGGTTTCATTTTCAAGGTGACCTTCCAGGGTGTCCTTGACGGCGTCAACGAGGTAAGGAGAGAACATTGCTGGGTTAACCGAGTCGCGTTTGTGCGTGTCTTCATGGTTAGATCTAAACAAGCTAACCACCACAATCATGCCTGCATCAAATAGTCCATCAAAGCTATTTCGGCAGCCTCGAGAAACCTGAGGAATGCCAAATATTTCAAGGAGTTGCTTAACCTGATTCTCATGCTCGGAAACTACATGAACGGTTCCAGTCACAACGGAGGTGCTTTCGGATTCAAGATTGCCAGTATCAACAAGGTACGGCTTTTGCAGCCCATGTCCACATTCCATTGATGAAAATCCTTACAGGACGTAGCCAATTAATCTTCTTTATTTTGCCTTTTTCATTTCATGTAGTTGGTCGACACGAAGGCATCGAACACTCCCGGCGTGACACTTTTGCATTTCTTGACCAACATCACGGAGTCGACGCTTCCAGAGCTATTGCAATACCAGGACGAGATCCGGTCCTGTGGCGACGCGTGTCGTGTTTCGCTGCCCGAGCTGCAATCTGATTTCAAGATGATTGAGAGCAAGCTGAATGATATCAAAGCCGAGCTGCGCTCTTACTACCCCGATGGTCGCCAAGCAACGCCTGACGATCGGTTCCACGAAGTGATGACACCGTTTATTCTGTCTGTCGAGGCTGAGTTTGCTGTTACCAAGGTCGCGATGGCGGAGCAGGATGTCTTGTACAAGGAGTGTGTCAAGTTCTATGGCGAAGATCCTGTCAACATGAAGCCTGACGAGTTCTTTGGCATCTTCAAAACCTTTACATCTTCCTTTGAGGTAAGCCAATTTGTCCTTCACATTTCGCCTGTACTATTTATTATTTCTCCGACAAGGCGCCTTTTTTTTTTTTTTTTTTTTTGGTTTTGTTAAACGACCCTACTCCTTATGCATGATCCCTATGAATCTAATAGAAAGCAAGAGAAGACAATCGCAAGCAGAGAGAACGAGATACCCAGCGCGAAAAGGCCAAGCTTGCGGCCAAGCAGCGTCAAGAACAGATTGCGGCCAAGAGGAACCGTCTGCAGGTTCCCGACATCAGTGGCGAGGGCTCGACTTCGGATGTGGATGGCGGCAGCGACGACAAGGGAATGATGGACAGCTTGCTCGAGACGCTCCGAAACGGAGGCGATACCGAGGCCTCGCGTCGGGACCGTCGTCGCAAGAAGCGGATGGACCATTCTGCATCGGTTGCTGTCAAGGCTCAGGACTTGTTGACTTCACTTAGAGAAGATAATGGACAAGTCGCTGTCGAAAATTGAAGCTGAGGCTGAACGGCAAAAAAAAAAAGTTTACCCTGTATCATCCTTTGCTTTCTTTTCCCCCTTCCCATTTTATTATTAAAAAGCAGAAGAGTTGTGTATTTATCGTAAAGCTGCCAGAGTATTGAAACCGATTTGGAAGTGCCAGTCTTGATGCAGTAGACGTGTCACGTCGATAGGTGGTGTGGTTTGGTCCTGATCTGTTGACGGTGTTGTTGTTGTAGACTTGGGTCGTACACCGAACTGGTCCACGAGTTTCCGGTGGACGAGTTGACGGTACTTTTCGGTCTTGAAAAATGGCGAGTCGAACGATTGTGTTGATGCTAGGAGAGGAGGAAGCTCGGTAGTTGTGGATGCTGATGTCGCATCAAGAAGTGGGCGAAGGAAGAGGCTGTGGATCAACTGGGCCTGGTCAACCACATCTCGCGACACCTTGCTTCTCACATTGTCCACGTCGGTATTGGTAGTATCTTTTCCAGGAGGTACCGCATCTGTGTCGAGAGTGAGTAGGTCTCCTCCATCTGTCACAGGTTGCCGAGGGGGTCGCTGGGTTCGCTCTTCACTCATCGTGAGTCGACCGACCGCCTGGGCCAGGATGGCAAGTCTCTGGACAAGGTGGGTTTGGTCAACCTGTGACGCGTCCTGATGTTCGATCGAGAAGGCTACGAGGTGACAGGCTAAATGAAGGATAGCCAGCTGCTCGTCTCTTGTAGCCCTGATGGAGCTGTCCGAAGGTCCTGTGGCAGTAGACGAGTAAGGGACCGTGTCGATCGATTGGACCATATCCTGAACCTGCTGTTGTAAAAGCTCAACGTATGGCAAACGCTTTTCAATCGCCGCCTTTGCTGCCGCCGACAAACCAGAGTCGTCATCCTCCACAGGGGATGCTACGACGAGAGTGTCGGTTGTTTTTGTGGAATGTTTGGTGCTAAGAGGTTTCATGATATGGTAATGTTGGATCGATTCTTCAAGCAACAGCATTCGTAGACCACTGATCCTCGCAAGCCGAGAGATGTCGCCCGGAAAACTTTGCGCCCTCTGCTGCTGATGCTGGTGGAGATCGACAGCACTCGAGCTTGCTGATGGAGAAACACCGCCGTCGGTGGTATCGTAGCGGTATCGGAGCGGCTTCCACCGTTTGGCCATACGATCCAGTTCATCTTGGTCAAGATGTCGGAGTAAGAGTAGACCGAGGATCCTGACCTGGGAGGCATCCATGATTCCGTGGTATTCGTCTCTGCCCTGTGGCAGGTCACCTTGATGCCGCATTGACTCGTAGTTTCGTTGCCAGCATCCTACAGAAAGCAATATTTGCACGCGTTAGTTGCATTGAAAATATAGCTCAAAAAGTTGAAGTCGCGATAAAAGGAGCGAAGGGCAATACCTTCAATGGACAGGATGAGGGTGGATTGGATCATGGCCACCTGCGACTCGTCCAAGTTCAATCCTGCCAGATTTTGATGATTCCAGGTCGAGGAACCCCTGTTGCCCTTTTGCCGTTCCGTCTCATTGCCTAGGTCAGAAATCAAGACCAACAGCTGGTATAGGCGGTCAAGACACGTTTTGTTGACAGTTTTCCTCGTCTTCTCAATCCCATCCTGAGTAAAAGGTGTCGCTGATTCGTTCGCAGGGCCACCTTCCGATTCTCCAGTGCCAGTTGCACCATTGTCGTGACGTTGACGAGATCCATAATTTAACCCGATGGCACCAATAGACTCGATAGCTGCACAGACGACTTCCAATTGTGCAGAGATGTACTGTCGATCCAGTTTGGTTCGACTTGACTGTTGGAACTGTGCCATCTCCTTCATAGACGCGACGAGGCACAAGTGGTCCAGGATAAAGGTTGTCACGGGGAGGAGCGAGAATTGGGCGACGATTGTGCATAGCTCTAGTTTCTTTAGCTTGATGACAATCGGATCATTCGGACTTGTATTCATGGCAGGCCCAAATCGAGAACAAGGGAGCGTTAGCAAGCCGAGCAATGACGCGTTGAATCGCAAGGTCTTCAAAGATTGATTAATACGACATACTTGAGGAGGATCACCGATAAGTGCTGAGGACTACTATGACGCAGTCTTCCCGACTTCTCCAGGATCAATACCAGATGGTGCAGTGAAGCAAAGACAAGGTCGGGGTGGGGATATTCCAAATGCTTGAGTAGAGTCTCTTCAATGGTCGTCTGAACATCCTCGTCAATCTCTGCCAGATCCTGACACAACCAGATAAATAACCGCAGGGTCGCCATCTGAACCGCCAACGACGCGTGTTGAAGCCCATCGTCTACATCATTCTACACAAAAAAATAAAATACAAAAAAACACACGCGTCAACACCGCTCTTAAAGTCCTTTCAGGATATACCCTCTTGAACCAAATGACTGACAAGCAAAAACAACAAAAAGTTACCATGATCTCGTAAATCTCATCATCAATCTCTGGCTTGTATCTACAGAGCACTCCCAAGACAACCTGCAACTGTCCAGGAGTCCAATCCTTGTACCTGCGGATCAAATGCTGTGCAATAGCACGGTTGACTACAACCCCACCCTCATCGACCAAGATGGTTTCCAGTGCCAGGATCGCATTGACGACCACCTGAGTGTCCTTGTCGCTCAACAGACCATACAACTTGTCCACAATCTCGCTCTCTATTGGGCAATGGCATCGTGATGGTGATATTTGAAGTCAGCACAATAGTCAATCATTGGTCAGGAGCCCTGTTTTTCTTTTGCAGCTCCGATTGTAAGTATCGTGTAAGGCATCGGACTCCAGTGATTGGTTTTACTTGCCGAGGAAAAAGGCGGGGTCGAGCTCAAAGAGTGAGATACACGCCATGACGGCAGTTTTCCTGACGTTTGCGTTCTTGTCCTGAAAGCCCTTGTTGAGAGGTTGAAGCATGAACCGCATCACGCTCCTCTGGCTAAAGTGATGACGAATAAAGGTAAGAATATGCTGGGCAGCTGTTCAGAAAACCATACAAGAAAAGTGAGAGATTGAGAGGACTCCTTACCCGAGGGAACAGAGTGTACGAAGGGCGAGTGCTCGAACAGTAGGGTCCAGATCGACACAGTCTTGGTGGAGAGTATTGATGCCCAGGAAGCAGAGTTCTTCGTTGGTGTGTCCATATCTTGCCAGGAACGCGTACGCGATCTTTTTGATGGCGATATCACGCGTTGATGCCGACTAGTCGTAATTGTCAATATGTCATAAATAGCGAAGTCAATAATCGCGTCAATCGAGGTGCTTTGTTTTGATAAAGATAGGTAAACAAAGTGACAGCATAGAGCAAGTAGAAGAGGGGGGGGACTGACCGAGACCATGGTGGCAAAGAATGTCGAGACGTCGATTCCTTGACCCATGAGCTCTTGGACACGTTGCATTAGCAACGCATGGTTGGGATGAGCGGCTTGGCCCTTGAAGGCTTCTGTCAGCTCTGCTACATCCATGTCTCCTTTGTATGTAGTTTTGAATGAGTATTGCGTGTGTGTGAACAGAAGGTTGTTGTGTGCGTGTAAAAGGGGAAGAGTAGACCGTTTTTTCCCCACTGATTTTTCCTGCTCGTGCTTTCAGGCACTGGCACGTGTTCTCGCCTCTATGACCCTGAGACGAGTCTCTCAATTCTCGTATCTTCAGCCATCAAAACACCGCATCCAACAGCAAACGCGACTCGTTGCTTTTCGGCCACCTTCTTCCATCCGTCCCTCATTGAAAAAACAAAGACGCACAACCATTCAGATCCAAAAGGAGTTGAAGCCGTCCAAGATGGGGTTTTTATTTCGTTACAAAGGTGGTCGTCGTTTACGACTGTAGTCGGGGTTTCGGTGATCGTTCCTCAAAGTTTCTTGCGGGCATTACGTTGATAGAGAAATACGGAAGCCGATGGAATCAAAACCTCCGCCTCTCTTTCTTCAAGAGCATACCTCTCAAAGAGAAGCTGCGTGAATGGCGCAATGGGTAGAGTATCCTTCTTTTCAAACGGCCATTGGGCTATTACAATGCACTAATGCAAAATCAGAAAGCAGATTTGGGCGTGAGAAGAGCAACAGCAACAACAACCCGATATATATAAATGCTAGTAAACATCGATCTCTCCTCCAAGATGCTGATCCCTCTCTGCGCGATTCATTCAGCCACTGTGCTTGGGAAACAAAGCGTCCACAATTACTTATTAAGTCTCGCATAGTAGTTTGCACCAGTTGCTTCCCCTCTTTTCAGCATATCAAGGCGCTTTTCATTACATTCATGCATACTGCATTGACGGCTGAAGGTACTCGAGGCCTTGCCGATTTGTTTACCCTTTTGTTGTGGTTGCTATCGGTTTGTCTCTTTGCCGTGCAAACAACAGCACAGAAGTCGTGGACAGCGAGCAGACAAAGAAGAGAGTCACGCCATCAGGCTGGCAGGGCGTGGAGATGATAACACTCTAGCACAGGGACAGAAGGACAAAAGGAGACGAGGGCTCTTCGCACAAAATAAAAGAGTCATTTTGTATGTCTTGTATCCAGCCAATCATTTTCAAGGATTCATCTGGCGCACCCTTACCCGTTCCATTCTCATCTTGCCCTCTCGTCTTCCCTTTCCCACTGCCCCTACAGTCCCCTCCTTGTGTCCTTTTATTCTTTCTGTTTCGCTTGTATCATTATTGTTCTTCTGTGCCTCGATGCAGCAGCAGCAGCAGCAGAGAGAGAGGGAGTTGAGTGTGAATGCGAGGCCCCAGAACAAATCACTTTAATTGATGGATACTTCTTGCGTGTCTGTGTGCTTGTGTGGGATTGGTCTGTCCCTCGCCTCGCAGATTGACGTGATTTCTGACCCTTTGCGAAAAAGTGACTTTCTTTGCGCTGATTGGCCCAACTTAGTTTTAATTGACCTTCCCCTCTGTTCCCCGTAAGTGCACGCTCAAATGTGAACCCAAGCCACTCGATTCCACCACTATAAAGTCTTCCTCTGTCCCCCAATTCTTTTTACTTTTTTCTTTGCAGTTCCCCTTCGCACAAAACACTCTCCCAAAAAAGATCTCTGTTACCAGTTCTTTTACCCTTCACTCTCACGCACACGCACACTCTCACAAGCCCCAACCCTAACATCTATCACAATGGTTCAAGCTACTAACTTGGGTTTCCCCAGAATCGTAAGTAGCCCTTGACACCTGCTTGATCATTTGTACCCCGGTCCTGGTTGAATGTGTCTTTCTGCCTCTCTGTATCTTCTGACAAAGGTCCTTTGAGAGCCCCTGTCCAACTCCCCTCTAACTTTGTTTTTCTCCTTACCATTTCATTTATGGTTTTGATAGGGCGGTCAACGCGAGACCAAGAAGTTGGTCGAGAACTTCTGGGCCGGCAAGATCACTGAGCAGGCTCTCGACGAGGCTGCCGTCAAGCTCCGCGCTGAGAACTGGAAGCTCCAGCAGGCCCAGGGTCTTTCCCAGATCCCCTCGGGCGACTTCTCTTTCTACGACCACGTCCTTGACCACTCTGTCATGTTCAACGTCATCCCCCAGCGTTTCCGCCATCTTGCCGAGGGCCACGAGCGCAACTTTGCCATTGGCCGTGGTATCCAGAAGCCCGCCACCGAGACCCAGGAGAAGGTCGATATCGAGGCCCAGGAGATGAAGAAGTGGTTCGACACCAACTACCATTACATGTAAGTATTTCGTCTTCATTTCTCTATATGCATGATATTCTCACACTCAACTGCACAACACACAAAAAAGCCTTGCTTCCTCTTTTGCTCACATTCAACTTCCTTACCTTATCTGATTGATAACAATAATAGTGTCCCAGAGTTCGAGACCAACCAGACCTTCCAGCTCAGCGCCAACGCCAAGACCGTCCAGGAGTTCAACGAGGCCAAGGCCCTCGGCATCCACACCCGCCCCGTCGTCCTTGGTCCCCTCTCCTTCCTTCTCCTCGGAAAGACTGCCAAGAACTCTGCTGGCCTCGACCTCATCACCCTCCTCCCCAAGGTCCTCCCCGTCTATGAGGAGCTCTTTGCCCAGCTCGCTGCTGCCGGTGCCGACTGGGTCCAGGTCGACGAGCCCGTCCTCGCCCTCGATGTCTCTGCCGCCGTCGTTGCCGAATACCAGACCACCTATACCCGCTTGACCGCTGCTGCCCCCAAGCTCAAGTTCTTGATCGCCACCTACTTTGGTCGCATCGGTAACAACGTCTCCTTCATCAAGGACTCTGGTGTTGCTGGTCTTCACATTGATCTCGTTCGCGCCCCCGAGCAGCTCGAGAACGTCATTGCCAACATTGGCCAGACCCAGGTCCTTTCCCTCGGTTTGATCGATGGTCGTAACATCTGGAAGACCAACTTGGCCGCTGCCCTCAAGCTTGCCGAGACCGCCGTTGCTGCCCTTGGCTCTGACCGTGTCTTCGTCGCTCCCTCTTGCTCTCTCTTGCACGCCCCCGTCACCCTCCGCTTCGAGAAGCGCCTCGCCTCCAAGAACCCCGAGCTCTTTGACTGGCTCGCCTACTCTGAGGAGAAGTGCAAGGAGGTTCACATCATCGCCCATGCCTTGAACCACGGTGCCGACTCTGTCAAGGCTGAGTTGACCGACAATGCCCGCTCCATTGAGGCCCGTCGTGTCTCCCCCCACACCACCAACGCTGCCGTTCGCCAGCGCCTCGAGGCCATCGTCCCCGACCAGCTCCGTCGCCGCAACGTCTTCCCCACTCGCCAAGTCACCCAGCACGAGGCTAACCCTCTCCCTGCTTTCCCCACCACCACCATCGGCTCCTTCCCCCAGACCAAGGAGATTCGTCTTGCCCGTGCTAAGTTCACCAAGGGCGAGATCGATGCTGCCACCTACCATGACTTCATCAAGAAGGAGATTGCCTTCTGTGTCAAGGAGCAGGAGGCGCTCAAGATCGACGTCCTCGTCCACGGTGAGGCTGAGCGTAACGACATGGTCGCCTACTTTGGTGAGCGTCTCGAGGGTTACATCTTCTCTGAGAACGGATGGATCGCCTCGTACGGTTCCCGCTGCGTCCGTCCCCCAATTATCTTTGGAGATGTCCACCGTGTCAACCCCATGACCATCACCGAGACTGTCTACGCCCAGTCCTTGACCAGCAAGCCCATGAAGGGTATGTTGACCGGTCCCGTTACCTGCTTGCAGTGGTCCTTCGTCCGTGACGACATCCCCCGCTCCGTCGTCTGCACCCAGTTGGCCTTGGCCATCCGCGATGAGGTCGCTGATTTGGAGAAGGCTGGCATCGTCCACATCCAGGTCGATGAGCCCGCCATTCGTGAGGGTCTTCCCCTCCGCTCGGTCGACTTTGACTTTTACCTCCAGTGGGCCGTCGATGCCTTCTTGCTCTCGACCACTGGTGTCCAGGATAAGACCATCATCCACACCCACATGTGCTACTCTGACTTCCAGGATATCTTCCAGGCCATTGTCCGCATGGATGCCGATGTCTTGACCATCGAGAACTCCAAGAGTGACATGCGTATCCTCGGCGCCTTCTCGACCCACGGCTACAACGCCGAGATCGGACCCGGTGTCTTTGATATCCACTCTCCTCGTGTCCCCTCCACCCACGAGATGAAGGAGCGTGCCGATGCCATGTTGAAGTAGGTCTTTTTCATGTCTTTATATTGCTGCAAGCCTACCTGTTTACGAGATGTAGAATACTATTCTTACGTGTCGTTTCTTTTGTCCTCTCCTTTTCACCTATCAGGTACATCCCCCGCGGCAACCTCTGGATCAACCCTGACTGCGGTCTCAAGACCCGTGGCTGGAAGGAAGTTCGCGAATCTCTGACCAACATGGTGGCTGTTGCCGAGGCGCTCCGTGCTGCCTCAGCTTAAGCCTTTCCAGCAAAAAACCGCCGGTGCCGTGCCGTCTCTTATGAGATGGTTCAAGGGCCAATGCGTTTCTTTTCAACAAACGAACGATATGGTAAAAAGTAGAGTGCCTCAACGGCATTCACCCCATGGAATCTCTTAACAGATTCCGCCTTTTCTTTACTATCGACCTTTTTATTTTTTCCCCTTCATCCTTCCCCATTCCCCTCATTGTTACGGATTTTCAGACTTTCTCGTTCATGGCCTCGTTGTGCACTAACTTGAAAGTTTCTTCAACAGAAACCTTTCCAATGTTCATGTTGCTCTTTTCCCCAGAGCGACGACTACAAAAAAAAAACAAAAGTGTTTGGTGTATCTTTTTCCTCCCTCTTCTCTTTCATCTTCCCTATTCATTCCAGGGCCATAGAAGGGAAGTCCCCGTTTCTTGAAGAATGTCGCTCCAGTCCTCCTCCACCCTCTCACGGTGTGGTTGCCGAATGGCGACCGGTTCTCAGTCCTTGTCCTTGGTTGATTCAAGCCTTTTTTGATGTCGTCCCTGTCCCCTCCCCATCGGATCAAGAAGTCGCGTCCTTGTCAATTGTGTGAGTTACTGTCGTTCTTTCTTGGGTGTAGATAAGGGTCCTCGTCAACCGAAGACTCTTTTCTATCATCTAGAGGCAATGACTCCCCCCTGTCTACCGTTCGTAATGTTTCGCAATCCACCACTCCCTGAGAAAAGCACCAGATGTTTGAGCAGTTTTGTTTGGGCAAGAAGGGAGGTTGAAAGACTTCTTTTTTTTGCTTGACAACTGGATCGTCGTCTGGATGTGGGACCTGCACATGGAGGCTTTGATACTCAACGTATCGAGGTCGTCTTGGCTTTTCTCTGGGTATCTTCTTCCTCGCTACCGTCGTCGTCATCTCCCATACTTCGATCCAGCGCGACCATTGCTTTCTTCACTGCTAGAGCAGCATCTTCTCCCTCAACACCAACAAATAAAAACAATACATATCTATAGAGTTTATCAACATAATCATCCTCGTTACTCGTCAAAGGAGTTCGTTCTTGTTTGTAGTTTCGATGTGCCTGGTAAGGACCTTGAAAGTTGAACCTTCGCTATCAGATCGCGCTTCCCCAGTTGAATGATTTCATTGGTTGCCAGACCTTCGTCCAAAGTGACGTAGCAAATAGAAAAAAAGGCCTTGAGCGCCCATTCATTCATTTCGTTTCTTTTTTCATCACTCATCCTTTCCACCCTCTCCACGCTCTACTCTCCCCTTCCTCATCACCCTATACCCTTTCAACTTTCCACCTTTTTTTTTTCATCAGCACAAACAGCCCGAGTCAGCAATGGAGTCGGCTCAGGGAAGAATCAAACCATCAAAGAGGAGAGTCATCGTTCGCTCAGTCCTGGCTTTGGGCCTGGCACTCGCGAGTGTGAGCGCCGTCAAGCGCGAGGACTTCAAGACTTGCTCCCAGAGCGGTTTCTGCGCTCGCAACAGGGCTTACGCAGATATCGCCAAGGAGAACCCTCAATGGACTTCACCCTTCCAGCTCAACCCTTCTTCTCTTCGCCTGAACAAAGGCGTCCTCACCGGCGATCTTATCAACGTCCAGGAGGACAAGCAGCCCTCGGACAAGCCAGCTTTGGCGTTTGAGCTCCACTTGCTCGACACCGACGCGGCTCGTATCCGCATCAATGAGCGCAGCCCCATCCACACGCGCTACGACGGCGTTCAGGATACTGTTCTGATCAAGCCTTATGGACACGCCACTGAGGGATCATACCAAAAGTTGGGCAAGGACGAGAACGGGGTCTTGACTATCCAGTATGGCGCTCAGAGCCAGAACACTGTCAGGATCAGTTCGGCACCCTTCAAGATCGAGTTCCTTGTGAACGGCGTGCCTACCGTCCTCTTGAACGACGAGGGATTGTTGCGATTCGAACGTCTTAGGAACAAGGAGGAGTCCAAGGTTGAGGAGGAAGGCGAGAAGCAGGAAGAAGAGGCCAGCACAGATCCATTGGTTGAGCAGAAGGCTGGTGGTAACGACATTGAGATTGCGATTGAGAAGTCCGAGTTGGAGAAGAAGCTGGAAGAGAACCTGTGGGAGGAGAAGTTCAAGGAGTTTACAGATTCCAAGCCCAGAGGTACGTAATTTTGTCCAACAGCAATTGTTGAGTTTGAATGACCATTGTGTATACTCAGAGCGCGATTATCCTTTCACATTGTAATCCTAGGCCCAGAGTCGTTTGGTATGGATATCACATTCTCTGGAATCAGCCACGTTTACGGTATCCCTGAGCACGCCTCCAGTCTCTCGCTCAAGGCCACCCGTGGCCCTGATGCTCCTTACACTGAACCTTACAGACTGTACAACTTGGACGTGTTTGAATACGAGGGCGACAACCCAATGGCGCTCTACGGATCAGTTCCCTTCATGCTCGGTCACAGCAAGAACAGCACTACTGCTGTGTTCTGGATGAACGCCGCCGAGACCTGGATTGATGTGGAGAAGAGCCCCGAGGATAAGAATGGCGGTATTCTCTCTTGGATCAAATCAAAGAAGGCTGTACACCCTGCTGCCACCAGGACGCACTGGATGAGCGAGGCAGGAGTGCTGGACGTGTTTGTCTTCCTCGGACCAACCCATCGCGACATTTTCCGCCAGTATGCATCGCTTGTTGGCACCACTGCTTTGCCCCAGGCTTTCTCGATTGCCTATCACCAGTGCCGCTGGAACTACAACAATCAGAATGATGTTGCCGAGGTCGATGCTGGATTCGACGAGCACGACATTCCTTATGATGTTCTCTGGTTGGATATCGAGCACACCAATGGCAAGAGATACTTTACCTGGGACGAGGCCAAGTTCCCTAATCCTACGGGGATGCAGGAGTCTCTCAGCAGTAAGGGCAGAAAGGTGAGTAAACTGCATTTTTGGCTTGTCATCGTTCACTTCAATGCGGTAAACCCAATGTACCAAGTACTGTTATACTAATTCATTTGTTCCCCATTCAGATGGTCACCATTATCGACCCCCATATCAAGAAGGACGGCGATTATCATGTTTCGAAGGAGGGCGCTGAACTGGACGTGTACATCAAGAACAAGGACGGCAGCTCAGACTTTGACGGATGGTGCTGGCCTGGTAGCTCGCAGTGGATCGACTTTTACAACCCCAAGGCTCGTGATTGGTGGGCATCCCAGTTCTCGTACGACAAATACATTGGCTCGACCAAGTCTTTGTTCACCTGGAACGATATGAACGAGCCCTCTGTCTTCAGCGGTCCTGAGATTACCATCCCCAAGGACGTCATTCATTACGGAAACGTCGAACATCGCAACGTCCACAACCTCTACGGAACCATGTTCGTAAGTGCCATCGAGAGCACTGCTGAGTACTTGGAGTGAATTTCAGCACGATCAGCCTTTTACTAAGTAATCTTCCTACGCCCCTCTTCAATAGCATTCGGCTACTGCTCAAGGCCTGGCCCGCCGCGATGAGACCAACCAGCGTCCATTTGTCCTCTCCCGCGCCTTCTTTGCCGGTACCCAGCGTTTCGGAGCCATTTGGACTGGAGACAACGTTGCCAGTTGGGAGCATCTTGAGTTGGCCTCGCCAATGCTTCTCACTATCGGACTTTCGGGTATTCCCTTCTCGGGAGCAGATGTTGGTGGTTTCTTTGGAAACCCTGACGCAGAGCTGTTGACACGTTGGTACCAGGCCGGTATCTACTATCCCTTCTTCCGTGCCCACGCCCATCTTGACAGCAAGCGTCGTGAGCCCTGGTTGTTCGGTGAGCCCTACACGACCCAGATCCGTGAGGCCATTCGCACCCGTTATACCCTGTTGCCTTTCTGGTACACTCTCTTCCAGGAGGCCAGTGTTGAGGGAACACCCATCATCCGGTAAGTTTCATTCATTTTCAATAAGGAAATGTGATGAAAAATTGATAAAGAGTCCAAGATTAACCATAGCAATTGTTTATTCATCCATTTAGCCCCATGTTCACAGAGTTCCCTGAGGACGAGGCTGTGTTTGGTATGGACGATCAGTACATGGTCGGAGACGCGATCTTAGTCAAGCCAGTCGTCAAGTCAGCCGTCGTTCGGTCGAACGTGTACTTTGCAGGCAACGAGAAGTGGTTCGACATCAAGGACTACAGTGTTGAGCAAGGACCCGGATTCAAGGATATCGACTCCCCTGCGGATAAGATCCCCGTTTACCAGCGTGCCGGAACCATTGTCCCCAAGCGCGAGAGACCACGTCGGTCATCCAAGGCTATGGAGAATGACCCTTTCACACTTGTTATTGCGTTGGACAGCAAGGGTGAGGCTTCGGGACGACTTTACTTGGATGACGGCGAGTCGTTCAACTATGAGAATGGCGATTATATTCTAAGAGAGTTCAAGGTCTCGAAGGGTGTCTTGTCGTCGCGCAAGGTTGAGTCGGCAGTTGCAGTTGCATCGGGTAAGAGCTCGTTCGCAGAGAAGGCTGGAGGATTGAGGATCGAGCGTCTTGTTATCTTGGGAGCGACTGCTCCTTTGAAGAAGGTCGCTGTTGGAGATCACAGTCTGCAGGTAAACTGCTCGCAGGTTGGAGGTAGCTATGTCTGCACAGTCAAGGAGCCCCAGGTCACTGTCGGGAAGGACTTTGACCTGTCCTTCGCGTAAATGCGCCAAGTGACGGTGAATTAATTTATCGCGTTAAAGACGTATCAAAAAAATAAACAATATCAACGCGCAGAAAAAGGGACGGTTAATTACTGCAAGGGGAAGAAAAGGTTCAAATGGTCGTGAAAGTTACTCCATCATCCCTCAACACTACAACATAGCAAACAGGAACAGCATGGACCCCGACACCGAGTCATTACTGGTGTCAACCTGCCTGGCCCTCGGAGGATTTGAAGACAAGTCTGAAAACCTCGATGACACTTCCCGGGTCTATGTCATGGGTGATGAGTGTCTCGGTAGGTCGCAGAATGTTTTTTTTTGTAATTCATGAGAGTGTTCATATTACGACCGGTCGTAGTGAAAACAAAAAGTGGCCTATGTACTAACAAGCCATTTCATCTTTACAAATTGAACTTGGTAGAGTGTTTGAAGGATATCAAAAAGTTTATCAAGTACTATGAGGAAGCAGGAGACAACGTGGCGCTCACATTTCTGGGAAAGATGGGTATCCTGGAGAAGGATCTCATCCCTATCATTCTCCTCAACTCGCCCGCCGACAACAGTACCAAAGAACGACTTGTTCTTGCCTGCAGTAAGATCTCGGCACAAAAGGACGCATTGATGGAGAGGGGTTGTTGCCGCAGAGCATACCATGGTCACTAACGATATTTCTCCCACTCTTTCTCCTGTGACTATAGTTGAGCTGATGGTGCCGATGACATGGATTATTGACTATGAGGAGCTGAAAAGGATCGCCACTGCAGAGGAAGACCACAGCATTGTAGGAAACCTGTATGAAAAGAACGAGATCTTGCGAAGCTACAAGAAGGCGTTTCTTCAACCTGGAGTTCTGGACGCTGTCTTTAATGTCCTATTGCGACCACTTCAAGTCGAGTACCGAGTTAGGACTACCAGAGACACGGCTATCATTCGTCTTGGACTCTCACTCTTCCGTAACTTGGTCGCTATCAGGGATGCTGAGGTCTCTCTGGCTGGATCTATGGATCAGTTCCTCAGTTCCATCATGCAGGTAAGAGGAATAATTCATGAACAAACAATAGAGCTCGGACGAATATTATGGAACTACTTGGTGCTGAAGGCGCTTCTAACATCCAAACACCTCCTTTTATTTATTATCCTAGGATCAACTACTAGAGCGATTTCAACAGGAGAACGTCATGTCGTTGCTGGTGACGCTGGCGTCTTCCTCAAAGGATGCTCAGCTCGCAGAATGGAATGCAATCATCATGGAGATCTTTTACTACATTTTCTCGGGAGTTGATCCAGAAGAGTTGATGCCAGGAGTTGTTTCGTCCACTGTACGTACATCTATGCATTGTGCCCTCATCCAGATTCATCGAACTACTGTTCTGTATTTCGACAGATTATTGACACACTCTTTCACCGAACTTTGATTTTATAGGGCTCAGTCAGGAATTCAAAACTGGAAGAGCTGCTGCAGAAGGAGGAGAGGGAGAAGCAAGCCCAGTCGACAGCTGGAAGGAAACGACATGATCGCTTTGGCACAACAGGAGAAGCCCGTCTCACGGTTCGTCCGCTTGATATTTTGCAGTCCGTATGCTGGCAAATTGTGGGCAGAGCGAACATTAAACTAACTCGCCTTCTTGATTTGGTACGATCGAACGATAGGATGGACGGAGGATGGTTCTTCATCAAAAGGGTGCTCTTTTTTCGTCGATCGAAAAGCAACTGGACAATGTCAAGAAGCCCAAGGCTAAAACCAAACGTCTGAAGGTATGCTAGCACATGTCCAACGCCGGCCCATGTCGTTTACTTGTAGTTTGGATGGCAACTAATCAATGAGTTTTCTCTCTATGATATACAGGAATTGGGCGAGTTCAAAAAGACACTCTCGAGATCAGGAGCAGAGAACCTTCGGAATATTGCGTTGACTGTGCTGGAGAGTTGCTTCAATCGTAAGTGATCCCCTAGCAAGGACCACATGGATTACACTGTAAAATCCTCAGGATCGACTGTCGTGCTAATATCCCATTCAAACCGTTGACACATTAGCATTGTATGAATCCATTCGCAGGGATATCGAAATGGGAAGAGAAAGGGTTAAGCCTTACCATTTGGGACAATTCCATGTCTTGATGACGTTCCTACTCCAGTTCAGACGGCTATATGTGGACAACCTGATCAAGCAACCCCGTCAGACCAAGAAGGACGTTATCGAGCAGGATATGAAGAGATTGTCGGAGATGATGAAGACTTTCTTACGACATGAGCCCGAACGCCTCCAAGAACTGATGGCCATCGTGGATGCACAGGACTGGGGCAAATTACAGCAGCTCAGCGACAGCGCACTCTCGGCACATCAACAAGCAGTCTACGGGGCCAAGAAGGCCGAGATTATGCGTGTTCAGGAAGAGAAGCTGTCGCAACTTGAAGAGGAATACCGGAGAAGTGTCGAAGCCATGGACTATGCTTTGATTTCCACTGCAGTCGAAAAGACGAGTGTTTTTCAGATTATTCGGTACATTCGCGCACAGGTGGAACGCAATGACAAGGTATCTCTCCTGCCACATCTGCCTTCACTTTTGCAAGGCTTCAATTGCAAAAGTTCTTTTAGTTCATGCGTTCTAATTGTCGTTTACTTTTGCGCCACCATAGGATTTGACGAATGATATCAGAAAGGCGTTGGATTGCTTCCAAGAGATGGTAGGTGGTACATCACATATGCGAGGATCACATCCGTAACTCGACACTTTTTTTCTCTGTACTAATCGAGAGTATATCTCCATTGCGTAGCTTGTGGCTCTGAATGGCATGTACAAGTCGCCAAACGAGCAGTACCGTGAAGCGTCCGACAACGTCCAAAACAACTTGTACTATGAGGAAGGCACACTCGAGTTGTTCTTGGATCTGGTCAAAGGATACAAGAGACAATCGCCCAAGTAATTGTCTGGCCATATATCCTTTGTTTGTCTTGACATTTGCCTTGAATGTTCTACACAGGGAGAAGATCCATGAATACTCACATTTTGTTCTGTATTTATGATAGATACTTGATGACGCTGATCAGGATGAATCACATTCTACTCAAGACTCTGGAGACGTATTCACAGGAGAAGTCCTACATTGCCATCAACAAAAAGCATGCTACGAGGCTGAAGAAGAATAAAACCAGTAAGTTTATGTGGATATGGCCATAGATAAATCGCAGTGCGTGTCGAAGAAATGTTCACTAACTGCTCTTTCTACTTCTTCTGAAATAACATAGACCCCGCTTCAGAGGAAGCGGACAAAGACGGCGTCCCACAGACTGAGAACCCGGATGAACCTGCCAAGGGTCAAGAGCAAGAGGGAGAGCCTCAGCTAGAGACCGAGGATCAGCCTGAGACGCAGGATGAGCACAATAACGACCAGGATTCAGACAACGAGGAGTTGCCACTTTACACCTATAAGGAGCATAAGTTCGTCTTCAAGGACTTTGAGAGAGTATGTTACTGTGAGCTGTAGGGCACGTGTGAGTTGGCCGAGTCAGATTTGGCTGTTGCTAACTTTAACTCTGTTTCATTCTTCTGGATACCCTGAAATAGCGATACGCAAACGAGATTGTTCTTGCCACATACTGCACTTTCTTGGAGAACTTTGCTGAGTTGAGCGACATTCAACTTCGATGGGTGGCGGCGATGTTTTATCGTATGGCTATCAACTGTGCCAACACTGCAGTCTTCTACAAGGCATCGACTCTGCAGCTTTTTCACCAAATCCTAGACAGCGGACTGTTGGACCCCAAAGGTGACCTTGTCCGCTTCATATACCACCTGTTGCGTCAATTCTTCAAGAAGCTCCAGGAATATCCGCTCTTGGTGATCGATGTGTTTGCACCCAAGACAAGACGAATTTGCCTGGAACTGAATATTGGACGATTGGAGGCCGAGAAGACTGACATTGAGGTTTCTGCAAAGAAGGAAAAGCGGTATGTTTTTTTTTTTTGGCTATTATTTTGGCCCGTCATGGTCTCTATTCTCAGGGGTTAGGTCAGGTTGACTAACGTATCCTTTCTTGTCTAACAAACACTAATTAGACTTATGGCGACTGAATTGGAGGTCGACTCTAACAGATCGGAGGAGGAGCAGATCAAAATTGCCGTGATGGCGCTTTACGACGAAGACAAGAGCGATCTGGTGGAGTGGGCCATCGAGGTAACTTTTGCAGCTTTAATATACGTCGGGACATGCCTGGAGGGTAGGGAGTTGTCGTGGAATTGGTATTAACGAGACTCTATTACGCGTGTGGTTTATACTGACATTAGATTCTCAAGAACGGTATCGTGCAGCGAGAACTCATGACGTTCCGAACAGAGGACGAGTTGGCCGAGAACCCTGACTTGATGCATTCCGTTGAAGGAGTGGAGGACATACGTATGTGGTGATTGAAGCTCTGAGTAGATGTGGCGTACAACTTTTCCGCGCTTTAAAGTACTGACTTGCCTTCCTGCTTGTGATATTTATTTGCTGCAGCCATCGTTGCGAACACTCCTGCTAGACAAACATCGCTTCGCATCGAGCCCCGCTTCCGTCTCTTGTTCAAGCTGATCAAGTTTACACGCAATGACCGTAAGTTATTATCTGCTGCCACATTCTGAAATCTTGCAGCAACGGTTTCTCTTACAGAGTGATCTTTTAAAACTCACCATTTTGGCTCTTAATTGATGGCTGCTGTAGACGGAGACGATTTCCAGTTCAAGATTCCAAAGGACCTTCCAACAGACACGATGCAGCAATTCCAGGATATCATTGAATCGGTCGATCAAGACTTATCGGCGGAGAGTACTCCGTATGACTTTGAAAACCTGATCAAGAAGATCAACAAGCCCTCGAGTAGTAGGAAGCGAGGGATTGGCGGAAGTCGCGTTATGGCTCAGCAGGAGGTTGTGGCTTACCACTCTGCAGAGTACGTTGTTGACTCTGAGGATGAGAACGATGCGTACTTTGAGGTCGAGCGGGAGCTGAGGGCTCGGAAGGCCATTGATTTCTCAGAAGCGGAGAAGAGGCACCGGGAGATGATTGAAAACAATGAGCGGATGAAGGCTCAGAAGCTGAAGGAGGTTGCTCAGGCGAAGCGTACGGTGCTGAAAGGAACGTCTGTTTCTTTGACAGACAACGGACACAACAGGAAGGATAGCGATGATGACGCTGGACGGCCGTCGGCTTTTCCTTCTCCTCCCCCACGTCGGAAGACCTCAGTTAATCTAGACAGCGACGACGATAGTGATCTTAGCGATGACAAGAGCACGAGTCGACGATCCCCGCCCAAGAGCACAAGCGATGTTGAGAGTGATGATAGTCAGCCAAGTCAGGCAGCGGTTACTCCCAGGAGAGCGACCAACAATGCTGCAGTATTAAGTCGTCGTCTGGTCGATTTGGAGGACTCTGACGATGACGGTTACTCCGAGAACGAGAGCGAGCAGCAGGCGACGCAGCCACTGCCGGAGCCTTCAAGGACGCCAACCCAGACCAACAAGCGGAGAATCATCCTTGAAGACTCTGAGGATGAAGACGACGACAATCACACGCAAGGCAGCCCCGCCAAAAAGAAGCACGCGTTTGAAGAATAAAATTGCGATTTGCTATTTTGATATTTTCTGATTGAGTGTTGGAGCGCCACCAATTTTTGCTTGTTTGAGAGCTTCGTTTGAGAGGGCCGATCAAAATCGTTCATTGCATAGGCGGATGTGGTCGAGTTGGTAGGAGGGCCAGAATGAGTTATCTGGACGCTTTGCTACTGGAAAAGTACTCTAGAACGACGTTCCTCGCTGATGCCCACTAATAGGTTATTGTTAAAAGCCATTTTCAGACTTATCTCACAGCAACTATCGCTGGAGCCCTCATCGCTCGAATCCTCGTCACTGGAGTTCACCGAAAGGGGCATGTCGTTTAGGGAGCTAACCTTGCCATCACACTTACGTGCACTAACTTTGACTGGAGCCTCGCCGACGGAGCTCTCATTTCCTGACCTCTCTTCACTAAGCCCTTCCCTACTGGATCCCTCATCGATAGCCCCTTCATTTCGGAATCCCTCATCGTCTAAAAGGGTATTGTCGGGACTTTCTTGGATGGGCTTCGTCTTGATGCAATACCCACACCTAAATTCAACTGTCAAGTCATCGGCAACATGTATATCTTCACTACTATCGACTAATACTTCATAAGGTGTATATCCATCGCTTTGTATCTCCACACTCGCTGCCGTCCTCTGAAAATGCGCTGTCGTCTACCGCTTGCTGTGAAAGGACTTTGACGTGCTTCTTTTCAATGCCTGGCGATCGTGAATCCTTCTCGAACTCCTCAAATACTTCCTAATCAAGATCTACTGCCTTCCTTTTCATCTTCAAAATGTGATTGTCGATCGCCGCGAAGCGCTAATGACGAAGCTACAGTAACTTATCCAGCCGTTGGGTCTAATCTTGTTGTGATCTCCACAGTCTTTACTCGTACACAACCATTAAGTAGTAAGCGTTGAGCTACCATTCTATTCTCTATGATGGGTAACTCGTTGCTTAATAGTCAAAGAAACAGTTTACGAATCGAGAGTACTTGAAAACGTAAAAGATCGACGCTTGATAATACGGGAATAGGCGACAACAAATAGTTTTATGCTCAACTGTGCTAGCTCGGCGAGGTTTGAACATGATAGGATATGTGTTTGCCAAAACAAAACATGTACCAACCGCAATAGTTGGTCATTAGCACATCAGCACTCATACTCTTTAATACAAGAGTTTAATCTATTTGACAGCTCCTCCGCTCATTCTTTTTCAAAGTCGACCGGTCTGCTGCTTAAATCACATCCAGAAGTACCTCTGGTTCCTGCATAAGAAAAAAATATCAAGTTTTAGGCAACATGTAGGTTTATTGCAAGAAAGTCACTTCCCATGCTGCCTTCAAATCAATCACATATGGTTCTGGTGAAGAAAAAAGCACGAAAGTCAGCCCCCTTGAAGGTAAAAAAAAAAAAACGAGCCGCGATGTCTGTCTTGGCAAGTGATCTAACGAAGAATGGATGGAAGGTCAATGTTGTTAATGTTGGAACCAAATGTCCTTCAATGAATTATATATACACCTGGGATTTTATGTTTACCTTTACTTTGCTAGCACGTATTTGATCAGTTTCTTCAAGTAAAGAATGTCTTCCTTCTTCTCCTCGATACCTTCGTAAAAAAAGTCGTCGATGTTTGACAAGTCGATGTGAACCATCACATCCTCAGTGCCGGTAGCGGGGTCCCTCTTGACATGGGTAGCCAGCTGTACGCCCTGAACCCTAGGAAGTTCGAGATGAATGCGGAGGATGCCTTTGATTTTGTTGGGCACAACGGAAGCGACAAAAGCGTCACGGATCCTTTCCAACGATGGGTTCATTCTGACTCCATCTGCTCGCAAGAAGCTGCATCGAATGTCGCTGGAAGTTTCGTTCTTCTGATGGTCGGTTTGCGGTATATCATTGCCATAGATCTTGATAGCGAGGGAGCCAGCATAACGGTTGTCGGAGAAGAACCATGCTGCATCCTGGCGCGTACCAGATTGCTGAACCAGCAGCTTGTTCGAGGGACGGTTGATGAGGAAATTGAGATCAGCCTCAGTATTGTCGGCTCCGTACCCAAATCCATGCGCCGTGTTGATTTCGTCGATCTGAAGCTTCTGTCCGCTGCACCATGCAGGCAATTCGATACCTTGAAGGAAAGGGAGATCTGCAAGATGCCAGTTGTTAAAGCGTCGCAGTGATTGTCGAACGAGTGGCTCCAGTGCATTTCCTTTGGCCGATGACTTGACGCCGAAATGCTCAATAATTCCGTTAAGCTGACGGAGTTGTGCCGAAAATCCGAGATCCACATTCGAATGTTCCAGCTCTTCCTCCACCACCTCGACCACGAGTGACTCGTCCATGAGCCAATGAACACTGCCGCTATGCACTCGCAGAGCACACAAGGCGTTATCCATGAACTTGACTTGAGCTTTTCTTGCAAACCATACCTTGCCGCCTTGGAGCTTGAATGCCAACACCATACGGCCGAGTAGATGCACGACCTCGCCGGTCGTGTCGCCGCCCAGAAGCTCTCGCACTCTACCACGCAGTTGAATACTCACTAGATTAATCGCTGAATCGAACGCTTTCTCTAGCCTGGCTTGTTTGGTGTGGGGGTTGGTGTGATTGAGTTTGAAAAGCTCGCGGATAACGCTGACCGAAAATTGGGCCCTCCCTGTGAGCTTCCGGAGCTTGTCATGTGGGATGGTGCAGCCAGAAGTATCAATAAGTTTCGATAATACGTGCTCCACGTCTTGGTCGTCAAACAAAGGGAACCGCATGATGCTATGAAATCTTGTACGCATGCCGACTGCCGGGTACACGTTGTCCTCACCCTGCAACGACAGCGACGTTCCAAGTACCACCAATGTTGCACGCACGTTTCCCAGTGTTGCGCGGAGAGGCGTGAGAAACCCGCGACTATATATCTCTTCTTCAGCTCCCCTTTGCGGTCGAAGAGTTCATCAGTTTTGTTTATCGCAGTTGGTGAGATAAATGTCCTGGGCAAAATAAGTTTTTCTGCGACCTGGGCTTTGTCGAGAGCCACCACCAGTCCCTGTTGATGTCGATTAAGTTGGGTTGCCAGTTTATCCTGCGTAAGGTCCAGCATGTCACTGATCGTCGTGGGTTCAAACACATACAGCATATTGACCAATGTTCCAATCGTCACGGCTCCTCCAATGATCTGCTCACGGAAGAACTGCTCTGGCGTGAGTTGAGCATCGTTGGTGAGGAGAAGCTGTAGGAATAATAGTCGTGCCAAGAACTCGAGCTCCACACGATCCCCTGCAAGCATTTTCAGGCGTAAGTCGTTGTCCATCTGTTGTTTTGTTGAACTTGGTGTCGGAAGCTCGTGCCACATCTGCTCGACATCTCTTACAAGGGTAGAAAAGTTCCGATCCTTGAAGTCTGATTGGTCTAGGGCGTGCGGGCTTGAACACACGAAGAATACAACAAAGTGCGTCCTTGCTAGATCGATCACCGTCGCAGTCTTTCCGGAACCTGATCGACCAACCAAGGCCACTACGCTGAGATTAGTCGTCTTGCCGATGTCGCTCTCGACAATCTCACGCAGCGTCTTGTTATCACTTGACGTCGATTCCTTGTCCAGCACCATTCCTAGCATCGCTTCCTTCATGGTACTCGCCGTGGTTCCGTATGGCAGGGCATTTTTATAGAACGGCCCTAGCCGTTCCTTTTGAGCTGTCTCGACATTTGTTGCATCGACAGTATGCCAGACGTGAAGTTGACTTGCGTCCTTGATGATTAGTGCCAGTTCTTTCTCAAGGCTGTCATAGGGAATATATCTCTTTGGGATAGGAGTTGCTGTGGTATTAAAAACGAGAAAAGAATAGACGTGGCTTTAGAGAAGTATGACGTGATGTGTAAGACGAATACAAAACACTGTTGCTGCACTTACCAGACATCGGCGTGCCATGAAGACATTCATCTGAGAGGTGGCCAGAGAGGCAAGTGGAAATACGGGTAGGGATAGGTGCAGGGACTATGTTAGTGCAACAGGACGCGTGAATTGAGGTTAGCAAGAGGAACAAGCTCATGCGCAGGGTATGAGTAAGAGCAAAGCGCGTTTGATTACCTGGAGCGGGCCGTTGGACGATGATGTAGGTGTTGTCGTCGGGACTCGCGGCAAACAGCGTGGAAAGGACTGCTCTAGGGTTGTTCAGCTCTGTCTTGTCGTGGATGGTTCCGTCGTCATGAATGGAGACACGGCAGAGGGTGAGCTTGTTTGCATCACCATCGCGGAAATCGTTGGGTTTCTTGCGTACGATTGCGTCTTTGAGGTCGTCGACGTCATGCGACGGTGGGATGTCCCTGATCTTGAAGGCATCCTTCATAGGTTCGCCATCAACAAGACAGTACAGGGTCAGGTTGTCGGTCATGGTTCTGCGAAGAATCAGTGGAAATGGGGTGAAGAAGGCTGGAAGGTGAAGGATATGGAGAAGTCGAGGGGTGAAAGAAAAAAAAAGCGAAGGGATGAAAGAGGGTGTGAAATTAAAAGGAAAGAAAGAAGGGCGTGGTAACGGCAGCGAAGGCGATGAAGGTAATGGGGAGATGACCAATTTCGGGCCAGCTGTCGCGTCCACTGACCTTGTTTTGCTACTATTGTTTTGCCACCATTGTTTTGCCACCATTGTTTTGCTATCATGGATGGTGGTAACAAAACAAATGAAGTCATTGCACCACGCATACAAACACACACAGACATATTCATTCGACACACATAGCCAAGTATGAGGGACAAAAAGGCAAAGAAAAAATAATACACATGTGCAGACAAAAGAGACAGACAGAGAAAGAGCGAGATGTATGGAAAGATAGCGAAAGAGATAGTCTTTTTTATTTCAAGTCGTATGCACTTTTAGTACTTCTGCTTTGGTCGTTGTTTACTGTTATCCTTCTTTCCAGGAAGACAGCACGCATAGTCAACCAATTGTTTAACGAGACGAATGGTTTCCTCATTCATAAGGGCGTCTCGAGAAGAGCGCGAGAAGGACTCCACTAGAGCACGAACGCTATCGTGCATACGATTTTGTTCATGCTCCTCTTTGGTGATCTCGTCTCGCTCGATGTTTTCCTCCTTGAAGTCTATAGCAGTCGTGTCGGCAGTTCTTGAGACACAGTCCGAACGCTCCTGGCGCCTCTCCCTCCAATAGGCGTCATAGATGTTAGCAATGTCGACAGGTGTAACAAAGTTATCGCGCGAAAGTGTCCCCTCAGAGAGGCGGCTTTAGAGAACATCGGAATGGAGGGTAAGTTTGTCCTTGATGGCTCGTATTCCCAAGCCCAGCTTGATGTAGCTTAGGATTTCCTCTCGGAGTGGCTTGCTAATACGCAGGTGCTGAAATCCCTCAAGCTCGCCTAAGACGTGGCCTGTATGGCGGCCATAATATGTCAAACGAACACGCTTGCTCGAATTGATAACAGGGTAGCCAGGAGCTGGGGGATGATCGTCCTTGAACTTGTGGACATAGACACGAGCGAGGCATCCCATGTGCCTGGAAGACTTAAAAACCTGGCGACGCTTTTTACCCTCAGCCTTCTTCTTGATCTCGGGCTTGCCGGCGCAATGACAGTACCAGGTCTCTGTGTACAAGAATGGACTGGCCTCCGAGCAAACTTCACTCGTCTCCTACCGCCAGTGAAACAGGTGCTGTGCTATCCATCTCAAGCCAGTCTTCGTACGTTCGCTCGGAGAAGTAAAACATCTTGGGCTCGCAATCGAAATATACGCCTCTCGGGGAATAAGGCTTCTGCAAAGTGACAAGAGGATACGGAATAGAACCTTCAAGCCATGGAGCATCACCAGCGAGGCGCGCCTAAGGGTTTTAAGGGCGGCGGGTTCGTCTCGGTATACAGCTGCAAGCGTCTCTTGCTCTTCTTTGGCACCGGCGCCGCCTTGTTCCTTTTCCTCTTCCCTCAAAGCAGAAGCTATTCCTGGAAGGGGATCAAGGAACTCAGCTACATCCTCTTCACGAAGGTCATCGATTCCGCAAGGCTGGAATGTCAAGGTTGGCAAAGGGTTGTCCTGTTTATTGTCCATATGGGCTAACACAAGTGAGTTCGATAAAACCTCGGTAAGTCATTACAAAGAACAGGTACACGAGTGTTTTGGATAACAGTTTTTCAAAACATAACTTCTGTTTTTACCTTTTCTTAACTTTTGATGCATGAGCGGCTCAATGAGCAAAGGAGAGGGGTGAAGATGGAGACCGGATGAGGTGTAGCTGTTTTTTTTTTCCAACTGACAGGCTCACATGTGCGACTGTTTTTCATTCTTAGGCGGACAGCAAGGGCCCTTTTCCATTTCCCTTTTCACCGCTTCTTTTGCCTCCGTCCAGAACACAACATGGTTCAAGTTACAATGCGACGTTACTCTATCCATGTCCTTGGACCTGGGATTTAGGGAAGGCAGCTGCGCCTGTAACAAGGCCACTTGCCCAGTAGCAGCGCTTGTTAATACCTACTACTGTAGTAATGAGAATATGGTAGGGTGGATGAGAGTCTTCGTCGTTGTTGCTCTGGTCATTTTTTTGTTAATATGTATGCCTTTTTGTTTTCTTTCTTGCTTTTTTGAGCGACGGTTGCTCACAATGAAGAAAACGTGCAGGCCTTTACCAACACCTACTACCTAACGTATTCTTCTATGTATAAAACAGATGGGGGAGGGAGGAGGGGGGAGGGGCATTCTTGGGTCAAGGCATTGCGGTCTGCCAGACTCAAGGACGAGGAAAACTGTGGGGTCAACGTGGGTATTGATTATATTCACGTTGATTTTGTTTGAGTTGTGTGCGTTTGTTTTTTTTCCTTCTTCTCGTTGGAGATCTAATGCTTAGGAAATCTAAAGAGTAAGCGTGAACAAGAGTCGCTCGGGCCTTCGGTAGCTTGGTTAAGGATCTTTTCAGTTGAAAAGAATGGCGTTGCTGAGTGTAGTTCATGAGGCTTTAGTACAATAAAGCAAAGGGGGCCTGAATGTTTTGCTCTCTCACCAATTTGTTGCCATCTCGACCAGATGTCTTTGTGCGACGTGAATACGAAGAGCGTGAAAATAATAAAATAATACTAGGATTTTTTTTTCTTCTTTTATTCTAGAACTCCGCCCCCATTCTACTCGTCCCAGCTGCGCCCAAGGATTTCTCCCAGATTCGTCTCATCGACCAACGACTTTTGCCACCCACTCAACATCCCCTGCATAATCTGCTCAATATCCCTCTCCGAGATCCCTAACGCGTCGCCCATGGTAATACACCCCAATTTGCCGCTACTGTTCCTCAATCGTGCCAAATACAACAGAGACTGGCTCGTGATCCCGGGGCAACCGATAATGGTCAGGCAGACCAAGGACTTTGCGGTCTCGGAGAGCGATTCCATGGCGGTGTTGGAGATTGTTGAGATGTAGGAGAGGTCGAGGAGTTGGAGGTTTGGACAGGATTCGCATAGGAGCGCTAGGGCTCTGTCTGTGATGGAGTCTTCCTTGACCTTTTCCTCCTCCTCCTCCTCCTCCTCCTCCTGGTCTTGGTGCTGGTTCTCCGTTTCGGTGCTGGTTTCCTCTTTGACAAGTCGGTTGCCATCCGAGGGAACAGGTGTCTTTTCATTATCCACGTCAATGACTTCCTCGTCGTGGTCCTGTTCGATCTCTGCCTCGCCGTTAATGTCGCTGTTGATACCTCCACCAGTGCCGCTGTTGTTGGTGTTATCACCCTCAGCGCCGCCACCGCCAAGACCGTCCTCCAAAGACGACTCCAAAACTCCTGGACTAGCCCTGGCAAGATTCAACCACTCGAGATCCGTACACCGCTCCGCCAACAAAATTAAACACTCTTCCGTCAAAGCCCCCGTCCTACAAAGATCCAGCCACTCTGTATTCGGACAATGATTCGCTAGGGCCACGACAGACGCGGAGGTGATGTTGTCGCAGTCCGAGACTCGGAGTTGGAGAAGATGTGATCCGCATTGTTTTAGGAGTGGGGTGAGGCCCTTGTCGGAGATTTGGTAGCAGCCTGCAAAGTCTAGGGATTCGAGACGAAGGGGACTTTGTGTTGTTGTCGCGGAGCATGAGGAGAATGTAAAAGGAAAGGGTAAAGTTGTGGAAGATGAAAGACAGGACGATGAAGAGGAAGAGGAGGAAGAGGACGAGGTTGAGGAAGAAGGCGATGATCTGTGTGACAGAGTCCGTCTTGTGCTCCCAAGGAGGCCGAGGAGCCCCCGATCGGTGATCTGAGAGCACCCAGCAAGATGGAGCGAAACCAGCGTTCGAGCGGCCACACAGGCAGAGTCGCCAATCAGTTCTAGCGATCGATCCGTTACACCTTGACACTCTGAAAGGGTCAATTTGCAAAGACCGGGGCAATGGTCCATGATCGTTTTGACAGTCCAGTCGTTGACAAAGTCCCGTCTCGATAGAAGTCTCTCCGGTTCCGAAGCCGCGCCTATAGGTGCGCCTGGAGGTTGTTGTCTGGTGAGGTACTGAAAAACCGATCCAAGGATACCATATCGCCCTCCTCCTCCAATCAGACCCTGTTGCTGCTGTTCCTGTTGTTGCAGTTGAAGAAGCTGGATAGCCCGCGAGCGCAGTGCTGTCCCTCGGGCTGGTGTGGCGGGGTGCTGCATAAAGGACTGTGTCATTACCCGCTGGTGGTATGGCATTTCCTGCTGGAGGTTGATGACTTGAATCCATTGACCGCAGGTCCTGAGTGGTAAGGAAGCTGGTAGTCCATCCCTAGGTCGTATCTCTGCCAACCGCCTTCGACACCCCATGGTCGCTTGTCGACGTCGAATCCGTGCAAAGGCCCCACTAAATGGTAGTCGAGTAGGTTGTCGCTGTTGTAGTTGTAGTTGTAGTTGTAGTTGGTCTAAAGGTTGTTGTTCTTGCTGAAGTGGTGCTCTGTTGTTGCTGCGCCAGAGGGAGGCAGTATTCGCAGATGGAAAGACGACGGAAACAGGAAAGGTAGCAGCATCCTGAAGGGCAGAAAGGGCAGACGCAGAGGAGGTCGAGATCCAAGCGTGGAGGGCGTCGAATGTAGAGACCAGTTTCATCAGGGGCGTCTCGTCATCTGAGGCTTCATAATCGCTACTGTCGCTCAGGAGGACCCCGTCGTCGGAATCAAAGTCCATTGGCCCAACGACATCATCCTCACTGTCACTATCGTCTGAAGAACCACCTTCGTCGTCGTCGTCGTCGTCGTCATCCTCATCGCTTGTCAGCATATTTGTTGTGGTTCGTGCCCTCCTCCTCCTTGATGCTCCTCCTCCTCCATTAATAGTATCAGTACCTCCCCTGACAGGTCCGCTTCCACTCCAAGTCCTGCTGTGGGTCCTCGACGTCGCATTTCTGATCTCCCTCCCCCTCAAATCTCCCTCCATATCCTCTTCCTCCTGCGGTCGATGTTGTTGCGTTGAAGAACCAGAGCTCGTCATCCCCTGACCATCAACCTGCGCTTCCTCTCTTCCCTGATGCTGCTGCATCCGTCGTCGTGCAGCAAGCTCCAGTCGTTTCCGTCTGAGCTCCCGAAGTCGCCTAGCCTTCTCCCGCTTCTTCCACACCAACCACTGCCCAAGCTCCTGTCGATCCAGGTCATGTAATCGGTCAGAGGCCAGGGCTTTTGCTCGGTCGGTCTGCCATAGATGGAGCCAGGCGAGTTGTCGCTGCTGTGTCTGCTGAAGGAGAATCTGCTGCAGCTGTAGTTGCAACGAGAGCGGGTTGCCGTTTCCCCTTCCCCCTGCAATTGGATCCAGCCTACTATTATCCGGAATCAAGTTGCTGCTGCCGTTGCGAGTTCCATGCTCGCCGTCGCCGTAGTGGTTATCCGTATGTCCGTAGTTCTGTGACTCCGCCAGAGAGAGAGTAGGTTGCCTTGGTATCGTCGTCGTCGTCGAAAAGGATGATGCAGAAGTAACAGCAGTAGAAAAGGCAGAGGCAGAGGCGGAGGCAGAACTAGTGCGACCTGTCGTGGACATTGCTGTGATTGGGTGAAACCGAGACCAGTGTTGCGACCAAAGCACACGAGGCGCCTTCCAAACCAGAGGGCCGACGAGCGAGTACCAGCTGTGACAGACCAGCGCGCACCGGATCAACGTCCGTGTATGATGGGCCGCTGCAAGGTGGCGGAAGACTTGGACCAGGATCTCGGGGGGAAGGTGGGTGTTGATAGAGTGGGAAGGAGAGGGAGAAGGAGTTTGGATGGCAGTAGTGGTGTTTGTCAGGAGGAGGTGCGATTCTGTAGATAGGGTTGTCGAGGGGGGAGAAGGGGGTATGGTCGTCGTCGTCGTTGTGGTTGACGCCGACGAGGAAAAGATGTAGGGTAGCATCGTAGTTAACGAAAGGGAAGAAACAGAGGGTAAGACGGAAGTGAAAGAGGAGGGAGGAGTAAACGAAAGGGAAGAAAAAAAAGAACCAAAGGTGGAAGAGGAAGAAGAAGGGCTGTAGCTGAAAAGGGATGGTGTGTCTCCGTATTTAGTCGTCGTGTGTGGCTCTGTTTCTGCTCCTGGCTCAATAATGGCGGTTGAACGGTCGACCGCGACAGCCGCTGCTGTCTCGAGAAGGCTACTGTCTTCTTGGTCCAATGCAACTGCATTAGATCGTGCCCCTCCAAACCCAAACGTTTCTGCTGACAATAAAGACGAGGAAGGAGGATCAGAAGAAGTAAATTCCAAGGCGGATGGTAAAGACGAAATGGCGGTAGGGGAGCGACGACGACGTCGGTAGGACAGAGCGGTCCTGTGAGTGTCTCTCCACCTCCGGAAGAATCGCAGCCGATGCAAGAAGTAGAGAGTGTAGAGGACAAGTCCTTGGAGGGTCGTGATATCCACAACCATCATTGCACTCATCGGGTGGAGGTGGTGACTCTGGGGTTGTTGACCATTGCCGGTGTTGTAACGAGTGTCGCGAGAGTTGTGGGGTGAAGAAGATGGAAACTGAGGGATGTTGTTGCTGCAGTAGGGATGATTGGGTAATAAACCGAGAGCAGGCGGAATATTTGAATGGAGACGCAGCGGCAGTTTTGGTTGTTGCTGTTGCTGTTGTCGACAGTGTTGAAGGTGAAGTTGTTCGAGGTGCATACGAAAGTCCTGCATTGAGGGACCTGCGTGCAAGGACCCATGTTCTTGTTGTTGATGTTGTTGGTCACGCGGGTGGTGGTTATGGTGTAGTGTTGTTGTTGTCGTCTGTGCCTTTGTATAGGGGCGTCGTTCGATGTGGGGTGAGTAAGGGGGTGGAGAAGAAGAAAACCGAGGGTAAGGACAGGGCGGACGAGGAGGTGGAGGAGGACTGAGGGACCTCATTGATGTCCTGGTTTTGATTTAATGTTGATGCAAGGTGAAAGAGAGGTTGTCCTGTTCAAGTGTCGGTTTGACTAGAGGAGGCAGACAAAGACTAATGAAGCAGGTCCGTGACACCACGTGTGCCAAGGCAATGGTAGCGAAGCAAGGAAAGTAAGAGCAAAGGCAGAAGGCAATAAAAACGGGAAAGGATGAATGGTCAGTTCAAGATATAGCTGCGTTGGATGGTTTGAGTTTTTTAATGTCTGTTGTCAGCGAGAAGAATGAAGAAGAGATGTAGGCATCCTGGCAGAACAGGAAAACACCGGTTAACTCACCAATGTTTTAGAGAGTGAGCGAGAGAGTGGGGGAGAAAGAGAAAGAGAAAGATGAGGCACAATGGTAAAAGGAGAAAAAAAAGGGCAGAGAGAGAGAGAGAGAGAGAGAGAGAGAGAGAGAGAGAGAGAGAGAGAGAGAGAGAGAGAGAGAGAGAGAGAGAGAGAGAGAGAGAGAGAGAGAGAGAGAGAGAGAGAGAGAGAGAGAGAGAGAGAGAGAGAGAGAGAGAGAGAGAGAGAGAGAGAGAGAGAGAGAGAGAGAGAGAGAGAGAGAGAGAGAGAGAGAGAGAGAGAGAGAGAGAGAGAGAGAGAGAGTCGGCAACGGATGTTCGGAGAAGAGAGAAGAGAGAAGAGAGAAAGAAAAATGCAAGCCCAGCGCCTTTCTTCAACATAAACATGCGATCATTGGACGTGTTCTGAATTTTTTTTTCTTCTCCAGAAAGCACCACTGTGGGCGATTTTTCGTGTGACCTTGCTTTTCGTTCATTATGTTGGCCTGTGCGTACTACTGTTACAAGCTACATCACTACGTCAATCCTTCGACGCCTTGGCCTCGGGTCCTGGTGTTGCTCCCTCAACCTCCTCAATGCTTCGCTTGCTAGCGCCAGTCGTCTCCTCACCCTTGCCATCAGCACTCATCGCACTCGGCGTCTCAGCAGGGGTCTCTGCTGGAGTCACAACAGGAGTAGTCTCTGCTGGCGTCACTGCTGCAGATGCTGTAGTGCTGTTGGCAGTGCTGTCGACAGTGTTGAGCGTAGCCTGGAACCCGGCTGACGTATCCTGCTTGCACACCTCACGGATCGCCATCGTCGCATACTGGCTCGACTTGAGCGTCAGGTTCAAAATCAAAGCCAAGTACTTTCCATCAGGAACAAGCAGCGGCTGAGGCTTGCCTTCCATCCTCTCCTGATCTGTAAGCGTCAAGGGGATATCTGCCTGGTCATAGCGGACAATCTCCCATTCGACATTCTCGGGCTTGCTCAGGAAGCTGCGGTACGATCCCGACAGCGAGTATTCCTTGTTGCCGCGCTTCATCGAGTGAGGGTCCAGTCCGTCCTTAGCCATCAATTCCTTGTACTTGGCTCCGATAGCGTGGGTTGGGTAGATCACATCAAAGCCGGGCAATGGCAGAATCACATCGTAGATCGTGTATTGGTCCACATCCTCCTCAGTCAACACCTTGGCGCGGACATGTGAATCGCCCTTGGAAGATGCTCCCCTGTTGTTGTCGTTGCTGTTGTCATCCATGTTTTCATCCCCAGCCTCCAATGCATTCTTGTCGATCGCCACCAAGTCTCCAACAACTGGCTTGTCAGCGCCGTAGAGGGCGATACGCTCCGTGACCATGTGGTTCCAGATGTAAGACTGGTAGGCATGGACATACATCAATCTCAGGTTCCTGGGGATGTTGTTCAACGCCTCAAACGGTTGACGCTGGTGACCGGTCTTTTGGAACGACCAAAGAATCTGGTACTCGGCGACCCATCGCCTGGGGAACAACTTGATGGCTTCCTTAGCATCCTTGTGCTCTGCCCAGTGCTTCCTAGCCTTCTCCAGATCTGGTCCTTCACCCAAGCGAGGCTTCATAATCAAGTCGACAGCAGCCTCCCATTCGCCTCTCAAGATGGCTCCACCGACCTCATGGGTTCCGACGGATCCAGTACCAAAACGCTGCATGCCAAAGTAGTTGATAAAGCCCTTGTCCCGAAGCGATGTCATCGATTTGTTCAGTGTATCCTCCGAGTCGACCTGGACGTTGCGAAGAGTGATCATGAATCGGTTTCCATTGAGATCGCCGAGCTTCAGCGACTTTGGCACGTAGCTAAAGTTGCCCAGGTTCATGTTCCGCAGGCCCTTGTTGAGGGCGAGCAAGCGCTCCGCCTTGACCTTGTGCGCCGTCACCCACTGAGAAGTAATGCCTCTCCTGTCCTTGGTTCCTGCAAATGTGAATACCTTTCCAGGTACACTATATATCCATCAGAACAATTGAGGTAAGGTCGGTTAGCAAACAGGTCGATCTGAGTCGTTGTGCTCGTCGTGGTATTTGCTTTCCTGATTTGTGTTTGACATACATTGACAGCAGTTTCTGCGTAGCATGACAGTCCATTTTTTTCTTTACCGAAGCGTGGTAGTCAGATGGTTGATTGCCTCCATGGTCTCACGGTTCTCCTTGAACAAGCAAAAGCGGCAGAACTCTCCTCCAAGATCCTTCCAGATATCGTACTTGACCTTTCCTCTTCTGTCTAATGTTCCAAAAAGTCGAATGGTTAGAATTGCATTCTAACTGCGAGAATCGTCTGATAACAAGTTAGGAATGCATACGTACCAAAATCATCCTTCTTCTTGTGCATGCGAAGGCGCATGGTTCCTTCAACAGTCTCGGATATCATCCTTCCGCTGAATCGCTCCTTGATAACCTTGTGAATCATCGTCCGTTTAGCCTTGTCATCCTGGGGCTGTATTGTAAAGTGCAAACAGGCAAATAAGTCAAAAAAAAGTGATATGAAGAGTAAGTGATTGATCGTTTCAAGAACTGACCCGCTTGTAGTAAAAAGAATCCATGGCACACGTATTTCAATTTGCCTACCTTCAGGTTGACAAACTCGACATCGTTGCCGTAGCTATCAAGCATCTTCCTGATCTGGGTCATCGTCTCCTCGTCGTTATCAAGGACAGCCGCCAGCTCGGCGAGTTTGGCTTCATCACCCATCTCTCTGTTGGCCTGTTCTGCATCCTCCTTTGCCTGCAGTTGTTCCTCGCGCAATCGAATTCCTTCGGGATCAGGCACTGGCAGATCGTACGATGTCAAACGCACCGTCTGATTCTCCTGGTCGACTTCATTCACAATGAAGTCAGAGTACCTTAATAAAGCAATGAAGAGTAAGATTTTCCTGGTCAGTTGCTTGCGAGTTGTCGCGAGGGGGGCGAAAGGTGTAAAACTTTGTGCACGGACGTCGTTTTTAGAGATAATAAGGTGAGTCTTGTTCCTTTATTTTTACCGCTGCTTAATGATAGCCGAGAACCCAGGGATGGCAGGGTCGACAAAGGTCTGGATGCCGACGATTGTCTCGGTCATGGTGGTGGCGTTGTCAGTGGCCATGGCGGAATGGGGGAGGTATGAATGTAAGAAGACGACAAGAAGGACTTTATGTTGTTCAAAAAAAATGCTGGCCATAAGCAGTCGCGAAACTCAATTGTACCACAAGCCACAAGGAACTGCTACATTTTAATTCTGATGAACGACTGTGTGCCATAGTCGATTTGCTACTTAATGCGATCTTAGAGTATTGCAAAGAAACAGATGTAAGCAAAAGAGAAAAAAGAAAAAAAAAGAAAAAGAAAGGAAAGGAACATTCACCACAGACTGCATGGGTTGGCTAAGCAAGCAAAGATATGAATGGAAAGAAAAAAAAAGTAAAAAGACGACCCTAATTCCATTTCCTGAAAAAAAAGAAAAAAAGGAAAAAAAAAAAAAACAGGGAACGCGGGCGAGAACGAGAGCCAAAGGAGCGCCTAGTATTCTTCAAAGATGTCCTGCTCGGTGGGGTCAAACGATCGCTCAAGGACGAGCTTCGAGTTGGACATTCGCTTGAACTCCCGATCATTGGCCGGCCAAGAGATCGGAGAGAGGATAGGGCTGTGTCTTTGCTTTTGCTTCTGCTGCTGCTTTTGTTGTTGTTGTTGTTGTTGCTGCTGCTGGGGGCGATCCTCAGATCCATAGTCGTTGAGCCGCTGGTTCCGAAGAATGGCGTTGTTCCCCGTCCTCTGACCAAGTTGTCCCAGCAATGGCCCAAAGGGTACTCGATCACTTGGGTGACTCGACAACATTCCGTTGAGATGCCTGGACTGCAGTTCAGGTGTATCATCGTCCATATTCAATGACCCGAGTGCAAGACGCTCCTTTGCAACGCGCGTCTCGTCGTCTTCATCATCGCGGTCCTCCTTCTCCAGATCATCGGCCTTGGCATTCTTCTGCTCCTGTCCTCCTGGCCTGCGCACGGCTCCCTGACCAAACTCATCATTCAAATCTAGTTCATGGCTCAGTGCGTGGCTCAGTCCCTCAATACTCTCGTCATAGATTCCTTGGTCAAATCCACCCTCGCTGTTGTCATCCCCTTGCCCTTCATCTTCCTCGTCATTCTCATCGTCGTCGTCCGCATCCGATCCGGACTCGGATCCCGAAGGCACCACAATAAAGCCCTCCTGCTCGTTTTCCACATTTCCCCCCAACCATCTGCGACGATCCAAATTATCCACATACTGCGAAACGAACGAGTTCATCTCCAATCGTCCAATCAAGGTCCTTCCCTTCTGTCCAGTGGCATGGGTGTTCAGAATCGAATCCGGCAATGGACAGCCAGTGTACGCGCCATTGCGAAGGCAGAAGTGAAGGTAATCCGCCCAATGGTCGTCGAGCACCAGAAGCTCCGGATTTCCAACGATCACCATCATGGCCTGAGCGCGAGTGAGGGCAACATTGAATCTCTTCCTGAAGTGAACCAATCCAAGACCTTGGCGAACATCCTGGTCAAGATACTTAGCACGACTTCGGGTAGTCGAAATAAGCATGATCCTGTACTCCTGTCCTTGATAGTCCTAATGATCATTGTCGCGAAGCAAGGTTCGTTAAAGATTACATACTGCAGTGCCAATATACAACTGGCTGAGCAGGTTTCCAAATGCTTACCTCTACTGTTCCAACGTTGACTCTGGCGTAGCCCCGAGATCGAAGCATTTGTCGCAAGAGCTTGACCTGCTCTCTGAAAGGTGCAATCACTCCGATATCGGACGTCTTGACCTTGAATGTGTCGCCCTCATCTTTCGAGCGTGTAAGAAGTCTCTCGATGGTCGAAGCAACCTTTTCGGCCTCGGCTTCATTGTACCACGAGACTGCTTCATTCACCTGAGAGGCGTCCAGACCATTCACGCCAACAAAGGCAATGGGGCATTCCGGGTTGGGCAAGATAGGTGAGCCCAACATAGACATGATCGTAGCGTCATCCGCCGAAGCAACCAAGGTGTCGTTGTAAAACATGGCCGAGGGCATCATCAACATCTTGGGGTGGCAGCGATAGTTCTGGACCAGGTTGGCAAAGCAAGGGATTGTTTTACCCAGGAGCTCCATATCCTTGGATCTCCTGTCCCCGGCGGTAAAGGGTGCCTTGCGACGAGAGAACTGCCTGTTCAAAGGATGGTCGCGGTAAAGAGGCTCGGTTGTGATCAGGCGCTCCAAGAAAGACAACTGTAGCTCTGGCAAGAACGTCTTGGGTCCAAGCTGTTGATGGTCACCGCAGAGAACGACCAGAGGCGCGGCCTCTGTCTCCTCCAAAATGCAGAGCAAGGGGATGTCGGTCTCTGGCTCGATAGCCTGAGCGGCTTCGTCGATCAGCAGGTGCGTCCAATGGGATCGACTCTGGTCCCCGTCGTTCGTCAAACCCTTGTGGGCGAGATACTCGCGCAGACTCTGGTTGCTTGCACCGGCCGAGATCAACATACCTGCGTCGGCGCAAGTACAGACAACTATACGAAAACGCAGGAGGTCATCAAGCGGCGGCATGTTGAAGTAAACCGAGCCAAAGCAGTAGGGCATGATGGCTGTGGGGACCTCGGCAAAGGTTCGGGTGGGGTCATTGAGTCGGAACAAGTACTGCGGCTTCAGGTAGGGTATAAGTCGATTCATGATTGTATCGCATGCAGAGTGGGAGGGCGCAGTGATCAAGATGTGGGACTGCGTGTCGTTCATGAGAATCTGGAGAGCGATCTCAGTCAACGTCTTGGTCTTTCCAGTGCCTATTGCAGGACGTAAATTTCATGTTAATTAATGCCATGTGCATAACAATGAACTTCAATGGTATGAATCGATCGCATTGTTTCTTGTACATACCAGGAGGCCCTGAAATGATAAAAGGGACCAGGCCATAGTCATTCCTGACAATGCTCTGGACAGTGGCCTTTTGCTCCCAGTTCAAGGACGGGTCCACAAATTCCAGCGTCAAGTGGGGAAGTTCCTTCACTGGCTGAGCATCATGAATCGTCGGGAATAAGAATGACCGTGGCGAGTAGTTCCTGTCTCCTTCACCGTCTCCATTTGAGTCTTGAACCGGATCTCGAGGGTGGTAGCCAATGTACTCCTGAACTCCACTGACAGCTCGATACATCTCTCGGATGCGATGGTTGTTGACCTGGAACTGGACGTTCCAGCGCTCATGGGCAAGCGACGGCGAGGCTCCAATTGGAAGGTGAACGTAGATGCTGTTGCTCCGCATGTTGGTCCCGTGAACAAACGTCCGGTATTCGATTCCTGCAAACACTCCGCCGGTCACCTGGCGTACGATGATAGTATCACCGCGAACGAGGAGAGGACATCTCTCAGCGAGTCCACCAACTTGGATCTGGAAATAGTTGGCGGCAGCATCGTAGAGCTTGATCTCGACCATAAACAAGTTGTAGGACGACACGTCCTCCTCAGAATGATGCTTCTCGACCTGAAGAAGAGGCAGTAGGCGAGACGCATAGCTGTCGGCTGAGAGGTCAATACTGATCTGTCCTGGGAGGATGACCTCCTGCGACTCGACTTGCTGCGGCTCCAAGGAAAACTTCCCGTTGTGCTTCTTGTAGCAAGGGTGCTCGACCGACTTGAGGTAGTCCTGAAAGTCGATTGTTTCCACCGGCTCTCCAGTGATTACCATGCGAGGCTTCGCCAAGTTGAGATTGCGCAGCCACTGCGGAGCAAACGCCTTTGCATAAGGGTCGATATCACGATCCAGCTGTGTGTTGTTGGTGACGTTCCATGTTATCTTGCGGCCAATCAGCGACGACTCGTTAATGAGAATCAGCAGCCAGCTCGAGAAGAATCCAAGGTTGGCTATGGAAACATGGAGAGATTTGTAAATGGACGCTTACGTTAGTGTCAAGGTGTCAATTAAGCATGCCAAAAGCATTGGCACTACAAAGGACGACGTCCGATACATACCCCCCGTGGACAGCTCAATGTCGATATTGCCAAACATCGGCTCAATGCCATTAGCGGGATGCGCGTAGATGACCTCTTGAGAGATACATCTCAGCTGGTCAAAGGCGTTCGGGATTATCTTAAGCGCTTGAAGCTGAACAATCTTGGGTCCATGGTTCTCGATCCTAATCGTTTTGCGAGCCACCTCCGCCTTGGGGTTGATGTTTCCAAAGTCGATTTGACCGGGAACGAGTAAATCCTGCTGCTCCCGCAACAAGTAGTCCTTGTGCTCCTCAATCCACTCAATAATCTCCTTTAGTGCCAGCGACTTTTCGAACGGTTCCTGTTTCTTGGGGGTGGTGGTGCCATCAACGGGGCTTCCCAATTCGCTGGGTGTTGTTGATTTCCCCTGTCGACTCCAGGCAGAGAGGTAGTCATACTTTTGAAGAAGTTCAAGCAAATCCAAATTCTCCTGAACAGTGTGCGAAGATTCATCCTGGTGGGGTGAGTACGACGCAGGACTCTTGGCAGCTCTCTTGTAATCTGCCGGACTAGAGGCGCGGCTTGAGGTGACCTGAGTGGGGTTCGAGCCTCGACGAGATTCGGATCCTGTGCGAGATAGGTCGGAGCCGCCGTTCATCATGCGACCAGCCTCAGCGCCCTGGCGGTTATGATTCTCAGTAGGAGGAGGAGAGGCAGAGTATGACAAGACGCCGTCGTCATATCGGTGCTGAGGCAGCATCGACGAACGATGTCCATTGGCGCTACTTCCCGACCCGTGCGAAGGACTGTTCTGAGGGTTGGGAATCGGAATGCCTGCAACAGTAGCTGCGGCGTGCGAGATCATGACCCACTCATTGCCATTGAAGATGGGGAAGTAACCAGGAGGGATCTTGAGGACGCTTGCTTGCGCTCCGTCCGAGTCAGACCTGTTCATGGGAATTCTGCCCTTGTGGGCATTGTCCTCGTGAGAAACTGGCTGTGACTGCAGCTGTGGAAATGGCTGTTGATACGCCTGTGGTGGTTGCTGGAAATGCGGCAAGGGCGGGGGTTGCTTCTGAGGATGGAACGCAGGCGTGTGTGGCACGCTGTGTTGGAGGACCCGCTGTTGTGTCGGCATAGGGGCAACAATGGGCGTGCCTGCAAAGCTCATCTGAGTCGATAGGGGGCGTCCCACGCGCTGCTGCTGCTGCTGCTGCTGCTGCTGCTGATTAAAGGCTTGATGTTGGTATTGTTGCTGTTGCTGTTGGCTAGCCGGATAGGACGGTAGAGGGGACGGGATGAACGGCCCTAGGGGAATATCCTGCTCTCCATTCGACCCATAGAACGAAGCCGCTGCGTCCGTCTGTCCGAGGAAGAGGGTTTGGGGTATACTGAGCGGCGTTTGGTCGGGATGGGATGAGAACTGACTCGAAAGGGACCAGTGGTTGCCGCTGTTGCTTCTGCTGAGGCCCTCGCCATGGCTCATACTGTCCTGGCGGTGATTGGGATGAGACGCTATCGACAGAGGAGTAAACGAGGCCGAGGGCGGCTGCAAAGGGTGCTGGGACGAGTTCCCCAGGTTCCGAGCAGAGACAGCGTCCTGGAAACCTTGACCCTGTCCAAAGAGCGGTTGGGCTCCTGGGAAGAATGTAACCGGCGACAGTCTTCCGGTAGAAAAGCCGCCGCTGTTGCTGGTGCTTATTCCGTTGTACGAGGGGGGCGAGTGAGCGATCGAACGGTTGGGGCTGGGTGTTCTCGAGAAGCGATGTTGCTGGTTGTTGGATGATGGAGTCATGTTGGGAGTCTCTTGAGTTGGAGTTTGGTGACCTGATGAAGTACCGGTGGAGAACAAGGGCACGCTCTGGCGACTCTGAAGTTGGCTTTGACGAGTAGGGGCAGGACGGTTCAGGGCACTGGAACCGAGATATCCGCTGTTCGAACCATCCAGAGTCAACTGGTGTTGATGTTGTTGCTGGTGTTGCTGTTGCTGTTGCTGCTGCGGTAATCCTCGGCTGAGATGCTGCTGTTGCTGTTGGTGCAGAGGGTATGGCGACTGGTTAGGAGGGAACTGAAGCAAGGAGGGGTGCTGGTGGTGCTGGTTGTGGAGGTGGACGGGGTTGAAAGTGGGGTGTTGGTGGTGAAGGTGGTTATGACGCGGCAAGGAGCCAGCGGGGTTGGACTCCATGGTCACCAAAGAGGGCAAGAGGACGCCAGCAGTCGAGATGGATGGGGTGTAGGTTGATATCTACGGGGACGTGGGAAGGAGGGAAGGAGGGGAGGAGAGAAGGTGGCCAAGACCGGGCAAGGTCAGACCTAGAGACACGCACACAAGGTGTGAGGGTGAGTGGTGAGGTGTGTCTGAATAGTGACTTTGAAGAAAAGGGGAACAGGGAGAGGGAAGGAGGAGTGATGTGAGAGAGAGGGAGGAAGGAGGAGGGAGGAAGAAGGAGTCGACCAGAAGGGAACGTCGCAGATGGACGAACACAAAAGGGGGAGGTGGGGTGGAGGAAGAAGAGCGAGCGAGGAGAGAAAAACAAGAAGAGAAGAAGAACAAGAATACGGGAGAGAGAGAGAGAGTGCACAGAGACAACACCGAGCGAATTTCCTCCTTCGCCTCAGACTCTCAGACTCAGACTCAAATGTTTGAAGTCAGTCAGTCAGTCAGGGAAAAAAGAAAAAAATAAAATAGGTAGACACGCTCGCATCGCCAATTTGTTTGCCACCGATGATGATGAACAATCACACCCCTTAACAACAACATTTATGTGACTGCCGTCCTCTCGTTCTCTTCTCGACACGCTCTGTTGATGGGTGGGTGAACAGGCCAACACCCAACGCAACGGTTTCCCTCCTTCTCCTCTTTCCCTCACACTCCCCAGTCAACCAGCCCGCTAACCAAACATACCCAAGCAGGACCAGCAGCAGCAGCAGCAGCAGCCGGACATTGCAACCGACACAGAGTCTTCACAGCCACGCAAACCATCACCTCGACCATCCACTCACCTAACCGAGGCAGCCTTCGCTTAAACAGACATCTCTCAACATAAAAACACGCGTGGCGTTGGCTCTCTCGACATGTCCACGCCTGTGCCACTAAATTCATCGGCGGCGCGTCCTCAAAGCGCATTCCAATCAAACGCACGTATCCCCCTCGAATATTGCGATGGCCCCACTCAGCGCATCTACGCCGTCTCGGCATTCGTCTTTCTCCAGGCACTGAAACTCTACTACTGGCTCGGGATCGCGCGTTCAGACTACGCGGCAGAATTTTTTGGCTTTATCCTCTGGCTCGCCCTTGATGTAGCATTCCTCATGGCCCTCAACTATCTCAGGATTCCTTGGCTGGAACTCCCCGTCGTTCGCATGCTCATTGCCCTCTTTGTCCTCGCTATCGTCAACTTTGTCCTCTTCACCGCAAGCGAGGTAAAGACTCTTCAGAACTATTATTCAGGAACGAAGAAATGTTGCTTGTTCGACAATTGACACCGGATCGAGTCTTACTTTATTGAATGCAAGATCAAAAGCGCGCGTAATGGTTGATGGGACGCTCTGGACGAAAGTAATTCTGAGAAAGCACTGAACAGGATCGGCACATTAGCATCACAAACAAATAGCGCACCGAATAATTGGCAGTGGATCAGGATTTGCGATTAAATCTTCACCGGATCAGGACATATTTTGACCACTTTCCTCACAATCCTCATTCCATAGATATCACCAACGGCTATTGCACGTTCATCTGCATCGAAAGGTACAGCATTGATCTTTCATGACTGCATGTCTATTGCCATATCGGAGCAAAATATATGGATCATCTAACGAACTATTTCTTCATGTTTGCATTGCTTTTTTAGTGTGGGGTTACGTTGGACTGCCAGCATGGAGTAGGGGCGAAGACCTCTCGTTCAGAAGTATGGATCAATTGAAGTCGCTGCAATATGGATCTCACAAATGTGGGCCGGGATGACAAAGCAATCTAACCGACAATCTTATTTTTTAACTATCGCATTAGATCATGACGAGCATTTGCAAGGACGACACACTGTGCTTCTCAAGCCTTACAGGTACGACTTCAGGATGAACGGTATATATTGCATGCTCTCGGATCTAAACCTTTGACTTTCCTAACGCTGAATTGTGTTTGTCTCTTTGGCTTATAGCTCAGCTATTCTTAATCCCGATGAGCAATGCTTCTGTGTGCCGGATGTCAGCCTTCCTGTCCTCGATCAGCCGGAAATCCCCATTGTCTTCAACGGAAGCGAGCCCTATTATCTGGAATACTCCATCACATCCTTCGAGACTGGACAAACAACGCTGCACAAGTTGACTGGACCTTTCAAGGAATCAAGCACTGTCCTACACAAAGCCCGTGCAAATCAGGAAGCCGCAAAGACAGTTTACAACCTTAGGGCGAACGCTCCCGGTTCGTACAAGCTCCTCAAGATTCACGACAAGGATCGCGTGGATATTCGCTTCTACCATGACAGAGAGGTCTTTGTTGTCAACTGCCCTGAGGCGCGCATCGAGAACCACAAAGACACTTTGGATCGCTGTTCAGGAAAGGGCGACGTCGATCTCCCCATCGTCGTACGAGGATTACCCCCATGGACTGTCACCTACAGGCGTCGATCGCCCAAGAAGGAGACACAGGAGCTTCTTATCGAGTCGGAGCCCGAGGGCTATTCGTCTCCTTTCCTCAAAGGATGGGCTCAGCCTGAAAATCCTAACTATTCATGGGCCAAGCAGCACGAAATGAATCTGTCTGTCAGCTTGGGACTTTCCAACCCTGGAGACTACAGCTTCCAAGTGACGATGGTCAAGGACGGCTGCGGCAACGTTATCGATCTTCAGGGACTTGTCGCCAGGAACATCAGGGAGCCAGAGATTCGACACGTTCACGTTCGCGAGAGACCATCTGTTGCCATGTTGTGCGACCCGAGGCGGCCCATCAAGATCGTCGACATGGGTGATTCCCCTTCCGTCGACATTGGACTCCATGTCAAGCGTGGATCGGCACCTTTCCAGATCGGTTATGTCTATCAAAAAACGGATCTGGATGAGCCTCAAGCGATGAAAGATATCCAGGTCTCCAAGGACAACACCAAGCCACGGATTGTTGCGACCAAGCCAGGACTCTACACCCTCTCCCACATCAAGGACGCTTACTGCGAAGGCGAGATTGAGCTTCCTCGGGATTGCTCGGTGACCGTCGCCACCCTCCCAACAGTCGACATTGTTTCTCATCCCATCAACGACTCTTGTGTCGGTGCCATTGGAGTTACCGTCGACGCAACATTCACTGGCGAAGGCCCTTGGGAAGTGTGCTTTGAGGTCTGGCGCAATGGTCAGCTCAAGAGACAAAACGTCTGTCACTCTTCACCAAAGCCTCGTCTCAATCTCGAGCTGAAGCCTGATCTGTCTGGCAACTTCAAGTATATCTTCAAGACCGTCAGCGACAAGAATTACCCTCCCATCAAGGTTAATCTCCCTCCTGTTCTCCAGAACATCCACCCCCAACCCTCTGCAGCGTTCGTTAGTGGCCAGACAGGATTGAAGACTTGCCGAGGCTTTTCAGAAAATTTGGATATCGAGCTCCATGGAACCGGACCCTGGGATATCGAATACCGCGTGATCCGTGGCACCGCCAGCCAGCTTTACAGTCAGCACAACATCACCGAGAAGACTACTACATTGGCCTTGCCTCCCTTTGAGCGTGAGGGTATTTACTCTATTGTAAATCAATTTGTTTGCATTTTATTACGCCTCATGTTGATCTAATCGTGATATTTTGGTCCTCAATACCCGGTTTTTACTAACACTATCTCATACTCTCTGTTGTCATAGGATCTCGGACGTGTCACAGATTTGGCCAACGGTTGTCAAAAAGATCTCAAAGTGGCGGATGTGGCGGTCGAGGTCTCCAACGGCCCACCAACAGCCTCATTCCAGTGCGACACCCCCATCGAATTTGCCGAGGGCGATCAGGTGGATCTCCCAATTCACCTTACAGGAGGCTCTCCCTGGTTCCTGACCTACAAGTTGGAAGGAGAGGAGGCTGTGAGCGCAGCCAAGTCAGAGTCGAGGAACGCCCTTGTTACGGTCAGCAAGCCCGGTATTTATGAGCTCAAGACTGTCAGCGATTCCTTCTGCGAAGGAGAGGTCGTTGAGCAGGCTCACCGGTGCGAGGTCGTCCATAGCAAGCGCCCAACAATGAACCTAATGATCGACTCTATCCGTTTCCGTGGTGGCCCTCGCGAGAACGTCCCGGAGGGAGAGGTCGCACCGTCTGAGAGGATTTCGCGTGATGGCGATTTCTTTAACCTTCCAGCTGTCTGCCTTAACGCTGATCGTACTCTGGAGTTGCGCTTGACAGGAAAGGCACCCTTCGAGCTTCGTTACAAGAGGATTCACAAGTCACCCAAGAAGAACGATGAGGTGGTAGAGTTGGTCGAGAGATCACAACACTCGACCATGCGCATTCCCATCATGACCGAAAAGTCTGGCACTGTCTCTTACCAATTTGTGAGCCTCTCGGATGCGACCTACCCCAACGTGGAGGTCCGCCATGAGAAGAAGCCTGTCGTTTTCAAGCATGTCGTCCGGTCACCACCAAAAGCCACGCTCGTCAACACCGCCAAACGGGAGTACTGCAGAAATGAGATCACGGGCGTCAAGGAGAAGGTTGCCATCAAAATCGAGGGAGGATCAGGACCCTATTCGTTGGCTATCGAGATCTTGCGGCCGGACCAGCCTGTGGCCAAGATTTACGAACACGATGTTGTCCCCCGTAACGGACTCTACGAGTGGACTTTGCCTGCGATGTTCACCGATACAGGAAGGTACATCGTGTCTGTTGTTCGGGTGTCGGACGCCAATGGATGCTCGGGAGGAGATGCCAGCAGGGTGGATTTCGACGTTTTGGATACCCCAAGCATCACGCCCGTGAAACACATCCCTGACAACTGTGTCGGCGACAAGATCGAATATTTTGTCCACGGCAAGAACACCCCGTAAGTATTGGGAGTTTTTTTTGTTTGGTATGAGTTCAGAGCAATCATCTTGGACAAGCGCTAACCGATCGTGTCCTTTTTTAATATGAACCTTAGAATCGAGGTGTCATACAGTTTGGATGAGTCCAAGCACACCAAGGCTCTCCAACCTGGACAGTTGTTCTCGTACCTAGCAGGTCGACCTGGATTGTTCAAGATCAACAAGGTCTGTCAGACGATATCCAAGAAGGAGTGCTGCACACAACCCAAGGAAGAGATGAGGGTCCAGTTCTGGGCGATCCCCACAGTCAAGGTGGCGGATGGTGGCAACTTGATCACAGATTTGCGGGAGGGAGACCGAGCCGAGGTGGTGGCTACTTTTGTGGGCGAGCCACCGTTCTCATGGCGGTATGCGCGCATGGAGGCTGTTTATGACGAGAAGCATCATGCCAAGCATGGCAAGCGGCCAAAGATTCTGGATACTCATACCGAGAGGAATATTCAGGGCTACACTGATACCTTCACCACCCTAACAGAAGGTAACGCGTTTTTTGCTTTGATTTTTTTTTTGTTCTCGTTTGCCATTTGTTTACCTTCACGCGTCGAGTTATCAATATACTGACATGTCGTTTTTACTTTGTGTTTTATTCTTTCGTTCTTTTTAGGTACCATTGTGCCAATTTGGATCAAGGACAAGCACTGTCAGTTCGGAAAGGAGTTCTGATCATAAACAGAGGTTACAAGGAAGCGGAGGAGGAGGGGAGGGACGATGTTGGGGAAAAGAAAAAGTAAACATTTTGCATTCAGTTTTATTATTACACCACTATTTCCGAGATATATTTTTTGTTTACTTGGAGAGACCGAGGTCCTTGGCGATCATGGCGGCTGCGATGGGGTGGAAGAACGATCTGTGCTTGATGAATGTTTCCCGTGCCAGTTCAGCACCGTTCTTGGCCTTGTAAAGCGACCTACGAATGTTTGGAAAAGGTTTTTTTTGCGGTTTGTGTTAATAAAATTGTATACAAGATTTTGTTATCGCACAAGAGTGGAAAAAAAATAATAATATCAGTTCTTACCGAAGTAAAGGTCGACACATCTTCATCCGGCCCATAGACGACGCGAACGCGACAACTTCCGGATAGATCTTTTCATAATCAGCCTTCAAGCATAACAGATGCCAACGCAGGCGGATCTCCGAGTTGCGAACGTTCGTCAGTTCATAGAGTTTGTCCATCGTGTCCAAATGCCCGTGGGGCAAGGGGACCAGTTCAGTGGCATTTTCCAGAAAGACGACTTTTTGGGTTGATGAAAAATCCTTGATATCTTCGGTGGAGAATCCTGTAGGTGGGTTTGTGTGGCGGGAGTCGTCCCATTTCTTGCAGAGGCATGTGCATGCCTTTGCGAGCGTGTCGTCAAACTTGTTATCCACTGGGGGCTATCATGGCATTGAACGAAAATGATAACGAGAATCAGTTAAGCATTTCTCGTTCGCGGGAGGGTAAACAAACGAGAGAGGGGGGGGTGAGTGGGAGCAAGAGGTTTACCATGCCGGTGCCGGCCAACCAGGCCTCCCAGTCAACCTTGTTCAAGAGATCGACCTTCTCCTGGCCAAAGGTCTTTTCCATAAACGAGTACAAGAAAGCCTTCCAATCATCCGTGTTGATCGAACGTCCTGCAAACTCTTGGACATGAGCACGCAGGTAAGGCTCAAAGACCTCGGCGCCACCCAAATGGTTCTCCAAGTAGTATAACAAGTTGAATCCCTTCTCTATTTCACGACAGAATACACCCAAAGAAAAGAAAAATGGCAAAGTCAGCCAATTGGTTGATTATCATGTTATTCAACACAAGCTCAAATATCGCTGGAAGTAAAGCACTGGTACTGTACCATAGGGAACACGAGAGAAAGAATCATCGGGATCCTCGCCGCGGAGGCAAGGACGAAGGGCGGTGAAGGGGTGATCCTGTCCATAGAGGTTAACACTCTCCTGCAAGGACTTTTTGCCCAAGATGGCACTGAAATCGCTGTGCGCCTTGCCCCTCATACGTCCCAGGATCTTGCGCTCCACAAACACAGTGAATCCCTCGTTTAACCTAAAGTAGTGCATTTCTCGCAACAGGACCGATTGAGTGTTAAATCCAATTGCCGAATATTTTCAAGAATAGACAACAAAACAAGACCAGAGTGGTCTTCGAAGGCTTACCAGAAGTGCTCCCAGTTCTCGGTGGTGACCAAGTTACCCATCCAGCTGTGCGCAATCTCATGAGCAACAACATCAACCAGCGACCGATCACCAGCCAACAGCGAAGGTGTAACAAACGTCAAACAGGGGTTCTCCATACCACCATAGGGGAACGAAGCAGGGAGAACCAAAAGGTCATACCGACCCCAATCATAGGGTGTCAAAAGCTCCTCTCCAGTCCGGATAAAGTTCTCAGTGTCAACAAACTCCCAAGCTGCAGCCTCCAGGACCTCAGGCTCGGTCCAAACAGTTGAGCGAGGTCCGATTTCACGTTCCTTCAAGTTTCCAACAGCAAGCGCAATCAGATACGAAGGAATCCGCTGCTTCTGCTCAAACTTGAATGTGGTCTTGTCACCAGCAGCATGCTTATCCTCTCCGGTAGGGACAGCAGACATGACGGCGCGCAGAGGGGTGGTGATGTTGGCGCTGTAGGTCAATTTGACCGAAGGGCTGTCCTGGCAGGGCAAGAGTGATCGCGCATGGATCGCCTGGCACTGAGTGAAAAGGTAAGGGTGCTTCTTGCCTACAGTCTGGCTGGGTTCCAGCCACTGGCAAGCGGTGCAATCCTGGGTGGTTGCATATTCGACGTTCACCTTGGTCTTGGTGCCCTTGGAAAGTGTCGTTCCCAATGTAATCGTCAATGCCGACCCGTACTTTTCATGGCGCTTGGCCAAGTCGAACTACAGTGCAACAAAACGTTGACAATGGGGTTAATGGCTGCAGCGATAACAATTGATGTGGTATGGTGTTCTTTGGAGAGCGATCTTACTTGGAGTGCTTTTCCATTAGATGAGACAGAGCGGACGTCGATATAGCTGGTGTCGAGAACGACCTTGGAGACTTTGTCGGTGATAGCTTCCAGCTCGAGCTCGGCAGAACCAGTCAGGGTCTTTGCGCTAAAGTCGACGGTGAGGTCGAGGTGGATATGGTTTGTCTTGAGCTCGTCGATGTTCGACTGCGAGGTAGGGTCGTATGGCATGGTGGATGTGTGAGTGTGAAGGGTGAAGGGTGATGATGAATGAACAAGAAAAGAAGAGAAAGCGCGATGAAATGGGCCTTAAGAGAATGATCGTTGCCCCTTTTGGACACCTCATAGGCTCATATACCCACGCCGTTTGTGTTTTCCCAGCCAATGGCAGCCTCGAACCGTGAGAATTTAACAGGCGTTTTTTTTATTCTTTAGACTTTTTTTGAGCGACAGCGAGCGTGGTTTCTGCGTTTAACTAAGGTCCATAGAGTCGAGCTTGAGGTTGTTGTTGTACAGGTCATCGCGGCTCTCGCTCTCGGCAATATACTGGTTCAGGTCGTAAGCGTTAGGTCCAGCGCGCACCTCGTTCAAGAACGAGGCGAACTTGGGCGTCAACGTAGCATCGGCAAGCTTCGACAAGAATGCAATCGCCCTCAGAGCAGACCGGACAAGCTCCTGGTTCTTCTCCAATTCTTGCTTCACTGCTGTAGGCTTCATCTTGAAGCTGAGAGTTGCGTGCAAAGGCTCGACCATATCATCCAATCCTACACAACAAATATATGAACACCAATTAGTCATCTGTCATGAACAGCACAAATTATGACCACTGGCACGCGTAGTTGAAGTGGAGACTTACTCTGGGCGACGGCAGTTGGAGAGACGATAGACAGACGGACAAGGGTCAAGTGGCAGAGCATCTTGATGTCAGGTTGGTCAGTGAGCCCAACAAGGATACGGTCAATGAACGCAAAGATCTCGACTCTGTCTCTGCACTTCTCGAGCAAGGTGTACATGCACTCAAATGCAGACTTGCGAATCTCAAGACCATCATCGACGCGATGCTTAAAGGGTCCCATCTCCACAATATGAATCAACTCCTCCACAATGTTCGTCTCCTGGTACAACAAAGGCAACAGCTGGCCAAGAACATCACGAATCAGGTAAGGCTTGTTATGAGCAGCAGAGTCCAAGGTCGAAAGAGACAAGCGGCGGACGTTGAGATCCTTGTCCTTCATCAACGACAAGAACTCGACAATGAGGGGGCGAAGAAGCTCATCATAGCTGCGAGCATTGTCAGTGAACGTGTACTTGAATGCCGAGACGACAGTACCACGGATCTGAGGAGAATCCGATCGCAAACGAGCCTATTGACATCAGTTGAAATAAAACGATGTCGGTAACTAGATTCTTAAGAAACGATAGAGTAAGATGGTTCGGTAGATCCGTAATGATGATAGTACCTGGAGCTCGGGCAAGAACTTGTAGGGGTTGGTCAAAGTCAATTTTCCGAGACACTCGGCAACGACGTTGCGAGTTCCCTCCTCCTGGCTCTCGCAGTTGTCGAACAGAAGGGCCCTATGCATCGAAAATGAAACAAGCAAACGGTTAGATCAACGGCTCCTTCTCAATCTCCAGCTCGACGTTGTCGACCACCATAACGTCCATTTTCAAACATACCAAATCTGGGAAGCATGAGCCTCCAGCTCTTGTCCACCCTGCTTCTGGGTGTAACGGGTGATGACCTCCTTGAGGGCGTGCAAAAGAAGGTAGCGCTTCTTGGGGTCCTTCTGGATCTCCTGGATGATGATGGGAACATAGACACCGACGTTTCCAGCACTGACATTGCCGATGGCAAAGGCAGCAGCCGAGCGAACCTCCTCCGAGTGGACATTGAACATGGCAAGAATCGAGGTATGAACGGTGGCATGGTTGCTCAGGGACACACGACGGCCAATCTCTCCCAAGGTAATCAATGAGAGGTACTTAAGAGAGTCAGAGGTGCGAGGTTCCTCGATCTTGCGAATAAACTCGGCAACGGTTATCTCGAGGTTCTTCTCAGAGTTTAAGCAAATGACAGCAATGCACTGGGCAATGGTCGAGAAAGCCTGCTTGGACAAGGCGAGTTGACCCTCGGGCGTAGGAACGCTGGCGGGCTCGACAAGGCTGCTCACCAAAACAGAGAACTCCTTGTCGTTGGTGCGAACGAGAGCAGCGAATAAGGCCAAGAGGCTGTCCAAAGCCTGTCCTTGGATAAGAGGCGAGCGGATGAGCTTGAAGACCAAGGGGAGGATACCCTGCTTGACAATATTGACGCTGGACGGGTTGGCGTGCAAGATGGACACAACAGAGGTCAATCCAAGTGGCAAAAGATGAAGGTCTTCCTCGGTGATCAATGGCTTCAAATCGTTCAACAACTCGTCGTAAGTCTGAACACTAAGAACCTTTCCAAAGCTATTTACCAAAAAAATGAAAAGAATAATTAGAATCAAACTGAGTAATCGAGTATGCCACAAAGGACATAGAGAGGACGAGGCGGAAATTCTTACCGACGAATGGAAACGTCCAAGAAGTGAAGACTAGCAACCTTGAGGGGGCGGTTGCTCTTTCTCAAAAGGGAAGCGACCTCGGGAATGGCCTGCAAGATGGATCCCTTAATGTCGGCCTCAGCGCAGACAGGACTCTCGACAATCTGGGAGAGGGTCTTAACAGCCATGAGGCGAGTGAGCTCGTTTTGCAGTTTCTCCAACAAAAGAGGCAAGCAGGCGGCCAACTCAGCCTTAAGCTCATCACCGACACGCGACAGGAGCACGCCCAAGCAGAGAATGCTGCGCTCCTTGACCTCCTGATCAGCATCGGCGGTCGAGACGCGCTGGAGAATGACATTGTAGATCTGGATAATGTATGGCTTGGCCTCAGCGCTCAGGGGTTCGAACGAGTACTTTTGAGCATCCTCGTCAAAGTCCATGTGACGGACAACCTTGATCAACTCCATACAACAGACCAATGCCTCCGAGGAAATCTTATAGAACTTGTCCTGAATAGCAGAGATGACAGGTGGGCAGAGCTGGTCAAGGTGTTTCTGGAAGACCTCAGGAGCATGGGTGCGGAAGAGGCTACGCAAGAATCCAAGAGCCTCGATCTTCAAGTTGGAGTTGGTGCCCAAGTGGTGGTGGTCGGACTGGGAGGCGGTCGAAAGCGACTGCTTGATGGAGGGAATAAAGAGCATGTAGTTGGTCTCCAAACCACCCTTCAAGACAGTGACGAGCTCCTTGAGAAGGACGTAGCCAAAAACACGAGTCTGAACCGACTTTGAAGACATCTGCTTGGCCAAGTTCTTGGTCAAACGAGAGACCTGTCCGCGTAAAAGAGCCTTGGGGCTAATATTTAGGAATAGGACGAGGTGTCTAGTAAGTGTTCTGTATCAATTGACCACGCGTCTACCAATAGCAACGACAAAATACCTTTGGTCAGTCTCAATGGGAGTACCAGGGCGACTACCCTTTCTCTTCTTGTGCAGGCTCTCGAGGGTGGCGTCAATCTCGTACTCTGCTCCTCCGTAGGTGTTGGTTTGGCGAAGCAAAGCAATAAAAGTCTGCAAAATCTCGAGACGGACAGTCTCCTCGCGCTCCTTGAAACGGTTGATGAGTGTAGGGGCGATGGTAGAGTAAAGCTGTGCAAGAAGATCCTGACGAGTTCCGATAATGGCTGCGAGAAGCTTGGCGGATGTGCGACGGACCTTCCATGACATATCATCGTCGTCGGAGTATTCACTATAAAAAAGACGCCGAGTCCATGAATTAGCTCACATTCACATTCACATTCACATTCACATATCGGAATAAAAATGATAGCCAAACAAAAGATATCACGAAGGCACTACTTACCCATCGTCATCCTCATCATCGTCATCCTCGTTATCGCTGCCCATCTCCTCATCTTCATCGTCCTCGTCGTCCTCACCATCATCATAGTTGGGATCGTAGCGGAGGAACTTCAGTCCGAGTTCAATGATGGTATCAATGTATGGTGTGATCTCGCCTGGGCAGCGAAGGACGAAGGCCTCCAATGCTTGCAAGGCGTTCTCACGAAGCTCGTCATCATCCAGATCCGTGTACTTGATGACTGAAGGAGCAACTCCAGGGAGGAACTTGCCAAACCGGGGGGCATTCGAACGACTGTTACAAAAAGAGCAAATGAAGTCAACCGACCACGATAAAGTTAGAAGTGGCGCAGCTTAGTGAACACATTTTACACTTTTTTGGCGTACGCAATTGACAATGCCGTAAATCCCATTTGAATGCAGCAGTGAGTGCCTTACCTGATGGTGCCGGTGACCTGGATATATGTGCGGAGGCGGTCAGGCGAGTTCTTGGAGGTCTCGAGTCCGTTGAGGATCTTCTTCAAGAGATCCTCAAAGATATCGTCAGGCATATGAGCCACGAGATGGCCGATGGCTGTGGTGGCACGCTTACGCAGGGCTGGGCGAGCGTGGCTCAAAAGAGTAAAGAGAGTGTTGGCGGTCTGCTTCTGAAGACCGATGGTGGCGAAAATGTTTCCAAATCTGAGAAGAACCTCGCTAAGGATGTCAAGTGAATCCATCTGGGCATCATAGCTTGAGCTGGGCTAGCAACAATAGGAGAGAGATTAGACTGCGGTTAGCCCTAGCCCTTTTTTGTACTTTTTGTTCTGGCAGATTCTCAAGGGTGGTAAAAAAAACTGTCGATTTTGGTGACAAAAAGGCGTCTCTTACGTTCTCGAGTGTTGCGAGTAACCGAGGAACCAAACGCTTGCAAACATTGACGGCGACGACCGAGTTGGTGGGGACCTGGACTATAACGGTCTTGAGACCGATACTGGCAATCTCCCGAAGATCCTCCTTGTCCTGAGACACGAACGCGCACAAGTTATCAACAATCTGCTGCAGCTGTGACTCCTGGACCTTTTTCACGAGGGAACCCAGGCTATGCAAAGGAAGGAAGGGAGTTGAGAGATAAAGAAAGACGACGGTCAGAATAACGTCGGGAAAGCATGCAGAGACGTGGGTTGCCCAAGAAGCTCAAAAACAGAGTCCACGAGCCACCATTTACCATTTGACGGCTTGGTTCTGAACTTCTCCATTCTTGTCCTTCATCAAGAGAAGAACCTTGTCGACAACCTTCTTCTCTGTCGATTCTTCGAGGCTGAAGGCGGGGCTCTGGAGCTCAGTGATGAGATCGTTCAGGGCCATGAAACGGAAGTCGTTGTCTTCGGAGCCCATCTATTTTGCATGGAGGCATGGTCAAAGTCAGTTGTCGCGTTCCGTTTCTTTTTTTTTGTAATGACTGGAGGCGTGAGAAGAGAGGGCCGTGTGAATACCTTCTCCAACAACGACGCGACCAGGTAGGCGCTTGTGTTTGCAACCATGGTGAATGGAAAAGTAAAAAGTGAAGAAAGGTGTAAAAAAGGGGAGTGAGGGTGAAGGTGAATAAGGAAGGAAGAAAGGGGAACGAGGGGGAAGTGGGAGTGAAAAAGGTAAAGGATAAAGAAGAAGAAAGAAAAGGAAAAAGAGGTGGCAAAGGCAATGGGACTACGGAGCAGACTCGCGAAGAAGGGAACAAACGGTCAAAGGGGGTGAAAGAGGGTCTTCCTGTGATCGCATGCGCTGCTTTGGCTTCTGATTGGCCATTCAAGGGTGCACGCAAGCTACGGCCCAAAGGGTGCCCACACTTCTCCTGGGTTGGGGACACACATCGCAGCTGGTTTCGCCCAATTCTTCACCTTTATCTTTGTCACACGCGGCTCCTTTTGTCTTCTTCTTCTTCTCTTTCTTCTTCTTCTCTTTCTTCTTCTTCGTCTCTAACAAACACACACTTCATCCCATTGGACCTCCTCCTTAGCTCCCTCTCCTACACCTCTCATTCCAACCAACTCACTTCTTTGCACTTTCCCCCGCACCCTTTCATACTCATTCCACAGTCGCCAACCTCACCTCGCTTGCAATCAACGCCATCCCTCTCACAACAATCGTCGCCCTTTTTACCTTGAAACTCAACTTACCTATTCCCTTTAACAGCGCCAACAAACAACGACAACAAGAAAACCAACTGATACAGCGTCATGGAAGTACTCAGCAGTGAAGCATCGACTCCCTTCTACTCCACGTCCGATACCCCAGCTACACAACCCGACGACGACGTTGGACCACTCGCCCGCGCCCTCAGCCTGTCACCCAAGGGGCTGACACCTCAGAGGTGGTTTGTCGAACTGGCCCTTCACGAAATCGGACTGAGCCCTCACCCACACATCTTTTACCTCAACCCCAACGGGATCAGCGACAACCATGGGGCCGTCAACATGGCCTGCTCAATTTGCTTCAAGCAGTACACCATCGTGACCACAACAGGACAGGGGTACTGCCCAGGTCAACTCCACCATTTCCACTCCCAATTCGAACCAGACTCGGTGGCTGCAAAGTGCTGCCACTGTGGTACGTCTGTCGATGCCTTCCTTGAGCAATCCACAATCCCCCAGAGTCTGATCTACAGAATCCGGACGAACCGACGACCCAAGGTCAATAACCCGGACCACCCTCACTTCCACGACACTCTCGGTGTTCTTATACGGATCCTCGAGAATGCGACGAAGCCCGACTGTGGTAGTGTGAACATGGGCTCGAACATGTTCAATGCTAAAGTCCTTCTGGACGACTCCAGGTACCGATTGATTCAATTTGATTATGTGCTCCCTTTGCGTGCCTCTTTGTTTCCTTGATTCTTTGATTCGTTGATGAATGAGTCCAATCAATGCACATGCGTGTCACTTACCGTTACCCTCCTCGTTCTTTGTAATAAAGTAAGAAGTTCTTTGAGAGGACCAAGTTTTCTCTCGTCGACGGTCGTCTCCAGCCTCCAGAGTATACCCCGGACAACATCCAATTCTTGAACCGTTGTCTGTTCCAACTGCAGCTGGTGCTGCTTCAGGAAAACCCATCTGAAGTCAAAGGTATGTCCCACTCACATTCTCGTTCAATACGAAATTCAACACGTACATGCAAGCAAAGCCATTGTAGATGAAGTAGAAAAATTATCCTACAGGCATTGATGGGAAAAGAAACTGGGGGAGCATGAGTTCTTGGTCTTCAAAGCACGAAAGTGAATGGGCAGATCGCTTTTTATATTTCCCTTCCTTCGCCACGAGTACGCTTACGTTTTTCTATTGACTGGTGGTAGTCCATCTTGCCCTTGTTAACTTATGTTCTCGTTGTCAGATTCGTATGGAGTATCATCTGAAGATATGGGGTTTGGCAGTGCGTTGATGTTTTCTGCAACTTTCCAGTCCGTTGGACAACTTTATTTCTGATTGAGTTTTGTGCATGATACAGTGATAGAAATTAAGTGATCACTATGTTTGATTTTTGTGATGGCTGATGTGTTTCATCAACAATGGATGGATCGATGGATGAAGGAAGATACCCTTTGGTTCTTCATCACAAAGAATGCAATAGAAAAAGTAACTGACTGATATGCTGCAAATCATTTACGAAAACCTAACGATCATGTTGTCAATACATACTTTAGGGCTGATACCTGCACATACACTTCTACTGGAGAGGCTCGGAGCCGCCAAATGTAAGCGCTGATGTGCCACATCTTTGCCTTGACGATCTAGCTTACTCAGCACACTTACTCAACGTTTGACACTTCCATGATGATTTAGACGCGCTAGAAAAGGGCGAGAAGAACATCAACCTATCGGAGAAGGCATCGCTTCTGCAAGAACGCGACTCTTACTACGGGAAACTTGGTTGTGTCAGCGACATGACCGACGATCTCATCATCGAGGCGTTCAGGACACAAATCGCACACGACGTTTCAGCATCTCACCCTCTTGTCGACGCCCTTTCAGAGATTCAAAAAAAGCGAAGGAGCGAGAAGCTGGAGATCGAGATCATCTGCCAAAAGTCTGAAGGCATCGTCACCACAGCGGAGCTCAGGAACGCATATCGACATTTCGAGATCCCGGACAATGGCGAGGGTATCAGCACGGAAATATTGTTGGGCTTGATTAGAGGGTCGCTAAAGTCGGGATCCAAGGAGAATCTCAGGATCATCGCCAAGGCTCGCAGCGACCCGGAACTTGACCAATTGCTCGAGCAACCAGAAGATGATATCCCCTTGGACGACCCCATCTTGGACTTGTACTATGCATCCAACCCAGTCGGCCTCTCCAACATTGGAAACACCTGCTACCTCAACTCTCTACTCCAGTACATGTATACCATCAAGGACATTCGCGAGACTGTGCTCAACATGGACGCGTATATTGAAAACGAGCATGAGGAATACTGGAAGGAAAAGGTCATTGACGGAAGGACCTTGACTAAAAAAGACGTCGCCGAAGCCAAAGAGAGTAAGTTACATCTCTGTCTATGTTGCGATGGAGCCACCGATAGCCGTTGAGTATTAATAACTTTTTTTCGCCGGTTGTTCTATCGAAATAGTTGTTGTGGAGTTGAACAAGCTGTTCAATCTCATGCAGTCTGCCAAGGCAAGATCTGTGACTCCTTCCAACAGGCTTGTGGAATTGCTCCTTTCGACGGGCGGTGTGGAAAATGCAGCAGACAGTACCTTAAAGAATGCCGACCAATTTTTTCAGCAACAGGACGTGTCTGGTATGTGATCACGCAAGTTGGACGTTGGCCGAAACCTTGGACTCGGCTCATGTTCCAAAGCTAATCATCTCCCGAACTATTCTCTTTCTATAGAAACCATGGGCATTTTGATGTATCGTCTCTCGACCGCCTTCCAGCCTATTGTGTCCGAACCAGGGGCCAAACCTATCGACCGCTTCAGCAAGTAAAGTCACTCACACATATTTTTCTGCGATAAATGATGTTTGTGTCCCAAAGCACTATCGACTAACGCCACCAATTTCGATCGAAATTATTGTAGACATTTCTACGTCAAGGCAAACAAGACGAAGGTTGAGGAGGGAAAGAAGCGACTGATCCAGGAGGATTTCAGCACGATGATTTTGAATGTCAAGGACGACACGTCTTTAGAAGAGCTCATGGACGACTATTTTGACGCTGAAGAACCCGAGTTATCTTTGCCAACCTCGGCAGCTGTAGCTACCGGAGAAGAAGGGAGCAAGGATGCAAACGAGGCAAAGGACGCAAAGGATGCAAAGATGATCGACATCACAGTAACAGAGCTACCCCCGGTCCTTCAAATCCACCTGCTCAGGACGCAGTTTGACATAAATGACAAAACTTCGTACAAGACACACGCCACAGTTACACTCCCGAAGCGGATTTATCTGGACCAGTACCTCGAATCGAATCAAGAGGAACAGGCCGCACGGTTTAAGCGGATGAAACTGTGGAAGAAGGAGCGGCGTGTTTGTCGCAAAATGCTTGATTTCAAAAAGCGGCCTCTCTACCGTCATGGAAGTCCTCCTCTGAGTGGGTGCGCTGAACCCAATAGTTCACCTCAGGCTGATGCCACCGCACCGCCACCCGACGAACTGAGCCCCAATTCTACTTCTCCTGAAGCTGATCCACGTCTTGAAGATCTTGGTACATTTTCAAAGTTATCGCCATCTGCCTCTTTCTTTTGTTTTGTCGACAATAGCAAATGAAAACTAGACCTACTAATGCTTTACGAAAATCTTTTACTTTCCTAACTTTCCAAAAAAAAAATAGAGAGGATCGCAGAGTTGACCGAAACGCTCAAGAAAGAGATGATCGACTTAAATGACGCCGAGTATAAGATCCATGCCGTGTTCCACCACCAAGGTGGGACCAACTTTGGGCATTACTGGGTCTACATTTACGACGATAAGGCCGAGGTGCCTCGCTGGCTCAAGTACAGCGACGACACTGTCTCTGAAGTGGGAGTGGTAACGTCTCATTCCCAATGCTAAGGTTTCTTTCGGCTAGTCTCAAGTACTCTCCTTTTCTGACATCCAACATTTTTCGTTCTTCCAACTTTACTCTAGGCGCAGGAGAAAGAAGTGTTTAGTGGATACCAAGGATCAAGCGCATGTTTTTGTGTCTACGTACGTGCCAATGAACCAGACGCCGTCCAAACCGTTCACAGAATGATATCTTGAATCTGGATACATTCTTTCGCAAGACCACAATAAAAAATGCATGAAGGCGCGAATCGGACAAAAACAAAAAAATAATCTAATATTGTATCATAAAAGAGGATCAGGAGAGGGGAGGAGGGTCTATCTACGCGCTAGCAATACTTCCATTGAGAGTGAACCACTGGCTTCGGCACTCCACAGCCTCGCGTCTCACAACACGCTTGCGATCATCCAGACACTTCTCGAGCTCCTTCAAGACCTGTGCCTTGTAGGGGCGAAGGGCAGTGAAGGGCAATGATTTAGGCTGAGCACCCAAACACTTGAGTGCCGTACTCCTGACCTTCATCGTGTTGGCGGGGTCCCTTGCGCTCGTGAGGCTGACGAGCAAGGGTGTCAAGGTTGCGAGATGTTCTGCCATCAGGCCGGGGGCGTCTTTGGTAATGATCTGGAATGTCTCGATGGTTGAGGCCTTGAGCTCTGGATCCGGGAACGATAGCGAGTGTACCAACATTGGCAGGAGCTACGAGTATCAGAATCGCAATAAGAACAGTAATTGTCAATATCAAAGCGCGATATGAAGACTCAAAAGAACAAAAAGTCGAGTGAACAAAATACAACACATAGTAGGAAACTTACAGGAGGAAGCTCGGTCAACAAGACCTGCTTGGGAATGTTCCGGAGGACATGAGAGAGGGCAATCAAAAAGTTGTGGCGGACCTCATTGGTCGAGCTCTCAAAGCCCTTGACGAGAACGGGAACGCAGTGGTTGAAGAACCTTTGCTTGTACAACAACTAAAGTGAAAAATGTAGCAAAAGAGTTAGTTGCGTCTGTGCTCGACAGGGAGCGACAATGGTTCAAAATAGGGGACAGAATGGAACGTACTCTAACGACAGCAAAGCTCTCCTTGGTCAAGACATCCCGCTGCTCGCCAATAACCAGGTTGAACCCATCGGCAGCAAGCTTGCCCAACCGAGGAACCGAGAAGATGCTCATCAACTCTCCCGTCATGTCGTATCCAATCGCGCTCGTGCTCAGAACCATGGCCTTGGTGATCCAGGTGTACATGATCAAAGCGGCCTCCCTCGTTTCGAACGCAGCTTGCTCCTGGCGGATAATGTTGTGCAACTCAGGGATCAATGTTTGGCTGATAAAGCTCTCCATGACGCCACCCTTGTTGTACTTGTTCAAAATGGTGGCGACAGCTTCAGAAAGTGCTGTACGCTGAATAACGTTGGCGGTCTTGATAGCAACGTCGACCAAAGATCCTGTGAACTGCTGCAAGTTGTCAACTGGAAGAACAGTCTATAAAGTCGTCAAAGAAATTACGAACACAGGTCAGCCCAAATGTCCGCCTGATCACTCCTTCACTCGACAACTTCAAAAGGCTTATTTGTTATGTACCTGTTGACGGCATCCGTCGATGACTGTCGAGAATAGCACGCATGTATTTTGCTGAGAAACTCTGGAGTCATGGCGAAGTGGGGTGAATGGAACATGCTGTGCCGTGTCCTTGATCATGGCCAAAGTAGAAAGGTCCTCTGAAACGAAAAATCTGAAGATAGCCTTGACAAACTCCTGCTGTGCCCTAGAGAATTCAAATATGCAGAATAAAATGTTAGAATGAACCACCAATATACTGGCGGCATTGGGCTAAAAGGGTAGCAAAGTCTTACCTAGTATCAACGTGGATCATGACAACACGAGTGATTCCTGCAACAACCTCGAGGATCTCTGAGTTTTTCATGACACTGTCGCCGTCGTCCAAGCTGACGGTGGGGTAAACACACAAACCGATAAGACGAGGAACGAGGTTATCCAAGTACTGAGGGAGATCTGAGTGTCCTTGCGATGCTTTCGAGCGGAGGAGAACCAATAGTGTTGTGAGGAGGGCGATAGGGTAGGTGGCGTGGGTACTGCTGAAATCGTTGGCGACCAAGTCGAGTTTTTCCAGAATTTGGGGGACAACGTCGGCAAACAATGTGGGCTCCGCTCCGATCTTGGTGACGGCATTCAAGATGTACTCTGGGGTCTTCTTCTGAACAACAGTATCCACATCCATATCATTCTGGGAGGTGGGGAGCATCTCAAAGAACGATGGGAGCGCCATCGACCGAACAACGCCTGGCATGATCAAAGCCAATGATGACAACGAGTTCAGCGCGGTCTCCCTGTTATATTGCAGAAAGGATATGTTAGTCAGTAACATAGCGAATCGTACTTCTCAATATGCAACTTCACAGTAGTCTCCCGAGAGTTTCACACATACTGGAGTTCGACGTCAGGATCCTCGAGGACAATGCGGACGAAATATTGGATGGCATAGGAGATCTCGGTCTCAGACAGGAACTCGCGAAGCAAGATCATGCCGTGAAGACCCTTAACACCTGCCAGTCTCAATGCGTTGTACTCATTGGAAGACAACAATGCGTTGGTGAAGAGCTCAAAGAAGCGATCCTTGAATGTGAGAAGAGGCGTAACAAAGTCCGTGTCGTCTATAGATGATTAAAATCCAAGGTTTTTAGTCGTCTGGCATAGCATAGCATACAACTTATGACGGCTCATGCTCCGATCGTGCAAAAACATTGTCACATACGTTCTGTTGGCTTTCCTGCAGATCCGTAGAGCACCGTGCTTGCCTCCAAAAAGTCAAGGAGAACATCCAATAAGGCCTTCTTCCGTGTTGACTGATCGCTGCTGGTGTATTGTGAGAGAAGAGTGGGGATAGTGGCGAGCGTGATGGCGGTACAGGCAGGGTCTAGTTGATACGGAGAGAGGTTAAAAAGCAGTTAGTAACAGTGAATGAATTGGCCCTTTTTTCACAAATTGATGGGAAGTAAACAAAAGCTCCGTTAATTACCAGACGCCATGGCGCAGGCCTTCAGAATCTTTCCGCTAGGTTTAGCGAGTTTCATTTCTGGCTTCTGGAGCTGAGTCATGCAGTCGGAAATAATTGGGCGCAGGAACTTCTCTACGGGGTCGTTGGATCCGCCCAAGCTGACGCCCATTGAAAGCTCTGTTGTGATGACCTGCAATGTGTTCAAAGCAACCTGCTCCAGTTCATCTCCAGTAGCATGGAAGATCTATTCGAAAAAGTAAATTTTAAATTGTGCAGCTCACATTACATAATATTCTTCCATGCATGAAACACAAGAAAAACGAGGTAGAGCACAGCACCGTGCATGATTGAACCCTTACCTCATTCTGGAGTCCACTCCAAAGCTCCTCAGCGTAGGGTGTGAGTGCTGATGAACCGTAGACAGGGGCACAAGCAGCGATCGTCTCCATGGAATCTTTCTATCGGATCCATCATAGTCATCAAATTTAAGGTTTGGGTCAGCACGAGAATGGATCGGATCAATATAAAAAATTCAAGGACAACAAGAAAAAGTGTAATCGAGCGCAGCCCCAGGAGGTGTCATTTTACCTTTGCGGATCCAGAACTGGAGGAGAGCTTTTCGAGGAGGAGTGGTAGGGCAAACTTGGCAAAGTATGGGGTGGCAGCGAGACAATCCCGGAGGCCAACCTTCAGGTGCTCTGAGGTGATGCCATATGGGTCGTCTGGAGGGGGTCGGAACGTAATTGGGAAGTAGCAGAATGTCACCTCGAACAAATCCTAATATGAAAAATGATCCAGAGAGTAGTGTTCATCCACCAAAGTTTCTCCTTGGTCAGCAACGTAAAATTGAAATCATCCTGTGGGTCGCTGTCTTTTCTTCTTATCTCTTGCCGTTGACTCACTTCGACATGCTGAGCGATATCGAACTCCTGGATGATGTTTTTGATGAGTGTGAATGCGAGCATGAGGTTGCGGGGGTCCTTCTCTCCATCGAGACACTGAATGAATCCAAAGACGAAATCCGATGACATGGCCTTGAGATCTGATAACGAAAAAAAATGGAAGTGTTGGTGTCAGTCGCTTTCGTACAAATTGGAAACCCGGCGCTTCCTGGAGCCGCTTGCTCGTCCTGAGAGAATCCATTCGCCTTCTTACTTTGAGAATATCTCTTGATCACCGACTCGAGGAACAAGAAAACATAGTGGCGAGCTGTCTGCTGGTATGTCTGAACGTTGACGAGCGCAAGAATACTAATTGAAATAGTTGTAAATGGAAAGAGTGAGTAAGCAATTGACATATCCCGCGAGGACTTCCTGAGCAATTGATCTTCGATGCCCTATTGTCTAAGGAAACGTGTGTATCACTTACGCCTTTACGGATTTGATGCAGTCGACGCTTGTGAACTTGTCGAACGTTGACAAGGCAAGCAAACCCTTCAAGAGTTCTGGGACGCAAGCCTGGTCTGTCAAACGATCACAATAAAACTCCACAAGCACAGTCACTAGATACAGCAGAAAAGATATGCAAGAAATGACGAAAAATCAGAATTGATAAGCCAGTGCGCAAGCGTTACGAAGGAAAGAAAACGAGCATTTTGCAGGCTAAGTCGTCGTCGTTACCTGCACTAGCATTGACTTTGGACTGATCAAGGGTGGCGAGGGTGGTGGATAAAAGGGCGGTGGCTACAATGTGCGTGTGCGTGAGAAAAGAGTGCAGCAAGGGAGTGAATGTTAGCCAAAACTTGATTTAGAGCCAGAGTTTGATACTCTTGCGTGATCAGCCTCTGCATCATTATTTGCGATGTCTACATTTTTTTTTACCTTTGGAACGAACGAAGGCCTCGTCGCTGGTCAAGTATTCACCAAGGCCCTGGACGAGCATAAGCAGCTTAGTAGGGTTGATTCCAACATCTAATGGCGATCCGGACAAGTGAGGGAGAGGATATATATCAGGAAAACGTCGTTGGTATTTACTCTTCTGCAACACCTTTGTCGTTCAGAGGGGAAGTCTTAATAGGCGAGAAGTGGTGATTGTTGTGAAGTGTGTAAGTATACCCTTGACGATGTCCTGGATGGCTGCGTCCGCCTGCTCCTGCGAGTCAGTTTGGGCGAGGATATAAGTCGAGATGAGTCTGTCCATGGTAGGCTGGTCCCTGTTGATCCGATTTGCTGAATGTCGAGGGCCGAATCGAGAAGAGGGGAGAGGAGAGAATGAAGAAGCAAAAAAAGTAATTTCGAGGGAAGAAAACGAAGTGTCTGTTCCCTCTCTTTCTGCACAGTACTCTCTCTATCGCAAGAGGGGAGACGATGACTCGACGCCGCCCTACGATTGGTCGTGTCATGTGATGATTTTGTGGATCAGATAAACGAAACGAGCAACCCCGGTCTCCCACTTGGCTTCTCGGCAAGAGCGGTAATCAAGGCTAGAATAATCTATGTTACGGTAGACACTTGATAGTCCTCTCAATTGGCTATCTTCTTGTAAGCCACATTCTCCCTGTATCTCTCGCGTTCTCAGTCGCATCAATGTTTCTGTTGCCTTCAATCAAAAACAACAATAACAAATTGGAGGTGCAACGCAGTGGTTACAAGCTTTACGCTGCTATAAGCTTAAACGCGGCTACAAGCTTAAACGCCTTTGCCGACAATAATGTCTAGATCGAGGTAGCCCTTCGTGCTTGATTGTCTTTTTTCTTACACGTATGTCATTGCTGCGCAAGTGCACCCTACTGCGACACGGCTTTGGCAGTAGAATCGATGCATGCCCATCGCGTTGTGCAGCCCAAAAGGAGCAATTCTGTCCAACGATCGAAGACTCTTTCTTCCCCACTTTTCCTGTGACAGAGCCTCAATTGGGATCCATGCACAAATTGCCTTTTTCATAGCGCCACGAAACCTGGCTGACCGACATAAAAAGAGAGCCTCCTCCACACTACATTCCTCTTCTTTCATTCTTCATTTCTTTCATTCACAACTCCTCCTCATTCACTCTCCCTCTTCGACAACACAATGTACGACCTCCCCGACCTCGACCGCTTTGTTGAAGTTCGCCCCGGACTCTACCGCTGCACCATTATCTGGCCCGTCGCCGCTGGAGTCGAAGTTCCAGTCTCCACCTTCCTGGTCAAGGGCGACATTCCCCACGACTGGGTCTTGATCGACTCTGGCGCGCCCATGCAGGTTGATACCCTCCTCAAGGCCATCGATCAGGTCCTGACCCACGAGAAGGACTCCATCCGGTACATTTGTATCACTCACGCCCACATCGACCACACCGGTGCTGCCTCCGCCCTTCTGGAAAAGTACCCCAGCTCCAAGGTCGTTATCCATGAAGACGAGAAGCCCTTCATCTGCGATGGAAAGAGTTTCCGCTCCATCACATCCGACACCTGGACTTTTACCCTCCTCAAGCACTTCTCTCACGAGTCCAATGTCAAGTTGCCTCATGACCGCACCCTCGCACTTCGCGATGGAGACAAATGGGAGTTTGAGCATGTCCTCAGATTAGTTGAGACTCAGGGACACACTCCAGGTAAGGAGTGAGGGCATCTTTCTCATATGTGGTCAAACAGGAACATGCGACGGATGAGAGATTGTGTACTTTTGTTTTTGTGCACCGACTAATTGGCTGTTTATTCCATGTGAATGCTTCACACGCTAGGGTCGGTTTCGTACTTGCACATCCCCTCCCGATCGATCATGGTGGGTGACGCCATTATGAACATTGCAGCCTTCCCAATTCTATCGAAGATCCCTTGCATTTCTGGACCCATGGCCATGTCGACCTGTCACTGGGGCAATGCCATGAAAGCCATTGAGAAGATTACGACTCTGAAGGACGATGTCGACACTGTCTTCCCTGCCCATGATTACAACACCGATGGCATCCATATCCAGAAGGTTCACGAGTTCCACTTCCCACCCTCCAACCTTTGAAGTTAAAGAGAGAGAGCCCTAAGTTAGATATAGGATTGACGTCGATGCCTCGTCGTCGTCATTATGTGGTGTGTATGCTGGAAACACCCGACCGATACCCCCCTCAAACAAGCAGAACGCAAAACACGTCAATAAAGAACCAATAAACAACACTCACTAAAGTAACACTACCATCCATGGCAAGCAGACTTGTTCGTTCGTTGTAATGACTTCACGGAAACACATATATCCTTACAACGTGCGAGCAACAGAATGGAATGACACCGAATATTCTTCAAGACCGGATTTCCCACTTCATTTTCTGAACCCCATTCCCCAACGATATCACCGTCCGTGTGTCATATTCCATTGCCACACCCAACTAGCCATGAGTCGTCAAGTTACGTTTTCTATTCCCTACTTATCATGAGCTCATAGAACTATTAACAAGAAAGGTGTTGGCCAACAAAGGCAGACAACTCTCTCCTTGTCATTAGAATGTCGGGGCTTCAAACCCCATGGGATTGTCAAGTGTCAAAATGCCATCCTGATGATTTTTTTTCTCTTCGCTTGAATGACAGTAGGGGTCGATGGAGCTTCTTGTGTTTGATGAAGAACAAGACCGGTCTCCAATAATTCATTGTCAGCTTAGCTTGGTCCGAGATATTAAAGAACATTGTCCTTCCATGTTCTCATGTCAGAGGGGAAGAATATGAAGGCGGCAATACCCTCTTCCCTTTTCAGTCTAAAGACAATGTACATAAACTGGGATACTTTCTCTCAGATAGGCAACAAAGAAGATAGATTCACATGCTGTAACAATGGCTCTCTGGCCAGTGCAACAACAAAGTTTTTTTTTGGTCTCTGACCAGCTCGCTCTCATTTTTGGTTACTGTTGACCGTAGTGTATAAAGATAAATGAGAGCAATTAAAGTCGGGAAGAAGGTGGTAAAAAAACCACGATATTCAAAAGATCTCGCAACGGTCGGTCTCTGTGTTACCACACGATTCTTAGTTTGCACAATGAATGAAGGTAAGGTAAGGATGTAGTTACCTTATTTCATCATGTACATGTACACTTCGTTTCTCAGCTGTTGTTGCCGAGTAGGACTCTGAAATGAAATGGAACATGGACGTCCCTACCCTTGCGGTATGTTAGCAAGTATGGTGACGACAACAACAACAATAACAGAGTCTCCTCGGACTCGAGTACGAGTCGCGAATGTGCGATGCGTACCCGTTATCTCCGGGCCAGAGGCGAAAAGTCACGGATGGGGCTAGCTATCGGAAACCCTCCAATGGACTCATGGAAGTTATGCAAAGACCAATCCCAAAGGGTATGCTAATCCGCATGAGAAAAAGAAAGACGATGTGGCATGAAAGGCGTGAAGAGATATGGATAAGCGGGGCTTGGCGTCTGATCATAAATACTTCTATTATTGCGGGTTAGATGAGCAAGACATCGGTCGAAAACGCGAACAATAACGACGTTTTCGCAGCCAGTACTCATGTCAAACGTTGCGGAGGTACTTCATACACTGCCTCATCCCTTGATTGATACGGATGCCTCTGAACAGAACAGCAGAGGCTTGTCATCAAGGCGGTATACGAAAATAGCTTCAACCACCTGCACCCTACCTGGCCTTTCACTATTGTCAGATGTCTTATCGGCTCGAGGCTTTGCAACAGTCCTTGGTTTGTTCGGTTCAAGAATGTGTGCGGATAAGAATTGAAGCAACCCCAAACCACCTCTGCACATGGGGCGCAAAATGGCGCATTATCTCCTTTCTTTGTTAAGTCACACTACCTTTTTTCTTCCATTCCTTTTGACCGGACTCCTCTTTCCTTGGGCCACCCGTGGTATTAGATAACGGCCTCGTTCCACACACGAGCCTCATCACCTTGGATTGTTAGATAATCTCTCCGCGCACATTGTCCAACAAGTACATACAGTATGCCTTCTCAATGCCACGAGGATGATGAATATACACATGGGGTTAACTGTTTTCATAATGTATACGCAGATGAATCGATGCGGATATATTAGAAGACTATAATATTGTCCCTGATCTTGTCAGAATAAAAGGCAGGTACGGATATTATTTAAGTCTTGAGGATAACTTAATCATTTGCTCGATTCAAGGGATCCTTGGATTTGCATCAAAATGAATGCTCACTTTGATGGCACTGTTAATATTGTATGGAAAAGAAATAAAGAACATTTAGGCCATTGAATGGATGAATTAACAGACGACAGTCAACAATGGATTGTGCTGTTGGCTGGTCTTGGTGTGAGTGTGTCCATGGGTGAGTCCGGGGAAAGAGTGTTGTCAAGTTGAGAATATGTTTGCTTCGATGATGATGTTTGCCTCTGCAACCTCCAAAGTCGGACCAACTTCCGTCCAATTTCACCTTTTTTTTGCTCTCACTTCCCCTTCTCTCCTTTCACTCTTCATCCTCCATCTTTCTCTCTTTCTCTCTTCTCTTTTCTCCCAAAGCGTCGAATCATCTCTCGTGCACACATCCACCCTCTCAAAGAACCATACTTCACTCTTGGACCACCATCTGTGTCCACCATCCTATCTTCTCAAACCCACTCCTTTTTTTACTACAGCTCATCATGACGACTGCAATGTTCAAGACCGGGATGAACAGGTCCCTCCTCAACAAGGACTTTTTCCAGGCCATCCTTGACCGTGCCTATGGGCCTAACAGAGCCCTGACCAAAAGCTGGAGCGAGGAAGAGTTAGACTCTTCAGCCAGTATCCTCAGCAATATCAGCTCCGGCGATGACGATGAGGATGAAGATGACGAGAACTTCTCCAGCGAGGAGGATGAGCACCATGGTGGTTCCCTCTCAGCTGCCAGTCCAAGCGGTAACGGTAACAGCAGTCACAGCGAGGAACCGTGCCCAATGGACGATATGACTGGTCATTTTCTCTACCGGATTGAATTCGAGTCTCGCACACATCCATCCATCCTCTCCTCGCCCTCCTCTTCTCCGCCTCATGGTTCTTTCTCCATCTCGGCCACCAGTCGTGTCGAAAACTACCACCACACATCAACATCCAACAACAACAATGACGGCCAGCTATACGTCGTCATCAAGTCCAAGCCCATCGACACTGCCCTGATCGAACTCACGAACATCATGGCCCAACTTCAAGGCGGCGACTTCGCAGAGGAGTACGACATGGTCAAGGACCAAACAGGATTCCGCAACAGCCACATCCGTGAAATCGAGCTCGCAGAACTATCATGGCAGGTCGGCGGCGCTATGGAAAGCATCTCAACCAAAGTCTACAACGTCCTCCGCAACGACTCTCAACAACTCTACGCCCTCTGCCTCGAATACCTCGACCCTTCCCAGGGCAACATCACACACATGAACAGCACTGATACTGCCCTTACGAGTTGGTCCTCGAACGACATTCATTTGGTCTTGCGTGAACTGGCGTCGTTTCATGCTCAGTTCTTGGGGCAGGAGGATCGTGTCTTGGGCATGACGTTCCTTGAGACCCCCACACGATCGCTCATGAAGCTGCTGCGACCTGCATACGAAGCCATGGTTAAGACTAACCGAAAGAACGAACCCGCACTGTTCTCTCAGTTCCTCACCGACAGTATGCTCGACTTTCTCGAGCACTCGGATGAATACTGGGCGAAGATCGAGAAGAGTCCTAGGACCCTGGTAAGTTACATACCATAATGTCACTCTCCCTTTTCTTGCACTGTGCATAACTAAGCGTCGTTCATAGACTGATCACTCCCCTTGTTTTTTTTTCATTCCTAGATTCATGGTGACTTCAACACGCGTAACATCTGCCTGCGCCTGAACCCAAACACCGGCGCCCAAAAGCTATGCGCCTACGACTGGGAACTGGCATGCTGCCACCTCCCACAACGAGACGTCGTCGAATTCCTCTCCTTTGTTCTCCCACCCGGCTCCAACGAATGGGCTCACTACATTGAGTACCACCGCCTCGCCCTCAAAGCCGCCTACAAGTCCCAATCCCAAGCATCCTCCTCTGTATCACCAGCAATTGTCTTCCCCTCGCCACGCGAGTACATGGAGGTGGCCAAGATTGCACTATTGGACTTTGCTGCTCTCCGGGTAGCCATGTATGGTGTCTCGAACTCGTTCAAGATGGTAGATTGGCTGCCCCGTATCTTGAACACCGTCGAGGAGCAATTAAAGCGCATGGGGCCTATGCGTGCACCGAGCGACAAGATCATTCATGAATCAAAGTTGTAATTAGCTACCCCCTCTGTTTTAGAGTTCACCACATTCCCCTCCCCAAGCATCACATTCCAAAAGTAATAAAAATAATTTTGCATTCACACCATTCCCATGTTCATTTTGTGCTTTTGTTTATCTCGCACTTGCACTTGGCAACAAAGACAATATGGCTTTGTCTGCCATGCTTAGACTCAACTTGGACTACTTTACGGTCTTGATGGTGGAAATCAATAAAAAAGAACAAGTCAGAGACAGAGAGTAGTGAAAAAAAAAGACACTGACGAGGAAAGTCAAAGAGAGAGCTTGAGGATGTATGGATGCATGGTCTTGTTTATTAATATTTTTTTCGTTATTGTCTATCATAAAATTGTGCTGGTAATGAAGTGAATGTTTTACATTGAAGAAATTACTTCTTCAAGATTGTCTCGATGACGAAGCGGCGGTAAAAGTATGTGCGGTCCTTGGCGGTGGCAGCATCGGCAAGGTCGACCTCGGAGCGGATCAAATCCTTGAAATCTTCAGGCCTCTCCCGGGGGACAAAGAGGTTCCAGTAGCAGATGCGAGCATCAGGTGTACCCTTGTTGTGGATGGCGGTCAGGAAGTTCTTGAAGAGGTCCTCGCTCATCCATTCAAAGATGTCTGAGAGGTTGTATCCGTCAAAGTGGCCGCTCTCCTCCGAGTTAAGGTACTTCAAGACATCGGCATGAACCAGCTTGACACGATCGATCCTGGAGCGGATGATCTCGTAGTTCTCCTTGACGAGGTAATCGGGAAGACCGTTGTTGCCGCTCTGCTGACCAGTGAAGACGTACTCAGCGTAGTAGTTGTCCCAGATGGGGATGTTGCGGATACCGTTGCTGACCTTCTCGAGCAAGAAGGCACCGACGTCGAGGCGGACATGCTCAAAGAACTTGGGGTCACGACCGAGATGGCCAAGAGACATCTGACCAAAGAAGGCGCGGGTGCCAGCTCTCCAGATCCACTTGTTCCAGACAGAGTCAAAGAACTTGATCTGTTTGGGTTGGTCCTTGGCAGAGAGGAGGGTGCGGACAGTGGACTTGTAGTGGCCCAGAGGGACGACGAACTTGCGGTAGATGTTGAAGAACTTTTCGAGACGGCCAATGTGGATGATCTTGTTGCTGATCAGATCCAGGTTCTCGTCCCAGTAAGTGCGGTGGTCGTCGTTGACAATCGCGGCGCGAACCTTGTTCTGGTAAAGCGCAACACGACCGTCACCGCCAATGTCCTCGCCGGCAAACTCGAATCCAAGGAGCTGTGTAAATTCTTCGTATGTCAGTGTCTTGTAGGCTGCAATCTTCAATCCGCAAAGAGCCAGTTGAGCAGGAGAGAAATCTATTTGGTACATGCGCAATTAACATTTGGTTGGGTTACTGCTTCCTGCTAACATATCACATTTCTGTCTTGGTAACTTGATCATTGCTTGGATTGCCTACCAATGGCGACGACCTCGCGGGCATCATCGAGCAAGAGAGCAAAGGCGTTGTCACCGGCAGAAGCAATGCTGAGGACACGGCTCTGGGGCTTCAAACGGAGACCCTGGCGGAGAAGACGGGTATCCTCCCAAACCTGGGAGTATCTGATCTTGGAAAAGTCGACGGTGGCCTCGACGGTGGCATCCTTGCCGGACTGGACAGTCTTGCGACCCAAGGATTGGTGGTAGAACTGGATGAAAGACGAGAAGACGCGGATGTGAAGAGGCAGGGGAGCCTGGCTTGCTGCTGCTGTTGTTGCTGTTGATGACATCTTGTGAGTATGATATGAGAGGATCGACTTTGCTTGGTTTGGTTGATTGCTAGGTTCGACTTGAGAGAGTTAACTTGAGGATTGATGAGAGGAGATAAGAATGAAAAAAAGAAAAAAAAAAGGGAAGTCTTTGCTTTTTAATACAGCGCACATCCGTGCGAAGAAATGATGCTCAAGTTCCTTTTTGCTCCTTTTGTTGAAAGACAGAGTCGGCGATTCAAGGTTCATTCGTGCTTTTTCTTGTCCCTTCGTCGTTGTCATGGGTCAAAGGACTCACATGCGACTGGTCGGCTTGTTCTTTTGCCGCTCATTTTTTTTTTCTGTTCATGCTTTCATTCTAACGAGTAGATGTTTTAAGGAAGGGGTGAATGAAATGAAGCCATGTGTTAACAGTCCCCTATTTTACCTAATTTTTTGTCCATTGACTGCATACACACGACTGAATTCGGATGATTTTCCATTTTTTGCAACGGTAAAGAGCACGACTTGGAGTTAAAAGAAATTGCTTAACTTTTGTGTTAACTGCAAGCACCCGATTGCCTGCAAATGTTTGTTTGTTTGTTTGTTTGTTTGTTTGCTCTATGTGATTGACTGAAATGAAATAAAAAAGACTAATTGAAAAGTCATTCTAAATTGGTCATCCAGTGGATCCTCATTCAACCTTCTATTAAGATAATACAAACATTGACCATGGCCACACAGACAATGTGGATTATTCCTTGGAGCCGTCCTCTGGAATACACAAACAAACAAACAAACAAACACAAACAAACGAGCAAACAAAGAAACGAACAAACAAGCACACAAACAGTAAATGAATATCAACAACAAAAAGTAAAAAAAGAAATCGAACGAAGAAAAAAAAAGAACCAGGTCCACGAACCACTGTTGCACCCCAGATACGCTGGAAAGACAGAAGTAAGCCTTCTATTCGATGATAATGACGAGGACCAGGGCTGGGTAATTGGACAAGGTATGAACAGTGACAAGAGAGAGAAAGATAACGCAGAGCGAGTGGTTGAGTGGTGCAGCGGCGGACAAATGCAGAGGGCGAAATTCACCTACGATATACTCGCTCTGTTCTCTTCTCCCCTCCTCTTTTCTTCTCTTTCTCACTCACGTTCTCCACCCTCCTCATTTGAACCTCGACGATACCCATTGCTACTCCCACCACTCCTTCCCTCCATCTTCGCTTCGGCAAAATTTATTAACGACCATCCGACCATCACCTGCATTGCTGCATCATCTTATTCATATCACTCAGTCCTTCGGATCCAATCTGTCACGCCTCCTTTTTGCGCATCATCCATACCCATTACATATCGATCGTACGCCACATCTCTTTCTATCCTCCAACAACTGTCCGTTCCCCTATAAACGACCTTACTCTCCCAATCCAATACGCATTACCCTTCATCTCTTCTTTTCACGCCACCTTTTAACGCCCACCCTTCTAACGCCCAACCAACCAACCACTAACTCGACCAACAACCACACTCAAACAAAGAACTTTGACACCAAAACGCATCCAACAACAGTCGCCGAGCATCTCGCCTTAATGCCTTCTTAGTTCAAACAACCTTGCACGCTTTTCTTTTAACGACATTGCTAAGCCCATCACTTTACTACCAACACCTTCATCAATCTACTGCACACTTTTTGCATTTTTCAATCCATCAACTCACTTTCTTTTGCACGACACACACAGACACATAACGACCAACACAACATGTTGACCAACCTCGGATACACCATCGACAAGCAGAGCGAGCGTATCGTCGCCCCCCTGCCCATGTCAGCCGTCTACAACAAGCCCCAGTTCGTTTCACAGTTTGTCTCGCTTCACAGGGACAGCACCCAACCGACACTTGTCACCCAACTCCTCACCACCGCCCTGCCCAACGTCTTTGCAGAGTATTGGATCCTCTATGACGACAACAACCGCCCTATTGCCTGTGCGGGTGCCAACACAGTCATGTCCGACTCTTCAGTCGGCTATGTGGGCCTTTTTGAGGCCAGGAACGAGAAGGCAGGAACCATTGTTCTCAAGGCTGCGACCGAGTGGCTGAGACATGCTGGTGTGCGCCAGATCCTTGGACCTGTCAACTTGACCACCTGGCTTCAGTACCGCCTTCGTGTCGACACTGATGAGGCGCCCTCCATGTCCTTCGAGCCAAGTCACCCAGAGTTCTACCAGGCTTGCTTTGCACAGGTAAATGGATACCACCCTTTCTTTATGCTTGGATCGCCCTTAAGGCTCTCAAAAAATACAAATTGCATTAGTGTTAATTCTGATGTCTTACGTTGAACACAACAAACACTTAGGCTGGGTTCGTCAAGGCTGTCGACTACTACTCGACGTTCTTCCACATCGACAACATCATCGACGGATACACCAACTATACCCGCGGAGAGACCCTCGACAGCATCCACCTCGGCATCCAATTCTGGAACACCCTCGACTTTGCATCCTCCCTCAGCCCCGAGCGACACCCCAACCTCACACCACAGGACAATGTCGCCAAACGCATCTACGACCTCTCGATCGAACTTTTCCGAGGAAAGGAGCTCTTTGACGAGGGATTCACACGCCAAAATCATCGCCAGATCGTCCTCAACGATATGATCTCCCGTCCTCAAGTGGACAACTCCTCTCTCCTCGATCTTTCTTCATTCGTCGTTGACCCCCAGAACGGAGAGGATGTTGGATACATGGCATGCTGGGTCGAGGACAATGATACCCTTGTTCTCAAGACTGTTGGGTTTGTACCACGGGTCAGAAAATCCAAGGTGTTTGCCTTTGCGCTGGTGGAGACGATGAAGCGTGCACGCGATGTCTGGGGATGCACCAAGGTCGCCTGTGCCCTCATGAACGAGAACTCGGCAGCGATCTCTGAACGCGTCGGAGGAAAGAGTGTTCGTCATGTCTACCGCCTCTACATTCACCGCCCCGCACCACCAGTTATGCACTCTGAACAGAGTCAACAACATCAACAAGCACAAGCTGCCGAGACGCATACTCTCCCCGAAGTATCACTCAAGTCTACAGAGAGCAGTAGCAGCAACAGTACCACACATCCTGCATCGACATCATCACCACTCAATGCTGAGTCCCTGCGGAAAGAACAGGATATACGCCTACAGATGTACTGGAACCAGCAACGCCAAAAGATGCTTGCCCTTCGCTCTCGTGGCCGTGCCATGGCCCGCCTCTAATGACACAGGCAAACAGGACCGACACTATCTCTTCCCTCACCTGTATTTATGTTTAATGAATGATACCTCAACACACTTGGGCTTTGTAGACTCACAACACGTAGGCTAGTCCAAACGACATGAACAAACCAAACACAGTCAATAAAAACAAACAAAACCGCATCTTTTTCTCCTCTCACAAGAACAACAACAAAAACAAAAGAGGCAATGGGGGTAGAGGTGGCTTGTGCGGTTGCAGCTTGTAGTCATGAGAGGGGAGAAGGAGCACGGACTTTGTCACATTTTCATGACAAAGATTATTTCGAAAGCCAAAAAAAAAAAAAAAAAAAAAAAAAAAAGATGAGCCAGAATGTTTTGTTTGTTGTGGACTCGCATGGAATGTCACACGCTGGAAGGAATGTCACACGCTAGCAGGAATGCAAGGAAGGACTATGTTCTCAAAGAAGGGATCGAGCCGAACAACAACAATTACTAGGCCTTTGTTTGTTATTGTTGTTGTGCCGAGAACGATACGCATATTGCTTGTTGTTGTTGCTGCTGTTGTTGTTGTTGTTGTTGTTGTTGTTGTTGTTGTTGTTGTTGTTGTTGTTGTTGTTGTTGTTGTTGTTGTTGTTGTCGTTGTTGTCGTTGTTGTTGTTGCTGTTGTTGTTTTTCGGGTCCCAGAACTTTCTTTTTTTTTCTTTCTTCCTTTGTCATCAAGAACCTCCTCAACCCATTGGAATGTTGTTTATTGACCCATGTCAATTGTTCTTTGAACACTTTTTGCTGTCCTTTTGTTGACGATTGACGAGAGAGAAAATGAGGGTGAACAGTGCGTTGGTGCGTGGAAGGTTTATTGTTTTTTGTAGTTTGTTCCATGAAGGAGGTGCTTTTGTTTATTTGTTTGTTTCTCTCGGCAGAGACAAGTGCGGTGCTTTTGTTTTACAAAGGCTGTCGTCGTTCCTCTTGTTCCCAGAAAGCTCTTTCTTCTATCACCTGACATGATATCACATGATGAATACCCGCAATCTGGGCTAACGGTGTGCATCGGGGCATCGGTGCATCGGTTCTTCCCCTTTGCCGTCTTGTCTTTGCGTTTGTGTGTATCTGTAAGGGTGTATCACCGTGTGTGTATGCAGACACGCTAGGAACGTCAAGCTGGGAACGTCAAGTTGTATGTTCGTGCCTAAAAATCATCTGTGAGACCGGAGAAGGCACAACCGAATCTCCCCCCTCTCTCTGATCTCGTCATCCCCGTACTTAATCACTAAGTGAGACATCGGTTTGAGTTGTCGGCGACGGAGAAGCTATTTAGTTTCAGGCCTCTGGTTTGATTCATATGCCTGGAAAAAAAATAGCTTTCTGATCCCCGACCCGATCATCCTTCGCTCTCTCACTTCTCTTGTCCTTTTACAACTGGATAGCAAGAGGAAAAGACGGACAAGAATGTTCCCATCAGGTACTGGGTACGTACCGGTACATGTATCTGCGTCATGAACGATCGAGGCGGACAAACGTTTGTCTTTCACAAGACCGACGATGGCTGTCTTCGAGGCAGTTTGCGGAGTCTGCTTGGCGGATCCGGCTGTCTAAACACCCTATCTATTTGACCCTGGGTCACTGTACCATTCCTGCCTTGTCTTTAGTATGTATGCCGCAGAAACATATGTAACAAAGGCCCTCTCTCTTTCGTCGTGAAAAGGTCATCATCACAAGCCAATGAAGTGAAGCCCGAAAGTCTGGATCGGTGAAGAATGCGGCAGGGTTCTTGCTGTAGCTGACCTTGGATTCAAGGTCGTTGAACCTTTAGTTAACATCGGACTTGGGACTTTTTGTCGTCACCTGTGTTGTCCAAAGTCGTGGTGACCCCTCTTCGCTTCTTTAACGTCCCAAAAACAAAAACAAAAAAACTTATTGCTACGCCTTGTCTCTCGTTTTTGTTTCTCAATCTACCTCGTTAGCTCATTTGTTTTTCCTGTGAGCGGTGAGGTATGTTGTGCTTTTGGGCGTGGTATTTTGCCACGATTAAAAAGTCTAGAACGAAATGAAGGTCCTTTTGTTCTTTCCGTCAAGTGTTAGTGTGTTGGTGGTGCTTATCTCATTTTGTCACCAAGGGCTCCTTTTGCTAATTCCTTCCCTTCGTTGTTCTTCCTTCTGCCACACAGCGTGATAAATGAAAGAGAAAACAAGCACGGGAACAAAACACAAAATTAAAAAAATAGACTTGCCAGCCGAGGAGTGGGTACGTCTTGGGAACTACATGTGCATGAAAAACAAGGAGCACGCAAATGCAAAAATGAAAAAATGTAGATATAAAAAAAAAGAGCGCAGTCCTTCATGGGTTCATTTTTTCCGTGGATGGGTCGTCGAGCATGGACAGTAGCCATTGGTGTTTCTTTTTACCATGCACAAGGTAGCGGTATCGTATCGGGAACCGACACATCCATTTCGCAACGAACGCTCTGTTGCATGCATCTTGAAAGAGGATTCATTGCATTGTAGATGCACTTCGATCTCGATCGGTTAATTTTTGTATTTTTCTTTCTCAGCCAGAATATGTCATGACAGGGAGAGAAAGCGCATTCGTTCTTTGTATCGGGCGCATATCCTCTTATGGGACTTGCATATGCAAATGGGTAATATATGAAGAAAAAAGTAGCAAAGGAGAGAGCGAGGAAGGATGACGAGAGAAGAGGCGGTGATAGACCTGTGTAATTTCGCAAGGGTACCTTTGCGGTGGCACCATCTCTCCTACAGAAACATGTGTTCCCTTAGCATGTTTAGATCAGGTCCAAAGGAATAACAAACAAAATGGATGCGCACAAATAACGGTCATCTCATAATACCAAAAATGCGTTCAAGGGGCTAAGGAAGAACGAGGAAGGGGAAAAAAGGAAACATCTACGCAGTTGGACAAAGCCATCCAAGTTCGTGGTAGGAGGCCAAAGGGCGAAATGGTAAAGGTGGTTGGTGCTTCTTTGCTTCTCTTTCTTTACACTCCAAAGCAGAAAATTGCCGATGTTCTACATAATCTAAGCCCTCAACTGCATTATTCCCTTTTTGCCCTCACTGAGTAGTGGAGAGTTTGCGAGATCGAGTGCGCGGGCTGAATTAACAAATGCAAGGTTAAGAACCAAAGCACTGCCCTTTTTCTTTATTACGTCCTCCCTTCGCCTTTGCCCCACTAGTCCACGGATAGATCGTGTGCGGGTGAATGCTTCTTTCCCTTCGTAATTTGTCTTGGCCTAAGTTTGTCAGACGAGGGGCAGAGATGTGATTGTTTGATGTTGTTGTTGACTTCGTTGCTTCGATTTCAGGGGTAAATGCTTTTCGGCGCAGCCAAACGCGTGTTCTTCATGCTTGGGGGATACAATTCGCATCCTTGGTTGTTCGTAAATAGAGATCTCTCGACTTTTCTTTATTTCATCTCGTCGGGGACTTATGCGAAACAGCCATTTCTCGAACTTTTTTTTCATGGGGCTGTTGAGGGATGGTCATGGAACAACGGAAAGTGAACGCGCCGTCAATTTTGATATTAGGCATACGTGTCTCCCTTTGTTTTTCCTTGGATTGGATGACATGGATATATGGTCTATGGTTGAGCAGTAAAGCCATAGACTGGCAGCAAAATCTTGCAAGGCACGATAATGATGAGGATGAACAGATACACCGCGCAGTCAGGCCAAGCCAAGACACCACGCCAAAAGCCAAGCTAAGGTCAAAGGCAAATGGCAAAGGAAGAGGCAAAGGGTAAAGCTAAAGGCATGAGGCAAAGGGCAAAGCCAAAGGCATGAGGCGTTTTGCGTCATGCAGTTTCGCGCAGTTCAGTCGGAGGTTGGTGATGGGTTATAATCATGCCGCGAATGATGCTCCGTTTTCGTTTATGTTTTTGTCAGATGCTTCTTGTAAAGTCGTGGAGTACTCTCCTCGACTATAAGGCGAATGAGAAGCAGCAAAAGAATGCTTATCGTATGAACATTTATTCTGTATACTTCGTTTCTTCAACTATTGAAGGCATTGAAGCTGGACATAAGTTATTGTCTAGCCATGATAGAAGAGTACCTTCGTCTTGGGTGTAATGCAAGATAATAATAGAGGAAGCGCAGACGGAGCCTCCCCTCCTAACCATTGCGTCACTTCCGAGCTGAGAACCCATTAGTAACAAATGGTCCACCTCTTTGGACTCTGTTCCTTTGTTGAAAGAGGCTAGCTTTTGGTGAACAAGAGCAAAGGCTGAGTTCTAGACAACTTACGTGAACAAAGTACCACTAACCCGCGAAATAGGAGCCTTGGGCGATGCACTTTCTGAGCAAATGGGCAAACAATATCCCTTCAAGTAAGTTTAAGAAACATTTCGCCCTTTCAGATCTTTTGTTTGTTCTTCGGTTCACGCGTGCTTGCAAAATATTCCTTCGCTCGTGTTCTCGTGTTTAGTCCGTGTGGTGTTTGTTTTCTTGGAGTAAACTCGAAGCAATAAAAACATTCGTTGACACGATGCGACGAAAATACGTATGAAAGATCCAGAAGTCGATATAAAGAACAAACAACATCTAAACATGCTGTTGCAAGATACCTCTCGCGGAGTTTTTTTTTATTGTTGTTGCTTGTTTTTTGGGACTTCTGAGTGTTTGTTGGCGAGATGTTGTTTTTCTATCAGATACGATGACAGGGGTTTCGTTATATTGTTCTTTGTTGATTGATGGTCGATGAGAGCTATCCATTACGAACCAAGGTACATTGGCCTGTTCGGACGCCACATTCGCTGTTGTTTTTTGTTTCGCCAAAGGGAAGGAAGGAAGGGAGTTGATTGGTGATGGTGGCCCGCGGTTCAACGAATACTTGCTCCATTCTTGGTTTTTTTTCTTTTGTTTCGGCAAGCTCATTATCAAGGAAAGAAATAGTACATGAAATCTGAGTACAAATGCTGTTGCAATCAACCAAAAGTGCATGCATGCATTTTATGTAGTCTTGATCAAAGAATACAATAATAACCAACTTAATGAAAACAGCCAGTTCTTCCTTTAAACCAAGAAGTCAAAGGCAATTGTTCTGTTATTGAGTATGGAGCAGATGTACGCTTGTGTGTGTTAACGGGTTCAACAAGCTTGCACCTTTTGAAAAGATCAACAGAGAGAAAAAAAAACAACAAACAACAAACAGGCAGACTGGATGTGTTGTTTGTGGAAAGGAGAGAATTGGCGGTGAGAGAGCGCACAAGCGAGGGGCAGGACTTTTTACAACACAAATGCTCTCTTCATAGGACACTAGTAAAGAAGGCTTTCTATTTTTGTTGGTCGTCTCATTGCGCGTTCGAACGCGGGCGAGACGTAAGGCGGGAATGGAAAAGAGAAAACAAAGCAAGCTGCAAGCAAGAAAAAATATTGGAGTGACAGTTCTGGGCGCGCGATGCTGGCGCAAATACCCAAACAGATAGAGAGTCAACATAATATATTTTCCACTTGCCATTTCTTCCGCTCCTCCTTCTTTCTCACTCTCCCTAACGCTCCCTTCTCGGTCGAGAGAGAAGAATGAAGTTTTTTTTCACAATCCAGCGAGCGTGAGAGAATGAGCAGAAGGCAAGCTTTGGTGCCGCAAACTGTCCACTTCTCATCGATATTGGGTTCGTGTATCCACAGATGCCTGCAGGCTATTGGTGCAAGGTTGGCAAGTGTCTGCTTGCACTTTGTATTCTTTTTTTTTTTCATTCGACTTGCATGTACAAGAGCACCACCAGCAATAGTTGACCGGTATTCGTTAAATGTCAGCTATTATCCGGTGTGCTTTTGTTCTCTCAGTTTCCCATACAACTTCTTGTCCGAGTCTTTTTATCTGTAGCCATGAACTAAAAACAACAAGAAGGACAATATAAAATGGCACTATCCTTCATGTAAAGAATAACACTAAGCCTACACCTTGGGAAACAACACCGACATGATCAACAAAGAAACCGACACAAAAATGTGCCATTCTTTTATCCGCCTCTTGTGTGCTTCACTCTTTCTCTCTCCCCTCCTTGCCACGATTTTGGCGTGTGGAGGACACATTTTTTCTCCTTCATGCAAAGGAAATGTAACCGACATGGGGAATGAGCTAAAATATAACGATACTGGCAGGGAACGGGACGACAATGATGTGGAGCACACCAGCGAAAGGAACATGGTTTTTTTTCGTGTTCGTGTTCTTCTGGCTATTCGATTTGTCTGGACAAACGCCTTCCTTTCGCCTTCTTCTCCACCCTTTTCCCTTGTGATTTTCTTGCGACAGAAAAATGTAAGAAGAAAAATTGCTCACCTTGCATGACGGAGAACCGTCCTGGTAGGGTGATTTTCTACATTCCTGTCCTGTCTATCCCGGTAGCAAATTCATTTTTCGGTCGGACCCACACAAACCTCCAACCTTATCGAGAAAAAAAAACGTTTGTGTTGCTGCTCACCAGCTTATGGCTCTTTCTAATAGCCAACAACGTCGCTGTGGCATGTGTGTCTGTGTTTTGTCTATCTCTCACATTAGAGTAACAGCACACCAAGAATAAAGGTCTGTTTTCCTCCCGCCATGGCCATCAACACACCTTGATAAGAAATGAGTTCACACCATCTGGGGAATGAAGGTTTACCTACAGGGTTGAAGCCCGGATTCTCTATCTTGCTCTATTTTCAGTCTGTGAAACTAGCTTGTTGTGGCACGTGTGTCAAAGCAGCCAACAGCTTGTTTTCCCGCCGTCGAAAATGAAGGATATGCGTCCAAAGAGAGAAGAGACAGACAGGCAAAGAAGAGAAGCAGAAAGTGAGCCCAACTGACATACACACATATGACATTTTCCATCTTGTTCAAGTCCGCTGAAAAATTGAAAGGGAGCTTGAGAATAAAATAAGGTAATCCCCCATAATGAAAATATTTTGTTACGTTAACTACGATTGCGTTTACGTTAATATGAGCTTCATTTTTGAGCCTGAACGAATGAAAACACAAATGCAATTATGTTTATTAAGTTTATCTTTTGACTTTGCACTTTGCACCCGGATGCACCTTGGCCATTTCTAAGCCTGTCCCAAGCCTGTTCCACCAGGGAAGAGAGAATGAACGTCAATCGTGGGCAAGTTGCAAAGAAAGACAGTCCTCCCTCACACTTGCTTGTGCTCCCAGCATCCATTTAATGGTCTCTTGTCATTTCTTTCTTCTCCTTCTTCTCCTCCCATCTCTCAACACCCTTTGTTCGCATTCTCTACTAAAAGCTCACTCTCCTCCCCTACATCTACCCCCATCGTCTTCCTTAATAATATCAAATAATACCAAGAAGCAACTTTGTACACAACCATCATGAGTCCCTCCGTCAATGAGGTAAAATTGCGTCCATCTCTGATCTCTTGTGGAACAATAGCACCCCCCTGTCAGCAATGGTCCTTGGGCACCTGTCATCATCATCATCATCCTCACCAACGCCACCAAATTATTACGAGAACTAACAAAAGCATCCATACCATGCCCTGCCACCAACACAGATCACCCCCGCATCCGCATCAGGCCCAGCAGCTGCCGCAAAAACAATCGCCATCTCACAACTTCACGACTTTCTCTCAGGAGGATTCCCAGATATCTTTCGATGGACCCTTCATCGCCCACCGACCACAGAAGAGCTGAACGGAAACCTCTGCAGTCTCTTCAACGCCATGTTTGTCCACTTCCGCAACACCCTGCCCGCCAATGAACCCTCCCCCGAGTGCTTCATTTTCACAGAACCCGGCAAGCCCGCAGTGACATTTGACGACCTCTGTAGTCGGATCAGTCATTTCACTCAGGTCTTGACCCAGGAGGGGTCCTTCAAGTCTAAGGGTAGCAAACCCCTTGCTCAAGGAGACAAGGTCTTGATTTTGTCGTCCTTGGGAGTTGATTTCTTTGTGGGATCTATTGCCTGTCTGGCGTTGGGTGCTACGTTGATCCTGTTGGACCCCTTCATGGAGAGGGCAAAGATGAGTGTCTGTATTGAGTCTGTCCTGCCTATCAGCCATATCGTCACCAACATGAAGCTGACGGCGTTCAAGAAGTGGATCCTCTCGAGAGCTGTACCTGCTCTCAAGAAGATCCCCAATGTTGTCGAGATCCCAGTCAACGTCGAGTATGTTCTCCCTTCTTTCACTTGCTCTCCTTTTATTTCCATTTTTCTTTGAATGTGATGACCGTGCATGTGCTAACAAACTCTGGTTAAATTCCTTGAATTCATTAGTAAAAAGATTTTGGCTTCGGTGCCCAAGACCATCCCAGTGACATCCGTCCCCGGAGACACCACCGCCCTCCTCTCCTTCACCACAGGATCGACCGGCAACCCAAAGCCCATCCGTCGCTCTCACGATTACCTCCGCGCCCAGACCATTGCCGTCTTCTGTCAAAACGAAATCAAGGCCTCTTCCGCAGAGTCCGACGCTGCACCATCAACAGCAACAACACCTGCACCAGTCTCCTCGCACAAGCCCGTAAAGGCGGTGACCAACCTGCCCGTCTTTATCTTTGGCCAGATCATGCTCGGATACACCACCCTCATCCCCGACAACTTTAACCCTGCCGGTGTCAACCCTGCCCCTCTCCTCCAGGCCATGGTCCGTCACAACGTCCAGGTCGCCTTCGGTTCGCCTGCATTCTTCCTCCGTCTCTTGCAGCACCTTGAAGCCACCAGCGGCGTCGACCAGTACGGCAAGTTTATCAACCCTCTCCCCGTCCGTGTGCTCTGCCTGGGTGGAGCTCCTGTTTTCTCGTCAGAGCTCGATATCATGCGCAGGGGTGTCCGTGGCGCTGCCTTCATCTTTTACGGTGCCAGCGAGGCTGAGCCCATCTCCAAGATCCGTGTCGAGGAGCGCATTCTCCTCGAGGCTAACCCTACCTCCGCTCCCAAGGTCAAGGGGTCCAACAAGATCACACAGCTCGATGTCCCGTCAGAGTCGGAATCTGAGTTTGAAGGAGGAAACGTCCATGCCCTTTGTGTCGGTCATGTCAACCTGGACGGTGGATTTGCTCACACCGCTATTGTGCCATTGGAAGGTGAGGAGGTCAAAGGACAGCAGTTCCTGGAGCTTGGTCACATTGGCGAGATCGTCGTCTCGGGTCCCCATGTTCACATCACTACTACCTCCGATGACGATCGTATTATCCACGAACTCCCCTCAGAGAAAAACGGCAACAAGGACAGGATCTGGCTTCGCACCGGCGACTGTGGATACTTGGACTCTGCTCACCGTTTGTGGTTGGTCGGTCGTGCTTCGTGGGTTGTTAGAGAAGATGCAGAGGAGGGTGTCGAGGGCAGTTTGAACTCTCTTCGCTACTGGCCCATTGCCATTGAGCGTTCTGTTCTCGAGACCTTTGGTGCCTCCCACGGTGTCACCTACGTCGTATTTATGCCATCCGGCGCTGCCAAGAAGCCCGCTCTCTTTCTTGAGGCACCCAACGGTCTTGCTCTTGCTGCCCACACCCTTATCCTCGAGCATCTCCAGGAGACCTTTGATGTTCCTGTCGATGAGCTTCACGTCTTCCGCAAGCTCCCTAGGGACAAGCGCCATGCTTCCAAGATCAACACCATGGCTTTGAGTAAGATGATTAAGGACAAGAAGGCCTCGGACAAGGTAGTCATCCAGCGTGGCGACATCACCGGATCCGTGAACGACAGTCTCCGTCGTGGTATGACTTCGACCTCGCTCAAGTACTCTGCCAGCTCTCTTGACCTCAATGCCCGCAACGCCCTCGCCTATGCCGTCGCGCCTTCCTCTGTCCCTGTCGAGCAGCGTTTCAAGTTTTCGAACCCCGAGCAGAACCACTTCTTGTTTGCCTGGCACCCATCCCCCTTATTGGCCCAGTGCGGAGGTGGAAAGGCTAAGAACATGGCTACGCTCACCAACCTGGTCAGCAGAGTCCCTGGAGTCCGTGCCACTGTCCCTGCTTGGTTCTGTGTCTCGACTGAGGCTTTCAAGGCTTTCTTGGCTGAGAACCACCTGGACTCTCAAATTTCCCCCCATATCACTACCTCCGAGGGTTTGGACGCCTTCCATGCTGCATTGACTACCAAGATTATGGCAGCTCCCTTGTCGCCCGCGATGACTCATGAGATCACTGCCTTGGTCGAGTTCCTCACCTCTACTTCGGCTTCTGCGTCCAACCCCAAGCCCTACTTTGCCGTTCGTTCGTCTGGTGCTGATGAGGACTCTGTCTCGCACTCCTTTGCCGGTCAATTCGATTCGTTCCTGTACCGCCAGTCCATGGACGACATTATCACCGCCCTCAAGAAGTGCTGGTTGTCGGCCTTTGCCCCCCGCGTCATGTCGCATCGTCTTGCCTGCAACCTCCCCGTGAACAATGTCCGCATGGGTGTTGTCGTCCAAATCATGGTCGATTCCGAGTGTGCCGGTGTCGCCTTCTCTCGTCACCCATTGAACCCCATCAGTGCCAATGTCGCTTTGGTGGAGGCTGTCTGGGGTCAAGGAGAGGCTCTTGTCAGCGGTGCTGCCGAGCCAGATTCATTCGAGGTCGAGCGCGGATTCCAGGGCAAGGTCAAGGAGACTCTTGTTCCCAAGCCCAAGATGTGGGTCCGCAATGGCGGTAGTGCCGATGATGCTGAAGCTACTGGATTGGTCGCTGTCGATGTCCTCGAGCCCAAGGCCAGTGCTGCGGCCTTGACCCATGGCCGTGCCAGAGCTGTCGGCGCCACCGTCAGTGGGTTGGAGGCATTGATTGGTACCCCAGTTGATTTCGAGTGGGCTTTCCAGGAGGAGGACGGTATGCTGTACTGTCTCCAGGTCCGTCCTATCGTTAACCTCCCTCCAGCTGCCTTCTTTGCTGCCACTGACCCTGCCCCCAAATCTGAGGCCTCTTCCGAGACCTTGGGCGAATCTCACATCTCGGTCCAGACGACTGCTTCCAGTGCCGAATCCAAGGGCAAGAGCAAGGGCGATGACATTGATTTTTCCACGATCGCCAGCCGTGCGATAGACTCTCTGGCTGCCCCTCAGGGCATGAACGTCACCTTGTGGGACAACTCGAACATTGTCGAGTCCTACTCTGGAGTCACCACTCCCCTGACCTTCTCCTTTGCCTCGTACAACTACCGCATTGTCTACGAGACCATGCTCACTTTCTTGGGCACCCCCACCAAGCTGGTCCAAGCCAACGAAGACGCCCTCGTCAACCTGCTCGGTTACATCCGCGGAAACGTCTACTACAACCTCATGAACTGGTACCGCCTCCTCTTGCTCGCACCCCTCGGCAAGTTCTCGGATCCCAAGCATATGGAGACCATGATGGGTGTCAAGCAAGGGCAGGAGGGTAACGCCGATATGGAGAAGGAGTTCAAGAAGATCCTTGAGGCCCGTCCCAAATTCAACGCCTGGCACCGCACCAACCTCGTCCTCAAGTACATCTCGGCCTACCGCAACATTGACCGGATCGTCAACAAGTTCTTTGCCAACTTTGATGCCTTCTACAGCACCGGACGTGAGATGGACTTTACTTCCATGTCGCTGGAGGAGATTGCGCTCTATTACAAGAAGAATGCCAGTGCCCTCTTGCGCGACTGGAAGGCCCCCGTTATTAACGATCTGTTGGTCATGGGATTCTTTGGTACACTCAAGTCCTTCATCGCCAAGCACTTGGTCGATGCCAAGGCCGCCGCTCCTGCGACTGGCGATGCTGCTGCTGTCCCCACTGCCGCTGAAGCTGCTGCTGCCGCCGCCGATACCGCCGCTGTTGATTCCCTCCAGAACGATCTTCTCTGCGGCGAGGATGTCGAGTCAGCCAAGCCTACCAAGATGTTGATGGACATCGCAAAGACCATCGACACCATGATCGAGTACCCCAAGCTAGGCGCATGGTTCATTGGACACAAGGAACATGTCCTCAAGGCCATCAAGCCCGAGGAGAACCAATGGATCCTGCGCTCGACTATTTTGAAGTTGTCGTTCGTCAAAGCTAGTGAGCTCTTGGCTGGTTTGAAGGTTACTGAGGCTGATAAGCCTCACCCTCCTGTCCAGGTCGTGGCTGATGTCTTGGCCATGATCCTCGAGTTCTTGGATTCTTATGGATTCCGTTGCATCAACGAGCTCAAACTCGAGGAGAAGGACTTGAATGACGACCCTGGTATGTATCTTTTTCTCTTTCTCTCGTTCGCTTTCCATTTTTTCATTGTTGCACACAGGACTAACAAACATTTTTATCCTATTGTACCACAACAGACTTTGTAATCGACGCGATTGCAGGATACATCCGCACAAAAGCCTACGAAGTCGACGACCTCGACAAGCGCGAACAAGCAATCCGCGCTGCCGCAGAAGCCCTAGTCCACCAAAAGCTCAAGGGCACTCAACTCAAGCTCTTCCTCTGGCTCCTCCGCAACACCCGCCGAGTCGTCAAACACCGCGAGAACCTTCGTTTCGCCCGCTCAAAGGTCTTTGGTGTCATGCGTCGTATCTTCCGCGGAATGGGTAACCGTCTCGTCGCCCTGGGTGCCCTCGATGCCGAGAGCGATGTCTTCTACCTCACAACCGAAGAGCTCCTATCCTACGTCGATGGACGTGCAGTCTCGCGTGACCTCAAGGCCTTGACCCAGCTCCGCAAGACCGAATTCGCAGGCTACGTTGCCGACGCCAACGCGCCCCCAGAACGCTTCGTCACCCGTGGTGCCGCCGGTGTTTACATGTGGTATCCCCACATCCTCGCCGACCTGGACCTCCTCAAGGACGCCGAAGACTCCAACGGCCCGCCAGAACCCGGTGTCCTCAAGGGTGTCTCATGCTGCCCCGGAATCGTCGAAGGTGTGGTCCGTGTCGCCAAGGACATCTCCGAGACCAAGGACCTCAACGGCGAGATCTTGGTCACTGCCAGAACCGACCCCGGTTGGGTGCCTCTTTACCCAATGTGCTCAGGTCTGTTGATCGAGCGTGGGTCGTTGTTGAGTCACTCGGCCGTCGTTGCTCGCGAGCTGGGCCTCCCTACTATTGTTGGTATCTCGGGCGGATTGATGAAGCGTCTCAAGACGGGAATGCGTATCAAGATGGATGCTGGAAAAGGAAAAGTTTACATCTTGGACGAGCTCGAAGCCCTGGAGAAGGAGGGTACAGCTTCCGCTGCTGCTGAGGCTGAGAGTGAGGCCATCCCTGTCGCTGTTTAAGATCACGGCAGCAACGATTGGAACGAACCCACACATATACACAACATGAACACAACACATATCATACCATAGACATAGCAATGCCCCTTCAACAGTAATAATAAGATGTTTTTTTTCACACTCAAACAACTCGGGTTCAAAGAGGTCATGGGAAGGAATGACAGGAGAACGTACGTACAGACGACATTGATATAATCCTTTTATTATTGCATATTTTCCTGAGCTAGATAACAAAGACCACGTTCAGCTGCCAAAGATCCTGAACCAACTGACTAAAAATCCGAACAATCCTAGAGCTTGCCTTACCAGATCCTGTACTTGAACTCATGAAGACACTCCTTGCTGATCCCTCGTAGTCCAGTCCCGTATGTCCGCTCCAGTCGCTTTCTGCAAATGAAAGTGGTTACAAGAAAAATCAACACGTAAATAGTCGATACCTGCGTTGATCTACAATGCTACTTGGCCTTGAACTTGACATTTCCCAATGCTTTGTCCAAGTGTGCTTGCGTGCTTGATACAAAAGAGAAAAGGTGAAGGAAAAGATTAGTAAGTAGGCTGGAAAGGCTTGCGCGCTCTCCTTTGCAAACAATCATCACTTGAAAGGACAGACAAAATATCCCGTTCTTTTTCACCATTTCCCCCATGGCATACTTTGACGGTGCAAAGGGATATTGTGGCCACAGCTCTCTGTCTTTTCAAAATCCGAGAGCTTCGATGAGTTCGAGTACAATATGCAGGGTGCCCGCGCCATAGGGGTATGGGAGAAGATGGGGCAGCAGCTAACAAGAACCCATCCAGCCTCGCTTCCCTAATTGCGTTACAGTAGGAAATTGTGGGCCCAGCCGAAAGAATGAGTCGAGGAGTACGTGCCTTGTGTTGCATCGGGCTCGTGATTGCGGGTTGGAAGTGATGGGCGGGCGTGTGAGCATGGTTGTTGATTGCTTTGTGGGGGGACCAACAGGGAAGGCGGATAAGAGAGAAGAGGGAAGGTGGAAGAGGAGAAAGGGAGGGTGAAGAAAGAACAAGGAAGGAAAGAGGAAGAAGGCGTGGATGAGTGAAGGAACAGTGGAGTTGGAGTGGTAGGTGAAGGAGGACGGACAGGAAACCTCTGTCAAAAATGAAGTATGGAAATGGCATTATCAAAAGCAGTCATATCACATTGTGAATAATGGAAGCCCGTGTATTAAGGTGAACGTGAGAGAGATAGTGGGCATAATGTGTGCAAAAGGGGAAAAGAACAATAGGAGGAGAACTATCTAGGCCTTCTTGGCAAGAAGAAGCAAGAGGCCGATGACACGGAAGGAAATGTAGTATCCGATAAGGATGATGACAGCCCTCCATTTGGTCAACCAGTCCAGGTCAGCCATGCCGAAATACTGCAGTGTAGCAGTGCCCTTTGCTGAGCCATCAGCAAACTCGTTGCCGAGCATACCAGAGAAAGCCCACTGGTAGTACGAGGCCCAGAAAGCCCAAATCCAGCCGCGGGGGATATCGGTCCTGCTGACAATGAAGCCCGAGAACAACATGGCCATGGTGTTGATGAGCGAGAGCATGTTCATACCGACCTCGGCGTTCTCGGCACCGGCACCGATGGCAGCGATGAGAGAGAGGGCAACGTTGACAAACACGGCGACGGCCACAAAGTAGTAAATCAACGATCCCTTGAGACCGATAAGGTAGTAGGTGATGACGACAAAGATAACCGAAAGGACGGTGTAGGAGAGGGTCTCGACGATGGTCTTTGCGAAGAAGTAGGATGAGGTTCTGTACATTCCTGCAGCTCGCTCTCTCAAGAACAAGCTACGCTCGATAATGACTATTGTAGAAAGAGGCGAGGTTAGAACAGGTGCTGCATACAGGCGTCAGATGCACCAACAATCAAAAGAAATGCAAGAGGCAACTTACACTGAGGCATGGCGGAGAAGGTCATGGTGGCGAGGAAGGAGGTGATGAAAAACAAGGCAATTGACTTGTTGAAGCTGGTGGCACCCATCTCAGGGCGGTCCTTAAGTCCTGAGAACAAGGAACCGATGACGAGCGCAAAGACGATGTGGATGAAAGCAGAGGCCTGGAAGATGGTGGGGTGACGAGCCAAGTTGGTCAAGCTACGCTGAGTGAGCAACAAGGTCTGAGTCAAGGTGGTGGTGGCGTACTCGGTCGTGTAGGCCTTCTTGAACTGGTCCAAGAGGGCATCGTCCTTTCTCTTCTCAGAGTCATTCTGGTGTTTCTGGAGAAGCTCAGTCAAGTATGCCTTGGGGTTGGTGGCGAGGAAGCTGGCGTACTTCTGAGCAAAGTCCTCCTGGGACGAGGATGACCCCTCATTAGGGGTTTTGTCCTCGTGAAGAGTAATAAGATCCACTGTGTAAGGTCAAGGAAACATAAACGAAAGATCCATTAGTTACAAATCATTTACAAATAGCGTTCGATCATCATGATATGCGAACGGATGGGAATTGAAACTTACAAAAGTAATCGGCAACGTTCCAACCGACGGGAACTTCATGACCAAGGGCCTCAAAGTAGGCGGCGGCTTCCTGAGCCTTGCCAAAGTAGACGACCTTGCCCTTGGACAACAACAAGAGATCATCAAAGAGCTCATAGATGTCAGAGCGAGGCTGGTGGACGGTCAGGATGACGGTGCGACCCTTGCGAGCAAGCTCCTTGATGGCGTTGGCAACGTTCAAGGCATCGGTCGAGGAGAGTCCCGATGTGGGCTCGTCGAGAAGCAAGACACTGGGGCTGGAGAGAAGCTCGATACCGATGGTGACGCGACGCTTCTCTCCTCCAGAGATACCGCGGATGACGGCACCTCCGACCTTGGTGTTCTTGATGTGGGTCAGGTTGAGCTCCTCCATGACGTCGTCGACGCGGGAAAGCTTGTCCTTTGTGGACATTGCGCGAGGGAGTCTCATCTTGGCGGCAAATGTGAGTGTCTCCAGGACGGTCAATGTCTCGATGAAGTCTAATGTCGTAGTTGATATGGATGTCAGTGTGCTAACGGCAATGAAGGTAGGAGACAAAAAATGGAGTGCAAGTGCAAGGAACTGATAGTTACCATCCTCCTGGGTGACATAACCGACGAGACGCTTGCGGATGGAGCCGTACTGCTTGACGGGGACATCGTTCAGGAGGATGTCGCCCTGAATCTTGCCAATGTTGCGTGCCTGGCGATCAGCGAGCAGATCCAAGAGGGTCGTCTTGCCTACAAATTATTGTTTAAGGGGTAAATTGAAGGATGGGAAAAAGTTAAGTAAAACGAAGGAAGACGAAATCGTTAGCAACGGGCAGCAAGGATGTATACCTGATCCACTGGGACCCATGATGGCGAGGACACGGCCAGGGGTGGCCTTGACATCGATATTGGAGAGGATAGCACGCTGGACATCAGGTTGCTTCTTGAAGAGGCTCTTCTTCTCGCCCTCCTTCAGCTCCTGTTTAACAGTGATCTCGTACTGGAGCTTGGAGACAGTGAGCGAAGCAGGGATGAAAGGGACATTGGCGTCACCCTGAACATGCGAGCCAGTCGAGACGGATGCATTTGACCCATTGGTAATCTTTTCGATATTCATCGTCGACGTTGCTGTATGAGGTGAAGGTATAGTATTAGGTGTGTTGAGAAGGAAAAGTGGACGGGGAATTTACAAGACTAAGAAGGAGGAGTGGAGGAAGAGAATTAGAGTCGGTCGACGGACAAGAGAAGATATGGGAAATGGGGATCGTTAAGTAAGAAGAGGTGGACTGCTGTGTGGAGAAGCAGAGGCAGGAAAAAGGATGAAGAGAAAGGATCAGGAGGGAGAGAAGAAAGAAAAGGTGGAGAAAGAAGAAGGATAGGAAAGGAAAAGAAAAAGAAACGAAAGAAGCAGTCGTCTCAAAATGTGAATGGTCAGTGTCCCCTTCCTCCCTTACTCCAAACATCAAGTCAACCATGGTTCTGCCTCGCAGCCCATGTACACTGCACAGGCAGTTCCTGCACTGAAAATCAAGAACAAAAAAATGAGAACAATGAACTCTAAACAAATGAACGTCCTCATGAAAGTACCAACGATGATGGCCCATGGGAGCATGAACGAAGAGAACAGAACTCTCGTTCTCCATCATCCCCATCAAATATTACCCACACACCCTGACCACAACGCAGTGCAGTTATCCCTTCGTCCGCTTCCTCGTATCGTCCATGGCACACGCAATTTGACTGACCAGATGATTGCAACAAAAGCGGCATGAGATGACCTTTGAGTGATGGGGCTATTTTCCTGCACCTACTTATTAGCTCGTGTGTTTGGTGTGGCTATCGTGTTTTGTCATGCAATGAAAAACAGAAAAAAAACGTCGCCGGATTCGTCGAGCATGAACAGGATGTACAAGATGTACCTAAAATTGATACCAGGGCACCGATAGCTTTGAAGACTGGGTGATGTTGGGAACACAAATGAAGGAGAGAATGATTGATTGTCAACAGAAGACCTTCGTCGAATATCAGTCGCTTCACATGCGTTTGCATTGTTCTATTTTGAAAACAAGAACAACCAACGAAGCTTGCGAAAGAGCGACTGAGAATGATGGAAGACGCATTAACAATGGAGAGATTAGCGATGATGACAATGATGAGTTGAGAGAGACCGCGGACTGGCTTCACACTGGCCCGAACGTACCACGTCGTCGATAAAGATGAATTGCTCAATTTTCAGCTGCCACCTTATCAACTAACAGCAAAGGAACAAAACAATGAGAACATCAATTGTTCGCGGACTTTTATAATAGAGCCCAATGGACTCGGCGTTGTTAAGTTAACTAGGGGATTGTTGGTATCGGTCAGCTCAAAGTTGTTTGCTCTTTCACAATCATGTGTATCCTTATTATTGCTTCCTTCTGCAGTTGAGTTTTCTTGTCTGCTCTCAAAATTGTTTGTTTTTTGTTGTAACTGTCAATGTTGTTGTTGAAGATGGTGATTGTATTGAATATCGGTCGTGCATCGTATTCACTCCTTGATGCACTATTCACCGTTTAGTCCGGACTCAAAATGAAAACCAAAATGTCTGTGAGCTGTTTGTTGACAAGTTGCTGAATGAACTTGTTTGTTTTTCAGACCTATTTTGATTGAGGAGTTACCCCGTCCACAGTCCTCAGGAACTCCAAGTACCTGCGATGAATGGATCAATGGCATGTATGTCAGCCTGTTGTATGTGATCAGACAAGAGTAAAGGCGATTATTTTCGCCTTGTCTCTCTTCACTCCTTCCTCCTTCTCTCTCTTCTTCTTCTCTTCTCCTTTCCCTCTCTCTCAATCTTACTCTTACTCTCCGCAATCCCTCCCTCCTTCAAACGGCCGACACCCATCCGCGTTCTTTTTTGCCCCTCGTCTGTCATCATTGCATGCACACATCACCACCACATTGCTAACGACCACGCAAATCACCTCTCACGATCGTCCCTCCCACTTTTTTTGTTGCTTCTAAATAAGCCCCTTCCCCCTCTTCGACTTCTCTCACCTCCCTTCCTCCCATCGCCCTTCTTTCTTTTCTTTTTTTTTCTCTTTTCTCTTTTCTCCTTTCTCCTTTTTTTCTTCGTACCTGAATCTTGATCCGCACCAACCAACCAACCGACCAACACATACAGCAAACCATGAAAGCCGAACAAGAAAACAAATCCCAGATCTCAGTCTCGACAACAGCCAGCAGTCGACAGGTCGACATCTTTGTCCAGTTCTCCGGCTACAAGGCCTGGTTCAAGTTCTTCTCGGAGCGCGTCGCTCTCTTCGTGTACCTCTTGACAGGAGCAGGATATGTCCTCACCGCCAATTACTGCCTGACCAATGGATCCAAGGACCTTCCTCTCCGTCAGTTCTTCTGGACCTTGGTCATCGAGACGCTCTTCTTGATCACCCTCAGAGTCATGGATGATCTTAAGGATGTCGATACCGTATGTCTACACCCTTTCCTTTCTTCACCCAAAGTGTAATGGCTACTTTCCTTTCTGTGTTACCTTATTGCTAACTAACCTCTTACTGGCTTCTGTTGAATAGGATATTCTTGCTCACCCTGAACGCCCTTTGCCTCGAGGCCTCGTTACAGCTCGTGAAGCCAGTGTTGTCGTCCATACCCTCGTCACAATCCTCCTCATTAACGGAATCGTCCTCGCCATCGTTGAGAATCTCGCCTGCGGTCTCCTCTGCATCGCAACCACCCTCTACTACTACGCCATGTTCAAAGAGTTCGGCTGCGGCCACTGGTTGAGCGCCCGCCCAATCCTCTATGTCATCACCCACCAGCTCGTCGTCCTCCTCATGGTCCTTTTCCCCATCGCTGCCTTCCACGGCGCCTCATCCCTCAAGAACATCCTTGCCTGGCATGCGGCCCTCTTGCAGTTTGGAGGCTCGTTCACCTTTGAAGTCTGCCGCAAGCTTGACCCAACTGCCCATATTGCCCTTGGAACCTATTTGATCGCTTATGGAAAGGTCAAGACCTTCTTGATGGTTCTCTTTGCAGTCATCATTGGAGCCTGGGCTTCGTATGTGATGGCTGTCGAGATCATCATGTGGCCCTTCTTGGGCTTCTTGCTCCTCACTGTCATTGTTCTTTTCGCCAAGCAACGTGCTCCCGGTACCCCTCTGGCTGAGGGAGAGACTGCGCCCAAGGGACACAAGACTGTCGAGTTGATCTGCACCCTAATTACTCTTCTTACCATGTACATTGTTCCCATCAAGGTCTGGAGCGGCGTTCCCAAGACTGCCATGCGCACCTTCTCTTAATCTCTTTCACTTTACTTCATGCCTACTTTTTAATGACTCACTTTTGCAAATAAAACCACTTAATATCTCACTCAACTTGGCCACATTCCATACAGAGGCATTGTTCAAGCGTGTACCTTAGGCAAATACTTTGATTGTCACCATTGGAGTTGAGGTTTGGTGATTACGAGGACTTCTCCCTTTCTTCTGTTTTACGCATGCTACAAATCATGCCCAGTTACATGGTTCAGCAAGCAAATAAATGGCAATGGTAATATGTGGTAGTTGTGTTTAATGATGCAAAATAGTCATGATAAAAATATAGAAAACATAAGAAATAAATCGCAACAAACTCTTTCTTTCTCACCCTCAATCAGCGAGTCGAACCCCCAACTTGACCCCCGGACAAGGCTTCAAACTAATCGACCACCTCCAATCAATCTCCCCCCGATTCTCCTTCAACTCGGGCGTCTCCACAAACTCGAACGTATTAATCAGATTCCCAATGTGGGTCTTCATCTCGAGCGTCGCAATCTTGTTGCCTACACAGCTGCGTTTCCCGTGGTAGAAGGGGAAGTAGCAGAGACCGTTTGGTGGAGAATAAGGTGGGCAAGGGAAGGCCTTGTCGGTGGTGAGCCAGCGCGAGGGGTTGAAGGATAGGGAGTCGGAACCCCAGATCTTGGGGTCGCGTTGGAGGATGAATATGGGGATTTGGAGGTTGGTCCCGGCGGGGACGTAGAGGGGTGGGAGACCGTTGTTGCGTGGGAGGTGATCGTCTTCGACTGATACTCGCAAGTTGAGCTAGGTGCATATCGAAATGGAAAATACCCCAAATTGAGGGTGGTAAATAATTGAACTTGTATCGTTATAGTTAATTCGTCCAACAATCACAAAGGACAGCTAAGAAATACTTACTGGGATAGGAGACCAGAGACGGAGACTCTCGCGGATGACGGCGTTCAAGTAAGGGAGCGAGTTGAGTTCATCATAAGTAGGGGCACCCTCTCTGTCCTTGTAGAGCTGACGGATCTCTTCTCTCAGACGGGTCTGGGCCTCCGGGTGACAAGCAAGCTGATAAAACGTCCATGACAGAGCCGCAGAGGTAGTCTCATGTCCCGCAAAGATGGCAGTAAAGACATCATGTCGGATCTGAAGATCGGTACCACCCTCCCCAATCAATTGGTCGACCAAAAGCATCGTCAGAAAGTCCTTCTTTTGACTGGTAGCCCCCTCTGCCTGAGAGAACTCTCCATCATGGGCCTTGATCTCCTCGAGGAGACTCTGCTTGCGATCTTGGACAATGCCCTCCATGGAGGAGTTGAAAGCTCGGACGGCACTCCAAGCACGGCGGTTGATCTTTGTCGGGATCCAATTGGACAGGGGCAGCATCGTCAACAGGGTAACCTGGAAAGAGTCGACAATGATCTTGTAGTTGTCGAAATCGGGACCGATAGGCGACTTGATGGCGTCAAATCCGCGTCCGAGAGCAAACTGGCCGATGGAATCCAACGTCAAACAGTAAAACGACGGCTCGAGATCGATAGTGGTGTAGGTCTTGCCAGCATGCTCCCATCGCACCTCCACTTCCTCCTTCTGCTCAGCCTTGCCGTCAAGCCTCTCCTTCCAGACTCCAAGAAGATCCTGGGCGACGCCATGGAAAGCAGTAGCCATGGACTTGAGGTAGGTATGCTTGAACCCTTTAGCAAGGTACTTGCGGTGCGCTGTATGCTCACCCGCCTTCATCGACAGAAGCGAATGTCCCAAATTCTGCTCAAACATTTCCTCGGTCCCTTTACTCTTCAACCAGTTATCGTTGCCTTTCCCTAGAACATAGCCGACAGTGACGGGGTCCGAGGTCATGAGAGTCAGTCGCGAGAACCAGTAGTAACGGTAGATCGATCCGGGGTATTCCATCGCCCAGTCGTAGAGGGCCATCATGGGCTTCTTCTTGGTCAAGGCCAGCATGTTTCCGAGGAAGGGGATCCGTGAGGGGCTTGGGCCGGGGATCTTGGAGAGCGGATCGAGGTGGTAGGGGTAGAGCCAGGACTTGTAGAAGACGTAGGTGATGATGGCGGAGAGTGTCACTGCCAGTGAGGCGGCCGACTGATGGGTTGCTTTCTCGACTAGGGCTACAAGAGTCATGCTTGTAATGTATGTATGTATGGTGATGCAGTTGGGTGTGTGACAGATTTTTGAAGTAAAGAGAAATGAGAAATGCCGAGGACAAAGAAAAATATGTGTGGCCCCTTTATGTTTGGGCTGGATGAAGCTAGTGTGAAGGAGACCCTGTAAAAAGAGAAGAAAAAAGAAGTCAATAAAAGCACGCCGGTGAGTTTGATGGAAACACGGTTGTACCGATGAAGACAAATGGTCCGAGGGGAGAGACAAGGCGTCGACGGGAGTGAGGGATTAGACCAGGTCCATTGGGCGTCCGTCTTAGATGCAATGTTTGCATCATTGGTCTTTTGTTTTTGCGCAGAAGGTCGGTGGATGTTGCGGTCTTCCTTGGTGCCATTTTTCATGCGACGGCCTGAGGTATGTTTTCGGAGATGATGACAACGGAAGGAGAGGAGAATAGACTTGATGAATGGCGGTTGTGTTTTACCTTGGTACACAATATTGCACATGTGTAATAATAATGAACAGAGAAATGGAGAAGAGGATGAGAAGAGGAAAACAAAAACAAAAAAAGAAATGAGGTCGAATGTCTATTACAATATCAAAAAACAAAAAAAAACAAAGTGAGCAGGCTACAGGAGTAAGTTTACTCATCTCAAGTTACCGTAAGTCATCCGAAATAACTTAAGCTTTCGACCGTTGAAATCCATAACTAATTTGAGTTACTTTGTTGAATGAAGAGGAATAAGAATACTACCACGCATAGATACAATACATTTTTATTTCTCAATTGCAGCGTTTCTTTAATTCAGTTTCTTAAAGAGCAGACCGTAAAACAAAGGATCGTCTTCTATGTTTCCTTACTTACAGACTTGCGAAGAAAGACGCTCTCTCATGCACCCAATTACGACAAAGCGGTCATCTTTCCAAAAAGGGAGCCACGAGGTGCAAAGAGGATCGGGATGGAAGAAACGGTTTTATGCAAGAAAACGATGCATCCTCAAAGCAACCGTTCCTCGGCTCACTTGCACATGTTCTGTTATGATTCTATTCCTTTATCTTTCGTTGCTAAAAACCACCAATGCTGTGAATGAATTCATCCTTCTTTGTATTTTTTCGAGGGATCCAGACTTTTATCTTTCATCATTTCTGTTGTTTTGTCGGTTCATTTAATACCCATGGACCTAACCCGATCTATGGTCAGAACGATGCCTTTTGTTTTGGTATGCGGACAAGGATACGTGCGCCCAACCAAAGAACAACCTATAGCGCTCATTCATTATCCATCCGTTCATTCATTCGCTCAGTCACTCGACTCAATTGTTCATTCCTCGCCTGTCAGTCAAGATTTCTTGCGGGCGATCGATGTTCGGTTGAAAGGAAAGTTGAGGCATTTGCACACCCACTCCTCTCGGTCGGAGGTTAAACAGCTGCAGATTTTGATCAATGGGTTCATCATCGTGCAAGCCCATCCTATCCCGCCATTACTTCGTTTGTTCATTCGTTCAGAACCGAAAGATGCGACAAGCACTTGCGTGTAAGAATGAAATGTCAGAGCGCATGATGAATGTCGTCTACCTCAAACTAAAAATGGACTCGGGAAACAACCAACCCAGTTCTCGAGCAGATTCAAGCTGGTCATTTAACAGCTGAGAGCTAAGTGCAAAATGAACCTTGACCTGAGATGTGCGTGTGATAACTTCTATGAGAATGACCAAACAGCATCAACCAAACCAAAACAAAAACAAATAAAAAGGGGGACTCGATTCGCTCTCCCTCTTGACGACCACAAAAAACACAAACCATAACGAAAGTCAAGAAAGGACCTTTCAAATTTCCGTGCCACCATCCCACCACCACAACCACCGCAAGGTCCTCTCCTCCAACCGCGCTGCTCTCCGACTTTGCATCCGTCCATCTGTCGCTCAATTTTCCTCTCCTTCGCTGCTTCACACCAAGACCTTTCCTTTGACACTCGTTCCTCCTTCAATTGATTGACCCAACGCCCATCTGCTTTCTTCTCTTGGTCTACTTGTGCTCACCACAATTCCATTTTACTTCATTCAAATCAAAAGGTATAAGTAAGCATGGAAACACAAATGAGCTGTTGTTACTTGAAAATATCGGCTATTCGTTTTTTTTTTGACCATTCAAAACAATTTACTTACACCTCATTCTCTTTCATTTTCATTCTCTGACGTTTAGTTTCATTGCATTCTCTCCCTCACTCTCTCTCTCCCATTTTGTTATAACCTTCTCAACCCCGTCAACCCAAATCACACCCACAACAAACAACGACTCTTACAACTCTTACACCACTCCACCTACTACCATGTCGCCACAACAGTACAAGTTCGGACCTGCCAAGGCCAAGGAGTTCTACACCGAAAACAATGTCATCTTTTTGACAGGTGCCACCGGATTCGTCGGCAAGACCATTCTCGAGAAGCTTCTCCGCTCGTTCCCTCAGATCACAAAGTAAGTAACTCTCTCGTATTTTAGCATGGCCCATGCGTTATATTTCTCTCCACCCCTTTCTTCGCTTTTTTGCCGGATACCCCTTTTTCGCCGTTGTTTTCTTGATTCCCTTCACGGTCTTCAGTGTCACAAACGTACCATGCCATGGATACCTCTCATCTCTCAAACACGAGGGTGAATGACAAACATTCAGTTACCCTCTAAACGATCACATGAGCACTTGAGTCTCACACGCATATTTTACAAACGTACCTTCTTCCACTAGGGTGTACTTATTAGTCAGGATATCAGGAACTAAAACCCTTCAGGACCGCGTAGAGAACGACGTTTTTTCTAGCAAGATCTTTGACACCCTCCGATCCCAATTCTCGACCCCCCAAGAGTTCCATGAGAAGGTTGTCCAAAAGATTGTCCCTGTCAAGGGGGATATTACGGTCGACCTGTTGGGGCTTTCGGAGGCTGATCAGCGCATGATTCATGAAGATACGAGGGTGGTGATTAATAGTGCTGCCTCTGTCAGTTTTGATGACCCCCTGAACAATGCCCTTGAGGTGAGTCTTCTTTTGCCGTATCACACTGTTCACACTGTTGGTGAGCTTTTAGGAGAAAGATTCAGGAACAGAAATGAAGAGGGGCTAGGTGATTGGTCAGTGATATTAACCAGAGACAAACAAACTTCATTTGCCACCAACTCTACAGATGAACACTAGAGGCCCCTTCCGCACATTTGAGATCGCAAAGGGAATCAAGAACCTCGCTGCATTCGTTCACATCTCCACCTGCTACGTCAACGCCCCCATGTTCGACGCCCACATCGACGAAATCGTCTACCCCCACCCCCTGGGCGAACCCGAGGCCATCTACGAGGCCATGACCAAGATGTCCTATGAGGAGATTCGAAACTATGAACGCTCCGTCGTCCTCAAGACCTACCCTAATACTTATACTTTTTCCAAGTCTTTGACGGAACATTTGATCCAGAAACAGTACAAGACCATGGGTTTGCCTATTGTTATTGTGCGCCCTTCGATTGTTACTGCGGCCAAGGCCGAACCAGTGCCCGGGTGGGTTGAAGGTGTTGCGGCTGCAAACAAGGCGGTTGTTTCCTGTGCGCTCGGACAAGTTCAAGAGTGGATCGGTGATGGGGTAAGGTTTACCAGTCACTCCCTTGTTTTTCGCCTATTTTTCTCTTCTGCATATGACGACAAGTGTGAACGACAAAAAAACCTAATTGCTGCTCTCCTTTTTTTTTCTTCCCTTCATAGTCCAAGAAAACAGATCTGATCCCAGTAGATATCGTCGCAAAAGTAATCCTCCTCGCTGCAACAACCGCATCCAGCTCCCAACCCCGCCCAAACATCTATCACGTCGGAACCAGCAGCATCAACCCCATCACCTGGGGTCATTTCGGAACCTGCCTGACCGATTATTGGCTGGCCGTCGACCGACCCCGCCGTCGCGTCTCGGACGACATCCGTTTCGAAATGTACGACTTGCCCGTTTTCAAGAAGCGATTCGATCAACGATTCGGGGAACAGATCAAGACGTTGGCTCAACACAAGGACGGCAAGAAGCTCAAGATTCGGATCTCGAAGGCGATGGCGGTTCCGATGACGTTCAAGACGTTTGCGACGAGTCAATGGTTCTTTGATGTTAGCAACACGTTGGCGTTGGATGATGCCGCACCCGTGGAATTGAAGAGTGGGTTGAGGAGTGGGATGGATTGGGACCGGTATATGGAGGATTATAATGCTGGTGTCCATGCGTTTATTTTGAAGGAGAAAGTTGTCCGACCCGTTGGTGGGGCCAGTTACTCGATCCAGCCCCTCAAGAGGAAGGAGCTTCCCGCTGCAGCAACGCCCGAGAAGCCCGATATCGCCGCCAGACTCTAGATCCCATCATCTACCTAGTACCATATTCTCTTCCCCCATAGACTTAATTAAAACATGTATCATCTCGAACCTGTTGTGGAAAAGTGTTATGCAAGAATAATGATAGGAAAAAAATCTAATAGATGATTTATGGTAAAGTTGAGTGATTGCAGTTACAAAACACTAAGTGGACTTGGTAAGGAAGGATGCATGGCAGGACTCGCAATCGCCCGCCTCATCGACACAGGTGCGTCCCAGACGATCCTTGATGGTCACATCAATCTCAGGGAACTTGCTGAGGAGGTAATCCAGCACCGCATGACGGTGCTCCGCCGCTGCAATGTGCATCACCGTACGTTGGTCAAAAAGGGGTCGGTTCAGGTCATAACCCGCCTCAGCAATCATCGACACACGAGGCAGGTCGCCCTCAGTGGCAGCAATCATCAGCTTCCATCCCAAGTCCGAGACCTCCGAGTCGTTAAAGTGGGCACCAGTCTCACGAAGGACCCTAACAACCTCCAAATTGTTGCTCCTGGTCACGGCATCGTAGAGAGGGGTGTGGTTCAACCGATCACGGACATGGATCGACGCTCCATGGCTCAGCAAGAAGCAAACAACGTCCAAGTGACCAGCACTGCAGGCAATATGAAGGGGTGAACGACCCTCCCAGTCTCCGCTGTTCATACCGATACCATCGCCCCCCATAACAGCCGTTCCACCTAAGAAGCTGGGCGACGAAGATCGGGTGTTGTCAGTGCTGGCTGGTCCGAGGTTCTGTGATATCTTGTTGGGACCGTGTCCATCGGCAATAACCTCCCACAGCTTCTTCAGACCCTCAAGATCACCACTTCCAGCAGCACCACAGATCAGCAACGGGTACAGACTTCTCTCGATCCAGCGCTGGTCCTCATGAGACAGAGATCCTACTCCCAGCTGCGAGTCGGCACCAGGGGGCAAGGTTAGATCCTCAACCCCAGATCCAGCATCCGATGATGTGTCAGACTCGTTGCTGGCAAGATGGAACGTCTTTTTCTTAAATTGCTGAGCAACCTGCTCAATCTGCTTCTCCACCAATTGACCTTCAGTGGGCACCCTGCCTGGAAGGGATTGTCCGTTCTGCGTCAGCAATCCATTGGAGGCTGCTCTGAAGAGGAGCTGGAGCAACGAGTGGGTGCGGTTGATGTAACTGAACCGGGTGCGAGGCTGGATGACTGTCAATTCACCGCGCATGTTCTTGGTCATCATCTCACGAACCTTGGCAATGGGCAGGTTGTGTCCCAAGAGGTAGGAGAGCTTTGTGAGTGCACACTCGGGTGTCATATCGTTTCCGGGAATGACACCAGCGTTGTAGAGGACTTTGCCCGTCTGGTATGCATCTGTCACCAATCCACGCTTGCCTAATTTAACGACCAAAAAAAAAGGGGGGGGGGGGGGGGGGGGTTAGAATGAGAACCAAGACACAACTGCAGCGAGCGTAGGACAAACGGTAGCAAAGAAACTAGAGAAACGTACATTGAGTGCAGTTGACGATGACGACACCACGGTCGCAGGCTTCTTTCAGGGCAGCAATCAGGTCAGCGCGAGTCGAAGGTGCATTACCAGCGCCATAGGTCTCCAAGACAACACCCTGGATGGGAGGTGCTAGCAAGGTTCTGATGGTCGTATCGGTGATGCCAGGGAAGAGGCGCAGACTGGCGACATTGGAGTTCATCGACTTGTGAGCACGGAAGCGAGAGAGGGACGTTGGACGAATAACCTCGGACCAATTCACATCTAGTATTCAGCAAGAGAGTAGAGTACGTCAAAATGAATATATGTATATATCAAAGCCCTTGCCCCCCAACAAAAGGATAAACATAAAGAAAAAAGAAAAGAAAAAAGGCAAAGCTGGGGAAGTGCGATCATGATCTCGTACCGATATTGATGCCGACCTTGACGAGGGGTGGCAAGTTAGGACTGTCGAAGGCGTTAAAGTCGATGGCGTCGAGTTTTGAGGAGCGGTTACCCCTGAAGAGCTTGTTGCTGAAGTAGAGGGAGACTTCAGGGATGACAAAATGGCCTGCGATGGTGAGTGCGCCGAGGAGGTTATCAATGGCATCGTTTCTGATCTCGGTGATGGGTACCTGAGAACCGGTGATAATGACAGTCTTTCTATAAACGGAGAAATCAACGCACGGGGTTGAGTGTGCCGGGGCAGGAAGAAGAAGAGGGGAAAGGATGCTCTTGTTAGTAAAGTTCAAAATGGAAGAAGAGCAACAGCTGCAGGATGTAGCGGACAATTGAGTCCAGGTGTTCCCCAAAGAGCTGCTTGATGTTGTTTGTTCTCTTGTTGGATGCCGTGTGAAAAAAAAAAAGTGAGAATTAAGGTGCGGAGGGTGAACGAAAATTTTCCACGCTCCGCTCCGCCCAAATATTGTGTCCATGTTGACGGTCATAGACATTAAGATAGTCGTAAAAAGAAAAACAAGTTAATCAGCCAGTCATATATACAACACCACTCAATCCCTTACCCTGAACTTTTATGTACTCCTCCACTCGCCGCTCACGCCACCCCCACATCTAATGGTGCTCATCTGACTCATTTGACTTACCCAAGGTCCTCAAGCATAAAGCTCAGTGCGCTCGCAGTGTACGCCATCGTGTCGGTGCCGTGCAAAACGATGAAAGAATCATATAGTTGGTAATTGGCTTCAATGTCCGTCGCAATTCGGACCCAGTCCGTCATGGTCATATTGCACGAATCCAACAAAGGATCGTATTCCAAAATCGAGTATCGGATGCGCTTGCCATAAAGCGAGGGTGGTGTAATCAAGGATGGGATCTTGCCCTGACTGTTGGGCAGGTGCGAGAAGCATGGGATACGGATCTTGTTCACTGGGGTATTGGGAGGGAGGGTAGCGCCAGACGCGGTTCCATTGAGGGTGGCGTGGTCAGGGGGAATGGTATGTTGGGTGAAGAGTCCATTCATGGCAGAGGTTTGAGGCTTGAACTGGAGGTCTACGCTAGAATTCGTCCGCGAGAGTCGTCCAAAGACTGTGTTGAGCGAAGGGAGATCGTGGAATCGAGCCTGACCGGACAGAGTCTCAGCGAGGAAGTTTGGCACAGGAACATAGCCGAACTGCTTTGTGTTGCTCATTCCGATGGTGCCTCCGGTATAGATCACCAGCACCCTGGAGACCTCTAAAACACGTCGACACGAGGGCGAGTATCAAGGAAAGTACGAAAGGGAGTTGATTAGGGAGTTGGATTACAGGGAGAGAGGAAGGGGTGCACTGTGCAGATCGGATTATTTTTGTGCGGTATGGCCTCTGGGTTTCATAAAGACTAAAAAGAGGTGGCGGCGTACCACAGGGGAGCATCTCGTCGATGTACTGCGACAGCTGGTAGTCGACGGCGGCATTCTCGAAGGCGATAGTGTCGAGGCTGTCTGATCGGTTTGCGGATGACTGCATGAGTGAAAAGGGGAGGAGAATGGAGAGGGAGTGAGTTGCTGAATGAGAAAAAGAAAAGAGGAAGCGGCAAAAGAATGATGCAAAAAAAAAAAAAAAAAAAAGAGCTTCCAAATAAAAGGGACGTGGACAGACCCGCGGGAGAATGTCCACGTGACCCAAACCCTTCTTTCAAAAAATCGTGCCGAGCCTATTGGTCCGTCAACGCACAGTTGTGCTCTGTGTCTGTTGTTTTTCGTTGTTGTATTCGTCAATCTTCTTTTTCTGCAATCGCCCCTTCACTCTCCTCACTCTCCTCACTCTCCTCTCCTTTTCCTTTCCTTCCCTCACCTTCCTCCTCCTTCCTTCCTTCCTCCTCCTCCTCCTCCATCCTCTCGTCATCCTATCCATCGTGCAAGGCTGGATCCCGCCTGAGAACAGCAACACATTATGCCTCCAGTAAATACAACTACATCGCTCTCGAGCTGCTATCACAACTCAACAACAGCTGTCTCATCATCCTAATGCCATCATCTCGTCAACCTGCGTCATCCTTGATCAAACGAATAGCCCCACCAGCCAATGTACTTTGTGCAGGATGTCCCCGTCCGGTACAAGCACTTGAGCAACACCCTGCGGGTCCTCTGCCTCTTCCCCGCCGTCTGGGGTGTATACAACCACCTGGCCGAGGCCAACAGCATCGATAACCGCCAAGCCCGAGCCCTCGACCATACGAAAAGCTCCGCTCTCGACAACTATGTGGGCATCCTCTGGGTGAGTAATTGGACCCAGTCGGGGACTCGTGAAAAAACGCGCCACGCATCATATACTTTGGCGTGTGTACATTGAACATATCGCACTAACAAACTACTACAACTTATTATCGTGCGCGACTCTTATCTTAGTGTCTTCTGGCTGGACTCTGGACCTACTGGCTCACCAACAGTCTGATCCGTCGATGGTTCATCCACTACGAGCCATGGCCTGCGATGATTCGACTCCTCACCCTGGGCACAATCTTCTGGTTCTCAGTTATGTACTTTGTGAGCTACTTTGGTGCGAACGAGCCCATATGGCCGTGGATGGTTATCTGCGCGATCCTCGCTGTCGCCCAGACAATTCAGATTCTACACTTTCGAGCCCGTGGTCTTTCAGGCTCTGAAAGCAAAAAGCCAAGACGTGACGGAAAGTCTTTGATCTACAGGACAGTCTTGATCCCAGGAGGCATTATCACATTCATAACCATGGTCATGCTCCTTCACCAAAACAACATGCGCCCTTCGAGCGCAGAGGCGATTGCGACTGGAGGAGCCACCGGGGTCATGCCCACCAATGATGCCAAGCTCGTCATTCAGGCTGCACAGATCCAGGTTTTGATCATTATTCTCTCTTCATGGGCACCCAAGGCTCTTCAGCGTCGTCAGGAGATCCGCGACACGACCTTGAGACTTGCGCCACCCAATTCGTCAAAGTTCGCCTACACCTACAAGTTTGTCCTCGGCGAGGCACCCAGCAACCACGCCAAGAACTCGTTGGGACCCAAGATCAGCCAGGAGATACAAAAGTACGACGACTTGTTGCTCTTGCCCGTATCGGACGCAGCCAAGGATCAAGACTACAAATCTTTCAAGGCGTTGGAGTGGAGCAACAAGTTCAAGTTCGACTTCCTGTGCAAGACCGAGGATGATGTCTTTGTTCGATGGGACACTGTTGCCCAGGATCTCATTGAGCTCGGACCCTCGCAGCACTTCTGGCGTGGCTTTGCATTCTGGTATGTTTCAGGTTTCTGTGATTGAAACTGAGGTTGGGAGTGTATCGACCCAAACTAACCATATTTGAGTATATTATTTTGCTCCATCCTCAACTAGGGCCATGGAACCAATTGGAAGCGACGATGCAAAGATCGAAAACAGAGACGCTCGTCGAGGACTCGATCCGCCCTTTGTCTCTAGTACCCTCTATACCCTCTCGAGAGACGTTGTCACTTTCTTGACATACCCCGGTCCCCGTGTCTTCACCAAGAACGAGGCCCAAAACGTCGGCAACTGGCTCTACTCCTTCGACCTCAAGCCCATCCACGACAGGCGCATCCAACAATGGGACGTTTGCGAAAACGACATGATTGCAAAACGCTTCAGCGACTCCTTCAAGCCCCTCGAATCCATGGAAGACATGTACAAGAACGTGCAGGAGGGCCGACCCCTTTGCACGGGTTTCCGTCAGGAACGCTGTGCGCCGTGCTATTCCTGTAGCAACCGACTGGGACACTGGAGAGATCGCGGTCTGAGCTGCGACAGCTCCCAAGGTATCTCGTTGATCCGCAGCGACTCCAGCGACCTCGGCTCAACCGTCAACCTTAGGGATCCTATGCCAGGATTGGCTGCCAAGCCAAAGTGGATCATCCCAGGAATTTTGAGCGACACAAGCAGCATCTACTCTGACACGGATGAGTGGGTTCGACTTCACTGGGCTATTTGGACGACCGACCCTGCCAAGACCTGGAAACAACGCCACTACCAGGCTATCGAAACCGTCTTTGTCCACAACCCCAACGCTGTCCTTATCATTCTCTCCAACACCCTCCCAAGCAACTTCTTCTCAGCCTATACCCGACAAGGCTACCAAATTCACATCATGGCCGTCTCCAAGGAACTTTTGTTGCACCGAAAGTGGTTCTTCAGCGCGGAAACAGAGGATTGGATTCGCCGGTGGGAGGAGTGGTCCAAGAAGAGCCCCTATTTCCCTATCCATTTGGCCGATTATATTCGTCTCGTGGCGATCTATAAGTATGGAGGTCTCTACATGGACATGGATGCCCTCTGGGTTCGTGCCCCCGGCGACAGCACAACAGAGTTCATCGGATCTGACATTTCGGATACCGAGAGTGATCACGCATGGAGTCTGGACGCCAACAACACCTATCTAGCGAACGGAGTGATGCGATTCCGACGTGGTCGAACCATGTTTAGGGAGATCGCAGAGAACTCCTTCACAGCCGCAAAGTACGACCCCAAGTGCTTCAACTGCGGCGGCCCCAAGGCCTTCACAACATATGTGAAGACTCGCCGATCCCTGCTCGAGACCAATGGACTCCACATTTTGCCTCGGGAAGCACTCTACCCTTATAACTGGAAGGAGATTGTGCCTGCACTCAGGAAAACCAACAGGGCCGAGGACGATGTTCTCCGCATCGAGGATCATAGTCTTAGTATCCACCTCTACGGTAAAGTGACCAGCGACTCGGATATCGAGGAGGGCAGTGTCGTCGGAGCAGTGCTCAAGATCTGGGGTCTGGACCTTTCACCGCCATTCCAGTCCAACCCAGGAAGCCCAAGGCTGCAGGGACCCAAAATCATGTACTATCAGGTCCCCTCCACTCCTTCCGAGTCCGAGTCCAGGAGCACAGTCCTCGATAAGGTGCCCGGATCATTCAAGGGCATTTACGCGGTGTTTGTTCGCGGAGGACGGTCGGCCGATGGGTTTATTACGAGAAAGGCGTCGATCCTGATCACTGTCAAGGTGGGAGCCATTGCCATGGATGCACAGGGAGCAGGGACGAAGAGGATCCAGATGGATTTGGGTCAGTCGATTACGATGGCTCAGCTGAACCTGGCGTTGTCGCGGTTACGGTACATCCCTCCAACAAGCGCAGGATGGGACGGCGCAGACGACATCAAGATCCAGGTGGAGTTTGGACTTATGATAGAACAGCTGGTTATCCCAGTCATCCGGAGGGCCGCCACAAAACATGCATAAATAGCACGCGCGTCAAGCGCGTTTTTAATTTAGAAAACATAAACACATTTGAAAGTCACAAAGACGGCGCGATTTCTGTGCAGTTTGCACTGCTTTTTTTTTTTTCCTTTCTATTGCTTCACTCTTGAGCAACCTCCCACTCTAAACAACGTCGAAATGGCCGAGAAAAAGACCAGCGGCACCAACAGGACAAAAGCAGCGACGTTGTCGCCTGATGGAAGGTGCGACTCTCATCAACAGAAAAGGCCAGGTCTCAATCCCGAAGATGTCCACAGGCTGATCATCGTCATTGTGCTTTCTTTTCGTTCTTTTGAAATACATTAGATACATCATGGCGGCCGGTCCTGGAGACATTCTCCTTCACCGTTTGCATGGGAGTGAATTCACGACCGGCGAAACGATTGAGTTTGACGATGACCCAGAATGTCTCTCTGCCTCAGTAAGTTATTGCTTCCAGCCTTGAGAAGTAGCCTTTACCTTACCAAAGAAGCACCTGTTGCCACCAATTCGTGTTCTGATTCCAACTTCTTTTTTTTTGGCTGTACGCGATATAATAGAACCGCATCATTTATGCAGGATATGCCGATGGCATGGTGAAGAGCTACGACTACATTAGAAAGGAATCGATGGGAGCTCTTACTCGCTGTGAGCTGGCAGTCAGATGTTTAGCTGTCTCGGACCATGGAAGGTTCCTGGCGATCGGAACTGAGTAAGGGGATCACTCACGCTCTCAACCTGTCGCCAGTTCTAAAATATCCACAAACTGCAAGTAAAACTTGATGGACTGACAACCACGATTTTGCTTTTCCACTGCGTAATAGGGGCACCGAGATCAAAATTATCGACACGGAAGACATCGACATGTGTTGGTCCATCAAGGGTCACAAGAAGGCTGTCAACTGTTTCGCATTTGATCCTCTCGGGAATTTCTTGGTAGGGCATGGTGGGATATGCAGGTGTCATCATTTGATGTTGCTTGGGACTTCACTACTGACTCTTGCTGTGTCGGCATGATTTAGTTGTCGTCTAGCTGCGATGGAACCGTCATTGTTTGGGATATCAAGACAAGGGATAGCAAACCATACGAGATCATCAATATTTCGGATCCCATCACGACATCGTAAGTGACGACGAGGTTTGGATAAGAGTGCATACCTGGAATTTTATTCGGCAAGAAACTGACCACCTCCCCTTTTCTCAATCAAATGGTATACAGCTCAGTCAAGAGCTTCCCTCTTGCGTGGCATCCTACGGGCGAGTTCTTTGTCGTAGGAAAGGACAAAGGTTAGCATTGACACACATCAGATCGCGGTATTGAAACAAGGACTCTATATGCCGAGTAAATGGGTTCGACGCACTTACATAATTAATCCAAACGATATTGTTTTCAACGTGTAGATATCATCGTCTATCACAGACATACATGGACGAAGTCATTCACCTATCGCAACGGATCAACAGCTGTAAGTACTTAAAGAAAGTTCCGATTCAGCATATCTATTACAGCGCCCACAACCTCATAACTAACATTTTTTTACGTGTTCCAACCCTACAGATGCCCTTGTCGCTCCACTTTTCCCCTAACGGCAGGTTCTTGCTCGCCAGGTCTAATATGGATAACGTCTGGGTTTGGCAGTACAAGGAGAAAGAAAGCCCCTGTGCCGAGTAAGCTGTCTTTTCAGCGGGCCCCTCCAGAAACGGGATGTTTTGACATTGAAGATAATTTGATCCGCAGCCATATTTATCATTTTCTACAATTTCTTTGCATGCTTAGATACACACACGCTGCAGGAGGAATGACGGGGGCTTGGTGGAAGATTGACGAGAATGCAATCGCTATTGTAAGTCGTTGGTTGCTGCTTGAAGATTTTCCCGACCTGACGTTTATTGGCATTGCTAACGAAACTATCTTCCCATTGGTGTCGTTCATTATCAGACTGACAAGAAGGGTAAGGTCAAATTTTGGGAGAATGTCGTCGATTCGGAGAAAGGAGCGCCCTTTGGCCAGCCGAAGCCTGACCCCCTCGAGGGACTTTTTGACGACGCCGCAATCGATGATGATGCCAAAGAGGATGAAGGTAAACCAACGGCGATTAACGTGTCCATCTGAGTAATTGTGAAATCGAAATAATCGACTGGTATTAATCTATTTTTTTTTTTGTTGGTCTCGATAGAAATGGGACATGCAGCAGTGAGCGACGATGAATCCTTGCACGACTTTATTGTGGATGATGAACATGGTCATTATATCCCCGAGAAAACTAGTGGCGCCTCTGCAGAAAAGATTGCGACCGCTCGCGGGGTTAGCTTCAGCTCCGCAAAGGCGAAGCCCCTGAAGACGTTACACCCTCGATTTCAGCCCGGAGCAACTTCATCAGATGGACAAAGGCGATACCTCGGTAAGATAAATGTGACCATTTCATATTGTATGAATACAGTATAACCCGCACCTTGCTAACCAATACTAATACTGTCGCACGTCACATAGCTTTCAACTTGCTGGGACTCATTACCTCTGTTCAACATGAGAACCGCTGCACCGTTGTTGTCGAGTTCCATGACAAGGTGACCAGCCGTGGTTTTCGCTTTTCCGACAACTCAAAGTTCTCGATGGCATACCTTGGTAAGTGCAACGGCACCTAGTGGAATTGTTTGATACGTTTTTTTTTTCGGTGCCTCTTTGCCACTGTAGAGCTACACCGGTTAACCGCCAGTTCCGTTACTATGATAGGTATCAATGGAGCTATTTTTGCTGCTCCTGCCATTGACGAAAACCCCAGCACAGTTTACTACAAGACGCATGATAGCTCGCTTTCAAAGTCAGAGTGGCAAATATATTTGCCTGAGGGAGAGGATGTCATTGGTAAGAATATCACGTATAAGAGTACATGGCAGGATACAATCTCTTTGGTAGCCATCTTAACACATATTACTCTTATTCACTCGATAGGTATCGCCTTGACAAAGGATGCTGCCATTGTGGCCACGTCAAGAGGCTTTGTTCGTACATTTTCACAGAGTGGAGTCCAGACTGGAATCTTCAGCGTTGGCTCGATTGTTGCAATTGCAGGACTTCACGACTTGGCAATCATTTTTTACCACCAAGGCGAGCCATTTGAAGGTAATATAACGAAACGCAGATCGAATGTAAACGAAGAAGCGCATATTGCTAGAGCATATCCTCACTCTGGTGTTTTGTATGTTGCTTCTAGGATCTCAAAACTTGGGCTACTTGATGTACAACGTTGATACGAATCAGAGGATACAGCGCGGACCCTTGCCTGTGTCTGACGACACTTCGGTTACCTGGCTCGGTTTTTCTGAATATGGCGTCCCGGCGTTTTACGACGACACTGGTGTCGTCCACATCCTGAACCATTACCGACGTATCGATCAAGGACAATGGGTTCCTATTCTAGACACGAACGTCCTTGATTCCGACAAGGACACTCCACCCACGTACTGGCCAGTTGGTCTTTCTGACGAGACGTTCACATGTGTCAAGTGCAGGGTAAGCTCAAATGTGAATGTGTGGCGAAACCACTGTACCAGGCGCTTTTATGCATAATAATCATATGAATTTCTTGTTTTTTGATACAGAAAGGAGAGTCGGAGCCAAGTTTCCCTAAACCATTTGTGACAGAGCTACCATTCAAGATGCCTACGCTCTACCAAGAAACTGAGGCAGGAGAGGCAGAAGAAGCATGGCTACGTGAAAAGATCATGACTGGACTCAGCAAGGATGAAAAGTTGGCCTCCTCGCTTGAGCGCCCCAATAAGACCGTTTCAAGGAGGGAAGTCGAGATGGACATGCTGGTCCTCAAGATGATTGGTGTAAGTTGAGGATCGTATGCACAAACAGCACTCTACCGACTGAAAGTTAATCCAAGCCATTGACCCCCCTTTTATTATTTCTTTACTACGATCGTAGTTCGCCTGCAAGGCTGGATTCGCGCAAAAGGCAATGGACTTAACGGCCATGCTATGCAACAGTAGCTCGGTTGATAGAGCGGTCAAGATCGCGTATCATTACAAGCTCCAACAACTTACGGAACGCATGCAAAAGCTCCGAGAAGTGATGGTGCGGGCCGAGGAGGATGGCCATTCTGATGCGGAGAACGTGATGGGGGACGATACCATTGACACGTCCTCTAGAAGGGATGAGAGATTGTACAGGGTGTCGTCTAAGCAGGAGGAGGAGGAGCTGGAGAGAAGGACTTTCCAGAAAAAGGAACCTGTCCAAGTCAACGATCCATTCGGAAGACGGGTTGTCAAGGACACCTCGGCGAGCAGAAGCACCAGTAATGGCAGTGGGTCTGCTGCTGCTGCTGCAGGAGGAGCGGCTAACCCGTTCAAGAAGAAGGTCGGCGCGAGCTCGGCCGGTGCACCCAAAGGATTTGGCAACATTGTGAAGGAGACTGACAGCAACGTTTTGCCGATTACTCGACGTGCGACAGATGTCTTTGAGGCTGCGGACTACCTGACAGCAGATGATCAGCGTTCGCGGACAGAGAAGGAAAAGGCCGGTCGCCAGGACGATATCTTTAGGAAGCGGAAGGCCAATGGGGCAACAGCGACCAGCGGCGGACAGAAGACCCTGAGCATGTTCACTAAGCAGGCGTCAGCGGGTTCTTCGTCAGCAACAGACACCAAGCGGTTCAAGAAACAACAGCAGGAGGATGAGATGATGGTGGAGGATGACTTTTTGGAGGACAACAATGGATACGAAGACCGCGAGGAGTCGTTCCCTCCAGCGGCGCAGGTGATCCCTGAGACTCAACAGGACGATAATGATGATGACGAGCTGTTTGCGCTGTCGGTTGAGGAGACGCGCGGGCACCTTGCTAGCACACGCGTCGAGTCGTCGTTGTCGCCTGACCGGAGATCAGTTCTTGCAGGGTTCAAGTTCAACCGTCCTTAGGCCGAGTCTCTCGGGCGCTGAAACTTACGCCCAATTTGCTAATAAAATAGGCATAGACCGCAAATTCAGAGGAGAGACATTGGGAAGGACGCCACGTCTGACCCCCTTTTTTTAAAAAAAACTCTCCTCCTGGGTGCCTTCCTTGTTTCCACCTCCTTCACTCAACTACATTTCCATTCATTCAATTCATTCACACACCCTACATTCCAGCTCTCATGGCAACCCGAAGTGTACGCACGGTCGACAAGACCATAAACGACAAACACGCCCGTATCCTCAAAGCACTCCTCCACAAGCCAGAAAATAAGTTCTGTGTCGACTGCCGCAGGAAAGGTATTCCGACTTTTCTCAATTGCATGGTGTCTCTTTTTCGTTCTTTTTTTCATTCATTCCCCAGGAAATGTCATGGTTCAACTACAAATGGCTAACTGTGCCTTGTACTTTTTTTTTAATTGTATCCTCCCACAAACCCTAGATCCACGCTGGGCAAGGTAGAAACGAAAAACTAAACCCTGCTGTTATGACGTTTGAGTTGGAGTGCGACACTTTTTGTTGTCGTCGTGTGGAGAAAACCCGTTCCTGAATTGACGTTGCGCAAACCCCTCTTTTTTCTTTCTTGTTCACATCCTTCGCACCAGCTTCAATCTAGGATGTTTCATGTGTATCCGGTGCTCAGGCGTCCACCGCTCCATGGGAACGCATATCAGCAAAGGTAATGTATCCCTTCAGCACCTCGCTATTGCGATACCTACTAGTTAAATAATTTCTTTGATCTGTAAAGGAATACAACTCGAGGTTCGAAGTACTAAACCTATTCATTGGTCTCTTTCGTCTTGTGTTTTTTTGCAGTAAAATCGATTGATCTGGACAGCTGGACGGCAGAGCAGGTGGAGAACATGATCAAGTGGGGCAACGAGAAGGCCAACAAATACTGGGAGGAACGCTTGCCTGCGAGTAGTATCCCTAACGAAAAGTAAGGTCATCTCGAGATATAGTTATTGCTCGTCGTATTTTGTTCCAGGGACGCCATTCTACAGCCTGCCAAACGAAATTTGTCCTGACTGTCGCATGTATGGTGGTGTTGACGCATACCTTATTAGTACGTCAGGGATTGACCCATGGATCCGATCAAAATACGAGTGGAAGCTATTTGCGAGCAAGGGACCTGTCCCCGATCCTGCAGGCCTAGGACCCGTTGACGAAGCCATGCTGGCTGATCTAGTAAATATTTTTGAAAAGGGCCACCACATATCATGTCGCGTTTATCCTTTATAACCAGTTTACTGATTCGGTCTTGTATATCTCCGTCCTTTTTCCTGCAAACTCCTATGGATCCTGTAAAAAAGCATGGACAGTTAGGTGCACGACTTAGGGTACACATGGAACGTCCGTCGGAACCAGGATCATTTGGGATCATTGCGCCTCCACCGTCAACTCCAACCCGCCCATCCGCTCACAAGTCAACCATGAAGTCGCCAGCGGGTGAGCAAGGTGGAGATCTTGTCTCGATAGGTCAACCCCAGCAACAGCAACAGCGGCCAAGGCCAGCAACCCTCCAGGAAGACTTTTTCGGTTTGAATGAGCCTACGCCTAACAGCTCCACAATCCCCGCCGCTACTCAGAATCAAACTCAGGTTAACAACAAGAGGGCCAGTGTCCCGTCCCAGCCCCATCAGCAGCAACAGAGTTCAGGGACAGCGCAGGATTTGTTTTCACTGAACGCTTCTCCCACCACCCCAGCCCCAAGCGGACATGTGGCTAACGCTGCGAGTCCAGTGCAGCAGGCAAAACCTGGTGGAAATGCTGACTGGAAAAATTCGATCATGTCCTTGTACGGGAACCAGAACTCGGCTGGCAACCGGACGTCGACTGGATTCAGCATAGGACAGCAGCAACAGCAGCAGCGACCTCAGTCAGGACAGTTCAATCAAGGGCAGGGTGTGAACTCCTTTGGATATGGACAGCAGCAACCGCATCCATACCAGCAGCAGCAGCATCATCAGCAACAACAATACCCCCAACAACAACAACACCAACAGCAACTGGGCTTATGGGGAGCCAATAATAACAACGGACTCGGGAACATGCAGCAGGCAGCGCCTTCGTTTGGAAGCGGATACAACAATGGGGATGGATTCGGAGGTCAAACACAATCCAGCACCAACAGCAGACCTATGAGCGGTAACTTTGGACACAACAGCAACAACCAACAGGGCGGTGACTTCTTCGACATGATCGCGAGCGCCACCAAATCGCCTGTGTCAAGTCCACCCGCTCAAAACAATAAGAGTTCCAGGTACGATGTTCAAACATTGCTATATGTCTATCTTGCATCAGAAGTTTTGGGTTTGATTGTTGACATTTTCTTTCACTTTTCTGCGTTGTACGAAAAAATAGCGCTTTTGGAGACTTGAGCTGGAAGTAGTTTAGTACGGCCCTTTGTCAAATAAAAGCTTGAACGAAATAATGCTTTTCCTACATGCAAAAATATACTTGTCGCACAGAATTGCAACGCGCGTCATCCGCAACCCAGGACATACGAGTACGAGTACTGTGTTCAGACATGCACTCCTGACCCTTTTTTGCGCTATTTATTTTCTCTGCCAATCCCTTTATTTTCGTTTGCCGAGGCGAAAGGATTTTGCTAGGTGCCCTGATCCACGACGATGGGGACAAGGGAACTAAACGCGTTGTCATCCACGCCAAAAATGCGCTTTGTTTTTCATATGCTTTTGAGGACGCAGTGGGCTTCTCATCCGGGTCGTCAAAGCATAGAAAAGAAAGCAAAAAAAAAAGGCCTCCACCGGATGCTCTTTGAGTGGAGAGAGATTAATGAGCTCCGGATCCTAAGAGAGAAAAAAGGCAATTAACTTAGCTATGACAACGAACGTCAGTGTCCAAGAAGGATGAGGAAGGACAAGGACCATTGTTCATTATTGTCGCGGACATCATCGTCGGTGGTGGTGGGCAAAGAGTCCTCATCGCCTCATATTCATCCTGCTCAATAGAAACCACCCCCTCAATGACATTCTGCACGTCATGGGTCTGTTGGTAGTTCGTTGGTGGTGGGACATAAACACAAAAGTGCACTGTACGACGACAATTAATGCAGCTGGTGCTTTTTCTTACCGTCATTTTCACCAGCCATGGAAGAACAACCACTTCTCTCTCATCTCTCTTTGCCATCACTGCCTTTCCTTTCCGTTCTTGAAATATGTCCCAATTCACGTTAATATATGATCGCACTACAGGACAAAATCAATTCCAGACTCAACCCCTTTTTCTTCAGTGAATACCTAAGAGACATGAACACATGTGGACAAAGGGACACCAGTGTCATGGTCTCTTCCCCCTTGAGGTCCTTTTCTATTTCCCCAGCATTCCAATACGACCTCTGTGCAATCTGTTTTTGTCCACATGTCCCTTTTTTTTCCTTGAACTAAGCACAGTACCTTCTTCCTTTCTTCGACCTTGTTCCGTCAACGCCCGTAATTCTCCTCCCCTTTCTTCCTCCTTGCTGCAAGTGAGGGCTTTTACCGCAGCCTACCAATGCTTGATCCGTGTCAACAAAAGAAAAAAATGGTTAGTGTGCCTTAGCCATCCATCCCTCCTTCGGGTTCGCGTTGCCAAAATGGCATTTCTTCGTTCCTACTCTTTCTGTGCGCTATTTTTCGCTTCGCTTTTTTTTAAATAAAAGGCGCACTCCTTCGCCCTTCTGATCATCAAACAATATCATTATCTTTCTCTTCTCTTTCAACTACAACAACTCTCCACTCCACTCACTCTCTTTTATTTTGCTCACTTGCAAACAACACCACACAACCCATCTCTTACTTTATATCATCGACCAGATACCCATTTTCTCGTTAAACCATCATGTTGGCCCATAACGAACAAGCCATGGCCGCCGCTGCCGATGTCACCACCGCCGCCGCCGTCGCCGCTGGTCTGAGCGCCTCGAATGCAGATGCATCGTTGAAGACCAAGACCCATCTCCAAGTCGATCAACTGAAATCATCATCGCTGGGCGGTCTCCAATCCTCCGCCTCGTCAACCCATACTGTCGCCAGCAACCACTCCCACGGCTCCTCCCACTCCCAGCAAAGCCACCACCACAGCCATTACCCGCAGCAGTCTCACCCGGGTATCCACCACAGGGCCTACCACCCAGACCCAGAACTGCTCTATCACGACACTGGAATCGATTACAACCATGTCCTCATGAACCGTAACGCGTCGGTCGCAAAGTTGTACGAGGATGCATTGAGATATGAGGAGGGGACGATTATCTCGAGTGCCGGAGCGTTGGTGACGTCTTCGGGAAAGAAGACGGGTCGGTCGCCCAAGGATAAGCGAATTGTGGATGAGTCGTCGACGAGTGAGGATATCTGGTGGGGACCTGTGAACACAAAGTTGAGCGAGCATGCGTTTTTGATTAACCATGAGAGGGCGGTGGATTATTTGAATACCAGGGAGAGGCTGTATGTCTTTGATGGGTATGCTGGCTGGGATCCCAAGTACAGGTATGTAATTGTGGGGTTTTTTTTCTTTTATTGTCAGCAGGTTTTCTTTTCGTCGCGGCTTTTTTTTTTTCTTCTCTCCCCTTGCAATCCCCCTTCCCCTGTCCTTTGACCACACCTTATCCCCTTTTGTTGCTTTTGCCCAATAACTGATCATCATCTCGCAAATTTATCAAAATGTAAAAAAAATTAGGATCAAGATTCGTGTGGTCTGTGCCCGAGCATACCACTGTCTCTTCATGCGCAACATGTTAATCCGCCCCACTGACGACGAACTCGAAGAATTTGGCGAACCCGACTTCACGATCCTCAACGCAGGCGCCTTCCCCGCCAACCGCTACACGACCGGCATGACATCCACCACCTCTGTCGACATCAATTTCAAACGTCGCGAGATGGTGATCTTGGGGACCGAGTATGCGGGGGAGATGAAGAAGGGAGTTTTCACAATCATGCATTACTTGATGCCCAAGGCTGGGGTTCTGTCGTTGCATTCTTCGGCGAATCAGGGCCAGGAAAAGGATGATGTGACGTTGTTCTTTGGGTTGTCGGGCACGGGCAAGACGACGCTCTCGGCGGACCCGCGGAGGCATCTGATTGGAGACGATGAGCACTGTTGGTCGGACAAGGGCGTCTTCAACATCGAGGGTGGATGTTATGCCAAGTGTATTGATCTTTCGGAAGAGAAGGAGCCCGAGATCTTTGGAGCGATCCGGTTTGGATCGGTCCTCGAGAACGTCGTCCTGGACGAGGATACGCGTCAAGTCGATTATAAGGACAACTCCCTTACCGAGAACACGCGTTGTGCTTACCCGATCGAGTATATCCCAAACGCGTTGATCCCCTGTATGGCCGGGCACCCCAAGAACATCATCATGTTGACCTGTGATGCCTTTGGTGTCCTCCCTCCCGTGTCTCGTCTGACCCCTGCCCAGGCCATGTATCACTTCATCTCAGGTTTCACCGCCAAGATGGCGGGCACCGAAGACGGCGTCACCGAACCCGAAGCGACCTTTTCTGCATGCTTCGGACAACCCTTCCTAGTCCTCCACCCAACCCAATACGCGACCATGCTGGCCTCCAAGATCGAGGAGCACAAGGCCGACGTCTGGCTCATCAACACCGGCTGGACAGGAGGAGCCTACGGAAAGACCGGCCAACGCATCTCCCTCAAATACTCCCGAGCCATCATCGACGCCATCCATTCCGGAGAACTCAAGAAGGCAGAGTACCAGACCTACCCAGTGTTCGGACTAGAGATCCCCAAGGCGATGGCTGGTATCCCCGGGGATGTGTTGAACCCTGCGGAGGCTTGGAAGGGTGCGGAGGCGAAGAAGGACTTTGAGGGGACGGTGACGAAATTGGCGGAATTGTTTAGGGAGAATTTCGCAAAGTATGCAGATCAGGCTTCGGAGGACGTCATTGCTGCTGGACCCAAGGTCTAGATTTGCAATAGATGGAACGGGATGTCAGGATCTTGAACCCACCAAAAAAAAAAACAAATCGTGCCATTCAACTATCAACAACAACAACTAAAAAAAAAAAATGACAAAAACTACAAGCGAGTAACGATAACACAAAACCAAACAAAATCAACAACAACTACAACAACAACAATAACTTTCACCTCTCTGCCTGCGCCGCTAGCTCTTTGTACAGGACACTACCTCGCATATGATAGAAAGACGGCGTTAGAGGCTGCGACTGAAACATGAACAAACCCAACTTTTGTAACCATTGTATCAGCATGCGACATAAACAGAATAAACATTAAAACTCAATTCATTCGACATGATGACTGCGACAAAACCATTTGATGTACGAAAAAAAAAAGTCCCAAAGACAAAAAGGTGGCAAAGGAAGAATACGGAATGGAAACGACAAAGGTGTGAATAAGGGTAGGAGGACCCCAGGTACGTAAAGAGCGCTCCTCTATCTATCCATGTGTAAAGGAGGAAGAGAGAGGAGGGGGCCAGTGCAAGGGTTCGCGTCGCATCGCTTTATTTTCCTACAAGTACTTTGTTGCTTTTGCCTATCCACATGCTTGGGGAGTAAACTCAATTGTTCAATCGCCTGTCAAGAAGCAAACAAAACAGGCTAGCGCAGTGACAACCATCGTCCATTCCTGAGTATGACGTGAAAAGACAAGCAAACAACAGACACGCGTAGATGGCATGATCATTGCTTTGTTCGTGGTTTTCGCGACCCATATGCACAAGATGAAGGAAAATCCTGTTCTCATTTTATTTTGTTTATGTGAGAGACTAACAAGGTCTAGTAGAGCTACAACAATAATAAAAGAAGAAAGGATGCGAAATAATGCGCAGGGCAGGGGAACACACAATGCAAAAAGTGGCGAGGTAGAGTGGAAGAAAAATTATGTGGAAAAAAAGTAGTGCAAAAAATAAGAAAGAAAAATGCTGGGGTAGAAGAACGAGACAGTGAAAGTGTCTAATGCTGCAGCAAGAAAAATACATAAAATACAGATGTGGTATGAAGATGTGGTGAAGTAAAAGAAAGATAAAAGGAGAAAGAAGGGTCGCGCTGCATGAGGATGCATGCGCATGGGTATACTTTTGGAGAGAAGGAAAAATAAGTAAGAGATGGTGAAGTAATTAAAGTGGAATGCAGATAATGGTAAATGAGTGTGAGTGTGGTTATGAAAGAAAAGTGGGATGCTGGAAGCGGTGTGGGATGCTGGTGGTGTGGGATGCTGGATGGACGAAGGGTCGAACGACAAACAAGTAACAGGAAAAGGTGTAAGGATAGACCTGTCTGTTGCGGGAGGGGAGAAGGTAGAGCAGACGAAGGACATATGGTAGCGTGGCGTGTTTTTCCCATGAGAACAAGGGACGACACAGGCTGTTCATAAGGGAAGGATCAGAGAGAGAAAGGGTAAAGTTGGTGCAACCATCCGCCATCAGCGATAACTATAGTCATCGTCATAGCCTGGCCCTCTCCTCTGCCATTCCTCTGTTCCCGAGCCGCCGTCTGACAAAAAAAAGTGTGTGTACGAAGATACAAGTACCTCATAACAGAGGAGTTGTTGTTTGTTGGTTTTCAATCCCCATCCAATCGGCTCTCAAAAGTGAAAATGAAGAAACCGATCTCTTGCAGACAAGAATGAAAAAAAAAGCCGCTGGCCGAAAGTGTGGACAGAAACAAGAATGGAAAAAAAGAATGTCCTGGGCCTAGAAATAAAATGGCGCGGTAAGGATGTGTGTGTGGATTGCGCAGGAAACGAATGAATGGAAACGAAATGCAGGCTGAGACCCGTGAAAAGAAAAAAGCATAAACAAATAAAAAGGGAGTGAGGTAACGCATACAGGCGCAGCTCCAAAAGAATGAAGGCAAGTGTGAAAGAAAGGCGATGAATGAAAGAAAAGAAGGAAAGGGAAAGGGGATAGGAGACAGGAAGAAGAAGTGGCCAATGCGTGGCACGTTTCGACATGCCTCGATGCTCGTTCGCTCGAAGGAGGGCGCAACGCTTCCGCCACAGTCAACGCCAACGCACCCATAGCACGAAAACAAAGGAGAGAAGAAGCAAATAAATGTCGACATTTCTCTCTCCCCGTTGAGCAGGAAAATCAGGATGGGCACCTGGGGACAGGACAGGACAGGACAGGACGAAAGGAGGGCGTGGGAGACCTGAGCTAAATTGAAGCTGAAAGGGTTGTTTGGAGTGTTTAAGACTTTCCCCCCTGGATCGTACTCGCACGCGTGCAGCGTCACTCTCCCTTGAATGAATTGAGTTCAAACAGGGTTCTTGAGTTGCAACTGAACGAGGATCTCACCCTCTTTCATCTGGTCCATCTGTGTTCAAAAAGAAGGACAAAAGAATGAAAGAAGAAGGAAATGGGTTGAGTTCAAGTGTTGGTTGAGTAGGGCAATCCTTCATATTCAAAATCAATTGAATCGGGTTATCAAAACGGCGTGCTGCAACGTTGATTTTTTGATACTCCGCCACCCATCCCCTCCCACTCAACTGTGTCCCTCTTTTTTTTCCAACAATGCCAACGTGGACAGAGGTGCGATGCAACTTACCATAACCATCACGACAAAAATATTATCGCTTGCTTGGCCGCTCAGGGTAGCGGATCGTTTGGTTGGTCGATGGGAAGAGGATTGGAGTGGAGTAGATTGCAAGGCGGGCAGGGGAATGGGCTGCTGCACGGCAACAACTCCAAATATATAAATAAAACAAAAGGGAAAACAGGACAGGGGCAGGGAAAAGAATGCGAAATGAGAAAAGGAAGGAAATAAAAGAGAAAAAATGTGTCGATAATCGAAAGTGAAGTAATGGAATGGGGTGAGCTGAAAAGGGAGATGGATGTTGTTGTGTTCAGTAAAAGTCCTCGCTGGCGGTGAGGTATCCTGCTGAAGAGGTGGAGAGGAAGGAGTCGGTTGAGCAGACGGAGGAGAAGGAGCCAAAGGTCAGGTTGCTCAGGGGATGATCCTCTTCCACGCTGGCCATCTCGATGCAGGTGGAAAGAGACGATTTCGCTATTTTACAGATATAAAAAAAGACAAGATGGATGGCATTAGAAAGATATGCAGTTGTGTGTCTGGGGTACATGTAAACAGCCGACGATGTGCAGCAACAACAGTGTGGATGATGATGGGTGAACATGGATATGCCCTATTTGGAGTAACCATCCGTTGTTTGTGTTGGCTGAATGAACTCTCTTTTTCTCCCTTTCCACATCTTCACACATCACAAACAACACCTTCAACCCCAATCACCCTCAACATCCACACACATACATAGCAACAGCAACAACAACAGAAAATAATATCTTCGCTTTCCGTATCGACCCATATTCCACCCATCCTCATGTCATCGCACGCCCAATCCCAATCCCAAACAAAACAGCACAAACAACTAAAAACCGATGACAAAAGGATATGAGCCGCGGCGATGGTTGCACACACTTCGACTTAAATACAAGTCCACAAACTGAACAACACCCGCGCTCTCCTCCGTGTCAGGTCAAGACAAGTATTTTTTTGTTGACAATTGATGCTAAGTCAGGGACAAAAATCCTTTCTTTTTAGATGCTATCATTCAACACCATCGAGAATTAACAATCTCCTTACTCCAACCCCAAAATCAGAGGAGTGAAGTGAACAGGGGTAAAGCAAAACACGGTCCTCTTTTCTTTCTGCGGTCCCCTTTTCTCGTTTTCGCTTTTTTTTGGATGATTAAGAGGAGTACTAGGAGAAAAAGAGGAGAGAGAGAGGGAAGAAGGAGAAGACATATGCAGGGAGGAAATAGGCATGAACAGGGCCAAGCAAAGGCAAAGGTAAAGCAAATTGCCTTCACGAGGATGGGGCAAAGCATATTAAAACAAGGAAAACGAGGGCATGAAAGAGCATACCTGCTTGGAATGGTTCCTTTCTTCTGGGAAGGTACCCTCTAGGCTTGAGAGGCGAGATCAGCTTGCGGGCACGAATCATTCTCAACTCGGCTGCCATCATCCGCAAGTAGGCTGCATTGGAACGCGTTTCACGAGCTGCCAGATGCCGCGGGAGAGGGGGCAGTAACGAAGAGTCCTGAGTCCTGCTGTTTTCTTTGCCGGTATTGCCGCTCTTAGCGTTCTTTGTCACGGGAAGGGATGAGGGCGACGGAGGAGAGAGACTACCAGCGGTTGTGGAAGGAGTGGACTCTTTAGTCTTGCGAAAGGGGGACTTGACAATGTGCGTCAGGACGGGAAGTCGTTCAATAACGGGTGTTTCGTGATAGGTGAAGGTCTTGAGTGGAATCGTGTCCGATCGAATGGGCTTGAACTTGTCCATCGCCGCAACGGAGACGGGATAGTTCATTGATCCACGGTAGGCATGGGTCGAAGGGGCAGCCACATTGGGTAAGGAGAGGAGCATGTCTGTCAAAGTCAAGGAGGCGGACTGGGGTGCAGTTGCGTCCACAGCGGCCACAGGTGTGCTGTTGGAGAGACGGAGTGCGATTGGGGGCGAGAATGCGTCGTCAGCCTGGTTGGAGCCATTGTTTGACCTGGCATCGTCGTTTCCAGAACCAGAGCCAGGCCAGGAGATGCTGGTGGCCATGGCAGCAAGGTAGTGAGCCTTGAGGTTAGCCCAGAATCCAAGGCGAGTGGAGGACGAAGTGGATTCGGGAAGGAAAGACTGGAGGGAAAGGAACAATGGCTGAATTATCTGGGTTTGCCGTCCGTCGCAACTGTCAGTTGAAGTGTTGTCGCTTTGCGTGTTTGAGTTGTTGTTGTTGTTCAGGAAAGACTTTGGCTTTGATGAGAGTTGAGTGGGCAAGAGCTCGACCGAGTTGCCAACGGTCTCTGTGGGGGAAGGGGGTAAGGAGCCAGAGTTGTTGTTTTTGGACTTTTTGGTGGAGGAGACGGTAAGGGCAGAGGTGGAGGAGGAGCGAACGAGACCAGTGCCGGAGGCCCGTTTGCGTCGAGGGGGGATCACTCCATATGGCTGAGGAGCTTTGGCGGTGAATTGGGCGACGATGTCTTTGTAGCTAGAGGTGTTGTTGAGCTGGGTAGGGGTGGGAGAAGTGAGGAAGGAGGCCTTTGTGGATGTGCTGGCGACCGAGGAGGACTTGGAGGCCTTCTTCTTTTCGTTGTGGAGAGAGGACGCGGTTTGGAATGAATCCGAGGCTGGGGCACCGGGTACGGTTGTCGAGGAGGAGTCGGTTAGCTGGTGTAAGCAGAGGGACGAAGACGGTCGTATGAGTGACAGCATTTGCCGATATTATTCTTTTGAAGGTGACAGTTGAGGTTGTGTGTGTTAGTGTACGTGTTTGTGTAGAGGGGAGAAGGTTGAAGGGAAGGGGCGAAGTATTAATGGAGTAGGAAGGAAGAATGGAGGTGTGAAAGAAAGGAGAGGGAATGGCGATGGATGGTGGGGAAGAAAAGAAGGATTTGAGAAGGAAAGAGGGAAAGAAGAGGTGAAAGAGGCAAAGCGAAGGGAGAAGTAATAACGAGGGGAGACAATGGGGAAGTGAGCAGGGTGATAGAAGAGAAATGGACATGGTGATTCGCCAGCTAAGAATAATTCAATTGAATGAAAAGAATAGGGGAACTGCCATGGAGTGGAGGATACATTTGACTTACGAGCCCTAACCTTTTTGCTTGCTATTTGTCTGTCGGTAAATCAGTGCTTCTCTTTTCATTCTCATGGATGCAGCATATGTATATCGTCCATTGCACATGCAAGTTGTGTGTCTCCGGGAGAAAACCGGGTTCCTGTTGCCGCCCTCATCTCCCCCCGGTTCAACTGAACCCAGGCTGGATACAATCAGATATACTTTGGTATGATCAGTGAAAAGCGAAAATAAAAAAAGGAGGATCGTTACATCAGTATTCAGTTCAATTGAATCAAAATGATCAGGACCATCAGTTTAGTTGTATTGTCGGCATCATCACCATCCTTGATCAACCATCGCCATTCATCAAAATCTTGTATTTCCTTCATCTACCATGGCAGATAGAAATACTTCGAGGAAGATGTCAGTGAAGGAGGCTAATTGAATAAGACCACCCGTAATTCACTTACGACTATTGTCCCCTACAGTAGAAAGATGGAGAGAGCTGCACTAAACTCAGGGCACAATGGACGTAAGAAAAGTGTGATCCGTTTTGTTGTTGGTGTTGGTGTTGGTGTTGTTTTTCTATTTGGTCAGGCGAGCATCAAGGAGCCAACTCAAAAAATATCAACAAGCTCTTCTTCTTCCCCAACTTCATACCACCCTAGACATACACCTACCCTCTCCCCCATTTAAAGAAAGGATCAAAGGAAAAATGGAGAGGGAGGAGGGGAAGGTGGAAAAGGAGTCGAGTTTCCCCCCTCTCTCTCTCTCTCTCTCTCTCTCTCTCTCTCTTCTTATACATACCTTGTCTGTAGGGGAAGAGCCGGAGGCAGAGAATCTCATAGGCCGACACGAAGCATCGCCCACTATATTCTGAACTCAAGGTTGACTGAGAGATTGGTTTTTGTCATCTGAAAATACCAAGTAACTGCGTCTGTCTCTTCATCCATCATTCATCCTAGATATTCTTCGTCAGCCCTTGCTTTTCCCGAAATCCCGAAAAGTGGACTCTGGCTCACCTCCGTTTCACATCCTTCTCCTTCCTCTCTCCTCGCCTCGTATTTTTCATACATCCATTGTATTTAGCCTGTGAGTAGTCAACACCATGACGACGACGACGCAGTATTCCCTGTGAGTTATTGTTGGGGGGCCACATGGAAAGGGATGGATGTGGGTTAGCTTGCCTTTTGTTTGGATGGGCGTGCGCGTGTGTATGCTTGTTTGTTTATGGGTGTGCCGTACATGTACATGTCACCATGGCACATCATTTCGCATCAAACAGACCGACTTCCTTCTTCCCTCAGTCCACATTTCCCTCCATTGATGAAAAAGGTGCACAGAGGTGTAAGAGAGAGGGTAAGGGAGAAGAAACAGCTGAGAAGATACGACGATCTCAGTCTGTCCGCTGAGCAGCTGTTTACGCACATCCCTGTTTAGGTTGGTGGAGAAGGAAACAAGGGAAAAACGAGAGAGCGATACCCATCAAGGCCGTAAAAGAAAGGGACACGCGACGAAACAGAACCATCAGCAACAACAACAATGGTGAGAAAAAAAATTGAAATGCCTGTTCTTCTAAACACGCGTCTGGGGTCTTCTTGCCCTTTGTTTCGAGATGATGTTGTTTCTCATCTCTCATCTTCCCTTCGTGGACAAACAACACACACATACACACACAACAAACATACACGCCCTCCATTCCTCATTCCCTCCAAATTATCCCCTTGGGTGTACATCCCCACTCCCCATGTAAGGACATGCATGTTCAAGGCACAAGATAGAGGCAAGGGTTCGGCAAGGGAAAAAAACACAACCACCAACGAAAACATGAGAGCAAAAAGAAGCAGAACTTGAAGAGAAAAGAAACGACTAATGAGAATTGCATTTTTGGGCGTAACGGGCGCCTAGAAAACAAACAAACAAACAAACAAACAAAATCCTTTCAATTGAGGGACGATATTGTTGTTGACCTTTTCCTGCTTTGCCGATTAGGATCAAACAAACAAACAAACAAGCAGACAATAGACAAATAACAACTCCACTTGCACTGGCGCCATATCGAATGTCTATGCAAGAAGGCATTTAGTCCTTTCCTCCTCTCTTCGGCATCTACCACTAGACCCGGCTTCCTTTCTTTCATGCTCGTCTCCCTATTGAACGTGGTGGTGCTATAGCCTAGTTTCCTTCACTAGTTCGCGAAACCCGAACGGGGTGAGCGGACGGACACGACATCCACCAATTGCATTGACCTTCCCTTTCAACTCCTTTCATGCTCCATCCACTTCCACCTCCACCCCTGCCCGCTTAGTTGCCACTAAAAAATATGTAAGTCCAAATGGTAAAACCTACAGCAGCAAGGTTATCGAGATAGAAGCTTGTGTGCTCTCGTTTTTGTGTCTGTCGTCTCATCCGAATAAGGGCGGGATACAACACCCTTTCTCTTCCTTCTGAGGGTTTTTTGCTCACACACTTGGTTGCTTGTTCATTCTTTTCCTTAACGGCATGGCGTGGAAACACAAGGGAGGGCGACATTCTTCTTTTACCCTGAAAAATCGAATCGAGACGCATGTTTACACAAGGAAGGTGCTCATTTCTCAGGAAGGCGGCCAATCAGGCGCAGGCACGCTCAATTAACTGGACCCATCAACACTCTGGTGAGAAATACAAAATGCTGATAGGCACAAACTACAAAAAGCACTTCATTTTGCTCTCACACACTCAAGAGAGAACACAGGACTACCCACGAGGAAACAAAGAAGGAATTGAGATTAGGGTGAAGGTGGGACTAAAATTGTTTGGTATATTGGGCATCGACTGGTCCATTTGAGCGTGCGTGCGCATGTGTTGATCGCTTTTTTTTCTCACGAAGAATGACTCGTCAACATGAACGAACAATAACGACTGAGAGGGAAGGCGCGCGGGCGGGAAAGAAAGAGGGAGGGGTAGAAAAAGATAATCAATGCCATAATGACTCGCGCGCCGCACACTTCGCCTCGCCTCACCTCGCCTCGTGGTAGTTTTTTCGACCCGATTTGAAACACCACTCCACTCGAAAAAAAAAAAGTGCGGGCGGATAAACCGCAAGGTGGACCTCAAATTACAAACAAACCAATCCGTTAACCAACAGCATCAATTTGTAACAGGGTCTGCTCCAGTTTAGAGGAGCCCACACACATACATAAAAAACAACTTTCCCTTCAAACCCTTCCTTGCCTTCTGGCTTACTTTGCATGTTTTGTAGTTTCCCTTGAGTACACATCGCCTACTCTTCCTATTGGCGCTGCCTTGAACCAATCGCCCTCTCTTTTTTTTTTCTTTTCACAAACAAGAGCATTTCAAAACGACAACCACAAAAAAACAGTAGAGCCGTGGGAGGTTATCTATCTTCATAGTGGTACCTATTCACCTGTTTGCAACGTTGTTTCTGAAAAGGTTTAATAAATGATATACATGCAATATGCTAACTGCCCCCCCTGTCCTGAAGAGAGGTAACTCGCTCTAGAAAAAAAAAGTCACTACGCCGTTGGTTTGGTGCTCCTCCGTCACCGATAGGTCCCTCTCCTATCCTACACTCCGAGTTCCCTGTTCCTGTACTATGTGACCAAACAAAGATATCCCGCGTGCGTGTCTACAAGAACGTCCCTTTAACGGAACTTGGAGTAAGGGTTCCTGAGCTCGTCCAAGATGCTGCTGCTAGGGAATGGTGGGACGTTGATGTCGGGGATGAATGTGACCTCCCGAGCATCCTTGGCAGAGGTATCCTTGGGGCTGTCGACGCGCTCCAGCTTGTATTTGGCAATATCGGCCTTGGGCTTGGGGACCTCCACCTCTGTTCCGACAACAAAACGCTTCCTCTCTGACTTTCCGGTGGTTTCGTCCACAATCGCGCGGTAATGAGTCTTCACAGGCTGTCTATTGTACGTATGACAATTGGCGCAAGAGGTGTCAATTGCTTGTTTTGTTGGATCCTAGTGTCCTGACTTTCATTTTTCCTTTTGATGCGCATCTTGTGTAAAGGTGTCCTGCCGAAGAACGCTAAAGACAAAGGTTGTACCTGGTCTGGGGATCGATCAGGGAGACGTTAGAGACGTGAATAGGTGCCTCGATTTGAATCTTGGTAGCCTTCGTGGGGTCCTCGGCCTGAGGACGAATGTGTTTCGTGACCTATAATGGTGTGAACCCATTGAGACACAAACGTGAAAAGGGCTGATTGTAAGTTCCTCTGTAGATAGATTTCCTTGCGTGGACTACAGTGATCACTGATCACCGAGCGCACGTAGATCCTGAACATATCGATAAAATTGTGGCGGGGCCAAGCAGCTTGTGTGAATAATATCCCGTACCATGTTCCTGTCGGCAATCAAGAGCGAGTTCAAGCTCCTGAGGACCTTCTTGACCGTTCCCGTCTTGCCCTTCTCCTTTCCGCTGGTAATAAACACCTAAGTATTTCAACAATCAAGGCGACGGTGTTAGCTATCATGTTCAGGGTAGACACTAACTGGTGGGAATAAGAGTCCCATTGACACAAGTCCCGTTGCAAGGTCCGATATCCCAAAGGTAAAGGCCCTTTCATCTCTAGAGGAACCTAGGAAACCTCCAAAGGAGGTAGGTAGGTCTGTTTACCTCGTCACCACGGACGATTCTCCACATCTGAATCTGATCCTTGGGGGCAACATATTTGACTCTGGTGGGCTGAAGCTTGGTGTTGATCATGCGGCGCATGCCGGCGACTAGTGAAGGCTGCATGGTATATGTTCTGTGTGTTGTAGGAGTGAAGAGTTGAGGATGGACTGTTTGTCGTAAAAGAGAAGGAGATCACTCGACATTCACGGGGCGAGAAACCCGAGCTCAAGCCAGGGGGGGGGAGGAAGGACTAGCATTTTTGTTTTCATTTTTGATCCTTGCCAAGCCACATCAATCCCCGACTCCCCTTGCTGATTCGCCCACTTTGTTCAAGACTTCCTTTGTTCATCCCGACAACCAAAACTACAACCAACACACACACCAACGATGTTGAAGTCCTTTACATCGACGGCCTTCTCTGGCCTTAGAACCGTCTCACAACAGCAGGCCCGTTGCATCCAGGTCTCGGCCCGATCCCTCAACGTCAAGGACGATTCCGCACCCAAAGGTACTACTCTTTTCTCAGGTGGCTCGCATTCGACTCCTCTCCGGGACCGAAGCTGATCAGCACACACACGCGGGAGGTCAAGGAGCACAAGAACTCAAAAGAATGTTCGGCAAGGCGAAATTAACGCCAATCGCTTCCTCTTGTCAGCTGCAAACACTATTCGAGAGAGCATTACGGATACTCCTAACCTGCACGTTCAATTCAATGAACGCGCCAAAGACCTCCGAGACTAAAAACTAACCATTTATCTCTCACCCTCCTACGTCGACCCATACCTGTATAGCCAAGCGCACAGTAGCGTCAAGCGCACCCGAGGGCACAGTGCTGAAGGGAATCAACTACATGAAAGATGGCAAGGATCCTGTTGCCCTTGCTGACGACGCTTACCCAGAATGGCTCTGGGAGATCAACGATCCCGAGGTCCGCAACGCCAGGATCGCAAACCCCCTTGACAAGAAGCACCACAAGGAGGCAAGGAGACAGGCCATTAAGGGCGAGAACTTTATCCGCGACAAGAAGACATAAGCGCGCGGCCTCGTACTTTACTCGGGAGGAGGAGGAGGAGGAGGAAGAAGTTAGGACATGGCTCTTGGAGTACAAGAGGCATGTTGGCAGTTTCGGAACGAGAGAATTGGAAGGAGGCAGGCAGGCAGGCATTGGAACGACGACTGTTATCAGGACAGGGCAGGGCTACCCAGGAATATATCTTTTTTTCAGCAACAAAAGACTTTCGCCATTTTGCTTCAATGGATATCAACCTACAGTCCACCCTTTTCGTACACGCACCACACGCATACGCACATTAGAGAGCGAAATAAAGCTCATGTATCATATCATCAACTCAGAGCATAGACACAGAAAGCTTATGTGCATGGATTTTTGTGCATGTAATGTTGGACTGCTGAGAAAGTATGTTCAGTTGGTGGTGATCGTGAACATCTAGTTATTTTGTGTCTAGTACGAGATATGTGATTCCTCATATTTCATCCGTGCTTCGGCGTCTGGTTCAGTTGAGGCGCGCCAGTGTTTTCCCACGATCCCGTACCCCCCACCCTCGTATGGCGCCCCACTCTCCCCGCAAATAGGAGGAGGAGGAGGAGGAGGAGGAGGAGGAGAGGGTTGCTTGTTTGTTTGTTGCTCTATGGGTGTACATGCAGGGATACATAGGCAAGGGACGATGCAAAACTGTTAATTGACACAGGGTCACAGTAGACGCTAGCGGGCGCATCGACCCTGTTTTCTTGCCATTGGATTGATTTATTGTTCTCTTTGGTGTCTTCGTTTTCGCGAGCTTTGCGCTTTCCTCCCCTCTCCTTCTAGTTTGCTGTGGACTGGGCTCTTGTTCTCCAATCAATCGCCATTCCATGCTACGATATCATCCGATGAAGAATGGTCTTTTGCTTCGTTCCATTTCAGCGCGTAGACGGGTAGCGTGTCAGAAACTATTGGCTCCAGGAGTGAAGGGGTTCAGCGAAATCTTGCGATTCCTTTCCGATGGGTGACGCGAAGCGCGCCCCTGGACATAAACGAGGGGTCCGAATGGGTCCAAGTGAGGGCCGCCATTGGCTGCACTATGAACTTTGCCCTTGGGCGTTAGATTACATGAGAAAAGGTGGTTGAGCATCCATCCTGCAGGAGGATTGTAAGAGACGAAGGAGAAAGGGGTCGCCCAATAGCCTTTTCTGTTCTAGACTCGGGGCAAGTTGCTGGGAAGGTACAGGAGCAGGTAGACTGCAGCCAAGTTGTACGTCTGCTGTTATCGAGGCAACCATAGGAGCCCATCACATGCAACACTTGCATGGTACCCCACCTCTTCGTACAACTCGCTCCTTCTCCAATCCTTCCTTCCTCTCCCAATGGTCTGCGCCTACGGGTCAAAATGCAAAGAAAAAAAAATAACTGCGACCAATCGCTCGCTTGTAACTCAGGTTGGAACAATCCAGTTACTTTAAAGCCGCGATGGGTCGTGCAGAAAGTGTCTGGTCAGGACTCCTCTGGTGCTGACCTGAATGAAGTTGAGCAAGTGATCGGTTCGATTAGTCAACGGTTTCTTGCTCTCATCCTCATAGGAGGAAGAAGGGAAAGTGAAAGGGAAAAGGAAAGAAAACACCGAACCCCCTGGGTGAGTGATGCATTGGGCAAGTCCAAGTTCAGAGAGCCCTACTTTGTGGACAATAAGAAAGGAAAGGGAATGATAGTTTCAACACGAGAAGATGTGTACCTTTCACTCACTAGCTCATACTTAGTTTATTGGGAAAGCACTCACAGTAGCTTCTAACTGTTTGACGTTGGTATGTTGTTATTCAATGGGGTTGCGTCGACCAAGGATGAGTCGCGTATAAAAGGGATCCATGGCGTCCCGCTAAACTCTTTTCATTACCTCCTCCACTCCCTCCCTCTCTCCTCACCTCCATCTCACTTTTCAGCGCCACCAAATAAAACCATGCGCTTTGCTTCCACCATTCTTGCCGCCACAACGTTGGTCCTCCTCAACGCCAATAGTGCTCACGCCTACGGCGTCCTCGGTAACTAACAGAATCCCCCTTCCTTCTCACCAGTACATATGTATACCATTTCCTTTCTTTCGCCCTCTCACATTCGATTGTTGGTTTCTTTCTTATTTCAGGCCACACGTTGACGGGCCAGATTGCCCAACTGTTCCTGACGCCCAAGACAGCCAGCCAGATCAGCACCATCCTCCCAGCCTCGTACGAAGGCCTCCTCTCCAACGCAGCCCCCTGGCCCGACAAGATCCGATTCCTGGACCAGTACAAGTGGGCAACCCCCATGCATTTCGTCAACCCACCCAACGATAACCCTCCTGAGCAGTGCTTGTTCGAGTATGTCTATGGTGGTCAGGATAATGTGAATGCGATTTTCAACATGACTGCGACGTTGAAGCAGTTCCAGTTGACACCCCCGACGAACGTGGGAGATGAGAAAAAGAGGGAGGATGCACTGAAGTTCTTTGTGCATTTCATGGGAGATATTCATCAGCCACTTCATGACTCTACTCCCTTTCGAGGTAAGTTGTCACCCAGGTTATTGCTTTGCTTCCTTCTCAAATTGAATTCATTTTGTGTGTCTTTGACTGAGCATCGGGCAGAAAACTAAATTGTATTTGTCTTCACGATCGATCAAATTATTTCCTTGCTTTCGTCCCAAGGTGGAAACGATGCTCCCATCAAGTTTGGCAAGTCAAAGTCCAACCTGCACTCACTCTGGGACACCCTCCTCCTGACTGTAAGCAACATCTCTCGCTCTTCTTACTCCTCGCCTGATTTTTGAACAATAAGACGGACCTGCCCCTCTAACACCTCAGTTACATAATCTCACTTTCGAACAATAGAAAGATGTGAAGGAGAGATTCGGTGATAACCCTCAGGCATACCTGGACGACACCATCAAGCTGACAAAGACGATCTGGAAATCCGAGGCCGCATCCTGGACTTCCTGTGGGCCCGCCGACAGCCAGCCCGCCAATCCCTGGTCATCCGTCACAAAGCAGGTCAAGACTGTCTGCCCGATCCAATGGGCGACTGTGACCAATGCTCTTGACTGCACCTATGTCTGGAAGGACTACTCGGCCAGCCGCGATTACTCGACCGATTACTTCCAGAAAGTGACTGGACCGTCCACGGATTTCTTGTACCAGAAGTTGTTGGCTCAGAGTGGGATCCGTATGGCAGCTGCGTTGAATGAAATCTTTGACCCTGCTTCGACTTTGTCGGCTTCCGAGGGTACGGTGGTGAAGAGAAGCGAGTTGCCTCCTAGATACAAACGTGCTGTTGAGGAGGCTTTGGCTCGCTAGAAATTGTTTTGCGTCGACTATTACATGTAGTTTTCACTTTTGTTTGTTAATAAACCATTCCCAGGCAGCATGCCGTTCTTCCTCTTTCATACACAAAGCAGCGCCTGGTTTCCCTGGTTCTGTCACTTGGGCTCAATACCATACTCCAAGAAAAAGCAAGGGCAGCTCTCGCTTCATTCTCGGAAGTGCGCCTCTTCTTCGTCCTCGTCCTCCACCTCCCCTCTCTTCCTCCTTGAATGAATGACCTAAGATTGCAAAAAATGGAAACGGAGATTCACGATTCCAGTTTTCTGTCTAATCGCGTCCACTATGAGGAATGGTTCCAGCCCCTTTTTTTATTTCCACCCACCCTTTTCAACATCGACATATCATCCCCCTTGAAAAATGAATGGTTTTCAAGATCTTGTCATTTCCCCTTTTATTTCCAACTCGCCTTGATTTCGACTTGTCCTCTTTATCCTCTTTTCTTTCTTCGTCTCGACTCTTCTTCTTTTACTTTCACTCTTCTTTTTGATACTCTCGAGCACATTCAACTCACTTTTTCATAGCCCTTCCTACTTCACAGCAGCGAGTCATCAATAATGAAGATCTCAACTCTTTGTATCATTTCACTCGGCCTGTCGCTCGCCGTCTTTGGTGACGCCGCACGCGCCAAGCAACACGAACACCACAATAAGCAAGTCGACCAGCATCACCACCACGCTCCAAAGGACCACAGCCACAACGACAAGCAAGCCAACCAGCACCATCATCACCGTAACCAGCAGGCGGATGACTCCCACCACAAGAAGCAAGAGGACCATTCCAACAACAAGAAACAGCAAGCTGATCATTCGCAACATGTGAAGCAGCAGCACCATAAAAATGTTGACCATTCTCATCAAATGAATGCTGATGCTATCCCCTCGAAGCCCTATAAGGGCGGTCATCAAGGTAATATCGCCATGCTTGTTGGCAATTGGATGGACTTGTCGCTTTCATTTTTCCAATGGCCATGTTGGAAACGGTCTACAGTGACAGTTACTAACACTTGGAAATGTCTATGTGCTTGTGCGGATCCCAACAGAGCAAAAGGACAACAAGGAGAAGCAAGAGAACCTTGACAAGCACCCCAAAGAGCACAAGGTGCCCAGTGACACTGTTGCATCGCCTCCCGCTCCCGCTAACCAGCAGCCACAGCAACCCACCTTCGCACCCCCACCCACGTCAGAGAGAAAAGAAAAGATGGTTGTCGCCTACTGGACAGACTGGACCTCGGCCGCGATGTCCCCAGAGGCGATCCCCTTTGACAAGGTGACCCATGTCAACTACGCCTTCTCGGTCGTCGGATCTGACTATCGCCCTGTCTTCGAGACCGATTACCTGCTGAACCGTGTGGTCAGATCTGCTCACTTGAAGGGCGTCAAGGTTCTGATATCGATTGGTGGGTGGACTGGGTCCCAGTATTTCAGTCCCTTGTCTGCAAGTCCTCGAGGTCGGCAGACGTTTGTGAATGGCGCTATTGACTTTGTGAAGAATTATAACCTGGATGGTATTGATATTGACTGGTAAGAATGCTAGCTTTTTTCTACGCGTTTCGTTTCTCGCGTCTGTATTCTTCCTATTGTTTTATCCAAAGTACCTGTAGATCTAATATCTTTCTCTTGTTTATGTGTTGTTGACTACTGCCTACAAAAGGGAGTACCCGGGTCGCATGGGAAGCGCCTGTAACATCTACGACACAAACAACGACGCCAAGAACTTTTTGATATTGTTGCAGGAACTCCGAGCTGCGATGAACCAGCTTCCCAACGGCGACCGTCTCGAGATCTCATTGGCGACTCGTTTGTTGCCATTTGATGGCCCCAATGGCATGATGAAAGACGTGAGCGAGTTTGCCAAGGTGGTCAACCACATCAATGTCATGGCGTACGACATTAACGGATCCTGGGGCTCTGTCACGGGTGCGAATGCGCCGCTGGGCGGAGAGGGCCAGTTGACGTATGCCAATGGAGCACAGGCATGGATCGATGCGGGATTCCCCGCGTCCCAGATCAACATGGGTGTGCCCTTCTACGGTCGGTCGTTGACGACAAAGAGCGATATGACGACGTCTCAGTCGATGGAGGCGCCGTTTATCAAGCCGGTCCCCGTGGGTGACAACAATGATGCGATGTGGACGGATCCCTGTGAGAAGGAGGCATCGTACTCGGGTGTGTGGAAGTACAAGAACCTGAGGGAGCAAGGGGTGGTGGATCAGTATGGAAATGCGCGTGCACCCTGGATCCGCAAGTTTGACAAGGAGTCACAGACGCCGTGGTTGTTCAACCCGTTGACGAAGCAGTTTATTAGCTATGACGATAAGGAAAGTTTGAGGCTGAAGGTTGACTATGCGAAGCAGAAGCAGTTGGGAGGAGTGATGTTGTGGGCGATCAACCAGGATACGGCAGACTTTGAGCTCTTGGATGTCCTCCAGGAGATCCGCCGGTGAACTCTGGGAGGGGGAGTTAAGGATGAAGGGGAGCCAGGTTTTGAATAAATCGATTTGTATCCAGGCGTAGGATATCCCTTTGATCTAGGCGCTATCTGATTCCCATGTGATGATTGGCCACGTTCTTCCCTTGCTAACTGCTGCTGGAACCCAGTCCGTTGCCTTTGATTACTCACCCTCCCCTTCGGCTCTTCTTTTTCTCACCATTTTCTACTTCAGCAAGAACAAAATCCAGGGGGAGGATGCTACAGAAGAAGCCCTAATCTCTTTTTTTTACTCATTTACTCACTCATTCGCTTACCAACCATCAGCCTACAAAAACACAATGTCACTCCTGCACACACTCTCACGGTCAGCTCGCCCTTCTTCGTTGCCTCGGACTCACTTTCCCTCAACAGCAACAGGAACAGCAACAGCAGCTGTCAGTCTCGGTCTCAGCTGTCTCTTCTCCAGACACTATACCTCTGCCGCCTCTGTCTCTGAGGCTATTATTCCTCCCCCTACAACCGAGACAGCTACGTCGCTGTACACCTTCAAAGACCTGTCGGAGCAGGAAGTGTTGTTTGTAGAGATGCGGCACCACAAGGTGTCGTGGAAGGAAATTGGGGTGTACTATGGCAAGTCGAGTCTCGAGGCCTTTTATGAGTACATCCCTATTGCGACGAGGGCGTACAAGCACCAGTGGAGATCGCGGATGACCTCGGAGGATGTTGCCGAGCATCTTCGTCTCCCAGGACAACGGTGCTAGTTGTGAGAGAGATCTTGTAGATCTGCTGAAATAAAAACAACAAAAACGTTGAGCTATATGTGTGTCAGTTGTAGATGTTCATGATATCTCATGGTTGGGTGTCCCAGTTCCTGCTGCACTTTGTCAGTGCTGCAGTTTTGTGGTCGATGCTTTGTCTCCCTTTCTCCCTTTGTATCTCTCCCTCCCTTCCTGTCCCATTCAACACGCTCGTTTCTCCTGTGTCCATTTTTTTTCTTCGTCTTCGTTGTCGTCCACGCCTTTTCTTCTTTCCACACTTCTATTTTGGCTCTCTTTTTTCCCTCCCTTCTTTTCTTCTTCCACCTTCTCCTTCCTCCGCCATCATCGTCCTTCTTGTCCATCGTCGTCCTTCCTTCTGTGTCTGTCTCCATCACACTCCCCTCTCCCCTCTCCACTCTCTCCCTTCACCACAACACAACAATCAACACAGACGACAAGCTCCCTTCGTCACACTCTCACGCTACCACATTCAGACACACCCAGACACAAACACACATAGAGACAAAAAACATGGCCATACTTGCGCTGGTGGCAGGTGCTCTGGCGGTTGTGATTCTCGTCGCAGGCCTGCTCAACTACTTTGGCAACAGAGTCGAGCACGCCTGGTACGTCAGTCTGATTGCCTACGTCTCCTGGTTTTTTCCCTTCTCCATCGTTGTCCTCGTTCCACTTGACCTTGCTTCGGTAATTCGTCTAATCACACGTCTATTCCCCGCAACAAGGGCTCACTTGCCCAACTCTTTTATTCTTCAAGTCGAGAAAAAAAAAAAAAAAAGAACAAAGCTCTGACTTACCTTCTTTCCCTTCTCGGCTCTCTCCACGTTGTATGTGATCCCTTAGACGCTGTTTCGAGACTGCAAGGTCGAGGAGGAATGCAATGAGCCTCTCATGTATGTCTCCAGCGAGTTCCTTATTGGCGCCTGGAGAACGATATACTGGTGCAGTTTTGCCTTGACATGGTACGTGCTTTTCTCACTCTTTCTGCCTTGGCATTGGGCTTTTGCCTTATCTTTTTTCTTCTGCGCTGTCACAGACGGAGCACCCTTCTCTTTCCTCATAATGATGAAGGACCTAAGCGCAAAGTTCGTTTGTTCTCACCTATGGAAACATTCCAAACATAATAACGCGCTTCCTTATCTCATGATTATTTGACTTGAACATGGGGCATTGCAATGATAGGGTCTTGATCCCATTGCTTCAATCCTATACACAGTCGGGAGACTTTACAGTCATGAAGAGGCTCCGCAGCGCAGTCAGATACAACATCATCTACCAGCTCATCATCGGATCGATCGCCCTCCTGGGCTTGGTGTTCTTATGGTACGCCCAGGGTCCAAGCAACTTGAGAGCATACATCATGGCGCTCAGCAACAGTTGGGGTCTGGTCCTCGTTGTTATCTTTATGGGCTATGGCATGGTCGATGTGCCAAGGAGGCTGTGGCATAAAGGAGACAATGCGCGTGAACTCCGGAGAATCTCCTTCAAGGCCAGTGTTGTCAAGGACAAGCGACAAGACACCGAAGACGAAGTGCATCATGTCGCCAAGGTGATTATACATCGATATTGCGCAATAGACATTGCGATGGACCAAAAGGCAATTGAACTGGCGCATAAGAAAGCAATTGAACTGATATGTTCATAACCCCCCCCCCTAAAAACCACTATCACAGGAACTGTCTGTGGTTTGCCACAAGGTTCAGCATTCGGATCCCCTTCGACCCTATGTCGACAAGATGGTCGAAGGCTTCCCTGCTGTGAGGGGCGTCCAATTCGAGTCCAACAGGACATCTTCGCCTATTCCCCCCTCCCAGAGTCAAAGGAGTGAGCTTCATGGAATGAACGCAGGTTTGCCATTAGGAAGCTCGAGGCCAGGAACAGGAGCGACATTGGGCGGCCGTAAACACTCTATGGATGGATTGGTCCCCAATGCTATCACGGAAAAGTACCTTGCCGATCTACATGCCAGGATCAAGCGTGCACTGAGAATGAGCGACCGATGGAACGCGTACGTATCCCAAGTCAAGTGTGCAATTATGTCATTCTTGACGAGGTCAAAGATCTTAGGCTTTTGATTGACTAACAGGCTTACGCCCTTGCAACTTTTCAAATAGTATTTGGCGCGACTTGCAAAAGGCAGGATTCTTGGCGCAGGACATTCAGGAGAACATGGACAACCCAGAAAAGTAAGACCAACTACAGCATTTTTTTTCTTATTCATATCCAAGAGACTTCTCACTTTCAAAAGAGCTAACAAAGGATATGTGCTTTATACTCACCCATGTCGAATCTTATAGAAAGTTCCGGTCGACTTTGCGTCCTTTGACATCAAAGCCCAAGAACTGGCAGCTTTCACTCGAGTGGGTCTGGCATTTGAAACTGCGCCCGATCTTGCTGCGATCGCTGGCAGTAGTGTGTGCGGCTTTGTCGCTGTTGATTGTTTGGTCCGAGATGACCTACCAGAACGTCAACCCTGTGTTGAGTGTCATTGGACTCTTGGTTCAAGTAGCTCGGGATCGCATGTCGTATGGAGCAATCGAGGTAAAAAAGAATATCCTTTCATTCATGTGTTCCGGTGTTGTATTTGTCAATGGTGTTCGCATATGACTGACCCTATGATTGTTCCATGGTCGCTATTTTTATTAGGCTGTGAGCTTCTTCACCATGCTGTACATGTGCACATGCGCCTACACCACACTTATGAAGATGAGGCTGCTCAACAATTACGTTCTCGTTCCCAACCACCACACGGATGAGCCAACGTTACTATTTATCGGATCATACCTCTGCCGTCTCACGTACGTCTATCATACGAGTTTAACGTACTTTGTAGGTCAGGGGCGTGCAAGGGAAAACAAGAAAATGCGATGCTAACATCCATTCATTATTTTCGCTCCTACTTTTAGGTTCCCTCTGGTGTACAACTATCTTACTATCTCGTCTGCAGGAAAAGAGGACAGCACTGTCTTTGCCGGAGTAAGCCATCTTCACCCAGTGTCTCGCCTTACCTGCATGTGGAATTGCTGAACGGACCACTTGCTCATCACCTTTCTTTCTGTCATTCATTTGAAATAGTACATGGGAAAGATCGATATGGTTCCGTTTTTGGGCGAGTTTAACTACTACATGCCCTATGTGATCCTTGTCCCTACTTTGATCACGCTCTTCAACGTTTTCGCGAAGATGTTTGCCGTCTGCAGCATCTCTGACAACTTTTTCGACAACGATGACGACGAGGGCGGCATCGGTGGCGATCTTGAAGAGGGTGTTCAAGTCTTGAAGGATGGTAAATGCTACTCTTTTTTTTTTGCTATGGTTTATTACAACACGCATCAATAATTATGTTTCTAATATCTTTTTATTCATCATCGTTCAATAGCTCGAAGGGACGAAGAAAGGCGGTTGCTGCCAGAGCGCGCAGGTCTCAACAGGGATTTCACAGCACGACGAGGAGCAGCATTCGAGACATACAACAACAACAAGAACAAGCAGAACCGCAGGAGAGGAGATACACCACCAACACACATACTGGGAGAAGGATCGAGTGCAAGTGCATGGAGAGATGTCCGACCCAGCCCCAGCGGTAACTCTCAACGAACCTTCCATGAGCCTTACTTTGACGACTCAACAGATGACGACGACTCTAGCAGCGTCTATACTGGTTTTAATCGTCGAGAATCCGCAGATCATATGGGATCGTCAGGACCTGGAACAGGAGCTGGAACGCACCCAGGTGGTCGAGTCAGGAGCTCGATTGATTCGCCCAGTCGAGGCCACCTTCAACGGCAAACGACCAAATTGGACACTCAGCCAACACCGGGACCGTTCAAGTCGCTTTGGCAAAAGATGGTTGGACCCAAGCAAGCGATTGCGCTGGATGGCACCAATACTCCAGACCCAACGGACAGTGATGGAGCGCGGTCGAGCATTGAGAGCACTGGGCATGAAGGAGGCCATGTACCCTCGAGTTATACCGGCCGGAGTACGTTCCGCCCAGACAGGAATTCTACATCGGCGGCAGGAAGGACGGGACCGGCACTGATGTTTGCGTCAGTGCAGCAACAGCCCTCAAGTTACTCGCGGCCGTCGCTGCAAGAGGATGAGAACCGGGATCGAGACCGGCTGTTGTCTGTTCATGATGCGAGAACGCGGCCTGGAGGATCGAGTGCGTCGTCACCACGGGCCCATAGTCCTCAGGGTCGGGTTATTGGTCAAGGAGGACAAGGAGGACAAGGAGGACAGGGGGGACAGGGGGGGACGAACTCTGGAAGAAACAGTCGGCCGAATAGCCGGATTTTTGGCGCTTCATCGCCTCAGCATGGCAACAGCACCAATCGGCAACCCAGTCCCCTAGTCAACATCTTTGACGACGATGAGTGATTAAAGTACTAAAACTGGTGGATGACATCGGTCATTTGCTTATTCCTTTTTTGCATTTTTTATCCGAGTGAATTTATTATGTTGTTTGGTAATGAAGGGAGTGTTCTCGCAAAAGTCCTCGTAGTAAATCAATCCTTCTTCACGACGGCGGCAGCGGTGTTTGCAGTGCGACGCTTAAAGTTGAAGACATCATCCTCATCAGGACCACCGATGAAGCGGAGCCCATTGACACGACCATCAGGATCCGTCGAGAAACTGGCAAGGGAAACAACATCAACACCAAAGTCCTTCAACGAAAACCGGAAGCTGTCAAAATGGTAATGGTCCATCTTGGACTTGTAGGTGACATACTCCAACCCGAGGACATCCTTCTCCTTTGAATCCTTATCCTTGCGCAGACTGATCTTCACAGTTCCCATGACGGGGTCTGAGTACTCCCCTACGTAGGCTTCCAAGTTCGGGTGGGAGAAGGAGGTGCCCTTGACGCGGGCTGGGAGTTCTGCGCCGATGCGATCGGCTTCAAAGTCGTCATATTCGGCCTGGGTCTGGCGGAGGGTGACGGTTGAGAGCCAGTCTTCGGTTCGGGGGAGGCGGAGGAGTTGGTCGACGATGTAGAAGGGTATGTAGGTGCGGAGGGCGGATTTGTGGGTGTTTGTCAGGAAGGCGACGACGATGTCTGCGTCTGGGTAGAGGGCTAGACTTCCTCTGAAGCCGTACAACGATCCCGCTATTGTAGATGGACAGTTCAAGAAGTTGGGGGGGGGGGGTCAATATGAGGAGCGGGACGAGGATATAACGAAAAAGTAAAGACTTTGAGGGGGGGGGGGGGGGGGCACTGAACAAAGAAAAACTTGAAGGGACTTACTGTGGAAATAAAAGTTGTTGCCCTTGTAAGTATCCAACTCCCAAGCCAATCCATAACTCGCAGCAATCGCGAAATCTTTGCCCCGCCCCATCTTCTCCAACATAATCGAATGTGGCGTAAAACATTCTTTCAAACTCTCCTTCTTCAAAACCTGCTTCCCGTCCAACACCCCCTCACTCATAACCACATGCCCCCACTTGACAAGATCCAACACATTCGAAAAAATGTCCCCAGCCGGCGCGTCGACTTTCAAACTGTCTTCCAAATACCCCTTCTCAAACTTTCCCTCCTGGGCATCCTTCAACGTCTTTGCATCATACGGCATCGCATAGTTATCCGAACGCTCGACCATTCCCGAGGGCGAAAATCCAGTATTCTTCAGACCCAGAGGATCGAGGAGTTTTGTCTGGACGAGGTCCTCCCAGGTGGTTCCGGCAACGTTTGCAGAGGCCTCGCCGGCGACGGCGTACATGGTGTTGCTGTATTTGTAGTAGGGTTTGAGCTTTTGGGGTGGGGAGAGGTTGCGGAGGGTTTTGATGTTCTCTCGGCGGGTGGTTGTGCTCTTGAACCATGCCACATCGATATCTGGCATTCCCTATCCTCGAGCAAAAAAAAAAAAAAAAAAAAAAGGCATGGAAAACAGGGGCATCAGGTTGAGGAAATTAAAACATCACGCGTGATTTGAACGCGTGAGTAAAAATGTCAAGATAACAAAATGGTTCGAGAAAAAGAAGAGACGACATACGGTGCGGTGGGAGAGGAGGTCGACGAGAGTCAATTGAGAGGTGAGGACGGGATCTCCAAAGGCAAACTCGGGGAGGTAGGTGTTGACGGGGGTCGTGTCCCAGTCCATCTTGCCCTCTCCGACAAGCTCGCTAATCGCCGCTGACGTGAACGCCTTTGTCAAAGACGCAATCGGCATCAACGTCTACTCATAAGAAAAAGAAGCAGAGAAGTACGATAAGCAAGTGATGTGAATACATGTTGTTGCAGTAAGAAGAAAGCAACTAAAATGTTTATACCTCGGCGGTGAAGGGATCGGTGTCGTTACGTTGTCCGAACCCATCGGCAAAGATCACCTCGCCACGGTGCATCACCGCAACACTCATGCCCTTCAGTCCGGCCTCGACTCGAGTCTTTTCCAACGTCTCGTGCAGGTGCGCCAATGGTGTCATATTTGTCTTGTTTGTGGGTTGGTGGTGGAAAAGAAGAGGTGATGGGAGAGTTTGAGTTGTGAAGAAAGGAACGTTGGGCGGATCTTTTATACTCATTTTGCAATCCCACGCGCAGCTGCAGTACAAGATACCCATGAAAATCAAACAGGTGTTTTACCCACACCGCAGTGGAGGGGCCTCCACATTAAACTTTGGAAAAGAATCAGTCGCAACCGCCAAGACGGGAAAACTCCGAACACAGACAGGCGTATTTGCATGGTACATGGTTGGATGACAGGTTGCCAAGCCGTCAAATATGCTAAAAAATGCAAACACGTCTCGATATGGTGTGCATCCCCACTTCATGGACCTCAGAAAGTAACAAGCATTGATCAATAATCTTTAGAGGAAAAAAAAGTCTATGATAACAGAGGAAGGTCGATCGCAATTTTTTACTACATGTACAACAAAAAAAATCAAAAGAAATCGTTAGCATTTGGGTGTAAACGCGTAACCTTTCTCAAACAGGTAACGATACACTTTCAATGGAAAAGAGGGCCAAGACTTACTGGGAAATGAAAGTTCTCCTTCTTAAGGAGAAGTCGACCGCCGGGGCTCATAATAGGGTCACGAGGACTCGCTCCGGCCGTTCTTTCGTACTCTGCCCCTTCCTGCCATACCGCAGAAGGCTGCAGGTCACTCTTTAAGCGTTGCATTGGGGGAGTCGTGAGCAATGACGTGTTAATCGACAGGCTCGAATCCTGAGGTGTTGGGCTACCAAGGTGGGCCGTTGTCGAATCGCCCGCAGAGCTGGCTGGTTGCGCATCGAATCCCTTGGTCACCCTGTGAGACGAAGGTGCCTCACCCGCAGCTGCTGACGATGGCAATACGTTCAATAGAGACGGAGCCGCGTCAACGAGAATGCCAGCCTTGCTGGTTTCCTGTTCCTGAGCTGGCTCAGGAGTGCTGATCTGGTTCAAGTGCAGAGCTACCGCAGGGTTGGCCAGAGAATCTCCAGTTGTGGCCTCTGTCAGCGCAGATTGAAGCACCTTGGCCTTCTCCAACGACTCATCAGCCCTCGCATCTCGTGAAGTCCGATGTGTGCTCTTGGTCCTCTGGAAAGCGCTATCTCTGAACGTCGTAGTCGACATGGTCGTTGTAGTAATAGTGGCACCGCAATCCTTTTCTCCATCCGCTGCTGGCTGTTTGTCCGCGTCTGTAGCGGCCTCAACAGGAGTGTCTGGGTTCGCGTCGGTGGCCGACTTTGGTGCTCCGGCTTTGGGTTTAGGGCGATGGGTATCCACAGCCTCAATGTCAACCTTAAAGCGCTTCTCCTCGCAGGTGTAAGCGCTAGGTGTGAGCTGGATGACTGTGTGGAGAGGAATCTTGATATAAGGAAGCTTTTCGTGCGAGTGGTTCATAAAGTAGGCGTAGATGCAACGCAGGATGGCCTGGTGTCCAATGATTAGAATGTTGCGCTGTCTCTCCAACTCCATGATAACTGGCTCCAGTCGAAGAACAACGTCGCGGTACGATTCTCCCCCTCTGTAGCGGTAGTTGAACTTGTCCTCATCTCTGTTCGCAAAGTCCTCTGGGTATTGTTCCTATTTCATCACGAATGACAAAATGTGTTAGCTCAGCTCGAGAAGCATAGATGTCACATCCATAAGTGCTCTTATATCGCAGATCGGAAAGGTTTTGCGTAACGCACCTCAATCTCCTCATAAGTCATTCCATCGCACACTCCGGCGTCCAGCTCGTCCAGAGCCTTCCATGCCAGCTTGGGGTAGGTGAGATGTTCGGCCGTTGCAATGGTTCGCTTCAAAGTCGAGGTCCAAACCTATTTTAACCAGATCGTAAAGAAAAACAACAATACAAAGTGAGTGAGTCGCACAAGATAAGATCAGGCAATATAGTCATAATCCAATGAAAGCATTGCTTAGTGTCCAGACTTACAGTCAATTGTTCCGAGTTGCCGAGATGAGTCGCGATCAAAAGTGGCAAAGATTTGGCATACTGCTTTCCACGGGCACTCAGTTCCGAATCACCTCCCAGCTTTCCCATCACGTTGTAGAGCGATTCTCCGTGCTAAGAGATAAGGTTGACAGAAAGTGGGGGAGGAGAAAAAAATAAATAAATTTGGTGAGTCGTCCGCTGCTGGAGATTGATTGCGATAGCGTCGGGAAATATACAAAAATTATAAGGACATCTTGCTTTCTTCTTACCCGACTGAAAAAGATGCTTCGAGGAGCAATATGCAGGTTCATCAAATAATAGACAATCCTCGACTGAAGATATCCTTGGATGTGGTTGATGATGACCTGGCTGCCCACGTTGATCAGCTTGATATATGTCAAGTTTTCCTCCGTGATCGATTCATAGGCTTCTCTGTAGTGGAAGATTCGTGCCTTGAAGTCCTCGACTGCCTTTTCCGGATCCATGTTTTTGTAATCGGGGGATTTCAGCTTGACGGACATGATGTTGTGCAGGACCAGGGCCTCATCTTCGCAGACCGACTCGATAAACATGACCTGGATGTCGTGCTTCTTGCATTCTGCCATCAACATCTCTCGTCTGGAACGGGTCGAGTTGGTAGCATCGTAGAGGGCAACGACACCCTGTTCCTTCTTGAACCAGTAGACCATATCCTCCAGAGCCTCAACGGCAGCCTCGCGGCGGGACCGCTCACCATCAGGGTTAGCAGGGTTGAAAAAGTCATGCAATTGATGTGCACCATGGAGCTTTCGACGATAGTTTCCGACGTTGAACACCTTGGTGGTGATGCCGAGCCATTGTAGATAACGGCAAACTAAAACGGGGGTAGAGGAGATAATCCAAAAGGGGAGCAAAAGTAGACATGCGCGTGAGTTTACATGTCCCGGTTTCAGTCAGAGTAGATCACTCACTCACACCCTTTGGAAGGAAAATGACCACCACCCCCTTATGCAACGCAATAGCAAAAAATATCCCACGCTAGTCAAGTCCATTTCCATTATATGATACTGCCTCTCATCCCTCCTCTCTCTCTCCTGTTGTCTCTTTTATCCTGAGTTGCTCGCATTGTAAGAGGAATAGAGAAAGAGATGGAGAGTCATATCCCTTCCTCGCCTCCCACTACGCTGTCTGTACGCCCACTTCATTAACAGATAATGAGCATGTGAAACAGGCCTGGCTACTCTTCACACACATCAATTGGCGTTGGTCTTATATTCGAGCAAAGCATGCAGTTCGTCCATACCTTTCTGTGAAATAAGCGTCTTGCCTGTCGCAGGCAAGCCTACCATCTAATCATAGGATCCAACGTATATTGTCAGTCTTGTGTTCTCTGCTTGTTCGCTTGCCCTATCCTGCTGATGCCTGTTCTCTTTTTTGCCAATGTTCCATTGTGCAACAGTCCTAAACTTATTAAAAAAGGCAGAAAACTTACAACGCATGCAATGCGGGAACCTAAGAGGACGAAGGAAAGACGTAATGGGAGTTGATGTGTGAGTTCGTTGTATGACGCATACATAGAAAGGGGAAGCGGAGGTGATAACACAGCAGCAAAGGGTACAAGGAGAACTGACCAGCGTTGGTGCTCATATCTCCTTTATCTCAAGGTTTTTTGTTGTTTTTTTTTGTTAGAAGGAAGGAGGAGGTGATGGTGGTGGTGGTGCGAGTTTGAATTGAATCGTGGAGGAGAGAAGCAGTTGAGTGAAGGATGAGGTGGGTGATGGGAAGCGAAAGTTGCTGGGTGTGTGCGGTAGGTTGGAATCGGATCACGTCCAGGTGAAAGGGGCGAAAGGTTTTATGTGTTGTGCGAGCGAAAGAGAGATAAAGAAAAGAGGGTGAATGAAAAACAGCGCACGTTTACCTATCTTTCTCCGCCTGGCTGCGACTGCTTTTACCTTTCACCTGGCAGTATGAGTTTAAAGGACGCGTCTGAATGGAAGGAAAGCGTGACACCAGAGCTTCTCACAGGCGTCGTCTTGGCGTTTTTGACCATGCTACTTCTTCTTCGTTCTTTCCCTTCTCTTTCTTCCTCTTCATCCTTTCTTCCTCTTCACCCTTCCTTCCTTCTTTTCAACTTTCTCACCACTCCCCCCACACTTTCAACCGTTCCCACTCACTCATTCATTCACAAGTCAACTCAAACGCAAATAACATGTCCCCACTTGAAATCCCAGGACTCTACTACTCGGGGTCACTGCTCGGCCTACTGATATTCATCGCAGACCTCTTTGCCGTCGTCCAGGTGATCAACTCAAGCAGACCCATGTCCTCAAAGATTCTTTGGTCCCTCCTTATCTTCCTCTGCCCCCTCGTCGGCCTTCTCATCTACCTGTAAGATACTTCGAAATCTTTGCTGTTGTGTTGGCTTTCGATTGTATGAAAAGACGGGTTGTATTAGATGTCATTAACCGCCTGCTATCTTCGTAACTGTTGGGCATTAGGTTGCTGGGAGAAAGGGAAAGGCGTCGCTTGAGATACCTATCGATCCCATAGGATGGACGTATATGGTCGTTTCGTGAGAGGGAAAGAGGAATTCAAACTACTGCTTGCGGCCAAAGAGGTTGCTCATGGATGGTGCTGCTGACCGCATGGTCTTGAGATTGAAGCGACCTGTGCTCTTGCTCTGGATGGTTGTATGGACCGATGTAGTCGAGGACGATGGTGCAGTGTCATGGACTAGTGGCATGAATAAAATGTGAACTTTAGTTTTTGTTTCTCTTTTTTTTTTTTTTTTTTTTTTTCCCGTGGCATCTATGCATATTCAGCAATAATGAAATGCGCAATTTTGACCTTATTACCTTCATGGTGGAGAGAGCTGGCTTTGCTGGAGGGTCTGCATGAACAGGTAGCATACAAACAAAGAAAGGCACATTGCTGTTAGTTATCTTGCACAGTTGCCAAGAACATCCTCACATGGGATACAGAACACAACAACAGAACAAGAACCAAAACTACAAGAACAATTGCAGCAATACGAAAGCGAATGACAAGAAGAAGAACTTACCCGCCGTCGTTGCTGTGGACGCTGGTGTCATCAGTGATATGGGACTGACTTTGGTTGCGGTGCTGGCTCATGCTCATGCGCGTCGATGCTTGACTCTGGGTCGGGGACTGCTGAGCCTTGGCAGAGGTCAATGAGGGAGTCTTTGGTGCTGTGGTCGACCCTCCAATTCTCTCCTTCACCTCCGCTCGCTTCCTCTCCCCCTCCTTGCCCTGCCAGCCCTTGAGCAACGCCTTCATGTTCTTCTTGTCAGGTCCACGAGCTCGCTGAAGGGCATTAGAAATACTGTCGATCTCAGACGACGACAGGTCATTCTCAAGCAGGTACTTTGCACATTCGACTCTGTTAAACAACGCCGAAACCTCGAGAGTGTTCATCCCCTCCTTGTTGCAAATGACGGCCTCGGCTCCATTGTCGAGCAGCAGCTTAATCAGCGCTGGGTCGTCATGCTTCATCAGAGAGTTTTGTAGCACCGTGTTGCCGTTTTCGTTGGCGAGGTTCACGTTGGCTCCGTAGGAAATCAGGAGGTGCATCACAGCCAATGGTTTGGAACATTGCCATGCCGCACGATGAAGAAGGGTCGATCGCGAGGCGTTCCGTTGGTCGGGTGAGGCGCCAGCGTTCAGGTGACGTTGAACCGTGTCGACATCTCCAGTCTCAGTCGCCTCCCAAATATCTGGCAAGGCCTCTATCGGGACCAGGGATGTGTCCAAGGGCACCATTGTATTGGGAAAGGGCTGTGGCACAAGATAGGTGCCAGGCGCCTGGAACCCTCCTGGTAAGATTAGCGATGCAGCCAGCTGTTGTTGAAGGGTGATATCTGTGTTGGCTCCTGGGCTGTATCTACAACAATGCAAGACAACAAATTGAATTGGTCAGAGAAATGAAAGGGTACAATATCCCTCGAAATAAATACGAACACAAATATTGTTTACCCATTGGTCGGAATGGAAGTTGTTGTGCTCGAAGGGACGGGAACCTTGATCGAAGTCTCATGTACTGGCTGGCCAAAGGCATCCAAGAACGACCCCACTTGGGTATGAACAGTATTCACAGTGTTTTCATCCATGATCTCGTTCGGACGAGTCGAACTGTCAACGGCCATGCCAGTCGATTGGTGGATCAGCGACAACCGTACTTGAGATGCAGCAGCGGATGAATCGGGTGAGTACGCCATAGTTGGGAAGAACGCTCCATTCACAGGAACAAGAGGCTGGTTCTGGAAGGATCCCGGAGAAATGTAGCCACCATCGTCCGTAAGAGGTGTCCCGATCACATGGCTGAACATTGCTTTGGGTGATGTTGCCGAGGCTGAACCGAGCGAGGGGAATCCTGAAGCTTCCACAACAAAGTTTACTGGAGGAGGTGGAGGGATCGTTTGAACAATCTCTGTTGGTCGTGTATCCTCGAAGGGTAAAGGTCTGGTAGGTTGCTCATGGGCAATTACCCCGCCGATTTCAAACGTCTGAGTGCTCCAGATGTGCTCGACAGATGCCAATCCAGGGGGGTCCAATACGGGAAGGGCGCTCCTAGATTTAATAACGAAGGGTAATAATGCCAATTGAGTTTTGCATTCTTTGCGTCAAACCATTTCTTGTAAATGAGGTAATTGACAATAAATGATATCTTCACTTACTTCCATGCAATCACCTTTTGGGCTGCTTCCTCCTGTGAGTATCGGAAGCGATCGTAAAGGCACATGCGGATGAGCTGAGGGAGCTCGCTTTCCAAGAGTTGCCCGTCTGCATCCGATCGAGTACTGACCGCAAATGGCGGGGCGCCCCACTGGTGTTGTTCAGCCATCCGCTCGACAGTCTCGCGGCCAAGACCAAAGGTGTGAAACTGGATACCGTGCAGTTTAAGCTGACGGATCATTCGTCGTTTGAGCACCCAGAGCTCTCGTTGCGAAAGTGAGTCGGACTTTGTAATGACAGGCACCAAGTTGACACGCTCATGGATGAGCTTCATGTAGATAATGTCGATTGGCTTGAGTTCGTAAAGGACAAAATAAAAGGCGCAGGTCGGGATGGCGTGGACTTGCGAGCCAGTGATCAAGAACCATGCCAGTTGTGCGTTGGGGATCGAGTGTGAAAAGATGGACGTCACCGTGCGCAAGTGGTGGTTCAGGTAATCGTCGGTGAGGGTGAGTGTGGTCGAAGGGTTGGTTGTCGAGGAATATCCAGGGAGGGTGATGAAGGACACATCTCGAGCAGGAGTCTGAACCTTGGGAGGCAAAAGATCCAAGGGGTCCGTTGCAAAGGACTTTTTGGCGTCCTCTCCTGGCATCAAAACGGGCGTTGTCGTTACTCGAGTGGCGGGAAGAGATAATGTTGAGAGGTCGAGAGAAGAAGGGTGGTTGAGGGTGGGTGCTGTGATGGATTCTTCGAGGTCCTCATTCGTCTGCACGTTAGCAAGAGAAGCGATGAAAGTGTCAAGGAAGGCCGACTTTCCAACGCCTACATCGCCCAGCAAAAGGAAACGGAGTGCCGTTGCATTCGTGTTTGTTGCTATATGAGTTGATGACCGTCCGTGGAAAAGGGATGCGAACACACAGTGGTTAATTGGCTCGATTCGAACTAAAAAAAATGATCCTGGTTGTTTTTATTTCTCCTCTTGACGCCATTCGTTTCCTCCAGTCTCATGAAAAGAGGGGCGTACCTTTCAGGTCGATTGTGGCCGAAGTCATGTCGGGGGCGAGGGTTGATTGAAAGAGAGAATGAAAATGAGAGAGAGAGAAATGAAGGGATGAAGAACAAAGAGAAAAAGAGAGAGCAAAAATTGCGTATATTTCCCTCCTGAATAATATTGACTAGTCTGTTGTCTGTAATGGACACTAAAAACAAACTCATATGAGATTAGTTCGGTTCAATGGGCGCAGGCAAAGGCGGTGCAGCCGCTGTGAAGGCTAGTGTACGCGCATGATGACATTTCCGTCCGTCGGTCTTTTTTTTTTCTTTCCCAGAGCCCTCATCAATTCCAGTGGTTTGTTTTTATGTATTACTCTCCGTCCCCGCGCTCTGTCTTATTCAGAGGACACACCCCAAGCCCAGTTATGATACATGGCACAACCACACACAACAACTCTAGCGGACCATTGTTTTAAACAAAATGTCCATGCAAAAGTATGAACGAAAATAACCACATGAATTTATGTAGCTTGTTTTTTTGGGAGTCAGGAGCCAAGATTCAAGATTGAAAATAGATAGTTTGTTTGTTTACAATGTTGGTGGCAAAACGAACAAGCTCATCAGCATCAGTCCCTCAGTTGGCGTAGTAGACGCGTTACTGATAATGCCCTGCGATTGGATGTGTGTGAGAGAAAGTGAGAAATGGAAAAAGGGAGTAAAGTGACATAAGGGGACAAGGAAAAAGGAAATATGCAAACTGCAAACACAAAGCGTAATACACGTACAGCAAATAGGCTGCCAGACAAGCAACGCAACGAAAAGGGACAACGCAAGGAAGGGAAAGAAAGGAAAAGAGAATGAGAGTGCTATGTCTGTGTACGAGTTAGAGATAACATAGTTCGATACCGAGACATGCAAAAACTCACGTCGCCCCTAACTAACCATCGGCAAACCATAGGCATACATTTTAGTTTTTTTTTAATGTTTATTTTTTGTTCTCTCTCCTTCCTTAGGACCATGGCACATGGTCCCATCCTCTCTCTCTCTCTTCCCAGTCTTTTTCGATTTTTTCTCTTTTTTCGCATTTTTTCATACCTCATTTTTCCCGACTTTCTCTGACACTTTCTCCACAGACACAAACCTATCAACCATTTCAAGAGAAGAACGCTGTGTTCAGTCACGCCTGCACGTCGACATTATTCATATAAGGTAACAAAAAACTTCCTTTGCTGCGGGTTGTGTTGGGGGAAGAGACAAAAAAACCACATGGTCGTTGTGGAGGACGGGTAGTGAGAGTTACACAGCGAATGGCAGGCGAATGTTGTTTTTATTGATGATCGAAGTGTTGATGATCTTGGGAATGAACAAGAAAGAGGAATGAGTGTCTGAGAAAAGAATGCGAGTGGGAGTGAGTGAGAGGTTGGAATGGCGAGCAAGATCATGTGCAGTTCATTTTGTTGAGTACTGGCTGACACTTGGAAAGTGCGATTGCTCTGACGTCCCTTTTTCCCACCCACTCCTTGCCCTGTCTCTTGGCCACACCCTTCCTGCTCTATGACAAAGTGATGTCGCATATCAGACACAGGCACACAACCTGTGCTATACTGTCCCCTTGGCTGACTTGTTTGTTTATTTGTTTGTGTTTTTTTAACATGATCGATACATGAATGTGTGCTTGCATGTTAGTTTGCCCATGTATCCCTTGCCTGGTCTCCCCTTATTTTTATATCTTATGTCGCTTTCTTCCCTTCCCTCCTCCAGTCAAAGTAGAGAGAGATAGAGACCATCAACGGGATGGATTTATACCCCTTCTTCCCATTCCTTCTGTCAACACACATTCGCATTTGAGCACTTTCTTTCTCGCCCTTTTGGACCGCGCTTGGCCTGGCTTGGATAAGCAGCTCCTGCACGAATGCATCCGACACACCCACACAGACCCCAGTGCTCTTGCTTCTTTCCTCGCTCCTACTATTCTTCGTTTTGTTTTCGTCTCTTCTTCCTTCGTCTTGTTCTTCTTTTTCTTTCGTGTGCGTATTCATGTCTAATGCGTTTTTGTGCCATTAGCATTGGTGTGGTGGTGTGTGCGTAGCGTGAATGAGATGAGTGAAGTAGTATGAATGACAGTGTCTGGGTATCCAATTGGGTTCCCATTGCCCTTCCCTTCCCTTTGTCATACTCGGGGTGCGAGTTGTTCCACTTCCTCCCTCCAATTCCCTTTCCCAATTCCCTTTTCCCTTTCCCTTCGTTCCCTTCCCTCGCTCTCCGTTGACAATCGGCCGTTGCTCCTCCTCGTCGTCCTCGTCCTCGTCCTCTTGTCCCTGCTGACATCTCTTCCCATTTCGGAGAATATGTTTCTGCCCCTTTGGCGCATCTTTTCTTGTTGCTTTTTTTTATACTTTTTTATTATCAATTTTATTCGCTTGCTTTTTACTTTTCTACTTTCTCCTCCCTTTCTACCCCTACTTTCCACTCTATCCTTGCCTCCTACCTTATACCTCGCCATGCTCCATGTCATGCACATGCCATGACCCTTGCACCCTCTCTCCCTCTCATCAACTCATCAAGCTACTTCATCATTCACCCTTCTCTCATTCATTCATTCATTCCAATATTAAACCAGTTCCCTGTTCACTCGTCAACTCCCATGCACGCACCAACCTTGTTTCCTACTCTTATCTCACTTTGACCCTAAACGAGAAAAAAACCACATCGTTTTATCCTTGCGTGGACTTTCGCTTGCTTTTCTCTTGCTCTCTCTTCTCTCCTCCCTCCTCTTGCACCTTTTCCCCATTTCTCTCCGTCCCTCTTTTGAGCAACGGCCCCTAACACCATTATATTGCGCTCTGCCCTCCTCTCCTCCACTTTCTCATCCATAACCCCTCCCTCCCAATCATAATCCTATTTCTGACCTCCTTATCTCTCTCCTCCTCCCCGTTGCTGTGTGTATCTCTTGCTCCCATTCGCCCTTACCCTTGTTCTTGCACTCCTAGGTCAACTAAAAAACGACAACGGCCCACCACACGGGAATATTTCTCGTGAAAAAAGTTCCCAAGTGAACGTGGACTTACCACCTGGCCACTGTCATGTCAAACCGTCGCGCGACCGTATCACATCCCCCGGCAGCCACTGCCACCGCTGCCGCCATTGGTTCCTACTTGCGCAGTATAGACGGCTCACTTCCCAACGCCAATCCTGTCCACACTGTTGCTGTCGCCCTATCCTCGCATCCAGGCGCTGAACATTGGAACCATGGCCACCCGCACCCTCAACACCATCACCTCTATCCCTCGACGGCCGCTGCCTCCCCTGCATTGGCCAACTTATCTTCGTTCTCAGGAGACGCAGTTTATGGCCAAAGCCCACCTTCCCACCGCACTTCCTTTCCCCCTCCCTCCCAACATCCTGCTCCTCTCCACTTTCACAACCGTCAAGCCTACCCTACTTATTCTTCGTCGCTTCCACAGGACTCCTTTCCCCGCACCATCTCCCATCCAACAAATTACGTCTACGACGGGGCTCAACCTTACCTTCCAACCTCGTCCAACTCTACCCCGACACGGTCCACTCCCTCTCAATATCAACTCTACCAGCCTTCGACACACACGACATTGCTCTCTCATACAGGTGGTGGATTCGAACGCATGTCAAACTACGAATCCAAACCTTCCTCCACCAACAGTGACTACGACCGAGGCGTCAGCAGTAATTTGCCAGAGTACTCTTACCCAATGGCACCCACTCATCGACTTCAGCGCGACCTTCCTCGTCCCAACATTCGACTGCAGCAACCTCACTACCAGGACCAGCGTGAACAGCCATCGTACCAGCACCGACAACATGCACAGCATCAAAATATTCCCGATCCAAGCCTGCAGAATCTTCTCAAACAACCACAATTAGGATCACATCAACCGCCTCAGCCACAGGAAGTTCCCCAACGGATACCGCCACCAATTCGCACCCGTTGGAGTGACAACGGCCCCCCACCACTCTCTTATCCGAGTGGTTCGAGCTCGATGATGAGCATTAGCAGTGCTAGTCAGCGCTTCTCGCCCTCCACACCACGCACCTTGCTCTCAGGATCCACGTTGCGACAGTCGTCCTCAGAAGATTATCCTTTAACAGAATCGCCCCTCGACTTTCGAGAGTTTACCTACCCGCAACGGATTAGAGTCGGCGTCGTTCGAAACAAGTACGACCGTGACCATGATCACGATATGGAGCAGTGCTCTGAACAGGACGATGCCCGTGAACGCGATGCCGGACACGTTGATGATCTCGACGATACAATGGTGACTCCTGGCAAGAGACAGCGTCTGAGCAACAGGGCCAGTCAACCAACTCCAGCAAAGTACATTAACTCTGGGTTGAAGGCGGCAAACGCTCACATGAAAGTCGATGCGGAGGTAGTGGAGCACGAAGATGAACAGAGTTCTTTGGCATCAACCTCCAGTAGCCGCAAGCCTAGTGTCTCGGGGAGTATCCAAGGAGATGAAAGGCCGAGCCCCAGCAAGTCGAAATCGTCAAAGACAACGGCTGCCACTGCGGCCACTCAAAAGCGGCTCCAACGGCAGGCTTCTGACCAGATGACACTTGGAGAGGTCATTGACAAGTAAGTTTGAGCGAAAGCCAAGTGATCAGAAGTGTGTTCGTTACAGCCTCCGGCCTATTGCTTACCACGAAAACTATGCTCATTTGTTTATAGGATCGACGAGGAGATCCATCCGGAGGATGAGCCCCAGTCATTGGCCGGTAAAGGCCTGCGCATCTATGCTCAATGCGTGCGCAGGCGGGTGGAGGCCAGAGGTTCCACATCTTACAACGAGGTAAGCATTGACTTTGTCCATGGAAGTTGGTCATTTCGTGTCAAACGTGTACCAGTATGCGTACTCACTCGTTGTCTTTACTGAAATATGTAGCTTGTGCATGAGCTTTTTGGTGGCAAGGCTGGCGAGAACGTCGACGACCTGCCAGAGGTCCCTGGTCAGGAGGTAAGATCATCCGAACTTAACCAATGGGTATCGCAAGGGACGAACTGTATTCACTGATTTGCTAATGTCGATATTATTTTTTCTGTACTGTGTGCAGAACATTCGCCGTCGAGTATATGACGCGCTCAACGTCTTGGAGGCGCTCGACATTATTTCATTCGAAAACAAGGACATTCGTTGGGTGGGACTGGAAGAGTCCAAGGTTGTGCAGGAAGTTTCCAAGCAGAAGGCAGCACAGGTTCTCGCCCAGCAGGGTCGTCTGCCTCACAACGATGAAGGCGACGAAGAGAGCGAGGAACCAGAGGACGACGACATGGAGATTGAAAAGCTTCAGGTAAAGCAAACAATCTATTTTGTTATTTTGCTTGCGGAAAGGAATGCTTGCCCGTCATGTTACTAACTACAACTTTGGTTTAAACAGAGAGAAGTGAAAGCAATGAAAATGCAGAATGAGCTAGTGCGAGCGCAACTACAGGACCAAGTAACGCGCGTAAGTTGTAACAAGTATCATGTTGTTTATTAAGGAGAAAGCCTTAATGAGAGTTTCGAAACAGAAAGCTGAAACTCTAATTCTTTTTTTGCCTTTTCTTATTATAGCATGTGCAAGTGTTGAATCTCGTCAAGCGCAACAAGAAACGAGAGACCAAGGAGCAGGAGAAGGAGGAGCGACGACGTCAGCGCAAGGAAGAGAAGCACGCTAGGATATTAGCAGCTGATCAAGATCCGTCCATGACTGATGTTGGGCCTATGGATTGTTCCGACTCGACAGCTCCTAAGGCTGATCGTCAGCATCGTCGACGCAGGACGTCTCGGAAGACTTCTGAGAGGCCGGAGGGCGAAGTTGCTACTGATTCAATGGACGACGAGACACACATGAGAGAAACGGAGAGCGAGGAGGCGCGCCAGCAAAGGAAGCAGGCGCGTCGGGAGAGACGTGCGCGCAAGGAGGAGAGAGCGCAGAGGAAGAGTGAGAAACTCGATCGCGTTCAGCTACCATTTTTTGCTGTCCGTATGCCTGGCTATACCGGCCAGAATTCTGATTCAGAAGAGAACATTTCAGTCGTTCGACGCTACCGCGAAGAACAAACACCCAGGAAGAGGTATGGTTATTGTCAGAGGCAAAACCATTATGTGAAAATGTAATGCAAGCAGGATTCAAGCGATGATCATTTTAACTGACTAAAATGCACTTATTCCTTTGTCCATTTACGAACACAGTGGGAAGAGCAAGCGCCAATGCGAATCGACGGGCGAAGAAACCACTCAAGTGAGAATCCAGATCCCCCAGAACGACGAGCTGAGTGTCATCTCGGATACAGAGATCCTTGGGGACCTAGGGTACAATGCGGTCACGCTGGAAGATCTGCAAGCCATGCTGCCAAATGATCTGATGGAGTCTGCGCAGTACGTTGTTAGCGCCAGAGATCGCCACTTGAGAGCTCGGCGCCGTAATAGCGACATTGTATCGATTGTTGATGGACTGGTCATCCATAGTGAGGAAGACCATGAGAGCAGCGCTACGAATGTGATTGTCCGCGGAGGCCACGAGCGCCAGATTGTTCGTGCCGCCAGCGAGACTGTAGTAGCTTAGTGCCACCACCACTACCCTTTGTTGTAGTATTGTAAATTAGCCATCTGTACATCAATTCACAAAAAAAAGACACAGTACTTTCTCTCCTCTGCCGCTTTCACCTTACCATGTTTCTTTCTTGAGAAGTTTTGCAAAGTCGTTTGTCTGATGCCTATTAGCGCCAACTAACAAAAAGAAAAAAAAATAGACTCTTTTAACTGCGTCATTTTAATCTCTTTTGGTGCTGATATTCAGGACGATTTTGTTCTTTCTTTGCCAACCAAGCTGCGGTCAAGGGCAGGAACAAGTTGGTGGCAACACCCAGAACAAAAGACATCTATCAGTGTGACTGCCCACTCCTTCGTCGTTTCGCCTGACCTTCCCTCCACTCACCGTCGTCTGCCTTATCAACAAGTCTTTCTTTTTCTTTTTCTATCTTTTCATCACTCCCTTCACACCTTTTTTCTCGCCTTCCTCCCCCTCGCACCCCATCCTACTTTCTTTCTCCACAACCTCCTACCCCCTGCCAAGGAAAACTATGTCTGTCTCGCCATCCCTAACCTCACTCCATCACCCAAAGACACTCCACAATATCTCCAATCCCCATGTCACCATTCTAAACAGTACCAGCGACGACAACAACGACGGCAATACCGCAGATCAAGACCATCATCTCCTTATGGACCCAGAAAGACGCCATCAGGATCAAGAACAGCGCCACCCAGGACAATCAGCCGTCGCCACCATTCTCTCCTCCGAACTTTATTCGTCCCTCGCCGATTGTGAACACACATCCACCGGTTGGGCTCAATCTCGATGGTCCCATCAGTCGCCAGGATCATCATCACCCAAGGTTGACTCTTCGACTATCGATAAGCTCTCTGGCAGTCTCGAGAATACCCTGACCACGTCGCTCTCGAAAAACAACAACAACGACAACAACAACAACAACAGCAACACATGGGAACGGGAACGGGAATCAAGGCTCTCAAAATCGTTGGCATCCACTCTGTCTTCAGTCCATGAAAGCTTCGCCCACGCCCCGCAACAACAACAACAAGAAGATGCAACGGAGACTATGCAGACAGATCGCTCTTACATCGCTCCTCTTACGACAACAACGACGCAAGCTGCTCGGCCACTTATCTCGATCGACACTTCGCCCCTTGCACTACAACGACGACGCTCTCCCGCTTCATTCGAACCTTTGCCCCTCGCTCACCATAACCAACAGGCGACTTCAAAATCCAGCTCGACCGAAAGTTCGAACAACAGCTCGGCTTTCTCACGGCACCCCCGCAGCTGCAGTAACAACACCCCTAGTCAACTCTCCCTTGGACTCAACTCATGCAGAAAGACAAACATAAACCCGCCTACTTCGATTCTCTCTTCGTCAGCCCCAAAAGGTTTACCAACGCCGTCTACAACGCCGTCGACCCCTCCAAAGCGGCGAATGCCACTCACCTGGAATCTACCACCTGATCATCCAAAGGAGATCTCACCGCCCAGCCAAGGCTCGTCCCACGCACTTTCGTCTGCTGTGCCCATTTTCTCTACCCCAACAGCCGACGGACAGGACCACCAAACGACCAACAACAACAGCCACGCCCCCTATATTCCCATCAACCGATACCGATCAAAGTCGTTTTCGCCGTCTGTTGCCCTAGAAGACTCTTTTGCTTCCACTTCCTCTGGTAATCGAAGCCACAGTTTTTCGGCAAGACCTTTCGTCACCTCATCTTCCTACAGCTCACTTCCGTACAGTCCAGCAGTCGCCTTTCTGTCCAACTTTGTCGATGTCACCGCACCAAAGATATCTCTGGACGAGGAGGGAGCCCAGGTCGGCGAGTATTTGCTAGGACGAGTCATTGGCCACGGAGGCTTCTCGATTGTCCGCGAGGCGACGTCGATCCAGATGGACGAGGGTGGTCAAGTGGACCGGGTGGCGGTCAAGATTGTCAAGACGCAGACAGGGGCGACTGATAACGATCGAGTCCAAAAAATGCTGCGAAAGGAGATTGCGATCTGGAGTCAAATCTCCCACCCGCATGTCCTCCCTTTTCTTGCGGTCGAGGAACTCCCAACGGACACGTTCATCTTTTGTGAGCTCTGTACGGGGGGTCATCTGTTGAACTATCTCTCTCTGAGAAGTGATTCGCTCCCTCAGTCGTCGATGCCAACGACGCCCAGGTCGGCCAAGCCACTGGAGGAGGATAATGCTAGAGTGATTTTCAACCAAGTTGCGGAGGCTGTTCGACATCTGCATGAGGAGAAGCGGATTGTGCATAGGGATATCAAGCTGGAAAACATTCTGCGACATGAGGATGGGACTTGGAAGATTTGCGATTTTGGACTGGCCGAGTATCAGGACGAGGAGGCAGCTGCGTGTTTTGGCGAGTCGCTCATATCCCCCGCAGACTCTGCCTCGACCTCTTTCACCAGCCCCAACTGTGGTGCTGGTGGAACAACGCCAGTGAAGACAGAAGAAGAGGAGAAACAGGAAGAAGAAGATATTTGCGGAGGATCCCTCGCCTACAGTTCACCAGAACAATTGAGGTCCCACAAGCCCCTTCGATGTCCCTCCTCCGATGTCTGGTCACTGGGCGTTGTGCTGTATGCACTCCTGACAGGTCGACTCCCCTTCCAGGACGAGTATGAACCCCGGTTACTGCACCAGATCCTGAATGGCCGATACGAAGATCCGGTCGAATGCAGCGCCGAGGCGAGGGACTTGCTCAAGAATATGTTTAGGTCCAAGCCGGAGGATCGTTGGCGTGTTGGTCAGGTGAAGGATAGTGCCTGGTGCAAGGGGATTACTGACCATAGTTTGGGTGTTGGTGGCGACTTTTTGTCTTCAAGAGGAGGAGGAGGAGGAGGTAGCTCTAATTTTCTTTCGTCCTTTCGAAGCATCTTGTAAATAATACGTTCAGCGTTGTTGTGTTATGCAATTAATCGATGTCCTAATAGCCCGCGGAGGTGAATAAGGCTGGGTCGACTTATGTAATGTTTGACAATACGGTTCAAAGGAATGGGTATTAGTTGCCTGCGGTTGCGACAACAAGCAGCTTTGATACCGCCAGTGGCAACAAAGGAAAGATAAAGAAAGAAAATGGAAGGGTCGAGGGTCGTTGCATGATGGTTCAAGGACGACAACGGGAGAAGACGAGCTGTCGATCCAGCAGCAGGGCATGATTAGTGTCTCCCCCTTTTCCCCCTCCGCTCGAAGCGAAGAAGTGAAGAAAGAGGGAAAAACGAATTGAACCAGTCCTGATTGCTCAATTTCAGTTAAGAGCCAAGCCATCGGCGTCGACAAGGGTGAGAGCGTCGTGTGGTTTGAGTAAAGAAAGAGGACGAGTCCCCTTTGTGTGTCTCCTCCGACTCGTTCTTTTAGTGTGTTGCACCTTTGCAACCACTTTTCCTCCTCTCCCCTTCGTCTTCTTTCTCTTCTCTTTTTGCCACCATCATCACTCGTACACAACAACATCAAGAACCACCCACAAACAGGCAGACATCCACTGTCCACAAACAACAAGCGACAGGAAACCAACAGCAATAACGACCGCCACCCAGGGTCAACCAGCCAGGCTTTGCTGGCCAGTCAGCGACCCACAAAAATAACAAAAAACTCACTTGCGGGATTATTTTCACCTCTATTTTCGACATCGAGTTTCCCTTTGTTTGAACTTGTTATTTTCATCCGCATTCACATCCAAGTCAGGCCCATCCCCACAGGCTTGTAGAACTCGACAGTATGGCCATCAAGTCCAAGAAAAGGTACGCGTCTCACATCCTCACACCATAACTGGGCACACAACGCTCGGCGGTGTGAACCTTTTTTTTTTTTTCGTGATCACTCTTTTTGCTTCAACTACTCGAAAGGCCTCCCCTACAGCTGCCAATGGCCAAGCCATCAGGACCAACTCTCAACCACACTACAAATCCGACCTTGCGCATGAGATCCAGGATTCCTTCTTGTTCATGCCTCGCCTTCACGGAATCAGCCCTTTTCGACCGCACATGGCACAAGCAACTCTTAACTAACAATGCCTTTTTATTTATTTATTTATTTATTTTTGCATTTTTTTCTGGTGCTTGTTTCCAGAAAACTGACACCCAGCGGGAGGAGCGCGGTAGAGGCCATGTCGACACTAACCCAAGCAGAGGCTGAGCTGGAGCGGGAAGAAGAGGAAATGTTAGCTATGACAAGGCTTTTGAAGCAGGTCGACGAGACCGAGGCGGTGTCGGTCGCCAGAAAGATGATGCTGGAGGCCAGTGGAAGCTCCGAGGTGCCAAACGGTGCGGGAGCAGAGTCAAGTGTAAACGGTCACTTAGAAGACTCTGTAACAGCACAACAGGACGATACTATTGTGGATCAGTCGAGTCATGGTAAGATACAAGCGATATGGAGAAGGATCTGTGTTGTTGGCTTAGGCATGGTGGAAGACTCAAGATCCCATCGTTGCTGCGTGTCAATGAAAGTCATTTGGAAGTGTGTTTTCGCATACTAGTAGCTTCCTAATGTTCAAATCTACGTTCCCATTTCATTTCTTCTTTTCTTGTCACCAGTGAATGGTGCGGCATCAACTATGAATGGTAGCACGACTGCATCGGAGCAGGACGGTGAACGCTGGGTGGGCAATCTCACTGTGGAGAACGTTGAGAGGCAGAACGACACCCATGAGAAGGAGCGTCTGGAGCAATCGCAGGATCTGGATCGAGATATCATATCGGCTCAACAGGAACTCTCCACCTCGGCTGCCGGTGTATCTACCGTTGCAGACGAGTCTGGGGACCACACGACCAAGCGATCAAGCCTTCGAGCCAGCGCTCGCAAGACTAATCAATCTCAGGACGGCCACAACGGAACATCGACTGACGCGTCAAGTAGACCTGCTCGAGGTGTCTCCTCTGCCCGATCGGATGTGTCAGACAGCTATTCTTCCAATGACTCCATCGCCTCTTTGGCCGCAAACCTCCCCGTCATCTTCAGGCCCGATGATACCGAGGGCTCTACATCAGCGATTGTTTCTGGTTTTGAGATGAGCATCAAGGACTTAACTCAACCACGTCTCAGCCAAGCCCTGATCTCCAGGAAGGCACGTACCATCTATGCTCCAGAGGCGACCAAGGCACAGCCAGTCCCCAGCAGTCCTGAGAATGTGAAACGCCGTCCCGGACGACCTCCAGGCTACTTTCTCGGACCCACATCCTGCGCATTCTGCCGTCAGCAGCACCGTCGATGCGACTACAACACCGTTTGCCATCGTTGCATCAAGGCCAAGATACCCTGCGACCGTAGCGGGACAGTGGAACGACCCAGTATCATTGTACGGGAAGCCAGGATCCAGGCCAAGGCTGAAGCTGCGGCTGTGTTGGAGCTTGCTGTTGCTGCTGGTTATGCTGAGCAGCCCGATCCCAAAGTGGTGGTTAAACCCAAACCAAGAGCCACTACGACGGCTTCTCGTTCAAGTGCGCGAGTTCAGTCTTGGGATCAAGGGTCATCGTCATCATCATCATCAACAACTGGCTCAGCAGTGCGGGAGGGTGTAAAGCGAAGGCGCTCGCCAAGCCCAAGTTCCATCAGCAGGGACAACATCATCCAGCAGAGGGTCAAGAGGGTGGCTGCAGCAAGGAGTGCCAAAGCCCACGAGCCCAATCCACCCCTAAAGTCAAGCAGGGCAACAGCCGCCAACAGGAACAAAGCCGAATCATCTCGCCAAGGACCATCAAGCATATCTACCTCTGAGGATGAGCAGCCCGAGGTAAATGAGAGCGATTTTGCTGACTACAATGACGACCACATATCGACACAAGCGGATGGAGCCACCTCAACGACCTCCAACCCCACGTCAAGCACCTCTACTCCCACTGCATCCAAAACCAAGAAAGTCCCAGTTGGCAGCAGCACTATTTCCAAGTTCGCTACTCTTGAAACGACCGTTCAACGAGCATACAAGAGTGCGGCAGAGCTGGCGCGGATCGCACCACCCAATGCCCTACAAAAAACCGCGAGGGTGAGAGTGAGGGTGGCAAAGACGGCAGATACGACAGGAAAGAGAAAGGCAGGACGACCACCAGGAGGGAAGTTTGTCCCCACATCGGCGCATTTGACACCAGCCAACCAAGCGATCCTCATTCGTGCTCAATCAGTCACCAATCCGCAGGCAGTTGAGCCAGAGACGATGCGGATGATGATGATGTTGAAACGCAGACCAGGACGACCTCCATGGAAACACACGTTACCCCAACCCGACCCAGTCGTCAAGAGGCCAGTGGGGCGACCCACGAACGCAGAGAGATTTGCGCTGAACCCAAGCTTGATCCCCCCTCCAAAGACTCTCGACCCTAACAGGCGTGGGCCTGGCAGACCTATTCGGTCACCCAATGCCCCTAATGCATCCACCAGTTCCTCTACTCAAGCCAAATCTCTCATCCCTGCCCCGTCCTCAAAGTCAAACTCTTCCAAGGCCACCTCCGCTCCCTCCAGGTCTGTTATTCCGGCGAAGCGCACTCATGCCACGGCGTCAGCCAGCCATGCCCAGGCTTCAGCCTCCACAAGTACCGCTTCGAAAGGAAAATCGGTCGCCTCTCGAGCTGTGGACACTGTCGTAAGTGCTCTTCACTTTTTCCTTATTTTTATGTACTTGTGCTCTTCAAAGAGTACTCATTTGAAATTGTCGACTTTCACGCGCATATAGGACGATGACACAGAGTCTAACAAGAGCGACCCTACCAAGTCGAATGTGCGTTTGGTGAAGAAGGCGTACCTCAAATCAGGGTTGTATTCATCGGATCTGAAGGTCAACCCGGACGAGAACGCGGCCAAGAATGGCAGGACATTGGGAGCTTCGAGGGCGATTGTGAGTAGTCGACAGCGGGCCAAGGCAGAGAGTGTGGTGGCAGCCGCCAACAACAACAACAACAACAACAACAACAACAACAACTCTTTCTTTGAGTTGCCGATCAACTATGGCTCCGTGTTGATATCGAGGCAGACGGATTTTACGTTGCCATTCGACATCATGCAGGCGTGGCAGCTGGGTCTGTTGCGCAAAACCGTACAACCCGAGCCCTTCATCAAGATTCGAAGCAGTAAGCCTTTTTTTCATGCTGTATACCTTTACCATCAAATGTGAGGTATTGGCTGAGGTTGACACTGACATTGCGGCCTTCTTTGTTTCCAATTAGACATCTTTGTGGAGCGTAAACGCCGGACAGAGACAAGCCCCATGGTCTGCCATTGTAAACCTCCACGCCCGGATCAAGGGCGGATCGGCTGTGGTGATGATTGCTACAACCGAGTCATGTTTTACGAGTGTATCTCTGCGCATTGTCCCTGCGGAGACCTATGCTCGAACCAGCGGTTCCAAAAGAGACACAACGAAGACAACCTCCGTGTCATCTGGGTAAGAAAGTTCGAATATCGTGATCCTTCGGCTGCAACAGCAGAGGACCAGGCTAATAACCCAGTTATGTTTTACCTCATTGAAATAATAGACTCAAGAACGTGGATTCGGTATTCAGACAACAGCTCCTATCAAGAAGGGGAACTTGGTCATTGAGTACCGTGGCGAGGTGATTTCTCAGGCAGAGTGTCACAAGCGCATGGAGGGCATTTACAAGAATAACAAAAACTTTTACTTTCTCGAGTATGAGAAGGGTGAGGTCGTGGATGCTTGTCAAAAGGGTACCAACGCTCGATTTGTCAACCACAGGTAAAGCTTCTGGATTGATGGCACGCCGCTTTCTTGTTCTATTGTACATATACCTGAAAATAGGTGCTGACATGAAAATTATATCTCTCTCATCAATTTTAGTTGCTCGCCGAACAGTCAGATTGAGAAGTGGTTCTTGAACGGCGAGATGAGCATTGGAATCTTTGCCGCGCAGGACATTCCTGCAGGAGCAGAGATCAGTTACGACTACAACTTTTCGTCGTTCAGTGGAGCACAGAAGCAAAAGTGTCGATGTGGAGCTCCCAACTGCCGCGGCTATATCGGCGAACGTCTCAGTAAGAACAAAGAGGCAGCAGCTATGGCATCAACCAAGGAGGTCTCAGGACGATCCGGAAGCAAAGTCAGCGCGAAGAAGCGCAAAACCGGACGTCGCGGGGTAAGTTTTTATGCAATAACGAGATTCTTCCTACTGCATTGCTGAACCATTTGTTCTTTTGTGATGTCTAATCTTGATTATTTACTTGTGCCATATTTTAGGTGAGCGAGCAGGATCCGTCCTCGCTGCGAATGGGCCAGATGCCGCGCGTTGGCTCAATTCGACAGCGCCAATCAGACAAGTACAAGGAAGGCAAGATGGCCGCAATCCGATACACGCGTCTCTTCTTGTTCCGTAACATCCGTCTTGTTGAATCAAAGGTACGCCTAAGACAGTCTAAATGGGATCATGACACAGCGAATGGGACGGGAACAAAAGTGCATGTACTTACTTTACTGTCTTTCGTTGAGCAAATAGTACGTGAAATATGCACAAACCAAGTCTAGGAGCTTCCAGGACAGGGTCTCTCCTACATGGCTTGCACAAGCGCGGGAATGCCGTAAACGCAGTCTGGAGGGCGTCATTGAGGAACTCCGAGAAAACGCTTCGGCGCAGGCTGCGGCAGTGAACCAGGAGCGCTTTGCTGCTGATCTTGAACATGCTGGGAGCAGCATTGCAGGCGATGATGCCTCAGAGTTCTTGCAGACGGCCTCTATTGTGGAGATCCAGGACACTGATCTGGAGGAGGAGGATGGTGGAGATGGTATAAGTCAATATGACTTGTCGGAAGAGCGTTCGCGCTCGCCTAGTCACGGAAGTCAGCAGCATTACACGGATGATGTGGATCAATATGAAGAAGAAGAATACGAGAAGGATTTTGAAGGGAATGCTGGTGGAGAAGAGTGTGCAGACGAGGAAGACGAGGAAGTTGAGGGATCGGCAGCTGGAGATGAGGCAGACGAGGAGGAGGAGGGAGAAGAAGATTTTGAAGTTGATGGTGATGAGGCCGATGCCGAGGAAGCCAATGGTGCTGGATCCACGACTGTGTTGGCGATCAATGGTGTGGGTACCAAGAACCGATCCGAGTCTGCAGAGTCCTTGGGCTCGACTGTGGCGGCCGAATACTCACCCGTTTCAGTGCAGGGCTCAATTGATACCTTGGTGGAGGATACCAAAATGATGGAACCCATGGATGTGGTGGGTGCCAAATCAAGGAAGGGATATGCACCCCGTCGTCTCCGCAATCGAATTCTGTAGATCGAGTGCTGGTGATATTCGCGAATAGCCATCTCTCCACACTTTTTGCACGCAGATCTTTTTCTTTACCAAACTTGTATTTTCCAATTCATTACAATTCTTTTTCACTTTCATGTATCATGTTCTTTCTTCATTTGCAACATAATATCAAATAAAAGCTCCTTCAGCCTCCATTCCTTCAGCAATGAGAAAAAAAAGCCGTTGTGGTAAAAAATCTATACTTTATGAGTAACCCACTACCCGATTCACGCTTATGAAGTTCCTTGCATTGTTTAGTTGTTTGTTTGGTTTGGTTTGCTTGGTGTCGATGATCTATGTGAGATGTATGATCTATTCGTCGGCGGCTTCGCGCTTCTTGTCCTCTGCTGCCTTCATTCTGCGCAAGTAACTAGTAAAACGGAAGTGAAAGAAAGGACGAAGGCTGTTTAGTATCCACATATCTTGCTGACAGGAGTCAGGGGTAGTTAAATTATCCCGATCTGGCATGGGCTTTTGATCCGGATATGTTTGATATGGGGCTTCAATTGATAAGTTTTCGGAGTGTCCGGCATAACTTCCGGAGCTCTACTTCTTTGTTGCAGTGGGATCAATCGCATCCGTTCCTGAGTTGAGTCAAAATGCTTATCTAGCATCGGGTCGAAAATAGCATCCGGATCACGACGCGTCCTTTTGATCCTTGAACATAGTTCCTGAGCGTTTTTTTTTACTCTCCCGTTCTTTCCGATATGTAGTCGTGAGTTCGGAAAAAAAGGATATCCATGGTTGAGGTCGCTCTATAGTCTCCTTCTTTAGTGGCGAGGCAAGAGTTGAAGCCGTCCAAAGTTTTCCCTTGATTCCAACTGCTTTTTTTTGTTTTTGCCGTTGGGCTTCCGGCCCCCCTTTGCTGTTGTTTGGGGGTGGGGGGTAAGTAGGAGGAGGTCCTTACTCGTCGTATTGGCACTTCTCATAGATGTGGCGTTCGTCCTGGCACTTGAATGGGAGGTAGTAGGTCTCGGAGCGACACTTGTTGAGGGGGATCAAGAGGTCGGCGCAGAAATCGCGGTAGCCGAGAGGAAGACGAGCATCCTGCATTTCCTTTTGTGTGGCGGGCATGGCTTTTGGTTGTTGTCGTGTGTTGGAGTGGAGAGAGGGTGAGGAGGGGTTGAGATGATCTCCGAGGTCCAAGGAAAGAGGGACCTGGAAAGCGATTTTGAAACGTCACCGAGGCTGGATGGGTAGCGAGGGCAGCGTGAAATTCTAAATTCTGTTTGTCCGCTCATTGTAGTTTTAGTTTTTTTTACTCTCCTCCCAAACAGGAACCACAAAAGACTACACGAACAAACATGGTACGACGGGACCGTTCATTCATGACAACAGGAAACCATGGAAAGAAGAAAAAGCTTCAGGACCATAGACAAGGCACCTCAAAACAACATCCTCTCATGGCGCTCTCGAAAACCTGACCCGTTTTTTCAATATTTTTTAATTTTACACAATCAACCATAGTCTGAACGCCGGCGGAGAATCGTCATAGACGTAAGAAGACCTTTCTCTATTTATTTGGTTCCCTAGGCCCATGAGGAAAGGCATATCAAGTGGATACGTCCGCGCTACCAAACAACATGCCGTGCATTCAACATTTGATAACTCAACGCACTCTTGTTTACTTTACACGTTTTACAGGACGAGGACGATTATGGATCGAAAGGCAGTTCACAGAAGAGCAACGGCAAGCGTGGAGCACCTTCGAGCAGCCAGAGCCATTCTTCGGGATCACAGAAGCGGGTCATGCGCGACGTCGACGACGATTACAGTGATCAGGACGACCATGCACCAAAAACGATCCGAGTAACGACTGTAGGATCTAAGGTCCACGATATCTTGCCCGAGGACTTTGAGCGGTTTGTCAAGGATACTGTGCGCCTCGCTATCTTCTCATCCCATTCTGAGGCTGCTACCGTCAAGAGAGATGATATCAAAGCTCGTAAGGAACTTTCTTTTTTTGCTTCAGGAGACATTGGGAGAGACAACTTGTTGGTGTTGTTGTTGTTGTTGTTGTGAGATGTGAGAGAGAGGAAGGAGTCTGACTATTTTTGCCACCAAACTTCTCTTGTTGAACTTGATATTAGTGTTGGGCACCCATACCAGACTGTACGACACTGTGTTTGAAAGAGCTCAGGAGCGACTTCGGAAGGTGTTTGGTATGGAGATGGCTGAACTTACCACCAAGGGCCGATCAGGAAAGAACGAGGAAAAAGGTATGACAAGGCTCGGCTCTGTTGGGGTTTCCCTTTTGTCTTACACTTCTACAGCCTCATACAGGAAATAGACATTGAAAACGACCCAACATTAATGTCGGCATTCACACAATGCTCAATCTAGGAACGAAGACCTATATCCTCAGGAATACGCTTCCATCAGACCTCTTGGGCAGCGAGTCTCTGGACTGGGATGATCAGTTGGAAGACCAAGGACTTTTGATGGTCATCCTGAGTCTTATCATGGTCCGCGAAGGAGTTATCTTCGAGAGTAAGTATTTCGGTCCTACGAACATTGAGTAGTTTGGGTGTTTTCACTGTACCTTGCGACCATTATTCAGCCCCTAACGCTCCCTCTCGTTGTTATTTACTTGGATAGGCCATTTGAAGGAACATTTCAGACGATTGAAGCTTACGGAGGAGGGCGGTGACATTGACAAGAAGATGGACATGTTTATGAAGAGGCGGTACATTGAAAAGTCGAAGATGGAGTATTTGGACGACTCGGGCGAGAAGATCGAGATGGAGGTCCGTTGGGGTGCAAGGGCGAGGGCTGAGATTCCAGAGGAGAATGTTGTACGGTTTATTGAGGAGATCTTTGGACCGGAAGCGCCAAGGACTCTGCGCGAGAGTATTGTCAAGGCCTCCAACATCAAGATGAAGGCAGCACAGGACAATGGTGCTGATGGTGCTGATGCAGCCGAGAACGGTGCACCTGGCTCCTCGAGCAATGTCATCCGTCTTTAATTCATTTCTGTTGTTTTGCAATACGTGTATAATATATATCCTTTCATTTTTTTTTGCTAATGAACAATGCATTAAGTAATTGACCATGGGCCATTGATATCGGCTGGATTACATTCAGGTATTTGACGTCCATTCATGCGGGCAAGGGCGGACTACTTTTCTCATGCAACCTGAAAGTCGAATTTTTGATTCTTAGTTGGCGACCCGCCACGTTCACTTCTCTCCTGTCAAGTGTCTTTCTCGGTTTTCTTTCTTTTCAGAACCTTTTTCCTTTTTTTCTTGTGCTCACTTCTGCTCCCTGTTCTTTCTTTCTCACTCCTTCTTCGTTCTCCTCGCTCTCTTCACCCATCCTCGCCCCAAAACCCATATACCCTTTCTTTCATCCCCTCTCCCTCCCTTGTCCACTCCCTTTCTTCATTCCCATTCACATTCGCATTCACTCTCACACCCACAAACACACTCACACGGTTGACGTTCATCAGAAACACAGACACCCCCCAACTGTAACAACGATGAAACTCTCCCTCCGGACAAACTTGTCCCTCCTGCCAGCCTTGCTATGCGTACTGCAGGGACTTAACGCACAAACACCACCCCTCGGCCCCATACTCTCCAGTCAAACTGTATCTATCCTCGGCGACGAGCTCTACATCCATGGAGGTAGATCAAACTGCGGTTGACAACAACCAACCCCCTATTCAATTTTGATGGATCATGAACGGGTTCATACACTGCTCTACTCTGTTTGTTGTGTGGTCGAACAGACTACAAAAAACCCCCCACATTGAACCACATGTCCTCGTCATGCAAATTGCCTCCTTCTAACACGGTTATTCTCACCTCAATGGCTTCAACTACATTTACCACCTCTCTGTGTGATAATAGGGTCAAGGCAAGACAGATTTATGGAGTCAGATTGCTCTTCAGAGTTGTGGCGCCTTCGACTCGGACAATCGGCAGCATGGAACTTATCGTCGGCAGCATGGGAGGAAGTTCCATTGAGAGAAGCGGCGGATGTGGTTCTACCACCAGTGGCGGGACTGGGGCTTAAGACATTGGGGATCCCGGGCAACCAAACCGAGTCATTTGTCAACGGAACCATGACGATTGTACAGAGCATCTCGCCGTTTATGATTGAGTTTGGCAAGGGAGGCTGTCAAGACCAGAATGAGTTGGAGGAGGCAAAGGCGACAGCGGCGGGATCGAAATGGACACCATGGATAGGGTTCAATATCTACAACCCGGTGATGAATACGTGGGAGGTTGAGGATATGATGAACGATACGACTATCGACCTCGGGATCAACTTGACAGAGACGTTATCAATCGGCAATTGGCAGGCACCAACGGTGGCGATCGACTATATCAACTTTGCGTGGTATATAATCCTCCAGAGCACAGCACCATTACGACAGGTGATTCTTCGGAAGGATCTTGTGAGCTTGACAGAGTTTATGAGCAAGGTTGACTTGACGGAGAGCAGCTCAACCATGTTCCCAGTTGACTTGCTGTACGAAGGCTGGAATGTCACCAGCATCTTGGATGAGAAGGCGCCGTTTGTCGACAAGGGCGTTGCGACGGTTGTGGGCGACAGGATTGTTATTCTTACGGGAACTGCTAACTCGTTCACGCCTGGTGATACTCAGACGTCGCAGTTGCGTGGATGTGACCATGCCTATGTGTACTCGACGACGGCGCATACTTGGACAAGGCAGGAGCTGGTAAGGAATTTCGAGTAGTAGCTTATTGTCACGACCAGAAGCAGAAATTCGTACCCTTTAGCTGCGCCCATACTAAGGTGTTTATGTTTCTTTATTGTCCGTATTTTTAGAAAGTGGCAGAGAATGAAGCCTTGCCAGATATCCGAGTGAAGGCAGCTTTCCTGACAGGTACGATATTACAAACGAGTCCCTGAGGATATTATCATTGCTGAACCTTCGTTAACACAGTGTTCTTTGTGTTTACGCGTAAACTAGTTGGTAAGAAGATATACATGTACGGAGGCGTCAAGCCATATCAGACTGTACTCAAGGACTTTTGGACTCTGGACACTGAGACGTGGACATGGCAGCGCGGACCCGATGGCCCAGGACCTCGTGCAGACCATACACTCTTGCAGTACTATGAGTACATCTTTGTCGTATCAGGTAAGCTAGCGAGCATCATTTGCATATATAGGATAGCGACGCGTCTGCTCTGCTCGTTAACCATACTAACGAGTTTCTATTTTTTTTGTTCCTGTTAGGTTACAATGTGAGCCTAAATGTTCCTTTGACGGAGACGCTGCCGCTTATGGTGTTTGACACCAACACAACGAGCTGGACCGATACCATCCGACCGACTCTCGATGCTGAAACGACATATGTGTCGGATATGACCCGGGCGGCAATTATCATTGGCACTGTGATCTTTGCAGTGGTGTTGATGGTAATCGCGCTGTCGACCCATTTGCTCCGAAAGTGGAATCAACGCAATTACATCAAGGGCTATGAGAATGTCGAGCTTGAGGAGCAACGAAGGAGGGCTGCACAGGAATTGCCGTCGATATTGAAGAAAAGGTATCTGTCCGAGGGTGGCAATGGCGCTAATAGTGCGCCAGGATCGAACCGGGCAGGACGAGCTGTTGGCATTCAGTCGGAGGTTCTCTTTGAAGACGAGGAGGGCGACTACAGTGACGGCAATGGGTCGTTTGATGGTGATGATGAATATGAGGATGATCATCATGGTGGTCAGAAGGTGTCGCTGTTGTCTCGGTCTCAACCCAACCCAAAGTCGAGGTCTCTTCAGGACCAGCAGCAGCAAGGGTTGGCACCACCACCACCACAGCGGGAGCGACGCGTGAGGATTCAGGAGCTGGTTGAGGAGGAGGAGGATGAGGAGGATGAGGATGAGTATGGTACGCTTGGGGAAGATGACGAGGACGATGATGACGGTAGTGCAGTCATTGTTCGTCTCCCACCCGACCTCAGTGAGCGCGAGGAATAGCTAAGGCGCGCTTGAAAATGTCCAAGCTAAATAAATGCGCGCGCCGTTTGAATATCAAGCTTGTTTGCCAGTCAGTCAGTCAGCCAGGAAGTTGTGTCTTTGCCTGGCCCTGTCGACGTGTGTGAGCACATTCCCTCGGGGTTACTTCCCACTGCCATTTATTCCTCTTCTTTTCTCCTTTCTTTCTTTTTCCTTTCACACCCCCACCTCCCCTTCCTCCACCCAACCATCCTACCACCATGCACCCCGCAGCTTACTCCGGCGGCTTCTTCGGCCTGGTAAGGACATTTTCTCCCTTCACCGTCTTACAAACTCACTCATTCACACAACCGCTTCCTATTCCTTTGACAGGCGTGTCAACTTGAACTAACAATCCATTACGCAATGCTCAATACATTCAACAACTACTAGATCATCCTCATCCTCGACCTCATTGCCATCTTCGAGGTCCTCAACTCCAACAGAAACGTCACCAGCAAGGTCCTTTGTAAGATACTCATATTTCTTACCTTTTTCGAGTGTTTTTTTTTTTTTTTTTTGCTTGCATTGCTTACAGCAAGTGCATGCACTTCTCATTACGCCAGAAACAATTCACTCACTCGTTTTCTCTTTCGCGTGTTCCTTTCTGAATGGATAGGGTCGTTGCTCATCTTCTTGTTTCCTATCTTGGGTCTCGTCCTCTACTTGTAAGTTACTAACCAGGAACAACAAAACGGTCCCCTGTTTGATACGACCTCCCCTCCATACCTCTCCACTTTCCACCTTCTTCTTTCGTCCTCACGCCACCATCGTCGCCTTTTCATGCAACTTCGCCAACCAACCTTTTTTCGTTCGTTTCGGGCTTTCTCGAGGGTGTTTGGACAGGACATGGCAGTACATTCGATTGCTTACATATGCAGTTGACGAGAGAAAAAATAGCGCGCCATAATTTTGTTTTCTTTCTCCCGTCCATTTTTTTTTTGAGTTTATCCGCGGCGTTGCGTGCAGCAGACACAAGGACAAAGCAAAGGACCGAGGCGCAAGCGGACTCCTTTATCTTGTTTGTTTTCCAACACGCTGACTTTTCTCTTTATTTCATACTTTCTTCATTGATAGCTTGTTCGGTGGTCGTGAGGAGCACAACTCTGGATACGAGTCGATTGCTTAACAACCAGGATAACTCACACAAGAAAAGCCTTCCTTTTCCTCTTTCCTTCTCCTCCCCCCCCCCCCACCCCCTGAAACTTTTGTCGTAAATAAAATCACACACTCTGTAAAACAAAAAACCGCATTACACAAAAGAAAAATTACGCCATGCCAAGACGAGAGATGTGCACACATTGTGAGAAAAATTGGACAAATCTTGGCAGGAGAGCACGTTTTTTTTAATGCATTCATGAAGATATGTACTCGCTATGATCTCGACCCAGTAGGCGTATGGCCTCGACTGCTGTTGTTGCTGCTGTTGGCTCGACTGGTATATGTTGGCACACCCATATTGCTGCTGTACTGGCCTAGCACAGTTCGATTGCGCTCATACTGGGCACGGAGGGAACTCTTGGTGGTCGAATGGGTCGTGCTACTGCTGTTTCCGGTGGGGGTAATGGGCCGTGCAGGTGTCGGGGACTCTGCACGTCTTGGCGGAATTGCGGCGTCATTGACAGCAGTAACAGAACTTCCTCCAGTGAAGGTTGCGAAATCCATGATTGGGATGGAGGACGAGGTAGGGTCTGTGTCGTTTGAGGGCGTTGAACGGCTATGGTTGTGGTGGCTCTGGTATTGCTGTTCTGGTGTCGGAGTAGGAGGCTGACGCGTGTATCCAGGAAGGGGAGAGGGGGTCGAAGAAGAAGAACCAAAAGACGGCGTTGCCTGATGTTGTGGTCGGTAGTGGTGGCTGCTGTTCGCGTGTCCGTGTCGAGACGTCCTTGGATCGATGATTTGGTTGAAAAACATGTTGAACGCGATGGAGGTCGAAGAGTTGGGCATAAACTCTGTAGCAGAGACAGCGCAGACCGATATGGCCTCTCCACCATACTTGGTCACCAATTCCTGACCCACCGCCATACCAGTACCACTACTGCTGCCGCCTTTTCCTTGGCTGTACCCTACCCCGGTTGCCATGTCATTCTTGGTTCCCACAACCAACAATGGAATGTTGAGAGAACCCTGGAGATTGCTTGATGATGGCCACCCTCCTGCGGCAGCTCGTCCTTGAGAAGATGCCTCAAGGTAGTCAGCAATCCACTTCCAGAGGTTCTCATAACTCCTCCTATTACACAAGTCATGTACGAGAATGATCCCTTGGTAAGATACACCACTGTAATACATGCTTCTCGATTTAGGATGTCGCACAGCTGGGGATCCAGACACGTCGTAAAACTCTATGAATGTTGGGTCCGAGGTCGAAAGATCGGACGATGATTGTGTTGAGGAGGTAGTATTAGCGGTGGAGCGACTGGAGAGGAGCGAGGGAATTCCTGAGCGTGCTGTGGAGGTGGCAGCTGCGGTTGGGATTGTAGAGGAGTGGAGACGGACGTTGATGTCGCAGCCGACGGTTGGGACAGGGGTTCGTTGGGGTTCGTTGTTGCACAGGATGTGTACCAGACTGGTCTTGCCCTGCAGTCAATGGGGCAATTGAGAAGTGAAGAATGTTTTTTTTGCTGAGTTCTCCATACATACGATAACAATGCTATTAGCATTTGTAGGCGACGTGATTGGGTTTAAGGCTTACCACGCCCGAGTCGCCTAGGACGAGGACCTTGTAGGAGGTGTCTTGGGCAGAGTGTGACGAGTAAGGGTTCATGGTTGCAGAGTGTGAAATGATGCCCTGTTGTTATTGCTATGTGGGATGGAAGGATGAGACGACAAGGTGGAGGTGATGAAGAGAAGAGTGAATGTCGCGTTTGTAGTGAGATGTCTAGAGGCGGAGAGTATGAAGGATGAAGAAAGTGTAGAAAGACAGTTGCATGGGTCATTCATCACTCTCGACTGTCACCTTTAACTATCGGTGGCGTCACGTGTAGAGCCACGCGTGAAACTTCGGTCGCTTTGCCTCCTTTTCCCTTCAAGCTCGTTCTTCTTCGTCCTTCTCAACACCCACCTCTTTTCACTTTCTCTTCAACTAAAAGGACATGGACGACAGACATGGACGACTTTGAGAACTTTGAGTTTATCGACTACACAACTTCAGGGCCATGGGAACGCTTCATCACCCAAATCGAGGACAGTCTCCGCTCATGGGGTCTCGTTGACAACAGCCTTGGTGTCTTTGACCCCGCCGCCATCGCTGCATCCCAAAGCGTCGGCTCGGACGACTTGTCGACACCTAACCTAGCAGGAGTCGGCAGCAGCAGCGATGGTACAGCCACTCAGACACATTCGCCCAAGAGCCCCAAATCTAAGGTCTATCAGCTTCGGGAGATGTTGAGCCTCGACGATGCCACCTATGCGCTGTCATATCAATACCACCCAGCCAAGATCCGCCTCGCAGAAGGTGTCGAGAGGATCGATTTGGATTTCTTGCCGATCTCTCTGGAAGGCGTTGTTCACCACAGCCTCCACCGCTGGACAGCACAGACCCACATCCTCATCATCTCTCCCGTCACCATCTCGGATATATTTGCCACCTCGCTCAGCTCGTCTTCGTCCTCAGCCTCCTCAGCAATCATCGACCTCAGTAGTGCCAAACTGCTGTTGTCGTCATTTGCGATCGCATTTCAGAACACAGGATGCAACATACCCGTCTTTGTGCCGACAGGGCAGCCCTGGAATATGACTTTTACGGGACTCATGATCCAGTCCATACCATCTTCCTCCTTAACACCTAATTCAGATCAACCTGATCTCCTCAACGACGAACACGACGACGACGGCCAGGCGATTGAGGTGCGATTCAACACTGTACATGTGCCCTACCCACCCGTACAGTACACACACCTTTCAGGAATTATGGACTACTTTATTGAGCGCATGGGGATCGAGGACGACGACCCAGCCTCTTCACCCGGGAACCATAGCCAGAGCACCAAGGAACAAATTCATGCCTCGGCACTCTTCAGCTACGACCTTGTCAATTGGCGTGACGAAGACTGGAAGCGGTGGGGGGACCCATTGGAGGTTGAGAGCAGGAGGGCATCCAGTACCAGGGATCGGGACGGTGACGTAACGACCTTTCAAGTGGACGAAGAACCTACCATGAACACACCGAGCGACAGCGTCAACATTGAGGACATGAAAACCGAGAATCGAGCTCTATCAATCCTTCCTATCCCTGTCCTCCCCTTTGGACCCGTCCAGGATCCGCTGAAATCACTTCGACTCTTGGCACGCTTCGGTACGTACCCTGACCTTTTGGCATTGAATCTCCACCGCAACTTTATGGAGAAAAAGCGTTTCGTAAATTAATAACCCGCTCTATTTCTTATGTGTTTTCAGCTTCCGCACCTTGCACGGTATATCTGGACAGCAAAAACTTTGCGGACATGGACGCCAGCTACGCCAACATCTGGATCCTGAACGCAACGTTCAAAGAGGGCGATTATGGCATTCTCAGCGGGATCATGGAGGACGCAATTGCTTCCTGGAGCTCGGAGAGCGTTGGTCGAGGAGGAGCCGATGGAAAGGCTCAGAAGGACCAAACATACAGCGGCGCTCTTCTCAACAAAGGCGCCAAGCTCATCCAAGGAACGATTACCATGGTGGACACGATGGACGTGGAGAATATCGTCGACGCCCTCTTCGAGATGCCTGTGGAGGAGCCTCCAGCAAAGTCGACGGCGTCAAACAGGATCGAGACAGAATGCGGTGTCCGGATCATACCAGCTTCAGAACTCGGCCTACAATTCAAATACGCCACAACCATCCCTTACAACTCGTTCCTCTGGAGGATGATCCAATACCTGATCGATGTCATCTCGCCCAACTCGGAAATATCCTACGCGACTTCTGTGATGGGATTCCTGAAGGTTCTCTGGTCAGAGCTCCTGAAGCAGTTCTATACGCGGTGGGAGAACAGTCTTTTGATCCCCATGGTCGACATTTACGGAGGAGGCGCTTACGAATCAGAGGCAGGATCGAGCGGCGAACGGAAACCGGTGGCGATCGATCTTCGATACAACCTCCTTCACCAAAAGTTGTCGATGCTCAACTGTTGTATTGCCCGCCAGATTGTTCGCAACAAGGAGGCCCCTCGCGACGTACACCCGGTTCTGAGACGCCGCAAGGAAAAGGTCATCGTCGAGGACAAGTCTGGATTGAACACTTCGTCATTGCCAGGATCAGGAACTACATCACCAACATCTGAACAGACTTATGGAGCTCAGTTCCAGAACCTGCTGCATGGACTCTCTGATATCTCTCGACCCCGCTCTGCTGATGTTGTACCGATGGCCAAGCGGCTTTTGAAGAACGTCAAGAACAGAGCTGTCTCCAGTCAACAAGCGACGACGTCGCTCTCTCCTTCAGTCTCATCTGTATCATTCACTGGATCCAAAACGGAGCCCTCATCGCCTACCGCATCGATGCCTATACCCCAGGTGGTAACACCCCGAGGACGCCACAGCAGCAGCCGACACTCTAGTCAGCATCTGTTCCACCCGACGAGGACCACCATCGGGAGCGATGATGATGATGAAGACGTGTTTTATGACCCTATGGAGGCGAGCGAGGTGATTCTGGATCCCATGGATATGCAACGACGCGCACATTCGCAATCGCTGACAGAGTCATTTGTTGCGCTCAAGTACTCCTCGAGTGCGGATTCGCAATCGGGTATCTTGGTGAACGACCTTGACCAGATGACCGTCAGCGCCAGTGGTCCAGATCCTCGGGAGGTTGCTGATCCTCACAAGAGTGAGGGGGGGCTGAAGCCGCTCAAGGACTTGAAGCTTCTTGAAACTGGTGCACCGTTGATGATCCCCAAACTTCAGGAGCCTGGATATATGACCGAGGATATGATCCAGCAGCAGGAGGAGCTGTTTGAGACGCTGGGTTCTTCTTCTGATGGGGCCAAAATGCGAGCCAAAATGCAGTCAACGCAGCTCATCTCTGGTAAGGTTCCTTTTCACTCTCTACACGTGCATATCGCAATGAATGCGGAGACTTGTCGCGTTCAACTAACAGTTATTGTTATCCTTGTTGCTAAAGATATGGAGGCGTTCAAGGCGGCAAATCCGGGATGTGTTTTGGGCGACTTTATTCGGTGGCATTCGCCAAAGGACTGGGCCGAGGACAAGCGTCAGATGAGCGCGCGTATGGCTGACGCTGGCAACTATTGGCAAGAACTGTGGGCCGTAAGTGTTTTCCTGTCATTCTATGGCTGAAAATGTAGTCTGTCTTCGCAAGGGGCCAGCTTCATCTGTGATCTGGACAGCAGTTACTAACAGTGGTATGGGTCTCTTTTGTCTTTTCTCTTGAGACAGAACTCGAAGCGTATCCCTGTGGGTCGTCAAACGCCGCTGTTCAACTACAACCAAGAGGCGGCCAAAGTACTGTATTACCTTGACAGTCTTTCAGGAGACCAGCTCTTCCTCAAGTAAGTCGCGCTAAGCTCTCCTAAGAACTGCTCGAACGACAATCTTTTACATTGGTCACAGCACTACAACACTAAAACACAATCCGGTATTGAATTTTGAAATGTAAACAAAAATTAGCTTGTTGCCGTCGATGTTTCTTCTTGCGTATGACACGCTGGCTTCTCATCCAGTAGCATCACACATCCGCCAAGTGGCGATCGGACTGAAGGAACTTGCCAAGGAGCTGACTGTGTTTCCCTGGAACGAGCTCACTGCTGGCGAGGAGGATTTGCATCTTGATGTGGTTATTGACAAGTTCCGCGATGTCGAGCTCCTAATGGGTCGTGCCATTGCTCTTATCCGAAAGGTATGACTTGTAGACGCGCGTTTGTGGGGTCGGGAGGTATTCTTTTTTGCAAGAAAAAAAAAACTCCCTGCTGACATCTGATATACTTTTTTTTTTTTTTTTTTTTTTTTTGCTGAAAGTTCCCTGAGCAATATAGGTTGGTGGAGAGGATCTTGGAAGACTTGGAGACGGTTGTCGAGGATGGCGAAGAGCGCGAATGTGTCTATGATCTATTTTCTATTGGAGGTAAAACAACAGTTTGATTTCATCCGAGCCCCTGACTTTGTGTGCAAATAATTTTTGCCCCCGCCGACTGAACATCTCTCTAATTTGCATCTGTCTAACACACAAAATCTAAATACGTATGTAGGATCGCTGCAATCGTCGTTCCCACAACCGACATCACGCGAGTTTGTGCTCGAGACGTTCGATCCATCAGATATGTCAGATTTCACCTCCGTGTCGTCGTCCTCTCCAAGCGCAATGGCCCTTGAACCCATCGCTGGAGGATGGCATACACGGCCATTGCAGAGACGCATGTATGCGTGCTTCAAAGAGTCTGAGGTTCGTATTGTAGAGGCCGTGGCCAAGGATGGCATGTACATGTAACAAAATCAATAACAACAACAAACTCTCTTTAACAAAAGTGATAACAAAAACAAAACAAAAATGTAATATGGAATTTTTTTTAATTTTTTTTTTTGTTTTCCAGCCATCGCTTCTATTAAGTTTTTTGTATGTGTTTTTGCTTTGGTTGTTTGGTTGTTTTGGTTGTATGCTTTCGGTTGCATGTGTTATTGAATTGTTGGCAAAGTGTGCAGCATTTTTTTACTACATCTCCATGGCACCGACACGGCGCATGATCCAGATCCGGCCTTCAGTCTTGACCTGAAGTGGGCTGCACGCAGTCCACAACGAGGCGACAGACTCCTTTGGACTCGACACTACTGTTGACACAGCAGAGACCAACTCCTTGATCGCCCGAGGGCAGGCCTCCTTGATCTGCGAGAGTGGGACACGCTGAATGCCCGCATAGCCATTGACCTGCTCCAGTATAACAAAGTCGTCCTTATGGAAAGCAGGTTGAGAAGTCAAGAGGTGGGTATAGTGCAAGTAATCCCGACGGTGACGGTGCGATTCGTCCTTGGAATAAGTCCATGGCTTGTGAAGCAAGAAGGGGGGGTTGTGGGCAGCATCGTATGAATATGTAGGCAAGGTTACTGAGGTTCCAATCTCGCCAAATCGGCTGCATCCTGTCTCGGCCGCTGCTCCGTCAATATGTACCGTAGCTGCTAGACAATCGGTTATTGCAGAAAGGAAAATTGTGAGTAAGGAAAATTGTGAGTAAGAGAATGAAAAGTATTCACTTGACAAATTGTGTAGATACGATTGAATCGGAGGGACGGATTTTTACCTGCAGCAAACCGGTGAAGATCAAGTTTGTGGAGACGTTGAAGGGCTTGGCCACCAGGGTAATTGAGACTGGAGATTGCAGATTGAGCAACGCTTGAGATGAAGCTCAATCCAACAGCTCCCAAAAGAACAACTGCCAACACCTTATATACAATCGTCTTGCGCTTCAAACTAAACCATAGAGAGAATACGAAAAGAGTGAGTATTAAAAGCGGGGGAATACAAGGCATATAAAGAAAGTATTCTCGAGTAAGAATATCAGAAAGAAGTCAACTTACATCCAAGCAAGGGTGATGGCGGCACCGAGGTTGAGGAGAGGGACGACATAGATGACAAAGCGCCACTCCTTGTGTCCCAAGAACGAGTACAGGGTGACAAAGACACCAGCAGGCAAGAGATAGCGTCTCAACCGCTGCTCCACGACCGTTCCCGCCAAAGCCAGAGGTAAAGCCAATCCTGCAATCTTGGGCAAGAGGACCAAGAAGTAAGTGTACCAGGGCGAAACTCCCCAGGCGACCGATTTGCCCTCAACGGCATTGAACCAAAAGACTGCTCCCTCGGCCCACATCCAGGTCTGCCAGAACCACGAATCAATCGCAATGGCAATTGCCACACTGGCAACACCAGCCTTGATTCCCTCCAAAACTGTCGTCCAGAATCCAAGACGGGTCATAGCCAGCTCGAGAAGAATAATAGGACCCATGAGGATCAGGATCTCAGATCTGAAGAGAACCGTCGCAAAGACAAGGCAGTCGATCATTCGGAGCAGCGAACACTCTGTTGCGCGCCTGGTACCCGTTTGTTGAAAAGAGGGTGAAGCCTTCATCCAGTACGAGTATGCAACATTAACTATCACACGCAGGCAACAAAAATACAACAATCGTAATTAGTTTTTGAAACGCAATTCGAATTCGCGAACGGCTAAAAAAAGGAGAACGGGAATTCCTTACCAATGGAGAGAGCAAAGGTGTTGGGCAAGGTCCTGCCAGCATAGAAAAGCCAGTGGAACTGCGAAGCCGAGACGACCATGAACAAGATGCTGACTGTCCTGCCAAACTGGTGACGGATCCCCCGACTCATTTGATGCCATCCCAAGAATGTGAACAATCCCAACACAGATCGAACTGAGGGGTGGGGAAGAAAAAGAAGGGGAGAGACGTAATTTTCCCGAAGAGTGGTAGAATGGAAAGAGAGAAGCGTTTTCCCCCGACCACACAGGGACAGAAAAGAAGAGAGAGACAATAAAATAAGGGGTTAGACAAAGCACACACGAGCCATGAATGCAACTAAAACGTTTGACGTGTCGACATATCAACAAATGTAACCAACTGCATTGACAACAGAGAAGTAAAACATTCAGCAAAATAAGGGGAGGTAGGATAGTTTCTCTTTTGTTTTCCCTCCTCCTTTCTTCTTCTCCTTACCAATGACTTGACCGACAAGGCCCTTGGGAAGACCAGAGTCTGGAGCAAAGAAACGCGCAATTGCCATCAAAGGCCAGCTTCCCGCGGCCAAGAGGAGCGGACCCACAAAAGTCCTTGGGACGACCCCCGGGAACTCCAAGTGATCATACTAAACGGTCCAGAAGAGAGAGAGAGAGGGAAAAAAATATTTAGAGATCGAAAGAATAACAGATTATCAAGTAAGCAAACTGCATTCCGTTTACCATATCCCATGTACAGAAGGAAAAATAAACACAAACATGAAAAAAAAAAAAAAAAAAAAAATGCCGGACCAAGGCTTGTGCTCAGGGAACATCGCTGGTTCCAATAACAACAAACGGGTTCAATCCACATCGATGATGTACCAGCGCGGTTTGCGGTTCTCTCTTTCTCCGCCTTGTAACCACTGATCGATATCAGACAAACCCCGCGACAATGTCGCTATTGGACAAAGAAAGCTGACAAGAATAACAATGAGATGATATCGCTTATGTAGTTTACCTGCTGAACACCCTTGGAGGTCATTCCATAGTTGAGGATATCATGAGTTGCCTGTAGGTTGAAGCTCTCCTCGACTTTGGTATAGGGGGCCACAACGATGTGAGCAAGGACCAACAGGAAGACTGAGCTCTGAACAATGTACTCGAGAGCTGTCCACGATTGCACCGAAGGCTGCTTTTTGGAAGATGTATCGTCCGAGACAAATGTCTTTGTGTAGGATGTGGTCGTGGTTGTTGTGATCGTCCTTCCGTCGGCCGAGGATACAGTGGTCGAGGACGATGAAGGCGAAGAAGGAGGTAAGAAAGAGGACGGAGAGACGGAAACCCCAGAGTCATAGGATGCCAGGGACGAAGACGAGCTGTGGGAAGAAGGAAGGTTGCTGTCGAAACGGACAGTCTTGTTTCCACCGGTCTTGGGCTCGTCCGGGTTGTGGAGCGAGAGTGCGCTCTTTCTCTTCTTTATGACTCCGTTTGCATGCCCGTGTCCATTTGTGTGGGTGTATCCGTTTGAGAAGCCGTTAGTGTCGGAGGTTGCAGTGGTTGCGGTTGTAGTTGTAGTTGTAGCTGTAGCTGTAGTTGTGGAGGTGGTGTGAGTTTCGTTGTGGAGGGTAGGGTGCTCCTCCATCTCGGTTGTTGCCATTTGGTTCAGGGAGGAGGTTGGTATGTGGATGAGCAAAGGTTGATGAGGGAGTGAGAAGGGTAAGTAAGCAAGAGGGTGAGAGGTGGAGAAAGAGAGAGAGGAGAAAAGGAAATAAAAGAGAAGAGGAGAAGGAAGAAGTAAAAGAAGAAAAGAAGAAGAACTAAAAGAAGGAGAAAAGATGAGGCAAGACGCAGAGAGAAAGAGAGAGAGAAAGAGAAGAGGGAGTGTGTTTGTTCTGTTGCTCTGGCTGTTGGAGCAGCTGCCTGTCTGCCTGTCTGTCACACAGCATTAGTGCGCGTCGGCACTGGCTGGTCGAGTGAGTGTCCCTCTTGCCAGCCCAGCCAGGGGTGTGGGATGTGGAAGAGGAAGGGGAAGGTGCATCAAACTCTAAAGGGTGTAAAGAGACAGAGAAGGGGACAACAACCATAAGGGGACAAAGAGCGGGAAAAAATAGAAAAAAAAAGGAGTGACACGAACTGCGACTGCACCGCAGAGCATCATAAACGGGGGGACCATACAACAAACCGGCATGAGATAAAAAATAATAATAATAATAGGAAAATACCACAACAACCTCGCTTTCATTTGCCGTCTACTATCAATGCTAAATGCTCGTCGTCTACTGCAAACTATTCATACAACATTTATTGCTACTGCCTCCTGCACTGCACTAGGACGTCGAGTCTGATCGTCCCTTCTCGCCGACCTCTGGTATGACTCCCACTCCTCCGCTACTGCCATTGACACTGCTACCACCGCCACTACCATGACCGCTACCGGCTCCACTGCCCGTCCCACTAGGAGACGTCTCCTTGCTTGGTGTAGGTACCTCGCTCACATTGGGCTGGATCGGGCAAAAGAACTGCAACCGCTTCTCAATCTCCTCCCTCGTCACCGGCTTCACCATCATATAGTCAAAGATCTGTGCCGCTAAATCTGGGAATGCTGTCACCGCAATAATCGGCGTCAACGAGTTTGTGTTCTGTGTCGACTTGATCATCCTCGTCGCCGTCTCTCCATCAACTATTGGTTGTTAACGGAAATGGTAGGTGGTTCGTTAGCATAGCGAAAAACAACGAAGAACAATGAAAGGAAGGGAAGAAGAGGGAAGGGACAATAGAAAAAGAGACCTCCTCCCAATGTAAAGCAATTAAAACGAAAATTGAAATGGGAGACTTACTGATGGGCATGCGGATGTCCATAAAGATCACGTCAAACTTGACACTGCCCATGGCACAACGGATCGCCTCGGCTCCATTTCGCATCACCACACATCGGCAGTTCAGTCGCGTCAGGATCGTCTCCAGAATCTTGGCACTAATTGGGTTGTCATCCACCACCAGACAATCCCGCGTCCGACTCGTCTTCCTGATCGCTCCCTTCGCCGTCGATCGAAGCGTCGCCGTCGCCTTGAGAGAGTGACGACTGGATCGTAGTCCTGATCCGCTGCTTGTGCTACCACTCCGGCGATCGCGCGTTTGGGTCACCTGCGGCAAATTCTTGGGTCCGATGGGCGACGTGGGCGAGTTGACGTTTGGGATCACAAACGGATGGATATCCGTGTTGCCGGTGCTATGAGTCCTGGGCCGCAAAGGCATCGACGCACGACGGATCGCTGGGGATGACTCCGAAGGCGAGCCTCCATCCTTGGACGAATCATCCCCAAACGCCACTGGGACTGAAGCAGATCGCTGAGGTTGATACTCGCCGCCGACCTCCTGAATAGTGCCTCCGTTTCCTTGAAGCTGACTGTTGATTGTACCCGCCGACCCACTGGACGAAGGAGAGCCCTTGGGTGAATACGAAAAGTAGTTCTTGCCATCGAATCGCAAGGGTGGCGTGTTGATCAATGCATTCATCGATCGGTGCTTGTTCTTGGTAATATTGCTGTTACCGACGTTGCTACCCGAGCTGGGGGTTCCTGGGGTCTCTGCTGAAAACTCGGAGATCGATGAAGAGAGACTGCTGCCTCCGTTGGAACCGAATGCATTGTCCGATCGAAGCTTCCGAATCACATCGTTGTTGGCCTTCTCCAGCGCCGGCAAGTTGATAAAGGCAAATGTTCCAAAATCGGCTCCTGTCTCGTCCTTCGCCGACTCGAGGTCTTTCAACGCTGGATCGTCGCTGGAAGCACGACTAGGACTGTGTGCCCGGGGTGTCGAGGCCGTGTCCAGAGGATTTGTATCGACTGTCAAAGGCGCCGTCGTTGCGGTTGAGGCTGGTTCCTCAGACTGTCCAGGAGTTGGAGGTTGGGTTCCTGCTTGATTGAAACTGTTGCGTTTTGAAAGAGCATTCGCCATTGCCTGCATGTCCTTCAGCTCGGGGATGTCCTCCTTGAACGAGCCCATCTTGGCTCCGCGGACATCAAAGTACTCGGTATCTTCGATATCCGCAGGTGCCGGGACAAAGGCAGGCCGTTCCGAGAGCAGAGTATTCCAGTTAATGTCCCTGAAGAATGGATGGTTCTTGACCTCCTCTGCTCCGTTGCATCCAAGACGCTGTTCGGGGTCAGTGCACAGCAGCCTCTCCATAAAATCGCGTGCCTCAGGGGAAATCTCCAGCTCGGATTCCATCCAGTCAATGTCTCTGGAAAGAATATTCTCAAACACCTGCTCAGGTGTCTCGCCGTGGAACGGTGGACATCCGTACAGGAACTCGTAACAGATCACGCCCAATGCCCACTATATTGAACGTGCAAAAAAAAATTAGCAAGTCTTAATGACATGATGCAACAACAACTTACACCACAGTATATAGAATTACAAAAACACTTACCCAGTCAACCATGGCATCTTGGCTCATACCGAGCACACACTCTGGTGCAATGTAATCGGGGGTTCCAACGCACTTCTCTGGCACCTCCTCCCTCAAATCGTTAAGCAAAAATGATGGGGGCATCAGTGGAGAATTGCTGTGTGAGACCTTAGGCGACATCGAATGAACTGGGTGCAATGCAGTGCCAGTGAGAAATGACCCGGAAGACTTGACGCTGCTTTCAGACAATGGGAACGGTGCATTGGACGATGACGATGTCAACATAGCTGCAGCAGGTAACCTGGGCATATCAACACTTGGCATTCCGAGGGCCGAAGAGCGACCGTCGATCGATGTAGAGCTAGCATTGGACGAGCGACGGCTTCGTTCACCCCATGCAAAGTACGAGGGATGGGTAGGACCCAACTTGGGAGTAGGAATCATTGGGATCGAAGAGGACTCTGTGTTGGCGTCTGCGGCTTGCGTGAACAGGAAGGGCGACATTGGTCTCGATTCTGGGTAGGTTGATGCCATAGGAATCTTCGTCCTTCTGTCCGTCTGCGCCTGTCGACCCAAGAATCCCACGCGGGAGAGCCCAAAGTCCGTGAGTTTGAGGTGTCCGTTCTGGTCGATCAACAAATTATCCGGCTTCAAGTCACTGCAAAAGTGTCATGGTGTGTAGTCAGGACAACGTTGAGAGAAGGAAGAGAAATGTCAGTACGTATTCGAAATATATGGTAATCAGTATTTTCAAAGACAAAAGAACCACCAAAAAGACTCACCGATGAACGACGCCTGCATTGTGGAGATACTCGAGTCCAAGGACAACTTCGGCAAGATAGTTTCTCGCCCAGTCCTCAGGAAGACGAACAATAGCTTTGATGAGAGCCATGCAGTCGCCTCCGTTCAGGTACTCCATCACCAGGTAGAGATACTCCTTGCTCTGGAACGAGAAATAGAGGCTGACGACAAAGGGTGAGTCCGTCTGGTTCATGAGAATCATTCGCTCTGCCTTCACATTCGTCACCTGGTTCTTGGCCACCATATCGGACTTCTTGAGGACTTTGATCGCGAAATAGTCACCAGTTGCTCTCTTCTTGGCCAGGAAGACCGATCCGAATGCGCCCTTGGAGATGGGCTTGATAAAGTCGAAATCCTTGATGCTTGGAGGGGTAGGTCGCGTCAAAGGAGTGGGCTGCGGGAAGGATGGCGACAAGGGCGATCTCAATAGAGCTGAAGGTGAGGCAGCATCGGTAGGTGAACCGTCCACCGAATGTGGTGCCAAGAACCGGTTGGACATACGAGGAGACAAGCGAGACTCAGGCAAGAATGCCGACGAAGGGTGGATGTCCACAAAGGATGGACGGTGTTTCCGGGCCGTAGGTGATGTCTGTTTGGTCCTGTTGCCATCGTTGCCTTGGCTGGTTTGACTACTCTGGCTGTTATGGCTGCTCTGGCTGACAAGATCCGGGCGAATCTCCTTAACACTGGCTGACGACTGGCTGCTCTGGGTGGATTGGCTAACCTCGCTGCTCTGAGTGGATTGGCTAACCTGGCTGGCTTGAGGAGCTGCTGCTGCTGATACCAGTGGCCTTTCAACCTTGCCCATCTTGACGACAGTCGTCGATGATTCAGCAGAGTCAGATGTTCCCGTGCCAAGGTCGGACGAGCCAGAAGCTGTTCTGGAAAGATCCACAGAAGTCGGCGTCGGGGGTGCTTCGATGGGCGAGGGCTGATGCTCAACCACTTCGGGGACAGGGACACTTTCGACCGCGCCATGAATTGTAAACTCGTCCTCCAGGCCATATCCACGACTACGCTCTCTCTCATCCTCCTCGGCGATCTGTGTCATGTGCGAGACAAGGGTCGTCTTGTGGTGAATGGCTGCATCGACGCGATCGCTCACTGCCATGATACTGATATCGCTCGTCATGGGAGCCTCCCACCGGAACACCTCCGAGATGCGCGATTCCGAAGCCGGCGACTGAAGACTGAGATTGCCTGGTGAATCCTTGGGTGACTTGTCATCGGGCTCGGCATCTCGTCCAGGCGTCGAAATCGCCAGTGCTGTCCGTGTGATAGCCTGCAAGTTGATGAGGGCATTCATATTCATCCTGGCTGACCCTTCATCCTCGGGCTCCACTGACTGGAGAGCGAGTGAGTCCTTGATGGTGCTGACGTGGGAAATGAGCTCGCGCAGAAGGTCGTTACAAATCTGGAGCTCCATCTCAGTCTTGTGCCATTCGGAGCAGGTCTTTGAGTGCTTCTCAAAATACAGAGAAATGATCATGCGCTCGCAAATGTTACACCGGACTTCCTGAAGAGGTATCAGCTGCGAGTGGATAGACGCGTTGTCCGCCAACGTCTTCTGGTAGCCGACATCCTGGTTTTGATCTTCATCGTCGTCTTGACCTGTCTCCCCATCCTGCGAATCTGAACCACCATCCTCGTCGCGATCCTGTTCCGCGTCGAGTTCCTCCTCCTCCGAGTTTTCTGACAAAACGGACATGACCGAGCCGGAGGACGAGATCGTTTTGTCGTCTCCACCGATATAGGGCTGAAGCGCCCACATTGTCCTGGACGGCTCGCCTGTTGTTCGCTCGTAGATGAGCATCCCGCGACCAATCATCTTCAAAAAGTGACCTATCGCTCCTTGCTGATTCACACTCTGGAGGTAAGTGAAATGCTCTGACTGAGAGGAGCTCGTGTCATCAAAGGATGATGGGGGGCTGAATTCGGAGAGGAGATGGAACGTCAGCTCCAATGTCGATTGATCGTCATCCAAAAGTCGTTGAGTGGCGTCCCTGAAAACATTGCACTCTTCCTCCGCCAAGAATGTTGAAATAGGTATGTCCGTCAGCTCTTGCCAATCGAAACTATGTCATAAAGGAGGGAAAGCGGTCGTGTTAGAAACAATTGCGGTTTCTTATTGCGACCGTATATTACCTACCAAAAACATCAAAAATACCGTGGCATAAAACAGATCACTTACCCCAAAAGTTCAGACCAACTTGGGCTTAGGTAGAGAATCGTCACATCGTTCATGTCAAGACTGAGCTCCATGACAACATTCTTGCTCTGATCCTTCTCGGCCTCCCTCTTCAATTGTAGAATATCGTCCTTAGTCAGCCTTGTCTGTGCGTCCGAGTCTTTCTCCAAAATATCGGCCAAAGTGTCGATCGTCACAAGTTCGGGTAATTCGCCAGCTTCTGCACCTTCCAGGTCGCTCTCCTCCATAGATACATTAGCTCCTGGAACTAGTAGAGTAGCACCGGCCGTCTGTGAGTATTTCAAGGAAGGAGTACTCTCGGGATCCACAAGGTCGCCTCCTGTTGGAGTCTGTGTGCGGGAAACGATCTCCTTAGCTGTGCCGTCCTCTGCTGTCTGGCCAGGTGAGGTTCCTGGCGAGTCTTGCTTTGCGACATACAAACTGGAAGGGCGGGACGATTCCTTGGTTTTGACGGGGATATTGGCACTCTGTGCCCAATGGCTGCGCTCCGCTTCCCACCATTGCACGACTCGCGCCAATCCAGCAACAGCCAGCAGGGCCTTCACATACCAGGCCCGGCAGGGCCAGTTACTGTTGTAATCCCAGGCTTTCCCGATCACCTGCAGCTTCGTCACAAAGTTGGTACAGGAGCCCTTGTTGTCGAGAATGGTCTTCAAGGGTGTATCGAGCATGAGCTGTGCCACTGAGATGAGCTCCTGCAATGTCAGAATGAAGGGTGTCGGCTGGTACGAGTCCTCTGAGATAAGAGTAACATTGGCGTTGGGCGAAGACGTGACAGGGGTTCCCGGAGAATAGGCTGAGATGGTGTTGCGACGACTGAGGGATGACACGCGAGAGTGGGAGCGTTGCTGACTCTCCCTGGTCATCTTGCGATGAAGAGGAATGCTTCCACCGTTCCAGGATGGCGAAGGCGACCATTCACCCGAGTCGCGCAATGGTCGTAACCTGGGTTCCTCCAGAGGTGACTCGTTGTCGAATATCTCAGGGAAGTAGCCCTCACTGAAGCCTTGAGGAGGTCCAGGGTAGTCGGATCTCGGCGTCCTGTCCTCCTCAAACAAGTCCCGCTCACTGACACTGTCAAAGCCAGCATCTTCTCCGAGCTGCTGGATGGCAGCTTCTTCCTCCATTTCCATCTGACTGTTCTCGATCCAGCCTTCGATCTCCTCAACCTCGGTTCGATCCAATTGCTGTGCCGAAAAGTCGGGCATACTGTCAATATCCTCCACGTAGTTGAGCCCCTTCTCCACGTACTCGTTTAGACCATCGATGATCTTGCGCATCTCTTCATCGCAATCTGACTTGTACTGCTCCAACATGCTCCTGATGGTCTTGGTGGATCGCTCAGGACCGCTTTGCTGGGGACTTCCTTCGGGAGCATTGGCCGAGTTGATTCCAGCAGAGAAGGATGTTGTCCTGGCCATGACAGATCCTCTGCGTACAATCGTTGGTGAGACGTTGACCTGGATAGAGAGCCCAGGTTTCTCACGAGGCGATGCCTTTGACCCACTCGATTTGGACGTGGGGCTTATAGACTCGACCGTGTTGAGGGCTGTCGTCAACACGAGGGGACCGGGCTTTGCATCTGGCTTCTCAAAGAGCGATTTCGATACGAACGCCTTCGGCTCAGGCTGCGGTGGTGGTGACTGAGGTTGCTGCGGTGAGAGCTGTTGGTGTAGCTGGAACGGGTGCTGTGGCCGCGGATATAGCTGTCGGGGAGCTGGCGATGATGACGAACTCTCCTGCTCTACGCGCTGTGGAGAGTATCCTGGTCCCATCTCAGACTGCTGGTCCCGATCCCGAAATCGACCCTCATCGCTGGGAACAGGGGGAGGCGAGTCCACAGACGCTTTTCGCGGTTGCACAAGCGACATGGACTTTCTACGGACAGACTTCCACCAGCTGACAAGTTTGGGACCCAGACCTCCTTTGAGCGACTGTTGACTCTTTTGACTCGATATAGACATTCCTGATGGCGATCTAGAGTTGACGCGGAGACCCTGTGAGTTCTTCTGCCGACGTCCTGGAGGCGAGAGAGAATCTGGAGTTGTCTGGAGGGCAGGCAGCGGGGTCGAGACAACAGGTGTCTTGGACCCTTCATGGAAACTCGAATCACGGGATGGTGGTGAGACAGAGAGGGATAAGGCAGGCGAGAGCGATTGGTCCTTCTTCTGCAACAAGCGTGCCTTTTTCTGCGCCTGATACTCTTCCAGCCAGTCAACCCAGACAACCTTTGCTGGTACCTTGGCGGTTGACGACTCATCCACCTCCAGTATCGATGACGTTAGTTCTACGGTGACCTCGATAATCGGCTGATCCAAATCCGGTCTCCATTTTTCCAGCTTTGCTCTCCTTGTCTGCGCAATGATCTCTGCGTGGACCATCGATGGATCGATAGAATCCACAGAACGTCTCCTGATGGACTTGGCTTGGTTGGGTTCGGGTATCTTGCCAGTCCCTTGGATTTTAACTAAAGGAACCACAAATTGATGGGTATGTTAGTCAAACTGGAAGCAAAATCCACCCCCTTCTCTTGCTGAGCATAGACATTTACCCCTCTAATTAACCTGTGTCTGTGCAAGGGCTAGACCGAAATGTGCTTACATGCGTTGACAAAGTCCACAGAGTCGAGATAGTTGGAATGAGGTAATTCCGGTACAGAGGTGCTGTTGTCGCTGCTCTTACTCGCCGCCAGCTGGGTCGCAGCAAAGGGTCCCAACGCAGAACCCGAGCCCTTTAAACCCTTACCCACATATCCTACAGACTTGGGAGTGTCCAGAGAAAGGTCATCTACGTCGCCGTCATTATCCTTGGAAGGGTCGACATCTGCTGCTGGCTGGAATCCCGACTCGTAATGAAAACGATGACCTGCTTGCCTTCGAAGCCGCCTCTCATGTGCGTCCACATCTGTGATCGATGCTTGCCGACCATGACCCAGTTTGATTCCTGGAGATGCAAATACTGGCGAAGGCCGCCCAGGGATGATGATTCCTGAGAGGGCAGGCCCAGCCAAAGGACTTGAGGCTGAGGATCGTACCATTGGCGAGATTTTGGGCGAGGCTTTAGGCGATCCTTTAGGCGATATATTGGGTGAGCGTGCGAGAAGAGGTGTCCTGACTCCTGCTCCCAGCACAGAGTACCCTGCGGCTCCAAGATGTTGTCCCGGCTGTTGATCGTACTCGGATGCAAGGTTCATGTCGATGTAGGATGCCTTCCTGGACTTTACTAGGTATCGTCCAGATAAGGATGAGCTCCGCGAGATGGATGGCGAAGGTGTGTCCCTGTCCTTGTCTGAATTCCGATCTCGAACTGTGTCGCTTGAGGCTGGACTCCTCATGTTCTCAAAAGGGTTGTTGAGCGATGCCAATTCCATGAGGGAAGCGATACTCTGACCCGTGTTTGGTGATCCAGATCGTGACTTCCGTTCCTGAGCCATGTACTGTGAAAAGGACCCTGTGGGGATTGAGGTTGAATAAGTGTTGAGCGATGGCGAGGCTTGGCTCCTGGTGGGCGACCAATCATCCAACGACAATTCGTCTGTGATAGAAGCTCTCCGAGATCGAGCGACTCTCCCAATGGCCTTTGGAGACGACGGTGTTGACCCATAATCCGAATGGCCACCCGCGTCAATCCACGACGTCCTTCTAGAGCGAATAAGATATTTGCCGCCACTGCCGCCTCCACCGTTGGGTAGATTGACCCCACCTGCGCTGCTTCCTGCTCCTCCAGGGGACGGCTTGGTCGAGAACGAGCCTTGATCCCAATCGCTCAGACTATTGGACATGGATGTGGCCAGATTAGAGGGTCTCCGACTGGTGCTTCCTGCTCTGGGATGGTGAAAATGTGCGGCGCGAGGTGATTCTGGAATGGGCAAGGTGCTGCTGGCGTTCCTGTAGTGATGTTGGTGCGAGTGGGGAACATCGTCCGAGTCGTTAGATGAGAGCGACGAACGGCTAGAACGACGAGTGAGGAGTGGTTGTGGAATAGGAATACTCTTAAACTTTGCGCTATTGCTGCCACTACCGCCGCCATTGCCAGAGTCGAGACCACCGCTGGACGATAGCGATCCGGTTGAGGCACCCATGCTACTGTTGTGGAGGTGCGAAGAGGGATGCGCCTGACTGTGCTGGCGCATGGACTGATAGGACGAGCTGAACTGATCGGAGGGTCTTCTCAGAATTCTGCCAGACTCGAACGAGGATGCAGCAGAGGACGTTCCTGAGACAGAACCGAGGTTGTCGAAGGAATTCTTGCGACGCGCTGGGATGGCTGTCGCTGCTGCAGTTGGGGGTGAGGGAAAATGGCCGGGCTTTGGGGACGAGTCTCTACTGGTGTTGGGGGTGGTGGTGCTTCTGCCGCTGGTCTGATTAGAGTCTGTCTGGTGGAGAGAGTGCAATCGCGACAGACTTGAGCTGCTTGTGCTCCGACTGCTGCTTCCGATTCCTTGGCTGTTGGCGATGCCGATGGTGATGGAGGATCTGTTGGGCATCAGGATCCTGTCGCGTGTTGGGTGGTTTACGCTGCCACCTGTCCTGCCCCGTTCTGGCAGCCTCACGCTTGTGAAGGCACCGTTGGTGCTGTTGCCGTTGTTGCTGCTGTTGTTGTTGTTGTTGTTGTTGTTGTTGCTGCTGCTGCTGCTGCTGCTGGTATGGATATCGGAGAAGGTGGTGCTCGAATTGGAGAGACTACTGGCGCTGTGGCTGGAGTGTAGGCTGCTGCTGCTTCTTCGTGGTGTGCCGGTGATGCTGTGGCTGGTATTGATAACGCGCTGAGGCTGGACATGTTGTACTTCTGGGGTGTCGACTGACGGGTTGGCGGGAGAAAACGTCAACGAGGGACTATCCTGAGGAGCTATTTCTAGTAGTTGGCAAGAGGTGCGAAAGAAAAGACAGAATGGTATTGTTGTTTAGCCTCTTTTCAACTTTTCACTATTACGGTGATAGGTGTAACCAAGTATATGTGTACAAACCTGCGGGTTCGAGTTCTCGTTGGAGTGGTGAGGGAGAAGTTGGGATTGTGGTGGATGAGAGGGCGGGGAAGTCGGGAGGGGAGGAGGAGGAGGTGGGGTTGGATGAGTTTGGGTTGAGGGGAGACGATCGCTTCGTCTTCAGTTTCTCCGGGAAGAGCATGGTCGAGAGGTGTTTAGCGATGTGCGGGTGTGTGCGCGAGTGTGAGTGAAAAAGGGTGGAGGGTGGTGAATGGAAGAGTGGAGTAAGAGAATGAGAGTGAAGGTGAGGAGGGGGAGGTGAAGGTGAGGAGGGCGAGGTGAAGGCGAGAGAAGAAAGGAGTGAGTGAAGTTATGGAAGAAGGAGGATAGAATCTACAGCATGGATACGGAAGCGGATGAGAAAGGACAAAGGGGAAGTAAAGTGAGGAAAGGGAAAAGAAAGACAAAAGGATGGAAGGGAGAGAGAGCACCAAGAAAAAGAAAGAAAAAAAGAGTGATTAATGAAAAATGAAAAATGAACTCAATCCAAAGGAGAGAGGGGGGATGAGATAGGGAGAGCCAAAGGAAAGAAAAAGGCACTCTGTTTGTCGCACAGGATCCACAGGATCAAGGCAAAACCCATTATTGAAACTTTGAAAGACAGAAATCCCCATTGCCCAGCAACTGCTATCAATCTATCTCTCTCTTTCTTTTCTTTCACCCCTCACTCACCTTCCTACCGTCTGTGGTATGCCTGCGTCATTTGTCATCCTTGCCTCGCCCTCCCTCCTTCACCTTTTTTTTTCTTTTTTCCTTTGGTCTCCTGGTCGATCCAATGGCATGCCTTGCCCTGTCTAGCTCTCTTTTTCCTTCTTTTTCCTTGTCCTCATTTCCCTTACAGACAGAGAGAGTCTTGAGTGTCTCGTCCGTCCAAGCACACAGAAGCACCCAAGAAAAAAGACCCTTGCTTGCATGAAAATCTGCACCTCCAATGGTCCAATCATATTCAAGGCGTCCTTTTCGCTTAAGGGTCGGAATCCGCCACCAAATGCGAATCCATCAGCCAGTTTCCGCGACATAGTGCACCATGCTGCATCCACTGCTCTCACATTTTGTAAATTAGACCAAGTCTGCAAATAAACAGTATGAGCAATTAGAGAGAGAGGAGCATCATGAAGGAGTATCGATGGTGGTCGGGACAGAAGTAGAGGTTGCTATCTTGGAATCAGTCGACGTGAAGACCCTGTCACTTTCGACTCGTCTGTAGATTAAGGTCCGATCTCGCCTGCTGAAGGTGGGCCACGAGCAGGAACGAAAGGGCTTTGGGCAGTTCATGGAAGATGTGAAACCTCATAGATCTTTGAAATTGTGGCATTGGAGTCAGGGCCTAGGCTGTGAGAAACAATGCATGATTGTGACAATGCATTCGGGATGCATCGTCAATGGTTTGTTCCGACCCTTCGCGGGTCTGAACAGGGAACTCGGTTCTGATGTCGGCCACATCCCTTTTTTTTTGGTGTTGAATCATCACAACAGATCGCGGCGCGAATTGATGATGCAGACTTGGACTTGCCATGAACGGGTTGATATAACTACGAACAAACATCTTCGGATCATCTCGTGCGCTTTTCCAACACCAATCCCGCTGGCAACAAGGAACGGCCTTTCTATCACAATACAACACCCCCCTTGATTACACTACTTATTTCGCTCTTTTATAAGAGACTTCATCGGGAGAACCAGGGTCAAGCTGTTCAGGCGCATAGTCTTGTTCGCCCACTGCAACCAATGTCATCACTGAGTGTCAAACAGCATCCCCGAAAACAGGTATGTACCAGTGCAAGCCTTGATGTGCACAGATCATAACATAACCTTGCGATGGTTACGAACAAACCAGATCCGCACTCTAACGAATATCTACAATAATACACGCGCTCGGCCCCTCTAAAGAACAGACAATGCGCTTTGCTTTGTCCCTGAAACTTGAGAAAAATAACCAGGCCTGGTCGAGATGGGTGCATCAGCGAAGGAGGCTTATTTAATCGTGCAAAAACTATGGGGACAAACGATTATTTGAGTAATAGAGTGTCCACACTCTGCGGATGAACCCAAGGAAGGCAAGAAAGAGAAAGAAAGACAAAGAAAAAGAAAGAAAAAACGAGGACGGGCTCACGGCAGCCAATCCGTTGAGAGGTGCGTCGTGGGAAGTCTGAGCTAATGTGGATGGATGATTGGAGCAAAAGTCAGAGGGTGACGAATACCATAGTATGTAACCTAATAAACCTTAGCAGGGTGAGAGTGTGGAATACTGTACATAGAGTACGAGAGAAGGAGAAGGAGGAGAAGGAGAAGGAGAAGGACGGAAGGAGATCCGATGAAGAGAAGCAAAAGAACAAGGTGCACGCCATCGAAGCCGTGCCTGATGGGAAAATAGAAAATGAGCCACGGGCGCTGTTGGATTGCGCGTCGAGTGGGTTGTCGTCGAGACACTCCTTGCCTGATTAGGGGTGCATCGGCTCTGTTCACGATACAAAGGCAAGCTTACTCGCCCACGCCCCCAAAAAAACATCACATCTCTGAGTGACCAACACGGTATAAAAACTGAGGTGCTCTTCTTTCGTTTCTTCTCTTCAAAAAAAACTCCTCTTTTTCTTTTCTTTCCTCCTTCCCTTTCCTTTCCTTTCACTCCCTTCCTCCAATACCCCTACTTCCCTCTTCTTCTTCTTCTTCTTCTTCTTCCCTATTCTCATTTGTTTGTCTTTCATTCATCCCACTCCCGCATCTCATTCATTTCACGTCCCTTCGCTGTACATAAAAAAAATCTCTTCTCTCCTTCCTTCGTCCTTTCTCTCCTCACACGACGATCACAGCCATGACCGCCCTCAAAACTATCCGCCCCATCCCAGAATTCCCTCTCCAGGGTATCCTTCCCAAGGAGGTAAGCAACTCGTACAATTGACACCCACGCGACAATGAGAAAAAGAAACCATAATCGAAAACGGTCTCGCATCCTCATTAACGCAACAAACTTCCACTTTCTCACCCTCATACATATTTAGGAAACCGAGGCTGCTTCTTACTTGAAGAAATACCCCAACTATGATGGACGCAACACCATCATTGCCATCCTCGATACCGGTGTCGATCCAGGTGCCGCCGGTCTTCAGGTCACCTCGGATGGCAAGCCCAAGATTGTTGACATTGTCGACTGCTCCGGCTCAGGAGACATTCCCACCACCACTATTGTCAAGCCCACAGAGAATGACGACGGCATCCCTGTCATCACCGGTCTCACCGGTCGCAAGCTCCACTTGAACAAGGACTGGAAGAACCCCTCGGGCGAATTCCGCGTCGGAATCAAGCGTGCCTACGATCTTTTCCCCAGCGACCTTGCTGACCGCATCAAGGAGGTAAGGACAATAATAAGAAAGAGGAAAATCTCGGATAACGCGGGGGTCAATGAAGCAGGATTGCGACATCAGATCCCAATTGACAAACAGCCAGGGAGAGACATTCGACCGAGGAAAGCAGAAGGAAGGCAGAAGGAAAGATGTGTTTGGACGAATGGCTCAGGAGGGACACGCGGAAGCGTGAGAGCAAAAAATTACTTTTGTTTTTTTTGTTTTTCTCCCACTGTACACGTACGCCAAAAAAAATCCCCCCCCCCCCCTCTCTCCAGATAGAGGGGAGAGAAAGATGAAACGGCTCAGTGCTAACCATGGTCTTTATTAATGTGATTGTTCAAATACAACAATAGGAACGTCTGGCTGAATTCCAAAAGAAGCACTTCTTGCTCGTTGCCAAGGTTCAGGAGGAGCTCGCTGCTTTCATCAAGGCACACACCACCTTGACTGAGGAGAATCAGCGCACCAAGGCCGACTTGAACGCCCGCCTCGATGTCCTCAAGGACTCGCTCAAGAACTTTTCTGATCCTGGCCCAGTGTACGACTGCGTTGTCTTCCACGATGGCAACGTATGGCGCGCAGCTGTTGATGCCAAGGAGGATGGAGATCTCCAGGGTAAGTTAGAGTTGGACACCTTCTTGACACACACAATTTCACATATCTCACACGCTTTTGTGAGTTCACACTTTACTCGAAGGGATACACGCAAACTGGCATTTTTTTGTGTGTGTGTGAGGATTTGCGTTCGGCGGAGCAAATGAATATTTTCATCAGCTGACAGCTCCAAACTCAAAACACCCTTAATTCTCAACAACACCCTCCAACGTACATTCTGACCTTGCACGCACTCTTAGATGCCCCTCTGTTGACCAACTACAAGACCGAACGCCAGTATGCCACCTTCAGCAACCAGGACAAGTGCAACTACAGCGTCAACATCTACGATAACGGCAACATGCTCAGCATCGTCGTCATCGCCGGCTCCCACGGTACCCACGTTGCCGCCATCACCGCCGCCAACCACCCCGACGAGTCCGCCCTCAATGGTGTTGCCCCCGGCGCCCAGATCGTCTCCATTAAGATCGGTGACTCGCGCTTGGGAAGCATGGAGACCCAGCACGCTTTGACCCGCGCTGTCAAGGTCATAATCGACGACAACTGCGATCTCGCCAACATGTCCTACGGTGAGGCTTCCAGTTACCCAGATATCGGACGCTTCGTCGAGCTCATGCGCGAGGAGGCTGTCGGTCGTCACGGATGCATCTTTGTCTCCTCTGCCGGTAACGCTGGACCTGCTTTGAGCACCGTTGGCTCCCCCGGTGGTACCTCCTCGGGTGTTGTCAGTGTTGGTGCCTTCCAGAGCCAGGCCATGCAGCAGGCTGAGTACGCCCTATTCGAGGCTGTCCCTGAGAGACCCTACACCTGGTCTTCCCGCGGTCCTACTCTGGATGGTGCTGTCGGTGTTGATATCTATGCCCCCGGTGCCGCCATCACCTCGATCCCCGAGTACGAGCTCTCAAAGTTCCAGCGCATGAACGGTACCTCGATGAGTTCTCCCAACGCCTGCGGTTGCATCTCGCTCATCCTCTCCGGTTTGAAGGGCGAGAATAAGGCTTACACTCCTTACCGCGTCCACCGCGCTCTTGTCAACGCCGCCAAGGACATTCAGGACCAGTTCCGCGTCGGTTTCTTGCAGGTTGAGAAGACCTTTGAGCATTTGTTGACCTACCACGCCTACGACGAGCAGGATGTCACCTACAAGATCCAGATTGCTGAACGCGAGAATGCTCGCGGTATCTACTTGAGAGAGTGGGAGGAGTGCAACAAGGCTCACACCTTGACCGTCAAGGTCGAGCCCAAGTTCATGAAGGACATCGACTACACCAAACCTGACATCAACGAGAAGAAACTCGCCTTCGAGTGCCGCATGGCCCTCGTCGCCACCGAGAGCTGGATCCGTGTCCCCGACTTTTTGTTCATGAACGGTGCTCTCCGTCAGTTCGAAATCAAGGTCGACCCTACCCAGTTGACTGCCGGTGCGGCCCACTTTGCCGAGATCCAAGCCTTTGACTCTGCCTGCCCTGCTCGCGGCCCTGTTTTCAGCATCTACGTCACTGTCGCGAAGCCCCTTGAGCTGACCACCCAGTCCTACATCAAGTTCGAGAACGTTCAGTTCGGACCCGGCCATATCGAGCGTCGCTTGATCCGCGTTCCCGCCGGAGCCACTCACGCCGAGGCTGTCATTCGCAGCGCCGGCGGCGTCAATGGTGCCCAGCTGTCGGCCAAGTTTGTTGTCTATGTCGCTCAGTTGATTCCTCAGCTCCGCAACGACCACACCAACCGTGGCTACATGGTCCGCCTCGGCAAGGGAAGCTACGGCGAGGCTGGCGCAGAGGAGCAGTCCGAGACCAAGCGCTTCTCGGTCGATGGAAACCACACCATGGAGCTCTGCTTGGCCCAGTACTGGGACAGCCCCGGCGCCCACTCGGTCACTGTTGACGTTACCTTCCACGGCATTCAGATCTCTGGCGCCTCGAGCGGACCCCGCTCCGTCTTTATCAACGGTGCCGACCATGTCACCCGCTTCCATGTTGCTGCGCCCATTCGCCGCGAGGAAGGTCTCTCTCCCAGCATCACCTTGGATACCCTCCGCAAGATCGTCCGTCCCTCGGAGAGCGTCATCAAGCCCTTGGTCCGTGATCGCGATGCTCTTCCCAACTCGCGCCTCATGTACAACTTGATATCGTCCTATGCTTTCAAGGTCGAGGGTTCTGGCAAGGAGACCGTCACCGTCTCGCCTCGTTTCCCCTCGCTGAACAACCTCTTGTACGACTCTCCCCTCGAGATGTTCTTGATTGTCTCGGATGTCAACAACAAGGTCGTCGGCTTTGGCGATGTCTATGTCAAGAAGTTCAAGCTCCCCAAGGGCGACTACACCCTTCGTCTCCAGCTTCGTCATGAGAGCGAGGAGACCTTGGAGAAGCTCCGCCACCTCCCTGGAGTCTTTGACTTTTCGTTGGCCAAGTCACAGTCGCTCGAGGTCTCTGGCAACTGGCCCGATGCCTTGGTCAGTAAGAAGACTGCCTTCCCTAGCGTCTTGGAGCGTGGTGATACCAAGGCCGCCTTTGTGGTTTCGTCCTCGGAGCACCCCAAGGGTGCCAAGCCCGGCGACTTTTTGGTTGGTCAGTGGAACTGGGGCGGTCCCCGTGTCGATGGCAAGCCCATTGCCCGTGTTGTCTACGCCGTCGCACCCGAGCAGATCCCCATCAAGGAGGAGACGACCGAGTTGGAGGAGGAGATCAACGTTACTCGTCAGTTGTCAGAGCAGGTCCGTGATGCCCAGATTGCCTGGTTGAAGAAGAGCACCGGTTACAAGGCTGACAAGGACAAGGAGGCTGCTGCTGTTGCCAGAGAGGAGTTGATTGCCCAGCTTGAAGCTGCTGGCCATGGCTCGCACTTGCCCTTCTTGTTGGCCCAGTTGGATGTTGCCTTGGCCTTGGCTGAGAACGCTGAGGAGTCCCTCAAGGACGAGAAGTGGAAGGAGGTCCTCGCTGCTTCTGACAAGATCACTGCTGCTATTGACCAAGCCGAATTGGCCCAGTTCTTTGGTCTCAAGCCCATTGTTCTTCACGGCAAGGCCGAGGCTGAGCAAAAGAAGCTCAAGAAGGAGAAGGAGGAGGCCAAGAGTGCTTTGATTGCTGCCTTGAAGGCTCGTGCCGTCGCCTTGGTTGCCCTCAAGGAGGACTCGGATGAGGCCTACAACAAGCTGAGCCAGTGGAGCGAGGGAACTGGAGTGACTGACTGGAAGTCTGTTAATGTCTACCTCGCACGCGAGCGCAAGCATGGACGTCTGGGTCTTGCCCTCCAACGTGTCAACAGCTGGTTGAGCGAGCAGGGTGGTGGAAGCAAGGACGGCGCTAGCAACATCAAGGCTGCCCTGTCGACCCGTCGTGATCTCTTACGCGAGTTGAACTGGTCTGTCTGGGAGGAGTATGAGCTTAGCTGGGACGGTATCCGCCTCCCCAAGGGCCCTGCTCCTTTCTAAGCGATAGATCGTTTATTCTTCTTTAATCTTCAACCTCAATGACCTTGTACAACATCCAAATTAAAAAAGTGTCACTATTCCTCTTCATTTGCGCCCACTTTTTTGACTTTTACTTCTTTTCTCCCACTCCTTCTCTTCTTTTTTGCCCACGCACGATTGAGGGAAAACTTTAACAGCAAGAGAAGTATTGCCTCAGAGTATCGTTGTGGAGAGCCCTCCTCCTAGGCAAAACTTTTGCCGGATCCGCGCGCTTTTTATATCTATGATGCCATCCATGCTCCATGACTGTAGCTTGGGCTATTTGCATATAAGTGTGTGTGTCTAATGTGGCTTTTTCGACTTTAGATTGAAGCGCTGTTTTCCCAGGTAAGAAAGAAGAGAGTGCCCGGCGGGGCTCAAATGGCCGAAGAAAAGGCCTTAATTGGGGAAGGCCATTCAGGCACAAGGATCTTTGTTTGGATTAGACATCCCTTGTAAGTTTCACACAGCGGGAACCCAACCCAGATCATTCACGTACAGCGATCCTAATGGCTAGTGTTTAATGGCTGTACGTCTTTTTTAGTCGTTTCTGTCAAAACCGCCGTTTTCTTCTTTTTCCTCCTCTCCCTCTTCTCTTTCTTTCTTTCTCACTTCAACCATCAACCATCCCTTCCACCTTCACCACCCCCACCCAACACCAACCATGTCTCTCACCCACGCCCAGGAAATCGAGTTCAAGGAGGCCTTCGCTCTCTTCGACCCCACCAACTCTGGCACCATCCAGCCCAAGGCCTTTGCCGACTTCCTCGCTGTACGTCTCTGTTCCCCTTTCTTTTTCTTTCTGTTGTTGGACCTGAACTCGTTTTCTTTGACCTCCCTTGTCAATCAATGCCTATCGGTTATTACTCGACTGTCGTCGGTTGTTTCTCTCAGAGTGTATCCTTTCTGTTCTTTCCTTTCTACTCTTCTGTCCTTACTTCAGAGTCAATTCAGAGTCAAAAAAAAAAAAAAAAAGAAGAGGAGAGAGAGAGAGAGTGGGAATACGCCCAACAAAATGCAACATCGTTGATCCGCCTTGTTCCTTCTCTGGACACAAGAAAAGTCGACAAAGAATGAATCTTCTATTCGCATACTCCTTCGTTTACAGAACCATAGCGGAAAATAAGGGACAGAGGATCTCCCTTTCCCTCTGAATCTTTGTTTATTTACAGCAATACCTTCCATCCCTATCGGCCAACCGAATGAGAGTTACTCCTGTCGTGCCTCTTGTGCCTTTCCTGACTTGTCTCGCCTCCCATGTTTTTATTCCTTGTTGCGACGCACTCTCACTCATACAATCCATACAACAGCCACTCACTCACACACGCACTCCATTTTTTTTTTTTTTTCGATGGTCTATTTTAATTCTTTTGTACTCTTTGCCCTTTTGGCTCACTTTACTAATCATCGTCGTCTCCTTTTACTATGGCACATTAATATGCATTTCTATAAACCAAAATTAGCTCCTCAACGACCCCGCGTTGACTGCCAGCGTCACACTCCCCACCCAGCCTTTGGACTACAAGGGCTTCTGCTCCCTCATGGCCCAGAAGCACAAGGGCAAGGAGACCTCCGATGAAGCCTACGTCACCTTCTTCAACGCCATCAACAAGGACGGCTCAGGCAACATCTCCTCCGCCGAGCTCCGCTCTGCCCTCCAGCACTTTGGCAACAGCGCCCTTACCGAGGTAAATTAGACGCTCTTTCCCACAGGATAAGAAATGTTTCTTTTGGATATTCTCTTTATTTCGCAGGATACTGCAAGAGCTCGAAAAATGAAGATAAAAACGGAACAAGGAGAAAGATAAAGAACAAAAATGCAGGAGAGATCACAACACAACATAACACAACACATAAGCTGAGCAAAGACACTAATCATCCCTTTTCCTTTTTTTTTTTTTTTTTTTTTCCCTTGAACAATAATAATAGCACGATATCGATGAGATCGTCCACGAGGCTGATGTCTCTGGCGATGGCCGCATTGCCCACGAGGAGTTCTTGAAGATCATGCAAAAGTCCGAGAAGAAGCTCCGTGGCGAGCACATCTGCTAAATATTCTTGCCATACTTCTTCCTTTTGTCACTATTCATCTGCCATTTTTTAACAAGCTTTACCATTTATAATAAACATACCAAAAAACTTGCCATTGCCTTGAGAGGGGTGGATAGTTGACAAGAAGGAAGGGAGTGTGTCGAAAAAGCGCGCCTTCTATGAACGAGAAAACAAACAAAATGGACGAGGCGGGGAATAGTGGAAGAAATGAGGAAGAAATCATACTCACTTCCATGGAGTAAAGAGGCACCGCCTGTGTGTGTGTGTGTGTGTGTGTGTATGCTGACAAGAAGAGGTAGAAAAAAAAAGAGTTCAACGCATTATCATTTTGTGTTTGCTTCCCCACACTCTTCTGTTTTTTTCGGTTCCGTAGATTCCTTCCCACAGTTCCTTTGTGCTTCGTTGTCCTACCAGTTTTCCGTTCTGCTGCTTTGTTTCTTTTTTTTATGCTTTTGGGGTTGTCCAGCCCTTCCCCCCGCAAAATCGACCTTCTTTTTTTTTTTTACTTCTTTCCGATAGATGGTGTACCGTCATTCAAAATTTCGGGTTTGCCGTCTGGCCTCATGAGTAATTGGGTACAATAGTATAGTACTAGACGCGAAATGAAGGGTCGAAAAAAAACATGTATGAGGTATGGGTAGTTTTGGGTAGGCGAGCGTTTCGGCACTAGAGATACTTTCGTAGGTTTTCCTTCACGCTGAAGGACCTTTTGGGTAACATCTCTATGCGAACAAAGGAATTCGCCACCAACTAAAAAAAACCACTGCTATTTTATTTTCAGATCAGTTGTTAACAACGCCACCAACCATCCAACTTCTTAAAAAGGAGGGTATATGTGTGTGTGTGTGTGATCACAAGGGAAAGTAGTAGATCTAGGCTTTAGGCTTGGCGACGACGTTAATCTCAAAGCAGGTGGTGTACTCCTCTCCAACAGGGTTCTGGTCAAAGGGCCACCACCACACAAACTGGTACCGTCCGGGGGCAGTATTCTTGGGGATCGTGAACTTGCCCGTACATTCGGTGTTGGCATAATTGGGGTCCTTGCAGTTACCGGGGTTGGCAAAGTCAAACACCGCCAAGGCCTTGCCCAACCCGTTGCGGCCACTGGCAATGTCCTTGCGGGTCTTGAGAACCTTGTTGGACTTGCCGGTCCAAAAGATGGTCACCTTGGTGCCCTTAGTACGGACAAGGTGTCCGTTAGCCTGCCAGTTCATGGTAAGGGTCTCGCCTGGGTAGGCCTTGGCGAAGGGGAGGTTTGGAGGGAGGTGGTTGGCCTTGTCCTTGTTGCGGAGGAAGGTGTCCTGGGTGCCTGGCTTGCAGAGAGGGGCGGCGTTGTTGCGGTTGGAGATGAGGTAGGTGTAGATCGTGTTGATGTCGCCGTTGGCGCGGGTGGGGTAGTTTGTAGGGTAGCCTGCACATTTTCCGGAGGAAAGGGTCTTGACGCAGTCGACCCAGGAGTGGGCTTCGGTGACGGAGGTGGTGCCCAGGAGGGTGGTGCCCAGGAGGAGGGTGGTAAGAGCTAGGAGCATGGTTGAGGTGAACCCGCGGCGGGTAGAAGAGGAGGATTGAGATGCCATCGTTTGGCGAGTTGGTTTTTGAAGTTGCTTGTTGTAATGGGTCACTGAGGAGAGTGTGAGGAAAAAAATAAAATAAGGTGGGATGTGCGCGCTTTTTATAGCTGTTTTATTTAGGAATTCAAAAATCAGATTGTCGGCCGTGATCGGGCCTAGACCTCCCATGCACACCGATTAACCCTATTTGTGTTATCTGCGAACCTTGTGGAAAAAGAACAATCAAAGAGAGAGAGAGAGAGATGGAGTTACCAGCAAATGCGCACTACCAGGCTGACTGTATACGTTGGCAATATGCGTGCACCATGTTTTGTCTACCCAATATTACGCCCAGCCAGCGCAATTATTGGACGTCTCTTCGCAATCACAATAATTTACAGAACTTGCGGGTTAGGAGAGCATGTCAACAAACCCCTAATTGCAATTATTGGTTTTTTTTACATAAAATTGCCTGAAAGACATTGTCTTGTGTCGATGATAGCAATGTCAATTCATAATGATGTATCCCTTACTCTGCGTACTGGTTATTCCTCATAAATGGATGAAAAGGCCGATCAGGGGTTTTTTTAGCCAAACAGGCTGGTCCCATTACGCGGGATATGGTGGGTCTGGCAAGGGTTACAGTAGCCATCCACTGCGTCCACTGTATCAACGCAACTGGCAGGAGCACCTACCAGAAGGACGGTGAAGAAGACGCGCATACATATTGTTAGAACATTGATAAAAGCCATTGTGCAGTCCAACCTTAATAACCACGCGATTAAAGACACCGACTTACCCTTGATCGCCTCTTTGGCATAGTTTCTCTCAGTTGCTGCGGCAATGTCTCATGCCCGCCTTTCCTGAGCTCCAAAGTCTTCCTTTGCCGCTGTCCCTTACTAATGTTTTCGAAGGCTCTGGTGGTGGAGGCGTACCGCTTACGCACTCGATGCGTGTCCAAGATGGTGGTGAATAACGTTGAGCGATGGTAAGACACCTTGGAGACTTTGTCGTATGCCTCTTTGACTCCGGTAGTATCTTGTTTCAAGTCTTGTAATCTGCCTCGAGTTGTACTGACAATACTGCATGGGGCCGGGTGAAGCAAAGATCTACAGAGATCTCGCCGCTGTATCCTGAGAGGTTCGAGGGGCGGGTGGATGGATGTGGTTGATCCTTGATCATTGTGACTATAAAATAAATGAAAATGGATGGTTTAGCACTTGCACAACAAGTCAGCCGTGTCCAACAGCGTTCCAGATATGCACAAGTCCCAAGTACTTACATCGTGGCAGATGCCCCTGCATTTGTTCTACAGTGTGAGCTGGGGTTACCGAAAGTTGACAAAGACCATAGTCCGACGAAAAGGACTACGGGTCAACAATGTCGTGCTGATGTCGGTCATGGGGACGATGTCCTCGCAGGCAGGATATAGCCTCGTCGGGGTGAACATCGCGTGTTCCATGTTTGTAGGCGGTGGTGTATTGGTGGTCGACACTGTTGTTGTAGTCGTTGTTGTCGTTGACGATGAGGGTGTTGTGGCGGTTCCGGTGTCCCACATGTTTTTGATCCTGCCCCAGAAGTGTCTCTCCAACTTGATGTTCTTCCACCGTTGTAGGAACTCGTCGAGCTCTTTCTCCGCAATCGCCGACGCAGACTGTGCGACACGAAGCTGGGCGTCCTTCGTGGCTGGTGACAGCTCCCTCGAATCAGCATCAGCGCCATGATCGCCATCGTGGATCAGACCATTGCGCTCGGCATCATGCGACACTTTGCCTGTACTGATATGAGAAACGAGTGACCACCGGACAGGGCAAAAGCCGTATAGTAATTTCTTTCATCGTTTCTCTCAACTGCCATTTCCATTGACACGGAATGAAGATAGCCTTATAGTTTTAATATGTAAGTCTGCATTCTTTCGTGCTTACTTTTTTTTGGCTACAAACCTAGCAAATGCTTATTAACCCCAAGACTAATTCTATTTTGTGCATATTGAAAGTGGCAATGTATGGCTTTATTAGGTGGCGTCCTCCTTTATTTGACCCTTTCCCTTGTATACTATGGTTCCTTGTGTTCCGATTGTTTTTACTCGTGCGGTTTTTGTCTTAATCATGGATGTTAATGGAGGAGGGGTGAAGTAGATAAGGGGACATGTCGTTCTACGGTTGAAAGGTACATTGGGCTCATTCGATTGTCCCATGTCATCGGAATAGAAAGGGGCGTGTTGTGGTTTAGGATGAAAAGGGGGGGGGGGGTCAATGAAAAGAATAGAGACTAAAAGGAGATAACGATCATCTCAAAGGGAGACGTAGTTTTTGTCGCGCGTTTTGAGTTAATCTTGTGCCTGGAACAAGTGGGGATGCATGGGTCATAGTCGACTCGACGCGACCCATCCTATCGCGTGCTTTGTTCAAGTGGTGGAATGCGATGGGTGGTCAATTAGAGATAAGTGATAATTTAACCCTCTCTAATTGACGGTTGCTGCTGAAGAGGTGCAAGAAATGCAAGAAAGAAAAAGAAGAACACCCAAGACAAAAAGAAAGAAAGAGAAAAGCCGCCGCGAAAACGACACGGCTTGACGTCAGGATTGTCCAAGTCGAACCCTTGGCAAAAGGCTCGGGCTGTTCTTTTTTTTCTCTCTCCCTCTCTCGATAATTCACTTGGTGCAAAGTCGACGTCTTTCTCTCTTCTCTCTTCTCCTCTCTTCTTCTGCTTATCACTCACTCCTCCGCCTCCGACTTACCCACTACCTGCGGACACTCGCCGTTTACAAACAAGTACAACTAAACACACACATACATACAGACACAGGGAACAATGGTCGTCATCAACTCGGCTCTCCTCGCCAAAAAGTTCCCACAGCTGCCCGCTCATGATGTCGACGACCTCGTGAATCAATTCCGGTAAGTCCATTGGCTTGCACCCTCGAAAGAGGGAATGCCGCCTTAACACTCAATCACTTTGCATCCTTAAGGTCGAGTGAGCGTGAGAGAATGACAGAAGTACAGACCAAAAACTCATGCATTTTTATCTTTCCTCTCTTCTTATTATACTTGACAGTCGCTTCGATATTGATGGACGTGGCCAGATTGACCAGAAGGACCTTGTCAAGGTCATCCAAGAGATTGGAGAGGGACAGTCTTATGACCAGATTCGCGCTACCATCAAGGCTGTTGATATTAATGCTACCGGCAAGGTAGAAGTCGACGAGTTCCTCGAGGTAAGCAAAGCAAGCAAGCAATTGAGCACGCAATCATGAATGCAGGCAACTACAAAAGGATCACCTGGTCAGCTGTACCTCAATTCCTTCGTGGCGATAAGAAAGCGGGAGAAACACCAGCAGGAAGTACAGTGTGGTTAAGAAACAACAAACGATACTATAACAAAAACAGAGAGAAGGGCCATTGTGTGGCCTGACCACTTCTTATGGGAAAAGAGGAGATTGAGGTGAGGTGGAAATATGACTTCCCGGCGACATCATCTGAGCTACCGTTTTATTTCCTTTTTACTGACGTCTTTACATCTCTTCTTTTTTCGGTCCTTTATTTGTGTATCTGCTGTTGTCATAAACCAACAAAATAGATCGTGTCAAAGTTGCGCGAGGGAGGCGGCAATCACCAGACCTCGGGCAAGAAGGTGATCCAAGTCAAGGGTGCCAACAACAACATTACCCACTCCATGAACGATGACGAGCGTTCCGAGTTCACAGCCCACATCAACTCGGTCTTGGCCGGTGATTTGCATATCGGCGACCGGATCCCCATCCCCACCCACACCATGCAAGTCTTTGACGAGTGCAGAGGTAACGTAACTTGTTTTTTTCGTCGATTGCGAAGTATTTTTTCTCTTTTCTGTCCATCATGTCCAAAATGGGGGGTAAACTTTTTTGCGGTCATCTGCCCGGAACATATGGCAATGACAGTCGCTGTGTCACCCGTCTGGATCTCTCTCGGGGAATTGAACAAGCCAACATCTCAGGTTACTTATTTTTTTGCAGCAGCAACCTTGCTAACTCGAGGTTTCCCTTCTCCTTTTACAACACACAGATGGTCTCCTTCTGTGTAAGCTCATCAACGACTCTGTGCCAGACACCATCGATGAGCGTGTCTTGAACGTCAAGAACAAGCTTTCCAACTTCCAGATCATCGAGAACAACAACGTCGCCATCAACTCTGCCAAGGCTATCGGATGCAGTATCGTCAACATTGGACCCCAGGATATCATGGATGGACGTGAGCACTTGATTCTGGGTCTCATCTGGCAAATCATCAAGGCTGGTCTCTTGTCCAAGATCGATATTCGTCTTCATCCCGAGTTGTACCGTCTCTTGGAGGAGGATGAGTCTCTGGAGAAGTTCCTTCGCCTTCCCCCAGAGCAGATTTTGTTGAGATGGTTCAACTACCACTTGAAGGCTGCAGGATGGCACCGCACGTAAGTGTCTTTTTGTTGTCCTTCCAACTTCTTTGGTGTTCTAAACAACATTTCGCTCTCACATTCTTATTCTTGTCGATTAACCTCTTTGCTTTAATTGATATTTTTGGGCGCTCTTATCATATAGTGTCAACAACTTTAGTACGGATGTCAAGGATGGAGAGAACTACACTGTCTTGCTCAACCAATTGGCTCCCGATCTCTGCTCCAGGGCCCCTCTTCGCGAGAACGACCTCTTCTCTCGCGCCGAGCAGGTTCTTCAGAACGCCGAGAAACTCAACTGCCGCAAATATCTCTCACCCCAGTCTCTCGTCGCCGGTAACCCCAAGTTGAACTTGGCCTTTGTCGCTAACCTGTTTAATACCCACCCCGGCCTTGACCCTCTGGAGGAGGTTGAACGCCCAGAGTTGCCTGATGTTGAGGGTGATCGTGAAGCCAGAGGTACAGTACCACTATCCACATTCTTGTTTATCTTTCAATTGCGCCTTGCCGAGGATGTTTTACTAATGGGATGTTAATTTTGCTCATGCTCTCTTGCAAAACTCGATTTTTCATCTTATATATAGTTTTCGCTCTTTGGCTCAACAGTTTGGATGTGGATCCATTTGTCAACAACCTGTATGTGGATCTTCAGGATGGCACCATCTTGTTGCAAGCCTTTGACAAGATGCACCCCGGCATTGTTGACTGGAAGCGTGTGACACGCAGGCTGCCTTTGAACCGCTTCAAGCAGGTCGAGAACACCAACTATGCCATCATGATTGGCCAGCACCTCCGCTACACCTTGGTCAACATGCAGGGAGCTGATATCGTTGACGGAAGCCCCACATTGACATTGGGACTTGTCTGGCAGATGATGCGCGAGAACGTGACACAGACGATGAAGAAGTTGTCCAAGTCTGGCAGGGATATTACCGACATGGAGATGATTCGCTGGGCCAACGAGGCTGTCCAGCGTGGCGGCAAGACGAGCAAGGTCAGCAGTTTCAAGGACTCTTCGTTCAAGACTGGAGTCTTTGTGTGCGATGTCTTGAACGGGGTCCGTCCCGGATCGATCGATTATGCTATGGTTTCTCGCGGTACCAACCTCGAGGATGCCAAGCTTAATGCCAAGTACGCCATTTCCGTCGCCAGAAAGATCGGTGCCGTCATCTTTGTCTTGCCCGAGGATATTATCGAGTGCCGTGCTAAGCTTGTAAGTCATTGGCGTCCTTTTCTCTGTCTTCCCATTGTTCTTGTTTATTGTTTTGACGAATGCTTTACTCACTTCTGCACGTTCCATTTCATTGCGTATATTTCTAGATTTTGACCTTTATCGGTTCGTTGATGGCTATCGATGCTGCTGGCAAGGCATAGGGGCATCTCTTTTTGCTGTAATAAATACATTCAACATCGCTTTTTGTTCCGAATCTTGTGCAATGTTTCGGGCAACAGCACTAGCGCGACCGTTGCAAACTTTTTTTCCTCAGGCACGCGATGTCAATGATGTCAATAGTCGGCGCACTGCCGTTTGTTATTAAGGGTAACGAGGCTGGTCTGCCTTTGAACTTGAAGAGAGGTCTAATCTATGAGATGATGCACTTGTCCTTGTCCTTCTTCCCCGCAGACGAGGATTGTCTAGACTGCGATTGTGTGTTACTGTTGTTGTTGTTTGCTCTCTGTTGTGCTGCCGCCGCTGCTCTTGCGTTCCTTGCCGCATTCGCCGCCTTCAACGACCAATTATTGTTGTTGTTGTTACTGTTGTTGTTATTGTTGTTCCCGTTTGACGCAGTTCCGTTTGGTTTCTTGGCAGCCCCATTCCCGTTCCCGTTTCCTGAAGGTCGCCCAGACGGACTGCAAGCATGATCAGTCTCCAATCGATGCTTAAGACAATAATTCAACCGACAACTCTGACAGACAATCGGAATGGCCGACCGATTCTTGCACCCCTTGGCGTTACATGAGTTTGTATAGATTGGTTTTGAGGTGGTGGTGGCAGGTTCGGGGCAACCGGCGGCGATATGTTGTTCCATGCGGAGGTTTGGGTTTTCGCCTCGTTTCACGGGGACGGGTTTGTCGCAGAGGGGGCAGATGGGGACTCGTTGGTCCTGTTGAGTTGCTGCTTCTTTGTTGGGGCATTGGTGGCCTTCTAGTCTCCAGTGGTCCTGGCTATGAAGAGAAAGAGGGAGTGAGAGAAAGGAATGGTGGTAAGTTAACTGTAGTTTAAAGCGTAGAGTGTCATCCAATTATTATTTTTGGCGGGAAGCCTCTGTGCGTCGCAAGGTGGGAAAGAAGGACATACCAGTAGATCTGTTTGCAGTATTGGCAGGTGAAGGGGAGAAAGTCGAGCTGGGAGCACGTTGTGTCTGAGCAGTGCTTTCCGATAGAGGGCAGTTCCATGGTTATCTTTTGGTGGGAGCGGTTGGTTCGTTGGTTGAGTGGGCGAAGATGTGTAAAAGTGAGTTGGGTTACCGAGAGTTGGAGGTTGAAGAGCAAGAAGAGAGAATGAAAAAGTGAGGAGAGAATGTAAAGTGTGAATGAAGGCTGTGGGCAGATGGAATGTGAATTGAGGTCTGATGAAGAGTGAATGAGGGCAGTTGATGAAAAGAAGGAGGAAAAGGAGGAGGGGTCTGTCCTTTTATTAGCGTTGGAGGCTGGTTCCTGGAGAAAGAGGGGTTGCGTAAGACGGAGACGAAGAAAGACACAGACAAAGACGACGGGACTTGCGTGGAGTGGACGAGTACGACAGTCGGTTTCTCTTGCTTCTCTTGGTCAGCAGCAGCGAGAAGGCCACAGAACAAAGGGCTTTGCCCTTTCTCGCTTGCTCAGTATTTCCTCACCAAGATATCTCTCACCCAAATTGCCAAAATGACGTAAAAGTAATTTATAGCAAACACTACTTCCTTGCTCAATTGCTTTTTTTTTTTGCATTTGGAAGCGTTGCCTTTCGTTCCGTAGGGCATCAAGCCGAAGTCTTTGTTCTTGTTCTTTTCCGGCATCCCAGGTTGGCATCCCCCTACTTCCCCCCTTTCCTTCTGGCATCTCTTTGCCCTTTTTATTCTTGCATTATCACAAGCGCAGCGTAACCCTGCAGACAACATCCAACCGACCAACAACAGCAACAATAGCAGCAGCAACAAACCCATCACGCCCACTCCACCAACGGCTCTTTCTATTTACTTTTTGTCATCCTTGTCTTATCAGCCAGAAAAGACTGCCTCCCTTTCTCTTCTCTTTCAGCACTTCCTCCCCACATTGTCCGCCTGCCTTGTGTTCTTAACTGCCATCAACAACTACAGCGACAACTACAGCAGTAGCAATAAATATCTCAGACCGGCAGACACCCTCACAGGTATACAACAAGCAAGCAGCATACAACAACTGCGACACCACTCCTTTCACTCCAACTCCTTCCATACGCACACACACACTCTCTCTCTCATTCTCTCTTTCATATCCCTTACTTCAATCTACCCCTTCCATCCCCGCCTCCTTCCTCCCCGCCATCACTCCTTTACACCCTCCCACTCTTTCCACTCACCTCACCAACAACCAGTCAATAACACTATTTTTACACCTTCTCCTTCTCTCACTCTCACCAACTAGCCCACCCTCCTATCACACACAACAAAAAAGAGACTCATCATGCCTCGCATGCGCAGGATTGCACTAGTGTGTTGCTTCCTCTCCATCTGTCTGGTCATTGTTGTCCGCCTACCCTCAAGACATCTGCTGTATGGAATTCTCGAACAAGACCCACACGATGCGGAACGTATTATGATGGAGAGATATGCTCACAGTCTCCAGTTCAAGGGTAAAGTCAGGATAAAGTCTCTCGCCACGGCTCTTGAGGACGATCGCAGCGATGACATTGAACTCCTGCCCAAGAAATTGACAAAGAAGGAGCGAAGCACCACCGTCTACTTCCCTCCTGCCTGCAAGAACGGGCGCCACTGGCAGATCTGTAAAAAGATCGTTCCCAGCTTCATGATTGCCGGTGCTGAGCACAGCGGCGCCGACGTTCTCTACGAGGCCTTCCGGACCCACCCCCAGGTGTGGGACCTGGTCAAGTCGAACGAGATGTATGAAAGGTAACCCAACGTATTCATATCCTTACCCATTCATTCATTCACCATCCATGCATGAACGAACGAACGAGCGAGCGAGCAAGTGATAAAAAAAGAACTGAAGTATGAACAGCCCCGAATCCCCGCTCAACCACCACAACCACTATCTTCAAATCTTTCTATCCATCCCTCTCACTTCCTCCCTTCGCCTCATCCTTCCTTTATCCCATCGTTTGTCTCTCTTTCAATTTGCACGATATATGATGGCGTATTTGTTTACGAGAGTGTTACTTTGCATGGTGAAATGTGTGCGACACAAACACAAAGCACGCTCACGCTCCGAGCTGACGCCTTTTTCTTAACACTCTTTTTTTCTCTTCTCTTCGCTCTTTGTCTTTTGCAGGACTGGAAATGCTTCAATGCTGGAAATGCCAGAGAACCAGGAGACGCCCTTCTTTGGATCTCGGAGCTACAACGACCTCGACCCAGCCACAAAGAACTTGGAGTGGTACCTCCAGTACTTCCCCTCCATCAAGGACATCCCCATCACCTCCCACAACCCAGTGCTTTCAGGAGAGTCGGTCCCTCACATCCAGCACTATGGTCTTGGACACGTCAACATGGACCATCAGGAACAGTCCCAGAACAACCAAAAGATTCTTGTCGGCGAGTGCGCCCCAAGCTATCTTCACATGGACGGCGCCAGCAAGAGGATCGCAAGCACCATGCCAGAAATCAAGGCTGTCTTCATCTTCCGCGACCCAATCGATCGCGCCTATCTTAACTATCTGGAGCAGAGTAAGTGGTTGCCAGAATGTCGTTATGGTTCGGCTCTCCCATGGACACATTCTCATCACACTGGTCTCTTTATTGTTGTTTGGAATTGCTGTTATCAAGCAAGAGCACAACGCTAACGACGTCTTGTTGACCCGTACTTTACCATTTAGAGCAATACGCCGCTGGATATAGTTTCGAGGAGATCGTTGCGGAAGAACTTTTGATTCTCAAGGAGTGTATCGCACGTCCAGGAAGCAAAAAGTGGACCGAGTTCTTGAAGTGTCATTCAGAGGAGGCCACCAAGAGTAAGTGTGATCCGACCCTGAAAAAAATGATGGCTGTTGCTCCCTGTCTTTCCCCTCTTGTATTCTGTCAGGGGTTAGATGACTCCTTGCCTAATTTCTAACAATATTGCTCCTCCTACTACTGTTTGATTATCACAGCCGCCAAGAGGATGGCTCTTCCCAACCGACCTAGGTCCAGCAACGCCAGAGGTAAAATTTCATTCGAGTACACCAGTGCCCACGTTTCATCATGGGCTTTTTGTCCGAAAGTGAGGGAGTACCAAGCGGGCGGTCTTTGTTTTTATTCAGTCATACTAATAACGTCTGTTTCCTTTAATTAGATCCACCTGCACCATTGCTCAATTTGATTGTCAAGGGTCTCTACTATTCTCAGCTGCACGAATTTGTCAAGTACGTGCCATTTACCAAGATTTTGGTGCTGAGGACAGAGGATCTCTACAACAAAAAATCGACCGTTTCGACCATGGTCCGTCTGTCGCACTTTCTGAACCTCGACCCCGCTCCGTTCATGAACTTTCCAATTGAGATCGGAACGGACCCAATGGCACCACTTCGACATGGAGGCGCAGGGTACAACAAGGTCTTTGGGTCTAACGGAATTATGATTCAGGATGAGGAGGATTTGTTGACGATGAACGACGATCCCGAGCTCGAGTACGAACGCAGAGGACCCTCAGGCTCGACTGGCTCGTTGCCACAGCAGGTCTTTTCCGATCCACCTCTGGAGTTGGCAACTCGGTTCCGTTTGCAACGGGTCTTTGAGCCATTCAACCAAAAGCTGGTTGATATGTTTGAGCATCGACAGGACTTTCCAGGATGGGAGTATGATGTGGATCGCGGATAAAAAAAGCCCCGCCGGATATTAGTGAAGGCAACGCAAGATACCGAGACAAAATTCATAACATATGCGCATCCTATAGACAGCCCAAAAACAATATGACATTCTCTCTCTCTCCCTTTATTCTCGCCTTCCTCGGCACTATTATCTTTATTTATCCTCTATCATGCGCACGTTCTCGCATGCCAATCCACGAGCACACATACCATTCTTTCAGTATCATTCCATAGTAATCTCAGTAAACGCGTTCTAAGAAAAAAAAACTCCCGAGGCGTCCATTGTGCATTCGTTGATAGTCCACGTGATCTAAGCGAGTACTGCAAGCACCAACAATTTCGCCAATTACAAGTGATAAGGAATCAACTGCGATCATTTCTATCTCTTCTTATCAACTTTTTTTTTTTTTTCTTCTCCAAACAACCAACAGTGCCTCCACCATGCAGAAAGATCCCCTTCCATTCACAAGCCCTCTTCTCATCACAGGCGGAACAAGACCAACTGCAGTCTCCATCCCCTCCGCAGCCTTAGCTGCTGCGACAACACGCGCCACTGCCAACAACTCAAACAACTTACCCCTCGGGAACGGAGTCTATGCACCTCCGCAATCACAATCACTTCCTCCAACCCAACTAACACCTCTCACCCCCGCTGAACACTTATCAGTCTCGGCATTCAGGCGGAGGAGTCTCTGCTCGATCGATCAGCCAGGCGTCGTCATGACCAGACTGCCACAAGGTATGTTTGCTCATTCCCTCATTCACAAAGGAAAAAAAGGCCTCAACAAAGAGTGAAAACAAAAAAGTGTTCTTTATTGTTGTGATTATTTGGGGACGAAGGATGAGTAGGGTGCGTGCACGGTCAACGATTGTTGACTCCTTTTTGTCACTCATACAGATTTTGTCGTCGTCTTTTTTTAACACCTTGTTTTTCTTGCTGTATCCATTAGAGCTCGAAGAGAGTCAACATGAGTTTGGATCAAAGCTAGTTGTTATCATGGGTAAGAACTTCTGCCTGTTCCCTGTCGCTGCAGAAAGCAAAGAACCTACTTTTATTGTGTCAGCGGACCACCTATCGTTCGATACTTAACATACACAAACACACACGCATATCTTTTCCTCTCCTTTTTTTTTCTTTCTTTTGCTTATAGTGGGGTTGCCCGCGCGAGGCAAGAGCTATTTGGTCAAGAAGCTGCAGCGCTATCTGACGTGGCTGCAGTACGACACCAAGGTAAAGAGAATAATGCACACAGAAAAAAAAATCATAATGCAAAAAGGACAAAGATAAGGCAGCGATCTGTGGGTCGAAGAACACAAGATGAAGAGAGGAGAAGGGAGGAATGGATCGGATGACGCCCGCACTTTTTGGCCAGTACTTTTATTTGTTTTGTTTTGTGCGCTCTCACTTTTTGCGCACCCCCTCCCCACTGATAAGGACAGGACAAAAAAATTACGAGAGCTTTTGGCATGGGAAAACTGGGCCAACGAAAGGCTAGAGGTCAAGTGGCGCCCCATGGATCGGATTGGACTGAACAGGACAGGAGTACAACAAGCAAGAACAGCAACATCCTTTGTGTCATCAGCATCGCCAGCCAACAACCGACGAGCACTAACAACAGCGAGACAGTGGCGATTGGACAAGGACATGGCAAACGCGGAGAACTTTAATATCATTTTCGTTGTTATTGTTCTTTGTGGAGTGGGTTGATTTTGTGGATCAGTCTCGGCGCTATCTTTATGAGGGAGGGAAGAAGGGGAAGGGAGGGGAGAAGATGGGAAGATAAAGGCCTGTTGCATAACTGCGCTTTCAGAAACAAACGCCTGTTCTCTCTCGGTCGGATGTTCTTTGGATCCAACAGTGAACATTCTTCTCCCACTTTGCTTCTTTGGTCATCCCCTTTTTCCTGGTCTTCATCTTCATCATATTACGACGTCTCTTCTTTTTCCCTTGCCACCTCTAACTTACAAAATCATGTTTTTTTTGGTGCGTTTCTCTCTGGCAATTTTGCCGAACAGGTGTTCAATGTTGGTAATCGACGCAGAATCGCATCGAAGGGCGACAACAGGAATGGGACTAGTCACTCGCACGCCTTTTTCGATCCCAAGAACAAGGCGGCGAAGGAGATTCGAGATGAGCTAGCACTTGAGAGTCTGGAGGAACTGATTGCATGGCTCAAGCAAGGAGGGCGCGTCGGTATTCATGGTACGACACACATTAGTCAATTATCAATCGCTCATCATCCCACTCCCCTCCCTGTTTCTTTTATCAGTTTCACCCGCGCATCACATCATTTTCATATCTCTGTCCACACATATGCAATAGGGTCTCTGATCGTACCATCTAACATCTGCATTCTCTTCTATTTCTTGTGCTCATTTTTGCATGTGCGTGTGCTTGTGCATGTTTCTCGGTCGATTATCTCCTTTCTATATATTTAGATGCTACAAACTCATCGCGGGAGAGAAGGTACGATGACAGTTTGGATCAACAGGAACGGAACTCGAAGCAATGAATCATGAGTATCTGCATGGGATTCACATGCCATGTCCACATATATTTTTGCTCACTCGTCTCCGCCTCTTTTTCTCTGTTTCTCATTCATTTCGATCACTTTTCTTAGGAAACTGTTGTTGAATCGACTAGAACAAGAACCAAATTGCAGAGTGTTGTTCATTGAGTCAATATGTACGGATCCTGTCGTCTTGGCCCATAATCTTACCATGAAGCTGAGCTCACCGGATTACAAGGATATGGATGAGAGGCAAGCCAGGGAAGACTTTAGAAAGCGACTTGAAAACTATGAGCGTGCCTACCAGACTCTGGGCGAGGATGATGAAGAGGACGGAATCCAGTACTGCAAGCTTATCAATGTCGGCAAAAAGGTAACGACGCCGACAAGCAAATGACGACTGCGGTGTTGCGTTTAGCTTCGAGAGATTTGGGAACCTTGGCTCGGAGATCTAATCGCTATTCTTTTATAATATGCTTTGCTAGGTCATTGCATATAACATCCAAGGATATTTGGCGGGACAATGTATCTTTTACTTGATGAACTTTAACCTGTCACCACGGTGCATCTGGTTAACACGCCATGGCGAAAGTGTCGATAATATCGTCGGAAAGATTGGTAACGACGACTCCAGCTGCAAAACCACTGTTGTGGGAAAAAGACGAGTTGGAACTGAGAGTACAGATGGCTAATAACGTGGAATGCTTCTTGTTTTTCACACTTGCAATAGGTGGCGATGCACCATTGTCTGCACGAGGAAGGAGATATGGTGACTGTCTATCGCGGTTTATCAAACATCAAAGGCAGGAGAACGAAAAGTCACGGAGGGTTGAGGCCGATGCAGGGATGGCGATATCTCCACATCGCGAGCGGACTGTCGCTGTGTGGACGAGTATGCTGACACGGACCAAGGAGACTGTCGAACGTTTTGACCCCAAGGAGTACGACATTAAACACATTCGATTCCTCAATGAGATCTATGCCGGTGAGTGCTTCTCTTTTTTGTTCATTGTGGATCAACTACGAGCTTTGCGTTGCGCATTGATTTCCACAGGAATTGTGATTGTTGACTGACTCTTGTGTCATATTTATTTTTCTACGGATAGGCATATGCGAAGGACTATCGTACACTCAAATTGAGAAGGAGTATCCTGAGGAGTTTGAGGCACGGAGAGTGAGCAAGTTATTCTACCGTTATCCAGGTATGCGACGCTTTTTTTTCCCTTTGTGCCAGTGACGCCGTGGTGTGCTGCGCACTTTTACTTTTCTACGTTTTGAATAGTTACATCGACATTTGTTTGTGTAACATGTCCCTAGAATTCTTTGTCTGACGTTTTCTGTTTTACCTTCTTTCTGGCAGGGATGGGAGGAGAGTCGTACCTGGATGTGATTCAGAGACTGAACCCGTTGATTATTGAACTGGAGAGGATGACATCTGACGTGTTGATTGTGACGCACCGGGTGGTGCTCCGTATTCTGCTGGGATACTTGATGGACATTGACCGGTCCAAGATGCCAGAGATGGATGTTCATTTGCACACGTTGTACTGTGTTGAGCCCAAGCCCCATGGAACGGTTGTTAAGACGTACCGGTGGGACGAGGGACTTGATTGGTTTGTGGAAGCGCCTGTCGATAAGTAATATGTTTGCGGTTTTTTTTTGTCTTGCCTTCTCTGTTGTGTTTTTTTCTCATGAGTGAAATAAATTGTATACAGATTACATACAACTATGCGATGCATTGGCTGTTGACGGCTGTTGAAAACTACAAGGTTGAGGATGGGATGACCAAATAGAGACTTTGCGCCGATAGTCGGGACGCTGGAGTCAAAGAGGGAGCCTGTTGTTGCAGGGATATATATCGTGGCTGTTGACTTTGAATAAATCAAGATTCATCGACATACCTGCCGGTGCCACTGACAGCCAGCGTTGCGAATGCTCCTCCTCGGCTCTCACATCACATCATCATTCAAAATATCGCTCGTTTTCCTTCCATGGAATTCGTTTTTCTCTTGAGATTGAAATACTTGGGGTAAAACTTTATGGCCATCGCATGGCGTGAACATGGCGCTAGGATAAAGTGGTGCTGGCATATTGAAACACCGTTTTCATTGTTGCTTCGTGTGGAGAACGTGGACCAGAATAGGCTATCCACAATGAGAGAAAGTAGAACAAAGTGGCGCAAAGGCAACGGAGAAAAGAAGGAAGAAAACTTGTTCCTTCCTGTGCTCCATCCACTCTAGTGTTTGCACAAACTCTTTTGCTCCACGATTCCTACGATAATTTACTAAGAAAAAAAAGCGAAAGTCAATCGCGATCATTGTAGTCGTCATCGCTGCTCCTGTTTCGTTGCTAATTGCCTTCTGCAATCAATCGACCGGTTGAACTGTCACTCCCACTCCTGTCTCCTGCCCCCCCTTTTTTTCAAAGACCAATGCGGTTTTAGCTTTGCTCAAATGTGTCAAATGAAGTTATCAATTGAGTCAAATGTCTCTGCTCCTCTCCTTTGACCCAATATCGTCATTCTCACTTTTCCTTCCTTTAGGCCAACGATCGTCGCAATAATGGGTCGGTTAGAAACCTCCCGCATGATGTGGCTGAGGATGGTAGTGGCTTGCCATCTATCCTTTTTTTTTTTTTTTTTTTTCTTACACACTGTGCCCCCTCTCTCCCCTTGTCTTCTTCTATCCCACCGTCTCCTCATTTTTCTTGTTTCCTAAAGGTTTTTCCTGGTACTTTTGTGTGGCCCTTTAAAATGGCCAATGTTTACTTTCTTGGGCTTTTTTTTTTTTGTTATGTCAGTTGAGCGCCTTTTTTGTCTATTTCTATTTTTGTGTAAATGGTGCTTTGGTGGTTTTTTTTTTTGGCGTTACAAGTCGTTCGTCGTTTGTGTTCGTGCTGCCTGGTGGTGCGCAGACATGGTCTGTGAGTGAACGGCGTGATTGAGCCAACAGTAAGAGGAGAGGAGGGGAAGAGTAAAAAAGAGAGGGAAAATGTCACTTGAAACTTTTGAACCCATGAACCCCAGGAGGCAAAAAAACAAAGGAGGCAAGGGGATCAAGAGCCAGCAGTAAGGCTGACATGAAGGCAAAGGCATCATTATCAATGCAACAGTTTATCCCACGACTCCATCGATAACAGGAAAGATACCTCTTCGGCACTCGATTTGCAGAACTGTGTCAGTGTTTGATGAAAAGAATGGGAGAAAGTTCAAAAGGGGGGTGTGGGTGGGTTGACTGAGCCAACTGAGTTGACTGAGTTGACTGAGGTTTGATTGGTACAATGGAAGACTCAAAGTCTTTGCTATAAAAGACGGGAAATTGACAGGGGACATTTTAGTCAGGACGGGAGAACATTTTCCCCACCCGAATTGAAGCTTCCCTGTCCCCCTTGATACCGGTGCATACACATTTTACTGAACACCTCACTCTTTTCTCATCTCTCGAAAATCTTTTTTTGGGTTCTCGAAAGGCAGGTGAGAATCAATCGGATGTGAGTAGGATGCTAGGAAAGTCAGCCAGCCAGGTTTGGGCGTAGGTACAGCTGCAAGCAGCCAGGCAGGCAATAGAGCAGGTGTTTGTATACAGGAGAAGAAGGGCACCTCTAAAGGAAAGAAATGTCAAGGCTTTTTTTTTTAGACTTCTAGAGAGTAGTGAGAGGAGCAGCCTAGAACTTGGGCGTAAAGCAAAAAATAAAATAAAAAAAAGGGGATAACGTACTTTTGACGATGTGGAGGGAAGTACGGTAGGGGTTTCCAAACAAAATAGAAAGTCAGCTTTTGAGCACCTATGATGAGATTGGGGAGGGAGGGAGGATACAGTACCACAAAAAATAATAAAAGAGGACAAGGGAACTTTTTTTTTTTTCTTTCTGAAGAAAAATGGAAAATGGATAAAAACAATAGGCATCTGGGATTGTTGTGTATTGCATGTTGTATTTTCGGCTCCATAGAATTGCCAGGATCTCTTCAAACCACTAGGAAGTTTTGTTGTAACCCCTGTGTGCCCCTTTGTCTGTGGCTCTATGCTCACGCTTGCTACCTCCCACACTATGTCATTTTTTCACGGCATGCCTCTAAAAGGAATTAACGACAGCAACTACACGAAAACTAAATGAACAAAGTAAAGCCTGAGTAGAGGTGCAAGGAGGGACGGAGAGAGGCTGATGATCACTTGAGGGCACATTTCTAATGCCGGGCAGAGTCGGGTATACACAAGTTTCACAAAAGAATTGTTGTGAGGGTTTTTGTTTGCACGAGAGGAAGAAAACGAGGTTAGGAATGAGGGATGGAGGTGGAGGGGTGAGGAGAGGAGGGTGAAATCATTCATCCATATTGTTTTTCCTTGTTGTCTCTTTGTGTTCTTTGTGTTCAGACCTCATATGTCATGGTTAGGTTACTGGTCCATGTTTATGTTGTCAACGTGGCGTGGCAAGGTAAGAAACGCGATGCACGCAGCAACACGCGTTGAGCGTGCGTGGCAGGGATGGGGTCAGGGGTTGATCGTTTTTCAGCTCCTTTTTTTTTTTTTTTGATTCCATCGATCCATCAATCCATTGGCCATCATTTTCGCGAGAATGCGCACTTTTTTGAACGAGGGGATAAGCATGCGTATGTGTGCTTGGCGAGTGAATGTGTGTGTTTATAGGAGAACACAGAGCAAAGGACAAGGGATGGGAGGGTGAGAGAGTTCTTATTGATAGCGTTGCTTGTCAAAAAAGGCAATTTTCTTCTCTTGGACCCCTCCTCCTCCATGCCCCTCCCCTTCCCTTCCCCAACCCAAACCGCATCGCACCAACTCTCTTTTTCATATAGGAGCTTTTTTTTTTTTTTTTTGTTTCCTCCACTATTCAATTATCGACATAAAGTAAAGTAGCCTGGCTTAAATATCCCGCAAACCATTTTGATATTCACTTCTTTCATCACCCGTTCATGTTCAGCTTCATTCCTTTGCATCAGACAGATAGTAACAGCCAGTCAGCACGAACACTAGAAAAAACAGTTGACATGGCACTACTACCGCCCCTTCAATTAGTAACCGTGTGCAATGGCGCGATTGCGAGAGAAGGCACTATCCTTTATTTTGGCTCGCTGAATAATACCATCAAAAAAAGAAAAAAGGGTTGTCTTGAGAACAACCGTCTTGGGATTGCTCATTGCAGATTAAAGGCAAAAAGATTGACATAACCTGTACTGTACAGTGTCCACACCCATTGTTGTTTTTTTGAAACAATTAATAATATGGGTTTTTTTTTTTCCAGGAAGAGTCGATTGTCAGCCATTTCTGAACGACATAGCAGTTCGAGGGATGGAGGATTAGTGGTGAGGTTAAAAAAAAAGAAACCCCAATAAGGGATTGGACGCATGGAAAGTGAGGAAGGACAAAGAAAGGACAAGAAGAAAGAGAGAAGGGACGCGCGTCACAATTTTCCACCACGGGGTTTGTGTTAGTGAGGTGGGTAAAAGAAGCACTTATCTGGTTGTTCTTTAGTCGAACAAGGTAAAATAATTTTTTTGTTGTTGTTTTTGTTTTTGAGCAGGACGAGGAATTATTAATCATACTTGTCAACACCTGTCAACTGTGTCAAGGCGCAATTCTATCGCCGAAAATAAACTGAAAAAGAAAACTTTATCGTTGAGGTCAATTGACCACTTAGGGTGTGGAAAAAGAAGGAAAAATAAGGTGGGGAGCAGCAGCAGCAATTGAAAGTAAAAAGAAGTGAAGAGTTGAAGGAGTAAGCAGAGAGGGATGGATGGTATGTGGTGAAGGCGAATTGGAGGAGTGTAGAAAGAGAACGATATGCGAGCGGATGAATAAAGAGGCGACGGCTGTTGATGGCGATGTTGATGTTTGATGATTATTTGTTGCAGTATGGATGCCCAGTGAAGCAAGGTGGAGTGATGAATGACGCGCGTTCATCTCTCATGGTTGTTTGTGTTAAGTGTTGACACTTAACCCATTAGGATCCATTCAATGCCAATTGGGTAAATATTACTGCAGCTATTGAACAAAGAAAACAATTGAGTGCATGAATCAAACAAACAATAAACGTTGCATGGCTGGCGCACGATTGGACCTTTGACACCCGCAATTGAATTGAGGCGTGGAGTATTCAATGATATGTAAAGGAGAGCTGACAAATTCAACAAAAAGATTTTTCTTTCCTCATTCTCCTCTCATTTCCCCTGACAGCATCCAAAGTGACTCAAATCAATGAGACGGGCCGTGAAAAATCAATACAGACTAATCATTTGACCGGCGGGAGGACAGCGTCATTCTAATTTGACGGCACTTTTCGAAAAATTATAAAAAGGCAAGGCCATTTTCCTCCCCTCCCACTTTTTTTTCTTTTCTTTTTTCTCTTTTTTTTGGTTCTTTAGCCTCAACTCTCTTCAAAAACAACAACTATCGCCAGCCTTTGCCCTCCTGACAGCAAACAACAGCACCCGCTCACTCTATACCCTCAGTCAACAGCACACCAACAACCAACAACCAAAAAAAACTCATTCACTCTTCCTCTCTTTATCCTTCTCATTCAACAAAACAGCCTCAACCACAACCACATAAATACATAATGTAAGTGGCAGGCACACAACCTTACCTTCTCTGCGACTCTCGTCGCCAGCGCTCCTTTCTTGTCTCCCTCGCCTCATGACTATCTCTCTCTCGCCCTTCTCTGCGCCTTCTCCTTCCTATCTCACAGTCAGTCTACCTCTCTATTTCTACGGGCTGCGCACTGGCCTGTAAACTGGCTTGGCTGGGTGCTTGGCAAGGGCTTGCGTGTTCTTGGCTGGAAAAAAGAATGAAAGAGTCAGTGGAGATGGTGGCAGGTGAAAAAAAAAAAGAATACTCTATGTTGTATTAATCCTCTTATCTTCTCTCTTCTCTTCTTTTATTCTTTTCATCCTCTTTTTTTGCAGTTTTTTTTTGTGATATGGCTCACTACCCTGTTGCAATGCGTCCTACTCCCCTCCTTCCAACGTGGGTCGAGTTGGTTGTTTACGGCGATACTCCTTCCTGAGAATGCCCCTTCTCTCCCTTCCACTTCTCTTGGCGTTTCTTTGTATTTTTATTTCTTGGATGAGTGCTTGCATGGGCTGACAGCCCAATACCTGTACTGTGTATGTGTACCCTTGTGTTTTGTTTGTTGTGTGTATGTGCTATCCTTCCCGTGCGGAACCAACATGACGAGGAAGTTACCTTTCTTTACCTTCGTTGGGACTGTTTCTTTTCGATTATTAATCCACAAAAGACGGCGTGGGAGTGATCGATAGAGAGAGAGAGGGCGTGTTAAAAAAAGAGACAGATAGGGACCAATGGAGCATGCCCTGTTATGGAAATAATCAACAATCGAGTCAATCAACCCGCTCCCTTCAGTGTCTGCGCAGACCCCTCCAATCGAATCCAATCCTCTCCACTCGCTCCCTTCCTCCCGTCAAAATTACCAAACATACAAAAGAAAACTGTAAACTGATTATCCCCCTACATCGCCTTCCCTACTGTTCCTATCAACTCTTTACAGGCAGTCCAACAACATGCTCAACTACAACTCCTCGCCCCTGTCCTGCGCTTCTTCCTGCTCTTCCTCGCCCTTCTCTTCTTCCGATAACGCCGCCGAGCTCGATATCCTCGACATGCAAATGTTCTTCCCCTCAGAGCCCTCCATCTACCAGCAAATCCTCGATATCGATGACGTCCTGGGTCAGCAGCAACAGCAACAGCAGCAGCTCCAGCTTGCCCATCAGCAGCAGAAGCAGCAGCAGTTCCAATACGAGATGGCTCGCATCGGCTTGGGCACTCCCCCAACCTCGCCCCCAGCGCCTGCCTTCCATAACTACTACGAGCAACAAGGACAAGCCATCCATAATGTGTATGTCACTCCTGCTCCAGTCTCTCTCGTTCAACAACCTCAGCAACCCTCTTCCTTGCCTCAAAAGCCCGATACAAAGCTTGAGCAAGAACTGGCGTATCTTGAATTGATGCAACAGTTTGATAACCTCGAGAGTTCTCTCTTTAGTCACAGTCCCATTAGTAGCTGCAGCAGCAGTCTGAGCAACAGCCCCTACGCAGAGTCTCCTCTCTCGGCCATCAGCACGGACTTTGACCTCTTCCCCATGAACAACATCTCGGCACCCCAGCGCCACCAGCCTCAGCAACAGCACCCAAGCATGAGCTACCCTTCCGTCCCCATTATGGCCCCCCTCGCAGCAACGGCTCAGTATAACCAGCCCAACGTCTATCATCAAATGACGCCACCCATGCACCAGATGGAACTTGAGCGGGAAGTCTGCTCGCTCTTCCGACCCGATCCCAGCATGCCAATGACAGCCGATATGTCCCAGTTGTGCAAGTGTCCAGGAAAGTTCCCCTGCGGAGGAGAAGCTCCCGTTGCCCAGGACATCGTCACCTCACCCATCTCTTCGTCGATCCCCCAGAGCAGCTCGCCCTTGCAGAGCATCTCCGAGGATGACTTTTCAGAATCAGATTCGGGATCAGAGGAGGACCAGGATTGGGATCCCAGCTATCTCCCCTCCAACGCAAGGACCGCAGTCGGAACTGCCGTTGCAAGATCAGCCGTTGGCGGTCCTCGATCTCGCGTGGACAAGGTGAGACCAAAATCTTTGGTCATTTCGTCGTCGGTCGCGAGCGCCCCTTACTCGAAGGAGTCGGCCCAATCTCCGGTTCGCCAGGATCGCCGCCGCTCCTCATCTGGGTCGTATAGCTCTGGAAACGGGGGTCAGCAGTTACTTGACCCCGAGTTACTCCCCAAGATCACCGACATCCACGTCTGTCCTGTCTGCGCAAGACGCTTCTCGCGTCCCTTCAACCTGCGCTCGCACATCATGACCCACACCACCGCTCGCCCTTACGCATGCGATGAGTGCCACTGGTCCTTTACCCGCCAGCACGATCTTCTGAGACATAAGCGCGCTAAGCACCCCAACTCCGTTTCGTCCTCGACTGCTGGCGGCCACAAGAACGAAACCATCCCCAACTCTGGTGTCTGAATGAGCGACACGCTATGCCTGGCGTCCGGGTCTCTCTTCGCAGGATGATCCTTTCCCTATTCTTCATATCTCTAATCCATCCACCTACCAATCCCCACACCTTTTTTGTCTGCCTTGGGTTTGACGACACCTCCAATATTTATTATTGGACCACCTCCCCTTCTTTGGCGCAATTGACCACTAATCAGATCCAACATCTTGCTGGATAATCGCCCTGCGGTCTTCGTACTGCATCCAACCATTCCAACACCACCACTCGTGCTTGCTCGAGTCGTTTGTGCTCTCCTGCCTTCTTCGCAGCTCTGACGGAGATGCGCTCGCTCCCCTTTTTTAATCATTACAGTTTATCGTTCATTGCATTGGGCTTATGCCTTGTTAATAGCAATAAAAAAAACTTGTAAATATCTTATACAGTATCTCTGCGGATCCTTTGGCCATGACCGAGTTCAAGAGGAGAGAGTACAAGTTTGGTCTGACCAGTCCTTTTTGGTGAAGTCATCCGATCTCTCTGCGATGTACTTTTCAATACATTGAAAATATAATGATTTTTGTTTTCGCATTACAAATATGTCGACGGAAGGTGCTGCAGGGCGGCCACCAAAGAGTGAACGAGTTTGGGCATGAAGCCAAGAAGAATACTATCATAGTAGTTAAGGGACGCGCATTTTAATCATGAATGTTCCTGACCTTAGTATCCAACTTGGAGACCTGGAACTTGGCACCGGCATAGATCCTCTCCATGTTCATATACAGTAAAAGATTCAAGGTTAATAATTGTTGGCAATGCTCAAAGATTGGCGAAGTGAGGTGCAATTTTATTCTGTAGGGTCAATGCGGCGTCCTGCTAGTAAATAAGGTCAATAACACCATGGGAACATAGGCACTATTAAAGTACCACCACCATAGTTAACTGTTCAGGAATTTTGACGCCTTGTAGATAGAATGCTGGACGTGTCAACAAGCTCTTCTTCACTTGAACCAGGCGTGGACGTCCAATGATCTTGGCAAGAGTGTTGGAGGCAATCTCTTATAACAACTGGCAAAGAGATACAGTTACAGTAATAAGTACAATCGCAAAAAAAAAAAAAAAAAAAAGGCTTATATCATACCCTGGCAGTTGTCAAAGGACCCAATGCATGCAGCAGTAAGGTAACTGGAGCTTATTCTCAGGGATTTCGAACGTTCCTATGGCCTTCGGTATATAAATACCTTATAGGTAATGTCCATCGAGAATACTTCACACCGATCAAGAATGAAAGAATGATCAAAGGTATGGGTAAGAACACAATATCTTGTTGAAACGAAGTAACTCAGGGCCTTAGAGGCATCATACAATACCTTGAACAAGCATCCCTAGAATGACAGGGTCCTCCACGCCGGCTTCAAGTAGACAGTTAAGACTCAGCCGCATCAGAAGGAACACCTTTCTGACATCTACGTCGCAATCATCCCCATCAACATCTGGAGACTTGACCTCAAGCATAGCAAAAGGAAGGCCATCCTTTTCATTGAATAAATCGGGATGGAGTCGTTCTTCGTAGTCTGGCGGCAATGGGAACGGGTCAATGGTCTCTGGAATACAAATGAAAGTTATGTGAGATATTCGGACTAATGGTGATCAAGGACGACATCTCAACCAAGCATCAAAATAACAAACCAGTGTTCCTAAAAGTCAAGCTGCGCAAAAGTACCAGTAATGAGAGGCTTCAATGACTGTTCAATGTGAGTATTCTCGTTGACAGCAAGTTTCGAGGCTCTATCACGCAGGACTCCTGAGGATGCATAGACCGAGATGATGTCACCCGCAGCACTCTTTTGCTGCGCTGTTCTCGCCACCACTCTTTTTAGTTGGCAAGCATCAGAACACGTCAAAGTTGATATCCAACATACTGACTGACTGGACTCAAGCATGAGAAAAATACCTAACGCGGTGTTTATTAAGTAAATAGTGAATGATCACGACGAGCGCGTGAGTGGTACGTGACTGAGGTGAAAGGATGAGCGAGCGACTCATTCGTTCGCTCGCTCAGTACTGGAGTTAGGCCTGCCTCTTTTTGATTGGTGTTAGGAGAAGTGTTTCTTGAAGCACTTTTGGCTTTGGCGGGGGAGTGACCGATCTCGGTCCAATTCACTGGATCATTGCATTTCGCACTTGACGGTGTTTATATTTTTGGCGAAAGCTTGTTACATCCGCCGAGAGTTTGTCCACCGATCTCAAAAAAAGCGTAGACAAACCATGTAAGTAAGATAAATAGAGGCAGAAATAAAACTAAAACATCACAACAGCAAGACTTAATAATAATAGCGCTTACGATAAAGTTAAACATGGTCGAAAGGGATTCCCCATCAAAAAAGTCTTCTAGTTCTGCGGCGTTGGTCGGAATATACACGACGTCCGCTGTCACCGGTCCGCATACGAAGATGTCTCCATACCTCTGAATGACATAAAAAACCCCAAGAAATCCTTCAAAAAACAGTCAAGCCAAAATCAGCTGTAACAGACAAATATGTAATAAAACTAACATCAACAACTGAAGGCTTACCCGCTATATCTCCAGCAATAATAGGCGTGTCCAATCCAACTTTGTGTAGTGCTAGCTGAATACATCGGTTGATTCTGATGTTTTTTTCGATTCTGCTGAGAAAGAATCGACCCGCATCGAGAAGGTGCCTTGACTTCGAGGTTCGCTAGTTCATTTTCTCCAGACCTGAAAAATAGGTTGCATAGCCTTCCACTATCCGATATATCGCCAAGCTCAGCCTGAAGCTCCTTTCGTACGACTTTCGTGCAGTTAAGCATTTGGTCACCCCTGCAGAAAAGAAAACGGGTCATTAACGGTTTCAAGTAAGCAGGTATAGATGCAGACGTTTTTCAAGTAAAGACAGACTTACATGTGCATTGAAATTTTTTTAACAACGCAAAAATGGCGGCCAACTGATGAGAGCAGTCTTCTTCATATGGTGGTGATGATCCGAAGGGAGGACTCATAATAAATGAGCAGAGATGCTGTACAACGCTCAGGACTTGGTCGTGAACTTGGTCCGAAGGTCCTGGGGTACCTGCAAGTGATAGCTGTGCGATCTCGCCTCTCCGTACTTGTATCCAGCATGACAGATGCTCTATCCCTTTTTCAGTATCTCCTGTAGAGGCCGAAGAACCTCCACAACGACATGATCCTAGTTAAACTCTTCTCGAAGGCATGCTTAACGTGCAAACTTTAGGTGTTCATCTTCAAAGTAGTCTTCGATCCCAGTTGCATACAGGTTCAACACACACGACATTGACACCCTAAGAGACAGGCAAGCTGTTTAGTACCAGATATAGAAGTAACTAAACGACCGCAAAGCAGTAAACCAATAGAATAGCCAAAACATACATTGCATCCTTGATGAGGACCGTCTCCCTGCCACCGTTCTTCTGATATCGCCGAAGACATGCCCTGGCGTGTCTGAAGAGTCTCAAATGATCTGCCGACATGTCTGCAGGTATTGAAGGGGGTTTTATACCGTGTGCCCCGTTCATCTAACAAACAAAAGAGACGCGTAGTCGTTAGAACAGCTTCCAGTCGAGTAAATGACTCATGGCTCATTTGCACGTCATAAGCCTACCGAGTTTATTAGAGCGGCTGTCAAAGAAAGCCATGGTTCCTGAGTTTTGGCAGAGACACGTCTTCTCTTAGCCGGGGGTACCGTCGGTGTTTCTTCCCTGACCTCTCCCTCCTCAGATTCGGAGTTGACATCGGAATTGGAGCCGAGATCTACTTCTTCATCGAATTTGAGTTCGACAACTTCCTCCTCGGATTCGGGCTCGACAACTTCCTCTTCGGATTCCGGTTCGACGACTTCGTCTTCGGATTCGAGATTTCCTTGTTCGGCCTGGTATGCGTCCAATAGGGGGTTTCAAACCTTGGCATACCCACATTCATATCGAAGCGTATTTCAATGGTGTATTTGAAATACATCAGCCATAGAGGAAACGTACTTCCATGGCGGATTTCCTTGACGGCGCATTTGAATGACAAGAATACCTGGTTGTGCATCTTCCAAAGACTTGAAGTTGTCATGACTCCAAGCCCCTCAAGACGTCACCATCATGCCTTGATTGATTGCATCTGTCACGTGCAGCAATCCTAGACAAGTGGGCGCGCCTGCTTTTATCTGTCGTTTTCCTTTGGATAGAGAAACTCCTCTCTTTCCCACTTCACCCACCTCTCATCATCCCCCACCTTGATCACCGCCCACATCCGACTCTTGACGCCACCACTCTTCCCCGACCTCATAATCTGCATTCTTCTCAGCCATACATCTTTCATTTGCTCGGAACATCTTTCTACCGCTCAGACATTCCTCCACCACATTTCCCTGGTGGCCCTGAATCTCTCACTATCAAGAAGGTCGTAAGGAACGCACTCGGGACAGGAACATACCTACCACAGCTAGACAGAAGTCTCAACGGATAGTAAAGAGTGACCAACGGAGCGCTTAGTGAGAGAAAAAGCGTCGGAAATACTATTCCCACTAGCGAGTTTCCATAAGGACGTTAGGAAACAAAGGCGACGTATGCACTCTATGTTTGTTTTTGTTTGTAGTGGCAACAACACCATGAGGCGGACAGAACAAATGAAGGCGATCAGGAGGTTCTAAGCAATTTTCTCATGCAATGCTTTATATTGATTGTTTGTAGGAGATAGTATCTCGGCAGGACGTTTCAACAGTCTAAAGCCGATAACCTGACAAGGAGCCTTCGCCACAACCTGTACCACCCCAACAATTTGACAGTACACAGGACGCAGGATGGCAGAGACAACGATGCAGGATGTTGGTCTCGTCGAGCGGATCCTCGAAAAAAGAGTCAACATGGATACGGGAGCAGTCGAGTATTTGATCCGATGGCAAGGGACAGACAGCCAGGGGAACGAGTACGAGGACACTTGGGAGCCCGAGGAAAACGTATTGGGGGTGGAACTGATCGAGGAATTCGAACAGTCTCAGCCAACGATGCGTGTTCACCCTCGCCAGCCCCTCTCCACAAAGGCCAATGGAACGATGTCGCACCAGGGAGAGACCAACAAACGCCATCCCTCGGTCCGGTATCCTCTTCCTCCATTACCGCCTCCAACAGGAACAAATCGCCATCAGCAGCCTCATGGGCGGGAGCACCATCTTGACTCGTACCCTGCACATTGGCAACACGGTGGACCTTTACGACGAACACCACACCAGGCTGCACCGTTTGGCGCACCACCAGGATATTACCCTTCTCGCAATGCGTCCCAATACCCACCAATGCACAGGCAACCTCACTTTCCGGGCCAATTTCATTTGCAACACTATCCCTTTTACCCTCCTTACGATCATACCGGAGTTGGAGGACATGTATCAAAACGGGACCGATCAGCCGCCAATTTTACAAACCCCTCAAAACGAAAGGCCTCTACTTCGATGGTTGATGATCCAGAGTTCAAGGATATGTCAGGTGTTGAGTCGACTGCTGACGCAGAATTGACGGGATCGCAGGAAACAGGGGAGACTGACAAGCGGTTAAAGGTAAACTGTCAGCGAGTGCTGGTTTAGATAAAGATTTAACCTGTCCATTGCTATTGTGAACTAGCTGGGATACTAATATCCTCGATTTTTCCGCTCTTGTGGTATGCGATAGGCAGGAAATGTGTTGCGCAACTACAACCAGAAGAGCAAATACATTTCAAGAAGGCAGGCAACAGGCATTAATGGGAAATCGACCACACCCATTCGACTCTTGCAGCTGGATTCTGATCACGAGAGGGCTTATTTCAAGTCGGTTATTGAAAAGTCGGAGCTTCTCAAGGATTCTACTCTTCTCTCAGAGCTTATCCATTTTCTCAAGGATCCCAAAACTCCGGGTACGCATCTTGGCATTTTGAATGAGCATTAATGCATTGACGGTAGTTTTACATGCTGACTCTGGCTATATTTTAATATGGAAAATAGGATTTGATGCCGAGGCAAGATTGTTGAAATCTGATACGTGGCTTGTTGAGCTCAAGGAACAACAGGAGGCATCAGGCAGTTTGTTCTTGGCGCTGGACATCCCGGGTGCGATCATCAAGGCGCTTTTTATTCCAGAAACATTGCTTGAATACCAACGACAGCAACATCCTGTGAAGGGCCTTGTTCTGAACGAACGCTCAATAATCTCTGCCATTATTGCTGGAGATCTGAGGGGTAAGATATTGAGTGGTAATTGATTTGGTCCGCGTTTTCAACTCTTGCGAGTATGATATTTTAGCTGACGTTATGTATAATGACCATTCGACTTGCTTCATATCTCCGTGTTTACAGGCTCAGGGCTTTCACCGGCAGTCAACGACGAGTCAAGATCTACTATACCACTTCAACAGCCTACTCTCTCAAGATCTGTAGCGGAACAGGTCGACACGAATGGTGATGTTTCGATGGAGATCGATGAATCCACAAGTGCGACACCCGCGATCAGCTGTGGATGGAGAGATTGCAATGAGACGCGCACCACTGTGCAGGAGCTTTCACTCCATGTGCAACAGGATCATTTGCAAACTCTGGAGCAAGGAACTGGCACCACGCATGCCAGACCAATGCAGAATGGATCAGAGACGTCCTTGGAAACAAAGTCTCATGAAGCAGATGCTGACAACGTAACGGAAATCTCTCGGGATGACCAGATTGTACGCCTTCAGAGTTCTTACTCGTCGTTGAAGGACGATTTGGTTAGAATGAAGGAGAAGCTTACGTGGTCGGATCAGCAAGCCAAGGACCTGAGTACCCTATACTCGGCGGCGATCGTGTCTTCGGAGGAAAATATCAAGCGACTGGAGGCTCAGTTGGAGTGGGAGATGAAGAAGTGGGACCATTACCGGGAGGAGACGATGCGGATGATTGCTTTGGGTGGCGGAAACGAGGACCCTGCTCGGGAGCAGCAACCCGTGGTTGCCCCGAATGACGATACCGTACCCACTTTGACAGTGCAACCTGATGTACAGGATTCGGCAACACGTCTGCCAGGCGATCATGGATTCGACAAGCCCATGGAAGCTCAATCCCAAAACTCAATTCGGACGATCCAAAAGCTTCTCATTACTGCCAGGGAGAAGCAGGCACGTTTGGAGCGGCAGAACCTGGAGCTCGTGAGCAAACGCAAGGCATTGGATTCAGAACATACACTCCTTGATCAGCGCTACCGGAAAACGCTGGCTCAGTTGGCGTCTCTCGAAGCCAAGGACCATGAGACGGCCGAGGCCCTCAGGAGTCGTGCCAATGGAGTTGAACAGTGCAGAGCAACAATCGATCAGGAGCAGGAGCTGTCCCGCAAGACAGTGGAGGAGCTCCAGTCCAAGATCGAAGAGCTGAGACAGGGTACTTCGACGTCGCCAGCGCAACCGCAGCCTCAACTTTCACCTCCTGCGGCGATGGACATTATTGCCGGCAATAGTGTTCAGGAGAGTGACACCAATGGCGACCACATCATGGCCGAATCGACTCCACCACCCGAGTCAACGCCCCCACCCACCACGCTGGCTTCTACTTTGCCTTCTCAGGCAGAGCCTTCTGAAGGTCTTTCTCCAATGAGCGTGGAATCAGGACCTTCGACTGCGGCGGAGTCTACATCAGAGCCATCGACATCAGCGCCTTTGGACGAACCACAACCGCCCGTTGAGCCTGTTGAGTCGTCGTCGTCGTCGTCATTGGACAATGTCTCGGCAGAGCCTCCTACAACACTCCTAGATGAGCAACCCGCAGAGAACTCGGACGTTCAAATGACCCAGGAGCAGCGGGGCCAGAAGGAGCAGCAGGACCAGCCCACCTTAACTGCAATGGTGACAGAACCAGTCAACCTTGACACTTCTAGCGACCCCAGCACAAGCACGAGCACAAGTGCAGATACAAACACCTCCACAATCACTGCTCCCGTCGCTTCTTCACCCACTCCCACCACCCCAGCTCCCGCTCCTGTCGATACTGCTGCTTCTGTTACAACTAGCTATACCGCTGAAAGCGGACCATCCACATCCACATCGACACCATCCTCGTCAGTTGCTCCCTCCTTGGTACCACAGGGGAAGATTGAGGATGCAAACGAGAATCCGCCTAGTGGAGAGCCGCCAGCATCATCGCCTAAGGCACCTATGGCGACATCAGTCAACGAAAACAGCATCAACGACGAACCCTAACCTCTACCACCACTGCCAGCACCAGCATCAACGGCAGTAACGGCGACTTGAACGGCCCGTCCATCTCTGTCGATCTTTTGACCAACAAGGACAATTGAAGACCATCACCACTCCCCTCCCCTCACATAATACTTTAAAAGATAGCAAAAAAAAAGTTACAGTTTGCATTTTCTCCAATCTTTGGTGCGCTTCTACGTGATTTTTATTTATCGGACGATAAAGGTTGGTGAATGGTTACATGAGGTGGTGAAAAAACAGGGGGAAAAAATGCAAACAAATGTCATGAGGGTCATAAAGAGTACTCGTCGAATAAGACGTGGTAATGTAGGAAGCTCTGTTCCATAACAGGATAAACGAATCCCTCTCACTCTCTCTCATCTTTAAGCAACATTGCATCCAAGGACACTCTGAACACCTCCAACAAGATGCAAACTACCGGTTACCAAGACCTGAACATGCTCGACTCCCTCAGCAGCAGCAGCGGCCGTCTGATGCTTGACATAGTCGTCAATCCAGTTGACAGAATGCTCGATCGAAGGCAACACCGTTGTTTCCGTTGCGGTCTCTTGTCCCTGTGCCAAGCCGACCTGTTTGATCCAGCAGGCTGCCAAAGTCTTTTGTGTCTTCAACTCCAAGTCCAGAGGAGTATTGTTGTTGACCAGGTCGCCCTTGTACGTGTTGGACGCGAATGTGATGGCAGGAGTGAAAATGGCCTGGTCAAAGTGCACTGTCGAGTGGATCGCTGCTAATGGCTGCAACAATGCATCACCGTCTCTTGGACCCGTGCAGTTGAATACCAGCAACTTCTTCACCGATCTACCGCCATAATATTTACGTTCAAGAGAGAAAAGTTAGTGTCTGCATGACATACCCCCACCAGAGTACAACAATTTTCACAGAGTTTCCTTACCCATGAGCATCCTTGCGGCTGGCGTCTTTGAACCACTCTGCACAGACACGAATACTCTCGGTCGTGTGGGCGCCATCAAAGAACCAAGTGATCTTGGGCTTGTCGTCCCTCACCATGATCTGTCCACGTCCTGGCCAACGAGCACTCGAAAGACCCTGGACAAACTCCTGCGGCACATCGCCGGCCGATCCCTGAATCTTCTTACCAAGAACCTTCTCAATCCAGATCTTGCACAAGGCTGTCGCCAAAGCTGCATTGGCCACCTGATGTTTTCCTGCCAGTCCAATCGTTGTTGTGCCCAATGCTTGCGATGTGAATGCAGGGATGACTTGAAAAGATGCCTATATGACAATAACGAAGGCCAAATGAGGAGCCATTTAGTAACTTTAGTTCGCGAGGTTCTGCCACCACGACCACACATTCAAAAAAAAACAATTAATCACAAGGATCCTTACGCCGATCTCCTTCGCTCTGCTCTGGAGAACATCGAGTCCCTCTGTAGGCTGCTCAGATGAAACAGCTGGCACGCCATTCTTAAAGATACCTCCTTTGTTCCATGCAATCTCTCCCAGAGTCGATCCCAAAACCGAGACGTGATCGATTCCAAGTGCTGCAACACCGCAGACGACGGGCTGGTTGATAATGTTGGTCGAATCATAAGCACCGCCAACACCGACCTCCAGAATAGCAACATCGACCTTCTCCTGCTTGAACACATGGAACGCCAACACTGTCAAGAATCGGAAGTAGCCAGGCTTTGACTTGTCCTATCGATAAGAGGTTATGATTAGGAGTTTGAATATCATAGAAAACGAAGACAAGAGTACAAAATCGCCGAAAAAATACTCTTGTAAACTTACTCCGGACGAGTCAAGGCGATCCCAAACCTCGAAAAAGTACTTTGCAAACAGATCCTGGCTGATAGGTACTCCATTGATCCTGATTCTCTCTCTCACTTCCATCAGATGTGGCGAAGTGTACAATCCTGCAATTACCGTAGTGAGTGAAAGCAGTGGTGGTAGAATAAAAGTACATCGTTAATAACAGCGATTGGGCAAAGTGAGACATGTCGCCATCCAAGGAGACAGACGAAGCAAATACATAAAAAAAAAGTAGCATTTTGAACACAGTACCAGTCTTGATGGTCTTGTCGCCATAGTTGCGCAGGATCGACTCTGTCAAGGCACAAGTCGAGCCCTTGCCCTTGGTGCCAGTGACATGGATCATGTTCAAGTCGTTAAAGTCCTTGGGCTGCACATCCACGCAGTGAATAGGAGGCAGAGTGAGGGTGGACAAAGGGAAAATTTTAACACTGATTAGCAATTTTGATAACAAATTTTTTTCTCTTATTTTTTCCTCGGGCGGATCAATTGTTGATGGCGGCTATCTCAACAACAACAACAACAACAACAGTAACGGCGCCCATTTTTTTTCCAATTACTCCTGATGCCGCACCCTTTCATTCGTTTCCTTGTTTTCTAATTGATACTCCTGCTTCCGTGAACAGCTCATGAGGTTTCTGCTCAATAAAAGTCCTGACATGAGTGTCGGTCAAATAGTACTGAAGCCCGAGTGATGAAGACGTGCAAAGTGGTAAGTGCTCCTTGAGAATGTACGATGGTCTTTCTTACTTGATATCCACTGCGCTCGACAAAATCAATCACCTCCTGAAGTGAATTCTTGTTGGCGCTGCCTCCTGACTTGCGTACTGCTTCGAGAACTGCAAAGTTTGTCTGAAGTCCATTGAGCTTGTCAACGGCGTCCTATCACAAAGACCAACATCAAAAAACACTTTGAAGGTTAGTCCAAAAGAAAAGAAAAAACTCGGAAAAGAAAAATCGCGCAAAAATGAGAGGGGGGATACTTTACGGCGTATGAGCGAGGCATTGGACTAGGGAATATCTTGACACGGTCGTCGAGTTCGGTGAGTGGAGTTTCGAGGTGGGAGGTAGACTGGACGGTTGAGGCGGCGGCGGAAGAGAAGAGTCTGATCGGTTTGAGGGATGGAGCCGTTGACTGAGTGAGGTGATGGGATCGAGTTGCTTTTGTTGCAGTTGTGGTGGTGGTGGTGGTGGGAGTGACACGAGGATGGAGGGGAGAGGTATGTGAGAGACGATGAAGAGTAGAAGTAGAAAAAGTAGAGGTAGAAGTAGAAGAAGCGAAGAATGAAGAAGAGGCGAAAGAGCGAGCTGGGAAGGAAGAAGAGGAAGTTAAAGGGAGGACACACGTGCTTGAGACCAAGGTCTGTCTGTGTGGTGGCGTTGAAGTGGCGGTGGTTGACAAGGACTGGACACGAACGCAGACGCGGATGGGGCGAGAGGAAGAGGATGGGGTTGAGAGGACGAGGGATCGAGGAGGATGAATGAGAGAGCGAGTCCCTGTGCGGACAATGAACATGGCGCGCGCGTGTTGTAGATCAGAAAGGGAAAGGGTTATGTGGGTGGGATAGATAGAAGGGAAGGGAAGGGAAGGGCAGGGAAGAGCAGTGTGTGTGTGTGCAAAGAGGATAATGTAGTGGCGTGCTTTTGCTTTGCTGGATCGTGGTTGGATAGATTCGTCTGGAGGGGAAAGGAAGAGTTCAGGGAAGGCGAAGAGAGAGAAAGAGAAACAAACAAACAAAGAAGAAAAAGAAAAAGAAGAGAAAAAAGAAGACAAGCGACGGATGGGGTATGCGATCTCCCTCATTCCATCCATTCACAACTCAGGTTGTCGTTGTTCGTCGTTGCTCATCCAACCAAACAAAAAACAGCTTCACGACTCCGTTCCCCTTGCTCCGCACCCGTTTCGTCTCCTTTCCTCATTTTCCCTTCAACTCTCCTCGATGTCTCTCTGACTATGTGTGTCTCTCCCTGGGGTCCTTCTCTCTTTTTCCCCTTCCGCCCGGGGCCGCTGACTCAAAAAGTCAAAATCCCTCCCTCTCCTCTAACTGAGAGCGGAGATGGATGAGCACCCGCAACTCTTTTTCTTTTCTCTCTCTCTCTCTCTCTCTCACTCTCACTCTCACTCCCTGTTTGCCCTTCTTTTTCGTATATAACAATAGAACAATGACACATATGAAATGCAAAAATGGGTTGCCCTTTTAATTATGAAGGACTCATGGTGATGTGCTAATGCGCTGTGTGCTACGTGCCAGAAAGAATGAAAATGCGTTGTAGTGGGGGGATAAGAAAAACAAAGTGTAAAAACTAACATGAATTGACAAAGAGAAATGAAAGAAAAACTACTAAAAAGAGTGTATCTATGGTTGCGTCTTCAATGTCACCTTGATACCCATGCTCATGAGCTCGGTGGCAAGGTATCTGAAGACATATGGAAGTGCAATCTGATCAATTGCCGACGACGTTTGACAGGTTCGGCACTCAATCTCCCGGACGCCCGATAACGCAGCCGAGGCATGGGTCGAGATAGGCGAAGTAATGCTTCCACACTTTGTGCAGATATTGCAGAGCGAATAGTCCGAACAGTTCATCAGACGGTCCTGAAGTAAGTACGACACTCCGTGAGCCAGAAGCGAATCACGCTCCATCTCTCCGAAACGAATACCTCCAGCACGCTTACGACCCTTGACAGGCTGCATCGTTAGGTTGTGCACTGGTCCAGTCGTACGCACCTGATACTTGTCAGCAACCATGTGACGAAGACGTTGATAGTAAACGACCTACAGATATAATCACACGCGTCGCATAGATGTTGTACGTTAATAAACGACTTGTGGTAGTAGTCATACATCAGTAACAACAAAGACGCCAGCAGACAAAGAACTTACTCCGAGGTAGATGTCGACCTTGAACTCCTGTCCAGTAATACCACTGTACATGGGCTCGTTTCCGTGGTAGTTGTATCCAGCAGACTTGAGCTGCTCACCAAAGTAATCGGCTGCAGTAAAAGTCTCGTTGAAGGTAAAGGGCGTAGCATCCTGAGCGATTCCGTGAAGAGCTCCACTCTTTCCTGCCAAACTCTCGACAAACATTCCGATGGTCATACGAGAGGGGAAAGCGTGAGGGTTGATGATGACATCAGGCTGGATACCAGACTCCGAGAAGGGCATGTCGATCGAGGGCCACTTTTGGGAGCAAACACCTTTCTGTCCGTGACGAGACGAGAACTTGTCTCCGATAATGGGAGAACGGGTGATACGGAACTTGATGTGGATCTTCTGGAGCTCAGCGTCACCGTTGTCCGAACCCAAGAGACGAACATCGTCAACAATACCATCCTCCATACCCTTGTACTTCTTGATCGAAGTCTTTCCGGTGGTGTCGTCGATGTAGGCGCAGATGGGATCACCCTCCTTCAAGGTCACTCCGATGCAGGGCAGACCGTCGTTGTCCAACTTCTCTCTCCAGGACCGAGGAGCATCCAATCCCAAACCAAAGTGGTGGAGAACAGGCTCACCACGGACCCTAAAGTCGCCCAAATCGACAATCTCAGACTTGTAGATAGTACCATAACCGAAACCACGCTCGTGCGACGACTTGTTCAGGATCATGGCATCTTCCATATCGTAACCGGTGTAGGAGATGACGGCAACAACGGCATTCATTCCGTTGGGGAAGCCATCAATACCGTAGGTGTCGTTAAGGGCAGGACGGACAATAGGAGTCTGACCGGTCTGAAGGCGGTACATCTTGTTGTCGGTACGGTACTTGATGGCGGTGGCAGGGGTTCCCATACTCTGTTTACCCATCTGACACTGGTACATGTTACGGGGCGACTGGTTGAAGTCGGAGAAAGGAGTCAAGTTGGCCAAGATACTGAGCATGCTTGTGGGGGCGAGCTCTTGATGGGTGCTCTCGCCAGGACGGATCTCGTCATCCATGCAGGCAATCTCCATGTAAACCTGCTCGAAGGATCCGACCATGTCAGTCTTGCCGTTGGCTAGGTAGCGAACAGGACGCATCATACGTGCTGGCGAGGAGAAGATGTAGAGACCGGGATATTGACCGCCCTGGGAGATGGGAACGTAACCCAACTCGACATCCAGAGGGATGGCGCCTTGATGGGTTCCGGAGACCTTGTAGTGGCGGAGGGCATCAGCGACCTTCTTGGCCTCCTCAGAAGAGCAGTATCCAACAATACGACCATCCAATTGAACAACGATCGTCCTTTGGCCACGGGCAGGGACCAAAGTCTGAGAGACACCGAGGGAGGCGAGGATGGCGGGGACGCGCGAGACATCGGCGGGCTCGGTAATAACTTTGCAGGTGTGTGACAAATGGTTCAAAAGACCACAAGGAGAACCATCAGGAGTGTGGACAGGGCAGAGGAATCCCCAGGCCTCGGGGAGCAGCTTACGAACAGTTGTCGTCTTCAACTCGGCGAAGAAGGAACCACGATGGATACAACGGAAATGGGCCAGGAAACGATAAAAGTTCAGCTTCTCGGCAACGATGGTGTAACCGGTAGCCTGCTGCAAATCCAAACCAGTGTTGGACACCAGGTTTCCTGTGGCAAGGAAATAGGACATTTTAGATCCGACATCCTGGAGTCCTGAAGTCTTTTGGAGTGTCTTTGTGAAATATTGGTCTATTGGAAATCACAGAGTCAACAACCAGATACGTTAGAGCTTCCTTCCAGTCAAATATCATATCTGCTGCTCTCAACAACCCAAAGATGATCGAAGTACGTACTGTTCATGAAATCGACTCCGGCGACCTTGCGACGCACGTCCTGGTTGATCTGAGCTCTGATACCGTTCAACCAATCCTCGATCTTTTCCTTGATAATAGATCCGTACAAGTGACCTCCGAGAAGGACCTCCTGATGCTGAGGAGAATCGGGGTTGTCAGGAGAGCACTCGCCAGCGACCAGGGCATACACTTTGCGGATCATAAAGCTACGAAATAGAGAAGAAACAACACAACATGGTTAGCATGGTTCTACAGGTCTGGTTCAGGTTACTGACAAGTACCGCGTGCTGGTATACTCTGGATCGTGACACTTACATCAAGAGGTTGAACTTGTCGCGGTTGCTCTTCAAGTGAACGAGGACAATCTTGCGCAAAAGTCCCTCTCCAACCTCGACATCGCTGTAATCCTCAGGGAAGTTCATGACGACTCTGAACTTGTCTCCCAAATACGCCAGGCACTGCTCGCGGGTGTAAAGGTTGTATTCCTTGAAGCTGCGCAACATGAGTTCCACGCGATCCGTCAAGAAGGTGTTCTCCAAGTCGCCCAACATGACGGCGTCGAAAATCTCCTTGTCTGAAGTATCAATCAAAGCCTAATTCCGAAACGTGCGCAAGATAATTGTAAGTACTCCAACTTTGTATGTGAGAACATCATAGCGGCATGTCCACAACCCTGTCGTCGTATAGTACCTTGAGGATAAGCATAGTGGGGACCAAGTACTCCTGCTTCCTCCATGCGAAACGCAACATGCTGCCTCCGTCGGTAAGGTAGTGGACAGTGTTTGTTTGTGAAGTCTGATCAGGGCGGGCGCAGCGAATGGCGGTACCGAAGGTGGAGTAGGTAGGTCCGCGGTTGGTGAAACTGGATCGGATCAAGGCAATAACGTGGTTGCGTCGTGGCACAATCAAAAGACGAATCAACTTTTCGATACCGTTGACCAAGAAGTATCCTCCAAACTCCTCTGACTCCTCGTGGTGCTTAATGAGTTCCTTTGGGAAAGCGCCCTCCAGGTTACACCGGTTCGAGCGGATCATGACAGGGACAAGACCCATATCGCGAGTCTCCACAACAACGGGTCCATCGTTGACGCGCCAGGCGAGCTTGGCCTGGAGCTTTCCTCTGTATGTGTTCAAACGTTCTCTTGCCTGCAATTCACAATGACAGTGATCAATTGGTCAGTCGAGAGTTTTGGCGAAGGTTGAGAAATCAATCCAGTCAAGACAGCAGTTGAGGTGAAAGCTCATGCAAGATGAAATAAAGGAATTACCTCTGTAGGGTAGATCTGGCGCGTTGTTGAGTGGCGCTCCTTTTCTGAAAGCATAGGCTTATTCAATGTGACCTCGTCAACCCAGACTATATGTATAGGAGTAGATCCAAGTTAGTTGAAATAGTTTTGGAACAATAGTTTCCCTGTCGTTATTGATGCAGTAGTCGAGCAAGTGCACGTACAAGTCAACTTGTTTCCGAGTCCGCCGCCGGCCATGTCAAAGACCGCCTTGGGTCCAATATCCTGGATTGCCAAATCCAAAAGACCAGACTTGGAGCCCTTGCCGAACTCCATAAGAGAGTTGAAAGCCTCGATATGGGGAGCGACGAGCTCCTGCAAGGCAGGGGTCTGGAAGGACTTGTCCGAAGGATTTTTGAAAATCCTCTCACGCTCCAAGGTGTTGAATTTTGCGATGGGTGGCATGGTGGAGAGGTAAGAGGATGGAGCGGAGGAAAGGAGGAGGAGGGATGGAGGGAGGGGGTGAGGGAGGTGGGAGTGGTGGTGGTGAGGAATTCTTTCCACTCAAAAGAAATGAGCCATGTCAAAAAAAAAAATCTGTCCCCTACCACAACACAAGCCACATTGTGCGCTGATCTCATCACGTGATAAATTCAGCCACGTGGCACAGACTAGCTTCAAGGGCATAACAAAGTCTGAGACATCAATCTCCCTCTGAGAGGTAGCATTTGTAGCTTGCAGAAAAGAAGGTGTGTTCATGGTGCATTGGGATGCCATATAGAGAGTTTGTAATGAGAGGATGCTATCCTTTAATCATCAGAGCGAAATTTTCTACAATAGGATAATGACGCCCTGGTAAAGATCTGGTCAGAGTTGTGAACCAAGGCACAGACATGGTGTATAAGCAACACCCTCCTGTGGATCTAAAGCAAACTGAATAGCGGATATCACTCCTTGGTTAATGTTGACTCGCTCCAGGTATACATAGACAACAAACAACAGCTTTATTATTTTAGATATTGGTGGCGTTAAATCATTCGGAACAGGACAGCGAAAGGGAGAGAAAACAAAAGAGGCGGAGTTACTACTCACAGGAGGGGTCCCACCGCGGTACTTGGAGAAGCTGCACATCGCCCATGCTTAGCTCTTCTTCTACCAGAATTAAATCGCTTATCTGGATTTCTTAGCATCATTGCCTCAATGTGCATAATCCATTATGTCTATTGTTTAGGTGTGATAGTGCACTCTTGATCCAAGCGGTGGAGCACAAAATGGTTCTTTGACTTTTTCCTCCCTTTTGTATGGATACCTAGAGGTGATTAGTGATGGCCCAAGGCTGATCAGTGGCCAATAGGAGAAAAGTGCGGAGGGAAAACCTACTTTGGTAAACCCAGCGCCCTCTTTTAGGTTTTTTCCTTCGCGACCACACTACCCGTTGTTCAGACTATTCTCTTATGTTTCTCTATGCCACTCTCAGATCCATTTTTTTCTTTAGGCCATTCTCGATTTCAACCTAACACCTGTAGTCTTGCACATGTTCGGACATGATTCAACGTCCAGTTGAAGATAGTTGGAGCCATTGATGGCCAACAACCTTGCTCTTTTATTGTTTGTCACTTTGCATGGCAGTTTGTCGTATACTCGTCAAGAGGAGGCTTGCTTCTATTCTTCGCCATGCTTTCATCAAACGGCTGCCAAAGAGTTGATCAGTCCCCCTTAATCACTGTCGAGAAATTCATTGATGATTTGCAACTAAGCAGTTATCAAACTGATCAAGCTGTACAACAATACCTCTCAACCAACACGAGATTATTACTACTGCAATCAAATTGGGGTGGCCTCTTGGCGTATCGTCCTCAGTTACCAGAGCCAGAAAACCAACGTTCACCTCTCCATATTTCAGTTTGCTCCATTTGAACGAAAAACACATAGACATTGGTTGAAGATGGGGCGAAGGACAAATGATGACACATGCCCATTTCACAAAAACCACCATCTATAATTTTAGTTGATTGCTTTTGCTTACTTCGAGGGGCGGATACTCTTTGCAAGTCGATCGTCTGATGCGCTCTTCAAAAAAGGACAAACAAGGGAGTAGAACGAGAGGAAGAGGTGTGGAGGAACGTGGTTGATAGAGTAAACACGGGTTTGGTCCCACATGAACGGGCAAGCCAAAACAATGGATCATGACCCCCACCACGCCGCTCCGTGTGTGCGCGTGTTCATATTTGAGCGCTGTTGTTGTGAAAGGTGTAGAAGAAGGGAGGGGAAGTCATGACTCCAAACAAACGCTGTTCTGAAAAGATAGAACTCTAAATGAACAATAAAAGCAATCATACATGTCGACAGAACTATGGAAGGGAGGTCAAATTTGGGAGGAGATACAAGTATGCATGTACTATGCATGGGAGAAAAAGAAGATGCGGGTGACACAAAAAAATCAACGAAAGGAAGTGTCCTTTGGAAATAAAGGAGCGGTGTTCAATTCGACGCCTCCCTGGTGTCAAATACTTGAGCAAAGGCGCACTGGGAGTGGAGAGAGAGCGGAGAGGCAATGAAGAGGGAGAGAGGGGGGAGTAAAATGGAGCGAAAAGGAGGGGGGAGGAAGTGGCGGCGGTGCGCATACATTCACTCCTTATCCAGTCAAAAACATGGGAGGGTGCAGAAAGGTCATCAGCCAATTGACAGAGCCTTTTTATTCAGGAGGCTAACATACCCCTATTGACAAGCTCTCCTCTTTTTTTTTTTTTTTTTTTTTTTTTTTTTTGTTGTTGCTTTTAGTGTTGCTGTTTGGTTTGTATCCCTTTCATACGCACCTCCCTTTTGTGTGTGCGCTGTGCCTTGATTATTTCAATCCAATGAGAATTTTTTCCACCTTAGGAGAGTTTTTAAAGTTTCCCGTCGAGGAGGGGCAATGAGGGCGAGAAAGAGATTTCGGGAACTTGCCCGGGTCACCTCCTCTTCCTCCCTGCTGGTTTTTTCTCGTTGCTGGCTGTGGGATCATGTAGACATTTATCTACATCCTACCCCTCCCCCTCTAGGAAATCCAAACCGGGTTGGCCACGCTTGACAAAAAGAGGGTTCCAAAAAGTAGATTGATCGGAGGGACGCCGCACCAGTAAAGTTCGAAAGTCATTCGCCCTCCTCCCAAATATAATTGCGAGCAAAAAAAAAAAGGATGCAGAAAGAAAACTCAGGCTCGGTCGAGAGAGAGAGAGAAGGGGATTCCCGTTTCGGTCCCGACAATTGCAACAAAACCAACAAAACACAACAAACCGAGGCGCTTTTGTTTTCCGCGAAAGAAACGTCATGCGTCAGGAGATGATAGGGTCGAGAGAAAAAAAAAAGTGCGAAATAAATGACTTTTATCATGAAACGTTTAAACCCTGAGGTGGGGAGGACATTGCTTATACGCGATTGTTGCTGACAGGAGAATGGGAGGGCGCTGAAAAACATAAAAGGCAGAATTGATAACGGCTTCGACTGTTTGTGTTCAATCAAACGTAAACAGAACACACGAGTGAAAAGCATGGATCAATTGAAAACGGCAACCTTAATAAGGCATTGTCGTTTCGGCCCAAGTCTTTTGATCTAGACTTTTGTTTCTGTGTGTGGGTTCGTCGTTCGATGGGAAATACGAACGTTGTAAAAAAAGCCGAGAAAACATATTCACGGGGCGCGCATGGATATTTTACCGAACGAAAGGAGATCTCAATCGAGGAAACCCGGCGAGAGATGTGGCAGTAGAATTGCATAGGAGCATATCAATTTCGCTGTAGAAAGACCCCTGTAGATAAGACGAGATGCAGTGGCTGATCATGAGGCGTGTGCATGTTTCTTCTCTGTTGGTTCAAGTATCCAAGTCCAGGCGCGGATACTGCGTTTTTTTGCATGGTTTTGTTTATAAGCAAAACAGGCTCCTCATGGCCCCTTTCGAACATGATCTGATAGGACCTTGAGTGACCATATCATGCGGACTGAGCGAAAGGCGGAAGAGAGAAGAGTGTTTGTGTGTGTGTATATTTTAGGAAAAAATAAATAGAAAAGGAGGTGTTCGCAGTACGAACAAGAGAGGATGAAGTGCCACATGGAGATTGGAATACCTTTTGGCATGAAGTAATGCAACACTTTATCGAGCAGCAGCCCACACGAACCACCTTGAAAAAACACAACAGCAACAATCACTACAAAACAACAATGTGTAGATCCTGTTACCAGCTTACGTACAGGCACAAAAAGCCCGATCTGATCTATCAGGATCAGGGGGCTTAAAAAATGGCATCGGTTCCAATAAAACAAAATGGTCAGCCCAAAATAGGAGGGTGATCGAGCGCGTAAGAAGAAAGTGCAAGAGGAAGAGAGAGAGAGAAAAGGAGAGAGAGAGAGAGAGAAGCGAGAAAAAGCAGGCATTGGAGTTCAGGCAGAGAATGAGGTCGTCACGTCGTCTACAATGTATTGTCTTACTACATGAAAACGGAGGGGGAAGTTTTTGCTGGAGATGGATTAGATGAATGGAGGGGATGTGGAAGGGAGCAAAAAAAACAAAGAAGGGATGGGACGGAGAAATGGCAGGAAGAGAGGATACGAAAGAGACAGCAATTAAGAATAGTGAAAGAGAAAGGAACACACGAATCGGGTCATGGTGTCAGTGAGGAATTTGTTTGGGACACGAGGGAGAGGGGGCGCTACTTGCACTGGGCATTGATTGATATTGGGTGTTGAAAGACACAGGTACAAGGGAGTTGTAGCGACTGTTGGATGCTATTGGATGTGGTTTTCAATGTTCACCCGTGGTTCTATCATCTTTTTTTTTATTCTGGCCAGCTTCACTACGAGGTTGATATTCTTGTTGGGTATAGGTGGTCAATGTGTCGATATCGAGTATAAGGAAGGGAGAAGAGATTAGAAAAGGAGGGGTATTGTCACCGTGCAGGGTGGATGGGTCGATTGAGTCTCTTGATTGAAGGGGGTTAGAAAACTAGAGAGAGAGAGAGAGAGAGAGAGACAAGAGAGACAGACACACAGAGAGAAGGAGAAGGAAGGAAGTGAAGAGATTTGGAGGAGGGAGATGGAGAGAGACGACGAGGAGGACGAGGAAAAGAGGGTTCTTTGGCCGTTCTTGCGGGCAAAGACAGTTCGCATCGATACACAGATGACAACGGAAGCGAGAGTCGTATTGTGCGCATCCATCCAAACCCTATGCCATAGAAGAGGCAAAAGAAGAAAGGTGAACCGCGTCAACCCACCGTCCTGAATACCGTCCTGTGTCCATCTCTCTCTCTTTCTCTCTGTCTGTCTATCGTTGTTTGGTCAACATCTGTCTGCTGCCAATATGCCCTATTAGCACTATGAGCAAGTTCTCTTGGTGTCATCTACCGATTCTATTCTACCTATTTATCCATCTCAACTGTCCCCATCTCTTTTCTTCCTCCTCGTCATGTTCTTGTTCTTCTTGTTCTTCGTCA